TATTCATTGGAGCATTCTGTGGTGGTACATTCTGAGGCCTTTGTTTGGGCATACTGGGTGGTTGAGGAATGTTTTGCATTGTACTAGGTTGCATAGCGTTCACGTTGGGCATGCCATTGGGTAGCAGAGCGTTGGGATTCATTCGTTGCACTCCTGGCATCCTAGGAGCTCCGACTCCGCCTGGCGGAGGTGCCAATCTCACCATTCCAGCAGGACCTCTATATTGTTTAGTGATGGGTTAGCACCAAAAAGGCCGAAATAGCAAAGACGAAATGACTATTGCTTCAGTTGACTTACCCGGCACCGGTCGCTCCGACGACAGCACCACCTGGCGATATTATAGGCGCCTTATTCAGCTCAGACTGCAATTGCGCAAACTGTGTCTCCATATCCGCCGAAATGGACTTCTCTCGTGCTCTAGCAGCGGCATCCATATTACCAGCACCTCTACCAGCTGGTGGTCTAGCATTCATCTGTGACGGTATAGACTGCATATCGGTGGGCGATGGTTGTCTAGAGGGAGGACCTGGAGTAATCATAGGACGAGGTCCCCCTTGATTTATAGGTGGACGACCAGTATTATTAAGTTGCATGGGTTGTCCTGGAGCCTGAGACCTCATTTGTTGCTGTTGAGGTCCATTTATGTAAGGTGATGGTCCCATTTGAGCCTGTTGATTTATCTGCAGCTGTTGATTCATCAACTGCTGCGTCATTTGCTCTTGGCTCATCGGTTGCTGGTTCATTGGTTGGCCCATTTGATTTAAAGGTGGTCTCTGGTTTAGCTGACCAGCGCGTGGTGGACCTTGCTGTTGTGGTGGTCGAGACTGCATTCCGTTAGGTTGTTGCATTCCATTCGGAGGTCTGGGTTGTCCTGGTTGTTGTGGCCGACCTTGTTGTTGCATGCCAGGCTGTTGCATATCCGGCTGCTGTTGCTGTTGCTGCATTACATCACCACTTTCTCCTATTGGCATTCCAGGTCTAGTATTAGCTGGTCTCATTGGTGGTCGGGGTGCTGCCATCATTCCAGGTTGTTGAATTTGCTGCATTGGAGCAGCTGGTGGTCTAGGTTGAGCCATTGCGGATGGCAGACCATTAGGTTTTGCTGATTCACCTTGCTGACGAGGGGTGACGCCAGGAGGAAGAGCGACTCGAGATGAATCTGATCGTGGTGCGACAAGAGGATTTGGCCGTGCCTATTAAAACCGAGGAACAATAACTTGTAAGAGATTTGATTTTAAACCAAAAATGGTGGTTTCAATCTTGAAGTGACACTCACAGCTTCACCACTCGGTCGACCTTGAGCTTCAGTTGGAGAACTGCTACTATTATTACTATTTAAGGCTCCATTCTGTTGCACTGGTTGTGTCGGTGTCGTTGCTTTAGGTTGTGTGTTCTTCAATATCGTTTGTGGTTGCTTTGGCACAACCGGCTTCTGGAATCCTGGTGGTGCCTCAAACGATACCACATGTGCTACAGATTTAGGATCCTGGGCAATCATCTGCTGAGTCTCGGTACGCCAAGCTTTGGCTCGACGAAGTGCAGCTTCAGCTGGTGTTGACGGACGACCATTTCCAGCATCTCCAGCTCGTATGACGGCAGATAATAGACGTAGCCATCTCTCAAATTCGGGTGTGGTTGATGCTCGTAGTATGTAAATGGTCTCTCCGGATTTGATGCTAAATGTCATTGGTATAGCATCAGCGGTTTTATTGTCACGGGGGTCTAGTGACTTAATACTTCGAATGGTACCAACAGCAAAAGACCACTAGTTGACATAACGTTGAGTTATAATACTACAAGGGGACAAAAAACAGAACGAGTTTGCGTAACAATACCTTGGGAGGATGAAAGAGACCTGTAGCCATATCCGGGCTCATATCATCATCACCAGGAGCTGCTAATAAAGGACCTATAGCAGGTGCACCTACAACAGATGGATACGCTACCCGAGCTACAGTAACAAAGGCTTCATTTACATCAGCCGGTGCCAGCTTTGTCAAATCCTGTTTGGCAGTCGAATCCGCAGGCGATGAACCAAGGCATACAAATAAGGCCCCATCGAATCTAAACAGCCGTTTCTGGTATTTGCCAGTAGCAGTTCGCTTATAAAGCCAGCCTGAATAGACCACCGACCAAGAGTTTTCTGATGGTAATCGTTGTGGGTCTGATTTGACAACTGCTTTAACTTCTTCAACTGGAGGAGCTGGTTCGTCGAGTTCGATAGATTCTTCAGAGACAGCCTTCTTTATAGTTCGAGCTTCTGCTGTTGTTTTGACTGGTGATACAGGGACCGGCGAAACGGGGGATGCGGGAGTTTCGTCGCCTGTCTTGGTTACGGTTGATAGGCCCAACCCAGCGGTTATAGCGGCAGCCAATGCTGCAACAGGTCCAGATACGCCAGCGACTGCGGCCGGAGGAGTTGAAGCTACAGGTGCTGGTGGAGGAGGTGCTACTACCACAGGAGAAGGAACCGGTTGGGGCATAATAACAGGTGGTACTAAAATCGATGGTATCGAGATTGGTGACATTCTCAACTCTATATCATCGTGAATTTCGATATGTTGCTCATCAGGTTCTTGAGCCTCCTTTTCTGCCCGTTTCTGAGCAATAATCTGTTCAAACGGCACTGGAGGAGGCGGGGGAGGTGGAGGAGTAACAGCTAATACTTGCATTAAATGTCCTTGCATCATATCAAGTTTGCCTTGTCGCTGTTCTAATATAGCTTGCCGTTGATCAAGCAGAGCCTGCTGTTCGTCCATGGCTTCCAGCATCTGCCGCTGTAAATCTAATGATGTCATGTTTGTTGCCAAGGGTCGGTTCAATATAGTTTGACTTAAATTAGTTGGTGGTGGTGCTACTGAGCGTTGGGAGCCCAATGCGAGAGACACTGACGGTGGATTTGTAAGCATGGCATTACTCAACATTGGATTCGGTGCATGCTCAGCTCTTGATCGATTTAATATTGAATTGTTACGAGACATGTCACCGGGTACTCTCAATGCTGATTTAAGACCTGGTGGATTACCACTAACATCACTTCCACCTCTAGCTCTATTACCCCCATTACGTCGACGATCTTCTTCAGAGTCTTCTTCGTCAAACCCACTAGCAGAAGGGCTATCTGTCGACATGTCTAAATGTGATCTACCAGGTGCTAGCTTTGTATTGATCTTGGGGTCAGGTTGGTTTCGAGACTCGTTATTGACTTCACGCTCCCGTTTTGGAGTATCTTGCGCTTGAGGCTGTTGGCGCATTTGTAGGCGTCTCTTCATGGCTTCAGCAGCTATTCCAGCTGCAACTCTTGAATCACTTTGAGGTCCTGAGGATGGTCCCTTTCGTTGTTCTGCCTCATCCGATGATGGATCTCGACGACGGTCAGTGCCACGACGAATATTACGGTGCTCGTCCCGTTGTTCTGTCGGGTTGTTTGTTTTCAGGCGAGAGTATTCCTATTTATGATTTAAATTTAGTCAGTTTCGTGTCAAAGTGCGGTGTTGAGAACACCAAAAAGCGTCCTTGTATGCGCGTATCATCCTTAACGTCTCTAGCACCACTACGTACCACTTGAGCAGTAGGCTTCTTGCTACCCGACTGAGAATCGAGAGACAAGCGACGCTGCAGCCTATGTTCTACAGCGACTGTATCACCAGACACAGACATATTACCATCAACTGAATGACGGCGTCCTAACGTATCTGCATCAGCAACATCTGAGCGGACATCTGCGGATGGCGCCCGAGCTCCTCGTGGGTATGGTGGACTGCCTCGTCGAAGCTGTTGCTGAGGGCGCTGTTGCGGCTGTTGCTGTTCTGCTGCAGCTTGAGACTGTTGCTGTTGTGGTCGATTATTGTTATTAGGTCGAGTAGGATTACGCCCAATAGGGGCTTGCTCACTAGCTCCAAATCTGTCATCTCGAGCTGGATCACGACGTTCATTTCGAGACTCGTTCCGTTGAATGCGTTCACGGGGCTGGTCGATACGATCTTCTTGCGGCGGTGGTCTTCTTTCGTTGCGTTCTATCCGTTCTTCTTGCGGCGGGCGTCTCATGCCTTCCAACCGTGAATTCGGACCAGTAGGCGATAGTGGTCGCTATTCAAAAGATACGTTTAGCGTCAAGTTCAAGCATTTTGTCGGAGATAAGAAACAGGTCATTTGAAGAACACAATTTTGTACCGATGGTGGAGTAGGTAGTCTCTGTGGGTTCTGCAAACAATTAAAAAGCCATTTTAATAATCTCATCTTGTTGGTACCGTTGTATCAAGAAACTTACTCGATCAAGACTTCCAATTCTACCAGGCGGTGATCGTCTCCCTGATGCCGGAGGCCCTCGAAACGTATCATCAACCTGAGAGTCCAATGAAAGTCTACGAGCCGTTCGCCGCTCATCGTCATCAGCTGGGCTCAAAGGTCTACCAGATGGATCTGCGCCACGTCTACGATCAACAGGACCTTGCCGTTGCCGGTCATCGTAATCTCTTGGCCTTTGTGCACCAGGACCTTCACGTCTACGTTCTTGCGGTGGGCCATTGTTGCCTCTTGGAGGACCATTGGGTCTACGTTCTCTAGGTGGGCCATTAGGATTACTATTTTCTGGCGTTCTTCTTCCTGCTTGGGGCCCAGCTCCAAGAGGCCTTCGATCTTCGGTAGGCCGTGGTCGACTTGCTCCTCTCGTTGCCATTTAATGCGTGCTATAAAACCGTGCTGTTTTAGTGCATTCGCTTATTAGATTACAACCCCGAAAGCTTACCTTTTACTAGCAATACATGTAGCAAGTCAACCGATGAAAATCTATAAGGTGCGACTGCCGATAGCTCTTGGGCCTCAACGCTTTCTTTTCTTCGTGAATCACGGAGCAAAAAAATAAAGGTGTGTTTCTAGGTGAACCGCAAGAATCGTGAGGCTGGGTTTTCGAAGACCGCAAAACAGAAACTGCTTGGCAAGCTGAATCACGAACGTCTGAGTTTTTCAGACAACTACCGCGTAAATCTCATTCTTTACTGCTACGTCCCTGTGACACTCTCCAATCTAGAAGATTCAACATTTTCAACTTTATTTTAAAACTTTTGCTGCCAAGTGAGTTACAACCAACAATATTCTCTCCAGCATCATCTAATCAAGTACTGAAGAATTCAGCATGCTCATTTTGCAGAAACCAACCCCAATTGTGTCTAGTTCTGTATATACGCAATTCAGGATATTGCTCAACTCGAATACTGTATGGGGAGAGATAATTTTCAGTATTTCAAAAATTTGGAAGTTGTTTTTCCCGCGTTACCTCGAGTTATTATCAAAGAATCTGTATCTCATGACGTTGTCAAATATGTCCGGAATGACCAAATTGAACTTGTCATCAAACGTGGCCTTTACAAATAGACCCTCTTGCCAATGACGGAATCGGAACTTCCATTCGATTCCAGTCACTTCACCTGTAAAGAAAACACAGTGAGATCAATGCAATAACAAGAAATTACAGAGATCTAACCTACTTTTTGTAATACGGGTTCGTTTTGAGTCGAGTTCAGCAACAATATACGACGTCCTCCACTTCCCCGAATTGTTCTTGGATGGTACAGTTGGGCTGAATTGTGGCAGCGACTTTACAACAGCATCAGCCAGTTCACTCTTCTCAACCAGTCCAGCGACAGATACCTGTCTGCGTTTCAGCAAAGACTTCATTTCTTTTACAGAGAGGCTCTCCATCAAGTTTGTATAATCAACTCTAATATGCAAGTCCAAGTGATGATATAGCTTGTTCTTCCAGCGGCGTTCTACCAGCTTCATCCACAAAATATCATCGCTACAAAGAGATTGCTGTGTAATGAAGAGGCCAAATAAGTCAAAAGGCTTTATGTCAAGTCATACGGTCGGGATACTTACCCATCTCCGCGACACCCCATACAACTGCGACAGTTTCCTCGGCGAGTCGATAAATGACAGTACCCGTAACGCTAACTCCCAAGGCAGTGGATATGATAATGGATCGACTAAGGTAGTGGAGTTGCACCCTGAACTACCCTGGACCGGTGAGTGCTCTTCGGCAGAGGCCATGTTAAATGTGATGTGGATTTCGATTTTTGTTCTGATGTCTGGGGTTGACAATTCACACAGGCAACAGACGCCGGCGATTGGGATACCAAGGAATCTAATTGTTTTTCAACAGTTCCGGGTCCTTTGGAAGCTATCTAGTTGAGAACTGTAGCCGCTGATTAATAATTATGACGGAAGCTCGACGAAGCAGTCAAGGATGGTCAGTCTAGTCGTGTACCGGCGAGACTTACACCCAAATGCGATACAGTGAAAGTCCCGTGGCCTCTCCGTCAAATTTGCTTGGCAAAGGTGGTTCAAGTAGTTCTTGTGTTGTTGATGTGTTGGCAAACTTTCGCAACTTCGCAACTCACTCGTTCCAAGACGATGTGACCTGACTTAATATTACTACATATAATGCGCCAATCTACAATACAAATGCAATTATGTAAAGGACGTGTTTCTATCTATGAAGTGACCATTGTTTACGCTGTCTAATCAGCCCATCTGGTTTTGTTGCCTCACCTCCAACTCGGATGCTCTTTCTTACACGAGACTGTAGCTTCCTCAGAATCCGTTCCGTCTCTTCCAAAGTCTTTTCAGGGAATGTTTCAGACTGGATCTTTCTTACTAAATCGGTATGGTCTTTAAACCGTTCCAACCCCAGCCGAGCTCGTTCCACATCCTTGTCTGATACCCGAGAGAACTTCATTGCTCTAAACTTTAATCTCAGCCACCTCTCTCTAACTTGTTGTGGCGACCGATCCTTTAAATTACGGGAAATGAGGGCAAACTTGAGCCCAAGTTCACCCACCATTTTAATAACGACCTGATCTTCAGCAGCAGACCATACTGTTCGTCGACCACCTGGATATCTCAATTTATCATCATACCGTCTCATGAGCGACATGGGACATCGGTTTAGACTGTATTTCGTGTTTATGTCACTCCATCTACGACCGTGAGCTTTTACACCTTCTATTAGGGCAGCATCTTCCTCGGGAGTGAATCTACCTCGTTTTATATCTGGATTTAGGATGTACCTCCAACGCCAGTATATGGATCCGGTAGTTCTATGTGGCAAGTATTTGGATTTGATGATGTTGTAACTGGCTTTAGTGATATTGTCTCCTTGTAGTGCCAGTTTAGCTTTACGAAGTAGTTCATCTTCTTCAGCAGTCCACATCAATCTAGGTCGATAGTACAGGAAACTACTTGTTGACAATGTTGTGTTTTCTTGGTCCTCTTTGAGAGCAGAAGAAGGCAGACTACTAGCACCACTACTATATAGACGGCGATCACATAGCGCGTATCCTCGGACGGCACATCTCAACAACGGAAACAACTTCATTGATCGATCTCGCTAACGTTTGAAAGAAAATTCAATGAGTGAAGGGAAGTTGAAGAGTGACAAACTTTCACCAGGTATGGCAATAGCACATTTAAACATGATTTTATCGTGACTTTCGTATGGAAATTCTGATTCGGGCCTTCTTGTTTTGTCTTCATAGCGACAAAAATGGCAACAAACCTTAACGACGTCCTGCAGTACTCGAATGCACCTGCCCTTGTGATTCCAAAAGCGTATTCGCCTACTCAGGACGCACTCAGACTATCGTATTCTCATTTACGAAGTGCAATATCTCAATTGTCAAACCAGTCGCCATTCACTCATTTGACGCAGGTGAGGTTTATCGGGTACACTCTAAATACGAACTGCAGAACCTAAATTATGGTTTATTAACGTTCATGCAATCGATATTTGCTAGGGTGATCGTGTAGCTTTCTTGATTCCAAACGGTCTTGAATTCGTGGTGACATTCTTTGCCATTACTGCTACACGCGCTGCAGCGGCTCCTCTCAACCCCGGATATACAGGAGATGAAATCAAGTTCTATTTTGAAGACATTCAACCTAAATTTGTGATTGTTTTGCGAGGGTATGAAAATGTGGAACGTGTTGTCAGGACAGCAAACGATATGCATGTACCTGTTATGGAAGTGTGGGCTGAGATCAAGGGTGGTCTTCCCCTTGTAAATGTCCATTGGTTGAAGCCAATGCCGAATGCGGCCATTCCTGCATTCTTGGCACAAAACGCACCTGCACGAGGCGTCCCGGTTGGTAGTGACACTGCATTGTTTCTCCAGTGTGTGCCTTTACTGTTCTCCAGTATTCTTCGAAGTCATCAAGCTCGATACATTGCTCACACAATTGTCGCATCCCCTATAGCACTTCTGGGACTACGTCAAGACCTAAAGGTGTACCACTGTCACATTTAAACATTCTGACATCGCTACGAAACATATCAAACACATACAGCCTTGCTCCAACAGACATCACATATATCGTGATGCCGCTCTTCCATGTCCATGGACTGTTAGGTGCACTTTTCTCAACTCTTTTTTCTGGCGGATCGGCTGTCGTTCCACCTAAATTCTCTGTAACGTCTTTTTGGCAAGAATTTTTGGATCATGACTCTACTTGGTATTCTGCTGTTCCAACTATTCATCAGGTACGTCCTGGTACTGGTGTATTTGTCAGCTCAACGAATCGCTCAATCCTAACTCAAAACGTAGATGTTGCTGTCTCGTGTCAAAGACACTTTCCCAAACAAGACCGGACGTCTCCGGTTTATAAGAAGCTGTTCGGCTAGTCTTGCTCCTGCTACACTGCAACAGCTCGAAACTGTATTCAAAGTTCCTGTGGTAAGTTGTTTAAGAAGAACATATTTCTGATTATTCAGAGGGTCCATCCAGCTCATCTGGCTCAAAGAACTAAATGCCTCAAAAAGGTTACGATTCCGGCTGTCTGACGTTCCTTTTGTTATTGCGACATAGGTCGAGGCATATGCGATGACTGAAGCAGCTCACCAGATGACTTCCAACTTTCTGCCCCCTGGTCTGAGAAAGCCTGGAAGTGTGAGTATGAGTATAAAATTATTTGGATTCTGTGATGTGGTAATAATAGGTATACGTCCTGCTAGGTTGGCAAGGGACGCGGTGTTGAAATTGTGATTATGGACGAGCAAGGCAAACTCGTGCCTCAAGGAAGTCCCGGAGAGGTTTGCATCCGTGGTGCCAATGTCATTACTGGTATGACAATTGAAACCATGAACGAATTGTGGCGTCTCACACAGATTCCTTTCTGCTAGCCTATCACAACAATCCTACAGCAACTGCAACAGCCTTCCATCCAGATCCCAAAAAGGTCAATGACTCTGCCAAGAAGTATTTTAGGACTGGAGATTTGGGATATGAGGTGAGTAACCCGCGAAACATCTGAAGATTTGCAAACGACACCTTCTTGACAAGAGTTTGTTAGGACGAGTCTGGTTTCGTCTTTTTAGTGGGTCGAAGCAAGGAGCAAATCAATCGTGGCGGTGAAAAGATATCTCCCCTTGAGATTGATAATATATTGCTCTCTCATCCGGAAGTCAATGAAGCTGTCGCGTTTCCGGTTCCGTCAGAGATGTATGGACAGGAGATTGAGGCTGCGGTTGTGTTGAAGAGTCAAGTCACTGAGGATGCTTTAAAGCAATTTGTGTCTTCAAAACTGTCGAAATTCAAGGTTCCCAAGAAGATTCATTTTGTCACTAGTGTAGGTTTGGTTGTTTTGGTGGTACTAAAGAATCTGAAAGACTCGTACTCATCAGATGCTGTTTCTAAATAGATTCCGAAAGGTCCTACTGGAAAGATCCAGCGTAATATGCTTGGCTCACTTATGGCCAAGCTTTGAACACATGTTTGTAAAGTAACCTACCAATAAACTTACGGCGAAAACAAACCGTGCTAGTTTCCGCGCGTTTCGGTTTTGAGTGATGATTGAAACTGTAGCGAAAGTTCTTGAAGAAATTGCCTACTCGGACGTTGGTTGTTTCTTTTTTCTCTTGTGTTTTGTTCAACACACGAAAACAACGAGAGATACTTATTCGATCGCCCACGTTTAAGAGCGTCGAGATGGATAGACCAGGCCAATACGCTGGCACGCCGTCCAACTATCACTCGCAACAGGGTCCTCCTTCTTCACCATCCGACGACGGTTCACTACATTCGAACGATGAGCAAGGCCGAGCAGCAACATTGAGGAGAGCATATAAACCAATGCCCAAGATACCAAATCAATCATCAGACTCTGGATTCTATACTAGACCGCCGCCACCTTCACGTGGAGCAAGTAATAGCCAGCGACCAAACAGGGTCAACAAGCAACTATGGAGCAATGTAGCGGACGAAGACACCAGAACTGGAGTAGCTCCTGTAGATACTTTAATTCCAATGACAATGGCTGGATCTTCGTCGACGGGAATGCAAAGAAGCTTGACAAGTACTAGTGCACTGCCTACCACGATTATAAACAACACAGCAACAACCAACCCGTACATAACACCTGCACCATCACCGCCAGTTTCGTCTTCGTCTCCGGTAATAGGGTACAAGACTGCCTCGGATCCTGGTACTGTTCAGGCCGGTACTCCATCAAGGTTACGAGCTTGGATGGCCGAGACTCTGACGGCCGAAAAGCTAGATGCGTTAGCAGATCTGCCTTCCAGTGCTAGTACCGCTCCAAGTGACAAGGTAGTCGTAAACAAGAACGTGCCACCTCCAGCAACCGGTACAACACGCGGCATACGAAACTTGGCTCTATTGAATGGTGATATTCCACCACAATCCCAACAACAACAATTCCAACAAAAAGGCCGATCAACGTCTGTGCCGGTTTACAGAGCCCAAAAGGACTACTCGGTACCATCACCAACAGAAGATCGTAACAATATCGCAGCTAAATCAAGTGCCAAAGTGCATCGTCGTCCAACCACCAATACCATACGAAAGGGACTGCAGCTCATAGCACCTAAAGATGACTCTGATGATGGATCAGCGTATATGGATGATGGAGATGGTGGTTACGACGGTATACAGTTGTCTTGGAGGAACTTGAATTATGTTGTCGATACTGATGCTGGAAAGAAACAAGTCTTGTTTGATTTGAATGGACAGGCTAAGCCTGGTGAATTGTTGGCTATCCTCGGTGGTTCTGGTGCTGGAAGTACGTCGCAAATCTGTGCTTGTCGGTTTTTTTGTGCTGGTATCCACCACTCATGCTTTTTTGTAGAATCGTCTCTTATGGACGTGTTGAGTGGAAGAGCTACTAGCGGTCGCGCTACTGGTGATATTCGATTCAACAACTACACATCAGAATCGGGTTGGCGTCAAAAAATTGCTTATGTTCAACAAGACGACATCTTCTATGAAATGCTGACTGTGAGGGAAACGCTGGTGAGTGTTCATGCAAACTTGTACTTCTACTTCTTTTTTCGCTGATTCTGTTGCTTTCGTTTGCATGAAACAGCGGTACGCAGCCCTCCTGAAACTCCCAGATACCATGACGTACAAGGACAAGATGCGAAGAGTGGACAAAGTCGTATCAGAAACCCGTCTCACAGATTGTCTCGATACCAAAGTGGGCGATGCCGTGTTTCGTGGTATATCAGGTGGTGAAAAGAAGCGTCTCCATATTGCCCTCGAACTTTTGAATGAACCTAGTATTTTGATATTGGATGAACCTACTGTAAGTTGATATCTCTCGTCGATTAGTGACAAGAGTTGGTACTGCAGTTTCTCCAATTTTTTTGTTTCACCTTAGTCTGGGTTGGACGCCTTCAACGCCCACAATGTTATTGAGGCTATTCGAACAACAGCGGTGGAAAACAATCGAACTGTTATGATATCCATTCATCAACCTCGAAAAGAGATTTTGGACTTGTTTGATCGTATTATGATTCTTGCGGCTGGAAGGGTCTTGTTTTATGGAAGTCTAGATAGTAAGCCCAAAAAACTGTTATTTGGCGTTACGAAATGAATTGACTCTTATATATGTCACTTAGCTGCACTACCATACTTTTCACATGTGGGATTCGCTGTGCCATTATTCATGAACCCCGCTGACCACTTCCTCGTAAGCGATAATACACTTGTTACGTGCTGTGATTTTTTTCTTTGACACATTTGCAACACACATTACATAGGACGTTTCAACAATCGACTCCTCATCCCCCCGAAACCGTGAAATGTCTGTCGCTCGTATAAGCGGTCTCACATCTCTATGGCGAGCCCAATTCGACTCGATTGCCTTCCCACCCTACGCCGGTCTCCCCGATCGTCTTCGATCAAAGAAATCAGGTGTCCTCTCATTCAATTCCTCATCAGCTGATGCAGCAACACAATTGCAAAAAGATGCTCATGAGACACAAGATGTGAAACTTCCAGAGCTATCAATGTTTGGATGGCTGAAACGGGCTGAATTGTTGACGTCGCGTCAGCTGTCAGTGTTTTATAGGGATATTGGATTGATGATTATGACTCCGATATCTAACACGGCCAGTGTCTTGTAAGTTGCCCCCGCCCTCGAGAAAAGTACAACATGTGCAGAAGCACCAACCTCTCTTTTTTTTGCAATCCTCATTTTAGGCTCTTTTTCGCAATGTGGAGATTCTTGCCTCTAACTCAAAACGGAGCTCAAGCTCGACTGGGCCTCATGTTTTACTTTTCAGTGGATCGTTACATGACGTGGGTGAATAGTGTTGCTATTGCAGTGCCGTTGCGACTGGCTCTGTTCACGAGGGAACGGACGTCTGGAATGTATACCGGGCAAATGTTGTTTTGGGCAATTGTAAGTACACATCGTCTGATCAGCGGTATCAATCGAAATATCTCAATTTTTGTGTCAATAGTACATCGGCGGTTTCGTACAGGCACTGCATCAGTTCATTATAGTCGGTCCTGCCATCTACTTGCTGTGAGTAACTAGTTTAGACGTCGCTGTGTGTTTTTAACCAGAAAGTCTAATCATAATCAAACATCTCAGGACTGGTTGTCAAAGAGTCTGGTCGAAATTCTGGATCTTCTTTGCAATCTACGTATTGATTTGCATAGCTGGTCATGCACATGGATTCTTTTTTGGCGCCATGTCGCGGAATATGGCGTTTGTGTTGACGTTCGCTATTCTTCATCTTGGAAGTATGTTTAATCCTTCGTCTCTCTTTTTTGCTGGTTAAAGACAGACAGAAATTTTATTAAAACAACATTTTTTAGTTTACGCCGCGTATGCTGGATATGTCATTGACCCGTCATCGATACCGAAGCCTCTGATTTGGATTTCGTACATTGCGCCGCCGTTCTGGACGTATACAGCTTGGTACGAGGAGTAAAACAATTGACGCGATGCCTGTAAACTTGATGCTCATTTATCATTTGTCAAATCAACTAGGTCTCAAAACGAGTTAACCGGACTTGTTTTGACATGCTCTCCAACAGACACACGTTGTCTACCAACTGGTGAAGTGCTGCTAGACATATTATCCCTTCGGACCATTTCAGTTGGAGCAACTGTAGGAGCCTTGATTGCCATCACGGTAATTGTCTCGATAATGGCCAGCTTCATATTTGACAAGACGACACGACCTCCGTGGGCTAATGCTGTCGCTGTGCTGAGAGAGGATGAAATCATGGATACTGTTAAGCGACGTGGGACGATAAATCGACAGTGATTGAGAGGGTGGGACATGTATTTATTGCAAAGAAAGGACTGTACTAGTAAAAGATTATCTAAGCACATCGGCGTGATATAATTATTTTTGGATTCCTCTTGGCTCAATAGAGACCTGTTCTAAATTTACAATAGTTGTGATGCGTCTGTTTCTTCCTCTTCTCCATTTGCAGTATCCGTGAGATCAACCAGCATGTTATCGTATTCTGAGAGGGCAGCTTGTTCTCGCCATCCACCTCGTCGTCGTGTAGTGGCGCTGGTGCTCGTTGGACTGGTACGTTCACTGATACTCTGTTCAGCACGGGTAATAGCCTCCATAAGCACTCTCAATATCTGTTCCTCAACATGGTCTGTAGAAGCACGTCGTTGTCCTCGTGTCGTCAATGCCATTGGACTTGCGTTGTCTCGCTCCCTTGTCGATCCAGAGGATGTCATGTTGGCTCGTCCGGTAGGTAAACCACCCATAGACCCGATATTCGTTGCAAATGTAGCATCGCTCCAATATCGTGGTCGGCCATGTGCTGACGCAGGTCGTGATGACGAGGCTATCCGTGTGCTCGTTGTATCCGTTTCTGACCACGAGTCGATTGGTTCGTCGTCGTCTACTTGCATGCTGTAATGTGACGCGTATGTTTCTTCTGGTTGTAGGTCGTCCATTGGTTGGTAGTTGTGGGTATGGAAGGGTGCTACCTGGTGCCTTTGACGAGAAGGTGCAGATCCTATTCCACGTCCTGCAATGACTAAATCTCGTGACAGACTTAGACCGCCTGTGTTCATTGACGCTAAATCCTGATGGGCTGATACAAAGTCCTTTTCTATGTCACTCTGAGTCCTTGGAACGACATCTGCAGACATGAACCTGAGTATGAAGTCATCGCGCTCACTGGACGTGCACGATGAGTAAAGAATGTCCGCTGTGGCAGTCTTTGCTTCCAATGGCATGTCTTTGAATAGTAGGGAGAGGACTGTAGTCTATGCTTTAAAACTGTGTCAGATGAGGCTGAAATACTACTGACATGGCGTTTATGTGACCTGGACGGTCGACCGAAACGATTGTCACGATTCTTACCAGCTCGGACGTTTCAATGGTACGCAGCCCTCTCAGCGTCCCGGCAATACTAGTGTAGCGCAACGGTGCCGCTTCCGCTTCTGTTTGTTGTCCCATTTGCAGTTGAAATTGTGAAAAAAAGTGGTTGGAAAAGTTGAATGGTGATTTTAGCGCAGTCAAGTAAGACCACAAGATAGAGTTGTTTGAATCAGGTTTTGACTCTGAATCCAGACATTGTGAAGCTGAAGAAAAGTCCGTAGAGAGACGTGATGTTGTTAGTCTACCATCAGATATGGGGTGGGTCTACTATACTTTTTGAATCTAAGCTTTTGGAGTCGTTCTTACTTGATCTGTCGGTTCCATGGCAGATAAACTAGATGGCTACCAGAGCCAAGCTTGTTACGTCCACTGAGACCTATATGCTCTTGATCCTATAGGTGTAGGATGTCAGCAGCAGCGCGACAGAGTGGAAACCCCGAAGGAAACTCGAGTTTGAATGCGAGGACATGTGAGGCTGATTCTTGACGCGTCTAGACAGGAAATTCGCTTCATTTGAATAGTATTGACATAAAGAGGTAATTGGATTCACGTGCATATGTCTCCGCCGGTGCAAAATTACAACTCTGATTCTTAAAAGTTGGTTTGCAGAGTGAATTGAATTTTGGTTATTTCTTCCTAAATTATGAGCAGGAAGCCAGCTCTGAAGGGCCTCACGAGTAGCTCTACAGGAACTGGTCGCCATATCACCGACTTTTTCAGTAAACCAACGCTCGCACCACCACAATCGAGCAGCACTGCGACATTGCCTATACCCTCCCTTCCAGGCTCAAGTAGCAATGCCAATATGGATCAAGAAGCTGCTATATTCAAGACATTAAAGAAGGGTAAGGTCTCCTACCGCTTCATGTACATCAGCATCTGCATGTTTTTAGCAACATTACATAGATCTGACCAATTCACATCATCCTAGTCTTCAAACTGAAAGAGTTTCGGGGAGCCCAGCTCAATATTGTCAAGGCTACGTTGGCTAAACGAGATGTCTTTGTTCTCATGGCCACTGGAGGTGGTAAATCCCTCACATTTCAACTGCCTGCTATGTTGGACACGGGAGTCACGCTAGTAGTGTCGCCACTGATATGTATGACCCATTATTATACGCACTTTTCTATTCGATCGCACCAGACTAACCAAATCCTCGTCTCTTAGCGCTGATTGTAAGTTTTCACACATCATGCTTTTACAGAAGAGGCATGCGAGACTGAACCAGATCACATTATAGCAAAATCAAGTGAATGCTTTGAAAGCCATTGGTGTCGCGTGCTCGGCTCTGAACTCCTCGCTCAAGGAATCAGAAAGGAAGGCAGTGTATTCTGATCTGTCTATGCAGAAACCACGTGTCAAGCTCCTATACGTCACTCCCGAGCTGATGGCCACTGATGGATTCAGAGCAACGGTGATGAAACTCTACAAGGCTGGCAACCTGGCTAGATTAGTCGTCGATGAGGTACATTCTCGACAGGTCTTTCTTTTTAAGCTTTGATGTCGTCTTCTGATCGCCTCGTTATATAGGCTCATTGTATCAGCCAATGGGGACACGACTTTAGATCTCAGTATCGTAGATTAAATTATTTCAAAGATACTTTTCCGACCTTGCCTGTTATGGCATTGACTGCATCAGCAACCGATGAGTATGTGTGGACGAAGAAGTAGAATCAAAGAACCACTGTTGCTATGATCGTCTCACACGTCTCTGTTGTAGAGTCCAAAAGGATATCATACAGCAGTTGCATCTCAAAGACCCCTACATGGTCAAATCGACCTTCAATCGACCCAACCTCCATTACGAAGTCCGTTTCAAGCCAGTCAACAATGATCCTTTCGATGACATTCTCCAAATGTTGCAGCAGCAATATAATTGGCGAGAGGATCGTTTGAAAAAGACAGGACTTGATGAGAGGCCTAGTGCTCTCTGTGGTATAATATACTGTGCTACCAGAAAAGGTTGTGAACAGCTAGCTGAACGACTGTCAGAGAAGAATGTCAATGCCAAGGCATATCACGGTGGGATGGCAGCCAAATCTCGTACCCAAATTCTCCAAGATTGGATTAATACAACAGCCAGGGTTGATCAGAAAGGAGACAAGGTCGATATTGTATGTGCCACTATCTCATTTGGTATGGGTATTGATCGGCCTGATGTTCGATTCGTCATACATCATGATATGCCAAAGAGTTTGGAAGGCTATTACCAAGAGTCTGGTCGAGCTGGTCGAGATGGTGAATTGTCTCGCTGTATAGTGTAATCCAAACAATCGGCATTTTATATTTCAGATGCACCTTTAGTGACTTGTTTTTATATTCTTTTTTCATGCCCCAGCTATTACTCTCGCGAAGACCGAGACAAGGCCTTGTTCTTACTGCAGGCTGGAAAATATGGCGACTCTGGCTATGGTGATTCTGGAAATGGAAGTGAAGACAAAGTAGATGGAATCCAAAGTTTGCACTCCTTCAATCAAATGGCTGCGTTTTGTGAAGATGTTGCTCAGTGTCGGCATGCCTTTATCGTCAAGGCAAGTACCTGCATAATGAATCGTAGATACTCATGCTTGCTAACGAGTGAAAGGTCTATAGTACTTTGGTGAAGAAGTCCCCTCAACGGCAGAAGGAATTGAAAAGTTATGTGGCAACCAGTGTGATGTTTGCAAGGATCCCGTCAAGGTGCAAAAGGCGTTCAAACAAGCATATCCAGTCGATGATGATGAGAAAAGGCCATACAAGAGGGATCTTGATGAAGGGTAAGAATCAGTGACAAATTTGAAGTGAGGAAAAAATAGGAATTCAAGTGTATAAACTCCCGTTTTCTAGCGTGTTTCGCATGGTTGATGGATCACTGGCTCGTAAACGCCCAGGTCCTGATGATGACGGAGGTTCTGGATATGGCCGTTACAATAATGGGAAGCATCCCAGGACTCGAGCAGAGGATGTGGAAGACTTTGACGACATAGATCCCGACGATCGTCCATCCGCAGGTGGCTTCTCGTCTAGCAATACTACTATGAGTGGTTTTGTTAGTGCCAGGAGTCTCAAACCTCAGACCACGATGGAAATAATAGCAGCGAAAAAGTCGATCTTTGGTATGCAGTCTGCATTATTCATCTTTTTCAGACAGAGTCATACACTGTCATTTTCTTATACCTTTCATTAAGGAAAAGGTCATCTCGTCACGAAACCAACCACCTTGGGCAAATCGCAAAAACACCATCAAATTATTGAACATCCATCACACGCCGCTATCAACATCACCTTGGAACTTCGAGAACGTGCTTATGAAAAGCTCGTTGAAGCGATGACAAAGGCCTATCCCATAACGAATGACAAATTCTGGGAGCCTGTAGGATCGAATCTTCGAATGTATGTGGAGAAGCTTTCATGTCTTTTTCTAACATTAAAAATCCGGACTGAATCGACTTCTTTCTTGATCTAGAGCTGTGCTAGAGTCAGCTTCTGCTTCTATCGAATCTCGATGCTATACCACATCAAACAACTCCAACATGTACAAATCAGCGTATACGAACAGGTTACTCGCAGCAAACCGTTTGCAACAGGGACAAGATAGTCCCAATAACCAGCCTCTGATACAAGCAGTAGAAGAAGCAAAGAAACGTGTCATGTCATAGTGATTTGTCCATATCATGTGTACTTATTGGTATCTATATTAAAGGAAGATTTATTGCACTATTACGACATGAAGTTGCTTCAAACCGACATGTTATTGCGAATGTTAAGAAAATGAAGGATTGCTTCTAAAATTATATGAATGAAAATTGATTGCTACGCTGACGATAATAATAGTAATGGTGATAACGATAAAGTTGATAAACGACAACGAATTCAGATGCCTTTGTTGTGGCAGATCATTTTGCTGTAGCCGCCTCAACACGCTTCTCAATTCGTTGCACTGCCTCACGCAGCGCAGTGAGCTCTCTCAGCATGGCAGCGCTCCCCGCAGGCTGGGAGTTTATGGTCCTGATTTGAAGAAATTAGTATCAGTACGCGTTTGAACGGGACAAGACTTACGAGTCAACACCACCCCCAGCAGCCAGACCTGCTCCTCCGTGCACAACAGCGTCTCGCATCCGTATAATGTGCTGTCTAGCTCCCTGAGCGTCTTTGACGGCAATGAGGTATGCCTCTGGGCTGAAACCAAGCCAATTAGATAACACACACTGACAGCAGTGGTTGAGCAAACTCACCCTTGACTTCCGGATCCAGCGGTTTGAATCGCGATATTCTGAACGCCGTAACAGGCTGCGAGCCACCCTTGCACGATATTAACGTCCTGCACTCTGTCAAGTGGGATCCACTTGTCGTCCTTGTTCATCCAACCAGAGAGTGCATGGATGCGTCGCTCGTCGACGACACAGTGTTGTCTAAAAATGGAGTGAATTTGAGATTTTATTGACGCTTTCAAAGCGAGACTCTTCATACCCTTCCATGTTCTTTCTCGCCCACCACGGTAGACTAGGTGCGAGCCAAATGTGTGAGTGATTTTTGGCAATACACGTCAATACAGGTGGACGATGGAAGGAAATTGAATGAAAGGAATATATTCTTTGTTCATACCATGGCCAGACAACAAACCCAAGACCAGAGGTAGCCAAACAAGACATGATTGATGCACTGCAACATCGATAATTTGAACCCTTCCTTATATCGAATTCAACATTGTAGGTGTTCATATCTGCCATTGGCAGGATTTGGTTACTCATTTATGTGCCTGGTGTATCTGAATAATTCGCTTAAGTACTAGCTTTTCGTTTTAAATGGAGACCTATTAGCGTGACACGCGACACAGCCACGAACAAACAGACTTGTAAGACTCGAGGGGATCCTAGTCATGATATCTTGCTCTTTGATCAGTTTATCGTAACGCGGTTAGAATCAGTGCCGTGTCTTTTCTATGTTTGGACCTTGCGTCAATCTTCAATGTCGGAGATATCCACTTTCAGGACTGAAGCCACTCTGCCTACTGCATGTACTTGCAGCGCGGCATCATCAATGGAGTTTCTGTCTTGGCCAGCAGCGCAACCCCCATAAAAACCGGGGGACCAGTTTCATTTCGAATAGTTTAGCTTATCAACGGGCTCAAAGGTTCGTTAACAAAATGTCGCTGTGGCAAAAGTGAATAGTAGAGCAAGAATGAGATATGTACTTCCAGGAGCCAGTTTTGTTTCACTGAGCAAACCTCAGATCGGAGTGGTAAACCAACTTTCCCATGTATTCCTGATAACGCTGTTAAGCCCACACACATGGTGCTTGACATTCGCCAATATTTCAATTTATCCTGTGCACAGCATTCACAATGGTATCAAGCAATTGTACATATTGCACGTTTTTTCAGATCTCATTCTTGTTACGAGATTTTGCAGATGTAGTGGGAATCCTCGGTGGTTTTATCAGTGTTACTATGGCATTCGTACTGACTCGACCTATTCGGCAACATCGATTCATTTTTTTTTGACTTTGTTGACATTCTACAAGACTACAAGTAACAGTAACAAAAATTATAACTGAAAACAAAGATCACAAACAATTGAACGTTATCTGCATCACTTTGCGCGAGGCTTGAAACGGAATTGCAAGCCAGGCTTGTATCCAGTTAGAGAAACCGTGGTACGGGCGAGATCTTGGCCTTCCGGTAGCTCAATATCAAAGCTAGAACAAGAAAGATGGGTGTTGAGCCCTTGAACAATCAATAATCAATAGCATAGGCAGTAACTCACCTCTGCAAGAGCAAAGCAGCAACTGTACGACTCTCAAGATTTGCAAGACGTTGGCCAATACAATTGGCAATACCATCGCCGAATGGCACGTAGCTACCAGGAACTGGCATAAAGTCGCTTTCCCAACGTTCAGGCCAGAACTTGTCTGGGTGGTGCCAGTATTCTGGATTGCGATGAATGGCTCCAGTGTTGATTGAGATGGATTGGCCGGGGTATACTTGGTAGCCACACAGCGTAGTAGGTGCCACTGGTGTTCGAGCTTGGACAGCAAGAGCGACAGGAAGTAGACGCATGACTTCCTTTACGGCACAGTCCAAGAATCTAAACGGGAAACGAAACTCGTAAGAATAAGGTCATCTAATCAGGTAAGACCAACTGCTCTTGTCACAGGAATTATCTACTTGAGTTGTGGCAACATTTCCTGGGTGAATACACCCTTAGCTCCGATAACAGCATCAATTTCGGCCTGTAGCTTCTTGACCACATCTGGATGGTCTGCAAGCTGGACGAAAAGGTTGGTCAAGGTCAAGGCCGTGGTATCGGAACCAGCAAGGAAGAACACAAAGGTTTCGTCTGCTATTTCTTCGTCATTGAAAACCTGATATTAAAACAATCGTTTTATGAGACTATAACTAACAACAAAGAATCGAAACACTAAGGATCATACCACACCAACACCTTTAGCTCCGACATTGCCAGCAAGGAGACGATCCATAACATCCCAATGAATAGTCTTTTCAAACTTTTCATTGACCGTTTTGGCGCTCATATCGATTGGAGCACCAATAGATTTGAGCATGAGCTTCTTTTTTTTCAATCAGGTTTGACAAGTAGCTGTGGAGGTCTACAGTCTTGCGATTGATGTCAGCTTTCGAAAGGCCAAACAAAGGCCACAGCATGGAAGGCACTGACAACCTCTACCAAGAAAAAAAAAGTTAGCTCGTGCACTTGGAGAATAAGTAGAGTGAACATGTACCTTCATGAGAGTTTTCACCACAGTATTCATTTGAGACTTGAGCAGCTGCCCTTCAGGAGTAGGATTGGCGGCAGATTCCACCATTCGAAGATCTTGGCTAAGAGCTACTTTTCCTATGACGTCGAGCGTGATGCAGTTCATGTTGTGCAGCAAGTTGCAATTTATGTCTCCCTTTTGAGATTTCCATTGCTCAATCAATTGTTTGGTTGACGTGACAGATTGAGAGAAGGCATGCCTCAAACGGCTAGGACTAGAATATGGAAATGTTGAAGGACAGTCAGAGAACCATATACATCACGACTTTCGAGCTGTAACTTGACAATACACTCACCCGAAAGCAGGTTGCAGAGCTTTTCGATGTAGCTTATGTTTGTCTCCATCCAATCCTATCAAACCGTTCTCCGCAATACCCTAAACACAGAATGAAGAAATGAGTTGACGAGTTAATCCAACGTTTAATGTCGTACTCTTCATTAATGCAATCAAAACTTACAGCAAAGTTTCGCGTATCTACCGTTTTCTCGAATTCCGAGGACAGAAGGATGCGCTTGGCCTGGACAAATTGTTATGGGTGAGCGAGTGTAGTTAAATCTTTTGACGATTAGGAAATAGCGAAGGAAGAGTAAGAAATAGAGATGCAGAATTATTTTCAATATATGGTATTATGAGACCAGGTTAGAATCTCGGTAATTACCTCGGCAGCGTCGTTCACCATAATACGTTCAGTTCCGACAACAAAGCGAGCAATCTTTCCATATTTTTCACCAACGAAGAGGAAATATTCGTGCACTAGATCTTTTCCTGCGTATTTGGCGATTTGAAGCATGTTTCCAATAATAGGATACACGTAGTCGCTAGGTATTTCTTTGGTTCTGCGTCGAGTGACGATGTACAACGTAGTTGCGAGTGCAACACCAACCACAGCGACAGCTGTTCCTTGTAAAACTTTGATATTCGACATTGGTAATCTGCTTTGGAACTGTCTTTGAGATTGTTGGGATGCGAGGAGAGATTCGTTTCATTTTATAGTCTCGTTAAGGCTACAAAACATGTCACATAACGCCTGAACGGGAAACGAGAACAAGATTAGACAGAATTCATTCTTCATTCAAGCTCCGGTGCTGAAGCTGAAGGTAGGAGGAGACGATGTTGGAAATTCGTTAGACCTTGCCTTGGACACACATTTTATTCGCTCAAAACGAATGGTACTTGAGAAGAAAACCTTGAGAGGTGCCAAGAATTAACAATTGCAGAGAAAAATTGAGCCATTTGAAAGAATTACAGTGCTTTGATTGAATTCACAGTGCTTTATCAATACAATTTGACAATGAAAGTATAGACATTGAAATGACTGCAATCAGTTTTCAATACGAGACTTGAATCGAAACAAGAGACCATCATTGTATCCAGTCAAGAGATGAGTGGTTCTAAAGACTTCCTGCCCTTCAACCAGTTCAACATCGAAGCTAGTAGTAAACAAGTAAGCACCTTCACCGAACCCCCTCAACTTGCAAACTTGCACCCAACTCACCTTTGCAAGAGCAAGGCAGCAACAGTACGACTTTCAATATTTGCCATACGTTGACCAATACAATTTGCAATTCCGTTTCCAAATGGTACGTAACTACCGGACACTGGAGTGAAGCCGTTTTCCCAACGTTCAGGCCAGAATTTATCTGGATCTTGCCAATATTCTGGGTTTCGTTGAATGGCACTAGTGTTTACGGCGATAGGCTGACCAGGGTTGATGGTATATCCACAGACAGTAGTAGGTACCAAGGGTGTTCGAAATTGAGTTTGGATTGCGACTGGGAAGAACCTCATGACTTCCTTCATGGTGCAGTCCAAGTATCTATAAGATGATGGCATGTGTTTATGAGAATCAATCTCAAGAATGGAGTAGAATCACGTGTATGTATCAACAATATGCTTACGTGAGTTGTTGCAAGATTTCTTGGGTGAGAACACCGTCCCGTCCAAGAACAGAGTCAATGTCATGCTGTAATTTCTTAAGTACATGAGGATGACTTGCAAGAAGAGCAAAGAGTGTCGTCAATGTCATAGCAGTGGTATCACTTCCTGCGAGAAAGAAAACGAAAACTTCGTCGCTAATCTGTTCAGGGGTAAAGACCTAACAATACCAATGTAACATGAGAGGTGTATCAAGAATGTTCGGTCAAACAGAAAGATAGTCCTACCACATCGACACCTTTTGCTCCAGCATTTCCAGCAATAAGACGATCAATTACATCCCAGTTGGTGGTAGTTTCAAACTTTTCGCTGTTTGACAAGACGCTCAAATCAATTTTCCCAGATAAGTCCAATGCAGCCCTCTTCTTTTGAATTATTGAAGCTAAGAAGTTACGGACTCCTTGAGTTTCATGTCTAGCATCAGCTCCCGTAAGATGGAGGAAAGGCCAGAGAAAGTGAGGTGCTGTGCGTCTCTATATAGTCAGAATCATTTTCATGAGATTATACTATGAAACCTGTGGTTTGATGAAAGCGACAGCTCATACCTTCATCTGCATGATTTTCAAGTTTTCCATTTCAGCTTTGATGACCAGTCCATTTTCAGAAGGTTGAGATAAAGATGCCACCATTCCTAGATCTTGGCCGAGCGCTACACGTCCGATTACATCCATTGTGATGGCGTTCATTGATGCCAACAGCTCGACAACAAAATCTCCCTTGTGAGACTTCCATTGTTCAATGAGTTGTGTAGTTGATTTCGATGATTGCAAGAAGGCATTCCTGAGATGAGCTGGCCTGAAAACAAATGAAAGAATTAGTCAAAGTGCATGTCACTAGGTTCTCGAGTTCCAACACATCGAGAAGCAGTCGTCATACCCAAATGCAGGTTGAAGAGCTTTTCGATGACGCTTGTGTACATCTCCATGCAATCCAATGAGACTGTTGTTGAATATACCATCAGTTGCAAGTCCTTGGTCAATCTTGTCCCATTCCGGAGATAGTAAGATGCGTGCAGACTAGAAATTGAAGCGAACATACTGCATCAGTTCAAAGGCTCAGCCTCAAGATTTCGTAGAGGGCATACCTCGGCTGCATCATTCAGCAAGATTCTCTCCGAAGACCCCACAACGAATCTTGCAATCTTTCCATACTTTGCGAGAGAGAGCATGTATTCGTGACTAGTAAGAGACAGTTAGGCAGATGAAAGGAACAATGCATACGAAATGAAATAATATTGCATAAATTTGCACTTACAATGAATTCTTCTCAGTATATTTTGAGAGTTGCGGCAAGTTTCCAACAAATGGGTAGATTATGTCGCTTGGAATCTGATTCTTTCTTCGACGTGAAAAGTATAGAGCGGCCAGAGCAGTGCCGACAACTGCAATAACTGTAACAGTTGCTGTAGCCTTGTTCATTTTGTTTTGTTGTTGCTCGATGTTGTTTGTGAAAGGAGTTTAATTTTGATGCTTTGTGATTTGCTTCAAGATAATTTTGTTGGAATTCTTGGAGTATAAGAAAGTTGTGGATCGCGATGCTGTTTTTTTATACACGCACGTCTGCCACGACGAAGTCATGCGTAATCTATACCCTTCCTTGTCAAACTTGCAAACGTTTAGCCTGGAGGTTTTCCCAGAGCACTGCCACTCTGTTGTCTAATATCATGTGTATGCATGTGCTGAGCCTCTAGAATGGAAACGATATTATTGCACTGCGTTTACATCAGGTGCAAGATTATGAATCATGCGTTAACCTGTCCAAACTGTTGCCAGCCGTTCGGATTTGCAGCAGCGTACAGCACTGATAAAGCGACTTCTAGAAAAATGAATAACAAAAATGAATAATAAAATATTCCATTATCGATTTGCAAACGCCTTTGATGGAAAATGACAATAAATTCATGAGTCGCGCATTCTCAAAGGTCACTCAATGAATTGAGGTCTACTGTAGTGACCTTGGTTCGTTGTCAATCGATGAAAAAACCATCTTCAAATTCTTAATGACAGATTTTATTTTGTTATTTGAAACAACTAAGAAACTTACAGACAAGAAAGCGAGCCAGCTTTACATTGGTGACATGATACATATTGACAATCTGATGAATGATGGCCTTTATATTTGAACATTCACATAACAAGACCACGAACCACGAGGCTTGAAACGGAACAGAAGACCACCTTTATAGCCAGTCAAAGTAGTTGAGGTCCTGACGACCTTTTGATACGGCATCCTTGTTTAACTTCGATTGATTGATGAGCTGTTTCGTCGATGACAGAGATTGCAAAAGAGCATTCCTAAGATGAGTAGGACTATGGTAGAGAGATGACGATCAGAAAGGATGTTGAAAAGCCATCACCGTTCATTTTCTGACGTTCAGATGAATAGACGAGGCTTTTGAGGAAGGCGCACTTCTTAACGTTGCTCGACTGTTCACCTACCCTCAGATAGAGCATATATCTATGACTGCCATAGTGCAGGATTGGTCAGCTTTGATGCATTCTGTGTGTTGATGAATGAGTGCCATCTCGTTTGGAATGCCTGTAGGCACGGCCCATTGCCACCACATGCTATATCACAAGCAAGTTGAGTTAACGTTTTTATGGGGGGTTACACAAGTCAAAACATCGAAGCTTCACTGGAATACTGTTCTTTCGTAGTTGCTTTATGCTGTCTGTCAGCTGGTGTCTTTTGGTGGATTTTGCCTAGAAAAGTGGGTAAATATCTGCGAGGACTCTTGCAAGTGCTGGCTTGACCTTCTGTTGTGTTGGATTACATTTATGTAGATGAGTCTAGTAGTCTTGTTAGTGAAGACGGTTCTAAATGACTTCTAACTCGAACTCACCACAATTATTGTTACTATTAGCACTTATTTAATTTTGTCTCCAGCATCTCACACACACACACACACACACACACACAAACTCTCATAATAACAAAAACGACATTTAAATCTACCACACGCCCACATCAATAACGACAATAACAACAAAGAACAATCACAATGATCTCATTCTTGTCAAATCGGTCGTCTCTCTCCCGTAACCTGTCCCATCAGCTATTGTAGTCAGTAGATAAACACCGCAACCCATTGTGAGTAGTAGTAGTAGTAGTAATCGGCAGCAACACCCTACGATTTACCACCGATTAAGCCAAGGATGTTATTGAAACGGTTGCAAGTCTTGCCTGGTCTGGTTGGCTCTACTACATATTACGACATCAACACCACATCGTCCACCACCATGTGAATCACAGAACAGTTATTGGTTGTCTTGGAATCCTTCTACAAAGCTCTAAACCTCAGGACTCTTTCTATGGCTGGTATAGGGGAAGTATCAGAATCTCTGGTTGATAAATAGGTCTTGATTATTTTTGCTGCTCGTCGCTCATGTCTGGTAGTATGGGCTTTCTACAGCGTCAGAAAACGAGGTCACCATGTACATAAACATTCAACAAATCACGTATAATGGCAGTAAATAGAATAACAATTTTGATCACGCAAATTGGATGTCACAAAGGCTTTCACCATGTAACGTTCACCCGGTATCGCAAAGGATCCATGAATATTAGAAATTGTGTCAGCTCCAGCGTCATCACAGCACCATTGCATCCGAGGTCACATTCGTCACGTGTCCATTTCCTGACACTTCTTTCCCTCATTTTGCTTTCGTTTGATTTCTCACCGCCACTAACTCAACCCACACACACCCAAGGAGAGGAACAGGCTCTACGAGAGGCCCAAGCTGTGATCTTGAGCTGCTCATGATGCTAGTATGTTCGTCTACTCCAGTAATGGTACCACGACAGGAGTACGGCATTGTGCGTGATTGATCAACCAACTTAGCGAAAAAAAATAATTAAGCCAGCCGAAACAAAGTCTAGTATCCCTGAGAGTGGCTGTTGGCACTATCTTTGGAACGAGAAGTGGGCTCTACAGAAAGCTTGACGTGCCTTGTTTGTATGCTGGCACATTCTCGTTTCGGAATGCTTCAACCAGAGAGAAGGCGTTATGATATGGAATATGTATACATAGCAGTACATGTGATCAAGCTTCCCGTTTCGAGACGCAAGTTAGTGGTTTTCATTCAGTAGCTCAGAGCGTCAAGTTGGTTTGCTCTAAGCGCAATTTCGCTGTCACGAATGGCAAACACTATAGAGTCGAGGGACGTTAGTATTTTTAAACCGACTGGATTTGCAACGTTAACCATTTAATGTATTGAGCAACAATAATTTATTGTCTTTTTTGGTATAAGCTGAGCGGTAAAATCAATCAACATCAATGGGTGATTCCTCCTCCTCCTCTTCATCATCACTATCTCTACCACGAGGGTGTTCTTCTCCTGCGTCACTCCAGTATTGCCATTGGCCTTCAATACTTTCTTGGCCCCATTCACCTTCCTCAGCTGTATGATGTTCTTCAGCCGTGGCCTCAGCTGCTGGCAATCGATTATCATCCTCGTCGTCTTGTTGGGTTGCTACTGGTGGCTGACCAAACAAGCCTAGTCTAGCTATAGTGTCACGGAAACCCTGTATAAATGCTTCACCCCCATTAGTTCCTTCTGGTGCATCAATACCTCCGTTCTGCTGCACTACATTGGGTTGTGGAAACAGACCAGGGAAACCTCCTGCAATACGATTTATGAGGCCATCGGCGTTGTGCTCTTCTTCGGGAGCTGCAGCACCTTCGTTACGATTCACCCATGGTAGAAGGTTTTGCAAGAAATTCGTCAGAGCATCTACTGAATTCACAGCAGCGGGTGCTTGAGCTGCTTCAGATGCACTGTCGTATATAGACTCTTCCATCGATATAGGTGGTAGTGGGTCGTGCGCAGATTGCGTGCCTGATATCGACGGCGGTACTCGTACATTATTGAAATCTGTAATCAAAGACATATTGGTCACTGCCATTTGCTTAAAATCCTAAACTAATGCCATAACCAACATACCAGTCACAAAGATGTGTCGATACATATCTAGTGACAAGCCTTCTGGGTACATGCTCTTCCATGACTCACGGCCTTCCGACAATGAATCGGGCCTAGAGAGTACAACTGAGCCTGCAGATCGTAACCACGACAACACCTGAGCGAATAAAAGGATGAGTAAGTTGTCAGAACGTTTCAGGTAACAACAAGAACTTGCCTCCGGTTCCTTCCACAAGGCATGACATCGCTCCACATATAAGTCACACAGGAGCTTCACGGCAGCTTCTGCGGTATTTTGACTATTACAAGACCACTTCAGTTCAAGGTGTTGGTGAAGCCAAAACGACTGACAAGTTCCGCACATACCCAATGCCAGCAGTGCAATGAAAGAAATCATTATCAGCAATTCGTGCGTCTGTGATGGTAGCCTTCTCATAAAGACCAGGCAAAACAAAAGGAAAGCTGGATATAGCTTGTTGAAGCATCGTTGAACTTTGAGAGTGGTCCTAAGAAGGAGCGAACGAAAAGAGGCAAAAGGGCAGATCAATATTGGTCACAATGTAAAGATAGAAGTGCTTTCACGTACTCCATTGGTTCCTTCTTTTGTATACTGAGCAAGCGCCATTGAATAAGCAAAGTTCGGCAGGTAGTTAAGATGCCTTTCTTGCTTCATTTGATCATACAATGACGAGAGCCAATCCAGCTCTTTAGCCTTCACGGCCATGAAATCAATCATGAGCAGAGCACCCAGTGGATCTGTGTGAGGATTGAGACTATTCCAACAAAAAAAATCAATTCCACATGAACTTGGAAGAATCACAAGTTGTTAAACCATCACAAACCTCAATAGCAGCTTATTGACTTCAAGTGCTGTTCTCCAGCATCCTTTCCTTGTGAGATATTGAACATGTCGAAACAAGGCAATGAAGAATGGTCTGGCAGGGAAAGAGGTCAGAATTTTCAGCATAAAAAATCTCGCTGACAGCATGAAGAATACCTGTTCTCGACCCGATCATAGGAAAGCCTACACGTTCCAAGAGCCATGTTGAACATGGAGTGGAATCGTCTCTCGAATGCAAACAAGACTTGTTCAACAAGCTCAGACGCTTGTGCAATGTCTCCATTATGCTTCAAGATTTCACTCAGCTGCAGAGCTGTATCGATATGATATGGATACCTGAATCGTAAAACAACAAAAATGTTAAGCTCCTGAACCAGCACGTCCATGAGACAGCAAGCTTACATTCGTAACAGTCCGGCAATATGCTCAGGATTATGCGTTCGTAGCACCTGTAAGAATTGATACTGTATGTCCGAGTATGCTCGAGAATGGGAGAATGTAAACCACATCTCTCCATCACTAGCTTCCAGATACTCCATCGACATGCCTCCGGTTTTGAATGGCGGCCAATGCTCCTTCGGTGTCGCGAGATACGTGCGCCTCATCGGAGCGGTTGCCACTGCTCGATGACCTGGACGCTGATGACGTTGAGGACGAGCATTGTCCTTGATGACTCGAGATCCAAAGATTCGTCGCATTTCGTGTTCTGGATCTAGATTACGTACAGATACGGAAAGGAGTTGAGCTAGGCGTTGCTGAGGTGTGACTATGAAGGAAGATGCTCCAGCTGTCGTTGTCGAGGCTACGGAGGACATTGAGGCAGACATAAAGTCCGGGGTAAACTCTTCGTATCTACAGCACAGAAAAGGCGTCAAATCATCATCATTCAGGCGCGTCAGATGATCATCGAAGAGGAAGCATACTTTTGTCCCAGTTCTCGTAGAGTTCTGTCGATATCGTCTTCTCCAGCCGTAACTGGACCGGCCTGCTTGCCCTTCTTGGTGTGTTGATCATTGGAATCGGGCTTTTTTCCCTTCTTTTTCTTCTTCTTGTTGCTTTTGGAAGTGTTTGTTGTAGCTGGTTTCTGTACGTGAAATGAGCATACTGTTTAGCGAGCGAACGGTGGATTCATCAAATACAGCTCCCAGCTTACATCTTGGGTATCCTGATCTTCATCCTCTTCATCGGCGGCGTTACCAGACTCGTTCGTATCATCAAGCTAACGAAAAATGTCTCAGTTTTGCAAAAGAAAATGTTGATGTTTGCAAAAACGATCGTTCACAATGCAACGAATTACCAGATCAAACAGATTTCTCTTGTCATTTTTGACGACTACTATATCATCGTCATCTGTTTCTTCTTGGCCGTCGTCTTCTGCTGGTTTTGGTGCAGCTGAATTGATTCGTTCTTCTTGAAGCTTTTTGAGAGCCCTCCTTGACATTACCCACTCTTAGTGGTAGTGGTAGTAAGCTGCTAAATGTTCAAGTCGCAGTTTCAGTTGTGGTTTGCTCTGTCTGACTTGCTTCACTTTCTATGTACAGATTGGTTCTTGCACTATGTGTGGTGGAGACATTCCAATCGTTGGAGAACAGGCTGAGGCCGTTCCAGCAAGTATTCCAAACACCTTCCAAACTGCTGACGCTCATTGCCATCCAACGGATACGTTGGCATCGTTGAAAAACATTTCATCACAAAACACGACGTTTATGTGCTGTATGAGCACCAGTTTTCATGACTTGGATCACGTCGCATCGCTCTACCGAGAACATCCAACAAAAGTTGTCCCCGCTTTTGGTATGCTCAAGTGGTGTTGATGTTCATCTTGATCAACATATCTTGTCTTTTACCGTTGCTTTTCAGGCTTTCATCCTTGGAAGTACAATGAGATTGCTAGTACAGCTGAAGTAATGACTCCAGAACAAGCTTTGGAGGCCTTCTCGCCTGAAGACGCTGATTTGGCAGCCAAGTTGATCGAAAATCAGCGACCGCTTCAGGTTTGAGCTCAAGAGCCTCCTTTAACTACTGCGTCATATCTAACATGTCTCTATTTTATCAGGAATGGACGACCATACTCACTGAGTATTTGACGAGTCATCCTAAAGCTATTATGGGCGAGGTTGGGATGGACAGAGCTGCATCGTTACCAAATACCAACTTTAGACTCAAACTCAATCAAGAGCATCAGTCAAAAATCTTTGAGGCTCAGCTTCGGATTGCAGGAAGATTGAAGAGGCCTGTTTCTTGTCATTGTGTTCGTGCCCATGTGAGTAATCAATACCGAGACTTCGTTCTCTTTTCTTCTCAGTTTCTGCTGTCTATAATAGGGCTTGATGATCAATATGTTTAAACGAATTGGCAAGGAATCTATCGAAGAGTTTCCACCGGCTATATGTATGCACTCGTACAACGGAGAGCCTGATACAATAAAAACGCTGCTGAAGATTCCAAAAATTGGGAATCGAATCTACGTTTCATTTTCAACCGTCATCAACGGAGGAAAATCTGAAAAGCTAGAGAAACGCATCAGGGCTGTTCCAGAAGACAGGCTGCTCATTGAGTCAGGTGAGTCGGGGACTTTGTTTCGAGGACTTTGTGCCCTGCACTCCACATCCAATTAATCTGATACACGTTTACAAACTCCCCAGATTACAACACGATGGACGCCATTGATTTGCAAATTGCCCAGATAGCTCATGTAGTTGCTGAAGCTCGAGGTTGGACGCTTGAAGAGACATGTGTGAAAACATTTCAAAACTTTTTGAGGTTTTCCAATGTTGACTAAAGTCAAGGAGCACAACCAGTATGAATATAATATAGTTATAGTGTAGTCTAAAGTTATAATGTACAGCCCTTACTCTCAAAATATGCATGGATTGCAATGTTTTTCACAAGTGATGCAAACTCTTTCTCGAACAAGATTACCAAGGACTTCCGCTGGTAGATAGTCCTAATCCGAGTCCTACAACTACTTGCGATCCAGCATCTCCTTTGCCTCATTGATCTTGCTGGCAAGATACGGGCTTCCACCTCTGTCAGGATGATTTAGCAACATGACACGACGGTGCGCTTCCTTTAGCTTTTCCTTTGGTACGTTCTCCCGTATTCCAAGTATCTGAGCAGCTTCTCTCTTTGACATTTTAGATTCGAATCCTCCTCGTAGGAAGGCTCGACCTGTTGACGATGTCACAGACCTCAATGCTTCTGGTGACGATGATTGCCAGGCTTTCATAGCTAATCGAGCTGCAAAGGCGGTAGTTGCGACCCCTAATCCTACTAGGACGGCTGTAGTCATTGCCTATCTATATATTTTGAAGTAGTTGTATGTTCACTTAAATTTTTGTGATGACAAAAAAAACGCAACTGAAACGTGTCCTCTCGTTCGACGCGGAAGACATCTGGATCATGCTGGAACGTGAGTGTACATATACCGAACGTCTATTAAGTGTTATTGCCTCTCTCTTTTCGTTATTTTTTCGCAACGCAAAACAACGTGAATAACTTGAACAGTGCTCAACCATACACACTTAGCAAAGATGAAGGCACCACCAGTTACAGAGGATGTCTCAGTCAGATTTGAACGCGACGGCAGAGTTATGGTCATCACAATTGAACGACCAAAGCAAAGGAATTCGTTACCAGCTAAAGTACAGCCTTTTGCTCAAACTTGCAGTTCGGCAAGGCTTCCTTTCTAAAATTCTCAACGCTTTAAGGTTCAATGGGGCATGCATAGGCTATTCGACTACTATGAACAGAACGATGACATTTGGTACGTGAGACATCTTGTGTGTTGCACCAAATTGTCGCCATGTCAAGACGGGCAGATGAACCACAAAAGGCGCTCAAATACTTGGGATTTCATACTATTCACGCTGATTTGATGTCTGGCGTTGTTTCAAAACGTTGGGAAGATTTGAACAACCGGCTAATCACGTACTCTACGAGGATTTGTTTTCTGTTGAGCATTCGCTTATTGACCATGCCATGTCGACCGCCTCTGTGCTGAACTTGCCCTTCATGAGGTTTATACTCACGCGAAATCCATGTTGTTTCTTAGGTGCGCCATCATAACAGGCGGTGAAGCTCCAGGCGTGCCTCCAGCTTTCTGCGCTGGTCAAGACCTTAAGAGCGTTAATTCCGCTCTGGGCCCTACCGAGTCGGCAGCAACATCGAAGCTGCCACCATCGGGATTCGGTGGTGTGTCTTTCAGAAATTTAACCAAACCACTTATAGCCGCTTGTAATGGGGGTGCTTATGGTGGAGGTAAGACCTTGTCAGTACGAATTCAACGATACACGACTCACTCTGTTTACATTTAGGTTGTGAAATCGTGCTTAACGTAAGCCGTATCAGCGTATCTTGTTAACCAAAAAGTGAATTCTTGTTAACCAAGACCTGCAGTGTGATATCGTAGTCGCAAGTGAATCAGCCATGTTTGCGTTGCCTGAAGTGAGATCTGGTGTCGCAGCACTTGGTAATGGACTTATACTGCTACCACGAATCGTGGGAAGACATCGTGCTATGCAGATGATTTTAATGGGTGCCGTCATACCGGCGAAAGAGGTACGAGATGCTCGGTATTGACACTCGTTGGTAGCGAGCTTACATTTTATTTGCCAGGCCATGGAATGGGGAATCGTTAACGAGGTGGTTCCTCACAAGGACGTATTGAAGAGAGCTCTGGAGATCGCAGATTCCCTTCAAGTTGGTTCGCCCGATGCTGTGAGGGCTTCTAAGCGAGCAATAATAAACTCTTCTGAGATTGCGGATTGGTATCTTGCAACCGACAAGACTGCAACTGAGAAGGAAGTCATCGCATTTCAAGGTGGAAAGGATGCCAAAGAAGGTAAGATATTGTAGTTGGAGGGGTGTAATCGGTTGAATGTGGTAAATGACAGTCTGTCTCCCTAGGTCCTTTGTCGTTTGCTCAAAAACGAAAGCCAAACTGGTCTGGATACTCAAAGCTTTGATAATGTTGTAGTGCTTGTTCAAAATAAATATACGTATTCTTGAGAATCAGGGTTTAAATCAACTTGTTATACAGAATCAGGCTTGAATCCACATGCTGTACACAACTTTGCTACCGCAATATGATCCTCTGTACATTCTCGGATAGATTTGAGATACTTCATTGGAAGGTGAATATCTAGATAACCATAAGAAGCATTGAGCTAGAGTGTTGGGATCGAGTGTAATTGATTTGACCCCCTTCACGTCGAACGTACGTGATGCATCACAATATGGAGGAGCTTCAGTGTATTTGCAGCCACATATAGAGTCTATTTGAAAGTTGAATAGTAAGCTACGAGCAGACCTGGAGTTCGAACGGTATCTCACAAATGGCTTGTTCTCCACCGTCTTTGACAGTTCCAGGCACAGTCCACTTCATGGGTGCGATTCCAGTTCCGACATGACTTCCTAAATAACACAAGGATTCAGTCATCCAGAGTCTGTAACGACTTGCATGCGACATTCAAGAGTGAATGTCGCATACCATCACACCAAGGCTGCTTCTTGCTGAGCCTTGAAGAGGAAAACCCAATGGACACCAGGTTAGAACTGCCATTAAACGTTAGATCTAGCTTGTTGGTGTCTCACTGACCCGCATCGACACCTATACATTTGTTGAAACCAAGTTAGTCACGTTTCGAAATGTGAAACACTGCAGAACTCACCACATCTTCACATCTCCGACTTTTAAGTCACGGATCAGAAATGGTCCATACTTCGACATGGGTTTCAGTGGTCAGTGCATCTTACTTCGCTACAAAAACATGTCATCCACATTTTGTAGCTTCTTACCAAGGAAACGCATGGTTTTAGAGGTTTGTCCTTGGTAACAAGATCTTCTACGTCCTGCATTATTCAACAGGCTATCTCTTCAATCTCTTCAATCTCTTGGATCTATGCGTCAACGGGGAAAACAGTGCGAAACAGTGCGCTGAGTGAATTCACTGTTTTTGGGCTATTTTGAAGCTATGGTTTGGAGCGGCCCGTCACGGCACCAACGTAGATCGTTCCTAATTCGTATGTGCCCTTCGTGCACTGCAATCTCATAAGCTATGGACATTCCAATCGAACAGGGAAGTGAAGAAATCACAGTTTGTTTGGATTGACGTGTCATTGGGGCCATGGCAGGACCTCGTTCCCTCGGAATAAGATGACGCAGTTATTGGATAAGAAATGGCGCCTGTTGTCGAAAGGGAGTGTTTCTTGCTCTTCAACCTTTTACCATGAAGGAACGCTCCTTCTTGGAGAGATTTTAGTTCTAAGCAAGCTCAAATCGTCTCCACCTTGCCTTGTCGCTTGCTTCTGGACACCAGTCTGAAGTTAGTGGAAGCATCGGGTAATGAGTTACCACCCCATAGTACAATTACAAGCACTATCTGGCCTAGCATCGTTCCGCGAGTCCTCTAGGACCACCGCGTCGCGAGTGCTTACAAGCACTACCGCGTTAGACAGCAGTTTCACTTAATAGGGTTTGAGGAATTGTGGTGTATGATCGTTCACCGAGATGGTTTTTTGCTTCAATGATCCATTTCATGTGATTCAAACTAGGGCTTCTACTTTACTGTATTGATACCAACACCTTTTTCATGTTAGATGCTGTTGGAATGGCTGTTCGACAAGACTAGTGCCTGCGCTAATTCTATTCATAACATGACCTTCCTTCAATTGTTGCACTTCGAAGACTTGAGCAGTGTACCATGGACCTCTTGTGTTGCACTTTGCAGACTTGAGCAGTGTAGTAAAAACAGGATTACTTTGTATTTCAACTGAACATAAACCCGTATTACTAGACTTGACTGATGACTACATCTCATTGACTCAGAGCTTTGTGTATCCATTCCATTGTGGCTTCCGCTTTTGAGCGAATGCTATTATTAAAATCAGGTCGTCAGTCGAATTCGTCGAATGCAGCAGTATTAAGACTTATACGTACCCGTAGGTCCTTCAGTCATATCTTTGCCTCGATACATTGCTTGCGCTTCAGGGGATGATGAGGCCAGTATGCTAGCTTCAGTCCACGACGCCACAGACTCGGATATCATGACTGCTCGTTTCGATGCCCGAATTCCGTCAGGAGAACCAAGCTTCAGAAGTTCAGCGACTTCGAGAGCCTTCTTCATCAGCATCTAGAGGGAGGTGGGAGTTTCTAAGGGTCGTCCACCCTGACACATGGCGAAAATACATGGATACCTCTTTAGGCACTACAAAATTCACTACGCCCATCTCTTTGAATCGTTGTGCGCTGATTGGTTCACCAGTTAGCATCATTTCCATAGCATTCTGCCAACCTATGAGCCGTGGCAGTAGGGACGCGGCAACTAGAAGGGAACTACGTGAGACATTGAAGGGGAAACCGGGCCTGCAGATGTACATCACAACCACATACATGGAGGCATGAGACCTCTTTTTACTTCAGGCAGGGCAAAGGCAGCATGCTCTGCAGCGACAATAATATCACAACTTAAAGCTAATTCGCATCCTCCTCCATACGCCAACCCGTTCACGGCAGCGATAATTGGTTTGGTAATGTCGTCGCGTCGAGAAATGCCACCAAATCCAGTTGGAGGCCAGGATGATTCTTCAGCCTTCAGAGATGTAGCAGCATTGTCTGGTCTTACACTCTTCAAATCTTGGCCTACGTGAATAAAATTGTGAGGAAATGTACCACCATTCATATTAGTATCTGATGTCCAAGACATACCAGCACAGAAGGCCTTATCGCCCTCACTAGTTAGTATACAAATCCACAATTCATCGGTACGTGCAAAGTACGAAAACAGTCTGTGCAGTTCCCATTGGACTGGGTACGACAATGAGTTCATTGTCCTTTCTCGTGTAATGGTTATTTGAAGGACATTAGGGATAGGAATTGACAATTTCAGACTTGAGGAAGTGGCTGGCAACATGTTTTCTCTCTGTTCGTTGAGCGACCGGTACTGATTATTTGTGTTCTAAGTTTCAACTGTTCACGCTTCGTGTTACAGCAGCAAAAATGGAGGAAGTCAAGCTCCCCGTGTTTTCAACTATAAAATTGTCAATTCCCATTCCTCATTGTCTTCTTATAACTCTAAATCGGCCCGAGAGTCGCAATGCTTTTGACGGTATGCTCTCGGAAATTCCAATCTCGTCGCAATTCACCGTTTCTGACTTGTTTCTGTTAGGAATCACGCATTGGGCCCTCAACTCCATTTTGAATTATTATGAACGAACCGATTACTTTCGTGTCGCCGTGCTTACTGGCAGTGGAGATGTGTTTTGTGCAGGTAACATCAAATTGAACAGACCACGAAGCCATGTGGTGCTGACTTTACGGGCAGAACGAACGATTCTTAAAAGCCCTTGATTTACCTGAAATAACGTGAAGATTCAAACGGTTTCTCAAGTCAATGCACTCATCGTTAGGTCAAGATCTAAAGTTTGCATCAAGGATTGCTGAAATCGCTCAAACTGAACCTTACAAGTCTATTCCTGCTTTGCTCAAACCAACCCCAAATGGTACGAGAAGCCGGAATGCTGTATTGGGCCTGTCGCGCATGCTAGACAAAAACGAGGGCTTCCGCTCACAATCTCATTTGTTCGACTAGGATGGGGAGGATTATCTCGTAGACCTACACTCGTCAAGCCCTTGATCTCAGCAGTCAATGGTGCTGCACTAGGCGGCGGTTGCGAGCTCGCCCTCTCGTCAGATATTGTTGTGATATCAGACACCGCTATAATTGGTTTACCAGAAGTAAAAGTGGGTCTATACGCTCCGTGGAGCGGAACGCATTTCTTGCCGAGAACGGTTGGATTACAAAGATCAAAACAAATGATTATGACTGGAGATCCAATCTCTGCTCATACTGCCAAGTTGTGGGGGCTCGCAAATCGTGTAGTGCCACGGGAACAAGTACTGCCAGAGGCCTTAAAGATTGCTGCTAAGATATTAGAGGTTTCACCTGATGCTACTCGTGCTGTTAAGAGCATGGCGATTAGGTCAATGACAACCGCTTCATGGTAACAAACCTCTAATTTGACAAGATCAGTAACTTTGAGAACTGACAACGTGAATACCGTCTACATTAGGATGGACGCGTCTAGAGAGGGCGAGACATCACGAGAGAATGATGCAATGTATGCAGGGGAGAATCGAGCTGAAGGTGTCAAGTCGTTTGTCGAGAAACGCAAACCATCTTGGAAGGGTTATTCTAAATTGTAGTTTCTTTGTCAACAACCAAACAAGATTATGCTATATTTCGTATTCATGCACGTGAAAAATGTCAACGCCGTCTATGTTTCTGCTCAACCTGTCAAACAACAACTTCTCCACCAACATTGTTGGTCCAAATCAAGACTTGTTATGTATTTATACACGTGAAAACGAGTCGAAGCTTCGTTATCTTCCCACAAACAACAATCTTCTCAACCTGTCAAGAAAACAAGCTCTCTTCCAAAATCCCTCTCCACTCACCAACAGAAAAAACCCCCATCAACATGGCAAAATCAATTTTAGGAGTATTGAGCGCTTTGTCACTCATGATGATACCAACTCTAGCACTTGAACTACAACCTCTCTGGACAAATTATGTCGCAAACTTTGAAGCTGCTGCTGCTGATCGAGGATCTGATGGAAGCATGCCAGAAACAGCTGACTCCTGGTTCTTACCATACCGCTGGGACGAACATCGTGAAATGTTGCGCTCAATGTGGATTGCCCCGTTCGTTATATTTGTCTTGTGGTGGTTCTTGCAGATGTCCATGCATGGTAAGCAAATGGCATGACATGATGAGAGTAAACGTACGCTAGTCAAGACTGGAGTTAGCATTGCGTTTAAAGTGATTGACAGTGTTTGTGGAGTGATGGTTCTTACATTTGGAAGGGCATCATGATGGTTTTCCAGTTTTAGTCTGAACATTGAGGTGTGTTGTTTTTCAAATAGCACTTCAATGGCTTTCTGGTCGAGGAGTTCGTCGTGGTGAAGAAAGTCGAAGTCTTCTTGCTAGGGAAGAAGAAGCAACAGGAGTTGAACCCTCTGAAATGGTATGAGATTCATTTGAATAAAATGGGCACATGTCGATCGGCGCTTGACACTTGAAACCAAAAGCTCTTCTATGCAACCGCATCTGGCAATATTTCAATCGATCGATTTTCTGACACAGTTCTCAAAACCTCCTTCTACCACTAGGTTGACCGATTGGCCAAGGCATCAATGGCACTCAGGACTGCATTCATCATGTCACTTGCCACAGCAGTAGTGGCATCTCTCCCATTGGCGTTTGACTGTCCCATGTCAAAGACACCTGAGCGATCTCCAGTGCCAATCCCTCCTGGTGCACGATGTGGAACTTGCTTTGACAATGGTGTCACACTCTCAGTCGTAATCCTCCAATGGGTCTTTTTGGGATTGACTGTTCTCTGGTATGCTATTGATAGCGAGGATTTACAGTATACGTGGCCGGCATCTTTTATCCTTTACATCATGGGTTTTTTGTGACAGGCGTCTTATATGCTTCAAACTAACACAATAACTGATAACAATGTTTTTAGGGCATTGTTGGAAACGATTACTATTGATAGTGCAAGTGTGGCCATCACCAGATCCATTCGTAAGTACTACTACTTTGACACTTTGATTGTCGAAAGTCATGTCAAAACCTGAGGTCGAAAGTTGAATCCTCGATGTCAAACACTGAGGCCGAAAGTTAAATTCTGGATTCCAAAGACATCATACGCATGTTGCAATCCTCTCACTTGTAATCTTCTCAATAGTCGCTCTGGCATCCTTCCCTGTCATCGCAGCCATATTCATCATTGTATTCGTCAAATGGCACGGTAAGCTTTCAGATTTTCTTTTCAATTTCGTCAAGATGACTATGAAAGTGATTCAGCACAGTCACAGTTTTGAAGAGGTCAAGTCACGTTCTAGAACTGACTTGGGTCTTTTGTTTTGGCAGGAATTTCCAACCGTGACGCTGCAGCTAATTGTCAATAAATTGACAATCATTCCAGGCAACAAGTATATCAAAAAGCTTGTATCAACGTATATCAACATATCACCTATACTACTTTGCAAAATATAACAAGAAGATTTGCTTATAGCAGCTTTGTCTGCTCGTTGCGAATGCACATAGTTACGACCATGACAGTACACGTGTCAACGTGAAATGCCCTTGAAGGCTTGAACGCCAACGACAACACTGTCCGCGTCCAAGTTGCGTTCTTCAAAATTTGAAGCCAAATGTTTTTCAAGGATGGCAATTCTGGCAGTAGGCACCACATTTCGATCAAGCCACGGTCTCCGATTGTTCATAAGAAGCGTACATTCACCTTGAACACGGTAGGCATAGCTTGTTATCTTGGCAGTTTTTGTCCTGAATGTTTTGAAAACTTGATTCCATTTTTGGCTGATTCCAATACAAAACAATAGCGTCGAATCACTCGAGTCATTGGCTTCCTTCTGATTGTCCTCTTTGTCGCTCAGATCTATCGTACATCGTCACGAAAGACTCAACATTTCGATGTACCTGAAACTCTGGATCAGAAGCTCAGCAGGCCGTAAACTAGGGACTGTTCTGTACTTGTGTAATGGTTTCAAATCTAATGTTTTAATGTTTTATTAGTGATCAGCCTCCTCCTAAATACATAACATGTATATTTGGCCCTTGGACTGGAATGGCCAACAATGTGATTTCGATTCAGACCAGTATGGCCTTTGCTATACATTATAACCGGTAACAAACGCCGTTACCATATGAACTTGATTCCATACACTCAGCGCAAATCACTACTTTTAGCACTCTCATTGTGCCTCCACTGGATAATTGGGAAGTAACACCCTCATACTGGTTTGGTAAAGTAGATGGCGAAAAGGATTCAACGAATCTAGATAGACAGAGAATAAGATTATCATGGGGATCTGACGCATTCAGTGATCCATATCGTCGCTTCTCCAAATACTTTGAATTCGTATCAAGGTCTATTGAAGTTATAGAAATGTCTGACGTGGATCCTACACGAGCCGCATCAGTAGAACTAGCTCCATTATGGCATGATGGAAAAATGTGGTGTTGGCAAAATCCAGCTCCAGATACCGACTTTTTGGAAACGATGGAGGCTAGATACCCTGTGTCGTTATGGTCGAACGAGTCGGTAGCTTGTATAGGTGTCCCGTTTGAGATACGACTGCATACGGCGCGGCCAAAGATCCGGTTATCGCAATGGGCTACTCAACATGCTGTGTCGTTGCTGGCTCTGAATGGACTGACGGGTAGTAAATATCTGGGTATACATCTACGACGTGGTAATTGGGACGAGTACACATCATGGGGTCGCTTCGCTCTATCTACGTTTGCTCAGGGTACGCTGAAGGATGATCCCATAGAACGACGAGCACCCAGAGACGAGTATGTCGTCAAGGCTGGACAAGTATTAAGGAAGCGTCTAGCAGAGGAGTATTCCATACCGGATTTTCCAGTAGTAGTGACTACGAATGAAAAGAGTAATGATAGTATACGGACGTTTCAGGATGCAGGATGGATTGTATTGCAGACTAGATTGCCAGACATCCCCCCATTTGCTCAAATAGCACTTGATCTAGCAGTTTTAGCAGGCGGAACTGGATTTGTAGGTCAATATGGATCGACTTTTACAATGCTGGCGTTGGAGTTTCGCAATTGTGATATCGAGCACCCCAAATATCCTTGTGGGACCTTCTTTGGCGATGCTGATCTCGTACCGTAAAAAATAGTAATTTAGTAGTTATAAACACATGTATATAGAATCAAAATCTCGCCAAATCACGTCCACTGTTGTTCTGCTTTGTAATACCTGAGTCAGGCAAAATTTTAGTAGCATTCAATTTCCAACGAAAAGAGAGGAACGAAAGAAACCGTCGGTTTTTCGCCAATCAAACGCCTCTTGCAACTGCCGTCTGCATCACATAGTTTGGTACACATAGAGCATCTGTTTGAAGAGACTCAAAAGCCAGTTTACTTTGGCAAGTTTTCGTGACGTATTGAGAGGTAAAGCTCTACTTTCTCCCGTTTTTGACCGTGGTTGGGACAGTGAATTGTGATCATGTTGTGAGAGAATTTGCATTGGCAAGTCCTTCTACCTTCGCCTTTTAATGAGGGGCACTTGAAAGTTGTAATTTGGACAGTTTTTCTTTTTTTGGGGATTTTGGTCAACATCTGTCCAACCGATTTCGATTTTTGAACGCTTTCAACTTGTTTGAACCAAGTTTCGATCTATTACGAGGCTCTAATACTCAATTTGATTCTTAATAGTTAGAAGAAGTCATGTCTGCACCTGTATCATCAACTCCAGCTGTGATCGCAGCAGCTGCTCCAGCAAGGGATGCCAAATCCTTTGACTGGCAAAAATCACTAAACCGTGCTCTAGGAGGAGGAATGGCTGGAGCTTCTGCTATGGTGGTCCAAGTAAGATCCTTATGGCCCTTCATAACATGTGTCATGGAAATTTCTAAACTCCGACTTTTTGTCAAACTTACAAACCTACATACATACAACACTCTATAAACCTATATGTAATTCACACTCTTCAAACCTAGGTCCTCACTCTGATGCCTATGCGCACAATAATGAACTACCAATACCGCCATGGTGGAACGATGGTTGAATCCGCAGCTGTATTATGGAAGGATGGTGTTGCACATGGTGGTACTGCATTCTCTGGAATGCGGCGATATTACAGAGGTTTGGCACCTGCTCTCATTCAAGGTCCTCTATCACGGTATGTGAATGCCTTATGCACGGAATTTTTGGAAGCTATTCAATGCTAAAATACGAACCTGTCATTGTAGATTCGGTGATACTGCAGCAAACCAAGGTGCTTTGGCTTTACTTGATTCATCAAGTTTGACCGCAGATCTTCCTATTGCAGTCAAGACATTGGGGGTAAGTTCCTCGATGTCCAACGAAGCTCTCCATCGTATATCTTGCGAAAAGGAAACCAGAAGACTTAAACGGGCCGTATTATTAGGCTTCCTTCTTTGCCGCCTCCTTCCGTATCTTCTTGACACCAGTTGATACCGTCAAGACGATTCTGCAAACCAACGGTGCTCAAGGAATGCCAGTGCTTCGGTGAGTGCTTTAAAACACGCCGTGTAGTCGTTTATTTGAGATTAACGCGTTCTACATGGCACAGAGCTCGTTTGGCCAAACACGGTCTACCAACACTTTGGTATGGTGCTGTCGCTACTGCAGCTGCCACATTTGTTGGACACTGTAAGTTGTTATACCCTTTTCTCGCCTATGGCCTGTTGGAAACATCATTTTAAGCAACTTGTCGAAACACTCTGTCACGCAAACATTGCTTTAGAATTCGTTTTCTCCTTGTTAGACCCATGGTATGCTGTTTACAACTACCTCCAAGTCACCTGGCCCAAATACAATGACATGATGCCAAAATTGGCTCGAAACGCAGCAATTGGTTTCACAGCCTCAGTCGTCTCAGACACCATCTCAAACTCGTTACGAGTCATCAAAACTTATCGTCAAACTCACCATGAAAAAGTATCATACGCTCGCGCTGTGCGTGAAGTCGTTGCTAAAGATGGTGTTACTGGATTGTTTGGTCGAGGTCTCAAAACACGTATTCTTACGAATGGTTTACAGGGGTTGATGTTTTCCGTTTTGTGGAAACTATTTGAGGATGAATTGTTCGGTGGAAAGAGCCGTAAATAAACGATTGGCTGTCCTCTGAAATAGTTTACAAAAAAAATGTTTAAGTCTTCTAATAGATGGTTTCTCAATTGCGGAGATATATGAGTAGAATTGCTGCTGTTATTTACAAAAGCCTTTGTCTATATTTGCTTTCCCATGGTTTCATGAAACCATTCGCCGACAAGAACAATGGTCTCTTTCAATCTTTGAGTGTTGATTGGATCATCAGGATTCATCCTGGCACCAGCATATCCATGATGAACGTCATCAAACCGCACGTGTTTGTTGCTGACTCCTCGATCTATCAAGACCTGCATCTCTGGCAGCTAGGAGAGAAGGATGAGTCTTCAGTAATGTTGCGTACTGATTACAACGCTTACCATATCGGGTTCATCTTTTGTAGGTATCATGAAGGTGGGACATGAGACTGCCTGCATATCTTCCACCGTGACGCGGGAAGGATGAGCAGAAGCAATCGACTTTAACCACTTAGTGCCTTCTCCGGATGATTTAGATGCCAGAACACACATTTTGCCTGTAGGTAGCAGTCAGCAAAGTAGATGGAACCAGACAACGAGTCAAGCAAACTCACCACCCCAACAAAGACCAAACATGCCATACCCAGTCTCCCCAGCAGAGTCCAAATGTTTCGTCAACGCAGCCAAATCACGTTCCAAGTTCTCAAACGAGCCTGCAGTAGCTCTCCAATTCGGCATCTCTGCACGATCGCGTGTAGCAGTCCATGAATCACCTCGGAAGAAGTCTGGCATGACGCATTTGAAGCCTGTAAAATGATAGGAAATTAAATGGACGTTCACATTGAAGTGATTCAAACTCAGATGCCACCTTGAGAAGCGAGAGCATCACATGTCTGCATTGTTTGATGAGTCCACCCAAACACGTCATAGACGAAGTAGATTACAGGTCCTTTTCCAATCGTGTAGAGTGGAAGATCTCCTAACATGGATTTGGTTCCTTTCGGTATGTAATCTACTTGAAATGGTGGCATAGTTGCGCAAATTTCTTCGACTCGAGACATGGTGACCATCTCGCTGTCAATTGGAAGCTATGAGAAGACAGATCCGGCGTATTCCCTTGCTCCTTTGGTGAGGTTCACTTTGTTGGCTTTTGCTTAAGACGAGACAGTTGAAGGCGATCGATCGGGAATGAGAGCTACAATCTTCTCCCGCTTAGTATAGCTAGTATACTGATTTTGAAGATTGTTTAACGATTTCGGTGATCGAGCCTGGAGCTTTATACATCATTCATCGAAAACAGCGACAAAACATCACCACATCTTGCAATTGTACGGGTTTTTCGTGATTTGCCAACCGTTTTAGACATTTCTACCCAAGAGACGCCATATAAATTATCAGACATAGTAACTAAACGTCAACTTGAGTTGCTGTCTCAACTTTTGTTCCATTCGTCTTGTCACACCCACATTTCACTTCAGCTCCCATTTCGTCACGATTCGAATCATAAGGTTGTCTGCGATTTAAAGAGCTTTAGACTCTTACCAGGTATGTGCTGTAGTGATTGCACCTGCTCTTTTGCTCCCGTTCGACCGATTGCTATAAGCTAATTTCCAATCGAAAATCTTAGAAACTAGCACCGTATAATACAAAATGTCACAATACAAGGCCGTAGTCTTTGACATTGGAGGTGTAGTCGCTCAATCGCCACTGGCTGGCATTGCGAAATACGAAAAGAAGCATGGAATACCTGTCAAGTACATTGATGCCAACATGTGAGTGAAGCTTGTCAACATTCAAAACAACAATTATTATTTCGATCTTGGCACTGCTACCAAGCATACATGACGCTCATTTAGCATCTTCTTGTTATATCGATCGTACCAGTCTGCCGAGCGTACTTGGACCCTCATTTGACACCCTTTTTTATTTTGATCATATAGCGCTGCAAGAAACGACTCTGGTGGAGCCTTCCAACGTATGGAACGTGGAGAGTTACATCCGTATGTGTTCATCATTCAGTTTTTGTCGCAATACATCCAGCTAACAAGTTCGTCCCGTAGACCAAAATTCTACGCTATTTTCGGAGCCGAGTTGAGTGAACCAGGAAACATTGAAGTGTATAAAAAATACTTAAAGCTCAAGGGTCGACGTAAGAAGCTGCCTTGCCATAACTCATCGTATTCCCGTCTGGAGGCGAGTCTCACACCTTCCATTGACCTTCAATTTAGCAATTCCTGACCTTCCAAAAGAAGGATACAAGATTGACGGAGAAGAGCTATTCCACATGATGATGGGAGAAGCCAAGAACCTGGATCCCCTAGTAGTCAACGCCATCAAGAAGCTCAACGCCAGTGGCAAATTCAAAGTAGCCGCCTTAACAAACAACTATCAGCCAGCTGAAGGAGCCGACAAGGACGAATCTATACTGAGTTCAGACAGTCATAGTCCACAAGCCGTCAACCTCCGTGAATTGTTTCACGAGTTTGTAGAATCTAGCAAGACTGGAATGAGAAAACCAAACCCAAAGATTTATCAACATACTTGTGATCTGATTGGTGTCAAACTTGAAGAATCGGTACGTGATATCTTCGTTGTGAGAGGATATTTACAATGCTTGACGTTCCTACCTTGATTAGATCTTTTTGGATGATATCGGAACCAACTTGAAGGCTGCGAAGAAGCTCGGGATGGCAACCATTCGTGAGTGGTTGATTGCGTGTGATAGTTTGGCACGTTCTAGTTACTAACTTTACTGTATAACTTTAGAGGTCAACATTGGTGAATCTCGTAAAGCCATTCAACAGTTGGAAAAGTTGACTGGACTCTCATTGATAGATGATAGCAAACTCTAGTCGAGTCATAACAATAGATTCTTTTTACACTTGACTTTGAAATCAGTTTGCCCGTCTATCTTTTGTTCTGTATTATGGTTGATTCAAAGTCCACAACTACTCGGACGAAAACTGGGCCTTTCACAGTCATTAGACGAAATTCACGCGTTCTAATAGCACAAAGAACTCATTTGATACCTGTGAATCCGTTCAGGTGGCTATCTCCTCTCATGTCTTATTGTCATTATTTTCATTCACCCCCATATCAACATCACCACTAACTGACCAAACGTACGCGAAAACAGTCGTTCTGAACTAGATCCCGTACAAGTAACTCGGTGAAACGAACAGGCAGTACAATGGCACCTACGACTACTAAAAACAGCACGGCATTTGAAGTGGAGGTGATTGTTTCACGGGCCCACAAGATTCCCAAATCAATCAATTCCAAAATCGAGGCTGCAAAGAAGGCTAAGGAAACGTACGTCCCGTTCTACCGCATTTACATCGAATCTGATGTATATTCCTGTACTAACTCTTCTCCTCTCCCTTTATCTACCCATCTCGCCCCTCTTCTCCGTCATCAACATTTCCGACATTTTCGCTGTTTTTTGCATAAATCATATGTTCTACGACATACCGGGACTCTGTTTATTTTGGAAATTACAGTGTCGACCCAAAGGCAATCAGTGCCAAATTATCGGCCGCGGAGGGGCGTAAGAAGGTACGACAACCTTCCTCTCTTTTCGTTTTTTCCAAATTATTTCCCAAATTTTTAAAAAATGGGGGAGAGAACGAGGAACGAGGTGAACGGAACGACTAGTTCCACAATAGATATCGCTATATTTTATGTTGTAAAAGCAAGACATGCCGTTTCTAGACTCGGATCTACTCTCCTTTTGTTTGAGTAACACCCCGCCCTTCCAACCAAAAAACCACAATAGGAACTTGAAACCCAAAAGGTTACCAAAGCTAAGGAGACCGTAGACAAGGCCAAGCAGGTCGCTTCTCGATCGAGACAAGCCTCTGAAAAGGTATATTGGCACTCTGTTAGAGATGTTGTACTTGATATACTCACAATCCCATTCAAACTCTGTAGCAAGAACACGAACAACTCCAGCATTTGAAGGAGAAATTGGACCATGCTGCTGAAAAGAAGACTGAAGTTGTAAGTCTGCAATGATTGTTGATTCCAAGAGGTGGTGAACTGACCAATTTATCTCATCAATAGCAACGCCAAAAGCGTCAAAAGGTCGAAGCCCAATTGACTCGAGCTCGGTAAGCGCGTCCATGATACTTATTTTTCACAACAAATCACTCATATTCTCTTCATCATGCAGCTCAACCAGCTCCATCTCATCTACCTCCGTGGCCGTTACTCGTGAAGCTCTCGACTCTAAACTGAACGCTGCCAAGGCCCGTCGTGAGACTCTTGAAAAGGAACAAAAGGCTAAACTGGCTGCTCATGAAGAACATGCCAAGATTGTCCGAAAACGAAAGAGCCAACACGTCGAGTAAAACCAAATGGACCGTATAACAATCTATAAAAGTGTGTTTTTCTCGCTGTAAATCCAAAAGTGTTATATGAGATGGGTGCAAGGGGGAGGAAGAGTTGAGAGATATTGGAATGGAAGGGATACGAGTCGTATTTTTTAATGTATAATATGTTCTTTTTTGACCCCTGAATGGATGGAGGGAAGGGGATGAGAGTGCTTGTGTTTATCGTGAAACTGTAAACCAATGTTTTTGAAACAAAATCGTAAAAAATGTGTGGAGTTGTATATAAAAACTCAAATCAAAATGCAAAAAATACCATTTATGCCAACTAACTACAGAAATCAGTGCTCAGGTTCGTCAACATCTTCGTCAGCAAGTTGAAGATGCTTTACATGTTTCGATACTGATTCGGCTTCTTCGTCATCATCCTCGTCTTCATCTTCTTCATCTTCAAGGTCGTCCTCCAAATCAAAATCGTCCTCGTCATCAGCGTTAGTAGCTTGAGCCTTCGCCACTATCTTTTCAGCACCTTCCGTATCTCCCTTATCCATCTTCCTGAGATATGAGCGGCGGTGTCGTTCACTCATACTTGCCAATAGAGCTTCGAGTGATTGTTGTTCGCTCAATAGTTCTTCTGGGAGCTTCACGGTCCTGCGACATCGAATAGGAGTCAGTTCAAGATCCAGTATAACATACAGATTCCCACCAACATACGCAGGTAGCACGGTCTCAGACAGTCGACATTTAGCACAAACTCCGGCCTCGTTAGCACACTTGTTGCAAATAACGTGGTATGCATCGGTGATTGCCTTGTTTCTGCATTGAAGACATGTCTTTGGTTGCGTTAGAGGCTTGTACTTGTTATACTATATAAGATACAAGGCGTTAGTCGACATGTTGTTGGTGCTCTGGATCACCAAAAAAAAAGATGAATCTACCCTTCGCCTCCATTCGATAATGTCTTTACAGTGCCTGCAGAGACCTTTAATTGGGAGCTTTTCGATATCTTGGGATTTGGTTGACTTGTTTTTACTATAAACGGAACGGGTTAGCTTAATTGCTTGTACGTGCGATTCGTTCAAGTGACAGACGTACTAGGCATAGGAGTTCTTGTACTTCTGGGGCCTGTTTGACCTCTTTTCATTGCCTGTCGAGACTCGGCCTGTATCCACCATATTCAAGTAAGTCTCTTCCTAAGTTCAAAGTTGAATGTTGTCAAAAGTGTGAATGTTTTGCGAATTGCAAATGTGCATGGAAGGACAAGCACCGGAAATAGTACTAATTTATTCTTTATTTTACAAAGATATCACAATGGAGCGACGATCTCGTGGAGAATCATTCTCTTCACTTCCACCATTATCGACATCAACTGGCAGTCAGCCGAATTCAAGTTTGCTATCACCACCACTACCTCGGAGACCTAATGATGTCACTTCCCCGCCACATCAAAGGAATATCTCCACTTCTTCCATCCGCTCAAACCACTCGTTCGCTTCCTCCCAATTGGCTTCGTCACCGGACAGATTCTACCAGTCCAGCATCAATTCTCGATCAACTACTCCCATACCAGTGTCGTCGGAAAAGGATGTAGCCATTGCGATGCCTCAGACAGAGATCTTTGTTTGTCCCATTTGTAGTACGTTATGTACACTTGCTGGGTGAATATGTTGAAGCCATGTATGCAAACTCACTCAAACTCGTTCCCCAACAGATGATGTGATGGTGTCGTTGGCCCAATTGAATCAGCATTTAGACGATTCACACTATGACGATGAGTGAGCGCGTTTGTTTCTAATACCTTTTTGTTTATCCTATGTTTACACCACACTTTCCAGCCCGGCTGCAGCCATCGCAGCCTGGTTTAGAAAAACGCAACGTCAAATACTAAACCCATTAGAGAAATTGTCCACGCAATTCTCAGCTGCTGCTGCGGTACCATTATCAAAATCAGTCTCAAATCTAAACATAAATTTCAACTCTCTACTACCACCACCTGTCGCCGCCGCCGTTGGAGTCTCACAACAAAATAATCTGGAACTGAATCAAAACATATCATCAGTCGTACAAACATTTGGTCTTCCCATTGCTGGCAATCCAGGCGCCTCATCGTCATCATCAAATCATAACAGTGGTGCATTTACAGCAGCCATAGCATCCTCAGTACAAGTCACATCTCCCGAATCAACATCTGAAATCACCGTCACAAAAGACCACTGGCAAAGAGAGGGGCCATATGATACATGCTCCTTCCCAACATGTAAAAAAGCACTACACAACAATGCACCATTTGAAACCACTCGTAAACACCATTGTCGGAAATGTGGCAAGATTTATTGCGATACTCATGCAAACTACCAAATGAAACTGGCTCCGCACGACGCGAGACATGATGCTGTGAATGGGGTGTGGTGTAGGGTGTGTGAGACTTGTTATAAAGGTCGGGAGGGGTATATAGAACCTATTGGTACATTGCGGAATCGGACGAATCTGTTTATCAATGCGAGGAGGGGGCGTGTGGATAAGATTAATTTGGATGTCAACAAGCTAGAAAAGAGATTGGAGAAGGTGTGTGATGCTTATCGACCTTGTGGTAGCAAAGTATTTCCGGGCTGATTTTGTGTTTTTGTTTTGTTGCCAACCTTAGCTCGTTCGAATGTATTCGGAAGGGGCCAATTCAACAGGTGCCAAGGCGCTTGCTAGATCATTACGGAATACGAAATGTAAGTGAAGTGATTCGAATCGTCATCTGTGGCACACACATTTACAGCCTTTAACAATTTTTTCAGCCATGGAACAAATGGTGGTCGCATGGCAAGACGATCGATCGGTTCTAAATTGTCCTCTCTGCGGGTATGGATTTTGTGTACTGGCTGATTTGCAATTCACAGATCATAACTGTCCACGTTCTTTTGGCCTTCAAGATCTACCTTCAATCCCTTAAACATGCGACGTCATCATTGTCGTTTATGTGGACGAGTCATTTGTGGACAGGAGTCGTGTAGCAGCATTGTCCAACTATACGAATCCATGGCTGGTCCACCTATACCTACTCCTTCGACATCAAGTAGTACTCCACAACCATCACAACAACGACCATCAACCCCTTCCATAAGTAGTGGTGGTGATGATGACGATGATAAAGATCAAGTGGTTGGTGAAGTTCGTGTGTGTAGAGATTGTAGGAGGCTAGTTTTCAGGTACTGAATGATTGATGGAGCACGGTAAATTTTTTATTTAACTCTGCGCATGCTTTCAATAGGAGGAGAGAGCAGATTCTAGAAGCTGCGAATCAACCAGCGGTTATGAAAATATGTCAGGTATGATTACTTGGTAAAGGTGAGGACGTGATCGTGTCCGTTGACTCGATTCCTTTGACAACAGGCTGTTGCTCGGTATCGAAACTTTATTGAAGAGCTGCTTCCCAAGTTCAATACTCTGGTGGTTAATATGGTGTAAGGACATGCTTGTCTACGGAACCCATTCATCGGGACTTTAATCTCTTTGCTTTCTTGATGTTTAGAGGACGAAAAGTGGCAGTCGAAGACCGTGATTATCAACTGGCGCTTCGATATCGCAAGAATCTGCTCGACTACTTTTCACAGTTGGATGCATTGGGTAAAAAAGCCAAAGCTCTACCATCAAAAACATCATCCACAGCACGATTACATCAAAACATTTACATGGCAACCAGTCAATATCTACAAGCCAACATGTATACTCTTCAATTGATGCCCAAAGTATTCAAAGATCAGCCGCAACTACCATCTAAATCTATAAACGAAGTCGTTGGAAATGGTCATGCTCCTGAATCCATAGGGAAATTACGAGTCTTGACTGGTGCTGAGAAGGCTGAACTCGAGTCTTGTAAAGGCAGTTTGAATGTCTTGTTGGAACAGGTTGCCAATGTAGAAACGTTTATAGCTGATGCGACAAAGAAGAGGCGGTTTGAAGATGCCTCGTCGTTGAAGGAGTCTCTGGAGGAATTGAAGAAGGAGATTGATGGTGTTCGGAAACGAATGGCTGAGTTGACTAGTGGTAGTAGTGGTAATGCGAAGTAGGAAATATTTAATCATGTTAATAATTTGTATAGAATTGCATACACATTAGGTATGTCTTCATCACACAAACCAGCTTGGTTGACAGACGCCGAGATGTATTTGAAGTTATTGATTTACAGTTATATCAAATGTTCTCTTTACACAGAGCGCTATTAGAACTGATTGCCTTTCCAGCGAACCATTTCAGTCCTTTCCACCATAACATGCCTTTTGACTGGTATTTCGAGGCCCAATAAAAGTGAAAGTGAAGTTAGATCGATTAGGTGACCGTCCGTATAAAAGTGCTTAATTGTTGGCATACCGCCTCTGCAACTTCACGGACACAGTCTACCGAAGAAATGCGAAGCGAACGACGCACGTCTTCAACCGAGTGGAGAATGAATGCCAACACGGATTGTCAGTCAAAAAAACGAGATGTTGATCAACAAAAATCCAATGCCACCCGAGATCTCAGTGCACCAAAGCAACCCTCTTGACCGGCGTCCGTACTAATTGTTCCAATACTGTCGAATTTCGACGATCTTCAACAGATATCGGAGCGAACAGCTCGTCAGTGTCTCCATAGTCAATGAAACTGTGAGGCTGACACTATGGTGTCTAGTGTGTGTTCAAGCTGCCCACCCAAAGCTTCGAAACAGGTCTGTCAGAATGCCTCATCCCAAGTTTGTAAAGCCTCAGACTCTTTCACGGCCACTCATAGAATTGTTGAAGGAAAACAGGATGTAGGATATATTGCTGGAGAGGCTTAAAATAGAGCCTTTCTACTTACATTAAACGATAGACGATAGTCGATAGTAACATTTTCGACGCGGACTTTGCCCTTGAACGCGTCGCAGTGGTCTTCAGCGTTGAAATGCTATGTGACTCCAAAATCCGGCTTTTCGGCAAACTATTGGCCAGAACTCATATTAGCAGCCGGAACGTCGCTCAAGGTATGCAAGTCTTACATCCAGAGCTTCAATAGGTCGCGACTCTACTCACAAACACGCACATCACCCGGTCTTCAAACGCACAATCACGCTTCACTATTCAGCAAGCCAAAGACGCATCTAGGCTAACCAAAATCCTATCTACTGGTAGTAAATCAACTATAATAATGGAATCGTGGAGATCACAGCCTACGCAACAAACGGGAACTGCCAAAACCGAACCAAAAAAGAAGGACGACGACGATTGGGATTCTGATGTTAGTTATTCTCAATATGCCGCTTCTAGACGTGGAGATAACACTGTTTTTCTATTAGCCAAGCTTTGTCAACGACGTATCAGAAAAGAATTCCCGGTGGGGCTCCAAGTCGAATGGTGTCGCATCAAAGGCCGATAAAGACGAGATTGTCGATATTGCTGAACTGAGGAAGCACATTACCCAATCACATGATGAAAAGACATCAAAGGAATGGATTCAGAAAAACGGTGGAGACGTCAAGCAGAGCTATGTATGTGTCATCAGTTTCGAGATCGTGTGGGTTTGCTAACACGGTGATTTTTCTCAGGGCGTTAAACTTGACGACAAGAAGTAGATCATACCATATATACTACTGTAACCACTATTCAGACGTTTCGAGAGGAAATTATATTTTCAAGGGGTATTCAGTCAAGTACACACATACACACACTTCTACTATACATTTCGTTTCCCAAATATCAACACACTTAAAGTACAAACCTAAGAAATATGAGAATCATGTGAGAAACTACGACGACACAGTCCAGGCATAAAAGCGATTCAGGCCTCACAGAAATTGCAAGTCTTCTTCAGAGAGTTTCGCCAGCGCGTCCATATCCTTGCCTATGGCAGACTGGAAAAGAGCCGCCTTCTTCTCTTGCAATTGTATGATACGACTCTCTATAGAGTTCTCGATAATCAGTCGAGTGATTTTGATTGGGCGTACCTGCCCCAATCTGTTGTGAAAGATGTAAGAATCCTGTTCTGGCATTCTCGGGGAAGATCAAGTTCAGTGCACCGGCTGATACTCACCTATGAATGCGATCAAAAGCTTGATCTTCAACCTGCAGAATGAGAGTAGGGTCAACATGAATAGCAACATATATAGCGTCAGACTCGACATACCGAAGGATTCCACCAGGGATCCATTATAAATACATTCGAAGCTTCAGTCAAGTTCAATGCCACGCCTCCAGCTTTGAGAGAGACAAGAAAGACGGTGATTTCAGGATTCGTCATGAAACTTCGGATGACTGAGGCGCGTGCCTCAGGTCCCATGCGTCCATCGAGCTTTACTGCTGAAAATCCACCTGCAAAGACAGAACGGGATTTTTATCGATGTTTGCGCCCTGATCCGAATATGAAGTACTATACCTCGGGAGAGACGCCATTGAATGAGGTCCAAGAAAGACACAAACTGAGAAAACACAATGCTTTTAGAAGTATGGTCCTCCGAGCGTAATTTGGTAAGTTCTTCAACAAGAGCTATCAAGGGCGAGCATTAGTCTCAAGCTTTTAGATATCAGTAAACAGAGGGAGCAGTTTACCTTCGATCTTGGTAGAGCTTCTCCAACGAGACAAATCAATCTTGTTGACGATACTAGTCTTGAACAGGCCTCCAGAACCAGAAGATCCACGACTTTCTTCCTTTGGCTCAATGGTTGGTTGCGACAAGTCAATCGTCACATGTTGAGAGCATACAGGGCAGCGAGGATGTTCATCATCCGGAGCACTTTCTATGTACTGTTTGATATCTTCTCGACAGAATATCTACATTCAAAGCATTAACGTGAGTTAGACTAAAGGATCGAACGTTGTATTGAAGCTCGCAACTTACATGCTTGCATTTAGAAACGATAGCGTCTTCAGCAACCTCACTACAAATTCCACAAACCAGACTTTCAGGGTTCGAAGAATTCGCTCCTTGGAGCTTGGTAAGGACCAAATCAGGATGATTTACAGCTAATCTCATACGGCTGAGTAACGAGAAAATCGAAGCTAGATGTGCAGAATGTAGTCTGTAAGTCGTTTTCAACGAGAAAATGGAGTTGACAACGCACCATAGTTGTTGAGTACAGTCCCAGATCTGACATATGTAGAGAACGTCGTCTGTGAGTCCGTGTACAAAGACTCATAAAGCTCTTCTTCAGCTTCATTGAATACATCGCGTCGAATAGATACGATACGTGGAGGCAATCCAAGATCATCAGCTTTCTCAACCTTAGTTCGTCGGATCATGATGCGATCAAGCAACAATCCAAGCTTCCCAAAAGCGTCTCTACCCTCTCCAGCTGATCCGAAAGCTTGGATGGGTTTCAAAATTTCTGCATTCCACCAACAAAAATGTCGATGCGACGTATGGCCACACTCTGAAGCAAAGATGGGATTGGAAGGTAATCAATTTTTTGGCTCCAAAACGTGTTTTTTTGGCACAAACACATACCACATCTCGAGCTATTTTGAAACGACCAAGTCTTGAGCTGGCAGGGGCAGTCTTTGCAGTAGTACATTGAGAATGGCTTTGCATCCAAGAACCGAATGAGCGAATAGAGCTCCCCAACTCTATTTTGCAAAGGAGTGCCCGTCATAGACCATCGACGAGTCGTGTCAAGAGCAAAGACAGCACGGGCAGTTGAACTTGAGCGATCTTTGATTGCATGAGCTTCATCCTGCCATGATGAAGGGCCAAATATTGTTGAACACCAAAAACTGGCGAAGATAAAGGAAGGTCATACCAGAATGACACGACCCCAAGTAATCTTGTGAAGGATCGACTTTTCCTTGACAAGCTGTCCTTGTCGTTTGAATCCATAGTGCTGCTTACGATGTCCAGATTCAATGATCGAGTAAGTTGTCAATACGACATCGAAAGCCTCGAGCTCTGCAGTTTTGGTGATTCGATTGGCTCCATGAAAGACGAGCACCTAGTGGCGAGAGAAGATATATCTTGCGGGTGAGCTGCCATACTTTTGCCCATGCTTTCGGTGTTTCATTGTTTACCTTCAAGAGATCGGGTACAGTTCGTTCCTGAAACTCTGCATACCATTGTAAAAGAGCACTAAATCACGGAGGAGCTGGTGAGACCCCCTCTTCAGGAGGAGACATAGGGTTTCGAGAGATGAAGGAAGTTGAACTTACACAGTGGGACAGATGATAAGATTCGGCTTAACATCACGTCTGGTTACGAGCAGCGATATCATCTGAAACGATGAAAAAATCAGGAAGAATCAAGAAAAATCCACCCTATCGAATGCAACACAATCTTACTTGAATAGTCTTCCCCATCCCCATCTCGTCAGCTAGAATACCACCATGGAACTAATCAAAAAACAAGTCAATATCAATACCACATTTTGAGTAAGGATTAAACCACCTACATTGGACTCTTCCTGTGCTTGCAACCAATGAACACCCTCACGTTGAAAAGGCAACAATTTAACTGTAATCTCTTCAGGCTGATCAATCATCTCAGGTGTAACTGGCTTGACATTTTCTCGTAGTTCGTTCCAAACAGTTTCAAGATGCGGATGTATCTTATAGACTCCCTTCATCGGGTTTCTGTATACAGGTCGACGAGGAGCAGCTGGCCGACGTCGTCTTCGTGCAACCGGCTGTTCTGCCTCGGCGGCTGCTTCCGGCGCAGCAGCGGCAACAGGAGCGTTAGCAGCTACTACTTCATCATCACCACTATCACTGTGTTCGGACAGTGATTCATCATCACTAGATTCACGAACAATACGACGCTTGCGAGGTAGTGCGGGCTTCTTTCCTTTAACATCTACAGCTGGCTGCTTTCCTTTAACATCTTTAGCAGGTACTGGTCTCGTTGATTTAGATTTAGGGTTCGAGACTACTATTTCCACGTCATCGTCATCGTCTTCGTCCACGTCATTGTCATCTTCTTCTTCCACGTCAGCATCATCATCAACAACAAATCCAGCGTTCTTGCTACTATAATTTCTTTTAGATCCAGACATCGATCGATTGACTCCAGCATTCGTCGTTTTTGGAGCCTGGAAATCATCCTCATCGTCATCATCCTCTTCTTCAGGTTCAGATTCCTTGTCCTCCATTTCAAACTCACTAGCGGAACCATCCGACGAATACTGCTGTTCTTCTTCGTCTTCACTTATAAGGATGGCCTTGTCGGGTGAAGAAGCAGGCTTGCCTAACTTTGAGCTTTTCGAAGCTGGGGGCTTTTTTGACGTGGACGATGATGCCGAGGGGGTGGCAGATGCAGATCGTGTGGTTGAGGCCCTGCGAGTCGAAGATCTACGAGTCTAATATACGGGAATCAGCGTAAGCTCGAAAGGATCAAATTCCGTGTGCAATAGTTTGATGACAATTTACCAATTGAGAAACAGCTGAGGGAGATGCCGTTTTCGACGCTGGTGGAGTATCATACATCATTTCAGCATCATTTTCGGAGTCATCGTTCTTGAGCTTTGGGGCTTTGAGTCGTTTTCGAGCTGCTGTAGCTTCGGTTTTACTTGTCGAGGCTCGTTTGCGGTGATGAGAGAGGGGAACGTCATCCTCGCTATCAGAGTCCATTTTGGAATTATGATGTTGAATATGTAAAGCTGGCCCTATCTCCCCCAATCCACTCTGCTCAGTCTAGAACGAATGTTGAAACGAAATTGTTGGAGAAAAACAGTGACTGCTGGACCAAACCAAGTCAAAACAGCTGTGCAGCTCTGGCGAATTAACGAACGTGATATTTTCAAACTGACAACTAACTTATGTACATTCTACCAATTCTCGTAACTTAGCACATGCGTTTTTGAGCTCGTGAACTCTGCGGAGCTTCAATGGCTTCTTTTCGTTTTCCAACTGTTTTACTCGGAGATTCTGATGCACTTCCAACCATTCCTCCTAGATCTTCTCTCAATGCACCCGCATGTATTGCCAGACGTGATGGAGTCTTGGCCGGATACTGCAGGGTACGAACTACACTCCTGGGCGTAGTAGGTTTCGAGGCAGATCTTGAGGGGGGTGGGAGTGTTTTCGTCCTATATCGAGATCAAGCATCAGTCTGCAGTTAGTGTGTCGAGAATGGAGCCATTTAAACTCACGTTCTCGTCGGAGATTGCCATAAAAGTGGATTTTCCAGCAATGACGTGTCGACAAGCTGCGTCCAGTACAGAGTACGTCAGACTAGTTCATCCTCAATATCTGGAAATCGACAGGCGTACCTTCAACTTGACTTCTTCACGTTGCAACCCTTCCATTCGAGCCAAGAAAGCAGTAAAGCTGTGTTCAATCTTTTCTTCAAGCCGGGTCTGCACTTGATCGATGCTGGCTAGAATAGCGGTAACACGGGCAGAAGTCTCCTTCTTGGAAGCCGTAGTTGCTGTGTCCGTTGTGCTCTTGATTTGTCTCACGGCAATCTTGGATTGCTCGGACACTACAGACAGGAGTAAATGAGATTGTGGAAGTCCATTATCGCTAAACTTCTTCTTGATGTACCAGCCGCGACAAGTATGTTAGACTGGCGTTCAAAATGCTTTTGAATCAAATCGGACTGCTCTTGTGCAAATTTGAATGTCAATTCCGATAGTTGCCGTGTAAAAGTCTCGACATGTGAAGCACTTGAGGTATGGATTGACTCTACAGCAGCTTCACTATTGGCTACTGTCGTAGTCTCAATACTCTACAAGAAGCGAGAATGAGATTATGTGGGGGAAAAAAAGGATGACACGTGTAAAAATTACCTGTCCGAGTTCCGTCAAAGCGTCCTTGGTTATTTCGCCCAAAGTTGATATCTCATGATGTATTTTGTTTAGCATGTCTTGCTTTTCTTGAGCGATTGCTTTGTTGAGGTGATCGGTTAGCGGCACAGTTGAGATTTCAAGGTCAATCCGCTGTTACCTTGACATTGCTGTTCGATCTTCGCCTTCCACTCTTGCATGACCAGTTTGTTTGAAGCATTGGCGGCTCTCATTTCAGCTAAATCAGGAACGACGATTAGACAAGAAGAAGAAGAACGGCTCGAAGTGCACAATGTCTTGTTGACAACTTACCCAACTTGGGCTGCAAATGCTGGTAGGTATCCACTTGACGTGTTAGGGACTCCAACTTTTGTTGTAGACTGGCCATCTCTGCCTCGTTTTGACTCATCACAGCCTAGTTGAAAATAGGCTTCAGGAACGTCTCAGTTGCACACATACCAACGCAGCACACTAACTCTAATGTACTCGGAATCCACCACTGGACGATTTCGAATTTTTCTCACACTTGAAGCATACGTCAATGTATTGTAGCTTTCGAAATCAGTGAGAGGAGAGAGAGTGGCTACCATCAACGTCCTTGCCTGACCACCGATGCTGTCTTGCAAAAGCCGAGTCAACTTGGAATCTCGATACGGAACTACTTGCTAAAGGTTAGATTGACAGCGAGGTAGTGAACAAATAGCAAAGGAGACTTGCCATGAGCGGATCCATCATTCAGAGCGTTAATAACCCGGCCCAACGCCAACAGACTGACATTAATATTTCCAGCTTCTTTGATACTGCCACCTACTACACCAGATCGCTCTATATTCTCAGAGCCAGCTAGATCAACAATTGTTAATCTGCCGCGACAAAGGTAGTCTTGTCGGTTTGCGAGTTTCTCCTTAATATCCAACATGCATATAGTATGAGATCGACTGGATCGTTGATTGAGGAGAGTTTCTGAAGTCTTTCGTGCTTCAGCACAACGGATTATAGTTTTTAGTAAATCGGTGCTGTTGTGGAAGTCTTGTGCACTTAATCCTAGCACTTTGACACCAGATCCTTCAGCGTTCGAATGAATACGTAATGATTCTCGAGATGCGGTTTGTGGTGCCATCAAGTCCATCATTTCTTCATTGTAGATTTCCAAATAGCTCATTTGAATGATAGCATCACTGCCCTTGAGCTCATCAAACAACATGTTGCATATACGAGGAAGGATTCCGGCTCGTTCAGACAAAGCAGCTACATGCATAATTGTAAGACTTGTTCACATACATGTTTAAACACAGCAAAGACTCAACTTGTTGGATCATCTTCAGAAGGCAAGTCAGCACCGAGTATTGTATGTGTCTTTCCAGAAGAAGTAGCACCGTAAGCGAATATAGTGCCACTAAAGCCACATAGCGCAGATTCCACGACCTTTGAGACGGCTTCATCAAAGACAGCTTGCTGATTGCATTCTTGAGGAAAGACATGGTCAAATTCCCATCTCTTGTCACCAGCGATGATTGCTTGTCTTCCATCTCGATCACATTCAAATGCAGTGGAGGAAGGTACTTCGCTACCATTTGGAGGCCTGATTCTGACGGCAACTAACAATTGAAAACGTCAGTATTTTGTTGCGAGTAGTTCTTTGCGCAGACATGACAAACTGAAGAGCGCAAACACGACGGCCACATGCTGATGTAACAGATAACACTTGCCTCTTATTGTTTCGTCTGTTCCTTCCATCTTGACTGTGATTCTATTGGGCTATCGGATTTAAACGTTTGTCGAGTTGTGACACTGTGACGAGCGACGCATTGCAAGTTGAAGGACGCGTATACAAAGATTATATAACATTTCATTTGATTTTGAACTAGATTGGGTGCTCGAATATCAGTGTTTCGCGAAACTCAAGTGCATTGCGCAGAATACACACGTCGATCAAGAGGCCCTGACAGCACGGACTACCACTTTTTTGTTGGATCGCAGAGCAATTCATAACGTTCGAGACCTTCTAACCCCGTCTTGCTTTGTACATAGCCCGTCTCGTCTTTTCCAACTGCTCTGCCACACTCACAATTTCAGAAAGGCCACGCTCACAGTTTTCAGTAAACGCCACCAAAGAAGAGTGCATTCACATTCTTTACATACCAATAGCGTCACATAAACCCGTCAAACCTCTCTGCATCCGCCACTGAACCACTGAAAATCAAAAAAATGGGAGACGACAGTGAAACCACCGTCGAATTTGATGATGATGTGATCGCCACAATGAATGTTGACACCTCCATGGATGATTTACGTGCTGCGATGGCCCAGCTAGACCGCAAAAAGGGTGAAATTGTATGTGCTTGTGTGCTTCGACAACGATTGCATCACAACAGTTAGTGTTGATGGAGCTCACACCGTCCAATACACGGTTGAAGACTGCTTTCGCATCACTCAAGAACGTGTCGATCAAGCTCATACCGCACAATCCACGGTTAATAGGAACGACGACGGGATTTTGAACAGCAAAATGAAGATCGACGACGGGAGATGATTGAACGTCAGTCGTCAATGGCTGATCCCAAACAAAGGGACATGTACAAGAAACAGCTGGATTTGATGAAGTAGGTCCTAAGCTCTCCGTCTTTCCAACTTGATGCACCCGGTAAATACTAACTGTCAATTTCAATTTCCTGCAGAATGGTGGCAAGAAATTCGGAAATGAGAGTTCGAACAGACACCCAAAATTTAAATCAATCAATCTACCGGCTTCAAAAGCTTACACAACAAAAGCAAGATACTGGTACGATTATGGGCACTCCTTTCCACTTCCTCCAACTTATTGCCTCACATTCACTTACACACGCACTTACACGTTCGCTTGCACTCAGAATCAAGGAATCTGGCAGACAAGCTAGACAAAATGGGTGCTAATTTCAAACAGCTTGGTTTCAATCCGGATGATCCGCTATTGGCGGCAGTCCAAGCTCGAATGGCTGACAAGAATAAAGCCATAAAATCGTTTGATGTCATGTTGTCGTATAACTGGAATCATCAATCAACAGTCATTAAGATCATGGAGGCCCTTGCCGCCCGAGGATTTACAGTGTGGCTGGATCTAGATCAGGAATGTGGTTGATTAGTGTTTACGACAACCAATATAGTCTTACGATTTGAAGTATTGTTATTAGATGGCTGGGGACGTGTATGCTAAAATGGCGGAAGCCGTTTTGGGTGCTCGAGTAGTGATACCGTGTTTAACTGCTGCCTACGAGGTATTGAACTGCAGGCAAACAAACTGATCCACAAGTTTCTGATCTTTTTTGACCCTGTAGGCATCACCAAATTGCAAGCGAGAGCTGGCTTTCGCTGCAGATCAAGTCAGGACGGGAAAGAAGATTATACCAGTCAGATTGGAAGATGGTCCCTTCACATGGTCCGCACTTATAACGGCTGGACTCTTGTGTATGTCGTGTCGTCAAGATGCTGAAGTTGACCTTCTCGTTCTTAACTCTACCTTCTCTCACATCAGACACGTATATCGGGCCAGACCAATTATCAACTGATGCAAAATGGAATGAAGTGATGGATTCACTCGCCAAAGAAGTTGGACGAGCGATTGACAAGACACCGACTTTAGCGTCTCCCGTGGAAACAACACCTGGTGTTGCTCCCTCTGGTTCGGAAGCACCTATAACTGCTGCTTCAGCTGTCACGGGTGTTGCGACACCGCCAACAACGCCCAAACTCCCTGAATTCAAGACATTGCCAAGGACACCACCATCTGGAACAATAACCCCTCCGATACCATCAAGTAATAGTGGTAGTGCTGATGTTGTGGAATTGCAGAGTAAAGTGGATGTATTGGAACAACGGGTGCATCATATGGAGGAGGTAATTGAAAAGCTCATTGATGCACAGAACCGCGGGAGGTCAAAATCATGGTTTCGTGGTCGACGTGGTTGATTAGACACGTTGGAGTAAATGTCATTTGCATCTTGTTAGCCCATATACACAATACATGACTTAAGTGTTCATAATCGTTGTGGGTGAGAAGCACGATGTTCTTGTATGACTGTTCATTCCATATAGTTCGAGGATAGATTACAAAGTTCCTTTCCCTTCAAAAAAGACACAAATGCACACCAAAATCCGACAAAACAAAACCTGTAAGCTTATCGAGGCACTGTCCAAAGTTCTTCTTTCAAAGCATGCAGAGTCAAGATCACATGGTGAGAAGGTTTAGTAGCCCTTAAAAAAAGTCCGACGCGTGTCGGCTGTCAAACTCCTTACAACCATCGTCCTGGTCGATTTTGTAGAATCGTTCGTTCAGCTTGACCTTCCGAAACAACCTTCTGTTACGTTTGAGGAGTAGCAGCCATGGTAAGAATGCATTACAATACCCGCTAATCTCGCTTGTTGACTCGGTGTTTCCCTCTTCAATCAATCGAGCTAACTTTTTTTCTTCTGGGTCTAGCCTCAAAACGAGCACATTGAAGAATCCATCAAAAAGCATGGTAGACGATTGGATTACGACGAGCGAAAGTATGTACAAATATTAGATCAACCACCGTCTCGTTCCCTTGGTTGTCTGGTTATCATTGACAACATTTCTCACATCAAACACTTTTTTTCTTAAAGGCGAAAGCGTGAAGCTCGAGCTGTCCGTGATCGTTCAGACAAGGCTCAAAACCTTCATGGTCTAAAGGCCAAGATCTTCAACCGAAAGAGATTCGTAGAGAAGATCCAAATGAAGAAGACGTAAGCTACTTTCACAAGAGGTGTGGTCGTAAAACTTATAACATTTCTACACTAGTATCAAGATGCATGAAGAACGAAACAACAAGAATAAAGCTGCAGAGCAACCATTACAAGAGGGTGCCATTCCTACCTTCTTGTTGGATCGTGAACAACAGCAACGGTCAAAAGTTTTATCAAACATGATTAAACAAAAGAGGAAGGAAAAGGCTGGTAAATGGGCCGTGCCTCTGCCCAAAGTACGAGCTGTCGATGAAGCTGAGACGTTTAGAGTTGTCAAGTCTGGAAAGAGTAAAAGTGAGCAAGTCAAAAACCTAGCTGTCGACAATACACTGAAACCCATTTCTCAACCGCGTGGTACTAACCCTCCATACTCATCTCTCTTTAGCCAAACAATGGAAGCGAATGATTACAAAAGCTACTTTTGTGGGTGAAGGATTCACTCGTAAACCACCTAAATACGAACGATTCATTCGACCCATGGGTTTACGATACAAGAAGGCTCATGTCACTCATCCTGAATTGAAGACTACCTTCCAACTCCCTATATTGGGCGTAAAGAAGAATCCTCAATCACCTTTATACACTCAATTAGGTGTCATCACAAAAGGAACAGTGATTGAAGTCAATGTGTCTGAATTGGGATTGGTGACTCAGAGTGGTAAAGTTGTCTGGGGGAAATATGCTCAAGTTACAAACAATCCTGAAAAGTGAGTGTCTGCTCGCATTCGACGAGTCTGGCCGGTGTTTTTCTGGCTTCATCCTCTCTTTCAGCAACCAACCCTCTCTCTTTCTAGTGATGGATGTATAAACTCCGTTTTGCTCGTATAGTCGTATTTTGTATAGCATAACAACTCTCTTCTTTTGTAATTTTATCCCGATTGATCTATAAAACACTCTTCAACAAACACCAAAAGAGTATTAAGCAAACTATGCATTATTTAACCCTGGTTCACAACCGTGAGGGATTTGCAGGTACACTAGCAGTAAACACTTCTTTCATTTCTCGAAGAGCAGCCTTCAAATTTTCTTCAAACACTTCTGGTTTCATCTCAGCCTTGCAACCAACACCAAAACGAAGATCCCTTGGCTTCACATGATAACAAATGCCATAGCCGGTTGGTGTTACCTGATAGTAAAAGATTCGGGTTGTCAGTGCCTGATCGTTGAAACTTACACTAGGTTACTTTTCCTTCTCGTATTTTACCTCTCCAAACCCAATCTGCTCCACGTATGGATGATCCAGAGTCGACGTGGACATGTACCATGTTCTTGTCTCATCAAACATGGGATCACTGAATATAGATGGCATCGTCTCTGAAGAATCCACCAACAATTTTAGACCTATTCAAATATGTTCGACTAAGCACAAAAACGGAATCATAGGACACAGCTAATTGCACGGGAAACCGTAACGTATTTCATACCGAAAAGATGCCTATCAAGTCCTTGTGCCATTGCACCATCAGAAGCATTGGTCTGATGCGTTTTGGCAGCCAGCCTCCCCAACTCTGATTTCACATTCACGTCGACACTAGCATCACTCATAGCTTTACACCAATTAGCAGAATCAACAGAACAACTACGACATGTTTCTGTTCTTCCATATTGGAATTGGCGGGTCTGTACTGATTCATACGTTCCACGACATTTGCCATGAGTCTTGTAGTATGCTAACTGCATAGCCAATTGTGCATATGCATCTGGTGGCACTCCCATCTTTTTGATGTGGTCTCGACCGTATTCGGAAAAAAGGACTTGTCGGAATGTATGTGTTGATATGAGCTTGTCAAAGTTGGTTTGGGCGGTGTTGATGTGTTGTTGAAGGGACGGGGTGATGTCGAATTCAAGGTGTTTGGGCGGCGGTAGCTTCGATGCTTGATGTGGCTCTCGAGACACGCCATGGTCTAAATCGTTCTTTACCATCCTTTGTAAGAAACCAAAGTGTTGGTATGTCCGTAGACAAACGAAGAAATAGCTTCTTTTCGCGACCCTACCGTTCACAGATATACTCAGTCATAGTACTCGTTGGCATACCATCAAGCATCGAATGCTCCATCAGCAATCCAAGTCGACCTGAGTCAAAAACGACCCATTGTATTGGAATATCAAACCACCTGTTCTTGCCATCACCGTGCCAAACGCCTCGAATCGACTAGGTTGCAAAAAAGGTCAATAAAGCATTGGAAATCGTTCTACACGACCAACGACCTACTTCGTAAATATTAGAAGGAGTTTCTGCTTCTAAACTAACTAGGAAAGCAGCAGTTTCGATATCTTCTATCGATGCTTGATTTTTGATGGAGGCGTTGAGTAGATCCGTTCGAGCCTGAATAAAGGAAGTACGGCGTCAGTGCTTGTTCATTTAAACGTGAATTTTCAAGAATCTTCTCGCTATACCTTTGTCCAATTATCACGATTATCAGATGTCAAAATACCAACGGGAACATCCGCCTTTGATTTATCCGCCATTTCGTAAATCTTTAGCAATTGTCTAATGAGCAGATTGAGACTTATAGGGAGTGATAAAGTAACTAATTTCAGCAACATATTACCCTTCGATTTGTTCTGTAGAGATGCTACTAGGCAAGTCCAGCCGAAAGAAACGACCTTGACGAACAACAATGATATGATTATGTATAGCTGGATCTGTCACTCGAGTCATGTCGCTCGGTATAACAGGTATTCTGCAAGAATTAAACATCCACATATAAGGATCCATGCTGAGAGGCGACGTTTTGACCATTTCCGTTTCTAGCATGCCAGTATTTATCAACTTGCGAAATCGTAGTGTTGCTTGAATCGTTTCTGCAGCTCTTCTAGCAGGTTTGTTGACCAAACGAGGTACATCACTTAGAACAAAGAATGGCGACACGTATATAATTACTGGATCTCGATATGCTAAAATATATGAGCAATGTTAGATATTTCGTCACGAAAGTGTAACTTTCGCACGTTACCCATGTAGCCGTGAACTCTCCACCAATCGTACAGCCAGCTAGTCTTGCTTTTGGCTGGTTTGCCTATTCCATTTATATCCTTGTCTGCTACTATAATGGCTTCGCTCCAGTCCGTCAAGTGTGTAGCAGCACGTTCCTGTAAGCGTGCTTGCAATTTATCACCCATGCCTCCTGGTTGACGGAACGTTTCGACGGCTTTAACTGTATTGGCATATTCTTCATCATTTGCTATAGCTCTGACGGATCTTAGATACTTTTTCAGCGTTGATGAGAGCTCGGGAACGGGTAGAAATGGTATTTTCGATTGATGCTTGAAGAGTGGCTTCTCAGCATCAGCAGGAGCTAATAATATTGCATGTGTGAGTGCTACAGTGAATATTATTTGTTGGATGAGCTTACCTATTGTCTTAAACGTTTTCATGTTCAACAACGTTTGTGAAAGAACCACTCTAGCACGAGGACTGTCAATATTGACTCGATGGCGAGCAGACAAGATTGTTGTGGTCAACCGCGCTAACCGTCCACTCATCAGAAGCACGAGCGACCGGTACCGCAACTGACGCTGTTTTTGTGCTTTCGAATGTACGACGTATCAAACTTTGAACTGCGAGATCATAAGAGTTGGAGCATAAACGATCTCGAAACTTGACGCGTTTTGCAGCTCCGAATCGTTTGTTTTGTTTTCTATCTTTTGCTACTGTGCAGATACAAGAAAGTGATCAAAAAGAAGGAGGCATTGCGACTACACCTTAATTGTCATAGGCCATATCCCAAAATTGAATTTCATACTAACATGACGTCTGAAGGTTAGCCTGAGAATCCAAAGAGCACGTAGTTGGTAAGAACTTGCCTCCAATACACGTTCAAAGACCAGTTGACATTCATTCCTTTCAAACTCGGACGTGTGCCTGACGTGGTGATTGACAGTTTCCTCCAACCACGAAACATGCTCAACAAGACTTTGATGAGTCCAGTGCTTCAAACATTCGTGCGCGGCTTTCGGCATGTTCTTGGACATTGTAGCCAAATGAGACACTAAGAAACAAAGGTAAAAGTGTCGAAAATTGATTTAAAACTGGCTTGATAGCTTACCATGTTTCCACGCATCCAACCAAACACGTTCAAAGGTCCAGCAGGCAACAAGGCACTTTTCAAATGTATTCAATGAGAGCAAATATGAAGCGTACGAGACGCATTGCATATTTGGACGTCCTTTGGGAGGAAATTGGGAGAGTACTTCTTTGACTATGTTGAAAGATGACGTGAGTATCGATGATGTTTCTGGTGACGAGCCATGTTGATGTGCATAGTAGCATCGTTTTTCAAAAGCAACACTTACAGAATGGAATTTCATCTTTGACGGTAGTATGAATAGCATTCGTAATTCCAGCCATCAATCGCTACAATGCAAAAGTGCGAAAAGTGCACGTGTCAGATAACACATGCAAATCAACAACCATATCCATAGTTTGAATGAATGGTCACTCACTTCAGTCTTGTCGTATTCATGCTCATTGCAGTCTTCACTGCATGGAACGAGACGAAGAATATAGCCCAAAAATTGAACTTGCTTCATGACAAAGTGACAGTCTATAGTTGAATATGATTGAAATAAGGGGTAATATAAGTACTTAAAGTACACTGAAATATCACAATACAATGATCTTCAAAACACAAACGACTCTTGAAATGAAACAGACGAAATTTCAGAGACTCCTTACAACCATTCTATGACACAACGTACCTTGAGCCAAAAAGTATTGGAAGCATTTTTCAGAGATCTTTCCACCTGCCTGCAAGATAAAAAACAAATGTTATAAGACATCATCGATCTGCATCATGAGGATCTCGCACAAAAGTCGTTCGGTCATAAGGTTACCAAATCATTCAAGAACTTTGACTTTTCAGTAGCCTTTTCATACAGCTCATAATGATGTTCTTTGAATTTGTCAGTGATGTTTGATATGGTCATTGCTGACTTTTCCTTGTTGCGTCGTGTTGCTTTGGAATTTTCGAATTTATGAGGGAGAATGGTGAGCGAGGCTGTCACATGAAAGAACCAGGGAAAAGCTAGAAAACATTGCTTTTCAAATTATTGGACGTGTAAAGACGCGTCTCTTACCTCCGTAATGTATTAAGTCATCACCGTCGCTCAAATGGTACCATCGAATCATGCTCGACCCTTCACTCAAAAAACAAAAAACACGTAAAATAAATACCAGCCATGGAGAGTGAATGCGCAATCGACCGCATTGACGCAGCATTACGTGAGTTAGACGATATCGCAGCCGCTCAACAACACATCCGTGCTTCAGCCTCAAACACGCTCACCAAGAAAAGCAATATCTTTTCACGACTTTTTGTACCGAGATTGCCTGGATCATCTACATCGAGTAGACATTCACGAAATACGTCATGGAGTACGTCGATAATACACTCCAAGGCAGCTGCTGCTGATATAGAAGTCACGTTTGAAGCTCTAGCAGCAAACACGGTGAAACGAATGCAGGCACGAGCACAGTTAGAATCAGCAAGAGCTACAATCAAATTAAGTGAAGACACAGTGTCTGAGATGTTTTCTCGTAGCAGATACATCATTAATTCCGAAGACAGTTTGGAAGTAGTTGATGAATCAGTCACCACCACCACAAAACATACGATTACGATGCATCATGTTGACCATCCCAGTAACAAGTACAAGGCTCCCATACTGAAATACGGATGGAAAGAGCGTGCTGAATCGGAAAATGAGGAGGTTATCAAGCTAGTGGCTCCAGACGTTACAAGAGACAGTATTGCGGCAGTGTCTCAAGATATCACTGCAGTAAATTCACCATTCGATGTATCGCCGTTAAACAATCGTGGATCTGTAACGAAAGAAAAATATGGAATTGATGATGATGTAATGGTAGCACCCAGGAGATTGTCCGCTGTGAGACCTGTTGGAGTCAAGGTATTGTGGTGTGCAAGTACTTTTTTTGTTGTTGGGAAACACCTTGCGTCCCACACTGACCCAAACCTCTATCAATTATACAGATCGACATGTTAATAAGCAAACTCGACGCCGAGCACCGAATGTCTCAATGTGCTGCCCGCATCTCCACAACACAACGAGACTCAGTAGCCACCATAACATCCCAGAACCGTCAAGCCTCTCCAGACCCTTTAACTAGTAATAGCAGACCACCACTCATCCCTGAAATATCACCAGCAAAACGCCGTGAACAATTCCTTGATGCCTGTAAATCGTATACTCCAGCAGCATCACCGTCTCATTTAAACCTCCCACAACTCGACCGCATCTCTTCGTCAATGTCGTCAACGAGATCCGGTCAAAGCCCTATTCGATCATGGATGACTCAATGGTTTGAGTCGTCACACCCACAACAGCAGCAACATGTTTCATCTTCTGCTCCAACCAGAAGACGAGTATCATCGTTATTCGATGATTTGCATCTAAGTGATTTGAGAGATCAGGTGCCGATATCGCCATTGGACTATGTGTTGACCGAGTATATATATAGCAGAGACTCAGAGGATAACAGTGCAGTTGAAAATTTGAGAAGTGAGGTGAATGGCCTGAGAGGAGTGGTTGATCAGATGAAGAGTAGATTGCAAACCGCTATTGAAATCTCTGAAAGTGGACTCTAGTAGTGGTGTTAGATAGTAGTTGTAGATATTACAAAACAAGGTGCTAGTCAACAAAATCCAATGCCTATGCCTTGTCGATGCTTATATTCAAAGTTTGTTTGGGGGGTTTTCATGCAAACACCATAGATTTTATACATTTTTGCTCCTCTTCCGACTGCCCTTGGCTCCCCTCCTCCTACTCTGTACACCTCAACAATCACACCCTCTTCAGAAATCATTCAATACCATCATCATATAATCTAATTCTTGTTCAGCAACTTTAAAGCCTTGATTGATTTTATTGAGCATATCCAGACGCCGCTGTTGATCTGGAGACATCTCTTCACCCAATTCCAAATGTTCCAAAGTTGTGGTAAACTTTTCCACTTCCATTGCTCGACGTGCTTTGAGATTTGCAAGTGCTTTTGTTATGGTTTCGACAGTATTTGCTACGACCAAGTCAAAGTTGACAAAGTATAGGAAGAAGGTGTTTTGGGTTGTGAGATCAAGACGTTTTGGTACAGCCTATCAAGACCAATTTGGGGAATGAGACGAATGTTTTCTTTTCAATAGCACTGAAGAAACACGACAACAAACAAAGGAGCGTGTCCACTCGACAATGGCAACCTACTTGCATCTGAATGTATCCCCGATCGAGTAATGGATACAAGGCTTTTCGGGTCTCTTTGCTCGATGTCAATGCCAGTTTGCTGATCTAGATAAAAGAAACAGGCGCGAGAGTTGAGCAATCATTTGCGCAGCAGCTTTTCACCAGCCAGCCCAAATAACACGTACTGTCTTTTCATCCAGTTTGTTTTCTGTGAGCAGTAAATTCCATAGCCGAAGCGAGACTTTTCCAAAGCTTTCAAGTACATATTTGCGGAGTATTTCAAGTTTCAAGAAGTGGTTGTGTTCCTAATGTAACCGAGAATCGATAGTGCGTTAGGACACCATGATTTGTATAAAGAAGACGATATTTTTGGCTTCTTCATATCCTGTCCGTCCGCCTTGCTCCTACCTTGAGTGGAACAAGATACTCTCCACCACCCATCATAGAATCACCTGGCTTGATGACTTGGAAATGACCATCATATCGAGCCAGTCTGAGAAGTATTTCTTGTTCGGGGAATGGGACTGGCGAGTATACTTCTTGTTGTTGTGCCAATGGAGCCCCATTTGTACGAGGGCGAGGAGGACCGTTTCCAGTAACAGAAGAAGAACCATTTACGTGGCCTTCTTCTATATCGCGTTTTGCATCTTCGTCTACATGATACACCGCGAGAGGTATATTAGCAGTTTGGAGGAGGGCTTGGAGTTCGTATTGTTTCATCGGCACTAACGCAAACGAAACATACGGTCGGTGAGTGAGTAAATTTGCAAAAACAGCGGAAGACAATGAAGCCAATACACGCCGATGCATCCATCTCGTGCCACCACTTACAACTATCGATATCCACTTTGCAAGAAATCATCTTTGATTCTTCAGCATCCAAGATGGCTTTGGCAACAACACCTGCTGGAGGACCATGTTTTCGAGAAGCTAATGAAACAATGGCCTAGGATAGCTTATAGGTCAGGCTTTTGCTGCTTTGATCTTTAAATATGTAAGGGTTTCCGTACCTGGTTTCTCAGATTGATATGGAACTGATCATAGTTCAATCTCCAGAAGATGGCGTCCTAGAAAAGGATCCAGAAAGGTGAGCAAAAAAGGATCCAACGAGATCAAGGCACGGGAACTTACATCCACATATAATTCGAAGACGGTCTTTCTTTTCTACAAACCAAAGTGTTTTGTTAGCGTTCATTATGTCGCAAATATGAAAATGACCCTTACCTTGACTTGAAGAAAGGATTCATCATCGTCAAGCACATATTTCCGTTTCTACAACAAAAAAATGCATGTCAGTGCTGTATTCTCGACAGACTTTAAGCGAAGACCTAGTATTACAAAGACATACCAGGCCATCCAAAGTCTTTTCGACGGAAACTTTACGATCCTCGTCATCCAATTCCTTCTTCATCTTGTCCTTTGTTCGAATGTTGAATGTACTAGATGACTTTTCCTTCCATTGTTTCTCAGCTTCTAGCCGCTTATCAGCAAAGGTTTGGACATCGTCGGGAGTGGTAGGTTGTATATATTTGGCGTCAGCGAGTTGCTGGAATGAGTCCAAGAGCGCGTCGTAGTCTGGATAGTTGGTCTTGACGGCATCGAAGATAGAGTTGAATGTACGACGACCATAGAGGAGGATGTATTTGACGATGAGTTCACCCTGTTTGAGGGAGTGACGTGTGAGTGCTGATGGTGGACGCGGCCTTGATGAAACGACCAAAAAACTAGAATGCCGCTATGAGCATACGCAGCAGCACATCCTTTCTCTCCCGCTTCTGCATGAGACTCTCTCACATGCTCTCATCACTCTTCTGCAGCCAACAGATACTCACCAATTCACCAAACTTGTCCTGGGCAATGACGAGATAGAGACCGAATCGTGCCCTGTATAGGATTTTGCGTGGATCGGCCGAGTAATAGGAGACGAGTCTACTTCCTTCCTGCTGCTCCTTGTAAGAGGCGAGGCCGAGGTCGAGCAGAGTGGTCAACGATTCTAGGATGAGTCGTTCCTTGTAGGTAGTGTAGTCCATCAGTTGTCGAATGTTCAATCTGCCCCTCTTGAGGAGTTCATGGGCTACAGCCTAGGCGAAAGAAATAGATTAAAATATGTTGGTTCGACACATGGAAGCTCGAGATATGAAACCCATTTTGATGGCAAGTCACTTTCTTTAGCTGAGCTTTTACCTCGACAATCTCTCCCAAGTGCTCCCGTATGATGCAGTCGCAGAGACGAAGCAAATTGGCATTAGTAGATGGCATCGTTATATCCTGCTATGGGCAACATCTACCCTGTTTCAATCTATCTTTCTGTCGTTTTTGAAGTAACGCACTAGGAAGGCGACGAGTTATAGAAATGACGAGAGTGACGGGAGACTGAAAGACGCATTGTGTTTACGTGTAATTTGGTAATTTGAGAATACATAGACTGTAAGACCTTCTCTCCACATGCCAATTCAACAGTTTTGATCATCCTCATCATATGCGATCAAGAATCTGAAAAAACCTAGTTCTAACTGACGGAACCACGTTTATTACGTGTCTACATACTATCCTTTCATAATAGAGCCCTTTTAGTACCGTGGAACTACCAGCCAAGTCCTTGTTCTCTAGGTTCAATTTTTTTTTTTCGCTTTTTTTTCGCACTCTTAAAACCCATACTTTGAAGCTTGTTTGAGGCGAATCACATTGGACTAGAGACGAAACTGGGAAGATATCTAATCTATATTAGCAGCTAGATAGGCTAGGCCGGATATACAATGGCCAAGAAGCACCGCCAGCAACCACAGTCGGCTTTTTCTACTGCAAACTCGGCTGCCTCATCCTCCCTCGCTGCATCTACCGTCGCAACCACCGCATATCCTATATCGGCTTTTGGATCCACCAATGCCCAATTCGCAGCCATTTCCACCGCCGTCGATGCTCAAAGACTCAAAATTTGGGATACATGGACATCCACTTTGCTCATCGACTGGCTCATTCCAACTACTGATAATACTACCAGCACAAAATGCACTTGTCTAGCTTGGGGTGCTTTGATGTTGGACACTATCTCATCTTCTTCCTCTGCTGAGGTATGTGAAAACCAGATCTTTTTTTGTCGATTGGACAAAACACTCAAACAACCCATTAGGACGGTAAACGTAGAAAGAAGAGGAAACATCATGCAATGACCAATGGTATGGCCACTGAATCGCCTGCCATAGCCCTCGGAATGGACTCTGGAGATATCAATCTGTTCCTAGTAGCTCAATCCCAAGTCTCGAAAACCTTGTCTGGCGTACATACTACTCCAGTAACTGATGTATGCTTTGCCCATACATCTCAACGACTGTATTCTGGTTCTAGAGATGGTATCATTGTAGAATGGGATTTGTCAAAGGGATCGTCATTAAGGTAGTGGACGCCACGTCTCGTTTTTGGGGCGTTTGACAAGATCTCCCTAACTTTCTATTATACCCAAAATAGATCCTTCGCGTCAGATATGCCATCTATACAGAGACTCGTATTAAGCCACGACGACAAGAAATTGTTGGCTGCCTCATATACTATACAATTGTATGATTTAGAAACGTCTGCAATCTCAAAGGTATGATGGTGGTCATCGAATCCTTTTTCGGGAGTCGAGGTTAGATTCTTATGCTCTTTCTTCTCGCTTTAGACATTCACAGGTCATGCTGCTCCAATAACGCAGTTGTCATTCAATGCTGATAGCACAAAGGCCATCTCTGCTGCTGATGGTGATAACTTTATATGTTTATGGGATTGTACTGAAAATGGAATCACGGGAAACGCTGCTGGTATGTGCGAACTATTCATAGTTGTATTACGTTTTTTTGCGTCGGTAAAAATCTCCCCAAACCTCTAACTCGCGATTCTCGCCATAGCATTAACTATGGACGTGCCACCTGTACATGTAAATCTATCTGAAACTATGCACGTTCTAGCCATCACTGGTGCTGGCCAAGTAGACATATGGGATTCATTACTGGCTGCACCACCATCAGCATCAACAGTGTCAGAAGCCGCCCCTAAAAAGAAAAAGAAGAAAAATTTGGTTGATACTAGACGTCCTGATGGTCATATTGTCGTGGGCTGTATAGATCAACCTGAATCGATGGTACCTATACTAGCAGCTCAATTTGCGGATGGCCAGATCGTTTGTGCTCGTGGTAGTCCTTTGAAACCTGCTTTTGAACGTTTGGTAAGCTGTTTATGTGATGCTACGAAACCGCTTTTTTGTTGAAAAAAGTCCAGCAAAAAAAACATCTGTGGGAATTTGCTATGTCTGTGCAAAACGCTAATATTTCTTTCTCGCGCCGTCATATCAATTAGGCCTATCTGGATGAGTCAGGACAAGTAATATCAAATATGCATTTATTAAGACCTTCTGCATCATCCTTGCTAGTCGACGAATCAACTCTGACAGAACAACGCCTAAAAGCATCACACAAACCCCATAATGATTCAGATATGCAAGTGATTCAACCCGAATCTCTTGTCATGCCTGAAGTCCGTGATGTTGACATGTCAGATTCAGATACACCACTCATCGCAAACGAACCTTCACTAGCGGATCGAGTAGCTGGCCTGATAATTACACCACCTATTACACCCTTACGTGATGGTCTGTCAAATAATAATGGCGATGATCAACAGCAGCAGCAGACGAGACTACCCTTTAAACCATCAGCAGCATCACTATACGGTCTCTTATCACAGGCCATACAATCAGGAGATCGACACTTGATGGAGCAGGTACTATCATTACGAGATCCTAAAATGGTTGCTACCACTGTATACCGTTTATCAGGAGCACAAGTGCTGCCCTTCCTAGACGCCATGCTGGAACGTCTCCAAAAGAAACCACTACGAGCTAGTGCGCTAGTGGAATGGATACGAGCAGTGCTAGTCACTCATGCACCATACTTGACCACGGTACCTAATCTAAGTACCCGTCTAAGCACACTATATTCCACACTAGAAACACGGACGGGAGTGTTTAGTAAATTGGTTTTGCTGCAAGGGAGATTGGATTTCGTCATGACGCAAATTGAAACTAGGAAGAAATTCGCTGGAGGTGACATTCAATTTAATGCTGATGAGGAGGCTGAGGTTGTGTATAATGAGGAGGATGATATTGAGAGTGAAGATGGTATGGATTATCGTAGTCGTGGAGGAGATGACGAGGAAGACGATGAGAATCAATGGGAGGATGAAGTGTCGTCCAATATAATACCTCGTGTTGACGATGATGAGGAGGAAGAAGACGAAGATCAAGATGACGATGACGAGGTAAGGTTATTTTCTCACTAGGGGAGCTCTACGTTTTTGCTTGGTAAATGCAAAGGAGGACCCCCACCCCCGTCTCTAACGATCCTTTATATAGGACGATGTTGAATCAGCCATGTCTGAAGACGCCGATGACATAGTCGTCGATCAAGAGAGTGACGACGAAGAAGATGGTTCTAAAAAGAGAACGGGATGGATTGAAGACGACGAGTAGCTAGTTAGTAATTAGTTTATAACAAGTCGAGGAGTCCTCATAACCGTCATCTACCATCTACCTAAAATCGAAAGCAAAAAACGTTTGCATATCCACCCTTCCCGCACGCAATTTATAGTTATAACCAACAACAAGCTAGCAAACCTGCTAGTTTACACTTTGTCAACCGTATAAAAACCAAATAGAATGAAAAAAAAAATTCAAAAAGTCGATATGAAATATGTTTTTGAAATACTAACACTTCGCGTGTTTTTTTACTTCTTTTCGTACTCGTAAAAGCCTCGTCCACTCTTCTTTCCTAATCATAATTCAAATGCGATGAGCGAGCGACCGAATGAGAGAAAGCAGACAGCCAAAAAAAAACTCGGAATTTCAAACAAGGATTTGGTTGTAACTTGCCTAACCAACCAGCGTCAACATATTTAGTCAAAAGGGGAGCAGGTCTATACTTTGTATCGCCCAATTGCGTATTCAACACCTTCATAATCGCCAAACACGTATCCAACCCAATGAAATCGGCCAGCGTCAAAGGGCCCATTGGGATATTAGTTCCCAATTTCATTGTTGTGTCAATGTCCTCTTTCGTTGCAATTCCCTACAGAAATCAGAACAGGTCATTTTTACTTGAGATCATTTTTTGGTGTATAAACTCCAAATCCCATACCTCTTGCAACACGTAAACAGCCTCATTGATATATGGCATAAGGATTCGATTAGCGATGAATCCAGGCATGTCCATACTTTCTGTAGTCACTTTGCCCATCAATTTGGCAAGCTCATGAGTCGTTGCCAATGTTGCGGCGTCAGTCGCCAATCCAGGAATGATTTCGACTAGTTTCATTACTGGGACTGGATTGGCGAGGAGAAGTTAAGAATTGAAGACACGGGCAGCAATGGAGACCTCTTTCTACCTGGATTCATAAAGTGCATTCCAATAACCTGTTATGTTTGGTGAGTTTGATGAGAAGCAATGGCATTTGAATGGCGGTGAGTGTTTTAAGTACTACCTTGGTTGGCCGCTGTGTCGAAGCAGCTATTTTCGTAATAGATATCGAGGACGTATTTGAGGCCAAAATACAATGTGGTGGTGTAAGCTTGTCCAGGCCAAGAAACAATTCACGTTTCAAGGCGGGATTTTCACTGACTGCCTATTGAGTTCGGAGGACGTATAATCCATAATGAGACCCTCCTCCAAGTTTAGTAGGAAACAATCAATAGAGGTATTCCAACGTTACCTCAATGACATAATCGCAAGAAGAGAAATCTCTAATATCTGATGTACTTTTTATTCTTGATTTCGTTTCGTCCTTGTCAGCAGTGGTGATCTTGCCCTTGACAACATCCTTTTCCAAGTACAAGTCTGTGAGAAGGTGCATATGTGTGAGATACCCCAAGTTCTAACATCGAGGGTCCGCGTAAATGTCCAATTCAGTAAATGCTCTATCGAAGATACGTTCATCACATCCAATAAATAAGAAACCTCATTAGCATTACGTATCAAACACCAACCTATAAGCTTCATTCCTTTAGCAACTTGTACAGGGTTGGAATCCAGCAAGATGACTGATAATTTAGCTACATGAGCTGATACATGAGCTATTCCAGTTCCCATTTGGCCTGCTCCAATGACACCAATAGTGCGAATACGACTGGTCTAAAAAAAGGCGGATGTTTGGAATTTGGAGCAAATTGATTTTGGGTTTTATACAAGATGATGACGTGATTTCCGGTGTAAACAAGTAGTTCCCATATTAATTGAGTGACTATAGTTCTTCAGTGTTCAAGCTTACATCATGACATACTCTCGTCGAGTGAATGGATGCTCTCTGTTAATTTTGAGTATACGGACGTGGACAATAATTAGCAAAGGCACAATTAAGAACACAATGAAAATATGCACCTATACCTGTATATGGCCTACTAGCACTCTGGCGAACGTTTTATATGCTCTCATATCTGTTTCTGGTCTCGTGTGTTTTACTATTGCCTCGCTTTCAAGCACACCGACAATTCATGAATCTGGAGCTACAGCACACAATTTTCTGTGAAGTAGACTTGAACCACTGATAAAGCTCTTTTCTATGACTGTTACGCGGTGTTTGGCGGCATGGACAGAAGGAAAAACGCCCTACAGATTAAGTTTTTTTCTTCAAGTTTCGAACGATTCAATATAAACAGCCTGAATTGACCATAAGCAGCAATAAGCACATTCAAATATGGACGTAGAGACGCGTATTGGTTAAATTCTCAAGGTCGACGTAATGAAATCTGCTGCCCAAGTATATAATGCTTATGCCAGTTCTAGCAGTGTCAACTTGCAGCTCGCTGAAGCGGCCACCATGGAGTGGTTCACTCAAAAGAAGCGAAATCAGTTGAATGGGAAGCCCTTGAAAGTCTGGGATGTCTTGCGGGCCGATCCGGTAAGCAAACTTCAACTTTTCCTGATTCGAGAGATATCACAGAAGTGATCAAACACTTGTATTGACCGTAGAAAGGACTTCAATAGACTTAAATTTGATTACCCATAGGCCACAGGTCCTTCTGGAGTCTGGAGGAACAATCGTACACTTAAACGGAAACGGAAAAAGGGCAGGTGCTGTACGCCCTGCAACTCCCCATCTGTAAAACGAAACCAACCAACCACACCATCAGCTCCGTCATCGTCCTCATCGTCAGCTGGGACGAATGCTGTCACTTCTAGCCAATCCTCGTCATCATCAACAGCAGCCCCAATCGGATCAACAACAGTACCACAACCGGTAGTATTACCACCACCAGCACAACTTACAACAGCAGCTCTCCCGCAACCAAACTTTTCATTGCCAAGCCCACGTAAACCCAATGTACCCTTGCCCGCCCATGCATTTCTCGTTTTTGGTGCCAAGTCGACGCGAGTCAAACGACTTTTCGAACAATTTCAGAGTGCTCTGTTGCTGTCCGGGTTGTTGTTACCTGGTCCCATTGACAGATTTGCGTCAATTGTTCGTCACTTTGGTGGTTGAAAATGCCGTACGAGGTTTGGAGCTAGTTTCCAGTAAGAAACAAATTCTGCCACCGTGATAGTCTAGATAATACTCGAATCTCGACGACCGGAGTGTCGTACCGTCTCGAATCCTCGTTGCATCTTCGTGTTCTTTGTCCGTTTTCGACACACCTACAAACTACATTCAGAAAAATCTTTTGATTTTGAGGTATCCGCCATGGAGTTTCAGCATTAGAGAGGCCGACAATTCATTCAATTCTGGGCCGATGAGCCGATACGTTGCTCCCCAGTGCCTCCACAAATCACCCGCCAACCACCGTTTGCGTCAACGTTTATTGAAAACTCTGAGGGGAGACGAGCAGATGAATGTTATGTAAGACCTGAGAAAGAATAGGACGAGGATCAGCTAGTATTTAGGGTGATGCATCATTTGCCAAGTTGAAACACGGTGCTCCGATATTTAAGAAATTCAAGAACTGATACGTCATCCAGTGCAAAAGTCACTCGTCCCAAAAGACGGGACGTTGTCATGAGACTGTTTAATTTGCTTTTGCTGATTTAAAATTTTAATTTAAAGAGTTTGGGGTCGTGAAAGAAGGACTCTTGTGGTGAAAGGTACGCTGGCGAGCATGTTGCGTCGAACAGTTGGGAACGCGTTGAAAACAGACAGTTGGTTCGTGAAAGCTCATTGATTACGTTACTGCCTTTAGGTCTCCACCCCTGAAATGTTACGAACGAGCATTGCCGGTTTCAAGTCACGCGCCGCTGTATCTCTTGCAACTTCTATCGCTGTCGCCTTCGATACACTACCAACAATACCGAGACTCAAACAAGCCACCATCATAGCTTCACTGAGCGTAATTGGTCTCTTCAAAGCGCTGAGATTAGACCTGGTGCCTCGGCTGCCGTACAATGTCAAATCCAATTTTCTTCAGCAGAAAGGGATTCAATTCACGATAGTGCTCAAGGACATAAGGTCATAGAATAGAATTATGAAAAATATCTCAATATTACCTTTAATACCATTTGTACTTTTTGCCCCTGAAAGCTGCTCAGTGCCTCTCCAACTCAAGTCTTTGCTTGAAAGTTTTGACAATAGCGAACAACGTTGACTTCGAGAACTCCCTATCAAACCGCTGAATGTTAGCACGGTTAGCTGTAAGCTTGTGTAGTTCAGAAATAGCGTGAGATCATGATTTCGTCGAACGATGGTCTCAGACAAGCGTGTTGTTTGTTACTTGTTACTACGTGAAATTCTTTGCCTTGATTCTCAGGTTTCGACATAGCTTTAGCACACCCTGAATTAGCACGTTGGAGCGTCTCGCTTTCAACGATCGTGAATTGGAGACTTTCCAAGTTGACCGAAACCAACAGAAATTCTCTGCAGCATGCTGGCCAGCAATCGGAAGGAGAAGCAAATATCTGCTGTAAATCTTCATCGCCTAGATGAGAATGACATTGCTCCCAGTCCTTCACGTTCATCAAAACGAGAATCATCTGCAAGCCTTGCGGACGACATTGGATCATTATCGAACTCTGAGCTGGTGGAGCGACTCGTTGAAGCCTACCAGCGGCTTACTGAAACCGAAGAAAGTGAGTCTTACCCTTCTCATTACAGAGAACTAGGCATTTCACCCAATGCATCAGAACCGAATCTGGAGATAAATTGATCCCCAGCTTTTATTCTCTACTTACTATTGTTCGACTACAGATTTGGTATTGGCTGCTCAATATGGCAACGATCTACTTACTCAAAACGGGATTCTGAAGGAGAGACTGAACGCTTCGCTCTCAGCTGCAGACCCAACAATAACCCATCGGGTTTTCAAATCCCAACTGGATCCTGCAGATGCTAAACATATCGAAGATATAGAAAAGTCAAATGTGGAGTTGAATAGCAAGCTGGAGCGACTACAGCATGACTTGGAAGTAGCAAACCACAGAGGTGATCGTGAAGCCAGGAAAGGACTGGAACACGTTGAAGGATCCAAACGCCATTTAGAGGCCGCTACACGGCGTATAGCTGAGCTTGAAGAAGAACGTAAAGAATGGCTACGAGAACGAACTGGTTTGGTTCGTTCTCGTCGAGACAGTGTCGCTCCAATAAAAGACTTCGATGCTGAACGACGAGAGCTCTTGCAAAGAGTCGACGAACTTGAAGAGTCTATATGTCAGCTTAGTACGAACCTAGAACAATCCCAAACTAGTCTTGCCCAAACCGAAAGGAATTGCCATCTATTTGAAACCAAATCTGCTGAATTGGAAGCTCTTCTTCAAGAGTATCGAGAATACCGTGAAGACGCTGAACGCGCCACCGAACAAGTAGCATGCCTGTCGCAACAATTAGAACAGGCACACGATATCATAGACGAGCTAAAATCTGTAAAATCTGATGGAACTCAACCACTCGATCAGACAGGTGAAGATGAAGGCTCTCGTACGCTCTTTGGAGAAGTAGATAGCAAACGACGAGAACTAGAGGAGAAACATGTCATGCTGGCACGTCGACATCAAGGACTTATGAAGGCTCATGAAGGTGCAATATCTCAGCAGGAACGAATGCGGATGCATTTAGCTAGGCTGGCCCAGATTGCTAGTGCTAATGGTACGGTTAGCTCTGCTGGAGAGGACAAGTATACGGTCATGCAACGTGCACTCGCACAAAGTGAAGCAGAATGTCGAGATTTGAGAGATCGAGTTGCGGCTCTCGAACGAGCCAAAGACTCTCCCTTGTCACTACAATCAGATGATAGTGCTCAAGACGAAGTAGTCCAGCTGTTGAGGTTACATGTAACTCAATTAAAGCATCAATGTCGACAAGCCCGAAAAGCTTCTCAGACTTCCGATTTGTTACGTGTATCTGAAATGGAACGAGCTCGTAGTCTTGAATCATCACTAGTGGCTAAAAACGCTGAATTACAACGAGCAACTGCTGGTGCAGTTAGATTGGGCTTCGAACTGGATGCCGCCAAAGCTAAAATCAAGTTACTGCTCTCCACCAGAGAAGAAGTTGTACATGTATTAGTAGTAGGTGGTAAAGACAAATGGCACAGAGCGACTCAGACTGAAGTTATACCGAGTCATGTAGAAGGTGAAAAGGAGGGTACAGTGAGGGAAGAGGACAGCACAGTGCAGAACGAGGTGTCACTGGATCACGATGATAATCATCCGCTGGACGAAAGTATAGATATATCCCTATGGCCAGAGACCTCAAATACTCCAGAAGAAGTAGCCATCCCATCATCGACCGCAACTTCCTCGACATATGTAAATAGTCCCGCAGTATCGCCAAGTCGAATAATACCGATACGGCCCGACACGCCAACAACTCCCAGAAGCAGTGTCTTCAGTCCCATGAAAGACATGCCTAAACACGTCCAAGTACATGTAGAATCAGGAAGGACTCAAGTTGGTGAATGCGCTCAACAGTGATTTGGTTTTAGTATTGATATAGGTACTGCATTTGTGTTTATAATTAGATATAGAGTATATTACATATTGATTTTCAATGTGCAGATCGGGGTTTGAGATCAATCAAAACAGGCTGATGCTTGTCTTGATGCACTTTCCAAATTGCGATCAGCTTGCTCCTTTATGGCGCGTCTGGTCCAAGTGGAGGACGGCCAATCAGCAATTGTCTTTTTTGATGAAAAGAGTTCAAACGTGGAGCTATTTCCTTTCAGGTCTGATAGCCTAAACTCTGAATTCTGCTTTACAGCCTGGAGAGGTGCGTTCACTGAGGTCGTCCGCTGTTTCTTTTGCTGCTTTTGGTCCAGCCGATACTGCCAATAGCCTTCTGGATTGTAGAGCCCAAAATGAAGACTTTCGAATAATCGTAGTGGTATCATCTCGACTCGGGAAGGAGGCACAGCTTCCATCTTGGCTCCATTCTGAATAAGGGCCCGGACGAGAAGTATCATGTTTACGCCAGGTCGAAGCTCTACGTGCTCGGTATAGTAATGGAAGAGTCGGTTTCCAAAGTCCAAGCTCGTAATGGCGCTGAGGGAAGCCTTGGCATGGTCGACGATAGTACGGAAGTGGGATAGTTCGTCGTCTTGCGATGTTTCGCCGAGTGATAATGGTGAGCTGGGCGTCAGTTCAAGGAAGCTTGCCGATGGCGGAGGTGACGGTGAAGACATGGTTGGAGTCAATGCAGAAACTGATGAAGCTCGTCCTTCTGCTTTAGACGCCACATCAAGTTTCGAGATGTGGATGATTTCAGCCATGCTTAAGTTAGCCTGATCTCGGATCTTTACCATCGGTATGAGGTTGTGGCGGTCCTTTTGAGCTAGTATGGCTATGGGAGAATGTTTGAGTGAACCAAAGCACCAAGAAACATCAGACTCGTGACACTTACAGATGCCCTCCAGTTCGACCTTGACTACCAACACTCCCAAATAGAGGCCAGGTTGCAGTACAGTCACAGACTTCCAAAATCGACTTGTTGGAGACTGAAATAGTGTGCCATCGGAATGATCACACTTGTATGCCTTGTACTCAAAGTCTTTTGTGAAATGTACTCTACAAAGTCGAAGATGATCAATTTTGTGATCATCACGCATATCGACCGTTCAATCTTACCTATGTTCCTTGAAGAGCTCCTTCTTGGCATCGATAGTCTCTTTTGGCATATACTGTATTACCAGCACCGTTTTTGATCCTGAAATTCTATACACTGTATCATGCATAACTCCAAAGGTCTCCAATTGCAAGCCCCGTTTCAGAGCCAATAGTCCATCCAGGAACCCTCGTTGAAATCTTCCACTAGCACCACAAGCAAAAACGTCATCCGCCCAACCTTCACTGTTGAAGATGTCACCAGGACTATGAGGTTCTACATTTGGATTGTTTGCTATGGGAGGCTCCCAATCTTTTGCAGTTCGGACTGCCCATTGAAAGGCCTCATGAGAGATATTGAAGCTTTCGGTAAAGTCCTTCTCATCTGAGCTCAGTATGCTCACAAACGGCAGTTGACCGTGACGGTTTACGAGGACGTGATTGTCGTGATTAAATATTAAGATGGAAAGATAAAGGTTGTCCTTTGTTTGGACATTTCGACTAAGGAGCGATGTGGTTAGCATCTGGAGAGTCGTGGCTCTCACACAAACGAAACGACAATACCCGCTGAATTTAGCTGAATCGGCCTCTTTCAGTGGCGAAGGAGTTGCGGGAGAGCTATTCCCTGATGATGACGTTGTTCCTGCCGAAACTGGTGATGACGACGCTGGTTTCAACCTGAAACTTGTCTAGAGGGCGGAGGGGATATGTGAGACAGTCAGTATTTATCAAGCAACTGACCCAAGAGTGCACCTCTTCAGAGAGATCATAAACGCCCAGGTTCGAATCAGGTAACATAACTATTCCCAATTCATCACTCCATAAACAGTAATCTTCTATGTTCTTGATCGTTGCAAACTGTGATCTGATTTGCAACATGACGTCCTTGACTGATGCCGAATTCTTGAATCGGATGGTGGCTGTTTGAGGACTACTTGCGTCACCAATGGTGACTTTGGCGGTGATGTCTTGCACTTTTTGGGGTCCATTTATTGACGTGAGGGATTCTGCTCGACTTGATCTAGACTCTCGACTGTGAATAGATGAGGCGTCGCCATCTGCTTCAAATGATGCTGGCAGAGGCACGCAAAGTTGATCTTTCGAAAATCCATTCTAGCAAATTGAGAAAGATTATCGATATCAGTAAGACTATAGCAGCTAGTTCAGCTTCATCCATCACGAAAACTAAACTTACCACGACTTCGAAACACGACCGATCCAAAAAGGCGTTGGGATCATCTGTTGAAGTACGAGCAGGTCCAACTCCTCCTCGACCAAATACTCGTCCATGACTACTAGAGCGCTGTGTGTGATCTGGAATACCACCAGGTGAACGGTTCTCGGCCGACCTAACAACACCTCTTGCACTGACCAGTTTGGGCGAGCCAGGCTGCGAGGTCGATGGTGAAGAAGGTTCCAAGAGCGTGCCAAGTGAGGTCGATATACCGAGACTGGATCGAATACGGGGTGAATTTTCGTTTATTGAAAGTCTCAAATTCTCCTTCTTCTGAGGAACAGGAGCTGGTGAACCCAGTGACACTGTTACTCTGCGAACGTTTCCTCTAGCCATTGTACTAGCCGACCAGGTCTTGTAAATACTTAAAACGCTATCTTAACAGATAGTTCCGGAAATGGTTTACGGACTATAGGATGGCATATACTGGGGACGTTGCCTTAACTTTTTAGATTTGGCAACTCGTTCACAGCACCCTCCCCAATCACTACCCCAACCCCTCGGAGGTGAGCGTGAATTCAGTGATTTGGATTCAGAAAACTAGACGGATTGCAATCCTACAAATTCCAACAGCCCAAGTTGGAGGATAGAATCCCACCGTCTGCCATCCTCTCGTCCAAATAGTTGCGACTAATACTTTTGGAAGGTGGAAGCCATGTTATCCACCCAACCACGCAACTTGAGGTTTCCTTAGGTGACAAGTATGTATATATTCCGTTTGCCAACATATATTTTACAGATCAGGACTAGAACAAACAGATTCCAATTCTCGAGATGACATCAGGCATTAGCAGCAGTCAACTTTCGAGCATGTAATATATCCTTGATCATATTCTGAGCTTGTTCAAATTCCTTTTCGAGTCTAGTCTGAGTTCGTTCTAGTGCCTTGGTCTCCTTTTCTGCATCAGCAGTCTTTGCTGCGAGTTCCTTTTTCAAGAGACCCAAATCAGCTTGAATAAACCTTACAGCAAAGAAATCGATTAGTGATCAATTGTATAATATGGATTCTTGTAGATGACGGCGAAATACTACATTTTGCCAATGGCCCTGTATGTTGCAACATCGCTTCCCAATGCAGATAATTCCTTGGCAGTCAGTTCTCCAACCCGCTTGTCCCGTTGCTTGGTAGATAGTTGGCTCCTTACTAGAGCTAATTGACGATTCGTCTCCTGCATACGCACTTGGGCCTCTGCGAAAATCTAGATTCAAAAAGGTGAGAAATGTTGATTGGCAGTTCACAGAAATAAGCTTGTGAATTTAGAAGGAGTATTTTGATTATGAACGGAATCGATATTCTCATCTGATTACCCTTTGCAATTCCTCGTCTGAGACAGACATGGTGCTGATTTAATCTTGTGGGAAGGTCGCAGCAAACGATAGATGAGCGAGAACACTATAAGAACGCATTATAAACGTGGGAATTATGCTAGAAGCACCAGAAATTAGATTTAGAATGTATTTGAAATATTGAAACTCTGCAGCGTTCGTTTACACAGTATAACATCCAATCCAGTCCTACAAATATAGGCCTTTGGACTGGCATTTCGAGGCCCAAATAGATTGTACAAGAAATGAGATTGACTAGATAAGCTTCCGTAGCAACATAACAAAAACCGAGTCCTTAACAACAATAGTCAACATTCCCCCTTTGCACGTTCACAACATAGTCTACCGAAGACATGTAAAGCTAACGGCCAACGTCTTCAACCGTCTGGCCGCTTTGACAGACCGAGTGGAGAATGAGTGCCAACATGGGTCGTCAGGCGAAAAAAACAAGGTGAACAATTAACAACAATCCCTGCCACCCAAGGTCCCAAAGTCTACCAAAGCAGCCATCTTGACCAGTGCTCGCACGTTGTTCTAATAGTGCTCGCACGTTGTTCTAATACTGTCGAATTTGGACGATCTTCAATGGTATTCGAGTGAACAGCCCTTCAAACCACAGAAGCCTTGTGGTAGAATCCAAGCTGCCTACCCAAAGTCACCGAGTCCACCCATCCGTCAGAAACCCTCCTCCTAGGTCTGGAAAACGCCAGACTCTTTCACAACCACTCATATCGGAGTTGGTCACGAGTTTTTGAAATGTCAGAAAAAGGAAGAAAAGAAAAATCATTGAATTCCTATCAACTAGAAACTTGAGATCTTCGAGGAGACAAAACGATGCTTGTTTCCACGTATTCATCATTATTTGGAGTGCTTTTAGACGCGTCGGAGGCTGTTACCACTATAAATGTTGAGACAGTAGTATTGACGCAAACTCTATATCTCTTCCCACCTGCCGTCTTCAAGAGTCAAGTCAGTTCCCGGCACGTTCGTGTAGGGTAGCTGTTTCGTCTCACGCTCTTAAGTTCCATTGCGATAGTAAAACCGGGACGTGACGATTCATTTCGATTATTTCAACAAGTCTGGTTATGTTTGTACAATATCAGAGAATGTCATTTCTCGACAATATCTGAAAGACACTATGCTACACTTCGTCTCCTTTGTTTTATTTCCTGTCACTACTGTTGACTCAAATCCCAACAAGATTGTTTATGCCTTTGAGGCTCTTGCACTAGCTCTTGTGATTCGTCTTTCACCTCCATCACCAGCAGCATCTTCAGCCGATTCAACGGGAGTAGTAGGAGCTGTAACACGAGCCTTCTTATTACGTGCTTTTTTGCCTGACACTTCGGTGTTGATATCTTCAACAGTCACTTCATCCGAGTCAACTGCACTATTCTTCTTTGACTTTGATTTTCTACCACGTCCTCTGCCCTTCTTTGGAGGAGTTGTGATAGGAGAGTCAATTTCAGTAGTACCAATCAAATCTATCGGTACACCTATAGGGCTATTTGCTTTACTATGGCCGCTACGACTTCTTTTTCCTTTTGCTGCAGTTGTGTCTTCATGATCATCGTGTACGGCAATCACATCATCTACACTAGAGATACTCGATTGACTATCATCTGTGCCTGATCGTTCGTCATCCGGAGACAAGGATCGTGACATGGTTGCTCGTCTTACAGAAGCTGGTAAAGGTATTAATGATTTTCGGTGGCTGCGACCTCGTTTAGTCTTTCGAGCAGTTTCTGATTGTACTATGGGGCTGGATGGACGAGGCGTGGCTGGATCTTCCTCAAAGGGAGGCAAATCAGCCAATGTCCTTTCGACAGGAGCAGCCAGGCTATACATCAGTTGAGGTTGCACCTTTGGCACTAGCGCGCCTCCCTGTTTAGGTTTTTTAGCCATGGGTGTAGCGTCTAGATCTATAGTATCATTGTCCATGTCACGGTGTCGTTTCTTGTGCATTGGAGTGACTGCAGACAAGGCGCTATCGTTATGAGCAGGTGGTGGTGGTGAAGTTTTAGCAACGCTAGCTAGTGCCAGTGAGTCTGGAGGTATGGTGTTTATGAGATCTACCGTGTCTACAGAGTCGACTATCATATCGTCACTGGCCATATTAGAATCTACAACGACAACGTTCTTTTGATTCTGTTCCACTAGTAATGCAGCGGATGTTTTTACTGGTGATGGACTATTACCTCGTACCGGTGTAGGTATCTTACTTGTTTTGATAACTTCCTGTGCTGCACTATTTTGCCCCTCAACACCTACACTATCTTCATCATCACTTATATCAGCCATGAGAGCAAAGATATCAACATCATCCATATCCTCATAGCTCATGACCAGCTCAGCGAGTGTGTCTTGACTTTCATTCGTGACATTAACCAGACCCGATGCTTCAAGAAATGCGACAGTCTCGTCATTCTTCGTCATGCTTTTAATGTTACGGACTGATTGCTTTGCCATATTCCATAAAGACTTTTGTTGGCGAGTTTGTATCGAAGCTTGAAGCTGTAATCGTTGTGAGAGTTCAACATTCTTGAGACCAGATTCCAAGACTTGAATTTCGAGATTCAATCTATCTTTTAGTGTTTCATCTACATCGTTATCATGGCGGATAGTTGAAGCAGTCTGCTCGATTTTCGTAGCCAGCTGTTCCATCCTGTTGGCAATCTCGTCAGAGTATGCCGTCAGATTGGTGCCAATCTCGGTCAAGGTCTCTCTTCCGTTTGCCATCAAGTCACCAAATGTATTCCAGTATCCTGTAGAGTCATCATTATTTGGAAGCTCATCTTTAATGACACTTATAAGTTGCGACCAACTTTCGTGATTTTCCATAGTGACTCTTGCCGTTACATTTTGACGGGTAAGATCTGCAAGCTTGCTATATAGTGATCGAATTCGACGTAAATCCGATTCGAGTGGCTGGTGATGACCTATTGGAGCTGGTTTTATAGGAGTTCGTATTGTTGGCTTAGATAATGGTGCTCCCGTGGATGTTTCTTGCAGTCTGTAAGTTTCTAGTTGTCCTTTCAGATCATCTACTTGTGCTCGAAGCTCGGCTATAATCATTGGATATTGGGAAATATGATAATCTAGGTTGATAGCATTTTGTTCGACTTTCGTCTGCCCGCAATGAAAATGTCAGCAGATGTATCAATAGACTTTGGTTTCCGGCGTCCACTATACCTCAATATTCTTGGCTCTGTTTGCGTATTGGAGTGTGTTGCGAGTCTCTTCATAATGTTGTGGAGCTGGACTCACATTTGCAATCATGACGACTTTGCAATTACCTCCAAATGAATGCTTGAGCAATCGCGTCAATTTCGAATCCCTGTGTATCATTGTTAAAATCATCGTAAGAAGACATACGATTAGCTTTTGATTACCTATACGGTATGTGATTTGTCCTTCCTATACACAAGGCGTTGATGCAATTACCCAAAGCCAAGAGCGACCTATCGACGAATGCTTTGAGAAGCAAGCTTTGATGGGAAGGAGCTGATTTGACTTACCGATTGATATTTGCTCCTTCATGCAACAGTTTACCCTTGTTGCTTGTGACAGAGGCTCTCTACAGTGTTAGCGGCTTTAGCATCAAACTGCCTGAAGAACCCAGTAAGATCGTTTACCTCACTTCCAGCCAAATCGATAATAGTGAGAGTGGCATTTGTATAACGACTGGAAACATTAACACCGCGTTCACGTTGCTTGATATGAATCTGCAACACAGCATGGCTTCGGGAGCTAGTGGCATTAGCTTCTGTACTAGCTTTTGTCCTATTATTGTTTCCCAACAGCAGCAGCTTCATAACACTATCGACCGACTCTGGCGTATGCTCACTCAATCCGACTGCTTCGACATGGGTTTCATCCTCTCGTAAATCCAAGTTTTCAGATTGCGTCAATAGATCTCGGATGGTCTCATTATAAACCTCGAGATACGATAACGAGGCTTCAATGACCTTGTTTGCCTTTTCGTCGATAATGCGTTGATACAAGTCCTTCATGGCTCGGAAGATGATACCAGGTTGTGAGGATGTTCCAGTGACGGTATGAGTTTTACCAGCACCGGTAGCTCCATAAGCCAGTACAGTAGCATTGAAGCCATTCAATACGGAGTCAATCAATGGCTGTGTAGTTTTCTCATAGACTTCTTGCTGCGTAGCACTTTCCCGAAAGACTTTGTCAAAAGCGTACCGCACCTCCTTATTTCTTCGACTACCATGATGATATTTCGGTTGCTTTAAGCCACTCCTGTCAACAGGATCTAGAAAGAACGAATGTAACGAAAAGATGTGAGTTTAAGAGTTTGATGATGACCTGATTCCAATGCCAACAATACAAGGAAAGGAACGTTCTAATAGATATTGCGACATACCAAATATCAATACACGAGAATCCACTACGCTGACTACAGATCCTTTCAAGCCTTGGTCTGGGGGAAGTACCGATGCTGAAAAGCTTGCACCATTGTTGTCTAATGGAATCCCATCCTTTCCCAGTGGTCTGACTCGGACTACCACAGATACAGTCTCCGCAGCCGATCCACCTTTATTGCTCCTTTGCTCAGATGGTGCTCCGTTCATTGTCACTAGATGTTTGGTGATGTGCTATGAAACAATCGCTTAAATCCAAACAAGCTTCGGCAACACGATCAATGTCAATACCAGTTCTTTGCCTAGTTCTGAGACTATCCGAACTGAAAATACCCGTCGGCACATCAAATCTTTCACAGCAAAATATAGGTGTAGCAAAAGTGGTAAATAGTAAATTACAACAAAACACCAAATACAAATCTAGATCAAGTTGACAAAATTGACAGGGATGAAACCCATCTTATCGCCGACTCTGGCAAAGCACCAGCCGTCTTCGAAGAATTGATACTAAAGGAGAGAAGGCGATGAGATAACTTGTGAGACAGCAACCCAAAGTGAAACAGGATGGAAAAGCTTACAATATCAGCAAGTGAACCAACTTGCAGAGGCAATTCATCAGGCAAGACTGCCTCATAATTGTGGGACACGATTGCAGCCCTTCCCAACACAAGTTGTGGGTTCACAACACCACCATCATTACCATTATTTACTCCAACAATAGCAGGATCAGCTGCATTGCTAGCACCACCGAATGCTTCAGTGCTAGTGGCGCCAGTGCCACCAACTGTTGCATTGCTAGCCAACGCAGCAAAGTTGCGATTCATACTTTGACGACGTTGAGGACTTTGTTTTACACCCAAATTAGCAGGAAGGGGCATTGATGCTGCCAATGCTTCCTGAATGGCGCGTTGACGAGCAAGACTACTACTGTTACTACTCGTCATTGAACTGACACTGATTTCGGAAATGTCTGATCTAATGGCACGATCGTATTGAGGAGCTCCAACGAGTCGTGGATGGAAACCATTTTCTCCAAACACCGGAGGAGGTCGACGTGTTGTATTATATGATGGCCTAAGCGGCTTTCCCAGATTTCGAAGTCTAAGTAGCACCATCACTAAAACAATGATGAATAACAAGCCAACTCCTCCAACAATCGCTCCAACAGTAACAGGCACATTGACGACCACTTGTGAGTTCTGATCAGCGAGACTAAGGAAAAGTCAGAAATAAATTAGCCGTTGCAAACAAAGCAAAAGAATTAGCCATTGGACGTTATACAGAAATAGTTGTTAATAACGTACCTTGTGGAACTTGAGCCAGGGGTTGAGCTACTAGCTTGGATTGGAACTACAGTGCTAGGTATAAGAGATTCCAAGGCGGGACTCGAGGTGGTGTTCGAAGGAATTGATGAGATGGTTGCAGAGGGCGGTATAATACTATTGATAATAGGAGCAGGGGAGACTGCAGTAACAGGCGAAGCTATGGCTTGTTTGCTTGCTGCTGGTATAGGTGCGGGAGAAGCCATAATTGTTTGTGGGCCTGCTTTTACAGTTGATGTTTGAATGTTTGTTGCGGCAGTTACCACTCGATTTATTAAAGGAGGGATAGTTGTGGTGACCAAAGTGCTGGAAGCGGTGGCAATAGGAGGGCTGTGTGTTGTGAGAATGCTCATTTGCTCATGTAAGGTTCTCTCTCTCTCAATCTGCGTCCGGTGCGTCGACTTGAGTTGTGCGTCACGAGTTGTGCACGCAAGTGTTTTGGAAATTATTTTTAGGTATTTACTATGTAAGTTTACGCGTATTCAGCAAGATAATTGACATTCTTTTGTATGTCTCACTCTTGGATACGTGCTCCTTGAAGTTCGATTACATGACGTTTCCATGGATAGGTTGAAGTTGAATGATATGGTTCCATAGGTAATCCTGGAGCTACTCCTTCATTTAGGTTATTACCCTCTGAGTGATCACCTGTGATTGTGCTCTCTTTGGTGTCGAATCTATTTGAATGCGTGTCATCCGGTACAATCAGGTCCTTCTCGGCCCCTTTTGATACAGGCACGCGAGTCTTGAGCATATATACAAGCCCACTCATTAAAATAGGGACCACCTGGACTATAGAGAAGATCACAAACGCAATTCTATAGCAATCAGCACCATAACATATCCCATTAGAATCAGAAGAGCTATCATAGACTATATGGGAAAAAACGAGTCAGTCAGGATGGCAATCAGCCTGCGACATTCATTCAACCACTACTGTAGCTTCTCTGTCATGCTTAACTTACATCTTCCAAAAATGAGATTTGAGCAAAATATATACGCAGGAACAAAACCAGTCACAAGCGCCATAGCACTACCATAGTAACGCGAACCAAAGTACTTTCGAGTAAGTGGTGGCCAAAGAGCACTTGAGCATCCAAAGGCAAGCCCGATCAAGATAGAGCACATCCACAGTATTTGTGGAGACGCACTTCCTGCAGCCAATACAGCATGTGGAATCACCAACACTATCTGGGATCCCAATAATAGACTTCCAGGTTCATGGTACTTTCCAATGTAGTCCAACGCGACTCCAAAAGCGAGTCTACCAAAAGCAGAAGAAAGGGACAAGGCTGTGACATGTGCATTGATGATGGTACTTGAAGATGATGATGTTGTACCAGGTGCCTGAGTAGCCAAAACTATTTGTCCGATATTATTCCAATATGTGAGACCGTTTTGCAATAAATACGTGAATGCAAATCCCCAAAAGATGGGTGATTTAAGCATCTATTCGAAAATTTTAGTAATCAGAAAATCAACACACAATGCTACAAGGTCGAGAATGCTGACTTGCCTGAAGAGGAGTCATACTTGAGTCATCATCCTCGTGTTGAGTATACTCATTCTCTCGGCTGATCGCAGTTTCTGGTGGTGTATGAAACATGAATATAGTTGCCAACACCGTGACTACAAGAGTACTGCTTGTCAAAAACAACAAGAAACCTCCAGTATCAAAGGCCTTGGAATTAAATATTTGCGCATAGAGTGTAGCAGAGAGGCCATAAAGCAATTGTAAGGCTCCAGTCACACGGCCAGCATATTTTGAGTTGAAATTCGTCAGCGAGGCACCAAAGCATGCCATATAACCACAGGTTGAGCCAAATCCTGCCAAAAAATAGTAGAACTAGACGAGCAAAGTGTGAATCAAAAGCTGAAAGTACTGCAACGTGACAACAATCGATGAGATCAGATGTTGATGCACGACCTGCACCATGTCTAGAACCGATGACTTACAGCAAGAAGACCAGAAGAGGTATTCGTGATTTTTCCGATGAAACTCATATACATTAACGAATACCCCAAAGTTTGCGTAGTACAGCCCACTATAAGCGATGCTCGAGCACCAAACCTATCATAAAATGGCCCTATTACCAGGTCTATTCAATAAGGCACGAGCGTTAGGTCACCGATGTGATCGAAGGTAGACAAGCTCAAATTGCGAATTTCGACCGTTCAAGGCCTACATGTAACATAAAGACTAGCTGTTCCAAGCCCAGAGATTAGGTTCAGATCTGTGGAGTTGTACTCGAAGCGTTCCTTGCTCATTGCTGAATGACGAGAAAGAAAACAATGATCCAGCAGTCGCCTTTTCAAGAAAGAGTGTAAGAACTTGCTGACTCAGTGCTACAAACTGGATTTTTATATAGCTTGCCATGAAAATCAACGAGAAAACGAGGGTGAGCCATCTTTTCCAAACTGATGATGATCGAAGATTGCCCATCTTCGCCGATGACGTAGAGAGCCTATCGAATTTATGAAATACAGACAGTTTAGAACTTGGATCAATCTTCAAACTACTCAAAATCTTGAGGTTCAAAGCATATTGTTCTCACGAAATCGTGGGAAAATGTGCAGTGCAAGTTCAACGGTGTAAAGCAACAGAAGAAGCGACTGACGTAACCGATCCCAATTTCTAATCTATACAGACCTTTACGGTTCCTCCGCCCTGACCCAATTTTCAGCTTTCGTTAGCTATAGCTGGAGTCCCAGCTGGAATACTACCTAATGAGACTTACCCAAGCTGCAGGTGGTCCATCAATCTGGCCATCATGTAACTTCAACGTAACACGAATTTAAGGCTTTTATAGATTATGAAGAGAGATCATTTATTATTCAAACAGACTATATTAAACAGCAATGCAACAGTTATAGCATAGCCCTGATTGACCTTACAAGATGAGGTCCATGTTTCAGAGCAGCGAACGTCACCAAAGTCCTAAACATCAAGCTCAAACCGAGAGACAATCTTATAGCGGTGCCTATTGAATTTCTGAGATTAGCACTGAGAACAATCAACAAACGCATTCACAGCTTCGTACCCCATTCCATATGATTCTTGTGAGAATCTGTAGTCACAGGCTTTCTCAAACGACTAACACCACCTGTTTCCACACCAAGTCCAACCCTGAATGGTGTTCCAGCTATAAGCGTATGGAATATAAAGTCAATGTCTGGATGAGAGTATCGAGGAGCTCTCAAAGCGTTCAGCGATAAAGCGGGTAGGTCGTCGGGGTGAAAGCACAAGTCCAAAAAATCGCTGGTCATCCACAAAGTCAGACCCCTAAAGAGTTACAGATTAGGACACAATATAAATATGATGTTCCACACTTTGTATTCCTACCATAGTAGCAAACGTTCATTTGTTGATGTTGCAATTGCAAATCCAATTGGAGAAGCAGCCCGGCCTAACTTGATATTTGGGGCATCTGCCGCGTGGTGGTATGGATGATACTCGTTTGGCAGTAAGATACCGTTATATCGTATTTCACCGACAGTGACATGTACGAGGCCTCGTAAGAAACCTCTAGTATAGCTTCTCCATGTCGCTTGACCTGCTAGAAATTTATCTGGCACTACGACATTGGATATACTGAGGGGAATTCCTCTCCATCTCTTTGAATCATCAACTCCAGTATTTGGAGCGGGCGGCAGGAAGAATCCCAATGGAACCCAGTGCGCACTGGCGATCTCAGTTAACTGACATTGCATTGGCAAGTCGAAGGGTGTGACTTGCAAGAAGACTAGTTTTTGAGAGATGAAGATTAGCAGGCTTTTGACGATCGCAGGCGAAAGCTATAAATTCATATTCCAGACATATTTAGCAGGTAATACAACCAGCTGTTATCCTCGAGCTAAACCGCTAAACGGCCAGAAGCTTAAACTTTACAACCAACCCCGGTCACTCACCAAATGGGGACAATACCAACCACCTTTGGCCCCCTTGCATTCCGCGGATCTCCCTATCGTCTAGCTGGCCAAGTGCTATAAAGTGTTCCGATGTGATATCTAGTCCAATTTCCTCCAAGGTTTCCCGTTCAGCTGTTTGTTGATCTGTTTCAGGAGCATCTTGTCGTCCTAGGAAATCAAAGGACACGTCACATCATCGAATTCCTCTATGGATTTTGAGACAAACGTTTGAAATGGAGGACTCAACATACCTCCCGGAAATGCCATCTATGGTGAAGTATGTTAGAAATCACGAAGAAGGTGATGGACGAACAAATGATTCCAGCGATGAGTGTCTTACATGGCCGCTCCAGCGATCTCTTTCATTAGTAGCTCTTCTAGCAAATAGAACTTCAGGCGTTGCCCGTTGAACCCACGGCAACCGTACAAACTCGAACGGACTGGAAGCTCTTGGTGAATTCTCTACATATGATATCTGTAAGAAATCGAGATTTGCTTTGCAACCAAGGGCGAAGAAACACACCAGCAGCTTCTTGATCTTCTTCCTTTGGCCTCAACCGCACAAGTATGGCAACACTCGCCCGTTTTTCGCCAGGATGAGAGGAGGGGATTTTTGCAACAGGCAGCACACTTAAATGATGAAAGAGGTTGAGCAGGGCTTCATGTGGCGTTGGGACCTTGTCTGATGTAATGTTATGAGTTGATGTCAGCACATATGGTCGAAAGGCAAAAGCCTAGGGCAATTGTCATTCCAACGTAACTAGTATTCCTGGTTCTGAAGATTTGTCCAGCGTAGGTGTCCATGACCAGCGTTAACGTTCTAAAATTCAAAAAGTGAATCGTTAGTTGATTTCCAGTTGTCAGCTTTGCCTGCTTTCTGTTCTTGATTTTATATAGCATTCAGTCGATTACCTAGGAAGACTCCTTGTATTGGACTGTGTAGATCAACGTTTTCCACCGATTCAACTCCTGCAAAGTTTGGTTTTTCGTTCAAGGGAACAACTGACCGAGAATGGACCAAAACCAACATTGGTATGTTTGAATTATTGTATTGGCGTATATTTCTGTATTGACTGCAAACTCGTCGTAACCAAATTTCCTCCTTACCAAACCAAACATCATCAAAAACCGGTCGACGTTGGAAATATCAATCTACTCTACATTATCTTTCGACAAACATATATAATAGGCAACAGCAACAGCAGCAATATTACTACATGCAGCAACAGCAACAAGAACAGCCAGCTCCACCAGGCCTGAACGGAGCAAGCTCCCCATACAATCAACAAACACAACAATACGCTCAATATGGATACGATCCATCAACTCTCCCCCCTGGAACTGCTGCGCCCGCATACGCTTACGCTAATGTACAATACTATTACCCTCAAGCTGCTACTCAACAACAACAACAACAACAATACTATGCGAATGGGTAAGGGCTTCACCATCGCAATTGCTCAGCGAGTCACTAACACCTACCCCGTTTATAGTTACGCAGCAACAACAGCATACGCAACTTCACCGACTGCGGGCGCTTCTTCATCAGGACCTACAGCAGCACAGCAAGCACAACAACAATCAGCATACAATGTGCCTCCTTGGAAGACTAACTACCAAAGACCAACCAGTAATACTGTTGAATCGCGCTCCTGGTTGCCATCAATTGCTAATATGCACTTTTCATCTGTTTCAGAACCTGAATATCACTCTGTCAAGCCTGTTTCTGGTTCAACGCCGCCTCCAGCTGGAGCCCCAGTTGCTCCAACTCAAACTTCAACTCCACAGCAACCTACCACAGCGAAATATCCACCATCTCTAAAGTAAGCTGGACGCGCAATTGAGTAAAAAGGAAACGGCAGAACGCTAAGAAAATTCCATCAATTAGGGCATATGTGTTTCGCGCATTCGAGAATGTAGACAAGAATAGACGGGAGGCAGTAGAAGAGTTTTTGCAAAAGTTGGTCAAGAAAGCAATGACTGACGGTACCTTGAATTCGACAGATTGGGATAAGATGCCTCTGCCACAGTGAGTGTCATGTTGCCGTCGCGTATTTTTTTGCTAATCATACGTTCTCTACTAGGGAAAGTATGGACGCAGCAGCAACAACAACCACAGCATCAATAGCACCTACACCGACAGTAAAAACAACCAAAATACCTGCAAATAGCAAACCCATCACCAACAAACAAGTCAACACACCACCACAACCGACCAAAGAACCAAACGCCAAACAGAAGAAGAAGAAGATAAAACTGGAAGACGATGTCGACATGGAAGAGACTCGAATCCAAGCTGATCTGGCTGCTATTGGCGCTGACGACCATAAACGAGCACAGAGAGCAGCCAGATTTGGAAGTGAAGACAAGGTTCTCAAACCAGGCAAGAGGAGAATGCAAGATCGACACCATTCTGATGATGTTAATTACGATGATCGAGATCCACATGTCATTGTTGGTACTTCAACTACTCTGGAGAAGCGTTACTTGAGATTGACTGCCGTGAGTCCTTCGTTTAAGTCTCGTCAGCCTTTTTTCTGTCTCATACATGGTTTTGTATTGTATAGGCACCTGATCCATCAACAGTGCGGCCATTGTATATCTTGAGAAAGTCGCTAGACTTTGTTCTGAAAAAGTTCATGGATGACAACACAAACTATCCAGTAAGAAATGACTTTAAAGTTGAAGGACCTCATAATTCTATACTAAAGATTTTTTTTCGCGCTAGTATGTAAATGACCAACTCAAGTCTATTCGACAAGATATGACTGTACAGGGTATCAAGAATGAGTTCACCGTCGAAGTCTACGAGAAGCATGCCAGAATTGCGTTGGAGAAGGTGAATACTGCAGCCGAATCATCCGACTTTTGTCTTTTAGGCTTTCACAACCACAAATGCAAAAATCTCACATTACTCCTTCGCCATCATTGCAGAGTGATTTGGGCGAGTACAATCAATGCCAGACCCAGCTCAAATACTTGTATTCTTCTGGCACTCCATCCAAGTATACAAACGAATTCGTGGCATACCGCATTCTGTATATGCTTCACACCATGAACCGAACGGGTATGATTACGTCGTATCAATTTCCTTTTTTTTTCCTTTGACAACACACAACAATACTAACATGCTTTGCTTGATTCTATCTAGAACTGAATATCGAAATGTCTGAATTGACGGCTGAACAAATGAACTCTCCTCCCATAATACATGCCCTCAAAATACGTAAAGCCATCAATTCCACCGACTACCACACCTTTTTCAAGAACTACACCAACGCGCCCAACATGGCAGGCTACCTCATGGATCATTTCGTGGAACGTGAACGCATCAAGGGACTACGAGTCATGTGTCGAGCCTATAGACCTTCACTTGCAATATCACTCGTAGCTTCTCAACTAGGATTTATTATGCAAAACCACCATACGGATCTTGTGACTGATCAAATGATTACAGAAGGTATCAGACAAGCGAATGAATGGTTGCATGCTACTGGGGTGATATGGATTGCTGGATCTGATGGGAGTTTGGTTTCTACCAAGCAGTCCACGTTAATATTAGAAGCGAAGGAGAAACAGATGGTTAATAAGGGAGTAGATATTAAAGGCCAAATTTAAAAAAGGAAGTACTAGTTTTGGCTAGGATTTAATGTGATTTTTTATTGGCATAGCGTAAAGACAAACAAGTGTACAATTTTCAAAATCAACACGAGACAAAGTGAAAAGTTGGATCGTTGGCGTCTAGCATGTTTGCTTATGGACTTTGTCTTATTTTGGAAATGCGAGGGTACGCCGGATATACGTCGAATCGCTTCCGTCAACAAAGTCGACAGCGAGTGTTTTGGCCGCAAATGGGTCAGTAGTCAATTCTTACAAAAGAAATCGTGTGAAAGAGCAACATATACAATCTGAAGACCCCGACCGCTTCAATCCGTGTAAACACGTATCTAGCACCGGTGAAAAATTAATGTAGTGCTGAACTGTACATCTACAACAAACAAATTTTGGTTCACGTACTTTGGAAACTGCAATTTCTCAACGTCGAGAGCATCCCGAACATACATAGAAGCAGCATAGGTGTCCTTTCAGTGCACCTACCTGACCAATTCTTCTTGGATATCACTTTGCGTCAAAACGCTGATTGGAGAATCTGTCTCTCAAAACTTCGCACCACAGCACCCAAGCTTGGAAGCTTTGGAAGCGACCCCGATATTAATATAATAGCCTAGCTGCAAAGTCGCCCATTCCGGTTGTATGGCATACCGTGGAACGACTGCAGGTACCCGATTCCAGTCATACTCACCATACCAACAAACAAGGAACACTAGTATAATCCAACCACCGGAAACCGTCTACACAATCGTATCGCGACCCGGAATGGGCAAGAAACTATCACGACTACCGCCTCAGCAAAACCACCAACACCATACCGATGCTGCTGCCTTTGGTGGCCCAACTGTGATTGCTGGAACCCGCACAACACAACCAACAAAAACAGTGTTTAATCAGGTAAACAAGTATAAGCCAGTCGTTATCGTGTCGCCAAGTCTCGATTGCATACATATCAGCACACCGGCTGTTGTAGAACATACCGAGAATGCTGCTATTATTGCGACTCCAATAGTGCAGCAACCACAGGAACCATGGCTGATTGAGTATCCGGAAGATGATCTAGTTGAGTATGAACCGCTTCGTGAGCCCGTAACGCCGTTGGCTATATCTGCTGCTATTGAAGTCATCTCGTCATGGACGATATTGAAGAGTTATAATAAGCAAATACATAGTAACAGTGTTGGGATGCCGACACCACCAATGTCGCCGGCGAGTATGATGGTAACCGAACGTGCTTCGCTGGTAAACATAAGTGCCATGAGCCAACGGGTGATTAAATTGATGAGGGTTGGGAAGGTGGTTCTTGCTGTAGCTCTCGTGTATCTGAAGAGATTCAATGCTATTGTGGCCAAGACAGAGTCTAATCCGAGCTTGCGTGCTGATTCATATTATTGGGCTGTTGCTCTGGTGAGTTGAGAATGTCGTCGATTGTTTGGTTGGAAGTTACATGTTGTGATGCCTCTAATCCAACGGTCATCTGTCCCATAGACTCTTTCTGATGTGTATACGAATGACAATGCATTCCTCGTTTCTTCGTGGTACTGGGTGTGCGAGGTTGATCGACAGCGTCTCATTTGCGCTCAACGGCACATGTAAGCTACTTGTTGCTCACTTGTTGCCATTTAAAAAACAGGCTCATCATTTCCGTTATCGTAGGTTGCAGGTCTTGTCATTTGATCTTAGTGTATCTGACCAAGACTTGCTACAAAATCTTGCCGAGCTAGATGACGATGCACATACTCTGATGGACATACCGAAGCTGCAACACCCGATCGGGAATCAACAGGTCTACTTAGTTGAAGACTGATACAACAGCAAGTGATGCCATTTGGTCTGTGTGATCAAATCATATATTTACAGCGACATTTCCTACTATGCGTTTTCTTTGTCTGCCACCACCACACCTATGTACATAATATATTCTCACTGTTTCACACCCTTTGATGATGTTGATGATGGTGGGTCGATCTGATGTTGGCCTGTGGTCAATTCCTTTGATTCAGCAGCGTTTGCTGTGAGTTCCGCTTCCGATAAGAAGGCGTCTAGTTTACTCATAAGGCTGTCTGTTTTGGATTCCAAGGCATCGAGGGCTCGAGAAGCTCCTTCCTACACGATTGTGAATGAGTTAATGATAAGAAATCGGACCAGATGTTGAGCGACAATGCCCAAGTTTGTGTGTTGATTGAGTAAATGATAACAAATCACATAAGATGTTGAGCGACAATGCCGAAGGATGTGTTGATGGAGCAGTGTTACAAGTACCATTTGCTTCAATAGTTGATTAAAGTCCAGAGTATCGATATCGAGAGTCTCGAGCGATGCCAGTAATTGTTGAAGATGCTGAGTCGACTCTGCAGCTGGTGGTTTTGTATTCTTTGCTGACTCGTCTGCAATCATTGTGTAGTGTCCAGCAATGACGTGGGTATATATGCAGCTTTAGAATATCAAGTTGCGGTAGCAATTCGACTGGCAGCTGACTTTCTGTGAATTATTATGGTTTGAGCAGTTGACACCAAAATCACGTCGAGAAAGCAATCAAACAGGACAGAGAAGACCAGATCCACCATTTTGACACGTTGCCGAGTGCTCAACAAATTGAACTCGCCGTGGAAGTGCGACTAGTTCCCAGTTCACGTTCCGAGCACACACCAAAATCTGCCAAACTGCCATTCAACGGAGAAGGAGGGAAAAAGATACCAATGGCTCCTCAGGTACGCGATGCATCAATTCTACTGCACTTTGCCAGTATCCATGGGTGCGGTGGTTGTTGGAAGCGCCCTTCATTGGTTTGGGCGGTGCTCCTTTTGGCGATAATGTGTTTAGCAGACGTTGAAGCAATCACCAAAAGTCGTCACGACTTGAATTCCAAATACATATTAATGCATGTATTCTAAACAAACAAATGTTCTCACAAAACCATTCCAACTTACATAGGGCTTTGCATCACACACATCATCTGCGAGTGACTCTTCTCCAAGAATCACTAGATCCGCTTCAAAACGGTCTTCCTCCGTATCAAAATCCATATCGCCGCGTAACGGAGTCATAAATGTTGCCCTGAACGGTCATGCCACCATCAATACCTCCCACACAATCATCAAACATCATCGAAGCCCAACAACAAGTGACTCGGAAAACGACCTTTTAGCAAGAGGACCCAAATCTGCTCCTGTATCTGGTCCTAGCTCTCCCACAAGGACAAAATTGCCTAAAAAACAGCACTTCAAGCCGAGATTAAGCAGGCTGGATCGAGAAACGCTGGAAGCTGAAAACAACCCCATGGTACGATAGACATGTTTGCTGAAATGTATCTATTGTCTATCCAATCACTTATATACCTTTCTACCTCTGAACAGCGTGGGTTCTTTGTTCTATTTTGGATGTCATGCTTCTTTTATGGCACCACTACTATGTGGAAGTCGTGGTCTGAGAAGGGTGTCCCTGTGGGATTCCAATTTGCCAGACTCATATCTAGAGATGGAATAGGATTGGCATTGTCCGATTTCGCAATGGTCTTGTCGTGCTTTACTGTCGTCGGAATTCAGAAACTCATAGTCACATTTAAACTACCTCGTGGTGCTGGACTGCTATTACAACATATATGGGACTCATTCTTTTTGGGATTTGCTGTTAGCTGGGTGTTCTATAAAGATTGGCCTTGGGTAAGGCGTTGATACGTTCCTCGTGAATGGGTTTTTGCTTGTTTGTAGAGATCGGTCGCTGTCAAACTTGACTGCCAAATTCAAGCCCAAGATTGCCCAAATACGAGAGTATCATCATTCAAATCATTGACTCCGTTTGCATAGGTTCAATCCGGCTTCTTCGTCTTGCATGCCATCACAATGCTCATGAAAATGCGTACGTTATAATCGTATACAGCTCGTTTTGGCACGCCAACTTACATTTGAAACGTTTTTAGATTCGTATTTGGACTATAATCGAGAATTGGCATACAAGACCAGCCTCGTCGAGAAGCTCTCCCAAGAACACGATACCCTGACAGGAGACTCCAAAAAGAGGTTGGAAGGAGTCGATGTCTCAACGCGTCTAGAGCAGATTCAACGACAACTTGGAGAATTGGATTTTGAATTGAGTAAAGGTGCTACATACCCTCATAATGTCACTGTAGCCAACTTTGTGGATTATATGTTGATTCCTACTTTGGTGTATGAACTGGAGTATCCACGAACTTTGAGGTATGGGCTGACTCGTGCAATCATATGTTCTTGCTCCGTTTCAGTTTTTTTTTGTTTGTTGAGGACGACAAGAACTTATGATCTATCTCATCATCTAAAAGGGTTCGACCACTCTATGTCCTGGAGAAGAGTCTAGCTACTCTCGGTACCTTCTCGCTTCTATACATTGTGAGTCAACAAATTCGATACCCTTCGTGCTGTTTTTGTTCTCATGCACCCTCGTTCTAGACCGTGGAACACTATGTAAACCCAGTATTGGATCGAATGCCATATTTATCGCTTTCAGATACACTCATTCAACTGCTGTTACCATTCATGGTCTGTTACCTGTTAATATTCTACATCATCTTGTGAGTATCCGATGGCAAGCATGTTTTTCTTTTTTTTGTTGACTTTCTGTGCGAACATGAGATCTGACATTGACTCTCTTTAGTGAATGCATATGCAACGCATTTGCAGAGTTGACTCAATTCGCTGATCGTGATTTCTATCAAGACTGGTGGAATTCGACCACATTTGATGAATTTGCTAGGAAATGGAATCATCCTGTAAGCATGCCTCTGTATTCATACCGTTTTCTTTTGTCGCTCTGACACCTTGCATCAACACTGACTTCATAACAAAAACCATAGGTCCATGAATTCCTCCTCCGTCATGTCTACCTGGAGTCAATCCAAACATACAAGCTATCCAAAAACTCTGCTACCTTCCTCACCTTCTTGATGTCATCTTGTCTTCATGAATTGGTGTTGGTGGTAGTTGGCAAACGGATTCGAATGTATCTGTTTGTCTTGCAGATGCTACAAATCCCATTGATTTATATTGGACGTATACCGGCTATTCGACGACAGAAATTACTTGGGAATATCTTGTTCTGGGTGTCAATGTTTTTGGGTGAGTAAAACAAAAGGCAAAGTGGTCATGTCAGGGAACAGTAACGATACTGTTTGGAGACAGGGATGAATATTGTGAAAGAGAGGAAAGAGCCGTTGTCGATGATGATAACGATGTCCCCAATCGAGGAGCTTTGAATCGTGCACATTCGCAACAGATGACTAACTGACTAACACTACACCTTGTCACGCTAGGGCCGCCGTTACTTGCCTGTGCTTATTGCCACGAGCATTTCCACTGATACTTCCAACACCTTTTTAAGTTCACAAATGAACAAACAAAAATCTATTAAAGACAAATGATTCCTACGTCACATTGTAAACCCTGTATCTTGAATTTTGTAGAAAAGAGAAATCCAAATGGCCCATACATCAATTACAGTCGTCGTTGGTAGTATCTAGAAGCGATGTATGCGCATGGGTGGTCTGATTCATGTCTTGGAAGTGTGGGATGGAAAATGACAAAGCATTGAGACCTTGAAGTGTTGCCAAGGGATGCGAAGTCGCCCTCGGCAACACTTCAGACGACATATCCACGCTCTTCAGTGACTGGATCTATCATAATTTAGTTCAAACACACAGCTTACATCGAATACCAGGTGAAGGTCAGAGGTCAGTCACCCACCTTTTCTTTAAATTGACACGACGAGCCACCAAGTCCGATGGACGAGAATCAAGAGATAATATTCCATGACTCCAATGCAATTAAAATTCGATTTTTTCATCCCTTGCTTGATCCCTTTTGAGCTTGAATTGGTGTGTTGTGGTTTGCGAAAAATGTTGTTTTTTGGAGAGATGGATTTTGAAATGGCTTTCAGTCTTCAGTCTCGAACTGTTGTGCCTCACCAAATTTTTTTGGTTTAACACACAATAGTTCGATCCTATGGCTATTTAAAAATCCATGTTATAAGAGATTCGTCGTTGTTTGGCTCTTGCATCGTTTGATTTGGCACCTCGATCGAGCGTAAAACAAAAAACAAGGGTTGTATTAAATGTGTCTATTTCAAGCCTTCTACGATAACATATCAACAAGAAGTAGATACAGACGTTCTAAAACATTGTATGGCGCATCCATTTAGGATCCTTTCAAATCCAAAAACGACGGGATTCCACCCCAAATTCGGATTTTGGAAAGCAGCTCTCTTTTCTTGTTGAAGCGAATTTGCAAGTCTTGCTGCCTTACCAAGAGCTAATGCAAGAGGGCACATCAATAGTTGCCAACATATTCGCTAGATATCCAACAAACTCCTCTACTCCACAAGCCAAACCATCCGTATCCATTGATTTAACTGATTTAAACAAAACAACAAAGGAAATGACTAAATCTGGACCAAAGGAACTCACAGAGGCTGCTAGAAAGGTGTCGTGTCGTGATTTCGTGTATTTTTGTCTTGATTGAGATCTTTAAACAGTCGTATTTTCTATTTGCAACATGTCAAACCTCTATACATTGCGCTGTTTTAGAGCTTGGATGCACTTTCAAGAGCTCCCCTATTCACAACTTTGACCAAGGCAGAGTTTAGAAAGAGATTTAATGAAGCTTCGCCTGAATTTGTCTATACTGATGACTATTTGCGTGAAGCCAAAAACTTGAAATTGACGAAATCAATCCAATTGCTCAATACACATGTACACTTTTGATTTTTTTGTATGAAGGATTTTTTCTGATTTTTCTATTCATATATTATAGCATTCTGAAGAAGCTGGTCAAAAAATCTCGACCTTTTTGTCTTTCATCTTGCCCAATTTACAATTTGCAACAAAGGAGGCAAATGAGTAAGTAAATGTTATGTTTTTCTTTATATTTCGCTAATAGCCCAATTCATTGACATTAGAGGCGCTACTCCAGACTCTGATTTGCGAACTGGAATGAAGGTTTGGCCATCCTTTGTTTTTTTCTAAGCGAAGATTATATATTGTGAAGTGTGATCTACGATGTTATATATAATGGGCCTGATTTTTTAACAATCATGACGTAATTCCCAAACCTAAAACCCCACCTCCATTTTTCAAACTCAGATGACTGCATTCTCTGTCTGCTCTCTAGTGTTGAAGATGCCAAAATGTGGAACGCATGAATGTATCATGAATCCCGGTGAATCTCATGTTGTTTTGCACTTTTGTGCATACTGTCATGAGAAAGTATGCAAGCTCCTTGGATGGGATTCTACGGAACGCGCTGCTAGATTGGCTGCCTTCTTCGAAGAGAATGGTTTGACGGAAGATGCTGCTTGGGAGGCTAAAATGTTCAAATATCTCAGTGGTATCGTGTTACTTTGCTATTACGTCATTTTTCACATGCTTTCACGTGTCAGTATGTGTTTTTTTGATTTTCGCTGACTTTTTATATTTATATTGTTTAAGACAAGGTCCAAACTCCAGAAAAGCGACGACGCTCTAAAATGGCTCGAAACGTTGCTCCGGCTGAGGTTTTGCCTAAACCCAAAAAAAGGCGTCAGACTCAAGAGGCTCCTGAATCATCTGCTGATGAAGCTGAAGAGTAAGTGCAAATGGTTTCTTCGCTTTTTTTACTGTTTTTTTCCTTTTTCCCATCACTTACACCTATTTTTTGTTTTATTCATAGAACTAGGTCAGTGACAGAAAGCAGCTTGGCTGGTCCTTCTTCTGCTCCTGCTCAGGGAGCGCCCATGTCTCCTGCCAGAACCAAGCCAAAGGGTCGCAAAACTGCTGCTAAACCTCCAATCTCCAAGACCTCATCGTCAAAGGATCTAATGGCTGATGAACCTGCCTCTGGTTCAACTGCTATGGACTTGGACGGCAATGATGATCGTTGTGCCAGTGCCACAGATGCCATTCGCCAAACACCTCGTGCTTCTTCTGCTCCGGTTTCTGCCGAACCCCAGTCTCGTGATATCAAGTATCGTGATGAAGTAAGCTGGCGTTGTTTGTTTGCGGTGTGTTTGGTAAACAAATCTGACGTTTTATATTGGTTGAAATAGATTTTGGCCTACATCAATGCCAACTCTCGCGGTGAAGCCGTCAACTGGAGAGTCCTCCACCACTTGCTCGCTGGAGCTGCTTCATCCGTAGCAACCTTTGATCTTGCTGACTCGGATGATTTGAGTGAAACTGAAATGTTGGCAGATGCTAAACGTCATCTTATGCGTAAAGACAAACAGTAAATCATAAAATGTTCTACTTTACAACATAATAGCGTATCGTACATATTAGCAAAGATACATCAAATGTTTAAAGAGCCTATGCAATAAAACTGAGCTGTAAAATGATTCAAAGCAAATATTTCAGGTTTTATGATACGGAAATGAGTTCGGATTGTGGTTTCTGCGATGTGCAGAGACATTGACGTAATGGTGTAATGTCGAGGTGTGTGTCAGAGGCAGGCAAAGAGGCATCCCTCCCATATTCGCGGTGAATGAGCGACCGCCGTCTTCAATTTTCTTGAGTTGAAAGAAACAATTAAAAATCAAGAAAAATAAATCAAAAAGTCATATTTATCAGCGTTTTGCTTATTAAATGTAGTTAAGCTGCACCTACCATCATGTTTCTGTGGTGTTTGCCCGACAAATTGGCCAACCCCTTTTTTGGGTCGTGTATTTAGCTTTTTACGGGATTGGAATTGATTTTAAACTATATGATGCTGTGTTTTTTGGATGATAGAGGATCATACTGTAACATGTGTATTGTTTGTCATAAAACAACACACTGAAAACCTTCAGTCTAATCCGTACAAAGCTTGCCAAGATTCGTGTTAGAAAAGGATTCTTCTTTTTTGTATGCAGAAGAAGGTGGTGATCCTGATTCTTTGCGATCGACTATGCGAAAAAGTTTATTTAGTGAGTAGTATGTTACTGTGCTTTAAAAATAGCTGTGATACTTTCTCAGACATTCGTGGTCAGACACTAGTGCAGGGGATGAGCTCAATGACTGCCTGCAATCATTTTTCTATATATTAGACTGTGCAGTACTTACTTTGCGTGACTGAGGATTCAGTGTTAAGAAGTGCGTCTACCACAGCTTGCTTGTTCCGTTTCTCAACTTTATCAACAGCGATCATAGCGCTAAATCAAATATTTACGTATGAGCATGACATGTTTGAATATGAAAGTGCATTTCATATTGCTACCTCAAGCAGAATTCAGCATCGAGTTAAGGCAGAGTTTTTGAGTTAGCTGGAAAACATTGCAGAACACTGATTTAAGGGCAGGTACACTCTGCTCCCTGGGTCTGCTCTCAAGTAAAACTAAAAGGCGAATATCTACGTGATTTGAAATGAACTTTACGTGTTTAACCTTCCGTAGATCGGTATTCCAGCCTTCTCAAGGCATTGGACGTGATTAGTCTCGAGGTCTCCTATTACGAACATTGAAATTACCATTTGCGTTGTATTCGTGACGACAACGAGAAGGATAAACGCATTGAACTTTCGCGTAGAATCACTCGTTTGGCCTGTCACTTTCGACAGCAGCAGCAATCACAAAGTCAAAGATGTAAGCTGGCAATAAAAAGCGAGAATAACGAATTCAAGACTGAATTGGTAAGAGGGCTCGAAACGTTTGATTACTTAGCTTTACTGTACTTGTGACTGCACTACTCTTAAGAGTTCATTCATATATTAACCGTGCATGGCATACTTTATGAGATTTTCCGGCAACCTGTCTGGTATTTCCACACCTCTTAGTCTTTCATCAATGAGAAACATTCCTAGAAGGGTGCTAGAATTTGAACACGTATACAACAGACTAAATTGAAATGGGCGAAACATACCAATGCAGAATTCTTCTTTTGTCAACGCTCCGTCTTCATCCACGTCAGCTAATACCCTAAAAGAAATACCGTTCGATGAGTTCATCAAAGTTCTGAGTATATTGAATGTTCTCATACCATATCTGTCCAAGTGTTGGAGGGTCGAGGCCAGAACGCATCCAGATTGTCCGTACTTCATCACCACTGAGAATGGCTTCATTATTAGCATCATATCGTTGAAACACATCCTCATATCTTGTTTTGGCATCGTCTGGAATGTCGTCTGCACTGTTCGATGTTGTGTTCCCTGCTGCTACTGTTGATTGGCGTACTCCACTCTTGAGTTCGGCTGGTTTTACAGGCCTTGAAGGAGGTGGTGCTGGCTTTTCCTTCTTGACTGGTTGATGATTGGGTGCAGGAGTTGATGTAGAAGTGGTGTTGCTGTTATTATGTGTGTCGCTGTTGTTACTGCTGTTGCTATTATTGAATGATTGTGTGGCAGATGATGATACGACTGTAAATGTAGCACTGGATGGCGATGTGATTGATTTGGATTTACTACTGATGTTGCTGGTTGATAGAGCTGCTGGAGCACTGACTGAAGAAAAGGTTGTCTTCTTCAATGGCATTCCTCCAAAAATGACACTACTATTAACACTATTATAACTGCTGTTGGCATTAGCAGCTGCTTCAAAGGCTTTAGCAGCTGCAGCAACAGATTTAGGTCCTGACGTTTCTATAACACCCGATTCAGGCTCTGGTTCTGCAACCACATTTCTTGGAGGTGTACTAGGAGGTTGAGCCAACAAGTTGGATTGTAGCATTGGTGGCCTACGTGGTAATGCTGGACTACCGCCCGCAGACACTGATCTACTCGTCAATGACGAGGCTGAAGTTGAATGAGACAATGTTGGGCCTCCTACAACTCCAAATTTGGCAACGTTGGTGGCTACCGATGATGTAGAACTGCTACTAGACCCACTAAATGATCTTGAAGGCTGAGCAGCAGCTCCTGTCGTACCACCAAAACTGGCAGCTATACTATTTACTGTTCCAACGTTTGATGGGGCTCGTGAAGCTGCAGTCTTTTCACGAGCCATAACTGCTAATGTAGTTGACTTTTCCATAAGAGCTTGTCTAGTAGCCATTGCATCGATTTTGGGTTTGCGAGGAGCAAAAGCGTTTCGTGTCCAGTCCGGTATTTCAGATTTTATCGGTTCTTTCGTCAGATTATAGGCTCCAGGAAGCGTTGGACCTGCTGCTGGACCCTTAACAATCAGGCTCGACATCTATAAATTAGATTTTGCAAATAAGTTTGGCTTCAATGGCCAAAAAACGAGGAACTGCTGGTTGAGGTTTACAGGTCGAGCAGCATCGACAGGCTGCAGTTTAGCAGAGAGAAGATTCGGTCCAGGCAGTCCTTCCACTCCTTGCACTCTAGTCGCTCCACGAGCCGGTATATTCACGTGTTGTTCCTAAATGACAAACATTGTCAAACACCCAGTTTCGAAACAAGTATTTGATTTCTTCACATACAACTGGATCTTCCTCAAATCGGACGTAGTTCCCTGGGAAGACACCGAATACAGATGTGCCTTCCACTCTTCCTTTGTACCATCCTTGGTCTTCAGCTTCGGAAACTACAAATCCAAATGTTAAAATGTTGATTTTTGAGCTTGACAAACAGAGAATGCGACATACCATCTATGATTGTCTGTCCACTAGAGAAAGTAAGCTCTGTTGGATCATCACCCACACAATCGTAGACTGCAATCGCCCTCATTCTATGGCCGTCGAATTGGAATGCACAACCGAGGAAGCTTCAACAGACGTGATGGCGCGTATGGATATGCGATGCGGCAGCCTATCTAGGGAACTGCTTGGCCGACACTTCTGCCCTTGTCCTGCAAATTTGGTGCTCGAAAAAAGACGAGAGAATGTATTGGTCACCGCATGCAACTAGGCTCTATATATACAACGTGTATAATTTACAAAATATGAATGATTTACAATTTCTCGACATTGGCAGTCAATTGGCAGTAGATTTGTCGCGTCTGAATCGATTTATCAGGGTTGATGGTATCAGTTCGACGTGTTCTCTTTGTTGATTCATGTACTTGACGCTGTATCCTGTAATCATGGCATACACGTCCTGTAGTACTCCTATAAAGAGTCCGCATCCACCTGATATCAGTACAGCTGAACGTAGGTATGAATGTGTAAACCCATCTACAAGGAAGAATCTCAGATCATCACAGCTCATAAAGCCCTCGATCATCCATCAATCCATCAGGGCTGCAACGGCTTACGAGAAAAGGAAAATCCGGCTCCAGTCAATACTCCACTAGCAGTTGTACACATCCAGCTTTCACCACCAGTCACATATTTCTCCAAAACTTGCTCCGACACTGTGAATGCAGCAGCAATCAATCCAAATTTCAGCCCATTACGTGCACCTCCTAGAGTACCACTATATATAGCTTCATAATTCTTATACTTGTGATACATGTACCATCCCTTTGTTGTTTTTGGTTGTCGATGTGCATTTTCAGCTAGGAATTGTAGCCCTCTCTGCCGTCCAGACAAGTAGAATCCAGATACAAATCCTGTTATGAAGCCAGCAGTAGTGATTTGAGACAACCAAAGTTCGTTAGGATGTAGTCTGGCAAAAGCTTCTGTCCTCAATGTTGCAACTGGATGTGCTGTATATGCGAGGATGTTCAATGCTGACTCGACAAGAGATCTCGACTTTTCTACAGGCTCATCACGATCGTATGGCATCCTTGATGACCGATTGCACTGTAATCGGATTACTTCACCTCTACAAAAAATTTTCAAAAATGACGTTGAGGCAGCAGCAGTCAACTCAAGAACGAACGCGAGAGGAGACTTCGGAAACAAATTTTGGTCGAGATCTAGTCGATAAAAGACAGAGGACACCGTGTCCAGCGTTTTAAACCGTGCAAAGATCAAAGCAAAACAATTCGCGTCCAAGGCTAAAAACATGCAACACAACACAGTTTAAATTACTGAATTGAAGTTAAACAAGGGGTCTAAAGACACATTAAAAAGTACACAAAAAGTCTCACAAAGATCAACAAGATGTTGAATCACGTTGAACGACGCTTGAAGCAGAACTTCAAACCAGCTTTGTACGAGTCAAAGAAACAGTGGTACGAGTAAAATCTTGACCTGGAGGCAGCTCAATATCAAAACTAGAGCAAAACTGGTAAGATTTAAGAGTCCTTAAACTTTTAACAGAAAACCGATGAGCAATCACCCTATCACAGAGCATGAAACTGCAGTCTTACATCAAAGTATATAAGTAGATATTGAAAACTGACTTTATAGCCTTAAACCTCATCCACGGTTTGTCTATATGGAGCCTTTTAATACCATCATGAAGGTTTCATTTCATGAGTGCATCGGTTGACAAGACGAGGCTTGAAACGAAAAAAAAAGGCCGTAATAGTATCCAGTCAAGAAGAAAGTGGTCCTGACGAGGTTTTGGCATTCGACCAGTTCAACGTCGAAACTAAGAACGGTAAGAAAGAATTCGTCTAGCAATGTGCAATGCATTCAAACTCACCGTTGCAAGAGCAAGGCAACAGTACGACTCTCACTACTTGCAAGTCGTTGACCAATCCAATTTCCAATTCCATTCCCAAAAAGCAAATAACTACGAGACACAGGGATAAAGCCGTTTTCACATTCGGATTTTGTCAATATTCTGGAGTGCGATGAAGAGCATCAATGTTTATACTGATGATCTGACCAGGATTGACTTCATAGCCACTGCTCCTTCAGTGATGTTGTCCCATTCTGGAGAGAGTGAGGTGCACATGGAACAGAATGAAACGGTCTTCCAAAATCATGACATTTGTGTCAGTTCGACAGAAGTAACATACCTCAGAGCCATCATTGAGGTGAATCCTTTCTAAAACACCAACAACCAATCTTGCAATCTTTCCATTTTTGGCCAGGCGGCAGCAGATATTCGTGAGTAGCTTGACGATGCACATTGTCAACGGACATAAAACACGAATGCAAAATGTAACATAGTCCGACTATCCCAGTTCTTTCAAGGCATTCTTCTTGTATATTGTGACATTTGCGGCAGCGTTACAACAAATGGTATGTATAGTCACTCAAAATTCGTTGGTTGGGACGGCGTGTCAAGTAAAAAGCAGCTAGAGCAGTTCCAACAACTGCGATGACTGCAAAAGTGGTTAAAGTCCTGTTCATCGTGTTTTTACTCGACATTGTTATGGTTCTTGACTTGATTCTTATATTGCTTCATACTATCGTCCTTGGGATGAATTGCAAAGAAACTTGTATAGAAAGTGAAAAAGTTCAGTGTACGTCAGAAGGCAAGATCAGGAACTGTCAAACGGTTGACACCTTCGATGAGCTGAAATGACGATTCAGCGTTTGTTTGCATGCTGTACCGAAGAACATGAGAATGGGAGGAGAGAGCCCCGGTATAAAGTCCAGATTTGATTACAGTCATGAAGCCTGCAGTTGTTCGTTTACATAGCCATGTTTCATTGGGATGTATCTGAGCGAAACCTTCCATCACTTAAAAGGCTCAAACTAGAAGGGATGTCAATTTAAACTGGCTCATCAGAGTACATGGCATTGTTGATGGACGATTGCTTGAATTCTGATAGGTCTTGGTTACTTGTGTGATTTTGTTGAACCGATGGGTTCTTGCCGCAACAGAGACTGCTACTGCCCATTACAATGACGCTACAGAGAGAGCTGAAACGCGTTGATGTATACCTGAAGTCCAACGACACGAATTCCAGTTCTGTAAACCGTTCAATGATCTAAACGAAACAGTTCGTGTCGAAGAAATGCAACACACAAGCGATTCTCCCAAGCAAACCTGTGTGTATTGCAAACGTATAATGATATGCTACTACTTAAACTAAGATCTTTTGTATGTTCCAAACCATCCAATGGTGTTACTACTCTTTTTGGTGGGTGAGGGCGATTTAGACCCTATAGATATAATGCCACTGCCATTGTTCCATGATGAGGATGACCTATCAGTAGCTCCATGTACCCTATCAGTAGCTCGTAGCCTTTGCAGATCAACAGCAGATGGGTTCTTCAGCCTTTGCAGGTTGGGTGCAGACTTTGTCCTTCGTTCCAAGACTGCATCGTCTTCGATGTTACTATTCCTGAGACGATCTGGCCGAGCATTACTCATAGATGATGATGTTGATGATGAAGATGATGACAGACGCGATAATGATTCAGACATGGGATCCTGTCCAGACCTAACAATCAAGTCGAATTCTCGATCAACTCGATCTATTTCCTTCCAAGCCTTTTGCTGCTTTACTGGGTGATTAAAGGATTTGGTATCTTCGGATAGCGTTTGTAGACGTTGAAGTAATAATTTACGTTGTGTTCGCGAGAGGATGGTAGCAGCAGCTGAAGTTCCGGATGAGACACATAGCGTGGGCTCGGCCTTATTTATAACACTATTTTTGTTGTTACTGATCGTGGTTGTCGTAGCAGCAACAGCTGGAAGAGATGCCTGCAGCCCTTCGTCACTTGAAGCCTTTTGAGCTTCTACTTGAGAGACACTACCATTGACAGTTATTACTGGATCCTCGGTTGGAGATACAGAGAAGAAGGGTTTTGCCTTTCTGGGTATTAAATTACTACTATTACTATTGGTGGTTGTGGTGGTATTATTGGTGGTTCTGGTGGAGGTGGTTTGCTGTGCCATTACTTGCGGGGTCTTATCGGACTTTGCGACTTGATTCTGCATGGCAATCTTGGCAGCAGCAGCTACTAGTCGTGGATCCAAAGGGGCGTGAATGACAGGGGAAGTGCCAGTCGATACACTCGATCCACCAGGTTGAGTTGATCTCCATTGTTGGATTAACTGTTGCTGTTGTTGTTGTAATTGAGGATGGTGCTGTAGATGCTTCAAGTTATTAGCACTATGATGCCTCCTCTGCTGTTGTTGTTGTTGCTGTTGGCCTGCTGTTGGTCTGGCATGATTATTATATTTGGTGTGTTGTGAGGGGTAAGCATGTGACGACACTTCATCGTCGGATTCCGAGTCGCTCGAGTCAGACGAAGATTCAATACGTATGGGATGGTTTTGCATGCTCTTTGCGGCTCCAATTATGGGCAATGGCCTCGATTGATCGATTGACATGTGAATTTCATCATCGGCTGACTTTTCCACATTTCGACGTGGAGTGTCGTAGATGAAAGTGGCCTTTGGCATCCTGATGGGTTGATGGAGTGTTTGCGGTTGCATTACTAGAGCCATCACTGAAGACTTTTTGGGGTTCTATGCATCGAACGACGGGTGAGCAAAAGTCCCTCCGCTGAAAGTCGGAGGAAGAAGGAAGCAATAGGGAGCAGGTGGTAGTGTACATACCTTTCAGCCTTCCTTTTAGACGAAGCTATATTGCTACAAGAGGTTTCTCTCCCACTAATAAATAATGTTCAAGATGCATGTGTTGTGTGTGATCGCCTGACGTTCACTTTCACATGCCATCATGGGTAAAGTGATCACACGGTCCAGCACACGGTGAATCAAAAGCAGGTGGACTTAAAAGCCGCAAAGTATAGCATCTTGCTTAGGAATTGAGTAATAAAGGTCCTACTTTTGCGTCGCAAAGTCGCAGAGTTCACAAGTTCACGCGAAATTGTCCACCATCACCAAGAACTTTTGATTAAAGTTTTCAATTTTTTTCTGGGCATCGTTAGTCTACAAGTGTGACAAGTGTTGTATCATGCAAGATCGATCCATGCCTACTATATACACTGCACCAAGAAACGTGCTTCTACACCGAACGCCCACGGTTTGGAAGAAGTAAGTCGCCACCACGTGATTGATGTCATCTCTGTGCTCCACCAACCTTCCTTTCGTTTGTTTCAAAGGCTGCGATAAAACACAAGCGCCGCTCCAAAGTTCTGGATCTAGTACGGTCGCCGGCCGATGACTTGGGGTTGATTTCATTCAAGGGGAACATACAAGATACAAGATGCCCTACAATTGCCTCACGAGTTAATCCACAACTTCCTGTAAGGTTTCCTTCTCATTCATGTCCCAGTTCTTGTCCACAACCACCATACTATTTCAACCACCGTGACATTTATTGCTTCCAAGCGAAGATATGTATGTATACCGTTGATGACTTTGAGATACCATGAGATATGCGTTTGATGCTACTAAGCTACCTTGATAACATTCATGGGAGCTCGAAATCTGCGTCATTAGGATCATCTTCACCGTTGTACGAATGAACTTGCTTGGATCAACCCAGTCCAGTTCCAATAGGCCTAAATAGACCAGTAATTATGATACATATGCACTATACCTGAGTTCTTTGCTGCATTGGGTCGTTGAGCTTTTGAGAATTCTTCCTATAAGTACCTTTGCGTCCGTTGCTGATGACTGATGAGAAAGCTGGACAGACAAAACACAGTCCCTACCAACGGTTTTGACTTTTGACATGTGACGCAGCGGATTTCCTGTCATCAAATTATGCTTAGGGTCATTCAGCTGATCAAATTTAAGGATGTTTTTGATATGATGTTTACATGGGCTCCATACGTTACCTTGACCTAAGGCAAGATGAATTGTGCATTAGAATGATATTTCTAGATGAACATGATCATATTCAATCATAACTTACCTGTTCAGAACAGCAAGTCTTGCACATGGGTTTAGGTAGAGTCTGTGAGAATGCGTCCGAGTTAAGTTTCTTGTCGTATGCGAAACAGTAGACCAGGTCCATGCTTGAATCTGCCATTATGTATATCAAAGAGGGTTTTTGATTTTACAATTGGCCTCGCAAACACGATGTTTTGTCGATATGTTCCAACACGTGATTTTCGAAGCTTTGTGAGAGCAACGCACTCTCATAGTTATAACTTTCAACTTGGTATTTAATTATATCTTCATATTTTGTGTACTAAGGTGGTTAATCTCAAGACCAAGAGACCAAGTGGTTTGCTCATCAACCGCACAGAAATTTCCATCATACTGTTCCACTGCGCGAACAAACTTACTAATTCCTTCGCTTAACGTGTTTTCATAGCCTCTGAAAACTGTTCTATAAGATCTCTCCATAACACAACAACTGACCAAGCTCAATTTATGACACTAGTGTGGGAGGAAGCATAACATCAATTGACGTGAAAGATATCGCAAAATTATTATACAAGCTAACACTTGAGTGCCTGAGGGTTTTTTCCCAACTCGAAGCACAGCCTTCATTTCCAGCAAACCTTGACTTTTATTTCTTTCACATGCCTACATTTGAGGTTTGATACCTTTAATTGAGATTTCTTGAATGGTGCGTTTTATGTTATCGGTTTGTAGCCAAATTTAGAGCGTTGTAGGCATATCTAGAGTAATCTCGTGGCAGTACAACTTCGAAATCCGCAACAGTGACAGAACTTTCATCCTTGTCCTGTCGTTCACGGTCACAATTTAGACAAAAGACACCTAGAATTGCAGATTCGGAAATAAGGTGGTGTGAGAGTGAATGACTAGGATAAACAGGTTTGTTTGAAAGTTTGAAACAGTTGGTGTGTGATTATTCCGCGAAGTTGTACAGTCAACTACCCGAATATAGCAAAAGTTGTGATTCATATAACTGTACCTGAGTCTCTTGCTGCGTTGCGTCGCTGAGGTTTTGAATTTTCTTCCTGTAATTCAAATTCGCGTCAGTTGATCGAAAAAAAGGGAGAAGCACACAATACCAAGGATTTCGACTTTCGACAAGTGACGCAGCGGATTTCTTAGCATCAAACAACATTTGGAATAATTGAGGTGATGAAGGTTTGATCATTATGACCATGATGATGTGTCAATGTCCGGTAACCATTAATGTGCTCTGAACCATTACCTCGCCCTATAACATGATTGATGATTAGCAAAAATAATATTTATAGCTAATTATGATCACCTTCAATCTTATTGTACTCGTTTAGTGCTGCAAATTTTGCAAAGGGGCTTGGCCTAATAGCCAAATGTCAAAATGCTTCTTGTGATGTCGGGGTCAACGCGAGCTAAGTACCTCAACAACAGAAGAGTTTCGGCCTTATTTGCCATCAGTGTCAAATGTCATTTCATTCAAGGAGAAAAAGAAAAGACAACCTCGATCCATCGACATATTTCTAGAGCTGGGATTGAGAGAATGCGTTTGAGTTGAGTGACCTTTTACTTGAGAAGAAGTAGACTTTATTTAGAGTCTGTTCTGCCATCTTGTATTTCAAAGAGGTACTTTGGATCTTCAACACGATGGTTTTGGGAAATTGTGTTTGCAAGGATGGAGGCTGACCATACCAGCAGGACCTCACCGCGTCGCCTTCACTTTTAAAATTCTTACTTTCGAACGTGATATATATATGCTATGAGTTTTGTGCACAACGTTCTTACAAACTCGCCTTCTTTATCGCAACATGTTCATTGAGCTCAAGCCCAAGCTCATTCCTTAGCAAATATCCAAGCAGTTCCTTCCTAACACCATCAGATTGTTCCAATGCTGAAACAACCGGAGCCCATTCTTTTGCCGGACGTGTTTTCATTGTTTCTGGAGCATATTCAATGTGAACACCAGACAATACAGCTTGGCCCAGTGCAATTTTGGAGGAGACGATAGCAGGCAGCTTAATATCTATTGAAGCAAAGGCCGAGGCGCAGTCATTATACCATGCGAGGATACGAGTGTTCTCTGGGATGATGGATGCATCTTCACCACCCAGTACGAAGAAGGGACCACCGTTATGATATATGTTTACTCGTTCTGATGAGACGGTAGGCACTGACGGATCTATTACGACTTTTGCAGCTTTAGCGCCCTTTTCAGACCCGTAGATGAAGCCACTATACACTGATCCTCTAGCTACTCCATTATAAAACTGCAAGTCCCGATCTCCGATTACCTCGTAGTACTTCCGTTTCACCTCGAATTCACATCTAGCGCTGGCAAAGTACGCGCCAGCACATAGACCAAAGTATTTACCACCTGCTTCTACATATTGTCTTATACGGGAAGTACCCTCCGGATGCAGTGCCTTGACATAGGGCAAGTCAGCACCTCCTGGTATCACGAAAAGAGCAGTATATTCTTCCCAAGGTTCATGTAAGACGAGTTTAGCTTTTACTAAAAGGACATTATATGCTGGAGATAGGGTTGATTTCAATGTGGATACGGTATGGAAGACAGCTTCTTCGGAAGTTCCTTCGTCAGAGTAGACCAATACATTTAGAGGCTTGTTTGATATCGCATCGTTCGGTATAAAGTGTGGTGGTATACTTTTACTCTCAACTCGACCATTGAGCTCAAGTCCGAGTTCGGTACCTAATATATATCGAAGCCATTCGAATCGTGTCTGATCAGATGAAGCCAGTTTTGATAATAGCAAGTCGTCGTATATAGTTGGTGATTGTGCCTTCATAGCTTCTGAATAAAACTCGATATGTGGGCCCGATAATACTATTTTGCCCTTTCCAGCGTTTATTGATAGCAGAGCAGGGTATTTTCCATCGGCTGATGGTTTGCCAAAAGTGGCAATGTCGTCGTCCTTATAGTGAGCTAATACTCGAGTGTTCGTTGGTAGACTACCACCATCAGCTGTAAAGTATGATCCACCATTGTGGTAAATTGTACATGTCCTTTCAGACACGTGTGATATAGAAGGTTCAAAAGAGATATTCGCTGCCCGACTTCCAGCTTCAGACCCATACACATAACCACTAAATGCAGATCCACGAGCTATACCATCATAGAACTTGAGATCACAGTGTCGTATGATTTGGTACTCCTTCCTGCCAGCCTCAAATTCAACTTTATCAGAAGCAAAGTATGCACCAGCACCAATTCCAAAGTATCTGCCACCGGAGTGTACGTATCGTTTTATACGTGCTGTACCGTCAGGCTGCAGTTTATTGACGTACGGTGTGGCTCTTCCGCCAGGAATGACTAGTAATGCACACAAGGGTTCCCAATCTGATGTCAAGATAGTGGTAGCATCAGCCAGGACTACATTATAATTTAATGGATGCACGGCCTGTTTCAGTGCTGATACAGTGTGATGGACACAGTCTTCAGAAGTACCTTCATCTGCATAGACAAGTACGTTCATCTGGCGAGGGCAATTGATGAGTAAAGTTGTAGGATGTGTACTTCTTCGCAGCAATACTGCAAAAGATTTGATCATCACCTGTGAATCTTGCTGCTGCTTGCGTGGTTGACTGCTCACTGTTGCTCCAACAGCACACTGCGAGAAACACGGGATTGTCAAATAAGCGATCGCAACAACAAATACGATAAAGCGAGGTACCACCGTTGGTACCATCGTTGAAACTCTTCAAGAATGCGTTTCAGATGGATGAAAGTTTACTTTTTGGACACCGTTGACTTGTTCGCGTCAGCACGTACTTAATTCTTTCTCGTTTTGACAGCAGACTTTGACATGCAAACACTTGTCTATGTAGAAATGCTAACTATTTTTCTACTTTTTGCGAGCAATCATTCCTTTCATCATATCAAATGAATTGCCATCAGGTTGTAATAAATACTCGGCCTGGTTTTCACCTACACATTTCAACAACCCAGAAGGATCAATACCAACGATGGTAGCTTGAACATTGTTGTGGTCCTCCAGCACGACTCGTACTTGGCTTAGATGTAAAGCGAATGATTCGTAAGACAACTAATTCATCAGCACACACACCAAATCACATACCTGTGAAGCCAAGCATTGTAATAACGAGGCAAGAAAGGCTCAAATGCAAATCTCCACTTCTTCTTATCCTTAACAGCATCTTCCATTTCACGATAATAGCATTCGAAGGTAGTCAAGACTTGAGCCAAGACTTCTTCCAAATTCAATTCAGGAAACCGAAGACTCTTTGTAGCATTGTGGACTTGGATGACTTCATTGACTGATGTCGTTGGTCGTGGATTTGCGATATTGATGCCACAACCTACTACCAGCGAAAACACTCCAGATTGGTAGGAAGAGTTGACTAGTACACCGCCAATCTTTTTCAATCCATCGTGACCGGGTCTCAGCTGTACATAGATATCATTGGGCCATTTCAAATGAATCGGGAGATTCTACAAATGTTCAATCGTAAGTGCATGCTCTGGTGTCTTCATCAAATATATGTTGCTCACTTCGTAGCCAGGTTTGGATTGAATTGCATCTACTGCAGCCAGAGCCATCAGATATTGTACAAATATGACGGAGGACGCATCACGATGCTGCAATTTGAATGAGAATTGCAAGCATCCCATAGACGAAATCCAAGCATTTCGTCCTCGACCTATCAACGTTTGAGATTTCGTTCAGTCGATGCATACTGCCGGAAATAGGTAGCAACTCCCTACCTCGCCCAGCGACTTGATGAGAAGCTATAGCAGTAAATCCGCTTGGCAAATCCTTTGAGAATTTGAAGTTCCTAACAGCAAGCTCATAGAATGAGCGACACCATTCAGTCAAATACAACACGGTAACAACCAACTCACTTGTCGAGAATAGTTTGAGTTGAGGTAACGATTTCCCCATACATGACAGTAGATCCAAACGAAAGCTCATCTTCCAACGCGACACCCTTCTTTTCAGCCTCAGCTCGTGCGATAGCCAGCATGTCATAATATTTCGGTAGATTGAATTGCGGAGTAGCAGAAGGTACAGGGTAGTCTCCAGCATTATGTATAGATATGTACAATGGTATTTTAGCTCCTTCTTGTTCTTCAGCCTTTTGTGGTGCAGAAGCTGATGTTTTATATACATTGAATATATTGACATCATCTTCGAGGACTTTCATGGATGTTTCACCAATGAGGGCATCCGTGATGGTGTTTTCGAATGTTTGAGTCTTCCAGGTCTTGCCTGGTCCAAAACAAACGTGTAGTTCAGATAGTGTGGGACCTGCAGACAAGTCATCATCTACTGGTGATGTTGGTTTTATCTCGTTGAGAGTAAGGCCTAGCTCGGTACCTAATATATATCGAACCAATTCTCTGCGAGACTGGTCGGATGAGTCTAGTAGTGGTACCAGTTTTGATGTCGAGTCTGAATATGTTGGATGCGACTTCATGGCCGATGCACTATATTCGAAATGTGGGCCTGATAATACTGCTTGACCACGTCCGACACTACAAGATACAATAGCTGGTAGTCGTGTGGAACTAGTTATGTCTGATTTATCATCATACCAAGCTAGCACTCGAGTATCTTCTGGGACTACATCCACCCCGTCAGGGCCTTCAGCCAGTACAAAATACGGTCCACCATTATGATACATGGCAATACTGGGCTCTGTAGTTGGTGATGACAAGGGAACCGATGGATCAAGTTTGACGCGAGCGGCTCTAGCACCCATCTCTGAATCATAAACAAAGCCACTATAAACCGATCCTCGTGCTATTCCTTTATAGAATTTCAAGTCTCGTTCCCCTACAACCTGGTAATCCTTCCTTCCAAGCTCGAATTCCACTTTTTCACTAGCAAAATACGATCCAGCACAAATGCCTATGTATTTACCACCAGATTCTACATATCGTCTAATTCTGGTCGTCCCATCACCATTTAAAGCCTTGACAAATGGCAAATCTCTACCACCTGGCATCACTAAAAGAGCAGTATATCCTTCCCAAGGTTCCGTTAACAAAGTTTTGGCATCTACCATCATGACATCGTACGAAGACGACAAGTTTTCCTTCAAAGTTCGTAGGGTATGATCTATAGGTGTTTTGCCTGTTCCAGGGCCAGAGTAGACGAGCACGTTCAGGGCGTTGCTGGACCGCATCGGTTTTGGGGGAACGAATTGTGGTGTGTTGTAGAATCGAAGGGACGCAGATGGCTGGCCCACATTTTTGATGGGGCCTGGCCCTAGAAAGATACTGCTTCGACTCAGGTTTCGTATCAAGCCCTTCGGCACACACTTCATAAAACTGCTTGTTTGCTGCTGCCAGGGTTGGAATTTTGAGCAACCTGAACGATGATGCTGATCGAGTTTTCCCGAATGCCAAGATCAGGTCTGCAAAAGGGATCAATCAGTTTAAATACATCAAAAATCACGACCGTTAACCATTAAAAACACCAGGTGTGTTGATCTACTAGATCCACTAGATGGAACGAGCCCCATGTTGATCAAAGACCATTTACAGTGCCAAACATTTGAACTAGTTTCAAGCTTACAAGCCCACCTATATTTGACCGTTTTACTGTAAAACGAAACGAAATGGAAATGAACGTGTTTTGATCGGGATGAAGCGCCGTCGTTGGTATTTTGAGTTTGGAGGATGAGGGTTAAAACCGGCAGCTGTTTTGAGCTTTCCGGTGAATCCACGTCTTCCAAAAACAGATCACCTGCAAACGAGGTCTTCTGAGATAGTTGCCTCGTGTTAACGACAGCAGACGGCGGCTCTTTGCAAATTGGCTTTGCCCTTGTCTGGGAATATTGGACGACCCTCTGAAAACTGCTTTCGCAAACCGTTAAACTCGAATAGATAAGGATCAAGTAGACATATATCACTCTGGAACTGTTATCGATCATGCAGGCCCATATAGTCAACCTGTCTAAAAGTGGTGTTTCCAACTTTCTTCTTTGGAGTACTGGAGACGCAATCTCACAGACCATTCGAAACCATTCTCTGGAAGTCGATGACAAAATGCCATGGACCGAGCGTATCCAGACATCTTTGTCGAAGCTGAACGCTCATCAGAACGTGTCTATGGGTAAGCCCCTGAAATCAGAACATTTTGTAGGCAAATCTTAACCACTTCGCCCATTTTACTAGCAATGTTTGGGGCCTTTGTGAATGCACCATACTTTTATATGGGGTAAAAAACCGTTTGGATTTTGGTTCTAGTCGTCAAGCCGCTTTGATCATGACGACTGTTATGTTTTTGGATTTTTGAAGGATTTTTGAAGGATGGTAAGCTAAATCGCTTTCATTTATCTGCAGATGGACAGCTCTTGATCGCGTAATGGGGACGTCCACTTCCATAAGGCAGTCTCTCATGAAGGCGGTGGTGAATCAAATAGTGCTGTCCCCGCCTTACCTCGCTACGCTACTAGCGTTCCCACAAATTCAACGAGGGGCATCATCTGAACACATAAAATCAACCGTGCAGAACAAGTTCCTAGATTTGTACATCCCGGCTTGGTGTATTTGGGTAAGTCAGCTTTCCAAGCTTAAAACTCAATATGTCCACTGATTCACACTTCTTTTGATTTAGCCTGCAGTAAATGCATTTACTTTTAGTCAAGTTCCACCTGGCTGGAAACGACTCGCTTTCAGCAATGTTGTTGGTGTCGCATGGTGAGTGCCATCTGGGTCTTGCTCTCAGCAATGTTGTTGGTGTTGCAGTTTGAAATTATAGGTATGGAATTTTAACTCACAATGACACCGACAAATAGGGTTGGTTGGGTCTCATACTTGCATGCCAAACCGCACAGTTCAACCCTTGAAGATGGGCAACTGATAATCAAGAATGTGCAGAGCTCATCTGAAGCTCTACTATCGTCGAGAAAGGCCCTGATATGATCCCTAGCGTAGTAGGGGCTAAGGTCAACTATGGCTACTAGAGTAGAGATGCCCGTATAATTATTAGGATTTGCCAGAATCAATTCGTCGTGTTATTATAGAGATCCGGCAACCCGTTTGTAAGTTTGCTGTAGAGAGACCATTACTTAGATTTAGATCGTAATGGATAGAAGTACTGAAACATAGAGGGAGAATATATAAACTATTTATTTGAACACCGCACCATTTGAAGCGTTGTACTGTTTTTTGGCTCGAGCTGTTCCACTAGGACACGTCAGTCGAAATATCAATCATGCTAGTCGCGTAACATTAAGATATTTCTAGCATATTGTCGGGTGAGAATACGTAATTCTAGCTTTTGTTGTGAAGGTTTTGTATAAGGTTTGGCTGCAAACCTACACGTCCGTCTGAATTCTTTCTTGACAAACAAAAAAAGTTGAGTTTTTGAAGCTCAGCTGAGAATATCAACTCAATAAGACCACGATGATTCCTAGATTAAGGCTGGCTGCTAGTCATGCAGTGCGAGTGTCTACCTATGCTGGAACGAGGAGGCTACCGATACTAGCTCAAACTTTTGCTACCAGCGTCACCAGGAAACAAGCATCTGAAGCACCAAGCAGTTCTAGCAAGCCCAGTGCATCTGCATTGAAAATATTCCCTCCTCTGAGTTCAGCAGAGGCCTTTTTATCTGGATCTGCCGCCAACTATGTTGCTGAAATGTACACTTCCTGGTTGCATGACCCAAAATCGGTGCACATCTCGTGGCAAGTCTACTTTAGAAACATCTTGTCGGCTGAACCGGGATCGCCATTTATTCCGCCACCTACTATATCGTCGGCCTCTACTGCTGCTGCCTTCTCGCTCCCTTCGAGCCTCTCAGGTGGTGTCACCACTCCACTCTCAGTAAACCTCGATGAGGTTATTGGCGATGCTATCTTGGAACCTGAAGATTTCGAAAAGGTTCCTGCTTCTGAGGTCATGGATCACATGAAGGTCCAACTTATGGTCCGCGCTTACCAGGTGCGAACCACATGAACATTTCAGCACGAAAATTTTATGCGGCTTGAAGCTACACGACAATTATTACCCAATTTCACGTCCAAAACGCGTCAAATCTAACTCGTATATCCATTGTAGGTGCGAGGTCATCAACTGGCACATCTAGATCCATTGGGTATTAGCGGCACAAATCCATCAGATGCTCCTGAATTGGACTACAAGTTCTATGGTTTTACTGAAGCTGATCTCAAACGACAATTCTTTCTTGGTAACCATTTCCTCTAACTCTTACAGTGTTCGCTGTAGTTGCTGACACGACACCTTTCTTTAAGGTTTGGGTATTCTACCATGGTTTTTGCAGAACGAGGGAAGGAAGAGCATGAGTCTTCAAGAGATGATCGATCGTCTCCGAAAGACTTACTGTAAGTATTGACATGTCGCCAACTGCATCGCCCACCTCGACTATGTGTAATTCTATTTGCTCATTCACACCTGAACTTTTTTGCGCAGGTGGCTCGATTGGTGTAGAATACTCTCATATACCCGACCGTCGTCAATGCGATTGGCTACGTCAAAGGCTCGAAGTCCCAACACCATTTGAATATACCAAAGCAGAAAAGACCGTCATTCTAGATAGATTACTATGGGCCCATCAATTCGAACGCTTCGTAGCTGCCAAATACCCATCAGAAAAGCGATTCGGATTAGAAGGTTGTGAAGCCTTGATTCCTGGAATGAAGTCCATGATCGACAATTCAGTCGAATTGGGTATCGAAACCATAGTAATGGGCATGCCACATCGAGGCCGATTGAATGTACTATGTAATGTAGTCCGAAAGCCATTGGAATCCATATTTACCGAGTTCTCGCATTCCGCTGAATCTACCGTCGAAGGATCTGGTGATGTGAAATATCACTTGGGTATGAACTTTGATCGTCCAACACCATCTGGTAAACGTGTCCATCTATCATTGGCTGCCAATCCATCGCATCTAGAAGCAGTCAATCCAGTAGTACAGGGCAAAGTCCGTGCCACTCAATTCTACGATAACGACGAAGCACTACGAAAGAAATCGATGGCAGTATTGATGCACGGTGATGCTGCTTTTGCTGGACAGGGTATTGTCTATGAAACCTTGGGCATGAGTGACTTGCCATTTTATACTACAGGTGGATCCATTCATATTATTGTAAACAATCAAATCGGTTTCACCACCGACCCTCGATTCTCACGATCAACACCATATTGTTCTGATGTCGCCAAAACTGTATCTGCTCCCATCTTCCACGTTAACGCTGATGATACCGAAGCTGTAGTGTATTGTATGGAATTGGCGTCTGAATGGCGTGCCAAATTCAAAAAGGATGTCGTACTGGATTTGGTCTGTTATCGAAAACACGGTCACAATGAAACTGATCAACCTCAATTCACTCAACCAACTATGTACAAGGTATGTCATCTTATGCAGTGCGGATATCGTTCATCTCCTTTTCCCGGGATGAAGAACGTATTAAACAACATAACAATGCTCTAGGTCATTAAGTGAAAGCGAAGCTCACTCTCGTCTTCCCCCAAATTAGCGTATCGCTCAAATGAGGCCTACATTGGATTTGTATACCGACAAGTTGATTGCTGAAGGAACATTCACTGCTGCTGAAATCAAAGCCATGACTGAAAATGTGTGGAACATATTAGAAGACAAGTACAAACAATCCAAAGACTACAAGCCTTCGAACTCTGACTGGGTTTCATCTGCTTGGCATGGTGAGATGCATTTTTTTATTTCAGATAGCGACTCTTGACGTTTGTCAATCGAGACGTCGAATGGCCCTCAATCATTCCAAAAGGATTCCTGACTTTTTCTTTCGCTTTTAGGATTCAAATCACCACAAGAGTTGGCTGCCTCTACCGTCCAACCACGATTTACTGGTACTGAATTAGAAGTATTGCGAAACATCGGTGTTGCCGCATCATCCTATCCAAAAGACTTTGCAATACACCCTAACTTGGCTCGTATTCTACGAGCTCGAGAAAAGAATCTGAGCGATGGTGAAGGTATCGATTGGGCTACCGCAGAAAGTATGGCTTTTGGTACATTGTTGGGTGAAGGCAACCATGTTCGATTATCTGGTCAAGATGTTGAACGTGGTACCTTCTCTCATCGTCATGCAGTCTTGCATGATCAGAAATCTGATTCGACTCATGTCCCATTGAACAATTTGGTCGCTGCTGGTGCTGCCAAGAGCGCTAGTCCATTCATTGTCTGTAACTCCAGTTTGAGTGAATTTGGTGTATTGGGCTTTGAATTGGGTTATTCTATGATTGATCCTGCTCAGTTGGTGTTGTGGGAAGCTCAGGTAAGCATACATCTGTGCTGAACAGTGGTCGCTTGCTTTTTGTTGAGTCCGTGTTAATGCTTATCTTCGTCGTTTTTACTAGTTCGGTGACTTTGCCAATACTGCACAATGTATCATTGATCAATTTATTGCTGGTGGAGAGCAAAAATGGTTGCAGGTGAGTACTAGAAATGTCTTTACGAGGATTTGGAGTGTGAGAATCTTGTTGCGTAACTTTGACCACTTTTTTTTGCAGAGAACTGGATTGACATTACTCTTACCTCATGGGTACGATGGACAAGGTCCAGAACACTCTTCAGCTCGTATTGAACGATTCCTGTCACTGGTGGATGAAGATCCATACATGCTACCTCCAACAGATCGAATGGATAAAGGGTCATATGCCCGTCAACACCAAGATTGTAACATGCAAGTCGTCTATCCATCTGTTCCATCCAACTACTTCCATGTATTGAGGAGACAAGTTCACCGTGATTTCAGGAAGCCTGTAAGTCTTATGCGAGCAAACGAAGTCCAGCCCTTTGGTTTTTTTGTGGTCGAAAGATTTAATCTCATCATTCGAAATAACTCTCTTCCAGTTGATTGTTTTCGAATCCAAAGCTCTACTCCGTCACCCACTCGCCAAATCCCATCTAGCTGAAATGGGTCCCGAAACTCGCTTCCAACGTATAATTCCGGAAGTCCTTCATCCAAACCCCTTAGAAGGAATGCAACTATGTCCACCACCGCCTGATGCAACATCGCCAGTAGCATGGTCTGGAAATAACGCTGAGCCACGTATTCCATATGCCCTACAAAAAACAACCGATAATTTTGCCCTCTCACCACCGTCTGAAACGAAAACACTAATTTTCTGTTCCGGACAAGTATATTATCTATTGTATAAGGCACGAGCATTGAACCGGTTAAAGGATGTGGCTATTGTTCGTATAGAACAGCTGGCGCCATTCCCGTTCTGGGAAGTAGTCAAGATTGTAGACATGTATTCCAACAAGTTGCAGGAAGTTGTATGGTGTCAAGAAGAAGCCATGAACAGTGGCGCTTGGTCGCATGTGCAACCGAGGTTGGAGACTGCTATTGCCAAGTCCAAGTGGTGGGAGAATGGAGGTGTAAGTGATTCTCATGTTGCGTCTATTGCCTCCTCTTTTTTGTCTGTGTCGTCGTCTTAAGCCCATTATAAACTGAACCAGAAACCCGCTATAAAAGTAAATGTCAAAATGATCTGATCATTTGCTCACTCCCATCCTTCACCATATATAGGCCAGGAAAGCTGAAGACAATCTGCACAAGAGCAGGTTCCCAGGCGGTCTAGCCAATGCCAGTGATCGACATGGCCGAGTCAAAGAATCGACATCTATTCGTGGATCACGAACGATTCGATACGCTGGACGTGATCCAGCAGCAGCTCCTGCAACTGGATTTAAAACCCAACACGACTTTGAAGAACGAATGCTAGTAGCTGAAGCCCTAATGGGTGGCAAATTACTGAAACCTAAAGATATCGTTGATAAGGTGCCTCTCTTTGTTTGATTGAATACAACTGAAAGAAACAGAATCAATATATTTTCTGTTATTACTTCGCAAATAGAATTTGGTTTTATTGATATATGCAAAGAGACAGTTTCGTCTGTACATAAATTGGGCTAGTTGCTGAATTGTGCGAAATTCGAGCGGAAACAGCACCCCCAACAATTCATAGCTCATTGTGTTAAGCCTTGTATGGTAACAACAATCTTCCTACTCCCTAATGATGGTTAAAAATATTGAAGTAAGAGATCGATAGAAATAGTGTCGCTGAACTAAGAAAAGGATAAAAGTGTGTTGCAATCATATTGACATCACAGAAACGACAAAGATACAAACGGCGAACATACCTCCTGAATTCCTATGCTCACATAGCCAAATGCCTGAATAACGATCCACTGAGTTCATAAATAGCAATTCTCCAATGCGATTCTTTTTTCCATACCTTGCCACGTTCCAAGATTCAACGATCCTGACGTTATAGGTATATTCAAGCTGACTCCAAACAATGATGACTTCACATGTCCTGGCATATCATCATCACCCTCTGCATCGTGTATAAATTTGGTTGATTCAGGTACCAGCTTGTTAAGCATCATCTCCATGTCTTTACGCACATCGGAATCACAGTTCTCGTTGATTGTAAGCGATGCGGATGTGTGTTGTACTATAAGAGCATGGTGTTAGTTCCAAAGAGCGTGATGAAACTATACACCTTGATTGATTTCACTGAAGAAGTTTGCCATTCCGATTTTGAAGGTCTTTATTTCCGGCACTTGTTTTAAAATCTCATCAGTTACTAGATGGCAGCCTCGTGCTTTCCTGGGTAATGACAATGTCTGGAAAAATGTGGTTTGATACTTAGTTTTGATGTCAGCGATATACACCACCGTCACCACCTCGAATAAGACAGAAAGACATTGTAATTGAAGATTCGCTCTTACTTTTTGAAACCATGTTGATGTAGCCATCGATTCAGATTGACTATAATAATAGATTTGATGCTACAGAGTGCTAGTGCAGGTAAAGCTTAAGCAAAGTTTCACCAAGTTCAGACGGCAGCAAGAGGAAGAAGACGACCTGACAGATATCACAATGGTAAACGTTCAAATGGCTGCCCTTTCTCGCGTAATAAACACGCACTCTTACTCAATAAGGATCACGTTTATTTCTTTTTCACATGTAATGTAAACTATACAGACTTGAGGACTCTGGTACGATACCTTCCAATGTCCGTTTTGTGCTTTATACGCAATCTAGATCGAAAAAATGTTTGTTGGGAGATCAACTTGCGAGAGGATCAATTCATTGTTTACCAGGGCTATGAGAGAAATGAAGATTGTGTTCAAATAATGAAGATGCCTAGAGAATAAATTTCATCTTACTGTCCATAAGGTAAAGTGCCTTCATCGGCATCGTCGAGAGCACCAAAGGTGTATTCCTCTTCGGGCTTGTAGGAACGAATCTGCTTGCTTGGATCAACCCAGTCGAGTTCCTCTCGCAAGACGATGCATTTCAAGCAGCGAGCACCTGTAAAATGTGGTAGGAAGTAAGCTTGAATGTTAGTTCAGTCTGAAGAAGCATTTGACGACTCAATGAACTTCAGAAATGCTATTCTTGTTCGAAGAGGCTGAAAGTGTGATGACGACGAGGAACATCCAAATATGTGATTTGAAACACCGTTACCTGAATCTTTTCCTGCCATGCGTCGTTGAGCCTTTGAGAATTCTTCCTGTTATATATCTTTGCGTCATTTGGTGATGCGACCCATGGATTGAACCAACATAGTCCTTACCAAGGGTTTCGACTTTTGACATGTGACGCAGCAGATTTCCTACCATCAAAGTATGATTGTGGGACTGATGTCATCAAAATTGATGATATTTGCTTGACAGTGATGATGTGTCATGTTCATCATACGGTTCATATGTTACCTTGACCTACAACATGATGGATGATTAATTAGATGAAGTTTCAATATGAAAATGATCATGACTATCTAATCACCTGTTCGGAGCAGCAAGTTTTGCACATGGGCTTGAACTTTGGGGGCAATGACACGTGAATGCAGTGAATACCGCGATGAAGTAACAAACTACCCATACCTCAATAACAGAAGAGTTCTTGGCCTTGTTTGCACTCTAAAATGCGTGTTTCGTGTTTGAGAAATGACATATTGGAGGTCCATCAACAAACTTACGGCATTGACGTATTTGCTGAGTTGAGTTTGTGAGAAAGCATCCAGGTTGAGTTTCTTTGCACAGGCGAAGCAGTAGACACTGCTTGTACCCAGTACTCTCTTGAACTCTAAACGTAAAGATATAAGCTGATTAGCTAGAATGATTTCAATCTCGATGTTTGGATTTGATGAGATATCATGAAATACAAAGACGGACACCGCATGATAATTGAAATAAGCCAGAAATTATCTATGCAAGTGAATAATTCATTCCACCTAAAATTCCAAACGGTCTCCCCATCCTCCAAATGTCTCATCGTTTTGACAGCTTCACAGATTCAGTCCAACACAAAGCAGACAAATACCCTTGAGTTCTTCAGTCTTCATGACAACACTGGCCATCTTTGCTCAATGTCTTGAGCGGTCTTGTGCTGTTGAATATTGGTATTGTGGACTGACGATTTGTTTTTTTCGAGAGTTTGAACGAGTAGGCAGGGTTCTTTTGACCCAGGGGCGAGTTAAGAAACACAACAGCACAGCCCCAATTATTGTAGACCTACATTTTCGCGTCCTTTACGCGTAGGAGGAAAACCACGCGTTACCTTGACTAACACAATTTCCAACGTCACCTTTGAATTGAGATGCATGTTCTTGCATGTTCTTCCTATATTCACTACTCAATAAAACTCGCTGAAGATGCTAATTCCCATGCAAGGATTTCTTCGTCTCTGGTCATTGCATGTCAACCAAGCAACCATTGAGTTCATGACCCGTGACGAATTAAACATGGCAACATTGGTGCATCTCGCATCAAGTGCAGGGAGAGGCACTCGACCTGACGACCTAGTAATAACTTGAGACTAGACCAAACAGTTGACTAGCAAAAGCGTGTTGGCCTAGGACAGTTTGAATCTCCGAAATGAGCCTACATGCAAACCTTATTTTAAGAATGTGTAACATTTCATTAAAACTTGCAGCAAATGAGGCCTGCCAACACTACTACACAACTATTGCCTTTATCAGTACTTTAAGCCGTGCCAAGATTGCGGAGCTTCTTGCAGTCTTCTGCGAGGTTGTTTGATTTCTCAGTTTACCTGATGCTCAACCTATTAACAACAATGTTCAGTGTCTAGCCCCAATGCTATATTATTACATGAATATTTGGCCCCCCTGGTAACGAGCTCTAAAAAATTGTTTTCGTTTGCGTGATTACATCACGTACCAGATCTCGACCGAAATACCCAATCCAAGTCTTGGGCAAAACGCCCAAATTTCAGGAAGAAAAAGAAGAAACCTGCACACACAAAAAAAACCAAGTCGATCCATAATGGGAGTTTCTCTAGCTAGTCAGCGAATGTATGGAATGCTCTTCGTCCATGGAATAGCGTTCATGGTGCCCTTCTACATGACGTTCAGTCGAGAGCGTTTGGCAATTATTGTTGGATGCTATGCCGCTGCAATGCTATCAATTACGTGAGTGCAATGAGCGCGTTTTATCGCTACTCTGTCATATATCAACTAATCCCTGTCTTCTTTTGATAGCGTTGGGTAATAGTTGACGGGGATCGAGTGTCATCACTTGCGGTTTCTGATTCGCCTTGGCACGTTTTTTGCCTCGGTCTCATATGTCAATATCTAAAGCTCATTTTTCCAGTTATCATCGTATGCACAGTCATCATTCATTCAAGCCGTCCCTTATTGTGAGGTTGTTGGTCGCCTTATTTGGTGCATCAGCATTTCAAGGTATTAAAATGTCGACTTCCTAATATTTTACACTTTTTCTGATTACATCTTCTTTCTCTTTGTAGGAAGTATCAAATGGTGGGTTGTGAGGCATAGGCTCCATCACAGATTTCCGGACTCCGGTACGTCTCACAATTTTTGAAACCACGTTCAAGCGAACTAACGCCATTGTATTTGGTAGACAATGATCCATACAATGCCAGGCGTGGTCTCTGGTATTCGCATATGGGCTGGATCTTTCAAACCGCACACTACTCCAAACTGAAGGAAATCGATGATTCAGACTTGACTGCAGACAAGAGTAATTAGACTTTGCTCCCTCTTCTTTTTTCAACAGATCTCAGCTCACCAATTGATTCTTGGTAGTCGTTGTCTTTCAGAACAAATATTTCAACCTCCTTGCCATATTCATGTGCTTCATATTCCCCGCAATGATCGGCGCCGTGTTCTTCAATGATGCTCTGGGTGGGTTGATGTACGGAGGCTTCGTCAAGGCAGTCTGCCTGTGGCATGCCACGTTTGCCGTGAATAGTCTATCGCATTGGAATGGTGATCAACCATACACCCTGGATTCAACGGCCAGAGATAACTGGTGGCTCTCTTTTCTGACCAATGGTGAAGGAAACCAGTAAGTCATTCTTTGAGAGCTTTTACAAATTGGCAATAATCGTACAGATCGGATTTGAGGTAGAGTTCTCATTTAACTATTTTTGTTTAGCAACTTCCATCACGCTTTCCCTCGAGACTACCGATGTGGATCATACTGGGCGCAATACGATCCAACTAAATGGACGATATATTTGTTGTCACTCGTGAACCTCGCTACTGATCTGTACAGGATTGACGATGAATCTATAGAGAAAGATGCCATCGTCGTGGGTGAGATTGTGCTCAAAAAGAGACGTCAATCTGTGAGCTGGGGCATTCCAGATGCGGATTTGCCTAAATTTACTATGCACCAAGTACGAGAACAGTGTTCTCGCAAAGCTATGAGCTTGCTAGTGATCGACGGATATGTCATTGACGTCGGAGGCTTTTATGAAGATCATCCAGTAAGTTTAGTTTGAGCCCACGTGAATAACATTGTTTTTACTGATACTTTACGTTTTAATCTCAGGGAGGCAGAGACCTGTTGGCAGAACTGGTAGGTCAAGATGCGACAACTGCATTCTATGATCGAGCCCACAATGAAGGAGCGCATGTCACCATGAGAACTCTCGCGGTCGGTAAATTGATAGATTAAACATAGGGTGGAAAGCCCATTGGAAGGAGAGGAAAGCCCGAAGTTGCTCGCACCCTCCAAAGATTATTTATTACAACAAACACATCATGTTAAATCTCTCATAGTGTTTTTGATTGTACATTTAGCATGAAACTTCAAATAGACTTGCTTGGCTACAAATACTTGCAGAACATATTGTGCAGAAAAAAAACGGAAGCGCAAACACACGAGATTATGAAGGAAGTGCATGTAAAAGTGTAGAATATATGGCTCAAGATGGCAATATTTATTGATGGGGTCTCCTAACGTTACGTATGGAGAGCTGCAACTGTCTGGTGATCAAACTGAGGGCAGCACACAACGCGCACTACAACTGCAATGCAGTATCATCTTTCTAGACGGAGCTCTCGGAATGCAACACCGCCATCAGCAGACCGTCGACCTTCACATGTTAACAGTTCAACACAGACGTGTAATGACGAAACCTTCACCGCGCATTCAGAGTTGAAGCCTCGAAGCACCAAGCATTTTTAAGCCCTTACAGCACCTGCGCTGCTCCAATTTTAGAATAAGACAACAGTCGCCTCTGACTTCGTTGGAACAGCTTTACAAAAGTTCTTCGTCACATCAAGCACCAAAATAAACAAGACCTCATTCTTATGCAGGTAACGACACTATTTAGTCTCTGAAAGTGTGTTCTCCAACCTCATGTCACTGTACTCACAACGATCACCGTCCTTTCATAGCGACGTACAGTGCCACGCATTCTCTGGCCGTTTGTCTCTTTGGCTGCAGCTGATGGCAGAAACGAAACTCAAGCAGTTCGCAGCTTCTTGTCAACTATGATCGACAAGAAGAGGGCTGCTTCGAATGTAACTGGTCAAATCGATTTGAGCAACTCGTCACCCAAAAACAAGCGAACATACTGCCAGCTGGGATGTTATGGATCGACTTATTGCTGGAAATGCTGGAGCAAAAGGCGTTGGTGTGGTAAGAGGCCCATTTTAGTCCTTTACTCTTTCGTGTTTTCCTTAACGATAAGCCAGGCTCATTCACCCGTTCGCATCATTTAGGTCTAGGGATGAGGAAATTGGTGATTCCACTTTTTTTTTCTTCTTCGCCGGATCGGACACTACTGCCATGACCTTGACCAACCTCTTTGTTCTTCTTGCAACTCATCCTCATGTGCTTGAGAAAATGCAATCTGAACTGGATCAAATTGTTGGTCGTGATGGTAGTCTGACCCAAGAAATGTTGTCGCAACTCACGTAAGTAGCAGCATATACAACATGCTTTTCCCATTTTCCATTGAATCTCACAAAGGCCATCCACGTAGATACTTGGATTGTGTCATTAAAGAAGTCTTGCGTTACTATCCTGGTGGAGTACAAACTCAACCTCGAACTCCTTTGGTACCTACCACGGTCTGTGGCTAGATCATCAATCCTGGTCAACAAGTGGCCGTAAACCTTGGTGCTCTTCATCATAATCCAGAATATTGGCAAGATCCCGATAAATTCTGGCCTGAAAGATGGGAAAACGGCTTCACTCCTGTGCCTGGTAGCTATTTGCCTTTTGGAAACGGCATTGCAGGTTGTCTTGGTCAACGTCTTGCCAATATTGAAAGTCGTACGGTTGCTACCCTGCTTTTCCAATAGGAAGTGATACAGATGCAAGTATCGACTGGATAGTGAGGTGTTCACACATTGTCGTTACTAGTTTCGATATTGAATTGGTTGAAGGACTAAGCATTGTCAGGAGCACTTTCCTCTTGACTGGGTTCTATAATGGTCTCTTGTTTCGATTCAAGCCTCGTGTTGGTAAGTAGATCCAGTCATTGAAGCTAAGATTTATGATGGCTGTTGTGTATATTGCTGTATCTGTCGTTTAGATTGCTGTATCTAGTCAAAGTTTGTACCAAAGTTAGCAATGTAACAACTTAATCATTCCCATTTTACCAAGCTTATAGCTAGCGAACTTGGAACCTTTTGTCGTGCCTTGTAGATGATTTCATTAGATTTCCAACCTTCAATAAGAGAAACACGTTACAATTGATCCGTGTTGCTGCCAAACGAGCGTGCCTGGCGAGCATGGTCTTGCGCGGCCCTGCCAAAAAACCCCTTTCAAATGAGAGAATGTTTAATGTTCACAAACGGAGGAAATTGGCAATGGGCGAGTCAAAGGATGCAAAGGTGCAGCACGACCGTAATGAACCCCTCTTTGCTCCTCCTCTCTGGAGACAGCGTCGAGCGAAAGTCCTGAATCTTTTGCGAGAATCGAAATCAGAATCGGCAAGCACATCCAGATTGACATTCTCATGTTTCGAAGCGAAAGTGAAACGAAAATCTAACTTGTTCCTCTGCTTCCTATAGATATTGGACCTTGGATGTGGCGAGGGAGCTTTGCTCGAAATCGTACTAAACGATACATCAATCACAAGATGTGTTGGAGTGGATGTTAACGAGTCTGTGCTGGCGCAAGCTCTCTTGGAATGTTCCCCAACTGAATCTGACAAGCGGTTCTTACGTGAACGTCCTGTGAAATTAGAACTATACCAAGGTGAGAGCAGCTAACTACTTCTCAACCTTGGCGTCACGTCTTTTTAACATTATGTTATACGTTCGCACTAACTAACTACATGCATATTGTTTTCAGGGTCTGTAGCTGAAGCTGATTCAAGGTTGCTGGGATTTGATGCAGTCGTATCTGTCGAAGTGTAAGCAATGAAGCACACACTTATTAAGAACACGTAGTCACGCTTGAGCATGCGTCTTAACATACATTCATTTGAATGTATCATAGTATAGAGCATCTGGATCCACCGGTTCTAGCTGCATTCCCTCGTACCGTCTTTGGCGTATATCGTCCTGGAACAGTCATTATAACCACTCCAAATGCTGAATTCAACGTCAACTTTCCGTCATTAAAGTATGGAACGCCTGAAGCTATATTAAGAAATGATGATCATCGATTCGAGTGGACGAGAGCAGAGTTCCAGAGTTGGTATGAACAGCGACGTTAACGTTAGTTTTTTTCACCAGTTTCACGTTCATACTCAAGTTTCCTTTGTTCTAGGTGTGATAAGAATGCCGCTCAGTACGGATATGTAGTGATGTATGATGGCATTGGATTGCTGACATCCGGAGACACAGGACTTGGTTGTTGTACGCAACTCGCCGTCTTTACGCGTATCGATGATCCAGCCACTCCTCTACCACAACAGCAAGATACTCCTCTAACACCATACAAATCAATCGCAAGTATCGACTTCCCGTATTTCGAAGAAGACGGATTCACAAATGCAGATATAGTGCAAGAAATGGTTGAACGGACTCGTTACCTAGTATATATCGAGGTCTTGTCGAATGCACCTGAAGGCACACTACCCACTGCGCAATCGTCAGAAGAAATAAAGCATATCCATATCGATCGATTTTGGGCGGTGCTACGAATACGACAAATATGCAAATTAAAGACCCGTTTGTTCCAAGTTGTGCAATCGGATGATGCAAAGGCATGGTATGCGTACTCGAGAGATAGTGGGATGGTCACGATATTGTTTGATCCTGCCATGTATGATACTAGTATGGATGCACAATGGAAGGATGATGATGAGATGCAACCGAAAGATGTTGATGAACTTGACGATGAAGAGGAAGGAGAAGACCACGATGATCGAGAGCAACAACTTTATGACGAACACGAGCATGATGGAGAAGTGAATCATTCAATGCAAACTGCTTGGCCGGAGTATAGGGATAAAGACGTGAATATGTTTTGGGGTTCACCAGACCCGAACGTGAATGAACAATCGAATGATGTAAATCATCACTGGGCTGAATCAGTACCTGCAGAGTAATAAAAACAAAGCGAATAGAGTGAGAAAAGGACAATATTGTAAGCAAGTAAATTAATTATAATGTATTCTCTAGCATTATTTGGATTTGGCTGAAACTCTACTCTATTTCATAATGAAGTGTGAGGCGTTTGCGTCGAGTCTCGAATAGATTTCTGATATTATCAAGTATGTCGACAAACTCTTGTCGGTGATTCTTGTTCAATGGAATAGTGAGTCTTTGAGCCACACTTTTGGAATCACCGGACGACCAGCTTCCAAATACTCCATAACTATACGGCTGTTCTAGTATTATATCATCCACATCTACATATGCCTCCACTCCCACTCGATACACAACCCACTCTAGTTTACTGCAAACATTGAGAAGGGCCTCAAAATGTCGAACCACCAACCCGTCTCTATGAGTAGTATTGCCCCAATCTAGTTCGAGGTGTCGTAGTTGCTTCAGATGACCGAATCCTTCTAGAGCTTCGTCCCAATGACCCTTCGTTGAATCGAGAAAGTTGGTGATGCTAAGATGTGTCAGGGAGCTAAATGCGTGACAGACTATTGTTCCAAAGACGAATGTTTCCATATACTCGGTAACGATAGATAGATGTGTCAGTTTCAGTGGAGCTAGCTGGAGCACTCCTTCAAGCACCATTCCCCAAGGGTGACGATAAGTGACGTGAGTAAGGTTTGGTAGCATCATGGCTAATTGCAGCATCGTTGTGTTGTCCTAAGGAAGCGAAATCAGCAAACCCGTGTCAAAAATAAACGAATTCGTTCAAGATTATAAACCCGTACCACGACATAGCCGTCACTATCACAGTACACTTCAAACCTTTCCACATTCTTACACCAACGACCCAAGGATTCGATTATGACGTGGAGATTATGCTGGATACTATTATACGCATTCTCATCAACCCGGAAGGCTATTAGATTATTTCCTATATGACGAAGCAATACATCCATGGCATTCAAGAAGGGCGTTTCCTCATCAGGCTGTCGAACTCCCTCCATCGTGTCTAAAGCATCCGGTTCTTCCTGCGAATGACGGATAGTCACTAGATCCAGAGTCTTTATACTTTCAGCGTGCCGGATCAAGACCTTGGTGAATGCTGTAAGGACTGTGAACCGACCATTCAGATGGATGTGATGCCACATAGCGGGTGTATGGTTGACTACATTGTTGAAAGCTCGATTGACACTAGGAGAAAGAAGTGAGTGGACACGTCAGTTCCAAATATTGTCAAATCAGGAAGACCGCTTGGTAGCATTAAGGAAGAATGCTTGTTCTGAACCACCTTGATAGTTTGGGCAAAGAGGTGCAATCTAAGAATGAAAATACGTGCAACAGACAATCTTCGTTCAGCATTCGATTAGGATTTTCCATTGTTTCTAGAGACAGATGGGATACAAGGTGTCAGAGATCATCATTGAATTCCCGACCAAATGTTCATCACACAATCGCGATGAATTGCACGTCAACGCAAACAGGCAGTTGACTCACCGATATTGACCTACGGTAAAATTCAAGAAATGTACCGTTCCTTTACTTCATGTGGGACGTTTGTCAATACTTCACCACCACCACCTTAAATTTTGACGATTTTGATAGAGGAACTCTACCGAGGAGACAGTCTAGATACCGATATCAAGACTAACAGCAAGATACACGATTCTAGGGGGCAGGAACAAGATCTGGTAAGTTGGTATACTTAAACGTGATATTGAGTGTTTGTCAACGTGCGGGGAAGATGAGCACGAATGACAGTATGATAATGTCCAAATATGTTTGACCTGTATTTTTGGTTCTACGTTATCATTTGCTTTGTACTGCTGTCCCTCGATGTTGGTTCTCATCGAAAATCTCATCACACATTTGGACCAACAAGCTCCTTAAACAGATTCAACTAGCAAATCTCACAATCTCAAGCTCTTAAATTGACAATGGTTGCATTCAACTCTCCAGCCTCGTTACATGTGCTTGGGTTGGCTACTCTTACAGGAATGACATTGCACACGACATTTATAAATGGTTTCATTCAATTCAAGAACCTCCCACGTCAACAATTCGGGAATTTGCAAGCACGCCAGTTCCCCCCGTAAGTACCGCAAGCACTTCGTCGATGTAAAAGCTGGCTCACTATAAACTCAACACAATGTAGATACTTTTTCGCTCAAACTGCCTTGTCGGGAGTGCTATTGCTGACAACTGGCGCTCTTCTTGGAACTGGCAAATTCAACTCTGCTTTAGAAGTGATTATGGATCGGATTGTCAGGCCAAGATCTTTTAACGACTGGCAGATCGTTCTGTGGGCCGGATCTCTGGTCGCAAGTTTTGCCAATTTGACATATATTGGCCCTCAATCGTAAGATTTGCATATATCTTTGCATCAATCTGATAATCTGATGATGGCATTTACTCATTGGGCCTTGAAATCTAGTACGGATAATATGTATGAGCGCCATCGCTTGGAGAAAGCGAATCGAGACGTGCCGAAAGAGTTGAATACCAAGTTTGCTTACCTTCATGGTGTTTCCTCCTCTCTTAATCTGGTACGAACAGACGCGCTTGTGTTGGCCATAAATTGCATCGTCTGTTATCACCTTCTTGGCTAACCCCAACTCTTTTCAACGCTTGATCTATCTCGTTAGGTTACTGTTATTGCTTCTGTATGTAGCTGCTTCTGGGTTGCTGATCTTATCAAGTAAAAGAAACTCCTGTTGCGAGGCGTTCTCGATTTGTGACACACAAATGACCCCCCACCATATGGTATCCCTTTCTACGTTATTTTATTTACGTACATCATCTGCCCTGGTTCTATACATAAAGCGAAGGAGATACTACTATGAGACCTCAACCCACACTGAGCTGTTTTATAACAAGACTATTTGCGCTGCTTCCCCTAAACTTCACCATCATTCTTATCTCTGGCTTCCCAACCTCTTTATTCATTCCATGATAATTCGACAGTTTCCCTGACGCGACGATTATACTCCTTTCGATTCTCCTGAAACAGCTTCGCAGCTTCTGCGTTTGCGGGACTGTTTGGATTTGGATCGTGTAGCAATGATTGAATGGATGTCAGGATGGCTGCTACATCATATGTGGGAGACCTGATATAATAGATTGTTGTTGAATGTTAGCTATCATCATCAAAGTCCACACAACGTAAAAACCATAAACCACACAACACAAACCAAAGCCCAGGATTACCATCGATTCTGCAAGATATCCAAGCACAAATCTCCATTCGCATATACATTCGGATGGCACATCTTACTAACAAACTTGACATGCGGTGGTTTTGTTGGATATGATTCGTCAAATTGTAAGATGAGTTTGAATGTGCCGTCTTCAAAGGGAGTTTCTTCTGGTCCGAATATAACCGCATTCCATAGTAATACGTTATCGGGATTGGGAGCTCCACTGACTCCTTCTGGTGGGTCGGTTTGCAAGCGTTTAAAGTCTCGCATGAGTCTGCGTTTTGCTGGTGTTGACATCCTAGTTATTTATGGGCGATGGTTGTACTATGGGTGTACGCTGTATAGTGCTGTGGAGTGTCCTTGTGCTTCTTTGTTCTTGTTTCAAGGAGCTGACTGATAAGTCACGATGTTGGAGCGATGTTTGAACGAGTTGAGGGCGATTACGCCACGTATAACTTGTAGGAAGGTTCGAAACTCCAAGCACGCGAGCTTGAACTCATTTAATTCATTCAGAGTTGATCATGTGTAAAATACAAGTGTATTTCTGTTTGATTGAAAACTATGAGTGGGTTGTTCTATGTCAATCTACCATGTCCAATGTCGATCCATCTTTATATATGTTCAATATGTTCATGAGACTGTACAGTTCTCAGACTATACAGGGAGCAACGTGTTTTAGTACTAGATTGTGCATTTAGACCATTGCGTTTACTAAACTTGCATACCGACCCAGTTCGTTGGCCTTGGTGATGTTGGTTGTTCTAAAGACTGTTGTACTGCCAAAGCTATTTGTTCATCTTCAGTCAAGCCCTGGTGGTATAATAAGCTGAGTTAGTTGGTGTGAATGTGCTAGACCAAAACAACACGTACAGATGAGAGGTGAGCTGCCAATACAGCATCATTCATCCTTGGTTGTTGTGCCTTAATGGCAGGTAGTGGTGGCTGTGGTGGATGTGGTGCTTTGACTGGTTGTTTCGCTGGTTGTGATGCCTTGGATATTTGAGTTCGAGCAAGAGCAGCCCTTGCAGCTGCGGTATTCCTACTATTTCCAGTTCCCACAGGCGTACAGTTGTGGTCTGTTTCAAAGCGATGCTTCAAACAGTGAGATTTGAGACACTTCTTGCATAGTATAGGGACGACTTCTTTGGTCTTGCACCCTGGCATCGAACACTTGTTTGTATAGGCTTCTGTAGTTGTTGTTTTGGGAGTTGGGCATCCGTTGCGGATGTGTTCATCGACCTTGAGGTTTGGGTCCTCATTTCGAGGTACTGGCACTACTTTTGAGCAGACCTAAAACAAGCGACAAGGTCAGTAAATGTAAAAAGACGTAGCAGACCTGAAGACGGATGACAGAGTTCATTCACTTACTGGGCAAACGGGTGCATAGTAATCTGTTGGTGCCTTCTCACATGAATGGCCGCTAACTCTCCAATGATCTTGACAATAGGTGTTTGCACAATAAGCACAGTTGAATGGCAAAAAGTCTGAAACACGGATGGAAAGGGGCAATGTTGAGGTTAGATTGTTGTCGATGTGCAGCAATGTTGCAAAGAAACGAGCAAAAGTAGACACCAGCGACCCCAACTAGTAGTCATTCAGGCCCAGACCAATGTCAAGCCAAGAAATCAGCTCTTGCACATACCTAATTGGTTGCAGTTTGGCAAGAGACAATGCTTGCCAACATGGGAGAGCTCCATAAGAAGAAGATAGAATAAGAGCGAGAGGTGAAGTAATTAATCAAGCTGGTTTGCAGCGGATCCAGCACGCTTGAGTGCGCTTTTTATAGGATTGGGTGCTACTATGAATGATTTGAAACTTTTGGAAATTTGGGGCTTACGAATCACACAGGTAATAGACACCACAACATCCGTTCCAGCACGTTCTATTACGGCTGTGACGCGTATAGACACGGAGTCAGATCATTCATTTGATTCATTCCTAAGTATATTAGTTATATATAGAGCCGCCATACGCATGCGCCATGCTAAGCAACATATCAAAGTGAATTGTTGAACACCAATAGTTTATATATCAGTGTTAATATATTCTGGCGTGTCTTACAGTCTTACAATCCTCTGATCCCTCGAATTCTGAAATCACGCATCTCTTCAATAGAAAACAACACCTCAAAGTTGAACTTTACGAATCTTGTTTAGATAATCATGGTAAGTGATCTGCTATGCTGCAATCAGAGGCACATCAGAATGGTTGCAAGAACTAGTCCCTTTTGCTCACCTTGTCTTGAAATCTGAATTCAAATGTCGCCGCCCTAACAGTTTTGGTTTACAACACAAAATTGTTCACGATGTCGTTGATTAAATATTTACTGTTGCGGATTCTGGATTTATCTACCATAATATGAAACTATACCTAATCTTGAAACACTTGCTTGACATTCAATCTTGAAAGCCACCAAATTCTCAACCCTGCATTCCTTCACTTACACGCTCTACCCTAATGTAGGATGAAGAATATGATGTGGTGGTTCTCGGTACTGGTTTGACTGAATGTATCCTGTCGGGCCTGCTGTCTGTCGATGGCAAAAAGGTATTGCATATGGATCGAAACGATTACTATGGTGGAGAGTCGGCTTCCTTAAACTTGACCCAAGTAAGTTCTGGGCTTGCGTTGATCTGAATTTGCCAAGAGTCCTCCTATCTCATTTGTTTAAATCATGTCGCGTATCATCAATCACTGACACGTTGGCTCAACAGTTGTATCGTAAATTCCGTTCTGGTCAAGAACCTCCCAAGCAATTTGGTCGAGATCGTGATTACAATGTAGATCTGATTCCCAAGTTTGCCATGGTATGCTCCGAAACACCATCGCTTTTCGTAAATGGGTCGACTACCACATCTCAAAGTCCTATCAAAACTAAAACATCCAAATCAAACAGGCTGCTGGAGAGTTTGTCAACATTTTATACCACACTGATGTCACCCGATACCTCGAATTTCGTCAAATCGCCGGTTCGTTCGTATACCGAGATGGTCGTATCTCCAAGGTCCCTGCAAGTGAAGTCGAGGTCGTGACAACGCCATTGATGGGTCTTTTTGAAAAGCGCAGGGCCAAAAAGTTCTTTGAATTCATTCAAGGATACAAGTTTGATAACCCTGCTACTCAACAAGGTAAACAGAATCGCGTCGTCGTTCGACTGGGCAAATTATTTGATTTGAGGTTCTTTGTCGCACTATAGGAGTCAACCTCGAAACCGCAACTATGGCCGACGTATATAAAAAGTTTGGATTGGAGGCAGGCACTCAAGACTTTGTTGGACATGCTCTCGCTCTTGAATTAGACGACACTTATATGACTGAACCTGCAAAGGACACCTATGAACGAATCTGCTTATACATGAACTCGATGGCAAGATACGGAAAGTCACCTTACATCTATCCCATGTATGGTCTGGGAGAGTTACCTCAAGGTTTTGCTAGGTAAGACATACTTTGTGGGTAACATGTAGCTTGAGTCTCATTAGTATGTCTGAACTTTCAAATTTTGTTGCCATGTATAGGCTAAGTGCAATTTATGGAGGTACATACATGCTCAATAAGCCAATTGAAGAAATTGTATATGGAGATGATGGTCGTGTAATTGGAGTCAAGTCGGAAGGAGAGGTAACAAAAAAGCTTTGTGAGATTTCGTACTCATCACTGGGAGTTAACTCACATATAAACTTGTAATGCTGATAGACTGCCAAGTGCAAGGCTGTTATCTGTGATCCCAGCTATGCTCCAGACAAGGTTAAGAAGGTTGGACAAGTAGTACGAGTAATCACCTTCCTCACACATCCCATTCCCAACACGGGTGATTCCGACTCGGTGCAAATCGTCATTCCTCAAAATCAAGTCAACCGAAAACATGGTGCGTATGGACCTAATTCAGCAATGGCTGCAGATGTGCAGGCTCCAACCACTGTTTTGTCTGATTAAAAACCAGATATCTATGTTGCTTGTGTCTCTGCTGCTCACTCTGTCAGTGCAAAGGACCATTACGTTGCCATAGTGTCGACTTTGGTTGAGACTGATAATCCAGAAAAGGAATGCGCACCTGCATTGGCTCTATTGGGTCCCATTGCCGAAAAGTGAGTAAAACAAAATGGACTAAGCTGAGAGGATATGAGAATCGTCGCTTGAGACAAAGCGTTGACACACATCGACGTTTTTTAGGTTTGTCGCAGTATCAGACATCTTTGAACCAATCGCGGATGGTACTGCAAGTGGCCTCTTCATCTCAAACTCATACGACGCTACATCGCACTTTGAGACTGTTTGTCAAGATGTGAAGTCGTTATACAAGCGTGTGACTGGCAACGAACTCAAGGTCGAGGGCAAAGTCAAGAAGGACGGTGAAGAAGACGAGAAATAATTTTTTAGAAACTGAGGGATCTCTTTTGTTTTTATCCATCAATCAAACAATATACAATATGTTCTTCCACGTATAGGATACGAAGCACAGTTTTATGTCAAAACCCAGAGCGAGGACTGAAATAGAAGGCTGCAAGTTTGGTTTGAACGAACGGATCACCAACGATGGCTGATATACTGATCTGAAAAGCTTGCAGGTTTAGTTTGAACGCACGGATCTCCTCTCTCATCGCGCTGTCGTAACTTCTACACTTCAACCTGTCGACAAAAATCACACGAACAACGTCGAGCGGAGAAGGGACATCATTAAAGATTCAACGACAAGGGAAGGAGTACAAGTAGATCAGCCTCTTAATTTTGTTCAAGCAGCAACCACTTGCGCTGGAATACGTTTCGAGACTTGGTTTGAGATGGTGATGGATGGGTGGGATGACGAAGCACTTTTCGTTTTTCCACCACCCTAATCCACATTTCTGGTTTTCTGACCAAACAACTGTCTAATCGCTAATTGTTCGCTATTCTACGCCAGGCAGATAACAGATAAATCGCTATATAGCGTTAATATCTCTTGCATGTGAGTGTTTTAACTTTTATGAACGCGTTATGCGCTTCCGCAAACACACATGGAGAATCTAAAAAAATCTGATACTCGCATAAAAAAGCTAACCGTACTTCCTGAACTAGATCACAATGATGGACACCGACTTGGATCTGAACTTTGACTTTATGTCTAGTCCACAATCAACCAACATTTGGACAAACCAAACCAACGATCGCAATTTTGCTGATGGGCAATACCAGCGGAACGAATGGGACGTAGAGGCTTACTCTGACGACGACAATGATGTCCCAAATCAACTTGAATCTATCAGAAGGGATTTTAGTAGCTCGAATGCCATAATCGACACATATAGTTCTCCCTTCCAGAACGATGTCAGTAGTGGCTTTCCAGAACTGCTAGAAAGCTCTGGATCTTCTGGAAATGGATCTCCTGAAGGGCTTGAACAGAGTGGATCTGGCTCTGAATCTGGGTCATTGTTGATCAACAATGAGGATCTTGTATTCCAGCACTTGTTGACACATCATGCTCATCAGCGTCAGTCTCAGCAGCTGCAGGAGCCAGTCACGGATATGGTTGAGACTACAAAGCCTCCAATACCCGGATCATCTATAATATCTATTTTAGCAACAGAGAAACTTGCCCGAACAACTCCATCACCATCTAGTAACGTTTCCTCAGCTATCCCGTCACCATACACGCCCGGCACACCATCTGAAGCACCTGATAATGAAAACGATCATAAAGCCGCTACCTTATCACGTAATGTAGCTTGTGTATTGGCCCATTTTACTGCAACTCATGATGGTTTCACACGCCTTCTAAACGAACTGGACGATTATTTACATGTTATAAATCCAGCTGGACAGCTGGTATATAACTCGCCGTCCGTTGCCAACTTACTGGGTATAGAGGCGTCATCGGTAAACAACAAATCATACAGCGAGATAGTACATCCGGACGACTACCAAACCCTAATGGGTAAAATGGCTGGGGCGTTCGATAAAGGAACTTCATTTGGCATGTTTGTTAGGTATCGTAATCAGAAAGGAGCATATGTCTTGGTGGAGGTATTCGGAAGACCGTATCATAACGATGGATCACTGCCACCTGATATGTCAAAACGACGTCAGAAACGAGACAACTTTGTAGAACCGATATATATTGGAGCTGATGACTTGAGGCCGCATATGCTAGCAGACTTACCGAATACAGAACCTGTTACTCCGGCCAAGTTTGTGGTCGCAGTTGCTCGCCAATATCGAGCCAGGGGTAGTTTAGCTGTAGATTCTATAGTGGAGCTGCGTATAAAGAATTTCTACTTACGAGCTCTCTTGGCTGAACAGCTGCAAACGAATGATGTTGATCCTCAAACACATCCGTTGCTTCAGTCTGCCGAATGTAGTAAAGACGATGTTTCAGAGAATCTTTTGGAAAACGAGCCCCAGAAGGTGGATAATGTTAGGAATACCGGTTCTCAACCACGTGTCGGGATTGCAATACAGCTGGCTTCCGCAATCTTGAGCTCTGGTACACAACCACGCCGACCGTCTGTAGTTATATCTAATCGAGGATCTTTATCAGCTGATGCTGCATATGCAGCATTGAATGCATTGATCGCTAAAGATGAGTGGGGTATTGGTGTGCCACCGAGTGGTCTTGACATATTGGGCGAGAGTCCTTTGAATATAGATGCTGGACGTGCTCAAGACGGTGCACCTGATGCTGATGGATCAGAAGCTAAAGGTGTTGTAGATGGTGTGATGGAAGCTGTGGTCAAAGCCGAATGCAAGAAATCCAACAAACGAAAGGTCTGCACCATTTTTTTCTCATTCTCTCGCTTAAAATTCAGATGTTAACCCAAGATTTCAACCTGTTTAGAAGAGTGGAAAGTCTCGACCTCCGCCGAGTGATGGCTTATATTGTCGACAGTGCGGCACTACCAACTCGCCTGAGTGGAGGAAGGGACCTTTAGGGCCGAAAACGTGAGTAGCCTTAGAATCTGGTCGCGCATGGTTTAACCCCTTACTAACCTATCTATCCACGCAGGTTGTGTAATGCTTGTGGTCTTGCCTTGGTCAAACGAAGGAAGATTGCTGAGAGAAACCAAGACTCTGAACATATCACAGAATCCCAGACAGCTTTACCAGTAGGCCCGCCTTTAGCTGAAAGTAGGAGTACAAGACACAGTTCTGGTGTGGCGGCATCGACTATACCGTCCCCAGCCCCTCTGTTAGACACAGCGCCAGGAATAATGTCAGCCAATCAGTCGCCGGTCCAATTTAGCAATGCTTGGAAACCTGCAGTCGAGCATCAAATATCTTTACCTTCCAATAGCAGCAATTATCTATCAACTCCCGTACTCTCATCAATAGCCCACACTCTCACTGGTGGACATAGGTCAGAAATCGTACCACCAATAGCTCCATCTTCAAACCAAAATAGTCAAGTCCAGACGTCGAATGTGTTACTAGCACCAAGATCTTACACCTACGTAATAGCAAATAGTAACCAGCAACAGCTTCTATTGCCTCCTCCTCAACTATACCAACAGCAACGCCAACAACATATACCACAACAATCTATTGACTGGAATAATAATCATAATAACATGATGAGTGGTTTCACACGTGATTTTCCCAGTCAGCAGCAATGGTTGTGGTCGCCCTCTCCGTATACCCAATACCCCAACACTCAGTAGATCATTAATGTAGTACTTTTACATAGCTCAAATATAGTATATATGGTAAAAAAAAACATGAGTACATGAGAAAAAAAGGAATTTCTCTGTCTTGTTTCAGTTGAGCTCTCACAGTTTCTCAACTTCAACCACACTATGCTTGCAAGTTTTGACCCAAACACCATGTTGGAAGGCGTACTAGCAAGCTTGCGTGCTGGAACAATGGAAACAGATAATACATCATTCAAGCCTCTAGCTCGTTTTGATGTTGCTGAGAAAGGATGGGAAACTGTTTTGGCAGAAACATTGCAGAACGGTAGCATTATGGAACCTATTGTATATGGAAATGCTGTATATGGCATTGATTTTGAAGCAAGTGGAATTCAGAACATGCTGAGCTTTGGAGGGAGTGGTATGTTTTGGAAGCTTGACATCAACATTATTTGGCAATATTTTTGGAATGGCAGTTCTACATTGATCTCAAGGCTTGATCGGGCTAGAAAACATCAAAAATTATGACAAATGTGTATATAAAATTGATCTCTTATTGATTTATACTCGTTTTACTATTTTCTCTCTAGACGTTCCAAGAATGACTCTTGCCTTTACTCATGCGCTTGGAAATGCAGTCAACCAAAAGATGCCTGATGCCTTCAAGAGTCAAGGACCCAATGACTTGATGTGTATGTATCTTGGACGTCTCAATCATTTTGATTTGAACTTGATTTTCACTTTTCACATGTCACTAGCTTTTGGAAACGTTGATCAAGCAATGGTTGTTGTTGCTCCGAATTCAAGGAATTGGATCACAAGGATGGAAACATGTGCTACTATTGGCCATAATGTTATGGTGCATGTTGGGAGTCCTAGTGAGTGGAGTATTTCGATCACATCACGTTTTCTTTTGGTTTGCCCTAGTGTGATATCTTTAAACGCCCATTATAACTTTACAGGTCCAGCTTCTAGTATTTGGTTCATTGTACACCCTCAAGATCAAGCTGCTGCCATGACCTACTGGAAGGAAAAGGGTGGAAGTATTCATCTTGAAAACTTTGCCATGAGCTATGAAGACTTGGCCGCTGCTCCATTCACAATATGGGTAGTGGAGCAACGTTTTGGAGATCTGATTGTGTTGCCAACCAATTCTATATATCAAGTCGCTTTTATGGTAAAGATTGGCTGTGATGCTCAAGTCACCAGAATCCTAATGTAAATTTGGTTGATACTCAAGGGTTCACCGTCTGTACATGTGCACTGGAATTGTCACACTATTGAAAGCCTTCAAGTTTGCTTTCGAGAAACAATACCTCATTTGAGAAGGTAGGTATCTCTTTCGTCACAAAATCGAAATCTATCGCTGAAGGTTTGGGTGTCGCTTTCCTTTCGGAACCTTAGGATCTTGAAGCCTGAAAGATTCCAAAACACGAGACTTATATACGATGTACTTTTCGGATGGACTTTCTTGTTGGTTGGAGGCAAACGTGACTCTATATCTCGTGCCTTCTATCCCAATATTTGTGATGACTTTCTCAAACTGATGGCATTATTTTGCAACGTCATTGCAGATGAATGGATTGAACTTGACAATGACGACGTAGCAGGAATGTCTGCATCCACATCTCCCATCGAAGTCAAGCCAAACGATTTTCCATTCGCACTGCCTCTTGACGGACGTCCACCGAGTGCACAAACAATGCCTGTACCTATTAAACATATTGTTACTGGGCAGCACCCCACTACGTGCGAGTTTTGCAACTCAAACATCTTCAATCGCTGTATGAGATGTGAAACATGCAAGGCCGAAGCTGGTGGATATAATATATGCCTTCATTGTTTTGCACGTGGAAGATCCTGTCAACATGAGGGTAAATGGATGTACATGATTGAGCGTATATGTATGGACGACATGTTGGCACTACTCAACTCTGCAGTACTTGCCTTTAATCAGTATCTTTCAAACGAAGTCAATTATGTCAACCTTGAGAATCCATTTTATAAGACGTGAGCATCTCCAGGCCCTTATACGTGACTCCCACACAATTGAAACTGATAGACTCTGCTTTGAAAGTAGTGATCCTATTTTGCCGGGACAGTCTTCTTTTTCTGATGGTACCGTCGCTTATCGGATGATGGCTAGATGGAGAAACGAACTTCAGTACGATTGTCACCTAATCCTTAAGATATGCATTAGATGGTTAATATGCAGTTCCTTGTCAAAGATTTTATTGTCATCACTGTCACTCAAGAAGATACCTGAATGAATTGATGAGATGTGAGACGGTGGAATTATCAGAAGAGAAGAAACGGTACGATTGTTTGTGACCCTGTTGTGTAGCTGGAACCAAACCAAATGTGGATTAGACTGAATTTCTGCTCGCCTTGCTTATGGAACCGCTACAATCTCACACTGAACGACATACTTCGAGATCGTAAACGTGATCTCTGGTTGTGTCCTGTTTGTCATGGTACTTGCAACTGTAAAACTTGCCTTGCTCAAGAGGGATTGGCTCCAATGTCTTCCGTTTATCATGTCCGAGAAGAGATTGAAATGTTTCGAAACTGGATGAACAATCCATTCAACAAAGGCAGCGTCTCAGATATTCGCGAACGGTCTCGGGGTAGAGCCGTAAGACCTGTTTGATTCTGACAAGGCGACATTGAAAGAATGTGGCTCACATGTTGATCTTCTGCTCAGAAAAATGAAGGATCTTCACAAAGCACGAATTCGATGGCTCCAAAAAGGACCAGAAGTCAACGTCCAAATGCACTTTTGAAAGTATTGCAATCACAAGAATCACAACAATTGTCTACATCGTCAAACTGTGAGGCTGTAAACAAGGAAGAACCTTCTGGTGACAAATTCTATTGGGCTGGCTTGGACATGTTACTCGCTGCTGCTGTATTTTTGGAGCAAAATCCTGATTTTGTGGTACAAAATACCGATACGGCAAACGCGGAACAAACTCTTATTGCAGCAAATGTGCCAAATACAGATACTGTAATTGAAAATACCAATCAAAAAGCTCCTCAATCCTCGATCAATTCTTCTCATTGGAGCAGGCCCCAGGTGACCACATACGTGACGCAACCTCGAGCCAAAGGTCGTTTTCAACGTAAGCCCAAGAGTACTAGAAGGTCGACACTCAGCCTTATTGTAGAAAACGAACAAGTACAGGATGAAGGCGGTGTGTTTGATGAACGTGTTGGTATTTTCCAAGGCACTGTTCAAGAGACTAAATCTCGGGTAATGATTTGTCATCGATGGGAGGTTTGAAAGAACAAATAATTAAACTTCTTTTTTTAGGAGTTGATTGCAGAAACGTAATGTTTGGGTGCAATTGTATATTTCTTTGGCACCGCCTTTAGTTGCATTGCTTGTATTTAAATGTATTTAATAGCAAGAGAGACATCATTATGCAAATAAAACGAATTGTTAAGCTGGAAACTTTTGTCTGTGAAACGTCTTCCCTCCCGCTGAACTAGAGTGTAGCGACCGCTCATAGCAAAGAAAGCACGGTTCTGAATTGAGCTTTGTGTATTTTGCAAAAACTTTACATTGCTTGCTCAATAAATTAAGATTGGTGACATTCTTGATTCTGTGGCAGTTGTTTGCTCGCCGTTAAATCCTTTTAAGGATCCTCTTTCCAGGAAGAGAGGAAATGCAGGGTCATCTGGACTTCCAAGATAGCCTTCACATACCAGAAATGACTCTAAGGTGTTCAACCAATCTCATTAGATTGGATGTTTGACGAGATCACGAAGAAAACGCAACAAGCCTTACCCATGCTAGACGGTCTCGAAGCAGGAGGCTTATGAAAACAAACATCTTCAAACAAAACCTCCATTTGGCATTGAAGCAAAGGAATGGAGCCTTTGCAAAAGACCTTGGCTACGAAAGTACCTTCCCTTCTTAGTATCTTCATCATAATCGTCACGGCTGCCGAGATGAGGTCAGCCTGTATGTACATGTCCATATCTGACATTCCCGTGACATCTATACTACAGAGTACTAAGCGCTTGGTTGGATGATAAAACAACTTGTGTAATGCGCTCACCAGGTGCGCCATCACATATAACCAGGTCAGCCAACACATCACCCATAGCATGTATCACTCTGTCCACAGTTGATTGCTTTGTGATGTCTCCTCTGAGAATATGAACCCCCGCAAGTGGCTTCATGGGTTGTAGGTCAATTGCCACAATTTTTGACTTTTCACGTTCACGGAGCTTTTGCACGGCTACTTGAGACCAGGATCCCGGTGCTGCACAGAGGTCAACGCATTTGGAAACTTGATCGTTGAACAAGTCAAATTCTTCATCTAGATTTGGGGCGAGAAGAAAACTATTGGTTGATGCATGTGTTGCGAGAGTAAGAAGGCTGGATTCGTAGCGTTACCTAGTTGCATCAACTTGTATGCACTCCTAGCGAGATAGCCCTCTTCTTTGGCCGCACGGAAGTATATGTCTCGTTTGTCAGGCGTTGCTCTCATTTCCCAAAAAAACTAGTACCTAAAACGCTGATGAGAATGAATCAATTATTGAATGAGATCGTAGTGAACGTAAGTAACCTGCAATATACGCAACCCGCACCTGCTGGATTTGATTTTCTCGCTACGTTGGTTCCGCTGCCTGATGGTAGGTACATTCGTTATTTATATTTTTTTGGTTTGCGACGCTCAAGCTCTGACACTTTGATAATATAGTGACTTCTCAAAAGGAACATATATTGAATCTAAGTAGTCAACTAAAGAGAACTCTCATCCAAACACGGTTGGAAGCTTTGAAGAAACCAGGCATCAAACTGCAACATGTACGCACTGGTTTAGATCTATGAACAGGATGCTCAAATGCTTATTTTATGATGCATACCATTATTTAGGAGATCCATACTCTTCGTAAAGATTTGCTGCTGAAAGAGGAGTCTCTCCAGTACTCGGTTGACCTACTCAAATATTACCTACCTATACTTACGAATCTTCAGCAGGAATCGCACCAGATCCTAACGAATTTACGACTACGGGCCACGCCAGCTACTCAAAACATAGATACCACGCCTACTGACCTGGCATCATTCGCTCAATATGATCGCTTGGACGATTATGATGAGGAACCAGAGTTGTTGGCGGACAGAATGGATATGGACTTTTTGGAGGGATCAGAAGAGCCTGCATATGTATCTGTCGCTGTATCGGGAGTCCCAGATGTGAATTCAACTCTGCCAACGAGTATGTTGGATTCTGACGACGATGCACCACAAACGCCATTGGCTCAAACGGAAGCTCCTCAAGCTCTAGGTCAAGCGATTGATTTAGATGATTTCCTAACTCTATAGCTTTGCATATACCTTCTAAATACGCGTCTCTTTATAAAAAGTTATACATATCTAGTTTTTGGTCTCGCAGTTTTAGCTCAAGAATGGTGTTGCCAGACGAGCAAGTAGAAGGCGTCGATGCTCTTGAATATGCTGATCAAGACATAGAAGTTGCCCTTGAGCAGCTGGAGGAAGAGGGCGAAATCGCTGAAGACGCAGCAGTTCAGGAAGCTGTTCAAGCCTTCAACAAGTCCAGATCATCAAAGAAGAAATCAAAGAAGAATCGCGTATTCTCTCACGTAAGTTTCTAGTTTTGCTACATTGATGCCTGCTTGTTGAGCTTAAACATCCCAACATTTTGCTGAGAAAACTGGGTTTGTCGTTAGGACGAAGTATGGGATGATTCAGCTCTGATAGCTGCATGGGACGCAGCTGTACATGAATATCAAGTACGTGGTTCTCTCATTAGTTAAATCCTTGCGTTTGAAACCAGAGCTTCAAAATCCAAGTTTGATGAAAAACACTTAAAGCTCGTTCATCCCTCCGCAGCATCTTGCCGTAGTCACTAATATATACTTATATAGATACGGCACAGTGCTACAGGCTCTCAACCAAAAGCAATGGAGGATCCTGGGGTGAAAAGCTACAAGAAACGGAGTCGCGCTGATACCGACCAGTAGGTTTTGATGGACGTTATTTAGCTCAAGAAGGTTTGCTGAATACTCATTAATCATGTTATTTAGAACACGCGAGTGGTATGACTATAAAGTGGTATGGTTATAAATTTGCCTTTCAAGATCTCTCTCCTCCGATCCTAATCATTTCACACCCGTTGTAAACAGAAAAAGGTTAAGGCTTGGATTGACGATAGCACACTACAGTCATATAACACGTCGCATGACGACCACACGAATGAAAATTTATCTCATGCAGGAGGAGAAGACGTGGATCCAGACGACGATGATGTTACGATGGATGAGAATGGTGATGATGAAGGAGCCATGCATATCAACGAAACCAACACGATACCACAACACGTAAGCCTGAAAGTCGCGGTCGTTGAGCCCTTCTGTGTAGATTCTGAACGTGCCCTTTTTTACGCTTCTGCAGCCGACAGAGACACAGACAACACAACCACCTGCTGATGATACTCATGCCCATGCTCCACATGTTCATGCTCCAGGCCAAGCTTGTACAGAGTGTGGCGGTGCAGTGGATCCAGCAGAAGGTATAGAACCATTTCTGATAAATGTTTACGCAGGAACACATTTTTTGCTTATTCTCACCATTTAACAACAACAAGATGAAGCTACGACTAATCTTGTCATGGCTTGGTATTGGGCTGGTTACTATGCTGGTTTGGCACGAGGACAAGCAACTCCAACTCAGGCAGGAGCATCTTCGCAACCGAAGGAATAGCATGCAATTCTTCTGGAGGCGTCAGTGTATAAAAGGAAAGCTATATTTAAGTCGCAACAATTGTTGTATAAAACGTCAATAGCATCGGCGTCTCGCATCGGCGCGGCTTATACCTCAAACAGCAGTTTTTGCAATTTCGACCCGGTTCATGACACAATGACACGTTATAGATCATACGATTTGAATGTTTCAAACGCGTCTGCCTGTCTTGAAACTTTTGGACTTTCAAAAGTTCAAAAGCCAGTTCTTGGTTTTTTTTTGGTGAAGCAAAAGGCAATTCAAAAATAAGATGGCAGACGATCTCTTCGACAAGATCAGGCATCAGACCAGCTCCAAGCTGGAGAATCAGCGCCAAGTAAGCCTGTACTTTATGATCTTAGCCAAAAACTTTTGAATTTTTTTCTGGAGCAGAAACGTCGCTCAGGATGATTGACGCTAAAACATTACTGATCGCATAGGCTGCATTGGTACTGCGAGCTGTAGAAGATACTATAAAAGAGCAAGGCGAAGAGCTTGTTCCGCTAGCTTATTTCGGTGCTATGGTATGCAACATCAATAATCAAAAAAAAAAGACACTAACAGCGATCGACTTTAGATGACGATGCTAGAGCAACAACAAGCAGTTAAAGCAACTGAATCAGAACAAGAACAGCTTGTAATTGCTGTTACTTATCTGTTATCGTTTGTTTTCCCAAGGTAGGTTCAACTGCTCTGTTGCTCGACAAAAAAATCGAAGACTTGGTGGTTATCAACACGCCAAATCACTCGTATAGGATACCGCCAGCTGTATTCCGTGCAAAACTCTCTGATATTGCAACCCCCTTAACGGCCACGTTGGAGTCGCATGTACAGAATGCGCCAATCACTCGTGCCGTTAGTATCATACCACAATTTTCTCCGTTTTTTGTCGAGATAGATCACGCTCAACTAATCATTTTAATTTAGGTCCTGACATGTATAGAATGCTTGCTACTACCACAAGACCTATCATCATGGTCTCAACCAACATGCAAAAGTCTCTTTGTCACATTATTAGGAATAGCTCTAGATATCCGACCCAAAGTCAGACGGCGAGCACAAGATGGTGTCCGTCGCCTTCTATCGCGTCCACCACCGCCTAGCACGCTTCATCCATGCACGTTAACTGTCATTGAATATTGTCAGAACTTGGTAAACGGCATATCAAATGGCCAAGAGGATAAAAAATCAAAAGAGCAAGCTGGACTACATTTATTAGGTTTCCTCAAATCCATGTTACCCATCATAGCGCCTCAATCTAGTAATGACAAGACTCGTGAAGCGTTTGAAGCACTGTCAAATTCAATCATTAATTTGGCTATAAAGGGATCCGTCACTGCTACGCCCATGATGACACAGCTAGTATATGATACTTTTACTGCATTATTCCCCGTATTATCTGATGAAGAAGAATTATTGAGCATTGAACTGGCTGATAGCATTCTTCAGTCATTGATGCAAGTACGACCTTACCAAAACGATGTTGTGCTCACTCCGGCATGGCTGGCATTGGTAGCTCAAGGTCTTGTCTGTCTCTCTGGCAAACTAAGAAAAATCGAATCAGATCCTGCCTCGGTCGAGGAACGTGCATACGCTACTCAAGGGTATCCAACCTTGTTTGCTTCCTTCTTTGCCAAAACCTTTACGCCATATCTCGGCAGTAGCAGTAAACCTATCGTGCTGGAAAAGACTGTAGAGGCTTTCACTCATGTCATAAAGAATGGTGTCTTGGAATCTATGCTGCTTGATGTCGGTGGTGGTGACGACATGGAAACCATAGATGATGAATCGGCTATAGAGTCTGTTTATTCTGTCATCAAATTGGTCAACGCGTCGCTGATTAATGCACGATATCGTGATGCTTGGGGTGGGATATTGAAGTTAGCTCAGTCTATTTTTGAGGTGAGTTTCAAACCGTCGGTTTTTTAGCTTGCAGGAGCACAAGCACAAAGGAGCATTTGACACTCACCACCATATTCTGCTGTCTAGCGATGTGGAATCAGACACTTCAATCTAGTTAGAAACACCCTCATTCAAATAGTCAGCATCAGAGATGATTCATCATACGCTTCCAGCTTCCCCTTTAGAGCAGAACTCGAGGGTGCATTAGAACATGCAACTCGATGCTTTGGTACTGAACTCTTCACATCAGCCGTATCGCTCAATGTCGAAAAAGAAGACCCATCACAACCACCGCGACCATACCTTTTGGCATTGTTTGGTAAAGCTTTGCCTCAACGTAATGCCACATCAGCAATAGCATTCGGACCACCAGCCATTCGATTCTTTGTATCGCATTGGATTCCGTTTGCTACTAGAATGATAGAAAAGGCATCAGATTATAAAGCTAAAAACCGTGACCTCGAGTATAAATTGTATGAAACACTAGCCAAACAGACTTGGGATTTGTTGCCTGGTATTTGCGCATCACGTCCTCGTGATGCGTATGACCATTTTGGTAAACTAGGTCCAACGCTGGGTACCATCTTACAAACACAACCTGAAAATGTATTTGCCAATCACCCTATTGCACCTGATTTACGACCTGTAGTATGTACATCGTTGTCGCTTTTAGTGGAGGGGTTCTTGGAGTTGTCTAGTGTCAGTGTAGATGAAGAAGGTCATGATCCCGAACAACAACGAATGCTAGGCGTAAAGCAACGAGCTACCGCAGGATTGACAGTCTTGAAGAACTACGCTAAACGATTTTTGAGTGTGTTGTGTAATAATTATACTCAAGTGCCTCCAGAGTTACTTGCTGCCAAGGCCAAAGGCCAAGCTCTGCAAGAAATGCACGAGAAGGCCAACCAGTACTATAAGGCAGCCATCTCTAGTTTCCTCAAAATTGTGGACAGTTCAGTAGGTTTACTGTATTAGTATGCTTTTTGTCCTCGGCTTTTTTGCGTTATTTTTGATTTTTTATCCCGAACCTCGCTTTAGGTCGTGGATGATCACTTCTTAAACGTGATGAAGGCCTTGTTGGCGATGCAATCGGCAGGCGATGCATCAGCTCAACAAATAGCGAAACTCCGTAGTTACTCTATGCACGATCTGTTAATGATGATGCTTCCACACCTCTCTCCAGACAGAGTATCAGAAGATTCACCATTCTCGCTCTTCCACAAATTCCTGTTGGGAGAACTCAAAGAAACTGATACCCTACTCCAAAAACGTGTATACCGTTGTATATCAGTGCAACTTGATCTGGCTACTGCTCCGGGCCGTTTAGACATGAAGGAGCTGAGTACCAAGCTCATGGATACAGACGTAGTAGCAAACTGTGCATCAGGATCGAAAAAGGCTAGATTGGGATGTCTTGGACGTATTGTAGAAGCCATTCCCGTCAGTGAAGCTCCAATCTTGCTTGCTTTTATACCGCAAGTGCTTGGAGAAGTATTATTGGGCACCAAAGAGGCTAGTGAAAAGGCTCGTGTAGCTTCATACGAATGTCTCGTATCGATGGGTCGTAAAATGTTGGAATGTGGACAGGAGGACGATGATGATACTCTTTGGGGTGATATTGGAGAGGAGGAAGACGATGAAGATATGGAGTCTGCTGCTGATGCCGATAAAGCTGCTAATGCAATGGAAACGGATGATAAACCAACTGCTGTCAGGAAGCTGTCATTTAAAGAGTATTTGATGATGGTGGTCGCTGGATTGACTGATTCATCTGCTCATATGCAAAGTGCATCTATATCGAGTTTGTCGAGGTTGCTCTTTGAATTTAAAGGTAGCTCTGTATGAGATGTGGGTTCTTTTGTCAGTCTCGTTGCTCATTCAATCTTTCCCCGACTGTAAGATTTCTTGTCAGAGTCTATAGTCAAAGAAATCCTAACAGCCGTTCTCTTCTTTGTTGAATCCCCTCAACGAGAAGTAGTCAAGGCTGCTCTCGGCTTTGTCAAGGTTGCGATTGTAGCGTTGGCACCTGAAATACTGGAAGGACATCTTGAAATCATTGTATGTCAGCCTTGTACCGGATTTTTTTCCGCTTCGTTGCTTGCTTACTCCTACTCCTCGTTTTATAGATTACAGCCATATTGAAGCACTCTCGTGACACTCGCTCACACTTTCGTCAAAAAGTTCGACACATCATTGAACGTCTGATCCGACGATTCAGTTTTGAAGCTGTAGAAGGATTCATCCCAGAACCAGACCGAAAACTCTTGTCGAATATTCGTAAGAGACGAGAGAGATCAAAGAGACAAAAGGCCGTTGAACGTCATAATGAATCTGCAGCAGGTGTTTTGGATGACCTGGATGATGATGTCTTGCCAACTGGATCAGCTTTAGCCAAGAGTCGTGCATCTCGACAAAAGGAGTTTGAAGATGTTCTTCATGACTCTGATAGTGATTTGAATTCGGATAATGAGGATTTGGATGATTATTTGCCTGAAGCGCTACGTGATGGATCAACTCAAAGGGTATACCTTTAGCCTGTTCCCAGATTTTTTTTCTCAGTCTTAACCCACAAGCACAATTCCTAGGGCCGGAAGAGTGGAACGTCGATTCGAGAAGACCAGCAAGACGTCCTCGATTTCCTTGACCCTCAAATCGTTTCACGAGTATCATCAACAAACGCGAAACGCTCGAAATCAACCTCAAAACCATCGACATCTAAATCCAACAATTTCTCAACATCAAACGATGGCCGAATGGTCTTTGCTGATTCCGATGAAGAAGAAGCAGCGAATGCCAAACCAGTTGCTCCCGATTACTATAAACAGAGTCGTGAAGGAGAGTCGGCCTTCACACGAATGGCAGATGGTCGAATCAAGTTTGCTAAATTCAATAAACGTAAACGAGATGCAGATGACGATGATGAGGAGATGGAAGAGGGTGGTGGGAACGCTGGATCTAAAAGGAACAATATTGGTAAAAAACGTGGTAGGGGTGATTCTGGACGTCCGTTTGGATCAGACTATAAAGCTAAACATGCTGGTGGTGATGTCAAGAGGAAGGGTAAACCTGATCCGTATGCGTATATTCCTCTTAATCGAAAGGGTGCGGGTAAAGAGTAAGTGATTGGTGATCAGCATGTGCGATCTTTAGACGTAACTTAATTGCGGTTTTTTTCTCTAGCACAAAGAAAGGTGGTCGTCCAAGTAGTTTCAAGTCGATATTGAAACCTGAGAGGCCAAACCGAGGAGAACAGAAAGGTCATTCCAAGTTTGGAAACAAGGGCCATAAACGTAGATTTTAAACCAGCTTTCGTTTATTTTTGCATTACTTTTTTGTATTTGTTTATGAGTATAGAAGCAATCTACAAGTTTTACATATGGTTTCTTTACAGGTTTATCGTATCAGGTAGCTCATAGTCGGAGGTTCCTGTGAGTCGTAAGGCTGATTGCATAGCTGGTGATGATTTTACAGATGGTGACTGTTTTGATGGCAAGTGATCCAGTCCTTCGAGACCTTTTTTGAAGATATTTCCCATATCTTCAATACACGCCATTGCTGTGTCGACATCCGATCGAAGGCCATTTAGAGCTGAAGACAACATGGAAGTGAGTTTCTCTTTGCGGTTTTCTAGGCGGGCTGTTTGTTCCAGGTACTTCAAGGCAGCTCCACCTCCCAATCGAGGAGACTTTGGTGGTGCCGACGGTGGCAATGGAGTTGATATCTGCTTAACGTATTCATCATGAGTAGCTATTATCTGAGTCGTACTTCTACTAGCTGCTATAAGTGCCCGTTGAGCACGATTCATAAATGATTCCCACGTGGTCTCACTAGTCCTCAAGGCAAATGGAGATCCTGATGCTAGAGACGATGTTTGTCCACGTATAACTTTGATTCGAGACTTGATATCCGTCAGCTCTTGAGCGGTTAATTCTCGATCAGATTCTACGATCATACGTCCGGACTGCTCCGTTTGCAACTGTGTGCTCATTTGCTCCAGCTTCAGGGTCAAGGTGGCAATCTCCTTTGAGGCATGGACACGAAGGTTTTGGATCATTACGTTTCTTTTGTGCAGCTCGTCTTGTAAAGCCTTTGTTTGAGACTTGAGGTCTTCTTGCATAGCCTTGAATTGAGACTTGAGCTCCTCTTGCATGGCCTTGGATTGAGACTTCTCTTCAGACTGTTTGGATTTGACGGATGCTTCAGTCTGGTTACGAAGACGTTCGATTTCATCAGCGAGACCACGAGCAGTGGCATTCAGAGAATCAATGTTTGATTCTGCTTTGTGTTTGGCTTCAGTAAGCATGTGGGTTAGATCACGGTAATGGGCTTGTTGGATCTTGGATTCAGTTAGCTCAGTGGTGTTTAGTGAAAGTCGTTGTTCCAGTTCGGCTTTCGATTTTAGCAGGATTTCCGTTTCACGCTGAAGTAGTGACAGTCGAGCAACGAGACGAGTGTGCTCTGTCGTATGATGACCGGTTACAGTCTGAAGACGTTCAAATAGCTCGATAAAGTTCTTTTCCAATTGTCCACGTTCCTGTTCTGCAGATTCCTTGGCTTGTTCGGTTTGCTGAAGTGATTGTTGCAGAGCATTGAGCTTGGTAGTAAATGTTTCATTCAAAAGTCGCTTTTGTGCTTCAACTTTTTCAGCAAGTATCGATTTATCCTTGTCTGCTCCAAGCCTGAGTGCTAACATATCGGATTCCAGTTGCTCGATTTCAGAGTGTTTGCGTTTATCAGCCTCATCGAGCTGGCTTTTCAAAGACTCGACTTGAGCTGCTAGAGACTTGCATTCATGGGTCTTAGACGCTAGTCGATCGTCCATATTCTTGAGTGCCAAGTTAGCGACCTTGAGCTCCTGCTTGATAATCTTATTGAGTGATTGAAGTTCTTCATCTTTAGACTTGTACAATGCAATATCACTCTCTTGCTGATCTTGATACAATCTCATGTCATGTATCCTGCTCATAATCTTCATGAGCCACTTTTCATCCACTTCGTGACTGGTAAGCTGAAGAGCTTGATGCGTTGGAGACGACGGACGACTGAACGTGGGTTGAGCAACCCAAGTATCTACTTCAAGAACTTGGCTGATTTCCGTCAGAAGTGCAGCCATGGCAGCTGCTTCACGGGTCTTGAGACCTTCACGTTCTCTCAATTTGGCCATTTCAGACTCGTATTCCTTGACAGCACGGGTAGCACCAGAAAACTCGTCACATACGGTAAGATATCTCTTATCAAGATCATGGAACAAGTCCATTCGTTTCGACATGGCTTGTAAATCACGTTCCGCTGCATCAAGTTTCGCTGAGAGTTCTAATCCTCGATCCTTGGCTTCTGTAGATGTCTCGCGTAAAGTATGGGTTTGCGATTCCAGTCGGTCGACTTGGCCAGTCAAGTCTCTGACGCGTTCTTCGAGATCCTCCTTGATGGTCTCAAAAGTGTTGAGACGACGTTTCAGCTGGTTTATGGTGGATTGCTTGTCCTTGATTTGGCCTTCCAACGAGGTTATCTTATTGTTGAGACCTTGGTTCTCTTGAATGACTCGTTGTCTGACTTCAGTCGTTTCCTTTTCGAGACGTTCAACTAGTGCCAGCTTTTGGCGAAGCTCGGATTGATCAGAATCTTTACGTTCTACAGCCATAGTGCGTTCTCGAGCCATCTGCTCCCGCAATTCAGCGTTCTCTCGTTGTAAGCGGTCTCGAGCCTCGTTACTTTCTAGCTGTAATCTATCTCGTAGCTCGAGAATCTCACGTTCAAGTCGTCCGCGAAGTCCATCCTGTTCACGGCCCATTCGCTCCTTTAGATCAGAAGTATCACGAAGCATTTGATCCTTCAGATCGTTATTCTCACGTTCAAGACTTGCACGTATACGATCGACTTCACCTAGACGAGTTTCAAAGACTTGGATTCGAACCAGATTACGTTTGATTTCTTCATCTCGTCGTTCCAGGATGTCTCGACTGGAGTTGGCATTAGCTTGTAGTTGAGCCATCTCATTCTTGGTTTGCGCAAGACGTTCTTGCAGGGATGATATACTGGTGTTCGCTACTTGCAAGTCGGCAACAGCTCGCCTTAGAGCATCGTCTTGCTGCTTTTCAGCATCCTTGAATCTGGATACCTCCATAGATAGCTTGGTAATAATTTCGGTAGAATCCTTACTTTGGTTGCGTACGGCTTCTAAATTCATGACTGCTTCACGATGAGCTCGTTCTGCCACTTGAAGCTGCTCGGTAGATTTCTCTAAAGCAACACGTTGTTGCATAGATTCGGCTTTGATTCTAGTAACGATCTCTTCTTGTTGTCTACGAGTGTTCTCTAAGTCAATACGAGCCTGCTCTACATCCTTTTCGAGACGTTGACATTTCTCATGTTCAGCGGTAAGACGACGAGTGAGTTCCTGAGCATCAGCTTCTTTACGAGCTAACGATTCGGTTCTTTCTTGAAGCACTCGTTGAACATCTGCTACAATGGCACGGTATTCACTACGTGCTGATTCAAGGGTAGCAGAATTACGAGCAACTTCCGCCGTTTGGTGATCCTTTTCAAGTTCCAGTTTCGTTACTTGACTTTCTAGACGAGCAATCAAGGCATCTCGTTCTCGTATGGTATTATCACGAGTTTGCACGGATTGTTGAGCCTCAAACAGAGATTTCTTGAGTCCATTTACAGTTTGTGAGGCAGACCACTTTACGGAATTGACTTCGGCGGTGAGTTTGGTCTGAAGAGCTTCCTTGTCTTTAGCAGCTTCTCTCAGGGCACCATCCTTTTCAGCAATGAGACGATCACGTTCTCCCACTCTACTTTCCATGGTCATTTGCAAACTGTCGATAGCGGCGGCTTTTTCAGATCGTGTTCGTTCAAGCTCAATCTCTAGTCTTGATTTAAGCTGGGAGTGCATTTCGGCAGCTTCGGCGACTTTAGCTGACGAGTGTCGTTTGAATGAATCTTCAAGCTCACGACGATGATATTCACGAAGTTCATCCATTTCACGGCGAGAACGTTCTTTGACTTCATCAAGTTCTCTGCGAGCTCGTTCTCGATCTGTATCGGCTTCCTTCTTGCAGCGTTCAATTTCGCCATCTTTTTGCTTGATAACCATTTGAGAGCTAACATTGATTCGTTCCAATTCGAGGTCCAGTTTCTCGGCTTGCTTTTGCCATCGACGACATTCTTCAGTCAGTTCAATGACTTTGCCACCAGTAGCATCTTTAGCATTAGCAACTTCCTTGAGCCTGGTCTCTAAATCACCGACTTGCTTTTTTGCAGAAGCTAAGACTTGCTCCTGCATCTTTTCACGAAGCTCAGATTCCTTGTATCGTCGTTCAAGCATATCAACACGAAGATCAGATTCTCCAGCAGCCAGCATAGCCTTTTGAGCACGGGTATCGGCTTCCAGTAAACGAGCTTGAACATCCTCAAAAGCCTTTTGACGTTCCTGGTTTCTAGAAATCTGTTCAGCCAACTCACTACGTAGTTTGAGGGCTGCTGTAACTTCAGCGTCAGCACGGCGAGCTATCTCATCTGATCGTTTCTTGGATTCCTCTATTATGGACTTGGCAACTTCTAGTTCAGCTCGGACTTTGGCTTCTGCTGCAGAGGCTTCGGCAGCTTTTCGAGCAATGTCTCCTGCGGCTTCTTCATCATCGTCTTCATCATCATCAGCTGCATTATGAGCTCCGGCCTTGACATCAGTGTTGACATCAGCCAGAGCTTTGGTTTGGATTTTGAGCTGGGTGAGTTTCGAGTAGGTTTCTAGCCATTGCTTCTTTATATCAGGAGCTACACCAAACAGATATCTGCTGCCATCAGACTCTTCAGGTCCGATGAGCATTTCAAAGAGATGGAGACCGTTGGGTGCTATGCGAAATCCAGTTTAGTCCTTCTTTTGTCTCTACTTAAATGAGACACTGCTTACTTTCACCCTTGACATCCCATACATGACACACTCGAATAGAAGCCTTTTCAATAAGATGATATTTATCTCTCCAGTCCTTTCGGGCCAAGATGAGAATATCATTAAAGAGAAACAGTCTTCGAGGTTTCTTGATGTCACCAAAAACCAAGTAGACCGAGTCTTCTCGTACAAGACATCGTGTAGGAGTAACGATATTCATTTTTTCACTGAATCCAGCTTGAATTTCTAGGATTCGTTTACTGCCTTCTGGTGTTGAATCTTTTGCTCCTTCATTCACAAGCGAGACAACTCCTTGCATTTTTTCCAATGCTAACTTCAAGGCGGCATGATCTGCTCTTGTTTCAGGCGTGTATTTGAGAATTTCCTGATAGTTTAAAAGTGTCAACAGAGGGGAAAAAACACAAAGTGAAAAGCAGGCAACAATACCTTCAGAAGCAATGGATATTTACACAGCCTTTGTACGGGTTTAATTAGGAATCCACCAAGATCAAGACTCCTCAGAATAGGTAATCTGTAGATTTCCTATTTCGAAATGGTTGTTCAACACCTAATGTGATTTCTTTCAGCGCTGCCATGAGAACACTAACCTCAAGAAAAGCTCGCACAGCTTTATTAGAGTGTACCATAGCTTGCATCTTTGATAAAGCGTTCCCTTGATTTCCACAATACATTGTGTATACCAAGAAATGTTCGCCCTAATAGAAATTGATTTAGAGATAGTAAAAACAAGTGTAGGTCTAGTGTAAAATCTCACCATAGAGACAAAGATGTCACCCAGTTTATCAATAAGAGGATTAGCAAGACGTCGTTCTTCAAGACGTTTCAATAAATCCTATGTTAACGTCGTGTCAGCATTTGAGTTTACAGATAAAACAAGGAAAAGAGTCGGAGAATGGGACTAGTACCATACCTGATTTACAGGCAACAACTGTTCCAGATTCGAGAACACAGATTCCACATTCTTAACACTAAGCAATTTCCGATCCGCCAACTGCTTCATAAACACGTCAATTAAAATCCCCAAATCTCTCACATAGTCACGTTCAGTAGCAATCAACTCGAATATAGCCAGCTGTCGTTTAACTTCATTTCCATCAAGCTGGTCAAGGACTTGTTTGGGTATACCATCAGACCAGACTTCCTTTTCACCGGGTAGTCGTTGCACACCGTCACCCACGTGAGCAGCGACGATGATTTGCGACAATCGGGCATCAGCTTTTGCGTCTCGGGCTGCCGCACTAGGTCTGAATATCGATGTGCGTGGCGTAGGTGTTAATGAAGCTAGAGCGGCGACTGGTGTAGGGGGTGCTGAATTTGCTCGTCGATGTGGATGTCCTCCGTTTGCACTCGCACCAACTATTCCCAAAGTTCCAGTTCCATTGGTTGTCTGTGATCTTAAATCAGCTACGAGGTCGAATATTGACGTGTTTTCGGCTGATACTGGAGCTGATAGTGGTTGTTGCTCTGGTTCTTCACCATAGTCTTCGTCATCTGCAGTCTCCATTTCAACACCCTGTGAAGCGGATGCTGATCTTCCACGTTTCGTTGGCTTGTCGCCCTTTTTAACTAGTCGTTTGTACCATGTCTTGGTCTTGTCTGTTGACGAGTTGGGTGGTGTTGGTATAGACAAGGACATGTTTGAGGCACCTATTGAACCTGATTTCCCATTGGTGATTATCGATTCGGACTTAGTGGTAAGCAGGGAAGACTTGGATGTCTTTTTACTATTGTTGCTATTGCTTGTGTTTGTGTGTAAGCTACTAGCACTTGGTGAAGATTCCGTTTCTTCCATTACTTTGACGACTGTAGCTGGAAACCATCCTGACTTGGCTTCTTTGCCGCCAAGTCCCTTCATTCCACGCCACCAACCACCATCTGGTGATTCCAAGATTACTATAACATCGCCTTTGAATAGAGCTAATTCATCTGCCTTTTCAGGTAAGTATTCTTCTTCTGCGACTACTTTTGTTCCAACAGGCACAGGAGGAGGGGGAGTCGGGTAGTCATCACTCGGTTCTGCAACCAGAGGGGCTTCCTGAATTAGTGTTTGAGGTGCTAATATAGGTGAAGGCAAGGAGGGCTTTGTCGGAGATATCGCATATGCCGAGTCAGGTGTATCGAGAACGACACAATCATGAGGAAAGTAACCCGTACGTCCATTATTAGGTCCCCAAGATCGACTAATTCCACTCCACCAGTACTCGTCGTCCGATCCCGGTGCTGTAACTAGTTCCACTATATCGTCAATCTCAAGCGGTAATTCACTCTCGTCTGTAGCTTTGAATGCTTTAATAGCTCGCAACGAGGTTCCAGCTTTCAGTTCAGAACCACGTAACTTGTGTATGTGTGGGTTTACTTGTGTTGTGATTGTCGACAGCGACTCAGAGGGTAGACCACCGGTATGAGACGAAGAAGAATGATCCTGATAATCATGATCTGTTTCCATTCCTACAGTGGCTGAATCTACTGTATCCTGCAGAGCGTCCGACATCGGTCCAGCTAACGATGTAGCTTCACTAGTCTCATCTGCAGTAAACATATCTTCTGTATGGCTAGGTCTGCCCGATGAAGATCCTCGTGGCGGGAATGGTAATGGTAGGTTTGGTGGTTGTGAATGAATTGAATATGTGGTTGACGATGATATTCGACGAGCAGAAATGTCTGAGTTGCTTCCTGTGGGAGACGTATCTGAGACATCGTCAGGCATTACGAGTTCTATGGAATTACCCTAAGCGTTGAAAAGATTAGTTTTGTAGGATGATTCGACTGTTTGCGTCAAAAAACCGAAATCGTGTAAACAACAACGAATCGTATCCATCTAGCAAGCTCACAATATGGACGGCTCTAGGAAATCCAGTCGACTCTCTAGGCTCATATGAGCCAGAGTCTGCCATGGACCTTAGATTCGTGCCTCTATTTTCCCTCAACTAATTAAACTAGTTAATTCCTGTGAGGCGCGTATCTATGGAGCTCCAGCGCAGCTGAAACAAGTGAGAAAGAGGCAAAGGATATATTATTGACAATTGAATCAGCTACTTTATATATACAAGCATACGTCCTTGATGGCGTCTGGTCGCATACCGCCAAGTTAGCTACAATCAAACAAACACAGAAAAGTGACAACATACCAGTAATCTGATCTGCCGAGCATCCATGTTTCCTATACGGACGACACCACTAAGGACGATAGGAAGAACCAATGATTAGTCTTCGATTGCGACAGGATAATGATATAATGGCTTCACCTCGTCGAGGTTCCAGGGACATTTCGAATCCAAAGCTTTAAGTGCAATATGCACACAAGTAAACGCTAAATCCAAAGGCTTATGTCTCATGACAACTCTTTCATGAGACACACACAAACAAGCATAATCCCAAACGATTTGTGCAAGCAAACTACCAGACCGTCCCGTCACTGATGGTTGGAAGAGAAAAGGTATTGCCAGAAAAAGGAAGGAGGACTCTTCAACATTTCAGCAGTGCTTTCATACCGCCGCCAGGCCATTCCCGTTTATCCTCGTCAAATATCTCATCGAGTAGTGCAGGTATCCATTCGAAGGGCAGTTCGACGTGTAGATCAAATTGTAGCATCCGAAGAACGACAAGCTCGGTCTTTAATAATGCATCTCTCCACTGCCAATAATCTTGTCCTATTTTGAGGTGTCCTTGATCTTCGTTTCGTCGATTTCGAGTCCTGCGCAAGATACGCAACGTCAGAGTGTGTATGTGTGAAAGAGAGAAAGCCGCTTCTAGGCTTCATCGGTATATCCAACGACCAAAAAAAGTCCAGTAGAGCCTTACCAATACGTGCAATTCACGATATCACGCAGCTTGCGATTTGCTTCCGTTTGTTTACAAGACAAGTTCAGAATTGCCATGATTAATGCCTATCATTCAATTGATTATGACTGTGGTTTCAACATGACTATAGCGACTGGCGTCTGCCAAGTATCTTCACTCAAATGTTGGCAATTACCTCTTCTTTCAGAGTACTCTTCGGCACGTCATCCAATTTCTCGTTATTTATGTAATCAAGACATCTGAAAAAGAGGCAGGTGGCTGTAGCTCTCGTTGTAGTTGGCCTAATCGGTCAAATGTTTGTTTTTAGAATTTGAAGCTCAAACAAAAGCGCGATTGTGACTTATCGCACGCATCAGTCACTCACAGGTTAAGGAGACGGCTGCAGGTTGATATCCCAGTGAGTATGGCCTTCTGAGCCTCCTTCTCCATTCTTCTTGGCCTCTTCTGTTCTGAATTCTTGAAAACTCACAATTCAATTTTCGTTAGAAACCAAGGAATCAAGTCAATCCCAGGAGGATCTCAAATATCTCTCTGTTCTTATTTTCGCGTAAGATCTTCTTCTGGACTGGAATTCACGTCGAGGCATCAACTTTGGAGCTTTGCATTTGTCGCATTAAGTCGGGAACATTTGATCTCTGCACGCAAGTCCTCTATAGTGAATCTCAAGATCATCATCGTATCTGCGACACTCCTAATTTCCTCAAATTCTCCAAAATGTCGAAAGCCGGACACAAATTCGTCGTCTGTGAGATCTGTGGTCGTGACTTTACGAGTGCATCTATACCCATTCACAAACCACAATGCATCGAGAAATTCAACCTTGAACAGAGCAAGGTTCCACCAAGTGAACGACGAGGACTACCCAAAGCCGTTGATGGTATGCAATACAATCGCAACCATGTTTTTTGCTGACTTGCAAGGTCTAAAGCACGTCTTTCATATTTAGGCAACGGCATGTCTCGAGAACAATACAACGAAGCCGCATACCAAGAATTTATGACTTCAGGCCGCCAGCTCTGCCCGAACTGTGATAGAGGATTTGTTGGTAAAGCATTGGAAATTCATCTACGATCATGTACTCCAGGTGGCTACTTCGAGAAGAAGAAGAAGGGTGTGAATAATCAAGCAAGTGATGAAGATATAGGCAAATCTCCAAGTGCCCAAGCACCTAAACCACAACCGACTACTCGACCAAAGACTGGTGCTAACGCTACTGTCAAGACCGTCAAGCCTATACAATGGGGTGAACCTATTAACGCGCCGATACAAACCAAGACGAGCAGGTCGCCTACTGTAGCAACGAAACCGAGTATAAAGTCGCCTACACAACCAACACAAACGTCTTCTTCGGCGTCATCATCACAATCGCAGCTGGAGAACAAGGCACCTACAGCACGATCACCAACAAGTCCAAATAGTAGTGAGGCTGCCAAGTTTTGCGTAGAGTGTGGAACTCGGTTTGGCAAGGTTGATAGTTTTTGTAGAGAGTGCGGGAACAGACGCTTGTAAACCGAGAATACGACACTTCTTTTGCTAAAGTGGACATATAGTTTTGTTGTTTGAATCATGAGGGGGTATACACTATTTGATACCATAATTCTCTACTTTACAGTTTGACAGGCACAAGACATTTGTTGAATATTTTTAATGGACTGCCCATTTCTTGGGATGGAAGGGATGGATTCCTTTGTTATAGTTGTTCTTCTTCTACTTGTTGTTGTTGTTGTTCCTCTACTTCTTGTTGCTGTTGTTCTTCTTGTTGTTCTGCTTGTTCAGCTACGACTTGTTCTGCGACATCTTCGCGGAATAGAGTGCTGGCTTCCGATCGAGCTCCAACAGTTTCGGCGTCGTTGATTGCTGCAGCAACAGATGATCGAGGTTCCACAATTGTTTCTTCTACTCGCACAGCTGGAGAGGATCCTGCGACTGAGTTACGACCACGGTTAACACCCTTGTTTAATGAGACGTGACGAGTAAGACGGGCTTCCTCACGTTCAAGAGCAGTCTGAGTAGAAGATTCCCTTCTGAATTCACTTTGATGATGGGCCAATTCGTTGCTATTGTTGTTGTTGATGGTGCTAATTCTTTCACTGACTGATGTCCTGGTAGTAGTATTGTGGGGACGTTCACTGACTGAAGCTCGAGTAGACATAGATTCACGTGCAGCTACAGATGCCCGTACGTTTACAGTAGTGGATTCCCGGATTGGAGTACCCTCTCTAGCAGCGACTGAAGCTCTGACTGATCCAACGGTAATGGGTTGTTCATGGGAGACGGATTTACGAGCAGCTACCGAGTTACGGACGTATCCAGAAGTAGTAGCGATTGATTTACGTGGAGCAACGTAAGCAGAAGGTGTAGAAATAGATTCACGAGCACCGACTGAACGTCGACTAGCGGTAGCTGGTGTTTCAGCAGTGGTGTTTGCCATTTCGTTGTATTTTTGTAGTCTGTCCTTAAGGGAAGTGTTTGAGGAGTCCGATTCAGCAGCACGAGGAGATGTAATAGAGTTGATGGTAGTAGTGGGAGACGAGTTGGAGGCGCTGCTGATCGAGGCTCGTCCAGCAGCAACAGTGGCTGCAGGAGTAGGACGAGTAGCTTCTTCAGTGTTTCGGGAAATCCAAGCTTTCTTTGGGTCTTCAGCACCGAAACCTATAAGGTGAAAGACGGAGTTAGGACCAATCACCATCGGCGATTTCTGTGAATAAATTGTGTGGTTCTTTTACCAACATACCTTCAGAGTAGTTTCCCTTGAGACGGAAAAGTTCCTTGAAGTGAGGCTTGCAGTAGTAGTTTCCATTCATGGCAGCAAGATTTCCCAAACGCAAAGTAGAGTGACAATGAGTACACTTTAAACAAGTCTTGTGGAAGTACTTGTTGTCTAGAGAGATTTCTTCCATAAAGTAGACTGTTGGGAATGGAACCAGTTACTTTCAGATAACAATGGGGATTACTTTTCATGATAAAATAGACGGCTTTTGACCTACCAGTCTTGGCACAAAGTTCACATTTCTTCCCACCAGACGCTAGATTTCCTTGTGAGCCTGAAGAGGCTTTTGAAGCAGCAAGAGGCTTGACTGGGGCAGCTGAGCTACTAACGTTTCCACCACTGGAAGATACACTAGATGTGTACGCATTGACTCTGTTTGACAATGGACCTAACGTGAGTACTTTGAATTAGACGACAACGTTATATCTGACAATACAGTAAGAATATGAGGTACGTGCCAGCAGCAGCAGCACTTCCAGATCGAATGTGGGCCGAGTCATCATGGCGAGCAACACTGTTTACGATAGGAGCACGAGCAGTAGCGGTTGGACGAGCAGCAGCAGCGGCCGTGGTCTTTGGTACGGAAGCGGCGACATTGTTTGCACGTTCAAATGGTCGTTCGATGGCACGACTAGTAGTAGTTGTTGTGGGTTTTGGAGTGGGGACAATGGAAGCAGCTGAGGATGATGCTTCATAGCGACGAAGACGCTCCTTCAACGAGACGAATTCATCGGTGGCATTGTTGGTAGCAGCACTAGTAGTGGCAGTAGTAGCACTAGTTGGAGTGGCTGATGATGGAGAACTGTCCTTGGCGGGGGAAGTAGCTTCGAGCTTTTGAAAGTATTGGAGCCTATCAGTGATTGTCATTGTTGTATGAGATGAAGAGCAAGAACGATATTCGTGAATGAGTGCGTGTGTTTGATGGACGAGAGGAAGAATAATCTGTGTATTGACAAACAATGTTAGCGAGGGTTGAGATATTTGGCTGCGCCGACTTGTTACCAAGGCAAACTCAAGGTTGCTTACTTTGTGGGTTGCAAGGGGTCCAATCACTGTTGCTCTCCCTTGAAGCAACGTGTCCTCTGCTGTGTTAGCTTCGTGTTGGAAGTGGTCTCAAGTCTCAATTTATCACTAGTCAATCACCTTAAATAAACTTGCAATAAAAGCAAATTGTACGCGTAGATTACATCTAATAGCAAGATAGCGAGCTCGTACCATATTTTGTAAGACCTCAAAACACGCTCTTCATCGCTTTAAGCTCACATTCAATCCAAACCTGTGCGTGACGAGATTTTGATGACGGAACTCAGATAGAGCTCGCGAAATGTCCATAGACTTGTCATATGTCGCCACCGCATTGTCCTCTGTAAGCCGGTGCCTCGTCTAAACCGTGATTTTGTTGCTCCTCGTTGACATCAACTGAATTTTCAGGATCAAAAGATACAGCTACCTAGGAATGAGTCCGAACGCTTCCTGTGAGGATCCAACATTGTCTCTAAATCTTGTGTTCTTCGTTGCGATGTTCGCTAACACCCTGGCATCAACATCTATAGAGCTGTCTTGAATGAGCTCACATCATTGAGCAAATGCTTCCATTCTGACCAGAAATCTACTGATCTTCCACGACCATCCGACTTTATGCAGAGCTTGTCAAGCCTCGAAATCGCTCACGTCGTCATCACCTCGCTAAAACTCTTCAAGCACTTGATACAGACCAGAGTAATGCTCAATGTGAGGTTGACGCACTTCAATCTCAAGCTAAAACGCGTCATTAGGACTTGTTTGTGCCTCTGCTATTTCTATCTCAATGTCGAGAGATCTTTCATCAAGTTATACCTCAATGTCCAAATGAATTCTTGATAGTACGCACAAGCCTTATGTTGCAAGTTTGAGACTAGCATCAATCAACCCCACTTCCTCTTGTTTATGTCAGATCTGTCGAACTCTTGTACATGTGCATCGGAACGAGCTACTTGCGGAGAACACGAGGTATAAAAGAATGTGCACTTGCCACGTCAGGCATTATGCTAAAAAAAGACGACAATCACCCTAATGGCTCTTCTAGGGCGCTCATGAAATACGCTTGTGGCGTAGGACACCAAAAGCTGCTTCGCTACATGCTTATGGAAGCCAAAGTCCTTCCAGACTTATGTTGTTATCTGACCATCACGTATCTCCATGATGAGGTAAAGGTTGGCTAGGGAAATCACCGAATACATTCCCTTACCGTGGTTAAGTGCTTTGTACTTGCGCAACCTCAACAGGTCTTGTTTCTCAACTCGATCCTGGACACCAATATGAGCTGGACGTTTGAGACTGTCGATCAACTACCACACACTTCTGGAAGCACTCTACTCATAAAAGATTATCTACCAGCACTGGTTGATCGAGTGGTGAATGGCATTCAGCAAGCCTCGCCTGTTGACGTCAAGATGAGATTGCGTGCGTTATGTGGGTTTGTCGGTATATACGGAGTCGTGTTGTCAGATGCTCAACTGGATTCTATTGTCGTGGCCATCGCCATGAATGCCAATGAATCGTCTGGCGGACAAAATCTCAGTTTTCCAATTGTTTGCTGGATGCAGATGGTTCGTCGTTTCAACGAGGTAAAAAGCCACATAATTATATGATATTATGTCTTCTGACGTTTTCCCGGTGCTCACAGATGACGACTGTTGAAATGGTCTCGACCCTTCTTCAAACAACACGGTCACATGTTACAATGCTCATTTGCATACACATCTTTACTGATTCACCAGTCAAAGTTGCTGAACAATTGAGAAATCACTTGGAGATGAATGTAACAATACGTATGTTTGCCCTTCGTCTGAGATCTTTCTATTACATCGCGACACTGATTTTCTTCCTGCTCCTTGAAAAATCTCTAGCATCTCAGACATTTAGCAAGATGTGTGAAGCATTTCGGTCACGATTGTTAAATGTCAAGAAACTATGTCATCGTGCTCTCGAGCTACGAGTGGAAGACGAAGAGGTAACATCAACCAGCAGTAAACGGTTGTTCTTCAACCTGGTTCCACGTTTTCCCCCCGCCTTGTTTATCTTACTGTATGAACCTGTTGACCGGAATCATTGGATTTCTAGGTTCAAACCAAGAGTGAATCAATATCGATATCACTAGTCTCTCAAATGCTCGCTGCCGAAATGTTTCATAAAGCACAAGTGGATGTTGGCCCATGGATGCAACGAGTCATTACAGACAGAATTACATTACCATTGCATTCCTCATTGCTTCAATTGTTGACGATTTACGTCGAAAGGTGACTACAGAACTCCATATTGCAACTGTGGTGTCATTTTTACAATCAAATCATCTATCAAGTCCTTCATTTTTGTCCTTTTTTTTTAGCATTCTCACCACCACATTCGCAACTCGAATACCAGATTCGGTTGTTCGTCAAACTTTTGACGACTCGAATGAGTTGAAACCATCTCATGTTATAATGTTGCTTTACGTGCTGTTGCACGATTTTTCTCTTGTTGCTGGCATTAGGAATATTCACGGGGACCAGATTTATGCTCTTGCGGGTATTGACATTCGACGTCGTATCCTTTTTCTCGTCTCATATCACTGAAATTCTCAACCACTCTTCAGGGAAGAGACCATATCCGACAAGACTGGCAGACTCCTTGCCAATCAAACGTGTCCTCTTATTTGCACGAACTCATGATGGTGGCAAGACTTATTCGTCTATTTATCCACAACTGTATTCTCTTATCAATGGCTGCTATCCTGAACTCTTGGAGCCACTCTCTCTATCGTGCGAGGAGTCTGTTGTGCAAAGGTAGATTTGATTTATCTTTTTTTTTTAAAGGGAGACCAAGAAAGCAATGACATATGTATTCACACCCTTCGAATAGTGCATCACTGGTACTGCCATCTACATGGTATGCTCAGCAATTACAGCCTACTGGTGGTGCAATATCAGCGCAAGCTATTGGAGAGTACCTATTGCGGCCTGCTTTGACAACCAAAGGTACGAGGGGAACGAAAAAATCCAAAAGTGGAAGTATTGCAACAGGCTAACTCTTCCCATCCTTCGCCGTCAGTATTTGAATATCTGGTATCCTTGACTCCTCAACAACTTCTTCCATACCATGATATTTTCTTGGAGTATATAGTACCAGTGCTGCCTCTTGTGGAGTGAGTGTTTGAGTACGTGTGATAAAGATTTACGAAGGTATTCTTTGAAACCATTTTTTTCGGTTGGCCGCAGATGGAATGATCCAATATGGCCATCCTTTTCCAACATTTGGCAGAAGCTGAACAGTGTGAAAGCACCAGATACTTGGGTAAAGACCATCAAAATACTTTCATTACATCGCCCAGACATTGATTTACTGGATTTACAGTCTTTGATTGAAAATCCGCAAAATCAAGTTGATGTTGATCGGCGTGTGTATAGACGACCTGTGCTGTTTGGTATTTTGCTACAAGTAAAGAAGTCTTCCCAGCCACTCAACTGTTGTTATGACACAAGATTGAATGTTTTTTGGTTGCTAGATCTTGACTTGTTTATTGGCGGCTGCAAGGTCCCCATTCAGAAAGCAAGTTCGAGTACTGGTGAGAATCCCCTTAGCATTGATGATTATGTCGTGTTTCGTGGCTGTCCTAAATATCTGTCAATCAACTAGGAGTCACCACATATCACTCCCATGGAAGTTGAACGTGCAGAGCCTAGCATCATTCACTTCTTGTTGGATGCCTGCCTGGCTAGTCCGGAAGATGAGAGAACTGCAGGTACAAAGAGTTATGGATTGAAGCCTTAGATTTTTTTGTGCCTCGCTATAGAATTAAAAATATCCCTCTAGACGCGTCCACTATATTGAAACAGATTCGACGGTCGACATGTGATTATATACATTCAAGGTTTTGCAATAGTGCTAATAAGGATTTGATACGAGTATGAAAACTTGTTATTCATCTTTGCTTATGATTTCCTTTGGCTAACTTTTCCTTGTTTTGTTTTCAACACAAAGACCATTAATCAAAGAGGTTATGCTATTGAGCTTATTCCTATACTTGTCAAGGGAATACCATCCATGCGTAAGTGAAGACAACCTTTCAATCATTCATCGGTAGTAACGGAATAGGTTTGTTCTGTTTACTCAATCTAGATGTGGTCGATGTCATGTTGATACAGCTCTACAACACATCACCAGTGGACAAGTCACCATTCATTACAGAGTTGGCCCGACACATTTCTGACAATAATCCAACTGCCCGAATGTAATAGTCACTACGGATCTCAAATCATGTTTTTTCGCTCGTGTTCTCACTCACAGTCTCTTTCCTCACACTCAGAATGGATCTAGTCCGCCAGGCAGTCTTCCCATACGTCGATCGCATGTGTGGATCACTACCAGGATACAACAAGTTCATCGCTTCAGAACCAACAGAAGCAATTTTGCCTGCTCCTCCATCATTACAAGCCTTTCCATCTATGGATTACTTGCCACAAGTGTTGAGGAGTTTGGTTGAACTTACTGGAGTGTTTTGGGATGATTATCAACAGAGGACTAGAGGGAGACTTAATGGTGAGCTTTCATGGTAGAACAATCAATTGTCAGCTTTGGTCCCTTTTTTTGTTCAACTTGAACTCTTTGCAGACTTGGAAGTACCATTCGAAGTTGCAGATATCCTTGCCAGAACACCTTCAGAGTTGATGGATGCACGGCACTACGAGTTCTTGGAAAGGATACGACGTGCTGTTCGTGACTGTCAGCAGAGAATGAGAGAGTTGGCTGAAGCACCTCGAAAAAAGCAGTCCAATAGGTAGTGCTGAGAGAGAGGAGAGAATCGAGGCTCCTCCTCCTCTCGAAAAAGACTGACGACAACGCAACACACACGAAGCACGTGTTGGTACATAAGTAGCATAAACACATAGATGGCATAGTAGTATCTGAAACAATTAAATTGCAATGTTAAATGAAGCTTGAGATGTACAATCCCCAACTGGATCCCCAAACAGTTTTCCATATGACACGGCGGGTTTTTTCCTCCTCCAACTTCACCCACATCCTGTACTTGATCTAGTGTAGATCCGAACTGATTCAACCGGTCGACGACAACACGATATCAGTCACCAGATATGCAGGTATCAGAAAGTGACAAGCAACAAACATCCACACAGAAACTGGCATCTCAAATCGAAAAGAATGTGTCAACGAGCATGTTGTCTCGGACGGGCGGAACCGCAATTGGAGATGATGAAGGTCCGACTGAATATCTGGAAAGACGAGTATTCCCAGTATGCATATTCGCTGAGATGTTCGCGTTTAGAATGGTTCATTTCAACACCGTGCATTGCCCCATTTTCATAATTTTTTTGTTACTGCGATCACTGACTTCTAATCATTTAGATATTATTACCAGCTATTGAGAAGGTTTTGAAACTTCATAGTTCTGATGATGCCGGCAAGGACGTTCTAGCCCGTTTAGCTCATGTAAGTATCTTCATTCAATCAATTCGAAGACCAAAACAATGCTGATTCATATTCACATACAGTATCTGCTACAAGAGAATACCAGTGGAAACGGTACAAAGAACACTGTGTCTCAGGAGAACCTCAACAAGTAACCCGTATTTGACCCTATTGAGTCCTCGTCTTTTGCGACACCACAACGTAATGCATATAGCCTTTCGTAAATGGGACTATCTCCTTTTATATATTGTTTTTAATAATCATCAGCTTCTCCTTCTAATCTCTGCACTCTTGTTGTTGATTGCCCACACAAAAACATACAAAATAAACAAGACCACTCGGCCTATACAATTCGTTCTAATTCACGAGCATAACTCAATGTTTGACGAATCATCTTTTCAGCAGGTATCTCGTGATGTCCACCATCAGATACGGCAAACGAGATCTTGTTCTCCTTCAAATTCACATTCCAGTCCTTCTGTTGATATGTAATATTGAAAGAACCAGTTAGAAAACCTCTCGGAATCAACAAAAAATGACATGTCGTCTTTGAAAGTCATACCCTTTTTGCGAATTCAAGCACTTCCTCGCGAGTCTTGAAGTATAACAATGTTACAGCATCAGGAATCGGAAGGCTGCTGTATGCTTTGGCACTACAACTTGCAATCTCATCTCTAATCGTAAAAGGTAAGAATCAGTGATTTGACCAGAATTCATTGAAGACGTCATCATTGTAGCATGAATCGAATCCATCACATCTATCACATCAACATGAGTTCAATCAAACATCATCTTTTAAGCATGCAAATCCATTCCATCACTGTAGCATGATTCATGTGTTCGGTTGATCGCTTTTTTGGCTTTCAACTGCAAATATCAACCACACACTCATACCTGATGGTTCCCATAAGGATATCCATGAAGAAAGCATAATCAGCAGCGGGTACATTCTCTCTGGAATGCACGACCTTGCCATAGGAACCCTCCATAAGAGACTGTTCGACTTCAACAGGATGCCGTATGTACATGTTTTTAGTCAATTCATCTGGTGGCAGTGATTCCAATTCAGTATGGAATTCACCAATCCTGTTTTGAGCGAGCAAGTTGAGTAAATTGAGGCCCAATAGTGAGTATTGTTTTTCAGATTGCGGGAGTAGGGTTCTATTGGGGTGAAAGTGGTATGTGTTGAGTGTTGGATCTTGCGAAAGTGAGTCAGTGGAAGCGATGCCCTCCATCCAGATCAATAATGACGAAACAGGATACAAGACAACAGATAATTACCTGTAGTCGTTGTAATAAGTCTTTAGCTGAGACATGTATCTTTCAAACTCGTCAATCTGTCCAGTCTTTATGGCATAATGAGCACCCAATTCCAATACATCTCCTACATAAATAACAGATTTATCATTGATGCAACAGAGACAAGATCAATCTGTAAGGAGCAATCAACGCCCGGGATGTATCAAGATCCAGTCTAGGGTGACATACGTGCCAATATTAATTCCTTTCCATCTGGGGCTCTGCTAGCATCAACGACCAGGAAACTCAACTGAGTTAATAGCACCTAATATACATGTAATTTACTAGTTGGATTGCTGGCCTCAAAGTCAAACAACAGCCATGTCAAATCAATCGACAAACACATTTTACTTTTAGCTGAGAGAGGAGTTGACCACACTTGTCTAGATTAGATGAGGATGCAGATAATTCCTTTTTTAACTGGTCGCGAAGAGTCGCTGCCTGTGCTAGTTGTGCCATCTGCTTAATTTCTTGGAATGTCCTTGATGTTTTTCGGTGGAATGTTACTTGTTACAACACAGGAGCAAACGATCGAGCGTTGGTATCAAAGAAGGACTAGAAGGACAATAGCGTGTAAAGACTGCATTCTGCTGTTGTACCATTGAGTTACACGTTGTCCAGCTCAAATTCAGCAAAAATTCGATGGTTAGCGAGCCAGCATTTATACAAGCATAATCATCTCTGATCTCTGTTATCTGTTACAATCAATACACGTGCAAGATTACTTAGGGCCTGCTTCGTTTCCTCTGTTTGGAAGCTGATGATGATGCAGCAGCTTTTACACTACCAACACCACGCTTCTCTACCATATCACCTTCCTCTGCCTCGTCTTCCTCATAATGATCTGGTCGAGGCAACGCAACCCCCATCGATTCAAATAATGTAGACGTTGGACCAGGTAAACCATCTTGAGCTTGGAAGCTTTCCAACATATTCTTGACCAGATTTACATCCATATCTATAGGCATGTACTCGTCATCTTCATCTGATGTAGTGTCATCATCGTCATCATCTGAATCTGGCTGTCTAGTCTTTTTCGTCTTTTTCAAGTTACTCTTTTCAACACGTTCAAAATCACGGGCTAGTCGTGTTGAAAACAATTCACGATCCATGGCCTTCATATATGCTTCTATATCAGCTTCAGTGTCTTCGTCCGAGTCATCACTCATATTGGTCGTCTTTGGTTCTTTACTGTTATATGTACGTGGTGGTTTAGGTGGTTGTGGGCCAGACATAGGATCAGCAGGAAGTAATGTTTCTTCGTCGTCGTCATCTGAAGTGATTTCAGTGATGGTTGGACCGCTTCTAGATGATGAGGCTCGATTGGGACGTAGCTCGTCCATAGGCATACCTATTGTTTTTAACAGGAACCGTGAGCAAAAGAGGGAAGCGTAGAGAAGTGTATGTCTTACCTAGTGCTCGACCCATTTCACGAAGAAAACTGTCTGGATCGAGGCTGATTTGACGTAAGACGTCTTCCTCGTCCTCATCTCCAAGGATGTCGTCGTCTTCATCATCCTCGTCTTCGAATTCACTAGCAAAAGGGATGAGATTAGAATGTAAGCGAGGAGAAAAAGGTTGTGGAACACGACTGGGATGAGCGTCTTACTCTAGCATTTCAACGCCATCCAATCCAGATTGTCCACTCATAAAAATTTCCAATTGTCGAACCATGTTCGTTATATTCGACATACCATCACGCTCCTCCATGTCTTCATCCTCCCATTCACCGTCTTCATCGTCCTCATCAACATCCTCTGCTTGAAGTTCTTCCTTCATTCGTTGATAACGGCGAGGAACATCAGCCTCGTCATCACTACTATCTTCGTCTGATTCTTCTTCCTCTTCGTCAGAATCTCTGAAATTGACAACAGCACGTCGAGCCGCAAATGCGGCTTCTAAATCTGAAGCATTCATGTCCATCCAAGCATCCGAGTCTTCTGGAGTAGTGTCTAGTTCGGCATCTTGTATCAATGGAAGTGACAAGAGACGCGACAATTTCAATGATGGGTGTTCGGGTTGTTGCTCATCTCCGTCCCTACTCATATAGAAAGACGTTTAAGGAGATTGTTGCAAGGAAGAAGTAACCTGTTGTAGGTCAGGGACTTGCCTGTCCGCAAACTTGTCTCGAAGATGCTGCTCTTTTGCAACAATCTCTAATTGTTGATACAGCTTGGATCCTTGCGTTTCTCCCTATTTTCTGGTCGGTTACATACTAGCAAAACCAAAGCAGAGTCAAAGTACAAATTTACCTTGAAGTATCCCAGCTGCGAGAGTCTATTCCGAAACCTGATATATTCATCATCTCGATCAAAATCATATGTATCCAGAGTGGCATTCTCAGTATGCGTTGCAGACGATCGTGGTTTCTCAGCAGCCAACATTTCCATACCACAAGCTAACTTCATACCCAGTTCAGCAGCTTTAAACTCTGGTGAACTGACTGGAGGTAGCCGAAAGGGCTTCGGAGCATGAAATCGTTGCGCGACGAGTTGAGCATATAACGTTCTGGTCACGGGTATAGTACATGATACTGAATCAGCGGGTGGGAATCGTTCCATTCGATGGATGGCCTATTTTTGACATGTGAGAAAAATGTTAGGCAAATTGGAGGGCAAAAACACTCCCGGAACCGAAATGAATATTAGCAAACACGGTGCGAATAGCAAATCAATGACTTACTCGCATGGTGATAGGATCTCTCATATAGAAGGACTCAACAGCTGGAGCCACCATTTGAGGATCTCGTTTCAAGACACTGGCAACTGCACGTGGAATCATGACACAAGCATGATGAATGTTTTGACGAGCCTTGTCAGGATACCTTCACAAAGTCAACAAGAAAAAGTTAATTTCCAACTCCAGCTGTGCTATGCGTCCAGGCAAGAAATACTTACGAGGATATACGATCAAAAACAGCAGCTTGCACCTTGTCTGCTGCGACAGTGGGAGTTGTTGACGAAGCGACCAATTCAATGCCCTGAGTCACTGTCAATTTGCCTGATGGGAACTCTTCTCGTTCAACAGGAGTTTTGGGTATTGGAATTATATGCAATTGGCCTTTATGGAGAAAGACCTGGATACCGATTCAAGAAAAGACGAGTCAGAGGTTTGTAATTCAATGGAGGTATATTATTAGCTGTTCTTACTCGATTGGTACTATTTGAAGGAGTCAACCATTTTGGTATCTCTTTGGCTGCTTCAATCAGCAAGAATTCACCATCAGAATCCGATACACTGTCAGGCACAGGGCCACAAAGGGTGAGCAAAAAATTGGAAATCACACGATGGAAAGTCTTCAGTACCTTATCACGGCTTCTTGCCATTGCTTTGATATCTCACGTAGCAGAAACACGATAAACCATTCGTCTTCAATTGCATCACCAAATCGCGTTCGTCCCTTGAGATATGCAAATGAAGGTTCTTGGGCTATCAAAGAGTGTTGATATCACGATCAACTGTTCCAAAGCTCAGATCGAGTGACGAGGATGATACGCATACCTTGAGTTTGAGTTGAAGAGACGACTACTAGACCAAAAGGGTCCTTTTGCCAGATGTACCCATCCGTCCATTGCAGCACAAATGAAGAAATCAATGTCGCCTGTTGTTGAAGATGGACAACATCTTTGGCATCAGGAAGGTATATACAGTACTGAACATAGTCCTCAGACGGTGGTGGCCTTGAAAAATATTCTTGCATCTGCGATATTCTCCAATCTGCGAGGTGATTTCTTGATTTTTGGAACTGCTTCACAAAGAGACAAAGCTTCACGAAGAGACTGATAGAAGACTAGTAACGAGGATATTCGCTAATGATTGTATTCTTTAAGGCAAAAAAATGCAAAAATTGAGCTTACCGTGCTGCAAAGAGATACTTCCAGAATCTGCGTAAAATCTCACTTGAAACAAAGAGAAGTTCGCACGTTTTGATTTCATGGTATGGCACGTGTTTTCGAACACTACAAGGCGTATAAACACACATAACAATCTCAAGTCACTTATTCAACGGTGTTTCTGTAAGCTATTTATAACAATTGCTCTACCATGTTCTCGGTTGCTTCGCGAACGTGATTCTAACTATTTCAATATAGATTCAAGCACAGGCCCTCATAAAATAGCTTTGATTACTGGAGGATCCCGCGGTATTGGACTTGGCATCGCTCAATCCTTCAAATCGAAAGGCATCAAGAGTGTTTTAGTCGGGAGAGATCAAGCAAGATTAGATGCTGCCAAGGTCCTTCTTGGTGATTCTCATTGCCTCGGTACATGTTCAGTGGATGTGTCGGACTCGACTCAAGTACAAGATCTAGTTCAAGTACGCTGACATGCTCACAGCTTTATGACCTTTTCCCCAAAACCAGACTTTTTACACACACCTATACTTTTCGCAGCACGTTTCACAAATTGGAGACGTGTCTATTGTAGTCAATGCAGCTGGTAAGGTGAACGCGTCTTCTTAGTGATGACTTTGCATTGATCCATCCACAACTTCGATGGATTACTCGTCTTCTCAGTGATGACTTTGCATTGATCCATACACAACTGTAGGTGTGAATTTTGATGGATTACTCGTCACGATGAGCCCTGAAAAGATAGAGTCTGTCCTCAAAACCAATCTTCTTGGTTCCATACTCGTAACTCGTGCTTTTGTACGAGGAATGCTGAAGACGAGACGAGGTTGCATCATTAACGTGACATCCGTCGTGGGCCTGATGGGTAGCTCTGGGCAATCTGTCTACGCCTCTTCGAAAGCAGGCGTCCTTGGCTTTACGCGATCTTTGGCTCGAGAAGTCGGTTCTCGGAACATACAAGTAAACGCAATAGCTCCTGGAATGATTGAAACTGATATGACCAACAGTATGTACATGTCCTGCCTTGTTTAGTATTGATGTTCTCGCATAAGTATATCGCTCTAGGCCTCTCAGATGATGTTAAGGCTTCTCTGTTGTTAAGAATTCCTACAGGACGCTTTGGTCGCGTCGATGTAAGACACCAACATTTTGCAATAATTTTTATTTGCTGATTACCTTCTAAACCTTAATTCAGGAGGTAGCGCATGCCGCAGTGTTTCTCGTAGATGCAACTTACGTGAACGGTCAGGTAAATATATATGTTTTGTGGAGAACTTTGATGATAGAACGTTCGGAGATTTAATGCCGACTTGTTCTTTATGTAAAAATTAGTGCTTGAATGTGTGTGGTGGCCTTAGTGCATGAAAGTTGGGACTTTGCTTTGGGACCTTTTTGATGGCATTTGTACGTGTTCCTTCACTTCAAATGTGGTCATAATGCAAGGATTACTTGGTTGTTAAGTACTTTATTGTATAAAGTTTGAAAATACCCGTATAGTTTTGGGCACGTCCCCACATTTCATCTGTTCGTTCCAAGTTATTCAAAAATTTCTTATCGGAAAATCAGCAACAGTTCCACTGAGCTGGCATGTAGATCAAGGATGTTGGGTCCAGAACTAAGTAATCATACTATCGATAACAGTCTCAGAAATCAAGAAACACGATACAATACCCTACCATTCGATGGACAAACAGGACTAACAGATTTCAACAGTGCATCAGCAGGAGGATTAGTAGGAGGCGGAAGAAAGACGATGAATTCTGGTAGTTCAGCATACGATATGATGTATTATTCAGGTTTCCCTATGAACTCCAAAACCACCAGTCATCAACATCAAATGTCTGAATCACATCCTCACTTATCTATCGAGTCATCGCATGTCTCATCAAACGACACATCATCAGCAGGCTCGCCATTAACTGTAAATCATCCATGGAATCCGGCTACGTCGATAGACATGATGGGTGGTGGTCTGTACATGTCGCATCAACCTGCACAAAGTCCTATGATACATCAAGACCAACACGATGCAGAAATGGATGACAGAGACGCACCTCCTGTTGTCGGAAGAGAATTTGAAGAAGAAGAAGACGAGGAAGAACAAAACGAGGCTGATGAATCGGACGATGACTACAAGTGCGTGTTTGTGAAGGAAATGAGGTTGAACACACGAACGAAGAAAACCTTGGTTTTGCAATGTTTACAACCATCTCGGTTAACATACACATTCTTATCATTGGTCTTACACGCTCCCGTCTGTCCTTTTAGGCCAGAAAAGCCAGAAAGACCTGCAAAACGACAACGGCGCAGCGTTGCAAGACAATCATCTCTACCGTTTATACCACAATCTACACAACAACCCCTCGAATCTATATTATCTCTAGCCGCAGCTGCTCAAGTCATCCAAAACCAACCAATGTCAAGCTCCACACCACCACCATTATTATTATTATCTCCCATAGCAACAGCACCAAAACCTGCTGCTCCCGTCTCTACACCTCCTGTAAAGAAGCCATTCGTGCCAAGTGCGGTATCGGATGATGATCCATTAAAGAATATAAAAGGTTTACGTCACTTCTCCAAGATGGTGGCTGATAAGGTTGAAGCTAAAGGTGAAACAACATACAATGAGGTACGTTGTGATGAGAAGTCTTGAGAATCTTAAAGAAGTTTGCGAAGCAAGCCCAATGATGAGACATTATCAATTATACTGCGTTATTTTTCTGAATCCGGAAGACACCAACAGAATCTGAGGCGCTTGCATTTCAAACTAATGTTATAGAATGGCACCTGCGAAGTTCTTCATTACTAACACCATGGCTTCATTAACAGGTTGCTGATGAGTTGGTTGTGGACTTTACAGCTCAAGTAGCTCAATATGGCGGAGTAAGTTGATACCTCGTCCCGGAATCATGTTTGTCTTTGCTCACGTTCAACCCTAACTCCACTATTTAGAGATTCGATCAGAAAAACATTCGAAGACGAGTTTATGATGCTCTGAATGTGCTGATGGCTATGGATATCATAGAAAAAGACAAAAAGTACATTCGATGGATTGGTATGCCCCTTGATGGCAAACCTGGTGTGGAGGGTGACGCAGCACGACCACCAGCAGACAAATTAGATCTGGAAGCATTGAAGAGACGAGAAGCTGAATTGAAGTTCTTGATTGATCGAGAAAGACGTGAAATGCAAGAGAAGTTACTCAAAGTAAGTCCCTTCAGCCTCCTATATCTTTGTTTCTCGTTCTCGAACTCTCGACTGACGCAATTTTTCCACAAAGGAATCGCGACTGCGACAATTGGCATATCAGAACGAACAGATTGAACGAGAACGTCAGCGAGAACGTGAACGATATTCTGCCGAAGGCATAACTGACTATCCACCTGATAGCCATGACCAACGTATCTTCCTGCCATTCGTCCTCGTCCAAAGTCCCAAGACGACCAACATAACTATAGAAGAAGGACCAGAGAAGAGTGAATACATGTTCACGTTTTCCGAGCCTTTCACCCTTCATGAGGACAATGATGTAGTAGGCCATATCGGAGGATTTATATCTCCTCTGAACCATCCGATACCCAATGTCTCACCACCGAATGTATCTCAAGCCCAACAACAGCAACAACAACAGATTGGGATGAGGATTGCTCCATCTGGATCTGTATCAACGGGATCACCATCGTCATTTCCTAGTCCAGCACCTGTGTCTATGGGCTTGCCAGGTACTTATCAGCAGATTGGAGGGTTGGTTGGATATTCTATGCCTCAAGGTGAGTCTGGAGTTATTTTCCCCGCTTAAAGATATTTTTAACCCATTTTCTCTTTGGTAGACTACTCATATGATCCTGCATACGAATCAACAGTCAAGTCAACAGATGCTTTCGCAGCATCCTTGGCGACTCGATTGACTTCAGAGAGTCAAAAGTCAGTCCGTCAACGCTTTAACACAGGTGGCTCTACAGACGCGACTCCAGTATCATCAGTACCAGCATCACCTCGACAAATGCTTCCCAGTATGATGATGCAAAACCATCTTCCACTACCGAATCATTACACATCGTCTGAGCAAGCAAATCACCAGTATGCAGTTCCATATCCACAAAACCCGAGCCGATGGATGATGGGATACCCAGCTCATGCTGCATCGCATTCCAACAATACGAGTGCAACTGGTAGTGGAACAGGCACACCACCATCCCTCTCTCGAGTTGCCAGTCCTCATTTATTCGCACCTACGTACGCGTATGGCGCACATTATAATTAAGGTGGTTGTAAAAGGCAAAGAAAATAAGTGTTAATTGTAAGATATCATATATCATATATTTGCTCTGTTGGAATGAGACAGAGAATGTAAATTGTAACGTAGAGCACACAAGCCACGCGAGGGGCGTGTAATAGTAAATACAAACATATTTAGCAAGATTTTAATTGTTTGAAGCGTTCGGATCAAGCCGTGTGATTTCCACGTATCCTCTTCTTGTCTTGCCCTTTCAATCCTCACCCAAAAAGCCAAAAGCGTGCAGAAGAACGGATGAATTTGGGCCAGTAACTTTGAGAGATTAGCTGGAGTCAAGTGAGGGTAAGTGCTTGAACTAGTAATCTACTTCATGCCCGAGTCAGTTTTGCCAAGCTTCTTGCTTTACCAACATCATCTCATCAGATCAATTGAGCTTCAGCTACTTAGCTTTTGGACGATTAACCCGATATCAAGTCAGGGTAAGTTTCTGATCTGATCATTTGCATCGCTTCTGAACCAATCTCGTATGAGTTCCTGTCTGATTATCATGATCTCATCGCAATGTCTCAGGATCAACCTTTCAGCTTTATCAAACTTGTGTCCGCCTTTGGTTACAATGACCAAGACGATAGGATCTGCCTCGTCTAATGGAGTCAAGAAACGTAAATCTCTGGAGCACCCTTCATGCTTGAGTTGCATCAAGTTGAAACAATCGTGTGATTTCGGAAGTCCTTGTGCTCAATGCAATGAGCTGGGATTGGATTGTCACTACGAATCTAGCAAGAAGAACAAGAAGGAAATCGCTATGCCAAAACCTACAAAGAACTTTAGCAGTGGTCGGATTGGTAAAACGGCTCGAGCAGGACACGTCAGAAGTCTCGAGAATCAAGTGACAGAAGCCGAGAATCTCTTGATCAGTAAAGGCGTACGTCCTCCACCCGTTACTGAACCTGTCTTGCTACGAGTGCTACAAGAACTAGGTGGTGATGACAATACAAACACTTCTCAAGGCTTTGGAATTGCCTTGCAGAACGTACTTGCAGCCGCTGAAAAAAGAAAAGCTGAAACATTGAATGAACTCACCTATCGGAAACGAGCTAGGAAGCATCCAGTAGATGAGTTTGGGGTGGATATGTCACAAGAAGGAGATTCGTCAAGGAGTAGTTATAATAATACAGGGCCTTCGGTTGTTCCTCCACCTATGGATTTACATATAGTTACTGAAAAAATTATACCGGCCGACTTGTCTAAAATACCTAAAGAAGTCATCCACGAATTGGTTGGATTGTATTTTGACCACGTTTCCACTTATATGATGTTAGGTATGTGATGTTAGATCCACACGGATTGGTTGAATTGTACTTTGACGGCTTTTTTTATAGATCCGCTCCATCCACATTTCTTTGACTTTGAAGAGGATCAGCCCAACCGTCTCATACTCGTCAACAGCATGTGTGCTCTCGCTGCTCCATATTCTAATAACCCATATGTCTTGAACATGATGTCTGATTCAAATACCACCGCAAACGGACACCTTAGCAGTAGCAATAATCCATACCTGACGCCTGTATCGAGTGCAAATAGTAGTAACGCCTCCCCTAGTATGAACTCTCCGATTACTGGTAGCAGTTGGCGTCGAGGTACTTGTCTGTTTTACGTTTATTTGTAATCAATGCAATCAAAGCTTACAAATACTCTCAAAGGTCTCCCCTTTTTTGAGGCTGGAAAGGCCCTGATCCATGCTACAATCGACCAGCCCTCAGAAGATGCCGTGCTGGGGCTGCTGTATCTGGGCGTCTTCGCGTCATCGGCCTCAAAACAGTCGGAAGCTTGGATGTTGTCATCCATTGCTCTAAGGATGGCTGAAGGTATAAATTTATCTTATGATCCAGATAGGCTTAAAAGTTGTCAGAAAAGTACCTGGTTGAGCAAAGAACGCAGAAGGCGTATTTGGTGGTGAGTTTTCCATCGATGCCTTTTCCTTTATCAACACACGAATCCAAACACAATGTGTTTTTTGACGTTAACTTATCAACCACACTTCTCGAATGAAATCAGGCTGGCTGTATTACAGGATTTGATGTTTTACTTTATCAGTGATCGACCACGAGGATGCACTGCCTCAAATGCTTGGACCGGTGTCAACGCTGTCTGCACAGAAGCAGCATACATGAGCATTACTGAAGCTGATGGTGTTCCCAACTCCGATTATGCGTCGCTTGGACGTATGCAGACAGAGCCAAGTAAGGCAACGTATTACTATATTATTATACGCCTTTTGAGACCTTTTGTATTCATCATTTGCTCCCGTTGTCGTTAGTGAGCCACTTGCTGGTAATTCTTGAAGAGATTACCGCAATCACCAAGCCTTTGAAAGGAGGATCTCAGGACGACGAGCTCAAATATCGTCAACAGCTGCCGCAGATAGATGCCAAACTCATGACGCTGTGGAATTCCATGCCAGAGAGCTATAAGAATCTTCCTACAACGTTATCTGATGCAGCCACAGAGATGGTCTCAGGTCAAACGTACTGCCAAATTGACATCATCAAACGACTGGATGTTGTTGACCAGCCGTCATACTTTGGTATAAATCACTTTATATTCTTCCATGCGGCTCGGCTATTACTACATAGGCCTCGTTTTCTCGCACTTATAAAATCTCAGCAAGTCTCACCTTTGGTAATGGAACATGCAAGTGTGCAGACGTGCATAGAATGTGCTGCTCAAATATCTCGAGTGAGTAAGCCGCAAGATGTTATATTTTACTTTTGGAGGGTTTTGGTTTTTTTTTGGTTTACAGAAAGCAATGTCTAAGCCTCATATCTTCCCAAATACAACAGGTGTTACGTGCCGAGACAGTCTTGAATGCAGAAATGGATTATTTATCGCCAATGATTAACTACTTAAACTATGAAGCTGCTCTCATACACATAATGACCTATCAGCTCGGGACAGAGGACGGATCACTGCCTCATATACCTAGCAAAACGACCTCACTAAATCGTCTTGCCGTCCATATAAAATCGGTCCAAGCATGTAATGACAAATGGGCTTCTTGTGTTGGTTTGGAAGCCATGTTGCTGGAGTTATCGGAACGAGCTGGGGTAGATCATTCTCTCTTGACCGCCGCAATCCGGCAAATTGATTCGTATTTTGCTCCACGAGAGATAATGATGGAAGCCAATACCACCACTGGTGCTAGTAACAATAATGTAGAGATAGAAGCGGAACCCGAACAATGGAATGACCTTGTGAAACTGGTTATGGGAGGTGGAGAGGAAGGAGAGATGGAGTCGTATTGGGGCCTTGGTGTTGTTAGACACGATGATAATATTTACATAGGTGGAGGTACGAGTCTGCAAATTGAAGGCGTCAAGTTCAAATATTATAAAGAATTCTAACGGTTCTCTTTGTTTAGGTATTGGCGATGGTCCTGGGCAAATATACGATTGGAAGGATGGTTGCTAATTGCCATTGAGAGAGGTTTGCTAATTTATATAAAACTGTAGTCTGTTTTCGTGATCTTGCTCATATTGAATATAAACTTTTGCTAATCTGACTTGAATGGAATGGTGCGTAGCGCGACAGCTTCGAATATCTGTACGCGGAAAGCTGAACATCTATAGGAAGTGAAGGTGAATGTTTGAAGGTGATCGTTCGAAAATGGTGCGATGGTCCCCCTTTTCAGCCCTCCACAAGAGAGATAATACAAACTAGATGTCATTTAAACGACCGCGACTTATTCTTTTTACTACTCGTAACTTGTTTCACCCTAATGATCAGATTGCGGCAGATGTTTCTTGTATTCGTCATAATCTCAACGTCGTCGTGTTTTGTGTATAGCAACAGCCATCGAACAAGCAGCATTAAGACGCTCGAATCTGTTCCTCATTCTCTTACTAGATCACCTTCGCATGATTCTGACTCCAACTTCGCTTTTCTGTGTGATCTGCCTCCCAGACAACAGACGAAGCAACCAGGACTCACAAATTGTCATATTCAGGGAATGGCAAGAATGATCTGGGTAGCTCTGAGCCTCATATTATTATGTATGGCTTCTTCTGTTTGCTCTCTTTGGAGTGAGATCCAGTCAATGGATGGATCTGGTAACAATATAGTACATCCTACTTGGGGGGCCGCCAATAGTCCATACAGACGAGCTCCACCACCAAATTATGCAGATACGTCTTCGAGTAAGCGATTGTAGTCGTTGCTGGTACTAGTCTTTAGGTACCTTGAATGAGAAAAGTGACTCAAAGCATTTTGCATTAATGTTAGCACCTAATGGAGTAGGTCTACCCGCACCGCGAACGATATCGAATAATCTTATTTCCAGAGGAGATTCACATACGAATTATGATCTGTCGGGTGCTTCAGAGTTTATGCCTGCGTGGGGGGTCTTGCTACACCTAGATATCACACTTGCATGTCGAAACTCGTCAGATCCACTACCGATTCCGGTCCCGACTGGAGATCCACAATTTGATCCATTCAGTGTGGGCAATATGACAATGCCGTTTTCGCGGACTTGTCGTTCATATACTGATCCAGTTACTGGAGAACGAACGATGCCAAATACTTTTTCATCGTATATTGATGGAAGTGGATTGTATAGCAATGACCCGAGTATTAGTACGGCCCTAAGGAGTTTTGTTGGGGGGAAACTGAATTCAGTTGTTGACCCTGTCGCTGGTGAATTGCCACTCTACAACTCTGGGACAAACCATTTCCTTTGGGGATCTGATATCATCAACATATTGCCAGTATGTAAAACTGTTTTTGCAGTGCAAGCCCGTCTCTACGCGAGACCATCGGCTTACTTGCTGTTTTTTTAGCAATTGAATATTCTGTACATCTTGTTGTTGAGAGAACATAATCGACAAGCTACTCTCTTGGCAGCTGCCAATCCAACATGGACGGATGCTCAGTTATTCAATAGAGCTAGAAGATGGGTTATTGCACTTATACAGCGGTTCACCCTCTATGTCGTAAGTCCATCGTGTCACATTTTTTGTGGTTGTGATTGTCGGCTGAAAGTCTTGATGTCACCATTTTAGTACGTGCCTCAGCTCACTGGTCTTCAAGTTCCTTACTACGCTGGATATAATTCATCAGTCGATGCAGGGACAGAGCTGTTTTTCGCAAATGTCGCATTTCGATATGGTCATTCCGCAGTCAACTCGGCACTATTTCGTGTAGATGACTATGGGGAGCCGACCGTACAAGGACACATGGTATTTGATTATGACTATGTGCAGTCTGTCTTTTTCTCTCATCTCACAATCACCACAATTCTGTTATTAGCTCGTTCGAGACTTTATTTTCAACCCTGTCGAAATTCGATCCTACGGCATTGATGCCCTTCTTCGAGGTCTCACAATCCAGCGTAAACAGGAAGTAGACATCAAGTTCGTAGACGACATTCGCTGTTTCATGAACTTGAATGCACCATACGGATTCGATTTGGCCTCTGTTGGAATTCAAAGAGCCCGTGAATTAGGATTACCATATTACAATGCCGCACGAGCTACGTACGGATTGAGTAGCATCACGTCTTGGTCACAGTTGACGAATGATACCACTCTACTTGCTTCTTTGGCATCACTTTATCCTGCTGGTCCGGCCACAGCTGATGCATATGTTGGAGCATTCTTGGAACCACATGTTGGAAGTTCTCTGGTCGGGCCACTTATGACTGCTTCTATACGAGAACAGTTTTTGAGATATAGGGATGGTGATCGATGGTGGTATGAAAATCCAGGTGTCTTGACAGATGAAGAGCTATCTGCAGTACAAAATATGACACTGGGCAAACTCATTAAGCTCAACACCAATATTACCTGGTTTCCTGACAACCCATTTGTCGCCTTAACGCTACCAGTAGTCTTTTCAGCATCAGCTGCCACTACCGAAACCAACGTCGTGACTTCAAAGTCGTTACGTATAAGTGATACATATCTAGTGTCTTGGACGTTAGATAGTACCGCTTCCACCGTTACATTCAGTATGGAAACCAACAACACTGGCTGGGTTGGTCTGGGCTTTGGCGCAGACATGGTTGGCGCAGACATGTATATCGTCACTCCGTACTGGAATTCTACGTGGAATGTCTATGATTGCTATGCTAGCACAAATAATCGACCTAGCCGAGACATTGATGTTGGAGGCACCAATTCAATCTATAACGTCATTGATCTAGTGAGCACTTCAGCAACAACATCACTCCATGGATTCAGCTTTACACGGCAATTGCAGACTTCGGACTCATATTACGATACCGTTATTACCAATGCCAACTTGTCCATGATATTTGCTTGGTCGGATGATCCAGCATTCAATTATCATGGTGCGAACAATCGACTACACGCCTCAGTCAACTTGTATTCAGCAGTCAATCCAGGTGTAACAAGTGCAAACCTAGCCAGTCTCAAATACATGCATGGAGTAGTCATGTTTTGTAGTTTTGCCTTTATTTATCCACTGGGCATTTTTGTGGCACGATATTCCCAAGACTTGGGTCGATGGCTGGATATTCATCGAGCTCTAATGATGACTGTCACTTCTAACGTCCTCGTCGTGGCGCTTACGGCTCTAGTTGGATCATATGGTGATATGGGATTCACTCACTCGAAAGTGGGTTCGACAGAAATCGCATTGATCGCCACAATAAGCATTACTGGATACCTGTGTTCTACTTGGGCTGTCGGATGGGCTGTAACATATTCCCATCAAATACGTCTTATCCATCGATATGGTGGATACCTTGCTTATGTAATGGGACTGGCCAATGGATATTTGGGAATCTGTGATTTGACTAGTGGCGCCCCATCCTCACTATATCTTCCCAAACTTTACCTTGTCGCCGTAACGATAACACCACTGTCTCTGGTTGTGTATGGTGAATGGAAGAATCGTCGAGCGTCCAAGGATCGCAGAAAGGGAAGACACTCGACAGCTATTGCAGGACAAGACTCTCTACCACGTTTCTCGTGGCTGGATGTAAATGATCGAGTTGCTAATGGTGCTAAATGGATTGTTATTGACGATGTGATTTGTAAGTGTTTCAAGCATAACTTGATTACAAGCTCATCACCTACATTCGCATCATTTCTTCAAAGACACCCTGATGAATTTGTCGTCACAAAGCCAACACTTACAATTTTGCAACGGTTTTTAGATGATGCAGCAGGGTACTTGGATCGGCATCCTGGTGGGGCTAGATTTATTCTGAATGTTGTTGGAATGGATGCCACCAAGTACTTTCACGGAGACTATTTCAGTGATGCAAAAACTGTTGGTTCCAAGTCTCGTGCGAAAGGACCTCGACATTTGTCTCTAACAAGATCAGGACGAACCGATGACGATGGAATGGGATACCACTATCATTCTCGTTTAGCACGATTCACGCTGTCGTCGCTTGCGGTAGGGCGACTAACTGTCGCGGATGATATAAATCGATCCGAAGACATGTTGGTTGGATCTACCATTGACTTGCTGGGCCCTAGTCAAAACGACTCTGGAAAGGATGCCAAAAGCCATTTACAACATAGCAGCATGAATCTGTTTCGACAAGCGCCTCTGAGACCCGATCGATTCAAACCCTTTACCATTAGTAGTCGAATTACTTCCACGTCTGAAGGATCTGTTAAACCAGTTCGCAAAATCACAATGGAATTCGGATCTACGTCAGATGTTGTCAAATGTCACCCCGGAGACTCTATTCTGCTTCAGTTCGTTGATAAAGATGGTCGGCCAGTGACTCGAGAGTATACACCCATTAAAGTGGAGAATCGTGCATCGATATCGTTTTATATCAAAATGTATGACGGACAAATGACTTCGTATCTTGGCAATCCACAGAATACCTCTATTCGAATGAGAGGTCCCGTACCGAATCGAGCAACGCTGATGAACCCTCGAAACGCAAACGGATGTTGGGACGTGCTAGGATTGATTGCAGGTGGATCTGGACTTTCACGGATGCTGTTAATATTGGATCATCATCTGAAGAATGGAGCTCGGGACAAGGAAACCAACAGGCTCACCACACGAATCCACTTGCTCAACATCAATCATTCCGACAAGGACATTTTCGCACATGAAGAATTGGAGTACTATGAATCTGAATTTCAGGGTGCTTTGACTATAACGAATTTGGTGTACAATGCACCGCCAGACTTTGTGGGTCTTTCTGGACACGTTGACGCCGAAATCATTGCAGAAACCATGCCACGCATTCCTGAGAGCAAGCAGGGCAAGACAGCATCATCTGTACATACAACGATCAATAGAAGTGGATGGAGAAACGAAAGTAGAACAACTGGTATTAATGTAGACAGTGGTACCCTACGACAACGGTTGCAGAAAAAGTCACTGACTGGATCAGGACCTCGAAATAGTAGTAGTGTAGAAATACTCAAGAGTAGCTCTATGGGAGCAGACGAGTCACTTCGGAGATCTTCATCCGATGTAGCGGCTGACTCTGAGGGGCTCATGTTGACGGTTACGGAAGAGGAGCAGAGCAATTTGGATTTGGGACCTATTTCCAGACCGGCATTGAAACAAGCTGTAGAATTGCCGTCAGAATCCAATGATACTATCATAGTGGTCTGCGGGTAAGAGAGAGATTGAGCATCAGTGAATAGAATCGCTGAATATTAACCATGACTTGTTCCATCTTAGACCGACAGTCATGAATATCCAAGTACTAGATTTGCTGTCATCAGCAGGATACCCACGAGGCTGCATTGTCTCGCTTTGATTTATAGAAATAATACCTCATACCTCCACTCGTTAACTCATAAATGATGAAGCGTGGTATTTGTGTGCAGAATCGCTTTGATGCGATATGAAACGACATAACTGCGTGTCTTTGATGAGTTTACGTCTTGAGATGCGAGAGAAAAGCGTGAGTTTTAGGTAGCTTGATGCGTGGTGGTTTTTCATAACCAACTCGCGCGGTAGTGATGGCACTAGCACATGTACGTATAAAATTCCATGTAAAAGGAAAAGAATTGAAATTGTCCAAACACGTCCAATCAAACTTGGCCGGCATGCGCTTGACCAGCATTCTCACATTCCAACAAACACATCAGGGGCCGATACAAGATGGCCCAACGACCTTCGAAAGTCAAGGACAAGCGCCCAGCTCCGGTGCAGATCACTGCCGAGCAGATCCTGCGTGAGGCCAAGGAGAGAACAGCCCCGCAGCTCAAGATTCCAAAACAGAAAATCAGCGACAAGGAGGAACTTGATGAATATAAACTAGCAAAGAGAAAGCAGTTCGAAGATGCCATCCGTAGGAATAGAACTCAGGTTCCAACTTGGATGAAGTATGCCATGTGGGAGGAGTCACAGATGGAATACGAGAGGCAAGTGCAATCACACATTTGGAATCTTTGTTGCAGGGAATGGTCTGTTTGATTTGACGGTGATGAGTATCATCGCAACATGACGCAACACGTTATACGTGCATCACTTCGTGCTTTCTTTCATTCTACTGCATGCTACGTACCAACCAAAACTTCACCTACTTTAGAGCTCGCTCTATATTCGAACGTGCTCTCGAAGCAGACCATCGCAATACAAATCTATGGATGAAGTATGCTGAAATGGAAATGAAGCTTAAAAATGTAAACATGGCTAGAAACATCTTTGATCGTGCTGTCGCTGTCCTGCCCAGAATCGACCAATTCTGGTACAAGTATACATATATGGAAGAAACACTCGAGAATGTAGCTGGTGCCAGACAAGTATTCGAAAGATGGATGGAATGGGAGCCTCCAGAAGAAGCTTGGATGGCTTACATCAAGATGGAGAGAAGGTAACCTAGCCGCCAGTGTTTATTGTTGTTTAAATCTGTATACCTTGGCTGATTTTTTTCCTGGTCTTCACTCAATCTTGTTCTCTCTTCCAGGTACGGCGAGATTGAAAGAGCTAGAACTCTTCATCAGCGTTTTGTCTCGGTCCATCCTGAGCCAAAGAATTGGTTGAAATGGGCAAAGTTTGAAGAAAATATTGGTAAAATAGGTATGAGCTGGCACATACTCTACACATACTCTAAGGGCATACTTTGTGGCTGAAGTCTGGTTTTTGCTCCTCGCTCACACAAAACTCTCGAATAGATCGCGCCAGAGCAATCTATGAACAATGTATCGAAGCATTGGGTGAAGAACTCATTGATCAGAACGTATGGGTCTCGTTCGCCAAATTCGAAACTCGACAAAAGGAAATCGATCGTGCTCGTGCCATCTACAAGTACTCGTTAGACAGGCTACCTAAAGGTCAACGAGAGAATCTATATAATGTATATACACAGTTCGAAAAACAGTTTGGTGCGAAGGAAGGCATTGAAGATGTTGTTACTGCCAAAAGGAGAGTCAAATACGAAGAGGCAAGTGCATCACGAAGCACTCCCGGGTACCCTCTTCCGCCTGTGGTGAACGAAGGGCTCCAACTTTCGGTGGTCAAATTTTAACGTGAGCCATTCTAATCCTAATCTCTCGATACCACTACGCAGGAGCTTGCCTCAAATCCCAAAAATTATGATGTTTGGTTTGACTATGTCAAGCTAGAAGAATCTAATGGAGATGTCGCAAAGATTCGAGAAGTCTATGAGCGGTCTATTGGTCAATTACCTCCTATAAACGAAAAGAGATTCTGGAGGAGATACATATATCTATGGATATTCTATGCTGTCTGGGAAGAGCTGGAAACCAAGGTATGTAGATTACCTCGTGACGTCAATAACCATCATAAAGTTTTTGTTACTGCGGTAGAGTTTTTAACATCAGATTTTAGGATCACGAACGCACAAAGGAAGTTTACATACAGTGTCTCAAAACAATACCTCATAAAACCTTCACCTTCGCCAAAGTCTGGCTCTTGTATGCCCAATACCTCATTCGACAGGGCGACCTAGATACAGCTCGTAAAACATTAGGGGCAGCTATAGGAATGTGTCCCAAACAGAATCTTTTCAAGGGATACATTGAACTCGAAGTCTCATTACGCGAATTCGATAGAGCACGTAAACTATATGAACGATATCTAGAATGGAATCCAGCAAATTGCGTTGCTTGGATTAAATTCTCGGAATTGGAATTACAATTGGGCGATGTAGACCGAAGTCGTGGTATCTATGAGATTGCTGTATCTCAACCGTCTTTGGATATGCCCGAAGTCTTGTGGAAGGCGTATATTGACTTTGAGGTCGAGCAACAGGAATGGCAACGTGTCCGAGACTTGTATTCACGTCTGTTGGAGAGAACCGAACACGTCAAGGTACAATTTTGAATGATGGGAATCGTCTTTTTTTGTTGCCCAATTACGGATGTTCCCCTTAACTAAGTCCCATAACCCTTTTTTGTAGGTCTGGATTAGCTTTGCAAACTCTGAAATGTCGGCCATGGATCATCCAGATGATGCCACTCGTATCTCAAAAGCTCGCGCCATCTTTGAAAAGGGTCATGCAGCTCTAAAAGCCAAGGATGCTCGAGAAGAACGAGTCATATTATTAGAAGCTTGGCGAGAGTATGAACGAAGCTTGATTGACAATTCCACAGTACAAAATGATACTGAATTGAAAAAGATTGAAGCTCGAATGCCCAAAGTCGTCAAGAAACGAAGGAGGGTTATGGATCCTATTAGTGGTGAACCAGCTGGTTGGGAAGAGCACTACGATTTCATCTTTCCTGAAGATGATAAAGATAAACCTAGCTTTAAACTGTTGTCTATGGCTCAAAAGTGGAAGATGCAGCAAGCACTTGGTAATGATGACGACGATGAAGATGATGAGGACGAAGACGAAGACGAGGACGAAGATGCCGTTGACACAGATGGTAAACTCAAGTCAACAGGTATCGGGAAGTGGGAGCAGACTGCTGCAGATGACGCTGATGAAGATGACGAGGAAGAATGAACAAAAGTCACACTAAACCCCTTTGTCTGATCTTTGTATCTAATCCTCTTTATAATATTCAAGCTATGCACCATACAAGGTCGAAGGCCTCGTTTTGATGTGTTAAAATTGGACTAATCTTGAGCTGTGTTATAGGATTGTAAAGGTTGTTTGATGATTCGCCACCAGCAGTCCAGACGTGACCCCAAACTACCACCCCATGTCAAACCTCTTTGCAAATCCAACACAAATATGATGCAAACCTTCTATCTCTCTCGTTCACAAAATATGACAAGAGTGAGCAAAGGATCAACAGCATATTCAAACTTCAATCCACCTCTACACTTTCAAATCCATGCCATCCAACCTTCATACATCGAAGCAAGATTGTCAACACTGGTTGATTGTGTTATAATCATATCCACCTGGAGGTCGCAAAGAAACATGATGTTGAATGAGACCATCCTGTTCACAATCTATGAGGCGGGCCTTTGGCCAATTCGCACTTTACCTGTTCAGAAACACCCAATCTTCGAAAATCACTTCCGTCTCGTCCATCCAATTTAGCACGCACACGTTTCAGTACGTGAATAGCATGTGCATTACGTTCTTGTCCTAAGTGTTTCAAATAGTGTTCAGCAGTGACAAAACAACCATTCAGAATCACGAGATATTGCTGCTTACCTATAGCCAATCTACTAGCTTGCTTGATACGTGATACCTCAATAGCTGCATTTGCAGGTTTCAAATCTACCGACGACGATTTCAAACCATCAACACCGGTAACAACGCCGTCTGGAGTAGCAGCCTGAAGAGGACTATTATCGCCACCCATGACTTGTGTACGACGTTGTGGAGAAGTAGCTCCGTCGAAGGAAGTTGCGGTAGCCCCCTTTTCAGAATCCAATGCAGCGCCTGTTGGTCCATTGACTACACTAGTATTACCACCACCACCAACAACATCCTGCTTTTCTAAATCCAAAGGTTCCAGAGTTGAAAACGACATGGCTGTTACAATGACAGATTCAAGATGAGTATGAAGTTGTTCCATGAGTAATTTCTAATCGAGGTCATTGTTTTGAGTCAGCCAACAAACATCATCTTGAAGTTGCAGCAGAGCATACACGCAACATACTCGTCGGGTCAAATCAGTCAATGAGGGAGCTTGTTCAAAGAAAGCGGGTGTCGAGACCATCTCAGAACTAATCGTCTTCGTAGCAGAAGCTTCGGCCAAAAATTCCTACAACAGTGAGAAAGGGCGTGATTGGTGACTTGTAATAGACTGGTTCTCAGACACACCATCTTACATTCAATCGCTTCAAAATCTTGTGAGCTTCTGGAAACTCTTCAGCAAGAGACACAACCGACATTACAGGAGCCTCCAAATCTTCAAATAAGGTCACTGCAGTTGGCAGTTGTGCTAGTACTGTACTAGATACTTCTCGTACAGATCGAAGAGAATCATCAATCGACAATGACTGTAATTGTTGGTTCATTTGGTCTATGAGGAGGACTCCAGGCCCAAGTTTGGCAACACGATCTACTTCAACAGTGACCCATTGCAGCCTTCGAATTGACTGTAAAATCGAATCGTCAAACTTCCTAGTTGAATCACATGAAAAGCGATGCTGTTCGAGATGCACTAGCCCATTCAGTAGCGAAATGAACTTTTCGTCCTAATTCAGCCAAAAAAGTCAGCTACTAAATACGACATGAATGCCTGAGAACTCTTACTCGATCATGCTCTTGGGCGAAACGTTGATGTCGAGCTTGTGCCAACTCTTGGAATCGTTTCGAAAACATCGACGAATCTATGCTCTTGAGTACATCTTCTTCCAATGCTCTGCACATGTGCCGAACATTGCTTTCAGCTTCCTGATGGCTCAATAGTAACTCAATGGCGGATTGGAAGTTGGTAATAAACTATGAAACGTGTAAAGGTTTGGCAAAATCATTGGAGCCAAAAAACGAAGTGTACAGTGAAACGTTGCATACCTGAACTCGAATCGAATCCGTTTGAGAATCGTCATTCAGATACTTGACTCGCCAAACTGGTATCCGTCTTGCCTGAAGTTTGCGTTGCACACGAATGGCTCGTGAAGCGGCCTCTCTTACAAGATGTGGTCGTACTTGTACAGCTGCAACTTCTACAATCAAAGTCTGGAGCAGTCTGACTTGTTCCTTTGTTACAGCTCCATTCTCCAACAGTTGAGTCAAACACTTTCGACCGGCAGTCATAAACCATCCTTCAGTCTTGACCCCAGAGTCGACAGTCTTCTTCGATGGCTTTGGATCAGAAGATGTACTAGCTGCATCAACTCCGTCAATAATATTCTTGACTAGATTGTTTATATGCTGCACTATTGGTTTCAAGACGAATTCACGAATACCAAGGTTGAGGTATCGCCTTAAGGCTTGAATGGTGTCTACAAATGTTGGATTCTTCACCACGACTTCCAACAAGTCTGTCGGAGATAGGTCCATGACTTGATTAGTGGACAAGAACGTCTTGCAGTCGGCATAAAGATGGCTCATCACCTGTTTCAACAACGCCGTAAGATCCCACCAAAAACGAAGCAAAGAAGAAAGGGACAGCAAGCACATACCGACAACTTGAACGGAAACAATGTCGACACAGAATCATCAGCAGAATCCCCCTCTCTAGGTGAGACCGACCGAGCGGCAAAGATGCTCTCAATACTGGCCAGGACTATTGTACATGGTTGCTTGATAACTTCGGGTATTCTGAGAAGAATGCTCTCATATTCGATATGCTTTTGATGCATTGAGAAAAAAAATCAGATAAGATCATAAAGTACTTATGCCAGGTTGACGACTACGTACCAACGATTGGCCGATTGCAACAAGACCAGCCAAATCATTGGGCTGGTGAGCAGAAGGGGTCTGGTCAATTTGATACTCTGCAAGCAGCTTTCCAATCTGGTCAAAGGCTACATCTAATCCAGCAGCTACAGTGGGGTTGCTGATGGATTGCAAAATAGCTAGGAGTCCTGTACTATCAGATAGTTTCCAGGACACATCGGCAAGATTCTGTGCAGTGCTGGCCAATGCTGCTAATCGTTCAATTGATTTACGATCGATCTGCAATTGCAAGTCATTGTGCTGAATGATATCTAGATGAAATACAAGTTTACAAAGAGGACAGTACACGACCTCAGTATATGCAGCGAAAATGTTCTTACCCAAAATGCACTGCAACGAAGGTCCCAATATAAAGCTCAATAACAACGACTCGGGAAAGCAATCTGGTTGGACTTTATGTATGCCATAGGAGACCCTCGAGTCCGCAACTACAGCTTTCAACAAGGCTGAGGGCAAAGTTGCCTTGGCTTCCAGACATGAGAGAGCAGTAGATCCCAGAGCAATCAAGACTTCCAAGATGGAACCACGTACGAGAGTATACACACGTGGAAACTTGGGTACCAACTGATTCATTAGAGCTACAATTTGACTTCGTAAATCTGCTACTCTTTTTGCTATAGCATCCATAGGCCATGAAGATACAAATACAGCAAGAGCAGAAAGGTCACTCTCATACTCTGCTAGCACCTGATCCATCGCTACCGTTTGCTGCAAGACTTCATCGTTTCCATGAGTAAGAGCAGATGCTATGGTCGAGTATGCACGATCAAAGGCATCGTAAGTGAGCATTACACCATCTTCATCACGGGTAGCGTTAAAGATATCGGCAAGGATTTGTTCCATTCGTAAAAAGTAATCCTGGGCCATCAACGTTGGGAGGATAGGCGTAACGAGAGTGTGATATAATTGCAAATGCTCACCAAGTGCCCTATAACTTGCCACACGTTCCTGGGCAATACGAACAAGCTCTTGATTGACTTCAGCACATCGGTGCAAAAGTGAATTCATCTGGGTCAGTTTGATTGTGGCATTGGACACCACGCCAGCGACAAAAGTGGGTTCAATGCCAATATACATCGCGTTGACATCAGCATTCATAACCTCGGCACAAGCACCGAGAGAGAATGGATCCTATTAAAAGCAAGTTCGTTAAAACATCAAGATTAGAAAAAAACGGCCAAAAACTACGCAGTAAGAATAGACTCTCACTTGGAGCTGAACCAGAGACTCTTCGTGCTGGCCACGCCAATAAGCGCACTCTTGTGCTTTGGCAATGACCGTTTCCTGAGCAGAATGCAACTCAGTCTGCAGAGATAAAGGAATGGTGCCCTTTTCTTGTGGGCCAGAATCAACACCAGACTTCATACGTTCAATGGTTTCTTCTACACGTTCACGCTGCTCGACAATCATTAGCAATCTATCTACACTGGATGTGGCCGTCAAGACTAGAGGCAGGATACCATCCTTGAGAAGATCAAGAGGTGCTTTCATTTCGGCAATACGTGATGCTAATAGACCCATATTGACATTCAATTCACCAACTCTCATCTCTTGAGCATCTTCAAGGCTTTGCGTCCAATCTACTAGAGGGTCATAGACAAATGCTTCGAGCAAAGTGACTAAGACCTCCCTGTTTTGTCTCATGACTCGCATAGTATGTTCAGCGGCTAAGCGAAACATCCCTTCTACGCCAGTGAGACCCAGAGCTCGTTCAAGATTCTGAGTGAGCCGGAAGGGTACGATCTCTGGCACTCGTAATCGTTTACCCTTTTCAAAGCATACATTATAATCAATATGGACACATTCACCAGTCTGTACATCCAAGAGCAGATTATCTAGATGACGATCTCCAAGACCAATGATGTAGCCAATAACTGACATTACAGCTAGAGATCTATTATATCCTGCAATCTTTTCCCACCATGAAATCGAGTCGGGAGACGAAAACCAAAGTTCTCGTTCCAACAAGTTTCCAGGTGTCTCAGTCTTGAGGTCAGCAAAGACTTCTCGTAGCATATGTGCAGGCCAGCGACCTCGTGGTGATGATCGAGATAAGCCGTGTCTCTTCAAGGCCGAGTTGATTTTCGAATGGAAGAGCTCAAGTGGTCGTACTGGTCCCTGTGCTGCTTCATCTTTACCACCTTTACCATCTTTGCCATAACTCTTTGGATCTCTTGCAGGTGGCGGTTGTGGCTGCACACGGGAACTACTCATCTGCCATCTCTTATAAAAGGCAAACATGGGAGTGACGTTGGTTACCCATTGAATCATTCCATGGTGATCACCTAAAGGAATGACTGCATAATGTCTAGCTCGTAGACGACGAATGGCACTCTGTCGATCCCGTTGCAGGAGATGATTTGCGGTTGATAAGAATTGGGATACACGTTCATCTAGATGCAAGTCTTCTAGACCTTTGAAGAGGAAGGGATATCGACGACCATCCGAACCAACCAATTCTATCTTTTTAGGTTTGGTTTTGGTGGCAATGACATGTACTTCAGTGTTGAATCTTTCAATATGGACTGTGGTGTCTGTATGTCCAGGTATCGGAATAACCCATCCTCGTTTCTCAGACAAGATAGACGAGAGCTCCGATAGCTTCAAAGTACGATTACGATTCAAATGCTTGGACAAGTCGTTATAGAGTTGATTAAAGGCATCCCATGCTCTCTTCGGGTTCTCAAAGTCTGATGGTGTTCTCAACTTCTCGAGTGCTTCTCGAAGTCGAGTACCATAAGCTTCACTAAACGATATATTACATGGAGACTTGGTTTCCGAAGGGCCCTCCAAAGTCTCACCTACTAATTTCTCTACACTGGCAACTACGGGTTTCAATAGAGTTATATACGTATCTTTACCAATACGAATCTTTTCATCTGCAGCCAAGGTCGCGTTGGCCATGACACGACCAACTTCCTTGCTAACACGCTCAAGTCGTTTGGCTACATCTCCTGCCAAGTGCCCTAATCGATGCAACCATAACTCTTCGGGCAGCACAGTGATTCGTTGGAGTTCTGCAGTCAGAATTTCGACTTCATTGACCAAGAGTACGGCACCACTACCAGATGCTTTCAGAGCATTCAAGGGCTGAGTATAAGCGATATGAGCACCTTCTCCAAATCGAGTCGACTTAGCTCCCACTACAGCATGGTAGACAGCCAAACTTGGAAATTCGAGACCAATGCGAGTAACGAGACTGCCTAGTTCTTTTTGGACTGTACGATCAGGATGGTAGAGCCTTGCAAAGAGTTGAGGTACAATATTCGACCAAACTCGTAGTGAAGTAGCATTCAGTCCATTATGGAAGGTCTTCTCTAGATTACCGCCATACTTGACGAGAAGTCGAAGAAGCCTCAGAGTCACGGTAATTTCGTTGCACTTTACAGCGCTCTCGTTTTCCTTGTCTCTCTGTTTAGAATGTCATGTTAGCGCAAAAGACTAGAAATCAGACCCAAACATCTCATACGTTAGAGTTGGCTCCAATTTGCAAGTGAGTGAAATATGACTGAGAAGCCGAATCGAAGTATTTCAATACCCGTTGTCGTATATCCAACACCATCAACGTAGCTTCATCAATATTGGCAGATGACAAGTCAGGAAAGCCTGTACGCAATGTAGTTTGCACATGTACAGTAGCTTCAGACTGCGATTCAGTTCCTTGAGCGTCTTCAGCAGATCCATCAGCAGACTCGCCCAACTCCCACAATACAAGTGGTCCCAATACTTTCTCTATATCGGTACCTGCATTACTACGTAAATATTGATGAATCGGTTCAAGTTCACCACCACATCGGCCTGAAGCAGCTTCTTCTAGCATCTTACGTCCACGACGGTACCAGAAGTTCCCAATCTCCAACCAAGCTTTATAGTCTTGTGGGGATTCACGAATAACTGCTTCTAGAGCACTCTGAGTAATTCGACTACCGATATCAGATTGTTGGTGATTATCTATTTTATATTCACCAATAACACTAGCCAAAGACTGTTGGAGCTCTTTTGATCCAAAATCAAATCTACCGGCCCAGCCCCATTTTGCAAGACGTCGCCACATTTTTGACCGAAGTGGTGCGATAGCAGAGTCATCAGTCGGCTGAGTCAGTAGCTTCAGAATCATTTGCAAAGCGTGGGTATGATGTGACTGGTCAAATTGAAGCTTTGCGACTTGAAATTGCTGTCTGAGCTGCAGAGCGGCGGATGGAGAGTCTAGAGGTACAGACAACATTCGCGTTGCGAGATTCATATTATGCTGTTTGTGTGCAATTCGAGCAGTGTAGAGTCTCAAGTCAGCAAGATTGCCGACTTTTTCCAAAGTCACTGCTTCAAGAGTGGAGACAGTTTTTACATAGTGAGTCCACTGCTGTAAATCTTTGTCACCCTCTATAGATGCTTCAGCAAAACCGATTGACGTTAAAGGTGGTCTTGGTGTTTTAGATAAAGTGAGCTCAATCTGGTTTACTAATTGAGCTCTAGAAGCAATCCGAGTGACTTCTTCTTTACGGGCGAATACCAAACCTTCAAAGGTATGTTGGCATTCACTGAATAACCTAAAAGGCTTTGGTGATTCATGCCCATGAAGTCTACTCAGTACATAGTCATCAAGTGCATCAGCAGTGGCTTGATGCAGTCCAACATCTACTAGACGATTGAATTGGAATGGAGGTGGAGGTGGTGACTTGATCGTATTATTATGATTGCCTACGAGATCAGTAGCCCACAATCGGAGATACTCTACGGATCTTGCTGCCGCCAAACCATGTTGACCATCGTCTTCCAACATGGATTGCCATTCCTCGACTTGAGTGAGCCAGTCCTTCATACCAAGAGTATCGTTCAGTTGAAGGTAGCATTCAGTTATCTAGGTTGACAAAGTTTAATGTCAGCCTGTAAAACGACGCCCGTATCACAGATCGATTCGCTTTGAGAGCTGCATTGTGCGTACTTGTTGCAGCATAAAATTCAAACCAGCAGAAGTAGAATCATAGCGAGCGAATATGGGGTTGATGGTTTTAGTAAACTCGTTGATAGCACTTTCCAGGTTGCCTTGAGCCATCAATACTGAAGCTGGAAGATATGGAAATGACAAGTCTGATGGACGAGAATCTATCACTGGATCTGGAGTTCGTCGTTGAATAGTGATGGCAGGAGGTTCTACATGAAAAGTCGGAGTGGCCAATGAGAAGAAAAAAGCCCGTTGAACTAGCACTGAATCATCACTTACTGCTAGTGTCAACCATCTTTGCAGGCGAAGCACTTCCAAACGCATTAAAGCTCCATTTGACTAGCCCCGCAATAGCATCTGCATTTCTCGATGCAATCAAAGCAGTAGTCAAATCTTCCATGCCTCGTTCTACATCCTTGGCCCATCCACTCCAATCCTTCAAACCACCTTTAGTCATTGTAGCTTGTCTCTCTCCCAACAAAAAGTGAGCTTGGCGAATCACTGATGATACAGATAATCCAGCAAGTCGTGCACCATGAAGCATTCGTCCTCTCAATCGCTGAAACCACTCGTCGCAAACTCGACGGTTTGCGTGAAAGAATGCAGCAGACGTACGAGGTGCAAGAGCCAAGTGCAATCCAGATCCTTCTGCGGCATTATGGATCTGGACTTCCAAGGCATCAAGGAAGGTGAGCAGTTCACGCAAGCGTGATAAAATGGCTGAGGACCTAATGAGAAGAATGAGCAAAAAAGGACTCAAGCCAAAGCCAGAATGGTTGAAAGCAACAAACTATTTCCAGTGACATTTCTTACATGTCAATTGGAGTATCTCCACTCTCCAGACCCTCAGCAGACTTGACTAGACCTGTCAAAGCATGCTCAATAGCATCAAAAGTCTGTGGTGGTGTTCCATACGGAGTTCGTAATCGAGCAGTGATACAATATCGTGCAACTTCCCATCCAGACCAATATGATAAAAGCGCATCATTAAAGTGGATACGGTCCAACAAGTTCTCAGCATCTGGAGTTATCTTCTTTGCATAATCCAATCCTGGCAAAGTCTTTAACGCATTTTCACTTTGGCTAGCGTGAAAGATCCGTTCTCGCCAACCAGGAGTAAGGTCTTCGGCTTCTTCTGGTGGCGGATTGAGTGGTGCAAGACCCATATACCATGCAATGGTAGAGAAATGGCGTGTACGGAAGGTCCCAACTAATGGTGACTTTGTGATTTGCATCTTTAGAGACGATACCCCTTCATGCCAAGCGTTTTCTTCTGACATGGTCATGGTGGATATGGCATCAAGCGAGATCAATGCAGCGAAGCTTTGAGTCCTAACGCTGTCATTCGTGTCTTGCAATCTACAATGGAGTAATTCCTGGTGAGACTAGTCTTTTTGTAGCCTTTCGTAGTTGAAAGCAATACCTCTTCATCAAAGTTTCCATGACCCGTGGCTGACCTTTGGAAAGAGTGAATATGGACAAGTAACCATTCCAGAGCTTCAAAGCCGCCTCCCGAATTTCTCCATTCAAGTCTTGGTCTGACCAAAAAAAGTCAATCTTAGAGTGCCAAGTATGTCAAGAGTAAAATCACATCACTTACCACCCAATTCAAGGCAATTGAATGCTGCTTGGTCCAAGATGACTCGCCAGTCCTTTGCAAGTTCCATATGATCCGGTATGGCGGCAACGACACCAATAAACCAAGTCAATGCAATCCGTCTCAAATCCAAACTGCAAGGACCTGGAGCGAGATAAGTGCACATCAATTGGAATGATCTTTGCAACAAGTCTGGCATACTGCTTGAAAAGTAACCAAAGCTGCACAAAAGAAACAGTCAGAAAAGAGAACACTGAATGTCATTGTGACGCTCTACCTTGCGCAAATCTCATGTAGGCACCAAAACATTACAGCAATAGCTCTAAGAACCCATCCAGATGGAGGTCGACTGCATAGCACTTCTGTCAATTCAACCATTGTCAGAGCGACGGCTGGAATCTCAAAGCCTGTCATGCCCTTTATGGTAGCTTCAGTTACCAACAAGGAATCAAAGGCTACCAAGGCTTGAATACAAGTCACTTTCAAGCCTCGTACTACTTCTGGCAAGCCTCGTTCTATCTCAGATTCTAATATGGATGGGTCATCTCGATCCAAGAGATATTGGAGCAATTGCACAAGCTCTTCTACAAGTGCAGTCCCAGACACCAAATCAGCAGAGCCATTATTTACAGAGAGCGCTATACATTTACGACACAGTGCCAGCAATCTGGATAACGTCTTTGCTTCACCAGAGCATCGAACTCGTAATCGACCGAGCTGGATGGATTTGGGATGAATAAAGGCTGATACAATGAGTGGGTTCAAGTCTGTGCCCCAAAGACTAAATACTTCGCTGATGATTTCTAGCCAGGTATTGACACCTTCTGATATTTCCTTCCACCCTGAAGTCGCATCAACAACTAGATCTTCAGGTGGTCCATCGTAGGTATCTAGTAGCATTCGTACCTGCACTTCCATGCAGTCGAACGCAATCTTTTGGAGTTGAGCCATACGGGTTGTCCCTTCGTAAGCACGAGAGAGCAACTTTATCAAGTCGACCGACATTCCCACCCATGCCTTGTCTGTATATTTGTTGTTGAATCTAAATAGCACATCGAGCATCTGGTGTACGATAATAGAGATCTGTTCGTCTGTCTTTGGATCCAGTTGAGGTTCTGATGGCAATAGAGGATTGACGGACGGGAAAAAACTAAAGCACAGTACAGTAAAGATCGAGTGGAAACACCTCAAGAGTATCATGGCTCTGGAGGGCAATCGATCTGATTCTGCTTCACCCTCAGCTTCTATGTCTGTAATTAATCGTGACAGAAGATCTAGTTCAAATTCAGGTTTTGACCTCCAAAAAGGCCAAAATTTCTTGAAAGAGTCTATTGATAAATCGTGAGATGGTTTGCAAAAATGAAACGCTGAAACCGGTCCACACCTCCTAGTAGAGAACAAATCGTTTTTGTGACTGTTTCATCAATATGCCATCCAACAAGACGATCCGCAACATCCTAGCGGACTGGCTGGTGAGCAGAAAACCCAGCATGCAAACTTCCTAAAAGGACAAACCTCGAAAGCTACTTGAAACGCAGCTGGATAACGATCAGCTATAACATGCAACACGTCCAACACTTTGGGCAAATAATCTTGCGTTTCCATAGCATCAAGGAATGATGGAATATGTTCTAGTAAGCGCTCTGCTTGCAAAGGATACGAGAATGCTGCTACAGTCTCGCCCTGTTCTTTGACGATAGATCCAAATTGGACGACCTGTGGATAGATTTTGATCATTAAATTTCTTTACTGATCGTTCATTTCAATCAAGTGTTTACCTCTCGTAAAGCAATCAATAAGTATGTGACCAAATCCTTCTCCTTTTCAGCACCGCGAGCAGATACATATTTCAGCTTATTGAAAATCCAATCGTAAAATGGTAGAATGTCTGCCCTAAAGGCGATTCCAGTTGCAGAGATGCATCTAGCTACGGCTTGTTTCAGTGGGATCGACGCTCTAAAATGAATGTTTTGTGAACCAAGCTGCGAGCAAAAGGAAATAACTGGAAGTGCCACCGTATAACTTACGATGAGTCTTGCAACACACTAACAATCTCTCTAATAGGCTGATTATTCTGATTCTTCAAAGTCAACAAGTATTCTCGTGCAGTCTCTGCACTCCATCTCGCAGTAGACACTCCAACATCACGTCCTGTTTCTTCCGCCATTCCAGAAATGAGTTTTTCCAGTTGACCGGCAGCAGCAATACGTTTCGAAAAAGACGCATCGTCTTGATCTTTGAATATCCGAGCAAGAAGGCTCTGAGCACGTCCGACTTTGGCTGAAAACACTGGATCAGTGTCAGTGTAGGACGTGTTTGGTGAAGACATGGTGACGTTGCTGTTCATGGGGTTGTACTCTTGATGTCGTTGCTCTCTTCGGCTGCTAGTAGACGTGGCAGGTACAGCGACGTGAGCTTCCATCATATATCCAGAGGGGTATTGCTGCTGTTGTTGTTGAGATTGTGAAGCATATCGAGGAGCGGCTCTACGAGCGTCTCGATGTTTCCTGCCTCCATAGCTCATCCTTCAGGTGAGAAAATCTGAAAAAAGGAATAAGAATCACGCGAAAGGGAGTCTGAGTCAAGATAGACGAGTTTCTTACCAAAAAAACCACGGTGACAGACACTTCGGTTACTATAAGTACACGAGTCAGTTGCGTCCAACAATTTAAAAAGATCGGAAATTGAATATTCACTGCTTACATTGGTTTGTTCTTCTTCAATGATTGTTGGTATGTCTCGTTTGGAAGATGATAGTGAGACTCGTTCTTGACAAGAGTACGCCATTTGAAAAACTGCGATTGCAAGTTGACAGTCTGACTATATTCTTGATCTCTCGGACGAAGATTGTATCTCTCGTCGGTTGGAGCACAGGTCTAAGTAAAAAAACGAAACTGAGCAAACAATCAACTAGGTCATTGACGGGAAAGAAGGATCTTACCAAGATGAATCTCAAATGAGACTTGCTGATTCCTTAAATGTTCTCTCACCAAACTGCGTTTGGTTGGAGAAATGCGCTTAGTCTTGAGATTTTGGATTTTGAAAAAGCGACGTCCGGTGTGCGACAAGAGGCCAAGAAGTCAAATTTCGCGTCTTAAGACGCGACTTTATTGCTCTGACTGCTCTGACGCGTTCTAAAGTTCTAAATACTGATTATTACAATTTATATCTTACAACGACGATGACGCCAACATGGATGAATGGTTTCATTATGAGTACCATCTTAATCATCATCGCTACTACTAGAACCAGAATCCGATGATGTACTATCCGTATCATGACGATCTAAAGTAGCGGGAGAAGAATGTCCACTAAACATCACCAACAAGCGGACATTACAAGTAAGAGAGACTTACGATTCATGCCAAACAATCCACCACGCCTGGGTTGAGCCTGTGAGTTGTTGAATTGTATTGGTGGTGGTGGTAATTCAATGGGCATATCCGGAACAGGTTGTTGGTCACTCGTCCATTCAAAGGCTTCATTAAGCAAGTCGTCTAGGCCGTCCTCTCCATCGCCTTCAAAGCCAAAAGCGTCCATATCTGTATCTGGGTGTATTGGATATTCTAGTGCCTGATGTTGTAACATTGCAAGTGCTGCGGGTTGCTTTGCACCCTTTGTTTCTCGTATGGGGGGTGGTGGTGATGGTGACGTATATGATATTTGTGGTGCTGAGGCTGCTGTTTTATTACGTGATGGGGCGGGTTGACTTGATGATCTACCGCCTTGTGAAGAGGATTTCGGGGCACGTTGATGAGTGAACGCGATAGTTGAGTCTAGACGTTCCAACACGTAGCTCTGTGCAAAGTGAAGATGGTAACGAGTCAATGACTGAGTTCACATAGGCAATAATCAAATAAGATAACAATTTGACGTAAGCAGCAAAGCTTACGTGTGTTTTTGGGTCGAATATGACAACACACTCAGTGGTGGGTGATGTCGTTAATCCACTAGTATACTTTTGAGCATAATCTCCCTATGAAACGAGAATCGGGTCTTAGCATCCGGCTGAACCAACATGGTCTCTCTCGTCGACTCACAGATTGTGATGTGTAGGTAGCCGTGTAAGCTCCATTAGAGTCCTTTTCCAATGATCCACTTTGACAAGCTGTGACGGCTTCAGGACGATGATTATCTATATGAGAAAACGTGGTTGGCAACAACGACTTGTGGGCCATCAACAAACTGAACGACTCAATAACTTTACACATACATTTCAGCAAATGGTGACTTGGAGCAGTAGTGGGTTGGCGGAAACTTCGTCCCAACGAAATCTTATACGTACCAAACGGAAGCTTGTTTGGGTCAGCCATGTTTGTGATGTGTTTGTGACAATGCCAGAATTCAGTGGAAATATATGATGCGATATTTGGAAAAGAGCACGGCATCACGGGCCATATATTTTTTGACGCGTAATCGTGGTACTCATACGTCATTGCACGCGTGAAAGCTTCCATCCTTGTTGCGGAACTACGATTTTTTTTTCTCACGCTCATCAGATCAAGAACCAAGACTTTTGATTTCAAATCTATTAAGAAGGAGACGGTGCAATGGCAGACAACGTATCAGTAGTATCAGAGACAGAGTCTGAGCTGACTACTGCTTCAGTCGATGGACCACCCATAGCTGCTAGCGTCAGAAAACAACTGTTTACCTGTGTATCTTGTCGTGTTGCTTTCAAAAGCCCAGAAGAACAACGAGATCACCATAGGACTGATTGGCACAGATACAATCTCAAGAGGAAGGTGGCCGACTTGCCTCCTGTTACTGCTCAAGGCTTTGTAGAACGAGTTCAAGGTGTGCCTCGTGTTGTTGGAACATATGCATGGCTTTCCAGCCATCAGTGTGTTGAAGAGATCGTCGACTTCAGTCACAATATCATACGAAAAATTGCTTTCTATTCGCTTTGCTAACTTTCCTATAACGCAACACCTTAGCTCAACAAACCAAAACCAAGGAAGATGAAACTCGACAACATGCAACATTCGAATGCTCGATATGTACAAAGACATACTCTACAGAAAACGCATATACGAACCATCTACAGTCAAAGAGACACAAGGAACTGGCTTCTGCTACTGGTGTTAATGCGGCAACTATACCTACAGTTAGAATCGCCCAACAACAGGATGCCAACAACAATAGCAGGAGTGCTGCTGCCGTCACTACAACACAAGAGCTATCAACGATGGAAGTTGATGAAGAAGAGCATCCAGACTTCCGTGCTCAACTTGCCAATGCTACGACGGAAGAGCAAGTACAGGCTATCTGGGAAGCCAAGGTTGCTTCTGCTCCAAGGCTGGACGAAACTGACTGCTTGTTCTGTTCTCACAAGAGCTCCACTTTTGAATCGTGAGTGCCTGACAATGACCTTGTGCAAGTTGACTGAGAGACCTGACATCCGTTTTTCCTCCGTTAGAAATATGACACATATGACCAAAGCCCACTCCTTCTTCATCCCAGATATGGAGTACTTGCCCGACATTAAAGCACTGATTGCATATCTAGCTGAGAAGATCTCAGTATATAATATCTGCTTATATTGTAATGGTAGAGGCAAATCATTCCACTCCATTGAATCAGTTAGGAAACATATGATTGATAAAGGCCACACCAAGATCTGGTATGGTCACGATGATGGTGGTGGAGACGGTGTTGACGTATGTGAGTTTTATGACTTTTCAGCCACATGGGATGGCGTGAATGATGAAGATGCTGGTTGGGAAGATGATGAAGAGGAAGCAGATGAAGAAGTCGAAGATGATGACAAAGATGCCAATGGTGAATCTAGTAGCATGGATGTCGAGTCTGATGCTAAACCGGAGGAAGCCTTGTCTAGTGCCGTAATACATGCCAACGCTCGTAGACTGCTACGAGATAGTAGTAAACCAGCTCCAAAACCATTACCTACATCATACGAAACAAACCCTGAACTAGTCTTACCATCTGGTAGACGTGTAGGTCATCGAGCATATCTCGTATACTGGAAGCAATCAATCCCACCAACCTCTCCATCATCCAATAAATCCATCTTGCAGCGCCTCAAGCAAGAATATAAACAGCTGGGATACTATTCTAATAACGGAAGTACATTGGTAGGATGGGATACCACAAAGCTGATTGCTGCACGTAAGGAAGTTATGGGTCGTCAAGCTCAAGCTAGGTTGAATATGAGAGCATACACTGACTTTAGAGCTAAAGTCGGGTACAAGCAAAACTCTCAAAAGCACTTCCGAGACCAAACCGGCTTCATTGGCTGAGCGATTACCAGTGGTGCTGGTGTATACTTTATAAGCTTGCTTTGTAGAATACAAATTGCTATTTTAAAATCCATCCAAATCCACGTGTTCGCGCTCTTGACGCGTACATTGTGTCTTAGAAAAACGTTTGTTCTTTATTTAACTGAAAAGATGATGTTTCGCGTGTACTTGAATTGGTACGACTATCGTGAAAAAAAGCAACAGATACGCATTCGACGTTTTCGCAGAGAACCAACCATGAAGGCTATCTCGCCGAGGAAGGACAGTATCTGTCAAGCTCCGATAAATCCACCATCACCGAGAAAGTCTAGCAGTCCTAAATCCAAGCAACGACAGCAGTCGTCAACACCTTCGAGTCCGCCATCTCTCAAAGACGACACAGAAAGTGAATCAGAAGAGGAAGATGGAGATCCACTATTGAATTGGCTCCACGATAAAGATAAAGCTAGTGTGGTGCAAACCGCCAGAAGGAAAATATCAACACCAATTCCAGTCATGGCGTACATTGCTTCGCAACCAAACGCCGACTTATACGATCACGGCTGTATCAGTCACACTGTATATAAGCAGTCCGAATCCATGGCCAAAGATATAGGCACGTATCGAACTCTGGTGTATGAGAAAATACGTGTGGAATGGACAGCAGAATCACGAAAAAGTAGAATAGAGACCCGAGAGTTTCGGTTTTGGGAGGTCTTTAGAGTTGATGAAATATGTATAAGACGACGTGTCAACCTGGCTTTCGGAGAGCTTGAAAAGGTAGAGCTGGAGGATGAGGAGTTTGTGTTGCCAACCGAGATATTGGAATACGTTACGATGAAGAGGGAGGGAGAAGCCGTGATTGAAATCAACATTCTGTAAACTATGAGCATATATTGTATATAAAAGCAATTTGTTTAGATTGGGACCTCTAGGAACAGCTACTATACTTATGACTCAGTTCTTCCTAAATGCGACTACTTTCTTCCCAAAGAGTTTTCCCAGAGCACGAACACACCCTCTTGACATTCTCAAACAAGCCTGCACTTCTAGCTATTATACCACACACACTATCAGCATGTGCCACAGCCAACGGTCGTTCAACAGGCTCAACAACAATCGATCGTCCAACCACATCCCATATCTTGAGCCTACTCTCCGCAACAAGATCCCCTCTCCCTTGGTCGTCCACATTCATCTGTCCCAGTGACACATATACCTCTCCAGTAGACAATGCACCTCGCGAGATATCACCACACTCGCGGATATTCACACTGTGGATCTTGCCAGCTTCCAAACCCTCACATGTAATGTCGACCATACATGTATCGTCATCAACTTGTACAAGACGTGCGAGTCCGCGATTGTCGTGTTGAGCCCATTGACCAGGTTTCACGCCTGGAAAGTGTTCGAAGATGGATACGGCTGCAGAGTTGGGGAGGTTTTGACGGCCTGTTACCCCACGGAATACAACTGTTCGGCCTATGTTGCGTAGTGTGTGGTATATGTGTGATGGTGGTGTTGTTGACTAAGAAGTTCATGGAAATGTGTAAGCTTTAGATGCGTTGTTTTATAATGCCAGAATCAGAGAGTCAAGGCAAAGTTTACTAGTCGAAACTAGCACAAATACTCAACTGTTACTACGACTCGTTGGTCTGCTAATGAGATCTCAATATTCGAAACTCTTGGGTTTTTGGCAAGCTCCTTCTTAACGGATTCTGTACAAGATACACACTCCATACTGACTGCGAATTCAGTAGTTATCTCCTTGCTCAACATTGAGGGCTCCCTGCTATATGATGTAAACATTGTTGGGGCTGCACAAGCTTGAAATTGTAATTCTTGTTTCGAAGAATGACAAATGCGAAATGCGGTTGGAATAGACCACATAAACGCGTGTAGGACGTGTCGTTTCCATTCAAATTTATATTTTATTTGATTACTTGATTTCAGGGGAAAGATAGCAGACTAAATTTACAGTTACATTTTCTAATTCAAACAAACAAAACTTAGAACAAGCCCATTCATTCTTCATAATCTCCAAATCTTCCCGCTCTCTGTTGCTCAATCATGAGTTTGGGCAACCATTTGCAACAGCCTCTCCAGCTCAACGTCCTCATCCTCATCTTCGATCGTAAGAAGCTGGTTCATCAAGTCATGACCAACTCCTGCAAACTGACTAGGTTGGAATGTTTGTATATGATTGGTATCAGTAGTAGCAGGAGTCTCTTCAGACAAGTCGATATCAAAGCGATCCATGGTATCATCTTCATCACCATTATTATCCGAGTACGAGCTGGGTGAGGCTCCTCCAGTTCCTTGACTAGCAAAGCTCATATCCGACTCTGTAATAGAATACGATCGCGGGCGATGCTGACCTATATTGTTATTGTATGGTGATGGATAATTATATGGTGATGGGTGACTGTATGGTGATTGTGGTGGAGCGCTACTCAGCAAGTCACCAGCGGCAGATTGTGGATATGCTACAGCAGGGAATTGATAGTATGGGTTATAATACGGCGATGTGGGTTGCATTACGGCTAGAGACATACGACGGCGTTGATCGCCGGGGACTATCGGTGTTGCCAGACTAAAGGGACCTCCTAGATGTGACAAGGTAGCCCTACGGGGAAGGTTGGATATAGTTGGCGGGAAGGCCGTGTATCGGGCGGGGCTAGGTGCTGGGGATGGCGGTGGTGCAGATATTCCTGATGGCATACCACGAGCCAGACTACGTGTACTGTGATGAGTTGGCCTCTGTGGACTCAACTCTCGCACATCGACTGGACCTCCTTCTTTTCCATTCGTCTTATCACCATAATGGCCTGGAGACCTGCCACGTACTATACATCCTACTGATTCACATGTTGCAATCAGTTTAGGAGTACTGATTCCTTCAATATTGGCAAACAGCTCAATCACCAACGTATAGTACTGCTGTTGAGCCCGTCTTTTACCATTATTCGCTGTGGCGTTCTTGAACTGTAGACGCTCAAATGACAATATACTAGGATTCATGGCCCTGCTTGGACCTTTCACGTCTAAACCATCAGTACAAATTACAGTTGGTGGTGGTGCGATGGGTATGTTTGGATCGCCTCCAGAGGCCACTACTCGCGGTTGCGGTATCAATTGTGGGCCCTTGTCTCGTTTAGCAGTATGCTGAAAACGTTAAGAGAAAGGTGTTGGCAATGGGGCAAGAAACGGTATCGTCGAATATCAAAATAGGCCATTACCTGCACCACAGCAACCTTTTTATCACCACTCATGGCTGTCAAGTTCAAGGAAAAGGACTTTACATTTACCAATCCAGCATGTTGGGACTGCATAGCACATGGTGCCAAGACTGTAGCTCCTTTCGAGTCCAGACACAAGAATCCAGCCGAGATTTGGAAGTAGTTTCGGCGATAGCATGTCCAATCACCTTCCGCTAAAAAGAATCCGCGGTCGACTTTTCCTCGTATCTTGATATTGAATGTTTGACTACCGTCTTGTGAGTATAAGGCAAATAACTGTTTGGTCGATCGGAAGAAGCATGGTGGTTGATTTGATGATGGTGGTTGGAGGAAGTTGCCGGTATTACTACTATCTGACTTTTGCCTACGACTTTCACGGTATGTGTGGTCTTCGTCTTCTTCCTCGGGCTCTGGTGATGTAGATGGCGATGAAGGTGTAGACCTAGAAGATTGTACAGATGATGCTGGAGTTGATATGCTTCCTTGAAGACGTTTCGACTTCCTCCTAGCAGGCGATGGAGTTGCAGTTATAGTGGATGGATGATTCCTTTCTTGCTCGGAGGCAGGTATCACGGTAGTTGTTATTGTCGTTATAATACGACCATGGAGCTCATTCGGTGGCCTGCATCAAAAGAAGAAGCAAAATAATGAACATTGAGCGAAATGTGTTAAAGATGACTTCGACAACGTTAGTTTAAAGTCGAGACAGGAAACGAAAATCAATCGTTCAACGATTGATTTCAACATAAACATATAAAAGTCAAGATACAATTGAAAGCTCCTCCATTCCTCAACAACATCTCGACATTTGAGCTTATAGCCCCAAACTGTGAAGGCAAGGGCCCATAAACTGTTCAAACCTTAAGTTTAACTCAATCAAATCATACATACACTGTATATTGTACCGCAGGTTGCTGTTCTGTTGTGTTCCAATGGCCTCCTTCGTCTTGGAACTCCTCCTTGACCTCTACCGGATGTTCACGATGGAAGCTCAACAAAGCTGATTCTGCGGTTTGCGGGGTACTAGTAGTAGAAAACTCGTCGTTCTCCAAGTCAAATAGCTCATGTTGCTTCATATGATTATCTACTCCTGTACGAAATGGCTCCTTTTGCTTGAGATTATGGTTGTTGATGCTTTCTTCGTCCATGTCGTTTTGGAAAAACGAGCTAAGAGCGCCTGCGTGGGGGTGATTTGGGTAGCTCCTTTCATAGCTATGGTTGAATTGATCTATACCCATCATCATTGGAGGTTCGACTGGCCTAACTCTGAGTCCTCGTCTTGAGTCAACAAAAAACTTCAACTTTCCTTTCGAAGGCAAAACTGAAAATCCAAAGAAAACGTGACGAAGAAGAGAGATAGAAGGGAAAGGTTTTTTGGACTTGGCTTACGGAAGCTGAGAACAAGCCAGAGCCGAGAGCTGGAGAGAACAATGGATTCTGGTCTAAACCTTGGAATTTTTCCCACCATAGGGAGCTATAAGTTGCTTTCGAGTTAGTCCTTCATTGCTTCCGTGAGAATAACTAGCTCTAACGTTTTATCCACCGCCAGCCTCCAATAGGTTTCTTGAGGAAGAAGAAAAAAGGCCGGAATTTGCACAATGTTTTGTTCGAAGATATAGAATATTAGTCGTCTACAAATTAAGCAGGCTTTAGTTTTAACCCACTGAATATCGTCTACGATACCTAGTTCAAGGGGATGGAGTCGAAAAGTCAAACCAAGGCAAGGTTCATCACATTGAAGCGTCATTCTTACCTCCATTCTCGCTCTCTTGAAGATGTGGTGTCCAACCAATCTGCTATTTTGGCCCACATGAGTTCAGCATTGCGACCTCCTAATAACATTGATGAAAACGCACGACAATTAGTACTTTGACCTAACGAGTCATTTTTTTCCACGCGTTATAAACATCATTGGCTTACCAAGAATATCTGCATGTCCAAACTTGACCTCTTTGGGCAGCGAATAGACTGGTGCACCGAAATCTCCCTTTTTCCGCGAATCTCTTCTATTTACAGTCTCTGATGTTGGAACAGCATCATCCTGAGTTTTGCTTGACTCTTCATCTGCACGTGGAGGTCCAGCAGAAGTCTTGAGACCACCACCACTGTTCTCGAGTTGAATAGCATCGACTCGAGCATCAATCTTGCCCGCACGACGTGATGATGATGCGGCATGGAGGTTGGAAGCCAGATTTAGAGTCATTGATGACCTTACTCGTGTACGTCTGACTTTAAGAATCTGATCTTCTTCAGATACTGTCGGTGCATCCTCGTGCTCTAATGGAGTCAAGGCCATTGATATGCCTCGACGACGTGTACTGGGTGACGGAGGTGTGGCGTCTGTTGCTGATTCCGAAGATGGCGATAATGTTGTTGCTGCTGCTGTTGATGTCATATATAATACTTTGCTGGCTTTGATATTTACACTGGAAGCAATGGTTGGTATGGATGTGGGTATAGATATCGGTGGTAAGCGTGGTGACTTGGGACGTGGACTTGGAGCTCGTGAAGTAACTTCTACATATTGAATTACCTAATTAACGAAATGGAAGTGTCATTTCCTAAAATTTCTGCAAGCTTCTGGATGGCTATGATCTCTCACATCTTTGAATCGGGAGGCTGACTTAGTTGCAATCTCTTTGGTATCATCTGGTCTCAAAATTTGATCTGCGTTTGCGTAAGCTTGAGGGACAGATGCATTAGAGTTAAATTGTTGATTTGGTTTCTTTAGTCTTCAAAACATAGTTTTCCGACTCACCAACAAAGAGAGGGACATGCAACAGTCTTTCAAATGACCTTAGATACGGAGCTAGCTCATCCCAACTTTGCCAGTGATCGTCCTTCATATCATAGTCTGCCTTGGTCACAGCGGATGTCATCTTTGAAACAGAATGCGTCCGTCGCAATGGCTTGTTGGCATTTACAATATTAGTTGTGGCAGTCAAAGCTGTAGGACCACCATAATACTGATAGCTCGGATTTGTGGCAGACATGGTAGCAGATGTAGGGGTTGTCACTGTAGTTGGACTGGCTGCCATTGGCAATTCTAAAGGCGGCGTCGATACTGACGGAGATGGGGACAAATCTAGCCAGTCGATTCTACTATTCGAAGCTTGGGATACGAAGGGAGCACCGACTTCGCGAGTCTCAACTGACCCTAAGTGCCGTTCCCACCGCTCTTCTGGTGATTCGAAAACAAACCGATCCAAATTACTGCACAAGTCCGATTCTGATTCGTCTAATTCTCCTTCAGAATCCTCACCATCGGATGATGCTGAAGGAAGACCATTACGTTCGTCAGATGCGCTTGGGCCATCCCACTGAAGACCGACGACATCTTCAGCTTCGAGTATCTGAATGGGTGAGGAGTTGACTACCTTCCATCCGTCGATGGCCGCTCGATGAAGAACCATGGAGACTAGAGAGTAATATACACCAAGGGAGGGTGATTCAAGACTTGAGAGAACAAATCCCCACATATCTTCAACGCTGCCTGTTTCCCAAGCTGTTATTTGTTCCCACACGGCTCTAAGAGATGCCATTTAGACTCAAACAACGCAATATGGAAAGCTGGTCGAAAATTTACATACTTTTCCAGCCAGGCTGGCGCTAGCCTATGCAAAAAATATCCTACTCTCACTCCAAACCTGACCGGCAGAGGCTGCTGGCGTACATATCTGACTACATGCTTCATTCCCCCTGATGAAGCAAGATTAGACGCAAACGGATACAGGAATGTTTGAGCGACAGCACTGGTAGCAGAGAAGGTCGATGTAATGACACTCTTGACTACAGCAGGAACTTTGGTGTCCCACGCCCTCGCCAGAGTGCTGATTAAAGGAGTTGTCTGAGCGTAGAGGCCTGCCAACTAGTAGAACGAATTCAGAATCCAAGTAGAGTACTGGAAAAGATGATGTGCTCACATGAACGATGCCGGCTACATCGTCAGGATAGAGTCCTGCGACAGCACATGAAATGGCACCTCCCTAGTCAGTAATTCGTAAGGATGCTATGGTCTAATACACCTTGTAACAGAAAATCCTACCATACTGTGTCCAATTAGATAAATCTTGTCGTGCGGACCCAAGTCCTTTATAAAAGCGATTACGCTAGGGACATCCACCTCAATGTGCTCTTTGACTGATTCCGCGCACGGCGCACCAAGTGCAATAGAGCGCTCAGTGCCACGCAAGTCCATAGCAAAGACGTCATACCCACGTTTTGCAAAAAATTCGATGAAACTCGGTCCAGATTTGCCTCTAGCGTGTTTCCAGAATGATGAGTTAGCTGAATGCACGTAATGGCAGGAGCAGCGTCTGTTTACCTTCCGAGAGTTTGATTCGGCCCTCCAAATCCCCCCATATCGAATATTTGGGCATTGGATGCGAATCCTGGTATCAACAAGACAGCACCTTTCGGTCGCATGCCGGCGTAAACTGGAGGGATACACCGCCTTGTAACAGGCAATGCACCTTTCTCGCCATTGTTGAATGGAACAGAGAAAGTTTCGGCGACTATATCGAAAGTACAGCACAGGGACTTGCGTATTTGTACAGTCGTGGGGTATACAACGCCTCTCCGCGCAGCGTTGGTTGATTCTCTTGGATGAAGAGTGATTTGATCTAATGTGTAATGACGGTTAGTTCTAGCGGACACTTTGCGGTTGAAACTGGATCGTACCAGGCGGAACAAAATAGGGAAGCTTCTTTGGCGATGAGCTTGATGGAGTCGAAGATGTTCCGTTCCTTTTCAGCACATGTTTCCTGCCTTCAGACGAACCGACGACCAGGACTGAGGTATCCAAAGGTTCAGTTCTCCAAGGGGATATAAGTGAAGATACCGTTGAAGCGATTAGATTCATTCTTTAGCATCACTATCTTGCGGGGTTTTCAAAGTCAGAAGCTGCTTGTTGTGTCAGATGTTCGACGAATCATTCAGGATCCAACGTGATCGAACGCATGCATCGACCAAATATTCGAATACTACGCGAGATGTTTGCTAAATCCTATCGTTAATACGTCAGTTTGATACGGATTGCCTCGTGTTTTCTATTTTTTCGTTCACACGGAATTTCAAATTGGCAAAGTGAACAGCGTCTGAGATCATTTACGAACTTTGAACGGTAAGCTCCCTTTTACGAACCAGTGGATCGCGTTAGCAGCTTTGTAACGTATGTCTTTTTTGTTAGGCGGTGCTCAAAGGCTAAAATGTTGAAAACCTCACTGGACGGAGAGCTCCCCGTCGTCCCTTCAAAAGATCACATCAGATTTGTCTGCATATCAGATACTCACTGCAGGCACACTGGTAAGCAAAGCTCCCTTGCTTGGTCACTACCTGCGTTGAAGTTGGGATTTGGAGAATTTGATTGTTCTTACAAGATAACACTATAACTGTCGGCGTGTCGATCGGTCCCTCTCGATTTGCTGCCCGCTCTGCGAACATGCCAATTTCAGTGTCCCCCTCACTATTTGTACTCATGTTATTCCTTTGATCTCTTAGAAATTCCAATTCCAAATGGTGATATACTTGTCCACGCTGGAGATTTCAGTTTCACTGGATCATTTGACGAGGTTACTGACTTTGCCAAATGGTTTCGGGCTCTTCCAGGCTTCAAACACAAGATAATAGTCCCAGGAAACCACGACTACACCTTCGACACCACGTTCTACGACGCGCATGGTAAAGAACACCATAATCCAACCGCCGGAAGCAGGCCGCTACCGTCCATGGAAGACGAGGTCGCCTTCTTTAGAACTATGAATATAGAATTATATAAGGACACTCCCTTCATAGATGGCCAGGTTGTTAGAAATATCCTAATGGGAGATGATGCTAAACGAGATGGCATCGTTGTACTGATAAACGAAGGCTTTACGATACCAGGTACATCAGTTAATCTGTATGGAATGCCCTTCATTCCTGCTTGTGTGCCTGCCGAAGAAGACACGGCATTCTACAGAGCTCGAGGTGGAAAAGAACTTAATTCTTATGTAGCTGCCATCCCTGCCGATACGACTGTACTAGTCACTCACACACCTCCATACATGCGTCGGGACAAGTCTCTATGGCACAAGGGAGTAAGTGTATTCTGCTCAGGGTTGGTTGCCCAAGCTAGGCCGACGAAGTAACATTCTTAACTCATACAGAATATTGGAGACGAAGCCCTCGCGGAGCGTGTCAATGCAATCAAAGTGCCCGTACACGTGTTTGGTCATATTCATCAAGAATATGGTGTGGAACATTCAGACATCACAACTTATATAAATTCATCCATATGTGACGGCGGTTACCACGCTACCAATTCTCCCGTCGTGTTTGACTTGCCGACGAAGAGCATAACCTCATAAACCACGAATTATGTGCATTAATCTACTCTATTAAACTAAATAAGTAATAATAATAAATGTACTAGTATAGACATTTCTGTGTAAGAGCTACTTATTTGAGAATTCTGGCTTGTACTTTTCTCTAAATGCGCTATATCCATCGGCAAAGTTCTTGGGGACTAGTCTCTGAAACGTTATTTCACCCTTGTTGTCACGATTGAATGCCAAGTTGAATGGCCGTAGTGATCTATTACATTGGTCCACATAGCTGCACAGTAGACAGGAGAAAAGTGAGGACAAACACACAAACCATCAAAACACCAAGTGACCTTACCGTGTGGAAAGCAGGAGCTTGTCGCTATACATCCCAGAGACATAAAAGTAGAACAAGAAGAGCATGATTGATGAGAAGGCTACTATTGTCCAGCCCTTTCGTATTGGAAGACCCTAACAGGCGGCGAGACTACATTAGAGCTGAGCGACTCTAGTCCTATATTTGTGTCTTTACCTCCTCATCTTCCCATGGAGTCAGGTACACCTTGTAAGCCAGCCATGATGCAATAGCTACTACAATAGCCATGCCAACTAGAAATCCAGTTCGAATCAATAAGCTTCGTCTTTTGCATCAGCATCAGATCCACCGTGTCTAAACACACCTTGCCATCTTCTAGTCTTTTGTCGAGCATCATAAAGAGTCTCGGAAAGTCGTTTCTCAAACTGCAGCAGATCTATTGACAACGAAAAGTAAGGTTCCCATCCACTTGGTTGACGAGTTGAGCGAAGCACACATCAGTTGGGTACCTTGGAATGATTTGTCACTGTGCGAAAGATGGAATGCACTTTCTGAGCGTTCCAGCCTCATTTGAGATTGAGGAATCACTGTGTCCGTATTAGAGACAGGCGAGAAGCCGCCAGAGTCCATTGGTTGAAACATATCGTTTCGTCAACTGGCAAAAACCAATCCAAGCTTCCATCCACCACCAAACAAGTTCAGAATGGACGGGCCAAGCCTTCAAGAAGCTGCAAAGGAAATGCTAATCTCGCTCTGGGAACGGTCGAGTGCCTATACGTTTGTAAGTCTCCTTGTGTTCGTTGAACGTTTTGTGGTTTCGGAGTGAGGAAGATAGACCACTTCTGACAATCCGCTCTATTTTTACATTCTATTAGGAAATCACCATTGGAGTCGTCATTCTTTGCTTTATGCTATTTACTAGGCAAGTGCCAAAAAGGAGTCACATCACGAACATGGTCACCAACATTCCACTTGCTGGGGTTTTAGGGCAATCACTATCGGCCACACCGCCGGAATCTTGGTGTCGTACGTACATCATGTTTGCCCACCAAGCGTTGCTCCTTCAACGACTTTTGAACGCTTGTTCATGAACGTATACAGAGGACCAACGGAAACGAAGGGTCCTTTCCGACAGCCCACTAACAACCCCGTCCATCCAACTTAGACTCACAGGAATCATCTTCAACGCAGCACCATGGTTTGGCTACGAATTCTCCACACCAGAGTATACTACGGCGGTCAACGTTGGTGTAGTCTTCCTCTCGTTGATTTCGTTGGTCATCCTCATGACCGGTCGTACATGGAAGGATTTCCCCAAACCGCCGAAATCAATTCCATCACTCTCAATACGGTTGTCTCCCGATCAACCTCACGCTATTGGAACATTAGAGTATGTCACATCAAGTAGTTTGTTTTGCCTGAACTTGCTTATTGGAATATTGTCCTCTTGCGTTATCCTGTCAAACGGTACGCTAACGTTGTTTTCAAACAGGCCCGAGTGGATTGTGAATGGACCCGGACATCGTATCGGAGAGCACATCCAAACTTTGATCAAGAGCTCAGGAGGTGTAATCCAGTTCTCCAACATTAATGGATCGAATGGTTTTGTGCATGTACTTGTGAGTAGTCTGATTGCTTGGAAACCCATTTGTCAACTGTTGAATAGCCACTTCCTTCATTTTTAGTATCTCTCATCCACACTTGGTCTGATTGACGATGTGGCAATCAAGTGGACATCAAAGTCGAAATCAAGTACTCTAGTAGAATATCAATCAGAGCCACGAGTCTGGTCTATGGATTTCACCACATATTCCAACCGATTCCTGGAATTTAAGAGTGACTTGCAAAAGGCAGTCAGATCCGATGATTAGTAGGAGTCTCACCTGGACATCATCTCGTCAGTCATTATCGTTAATGCTAGTCTCATGGTCACGTAGTAAATGCAAGGCACTTCAAATAAAATAACGCATTTAATGCATTCATCAAAAGTTTGTCTTCTAAGGATGGCTTGGTCGTTACAAACACAGCACTGGTCACGTTTTCTGTGTAACTGTTTGTCAAGGTTAGGAGTGTCGGCTCGCACAGATCTGACCAAAGGGGCTCTACACCTTGTATTGTGAGAAGCACATATGTAGCTAAGAGGTCTGATTTGCTTCTACTCGTGATAATCGAACAGCAATGCCTTTCTAAATGCAGCTGCATCATGGTTGTCAACAACCAGAGTTCGTTGCGACAACTGGTCCCGACAACTGGTACCTTCTGAAAGTCACACCTTTTCCCGTTGTAACACTCTTTACTAGCCTTCTTGACCTAACGGGAAGTTATTCTTATGCATATGCAGCAGCTGCACAACAAACACAGAAAATACAACCTTGAGAATACCGAAACTTACATCGCCGACGCAATTGAAAAAAACGGAAGAGGCAGAGCGACGGGCGTAGTTTTCGGGCAACTTCTTTGAATTAGAACTTTGGATCCGGCAGTTACTCTGATATAGCGCTTCAAGTCCTCCTGGCTGCAAAGATTGGATGCAAAGGGAGGTCAATTTTTTCTTGAATCCATCTTCTACTACTGAAAAGGGCAATTTATTGCAATTACTCAGGCCCTCTATGAATCAGAATATCTGAGAAAAGGGAGTTTGAATTCCCAGACAATACTGTGCGCCAAGTTGCTCGGAAATCAGAGTGAACTTGTTGTCGGAATGGAAACATTGAAACACCCTGCCACAAGGTAATGGTGAACCTTTCTAGAGCTTGAAAATATGTTAAAATTGAATGTGTAATTGTTATTCTGTCAAAAAAACTCTACTTCGTCTATAGTAAACGAGTGGAATGCAGGAAATTACGCAAACTAACAAATATTCAGAAGCTTCTCCGTACCGCAACCAGCTGCACCCCGTACCTTGTTCTTTCAAATACCTTCCAGACTCGTTCTTATTGCACAACTAGGCAGTCCATACTCTGTTCGTCCCAATCACGTCCAAAAAACTACCACACAAGATTCTTGTTATCTTTTCTTCAAATCCCCTTTAGGAGTGTAGTAGTAGTAAACTGCGAAGGAGCCTGTGACAAGGTCGTCTAGCCTGTCCACAATGGCACCGTACTCTCAAAGCAGCTTGCTCCTTTGTGCTGTAGGACTTGCAACACTGTGCTTAGTTCTACCATCAAATGCGGCTCTCTGGAACGTCACCGTTGGGCCTCTCCCTGGGCAGGGTGGATATCAGCCTAGTGCTCTCTGGATACAGCCTGGTGTGTCTTTACTTATTGACTTGGGAACCATTCCCGTTTTGGAATCTTGGCATTTGATTCATTTTTCAGTTTGCGGTGTGGAAGCTTCGTTACTCACACAAACACACTTTCCCAAATAGGTGATACTGTTGTATGGTCATTCTTAGGTGGATCTCATTCAGTTACTGTAAGCGTCCATGTCTGAATCAGCTCGTTAAGCGTTGGTGGCCCACAGTTTTGCGGAAGCTGTGAATGGCTATCTAGGAGAATCTGAATCTACCCTTACTGGTTTTTGTTCTAATAGCAAGGAACAGCACTTACATCATGCACAGCTCTGCCAAGTGGGTTTGACTCGGGCTTTATTGGTGGCTTCTGGAACCAAACCTTTACAACTCCAGGGACTATCTACACTTTGTATGTAGAGAGAATCAACCAACGTTTACAGAGTAAACTTCATTCTTAGAAATCGCTAACGTAAGATTCTCTCCTCGCCCTTAGCTGTCGGAATGGTCAGCACTGTGTCCAAGGTGATATCAAATCAGTTACGTTCTCTCAATACAAGAACTCACCACTATTTATACAGGAATGCACGGCGTAATTTATGTACAAACTACAGCACCAGCAACTCCCTATCCATCTCCATACATCCAACCTCAGATAGAGCCATCGCCTTCACAACCCTCACCATCTACAGTACCTAAAGCCTCAACCTCTGCATCCTACTACAAGTCTACACCATACTGGACGCTGGCAGTCTTTTGTGCTGTACTCGTCTCGTCTCTACTATACTAGCAAATAAACCTCTTTGAACGAACCTCACACAAATCACTCAGTTCTTCATTTTAGTATGCACAATTTTATTTCCATCTCTCTTCTATTTGGTGTCGTTTTTGCTCATATTCCAGTTATTTTCAATTTTGAGGCTCTCTCTCTATTGTTATACATTCACGGGAAGCCAAATTCGAGGAAAACTTCTATTCTAACAACATTAACTCTATTGGCTGAAGTCCTCCACAAGGAAACAAATGTTCCACTGTGACCAAAAAAAGTGTCCTTTGACACTTTAAACTTAAAAGATGCTACATGTTTTCTTGACTGACGTTCGGAATCTATTTAAATAACGAGATATGTGTGTGTGGTGTGGTGTTGGGTTCGTATTGGGTGATAGCGAGACCAGCTATCATGTGTTTTACTTTAAATACAAAAACTTCGGTATTATAGAGTGTCTCTTTCGGTATTCGAGTGGATTTTAGTGGGGTTTAAGAGGTGTTGTTGAGTGTTGGAGGGATTACATGCAGAGTCAGCATATGATACAAGATTTCTCCTTGGACCTACGTTTGTATCCTTCAATGTATTTCAATTGGCGAGCATTGATTGCTCCTTTTCTTCTTTCCCGAATAAATATGACAGAGTCCAACGGGTTCATTCCTGCTTCAATAAGAGCCATCGCGACCAGTACTGGTGCTCTGTAAAAGAAATGTGGATATTTAGCGACAGATTGCATGCGGGAATGTTCTGTTCGTTTTTACACCACCTTCCCAGTCCAGCTACACAATGAACTCCAATACAAGGGCCAGGACTATCAGCAGCCACGCCATTAGCCTTATCCTTGTTGGTTATGAATCTTTCTTGGACTAGATCCAACCACGAGTTTACAACAGTGCTTGGTGGTGGATCTCCTGAAAGATAGTGCGTTAAGCTGTTTGTTCACACACGAGCTACAATATAGTGTATCGTACCATCAGCAAATGGTAAATCATGCACTTTAATCCCTCTCTTTTCTAGTTCTGCTCTGTCGTATGTGGGTTCACACACCCTCACTACATCTACAACATTGTTTTTCTCCATTTCCTACAAGAATTAATCATTCAGGGTTGATATAGCTGAATGCACACACATAATTGTGGCTTACTGCAGCATATGTGGGAAGAGTCACCGGACTTGGGGCGTCAAAGATCAGAAACCTCATTTTACCAAACTCGATTAGAGATGGCAGATTTGGTAATCTCATCATTTGGGTGTTGCTAGCTTCTTTACTATGGCCTCTAACCATAGAAGTCATGTTTGGTGTTGTGAAGGTGATTTTTAAATTTCCTTGCAAGGAAACTGTCGAGGCTCTGACGTGTGAATGGGAGGTATATAAGGTTGATTTATGAAATCACGATAGTTTCAAAACTAGTGGAGGATGGTGCCACCAGTTCGATTGACGGCGAGTGCTAATGGTGACTGTGGGATGATCTTCCAAGTTTTTTTCGAGGATGAGAGAATCAGCAGCAGAATCCCATTTAACAATTTAATTCTATATATAAATGTATGATAATGAGTGTCCTGATTGCCTTCCATGCATCAAATTAACGGCAATTGCTCCATTTTTCTCCACCAAACAACGAAAATGAGAAACGCACCTTTTGGGAAGCCAAGTTAGCCTGGTGTAGTCACCAGCACTTCAAAGGTACGCCCGACGAGGGCTCTTGGTGGTAGTTCCAGTTTCTACTTGACCCTCTTCAAAGAGAGATTCTTCCTCGTTTTAATGTGTGGGTGGAAGAGAGAGACGTGACTGGTGCTTTTTTACGCCTCTCGCAAACTGAACCTACTTCCTATTTATATTGTTGAATAGACTCGGGATCGTGGCACGCTACTAATTAAACGGAATTGGGAGATGCAGGCATCAAATGTGGTGTTTTCCATGACTGTGATTCAAGGGATATCGGATTCGGTACACGCTTGTCGTATCCTACCGATTAGAGTGGTTTAAATGTTTAAATGGCAACGAGATTGCTCGCCTACGTGTTTGGTCCAACGGAAATGCGTGTTGTTGTCCAACAACGTTCTGGCAATCGACAACATTCACCTCTTTCACGCCCAACCGTTGGTTCGACATGACGGACAATTTTCCAAACACCAATTGTGCCAAACAATGTGGAGGTGTGCAGTTGTGCAAAGATCTCGGTGTCTCAAACCTCTCCAAAACAACTTTTGTTTCCTCCCAACAGCAGAAACAACCAACTTGTACAAGACAAGACCTAAAGTAATAGCAAAACAACAACAATGGCCGCAGCTCTCGCACTCCCCTTTGCCTTCATTCCCTTGTTTGGAGTAACAGCTCTTCTCAACAATGACCAATTCAAACAAAATGTCTTTGGCAAAGATTCAAAACCTAAGGATATCCAGCACACAAAGTTGATGGCTTTGGCTGGTACGGCTGCTCCTATAGCTATGCTGTATGCACGTGCCTCACGAGGTGTCAGCGTTCGTTTCCTGCCTCTGACCTTGCTTGGGTATGGTTGTTGTTGTGTGAATGCCGTTCCATATCTTTAAAACGCCTTGCTGACTTTGTTGGTATTAACAGAGCGGCTCTCAAGACTGTTGGTATCTTTGGAAGTGCGCAAGCTGTGCTTGCTCCCAACCCGATGATGGATGTGTTCTTGAACGGCCAAACCAGGACTTCTTGGGGTGCGCACAACACGAAACCTGAAGGTCTTGTTCGAGTTACCAGGGTGTGTGTTCTTTCTAGCTCGTCAATACTTCAAGTTTTCTCATCGCAAGGTACATTTTCTTTAGCACCCATTGAGTTTCAGTGTTGCTGCTTACTCTGTTGGAAATCTCATCACGCGCTTTTCACCTACGGATATGATTTTCTGGACAGGCGTTGGAGCTTTCTCTGTATTCCATGCTTATCTTGAAGACAAGGCCAACAAGCCTGTCTTGGGTGAAGCGTTCTACAACCAGACTAGTTTCACCCCTTTCCAAGCCATTCGTGAAGACCGTCAAAAAATCGCTGATGTAAAAGCTGAGATTCACGAGAAGGTAATTACACAAATTTTACAAGAAGTTCCAACACAAAACTTACCATAATCTAACTTTACTAGGCAATTGCATTTACCACGTTGGCGAGCCCGCTTTTCCTACTTTGAGGAGCTGGCCAAGCTGGCTGTTTCTCCAAACTTGGTGTCTCTCTCTGAATTCGCAACAATTTCCGTGGCTTTCCACATCTCCAAGAATTTATAGACTTTAGATTTCCATTTTTAGATTCATAGACTTCATACATAGACTTATACTGAATTTTTGCAACACTCCAAGGCATTCTGACACCAGAATGTTGTTTCTTGAATTCTATTACGTCTTGCCTGCTTCTATACAGTTTACGATCTATGACATTTCAACAACACGACCAACCCCATCTAAACACGCCTGCAACAAGCAAGCTAGTCTTCTTTCCAAAAAGCCACTGCTACTTGCAACCCAGTATCTTACTAAAGTCTTGCCCTGATCGCTTGCTCTTCTAAAGCCACAAACCTTCCAATGAAATCCTTATATCTATTCAAGAATACCGGATCAACAGGCACAAAATGTTCTCCATCGTGCCATTCTAGCTGTGGAGATGCAAAATTCCTCGAGTATTCCATTGATCTACGGTGCGTTATCACTAGATCGTTTCTCCCTAATACGAACATAGCTGGGATCTAAAGTAAAGACATTGTCAGAGCTTCAAGCAGCAATTAGTTCCAAAACGACCCAACATACTGGCAATACATCCACTTCAGTCAGAGCTGGATCTGGTCTAAATCCCGATATCAGGATGGCGAACTTTGGTACTAGTTCTGGATGTTGTTCATGTAGCTCTTTGAGTACGGCACCACAGCATGCCGCCCCTTTATAATAAGAAGGAAAGCGTCAGGGACTGACCAAAGATAACAATTCCCAACCAAAGTGCCATACCTTGACTGAATCCAAGTATCCCAAAAAACGGTCCCTCGTTCAAGAATGTGGATCTCAACATATCGATTGAAGCATCGAATCCTTCCCGAGGTCCTCGTTCTGGGGTATCGTTCTTATTTCTAAACCACCATGCTCTTCTGAAGCCGTGTTTGCCGGTAGCGTCTTGATCATCTTTGGGGACACCTCCTCGTCGATTTCGTAGATAGGGAGCTTTGGCGAATACTAGATAAGGGTGGAGTATGTGAGAGATCTGATCTAGTTGCAGAGTTGTAACGAATGTACCGCCGATGCGCTCTCCAATGGCCTGCTTCCTCAATGCTTACCAAACTCAAACTGTGGAAGAGACTCAATCAATGGTCCAATGTTTTTCTGGAACAGATCGTCATTCTGAAGCACACCATGGAGACACAGGATCTTGGGCTTCTGGTCTCTGGAACTCATTCGTGTAGCTTGCCTTCGTGACGTTTTTCCCAAAATATTCGGTTTTTGTTTTCAGCCGCAAGTTTATTACATACAAGATGCGAACTAGAATAGATTGATTGCGATTACAGATTCCTTTGTATCCTCTTCAACTCATCAGGCGAGAATCGCAACAACAGAGCCAGCACTTGGACCAGTTGTGACTAGATCAACCAACAAAAGGAATTAGAAACCCCGAGAGATGGCGTTCGTACTTTTCACAAAATGCATACCCTCTTATCCTTGAATTCCACAAACTTGAGAATAATATTCTTCAAGTACTCTTGATTCGGGTTATCTCCACTCATTGGCAAATGTGGTGCATTGCTTGCTGTAGGACTGCTTCCAGGACTACTATTCACAATGGATCGACGAGGATTTATAGATAACGATGATGGCAACTGTGGGGCATTACTAATAAAACTAGGGCCCGATAGTGATGATATCGTATTTGGGAGTTGGGCAGCACTGGTAGAAGTAGATGATATCGGTGATGGTGCTCGTTCATTGTTGACTCCAGTCAAGGATGATCGATGTGATGGTGGTGGAGAGCTATTATTGGTTGGATTTTTGGATAATTTACGAACTTCTTCCTTGAGAGCCTTGTTTACGTTTCGAAGTTGGCTTTCGCGCATACGCACGTCCTCAGCAACCTTGTCACGTTCAGCAAGTTCTACTTGATGTCTCTTTTCTATATCCGACAAGGTTTTGCCTAGTTCACGTGTCTTGGCCTAAAAACGTCGAAGAAAATCAGCGAAAAAAGGCCACGCTGAAATACAAAAATTCTTTTCAAAGGGGCACCTCATGTTCCTGCACAGCGGCCTTCCAAGTTTCATCCTTGGCCTCAAGATCCTTGACTCGATCTCTCCAACCTTCAATCTCATCACGAGCCAACCTCACTTCATTTTTGAAGGTCGATACATCTCGATCACAAGCAACCTTAACACGACGAGCTTCAGCCACTTCTTCTTCAAATGCCTTGAGTTGGGAAGCTAAAGCACCATTATCTCGTCGAGCACTAGACAATTCTCGTCTGAGATTATCAACTTCATCTGTAGCTCTACCAGATATTTGCGTGGCATCATATATCTTGGCTTCCAATTCTGATATTTTCAGACGCATAGCATCACATTCGACAGATTTGGTTTGGAAGAGTCGACGAGATGTTTCTAATTCAGATTCATATACTGTGCTCTTGTCATCTATTTCTCGTGCTGTGGTCTCGAGCAATGATAGTCGACCCGTGGTTTCTTCTAGAGCGGTTTGAGCTGACTCGAGCTCAGCACCGCGTACTCGTAGTTGATCGTTCAAAGCTTCCTTTTCACGTCGTAGCATCCCTTCTAGACTGGCTAGTTCAGCTACACGAGTACTCAGTCTTTCAGTCTCAGTCGTGGCTTCTCTACGTTTTTTATCCATCTCTCGTAACGACTCTTCTTGTCGTTTCAATCGACCAGACATGTCTTCTACTTGTCGAGTCATATGGGCCATCTGAGTCTCTCGTTCTTTGGTCTCCTTTTCACGTTGAGACAGGATATCATTCATATTACTCTTGACTGCTTCAAGTTCAGTCTCTCTATCCTTGACGTCTGTTTCTAGCTTTATGATGCGTTGCTTGGAATTGCGTAACAGTTGGATTGACTTGTTCTTCTTTTCTTCTTCCTCTGCTAGAGCCTGTCGTACTACAGCCATCGTTTGACCCTGCTCGGCTAGAGATTCATCACGAGTATGTATCTCTCGTTTGGCTAGAGCTAGTGCTTCCGTCACTTCACGTAAACGTGTCTCCATTTCTGTGAGACTCGACTTGTGTTGATCGGCTGTAGATTGATAAGAGGCTTCTAAAGACTTTATAGATGTAGAAGTCTGTGCCAGTTCCTGTTTGGCTGCATCGCGTTCGGCTTCGAGACTCGTCTTTTCACCTGCGAGTGTATCCAACTGCTTACGTAGCGATTGGAGAGATTCTTGCAAAAAAGCAGATTCAGTCGATGATGCTGCTTTTGAATCTTCGTGAGCCTTCTTGACTTCTTCGGTGGCTTTCGTCAAATCACGTTGAGCAGCTTGTAGGTCCTCCTTGGCAGTAGATAATTCTACTTCGAGAGTCTGTATCCTTGCTGTCATACTTTGAGACTGCTCTGTAGCTTTTTGTAATGATGCCTGAGTAGTTTTGAGCTGCGCTTGAATCTCGGATATAGTAGCTTTATGCTTGATTGATACAGCTTCTATCTCTGCCTGATGATGCAGCTTAACTGCTTCTATCTCTGACTGATGATGAAGTTTAACTGCATCAACCTCATGTCTGACGACAGCCTCCTTGTCTATCTGATGCATACTCTCAGCTTCCTTGGATGCTTTGGCCATCGACTCTATTCTACTGTGGCTGGATTCTACATCTGCCTTGGCAGCGACAAGTTCTTTACTTACATCTTCCACTTTACGTGTCAGATCAGCACGTTCAGTATCTACATCTTTGAGCTTTGCTTCCAATGCCACAATTTCTTCACGACGAGATTTGAGCTCGGTGTTAAGTTTACGTACACCAGCCAAAACCTTCTCTGATCGTTCTACAGCATCGGCTCGAGCCTTCTCAGCAACAGCCAGCCGAGTATTCAGTTCGGCTACTGCAGCATCTGTTTCGGATGATGGGCTAGCAGGCGGCTGACTTTGTATATTACGAAGTGTGGTCAATTCGACTTCCTTTGAAGTCATGTCTTCTTTTAAAGCATTCAGCTCTTCTTGAAGAGTTTCCAGTTGACTTTGATGCTCTCGTTTCAAAGATGAGGATAATTGTTCTATGGCTTTACGATGAGTGTCTTCTAATCGAATGGTGGATTGTGATAATGATTCGTCATGTTGGCGGGTCGCAGTTTGCATATCGGCTTGCAATTTAGTAATGCTGGTAGTAGCTACTACGAGTTCCTGTTCTATCTCGACAACTCGAGACCGTAGAGTCTTCTCTATTGATGATGCCTTTTCATTCAAATCAGATATATTCTTTTGATGCGCTTGACGAGAGCTGGCCTCCAAATCTTCTAATCGTTTGCGAGCCATTTCCTCCATCTCGTCCATCTGTTTCTTTGACAAAGCTTCGACTTCAGCAAGCTTGGCAGCCAATTCAGCCATACGTTCTTCATATTTACTCGATACTGCTGATGCTTCTATCGTATCTCGAGCTTCAGAAGCAGCTTCGGCATCTTTGGCTCGTTTCAAGGCATCGTCTCTGGATGTCACAGCTTTATTCAGCATGTCTTGCATCTCGTTTCGGACGGAATCTAATTCCATCTGTAGTGCCGAGGCTCGACCTGCTTCTCTCTGTGCATCAGCATGTAAAGTTCTCAGAGTATCATCAGCAGCTCGTTTCATAGCTAAAGCCTCATCAGCTTCACCGGCCTTTTCCCAGGCAATCTTCTCAGCGTCTTCTACAGTTTTACGAAGTTGAGCTATTTGAGCCTCCAAATCGGTGACGTGTCTGCGAGTACGAGCAAATTCTGACTTGACGCCGACATTAATTTCGGCTTCTTCAGCAGCCTTAGCGAGTCTAGCCTCTAATTCACCAATACGACTGATTGTTCTACTCTCAAACTCTTTGGAGGCATCCTTGAGACTAGCATTGGCCAGTTGCAGTTCGTCTATGGTATTTAAATATGACTGCATTCGAGATTCCGACTTGGCGATGATATCAGCGTGCTCTTCTTGTTGAGATTTCAGTTTAGCTTCCAGTTCCTGCATTGACTTTCCGTCATTTGATTTCTCTACAGAAGACGTTGCTGGTGCTGCACTCTTGAGTTGACTATTCTCAGCCTTCAACTGTTCTATCGTTTCATTGGCCTTGTTCCTGTCTTCGGTAACTTTATTACGCTGGTCTGTGACTTTTCGAAGTGCTGTAGCCATCTCTTTCAGCTTTTGTTTCAACACAGCTAGATCGGAGCCTTTATCGCTCTCTGCAGACAGACTTGGTGCTGCCGAAGGTGGTGGTGATTCAGGTTGTAACTCTGTGGTGGTAGATACACGAGGAGACTCTGAAGATCTAAGCTCTAATTGAACCTTCAGTTTCGCAATTTCCTAGCGTGGAAAAGATTGAGTTCTTTTATTCGTTTTTGCGTTTTAGCCGTTCAACAAACCTCATTCTTGGCTGTAATTTCTGCCTGTAATGATCCAAACATCTCGTTCTTTGCCTGAGATTCCAACTGCTGTATTTCCTTCATCTCGCTGAGTTGTCGTTTCAGCTTTGTCATTTCTTCTGGTGGCACCTGACGTACATCAGGCTTCTCGGAAGAAGCCTGTTGTAAATATATTTCTAGCGCTGAAAGCTCTTCTTTATTCGATATAGTCTTGACGGGAGTATGTTTGGCTAATACTGATTCGATGGTAGAGACTTTACTCTGCAGAGCTTTATAAGCCTTGGCTAGATCTAGAAACGGCGAGTTCAAAATCAGCGAAACAGGAACAAGAAACAAATCAAGCATCTTGATTTAACGAACCAGTAAATTTGCTCTCGTATTTTTTCAACTTTGTCAGTTTTGCTTGCAAATCAGTTGTTGACAATGCTGCCGCCATGTTACTAGTTGACACACCTCCATAATTAACACTGTCTGACGATCCAATTCGAGATTGTAGACTGCTCCAGTTGATACCAGTCACGCCAGATACAGAAGATGCTCTACGTGTTGATAATGCCATCTCTGGCAGATCATCAGGAGATCCGTCGACACTAGAATCATCACGATCCGAATCGACACTTCCGGCGGTGTCAGATTCCTGTAGACTAGCATTACGTAGATTAGTTCTTGACGGCGAAGCTCTTGGAGTTAGGTTTGCTGCAGAGTTTATTGAGAGCGAGGGTGATATATCAGCCAAATTCATGGACTGAGTGGGCGTTTGATCATTATCTTCAGGCTCATCAGTCATGGGTATTGGAGCGATGTTCGCGTGGTCGCGAGTATTATTATTGGTGTTGTGACTGTTGTTGACGGCTTCGACCTTCTTTGCCTGCAAGGAGGCCAACTTTGCAGCTAACCTATCTTCAGATCTATGGGCTTCCTGAGCTGGACTGGCCTGTGGTGATGGTGCTGCTGACACAGGTAATATCGAGTTCAATGTCGAAGCAGATCCCGTTATACCCCTTTGCCATGCTCCAAATAATGAAGAGACGAGAGCCGGCGGTGAACTCGTAACAGATCCGGGCTGTTGCGTAGGAGACGTAGCTGACCCGAGCAGAGTGGCAAACGTGCTGGAACTTGGTGGTGTTGGCGAGTTTGACATTGTGGTGAGTCTCGCAAAGAAGAATCCTTCTACCTATTCGACGTACTCCAGCTATTGCTTATTTCTGCTAGACTTCATATACATTCTCCTCTTCTCTCTATCTCTCAGCGAAATGGTTATTAGACGCATTATTGACAACACTTCCAACATCGGTAAGAACACGTCGAATTGAGCTGATCTGGCATACTGGACCATTTCAAACGTACGTATCGCGTTATCTTTGCCTTCCTGCTACTGCAATGTCCGCAAATCAGTTTACCATCATCTCCGCCAAGAACTTCAACGAGATTACCATACTTCCAGTCGGTCGAGTCACAATTAACTCGTTTTTACTAGTACATTCACACGTTATTTCGGCTCCCATCATCTTAAATGGCTACTCTTGGACTCTGCATTAGGAAGTCTTGTTTCGACATCTCTCAACCGCTCCTACGGAGAGGGAATTCCACATCTCAGACGGCGTCTAGACTTATTCCTTTGCGTGAATACTTTTATACGATAGATTTTCATGGTCAGGTACGAATGTCTCAAGTCACCACGAAAACACGCTTGAAAATGACACGTCTGGTTGTTGCCATAGCTCTTCTTGCATGATACTGTACCGAAGAACATTGCAACATCGTTCAAGGATAAACGATTTCTAGATTTCTTCTTCTCCCGACTCCAAATCAATGACGTGAACAAGGAGTACTTCCGACAAGGATTCGCTTACGCTTCACCGTGTGGTCGAGAGATGAACTATATTCAATGTGACGATGGTATTACTCAAGCTGTCTTTGATCATTTTTTGATTTCTGAAGTCTTTGGATAGCTGGAGTTCAAGTGACATCGATCAGGAACAGGCCGGCTAACTAAATCTTATACTCTTTAGTGCCCGTCGTCTTCACCGACTTTGATGGTACATGCCTCATATGGGGTGGAACTCTGAAATGGCCATTTGATCCCTCGTCGTTGGCCATGAGCAAAAGTGGACGTGTGTATCATAACTCGCCTCTTGAAATTCCAGCTCCATGGCAAACAACGTCTGCCCCACAAGCGTATTATGGACTAGTGAAATCTACGCTGGTCGAGCGATTCTCTGACGCCATTGATACAGAGGAGCACACGTTAACCTGGAAGGGAAGGAAACATGCCATGAAACGCGTCGAGTGACGTGGCACCTGTTGAGAAAACAGTTTCAAGTGCTAGTTGTAGATCATGATGATTGCATTGATTGGATGATGAATATTGTAAAGTAAGTGTTGACCTGTGAGGACCAATTCGAGAAGCCAGTGGCGGTCTTTGTTTCGAACTGACTGCTGTTTTTAGATAAGCCCCAACACTCCGTAATAGACCATATAATGCTCAATAGAACTAATTCAGACAAAAGAAATCTGGATCTTATGCCTGATAGTCAGAGCTGTAGATCACCAAACAAACTCCCCGAAAGCCAGCCAAGAAGCATACCTTATGCAAACGTAGATTGAATACCGAAAATATACCCATCTGTTTTAATTGACATGTAGACCCTGTAAGTAGCGTACAATTAGAAGATTGTGCCTAGGTGAGATTCTCGGTTGTTGCACAGCTTCACACAGACGTCGACTGGATCTTGCTCAATTGTCAAATTCATTTGTTCAACCGGATCCAAGCAACAAGAAATGCCCGACTTCTTGATTCAAATGTCTGTTGAGTGCGAAACAAAAGACCGACGTCTTAAAAGTCCAACGGCTTTGTGGTCACACTTGCTGGTACACACTACTTGCTGGGTCTTTTTCAACCGCTTCGAAAGCACTTCACAACAGAAAAATACTTACAGCAAACATGGTTGCCGCCACTACAGATGTTCCAACTACTCAGCGAGCCGCTGTAAACAAGTCGGTAAGCTTTAAACTGTGGTTTGTCGTTTTGCCTTGAACACAACAGGTTAAAGACCGTAAGCTAAACGCAAGCTTCGTATTTTAGTTCGGCCACACTGCAACTTTGGAGACCATTGCCGTCAAGACTCCAGCATCCGAGTGAGGCCCTGACTTACGAGTTTGTTCGGTTTCCAGAAAACCACCAACATTGCCAATTTCGAATTCGGACAAAGCTTTTACGTACACACATACTCACTTTTATTTACATTCGCTTGTACCGTCCTATAGCGAAGTACTGGTTCATATTACCCACACAGGAGTGTGCCACACAGACTTACATGCCCTTGAAGGAGATATACCAACTCCATTGCCTCTAGTCGGTAAGAGGACTTGCCAAACGCCTTGAACAATCGCAGATTTGCTGGATCCTTACAAACTCCACTCCTTCAGGTGGTCACGAGGGTGTTGGAATAGTGGTCCAATTGGGTGACAAGGTCACAAACGTTAAACTCGGCGACCGTGTTGGTGTAAACTACATCTGGTCTAGCTGTGGAACATGCGATTACTGTCTGGAGGGTGATTTCCAAGTGTGCCGAACTTTAGGAATGGGTGGCATTCACGTTGACGGAACATTCCAAGAATATCAGATTGCAAAAGCTGCATACGTTGTCCCTATTCCAGACAATGTCAGTGATGTAGACGCCGCACCCATCCTCTGCGCTGGAGTAACGGTCTTCCGAGGTCTCAAAGACACGAACTGTCAACCAGGACAATTTGTGGCGATTGTTGGAGCTGGTGGTGGACTCGGCCATTTAGCAACACAATATGCTAAAGCTATGGGTTTCCGAGTAGTTGCCATTGACGCAGGGGCAGCAAAGGAAGCTTTGACCAAGTCGCTTGGGGCTGAGATTTTCATCGACGTCGCTCAGGTTGGTATTTGCCGAATGTCCACAGAGTGGCCAAGAAGTTCTAACTCTCTATTGCCGCCTTAGAGCAAAAACCTTGTTGAGGATGTAGTCAAGGCAACAAACGGTGGTGTACAAGGTGCGTAGTCTATTAGCGACAAGTAGCCATAGTGGTTCTGGGCCAGTTTAAATAATCACATTTTCCACCCAGGTGCCCTGATCGTTGCGACAAACCAATCGGCCTTTTCAACAGCACCCTACTACCTTCGCCCCACCGGCACTATGGTTTGTGTCGGGTAAGTTCGACTCTGTCGAGACAAATTGTGACTCTACCATCCTCTGCTCTTGATACATCCCATTTGCTCTTATCCTCATGTCTTTTACTTTTGTTAATAGTGCTCCAAAGGACGGCAAACTTGAAGTCATACTTGGCGTTGCAATAATTCGACGACTTACACTCAAGGGCTCCATTCTTGGTAGTCGTAACGATATGAAGATGGCCATGGACTTTGTTGCTCGTGGTCTAGTTGTCCCTCATATTGAAGTATGCGGCCTTTCCGAAATAAACTCAGTGTAAGTGTTTGGATTCCACGGTTTTGTGCTGAATCTACATACTCATTTCATTCTCATTCAAAAATTAGTTATGAGAGAATGAGAAAGGGTGAAATCGCCGGTCGTGTCGTTCTTGACACGACAAAGTAAAAGGCGTTGAGGTTTCCTTACACGTAGCGTCTTTTGGCAACAAATAAGAATAAATCAATTCAATTTCGTACGTGAGCTAATGGCGATGAGACAGACACGTTTTGCTTTAGAGTAGCTTTGACAAGTCCAAAACGAAAACATCTCCACTAAACACAAACATTTCAAGCTCAACGAGTGTGACAACATGGCAGACGTTGCAGTAGAAGGCGTAAAAGGACTAGCTGCAAGAGTAAAACGCATCATCTTCTTATTCGAGCTTAATTTTGGTTTGTACGGTCTGCCTCAGCATGAAAAGATTATAATTTGTGAGTTTGTTTTAGTACATAGTAGCATTCAGCAACCAAACTAACGTCTATTGTCAATGCTAGATATCGTACTAGTTGCATTACTATATTGGATGTATCGGGGAGTTGTTTGGGCATTGTTTGCCGGTGCATCATGAAACAAGCTTAGCGTTGTTGAAACACGAGGACTGTTGTAGTCGAAGTCGTTGGCATTAGCAGTTTACAGTAACTTATATAAGTATGAATGCTAAATATTTATATTCTGAACTTGAAGACACTCTACTATTTAAACATGGGTCTGGAATGTTTGGGCCTGGATTGTTTTGCATGTTTGGAACTTTTCTGCAGAGCAGAACTTGAACTTTTGATTCCACTAGTAATTAGAATAGGAGATATCTAGACTTCGGCATTCTACTGTTGTAAAATTGCTTAGTTGAAAGTAGCATACACACACACAACCAAACATACAACACAGGATTTCGGCTGTTTAACTTATTTTCTTAGATAGACTTAAATATATAACCTTACGTTTAAATACTGTTAGATAGCAGACATAAAATTTACTTCAACACCCATCGTCCTCCCTTCACTTTTTTTTTCTTCACATCGTTCATCAAGTCCTTTCTTACTACTTGCCATAGGTTTAGGCAAGGTATTTCAAGTCCAACTTGTCGCCAACTTCTGAGATAGCAGCCAAGGCCATATCAATATCTTCCATGGTATGAGAGCTACTGAGACAAAATCTAGCCCGACTTTCCGTGACTGGCGTGACATAAAGGACAGCGTAAGTAATGGAATGGGTGCTTTAAACGTTGTAATTGCGATGGACATACCTGGAGTCGCGGGAAAGCCGGCGATGACCACAGCAACACCCCTCTCCAGCATCTCGTAACTAAATGGTCCAATCTTACAAGGTTGGCAAAGCAAGACGGGAACTACCGGCGAGTTATCATCCCCCATTACAAGGAAACCGTGACCCTTAAGTCCATCACGGAATCGACGAGTAAGTTTAGCCAAGTGCTCAATACGACGTCGTCCATCACTAGTACCATCTTCTCCCATTATGATGGTCATCGAGGTATAGATTTGTTGCAATACGGGTATAGACATAGATTCAGCAAAAATGGAAGAGTGGTTGTATAGACGAATTCGATTAATCAAGTCCCGACTACCGGATATATAGCCTCCAGCGGCGCTGAATGCTTTGGTAAAGGTACCCTGGAAGTTTGGAAAGAATTCTGTGAGTATTGATGTCGGACAGAATTCGTCGGGAACACTAGTATTCATACCATAAGAATGTCTACTTCACGGGGGTTAACACCGTAAAAGTCGCAGACACCACGTCCTTTAGGTCCAATGGCACCAATAGAGTGAGCCTCATCAATGTACAAAAAGAACTAGACGAGCGAGAACAAATTAGTGTTAGCGCCGTATCGTATCAATGTTGCCCCCAACTGGATCTTACTTTGTATTTACGTTTCAATTCCAAAATCTGAGGTAGAGGGCAGATCGTTCCTTCCATCGAGTACAATCCTTCAACGACAACCAAAATCTTCTTCCAGGGAATGTACAAGCTACTATTCTTGCCGCCTTGACCATTAGCGATAGCATCTCGAAGGACTTTTTCCAGAGAGTTCATATCATTATGTTTAAACGACTTGATGGATGCACCAGAGATACGACAACCGTAGACCAACGAGGCATGATTCAGTGCGTCGGAGATGACGAGACTACCCTGTAAATCCAAAGAGTGGTCAGATGTGATGCTGAGTAAGTGATTTCCTGCATATAGGTATCACAAGCAAGAGCGCGAGGAGGGAAAAAACTGCCACGCCATCTCACCTGTTCAACGATAGCTGGCAAGGTGGTTGAGTTTGTGGCAAACCCCATCGAGAGTACCACTGCGTCTTCTTGACCAATATATCGAGCAACGAGTCGTTCAACATCCGTGTGGAGAGTGGTGCTACCAGCTTCCATTCGAGGTGATGACGTGGTCATTCCAAACTTTTCCAAAGCTTCTTCGACAGCGTCAGCACATGGCCCGTGAGATTGAGCAAAACCAAGATAGTTGTAAGAGCTCAAGTTTAACACTGTTTGAGTTCGGCCAGTCAGTGTGAATGTCTTGTTATAGTCGTCACTGACGCGTTCCAGAATGGTTAGATGGGACCCTGGCACACCAGTGATTGGACGATGGAAGCAGTCCTACGTAGGGGATGATTTGTTAGTTGCAAATTTACACGCGACACGTATAACACAGATCTTGCTTGATTAAAACCTGCGGGCGAGCACTCACCTTGATGAAACGATAGAATTGAGCACGGAAAAAGACCTCGAAGCCTTCGTTCAGGGGAGCATAACCAGGTTTAAGGGCATCGTTCGAGCTACCGTGTGTTTGGTTAGCGACTGGTAAAACCATGTAAAGCAGTATAGCAAAACAAGTGAAGAGAGACCATAGCAAGACTTACATATAGCCAAGAATATAATGTCTGACAAAATGAGCGAGCTGCTGACACGCGTTGCGAATTATTCCAATGCAAGCCAAGATGATAAATCCAGTGTAGGTTAGAGCCGTGACCCGTAGTGGAGGTTCTAGTTCAGTGTGATGTGGCTTGACAGCTTTACGATGAGCAGGATAATACGATGCATTATTGCTATCCACGGTTGGTAGTCGCTTGGTATACAGGGGTTTGGTGGTTTGCTCCATAGAAATAGCAAATAGCAAATCGGCAGCTCCTTTTCCCATTTTTGAATACTAGTATGATGAATTAGATGTTAGGTAGTTGATTGCCAGTCCTCTTGGAGGTGATGGACTGCTCTCTGGGATTTTGTCGGGTTTTTGTAGTGGTGTGTTGCTTTGATGAGGTGAGGCTTTTTTAATTACTCTAAGCATGCGGCCGCTGCTAAGGCAAAGATGTTTTGCATATAAAGCGAAGCAAACGCCATGGCCAGCATGTGCTTGCGACTATTGCATCGCGCATCCATCCTCCCAATGATGTTCTGAAGTTTTGATTCGCGTTTTATTTGCCTGTTCGACTTAAATATTTCCTTTCGGACATTTTCGTCACATCATAAATACCAATCCCCTCCCTTATACAAGCTGACGACTTCAATGAATATTTACATTTGACAAGGTGATCTCACTTCTTGACCTTCTTTCTGTATACCAACTTGAGCTCCTTATTCACAGTCTTGCTCTTAAAGGTTACCAACTGAATGTGAGTATTCCCTTCATCTTCGAGCGACCAGATGGTGACAGACGACCACTTTCCATTGATATCTCTAGCATGAGTGACGCCATTGCCATTCTATGGTTGAAACGAAGAATAAGGCGTCAGGAACGAAACATATCTCCCAGACGCACGGGTTTGCAGTTTGCTCAAAAACCACTGATCCGAAGCTAGCCGCGTGAGCAAATTCATGATCTCGTACCTCATCTCGATAATTCCTGGTGTGCATCTGACCCCACCACTAATAAATATGGATGTGTATGGACACGTCAGTTTTCACATGTTGCGAAACATTGTCGAATCTTAACTTTAACGGCCCATTTCCACATTGCGCTGAATGAATATCACTAAATTACCGGATGCGTCTCGATTCTTTCCACACCATCGAACAAGTATACATCGGTTTGATTTTGCAAGTCCACCACCACTAGCTTATCGACTGGTTCCAATTCATGCTTCATGTCAAAGGCAATAGTAACTAGCTTGCTGAGCTGTCGTAATATGAAACTCATTCCTTGAGCTGCCAGCACATCCTTGGCGAAAAACATAGAACTGTGTGAGTTTGTGATTTCTAGGCTTGAACTCTACATTAGAGACTCACCTGATATGGAGTAGTGGCAGATGCATCCTCGACCCAATAGCCAGTAAAGTCCACCAATTGAGCCATGGTGCTGGCCCCTTGAACCAACAATGTTATGTTTTGTGAAAAAGATGGAATCAATCCGTTGCAAGAGCTTCAGTTGGTCTGTCAAAGCAACGCTTATACGACGCCACGTATTATGCGCATTTAAATGCCAAGAAAATCAAGTCTCAGCTGCTCAGCAACAGCTAGAGGCGCTCACATTGTGCTGGGCATCACAACAGCCAACAGCTCAACCAATGATGTTTGATTTCGATGTTATGTACTATACTAATTATTTAAAACAATAGATAAACCAATAGAATCGTGCATAGTAAGGACATGAATGAAGTTTTAACCGAATCTGCTGTATTGCTAGTTACGGGAACCGTTGACGTGGCAGTTCCAGTCCCATTCAACGCTATTGGAGTGTAACCAACCGAGTCACAGCTGCTATCATTCACATGGATTAGTGCCATTTAAGTTGGTGTTTTCAAAGTTGTCAAAAATCGCGAGGTGATCCAGTGCCAAATACATTCATCAACAAATATGTGTACAGCAACCAAATTCATACCATTCCCATATCCTCGTGCTGAATCGTATGACAGTGCAGAACCACGGGACTAGTAAAGTCCTTTGGCATGAACCTGATCGTGACTCCATTAGCAAACGCGTAGAGAATGTCTCGCCATTCACCCAATCTCACAACAGCTGTATTCAATATCGTCATGGTCGAAACTTTCTGGATTTGGAAGCTATTGAAGGTGTTAACAATGTGACTGCTGATGGGCTCAAGCTCGTATGTACATTTCAATTACTTGCCAGTTGACATGAATATGCAACATGTGGGATCCAGTGCCTGGTGTCGTCGCTCCGACTGTGTTGCTGGCTGCAGCAGAATATTCTCCAAATTGAGATAATCTTGGGAATGCGGAACAAATGTGAATGTATATGTCTCGTGAAGGACACTGTTTCTTTCAGGTCAGACACAGGATTACATTTGCATCACCTTGTCAAGACAATCTTGTTCCAGATATGGATAGGGGGCATTAAGCCGTTGGAATGCAATCCGATTCACTTGCTCGCCAGCAGTTCCACTGGGGTACTTGTCGGTGTCAATACGTCAAGAAAACCAAGAACAACAGCATGATACCACTGTTGACCAGTCTAAACAAGGACGCAGATCCAGCAGTAACTGTCACGGTTGGTTGATATTGACCATTAACCGTACACGCTTGCAATGGAACAGACGATGAAGCAAACACTGGATTCGGTGTTATTGTCTGCGTCTTTTCAGCAGCATACAAGTATCCAGCCGAAATGTTTGTGTAATCCATCATGCTGAATGTCAAAGACACCCCCGAGTCATTGCCAGCAAAGTGTACATATTGTAATACCATGATTTGGGTGTTGGTTGACGCGTATAGTGTTGCCAAGTCTACTGGTAGTGTAGTAGTCGCACTTGTTTGCATGACAAGTGCACCAGCTAGACCCCCCGTTAACTGAAGAGCGGCTGCACCATGTCTGTGTGGGTGATACCAAAAGAAGCCTGGCATCTGGTTGCCCCGAGTTCTGACTGATATTGTAATGGTTCAGGATGGACTTTTGAAAGTTATGACCTTATCAGTTCACCTTCGTTGCCTGTATGTATAGTCTCTTAATTGACCGGGCAGGACGTACGAGCTGACATATGGAGACACGTGTATACCATGAGTGTGAAATTAGTATCAGGGCTTAGAGGTTAAAAATGTGAGATTTGGAATAACAGCGACAAATTTTAAGGTTGAAGTGAAGAAGATCAAGACGTTTATGTCCTCACCAGTGGAAACTATTGTCATGATAGCTACATTCTGCAACTGAGGTGTTCGTGGAAAGCTCTTTGGTGATTCACATCGTACATCCAAACAAGCGGAATTGGTGAGACTGGAATTGCAAACATACAAACGGGATTTTATGCTCATAAATACGATTATCTTACGTTCTTCCAGGACTCATATAAATTGTCGGCCCAGGATTTCACAGCACACCGTTGTAATAATACAGACGAGACTGGAAGTTGACGAAGTCTTCCACAGAGTACGTCCCCTGCTTCACAGCTCCACCACTGGAGATCCATTGCAATACACAGGTTGAGATTGTATCAACGCCGCAGATTCAATTTGCGTCACATAGGTAAAATGCACCACCAATACCAGCCATTTTGGCATCATTCCGCGTCTGATGCAGGGCGATAGCAACGTCCAAATAGTGCTTTCGAGCTTGAAAATGCATTCGAAAGTGAGGGGGTGCTGGGTGATTGTTTTGACGAGCAAAGCCTAACTAGAACTTTGGGATTCACGAACGGTAGATATTCACCCTCCTGCAGAATCGACTTGGCACGCATTATTAGTATGACCATTACCATGCCAGCTGGTCCTACGGGCATCAAGTTCTTACGAACGCCTGATGAACGATTCAACAACTTGCCAGGATTTCCATTCAAGGCGAACTACTTTCAGGTATGCAGCTGAGCTATAATTGTGAGCTATGAACGGAACGCCCTGGCTATACGAACATCTTCGGACGGTTGCGGTACTGACCTTTTCGGTTCTCTTCACGATTCAAGCTGTGATCTTCGTTTTTTTTGTTTATGACGATGCCATCTGAAGATGTGAGTAAACTTGACGAATGCCATCATTTTTGCCTAGTTTGGCGATCTTCGAATCCATTATCTTGATGAAAGAGGTGCTATCTATGATCCAGTCACCAACGTGACTGTCGATTCGCCACCTGAAGGTGCTGTGTTGAAGGAAGAGACCTGGCTCTGTTTACATGGTAGGTGTCTTTATCGCCGGACAAGAATCTTCTTTTGCATACTGGGCATCTCTCGGGTTTCACTGTTTTGCCAACGATGAACGATTCACGTCTCATACAACCAACTTTGTCAAATAGGCGAGCCAAGTTGGTCTTATCTGTATCGTAAAATGATTCCCAAGATCTTGAATTCTCGCGGAAGGACTGCTGTTGCATATTCAGATCCACCAACATATATTCGTCGACGTATCATTGCTCCTGATTTAATCGGCTTTGGTAAATCGGACAAACCAACGGACATGAAGGCGTACACCGTTACATTACACCGTAACATGTTGCTATACCTGATTCTCCATCTGGATCTGACCAATATTACGTTGGTGTGTCAAGGTAATTCAAGATGCGTGAGTTTTGGAGGACGTCGTAAAGCTAACTTCTCATGCAATTTCGACCAGACTGGGGAGGACTTCTTGGACTTACTCTACCTCATGAATGTGAGTCTGAAATACTTTGTTGAGATATGTGTCGTGTTTTGTATTCTGACTGTATCGCTGGTTCTAGTTCCTGGTCGATTTAACCGCTTGATGATCATGAACACGAGTCTGCCATTTGGTATGATTGGCTCTTAGAATTTGCGAATAATGCCCCGATTCCACACTAACCGCTCTCACTCCAGCTGCTAATCTGCCACCAGCATTCAAGCAATGGCGTCAATTCTCCATAGACAATGAAGATCTACCGGTGGGAAACGTGCTGTATATGGGATCAGGAGGAATATTATCAGACGAAGAAATAGAGGCTTATGATGCACCCTTCCCAAGCATTGAGTATAAGGCTGGTGCTCGTATCTTCCCAAGTCTCGTGCCTGATGCTGAAAAGGCTACCCAGGACGGACCACAATATGCAGCCAAAGCTCTGGAGTATTACTCAAAGGCTAAAGATCTGACAGTGCTTATTGTGCACGGAAATCAAGATCGGATCTTTGCAACCATGATGGGAACGGTAGCGATGCATGGTTAAGACTGGTTTGTTGAGATCATTACTTACAACCCCACCGTTTAGGCCGCCTACTTCACTGCATCAGGATGTGGCTACATTTCACTACCAGCAAATCATTTCGTGCAAGAATTTGCCGATGAGTGTCCATTAGTTGAGTCAGCACTCAACTTTTTTGAACAAAAAGAGTCTGGATTGACATTCATCCCTGCCAAACTCTAATCCCGTAATTTCAAAAATAAATAAAATATCGCAGACACGCCGCTGCGACCTTCGTGTTTTTTTCCATCGCGTTTTGCGTCTCTCTCGCTCTTTCTTCCAAACCAACAGAATGTTTTTTGATCTTGACATCCCAGCGCCATCAGCTGGCAAGTCTGAAGGGCAGCCATCGCAAGCTGTCTTCCTGAATACAGCAGAAACTTGCAAGAGATGTAAGCTACCTGATAGTCAGACTCGCTAGTTTCAGTTGACGAAAAAAAGGAGCAAGCTCACACCCCCATCACAGTAGGATACCATGGAGTCGCTTACAGCACTACATTGCCTCTCAAAACAGCTCTCACCAAAGTACGCTTCCTCTATTTGAACCTTCTCTTTTTCGAAATCAACAAAAAAAGACCAACATTACATCTTCGAATAGCCATGCGACATCAAGCTCCCAAACCTGTCATCAGACGATACAAACTCACTTGCAAATCTATCATCGCATACCAAACCCGTCACGAATACAACATTTCACCAATTGACTCGTTTGACCGTCGTAGCTGAAGAATCAGCTATGAATGTTCAGTTGGTAAAACATCTTGACTACTTTGAGTAGTTTTTTTTTGTGATTCAAATATAACACCAATTTTCTAAATAGACAGCCAACAACCAAAACCTGTTAACGTACGATATCGTGGCAGTCATCCCAACATCAGAAAAAATGCTTCAGCAAGCATGCCAATCCTACGATGTAGACATTATCTGCTTGGAAATGTCGACGCGTATATCACATTATTTACGACCGTCTACTTTGAATATCGCTATACAACGTGGGATTTATTTTGAGATTAGTTATGCCGCTGCTATTCGAGGTAGGACCTTGGTCTTTTTTGGGTATGTGGCAAAGACTCTAGAGTCTCAGGCTTACGAACGGATCGTTTTAGATACAACGGCAAGGAGGAATCTATTAGGAAATGCTGCAAATCTAGTACGAGCAACACGTGGTAAAAACATTCTGGTGTCTAGTAGTGCTGCGGCTGCAATGGAATTACGTGGGCCCTACGATGTCATGAATTTGTACGTGAATTGCTTGCAATTTTCTAGAGTATTTTTTAACAGCGATCTCGACAACATAGGTGTAATCTATTTGGACTGGATCATGCTGCTGGAAAACGAGCTATCAGTGCTCACTGTCGTGCAGTCATATTTCATGCTGGTAGGTTCCCATTGATCGGTCTTTCGGTGTCTTTATTTCTCTCGCACCAACCAGTTTTCATTTCGATTACCAGCTACACGAAGACTGACATATCGTGGTGTCGCTGCTATGGAGCCCTTGTCTGCTTTAGCGAAAAGCGACGCATGGATGGTTGGTGGCAAAGACAACTTTATGGATGTCAGCGACGCACCACAAAGAGGAGAAGATGGCGACGACGATGATGAAGATGACACTATGGAATCGTAAAACCCTTCTCTGTTTAGGCATGATGCAATAAGTATATTATAATATTGTATAGCATTTTTCAATCAGTGTACAATCCCTCAATTCAATGATGCAATCACGTCTTCTACTTGAGCAGCCTTCCACAACCCATTCGCCCCCTGCGAATACAAGACTCCATCATCAATATATACTGATACACCCTTCAAGCCATTACTCATTCTATATAGAGGTTTGCCAGATGGTTGATGTACCCTGCCTGGGCCGACAGGAAGCAGTGACACGTTGCTTTGACTGCACATGAATTCTACGTAGTCCCTAAAGCTGGCAGCTACATTATCATTACGGGCAATCTTTTTTGCAGCTTCTGTCTTTTTCATGCCAAACACATCTGGTGCTAGTGTTGACGGATGTGGTACAGGAAATCCATCAATTCCCGCCTTCATCATGGTGAGTGCTGCTTTGAAGCATGCTGCCACACCAGGTTCTTGTGCAAGTTCAGTAGAGAACTTGGTCTTCCATATACGATACCACTCTCCAATCTCTTGATACTGAGCTCCAGGAGCATTGAGCCACTGATATACTATATCCAACCACGGTGCAAAGAATTCGGTTTCTAATAGTCGGGCAGTTACAGATGGTCCCATCAGAGTTTGCCATGACATTACAGCTTGGAATGGTTTGACGTTACTATTTTGTGGATTAAGGTCTAGATCGGCTCGAAGTGCTATTACTAGTTTAGGCAGTATTGATCGTGATAAGAGAGAAGCAAAGACGTCGTCGGCAAAAACCTCCTTCCATGGTGCAATCACTGTTATGGCAGATGGGTCTTCAGCACGCCAATCCGACAATGCTACAATCATACGACGACGGACTAGATCATTTATAGAGTCCATACGACCAGCTGGCACTAGAATCGGTAACCATGGATGGACCCAAGCATGAATCGGTTGAGGATCCCGTTTTGGATCCCACTGTTCTACCATTCGTTCGAGTTTAGGCACTATTAGTTGATCGAGAATGTTGAGATACAGCCATTCAGGGATAAGGCCATCGTTCGGGTGCCATGCTTCAATCAAGGCAACACAAGCATCTGGGGCCTTTGGATTCCAATCATTATTTATGCTCTGACGAATACGAGGGAGCCAGATTGTATATAGCATCGCTTCATACGGTGTCATATCACGATTTTTACTAGGTCGGGATTCGCTGGGTATAAAGAGTTTACTATGTCTTGACAGTTCTGTTTTACCAAATACAGGATCTTCGAGTGGTTCCCATGATGCAAAAGCGCGTCGTAATATGGGTGTCAGAAAAGCTACTATAGCATCTATGAGCCCATACGTAGTATACTCTTCCTGATATGTCGTCTTAAACTGCTGAAAGATGTCTTCCAACGCCGACAATGATGGGAAATGGCGTTGTTCTATAGAAGCAGTTGATAACCGAGTAGCTGTCTTGGATGCCCTATCTACTAATTCAACTACTTCCTTTGCCCTTTGCAGACTTTGACCTTCTAAATCTAGCATACTGGATAATCGAGCAGTGTCCTTTTCGATTTGAGCTTGTTTGGTGGTCTCAATTCGAAGCTGGCGAGTAAGATGCACGAGTTCTGACTCGGCTAGATCTGCAATAAGTCTTACATTGTGACGTAGCTCGGGTAGCCGTTGTGTTGAATCAAAGACCGACCATTGTGTCTTTTGTGACAAGTCACTCAATACTCGAGTTTCTTTACCCGTCATATCTATAATCTTGGTAGTTGAGGCAGACGATGATACTGGTGCTATTGGCACTACCCCCGCTTCTTCTTGCTCCTTTATTAACTCATCAACAGTCTTGTACCGTTTTTGAGCCTTCTTTTTACGTCCACGTTTGCCTTCATCAGCAGCAATACCAGCGGCCTTCTTTTTCCATGCTTCAGCTTTTTGTTTGACAGCAGGTTTGGCACCTTCTTCATCCGATGATTCATATTCACGACCTGTTGCTTTTTGTTGTTCTTTCACTGCGTCTGTTCGTTCATCAAAGTCTTTAAAAGATAAACCCATACGAGTAGGCCGTAACTTGACATCTATTGGAGCCGTTATACCTTCACCACCACGTCCAAGACCTGCTCCTGGTACATAACCCATCTTTTGCATGAGTTTGAGACCTATACCTTTAGTATGTTTTTCGAATTTACCAAAGTCCTTGTCTACTGATTTAGGTGGTGTCGGTTTGACTGCTGGTTCTGGTGTATCACTGACACTACGTTTATCATTACGTGGTCGTTCACTAGGTGCTGCCACAGTCCTGACACTAGGAGCAGTATTACTGGGCGGAGGTTTCGACGCCATGACGGATGCACGTAGTGCTTGAGCAGCGTCACGATTGGACTTGAGCTGTATAGGCTGAGATGGTAGTTTTGATGGTACAGGACTGCTGCGTTCCGCACTAAACTCTCCTGTAGCAAATCCCAGTCCAGATCCAAAACCTAGGCCAGACCCACCAAAGGAAGGGCGATCATTCTCTTCTCCTTCTTCCTCGTCTTCTGCGAATGCTTGTCTCTTTGAAGGGCGAGGAGGTGGTTGGTACTTGTCTTCATCCATGTCGTCGTTCAGCCTAGTATCGTCTTGATCCATATCTTGGTAACGACGATCTTGATCATCTTCATCGGGTGTAGTAGCTGGGAGCTTTGATGAGCTGACGAATTTGACTCCTGTGTCGTATTTAGACTTGGTTGGCTTTTTGGGACGATTTTTAGATGATTTCGTGTCTTCGTCACTATCTTCTCCAAATACACCATATAGCGCATCTTCTTTGCCATCACGAGTGCTCCTTCCACGCTTGCCTATGATTAGATAGAAAGGTACTTAGCATTGAAAACACTATCCGTAGCAAACAACGAAACTTGCCTTGACGTCTAAAGAGCAGGGCTTCCTCTCTTAAGTCGTCGTCTTCTGGCAGTTCATCATCTTCCTGATCATCGTCACTGCTGTCTCCATCGTCCTCGTCGAGAACTCGTTTCCTACGTCCCATTGCTTCGATTGTCGAATTTATTTGTAGAAACTTGCAAGCTTCACGAGCTTCTAATCATGCCAAAGCTGAAAGGACTAGAGGAGTCAATGTCTTTCAAAAATGATAACGCGATCAAAGGTTAAAAAGAGCCGTGATACGCGAAGAGCTTGTGATTCGAAAATTCATGTCATCGATTGGCGCAAATCGAGCTCAAAACAGCAAGTCAGTTCACAAATCATCTAAATTTGGACCTGATGATCACACCGAACACGTAAATTGTTCTACTGTAAGGCGTTCTGTGTCGTTTTGCGTCCTCATCGAAACTTCTGACTATTGACATACAACTTAAACTAATACACCGTTCGGACCCCATTGGACCTATCTAGGCCATGTCAGGCACACCGCGTATCTATCCAGCCTCTTGGAGTGACGAACTCAGGAAGGAAGTAGCTCTCCTTCATGCCTCCCGGAGCTTGGAGCAAGCGTATTCCAATCTAAAGAATCCAGCTCGTACACGAAAGGCTATTGAGGAGATGATGTACTTTCCTCTACCTGCTGGAGTTGACGTAGAGTCTGTCTCCATCCCTAGGTACGTTTGTTGCGTTGTAATCTCAAATCGTGGGTTACATTTGACAAAGATCTGTTGATCTGTTGTCGCAAACCCTGAAGACGTCAAGGTGTTTTCTCCATATCACGTTCTCCAATTCGTTCCATGAAAGTGCTAAATCTCATAATACAAATCGCCACAAACCTCCTAGAGTTGCTACACCTGGTCTAGATTCCAACCCTCAAGGCAAAATTGCCGCAGAGTGGCTGGCACCAGCAGGCAAACTTCATGATGCCTCGCTTCCAGTGGTACTATACCTTCATGGAGGTGCCTACGTGTGGTAAACTTTTGGGTTTTCAATTGACCATTCGACTTCACTGTCGACAACGTCAACCCATTCAACCCATTTTCAATCAGGATGAGCCCTAAGACTCACAGAATCATCACTGCCAAGCTGGCTCTAAAAAACATTAGAGTCCTGTCAGTAGACTATAGAATGGGGCCTGAAGAGCCTTTCCCTGCTGCAGTTGTCGATGCTTTTTCAGCCTACAAATTCTTGCTGGCTGAAAAGATTGACTTGAACAGAGTTGTCATCAGCGGTGACTCAGCAGGCATGTGATTTCCAAGTCCATTTGGCATCGCTGCATCTTTCCTTTAAACCAAACCCTCTCGCTCACACTGCACTATGACGCAGGTGCTGGACTAACAGTTGCTCTGATGCTCTATCTACGAGATCGTAACGAGACATATCCTGCTGGTTGGGCTCCTTTAACTCCATGGATTGACCTCAGATGCGATGCACCTAGCGAACATATCGGACAAGAATTCAGGTATTGCAATGCTACGTGACCGATGAAGCTTTTCAAGATCTGTGACAACTCCAAAATTAGATGCGACGTTGTTGAACGAGACCTTTTGCTACCAAATGTACACGCTTACACCGGCGGTGACAATGGCCTCAACGCAACAAACCATCTGGTATCTCCTATCTTGGATTTGGGGTCTAAAGGACGTCAGTTTCCACCGATTTGGCTCTCGACTGGAACCACAGATTCATTCTTGGCTGAAACTATCTACTTGGCATTGACTCGTTTGCAGTCAAGTGAATCGGTTCACTTGTTGATTTACGAGGACCTGTACGTAGCACCCTTTTCAATTTGGTGGCATTCATGAGTAACAAAACCTGTTGATTTGACGATACCTTACATAGGTTCCATGCTTTTCAACTCCGTCCTGGAGCATCGGCTGCAGCTGACAATGCTATTGAAAGGCAATGTGACTTTATAAAGACGGTAACATCAGGAGGAACTTTAAAAATCAAGAACCAGTTGACTTCCTTAAAGGCAAATACATTTGAAGAGGTAACTCTGTCCGCTGCTGATGTGAAGAATACTCTGAAAAAACTGATTGACCGTGCAGACGCCATCAGTAAACGTGATTATGAACCGTATCGTCAAATGGCGAATACTTCAGATGCCACGGATAATGCTCGTTTGTAGTTTGTGCTGAATATATAGTAATTCATAGGTTTTATAGTCATGACTGTTGACAGAATGATAAAATAGCAGATAGAGAGGCTGTGTGGGCGTCGGTAATTCAACACTTACTTTGAATTCGTCTGAAAGCATTGCGTCGAGAGTTCTTCTCTGGAAAGCTAACTTCTCACGTTTTGCGTCCAAACTTCAACTTACCTTTTATTTTTTTCATGTTTTAGTTTTATCACCGTTTGTCGTAGCGATCCTTTATTGAAGCAATATCAAGACAATGACAGAGACATCAGAGAGAGTATATCCAGCCTCCTGGAATGCTGAACTTAGAAAAGAAATAGCCATGTTTCATTCGGCAATGGGGACAGAGCGAACAGCCCTCAATCTGAAAAATCCAGTGCGCGTGAGGAAGGGTATTGAACAAATGATGGAGTTTCCGCTACCGGCTGGAGTCGAGGTACTGTCTGTCTCCATCCCGAGGTAAACTCTGTTTATTGTGAATGATCTTATTCACATCGCATTTCGCGGATTTTCATTTGGTGGGCGTCGAAAGGGTGTCGAACCTCTGCCTGAGCTGTTACGTAACGAGCCAGCCGCTAACAATGAACCCATAAAATTTCCAGTCTCACTATTCTTTCGTTACGAAATTCGTAGAGTCGCCTCACCTGGACTGGATTCCAACCCACACGGTGAAATCCCTTGTGAATGGCTAGCGCCATCGGGCAAATTGAACGATTTATCACTTCCGGTGGTGCTGTTCTTTCACGGGGGTGGTTACTGCTGGTACATGTTTGAAAAAAGTCGAAAGTCATTAGGGTCCAACCTCTTAATCGTCTAATATCTCAAATCATTTGATCACCCAGGATGAGCTCCAAGACTCATAGGATTATCACAGCCCGACTCGCTCTACGAAACATTAGGGTGTTGTCAGTGGATTACAGAATGAGTCCCGAAGAACCTTTTCCAGCTGCAGTAGTCGATGCATTCTCAGCTTATAAATTCTTGTCAACTGATAATATTGATTTGCGCAGAGTTGTCATCAGTGGAGATTCTGCAGGTAATGCGGTTTGCTTTCCCTTGTTCAAGTTACTTGTGCTCCGGTTTTCGCTAACACTAAGAAGTGGCACAGGTGCTGGACTTGCGGTTGCTCTGATGATGTATCTACGTGATCGGAACGAAAAGAATCCTGCTGGGTGGGCTCCTCTAACTCCGTGGATTGACCTTCGATGTGATGCTCCAAGCCAGCATATAGGGCAGGAATTCCGGTATGTTTAATCGCATGTTTTCATGGATTACACGCGACGTTTCTTACTCTCCAAGGTCAGATCGGACGTTATTGAACGAGGCTCCTTGTTGCTGAATGTTTACGCGTACACACAAGGTGACAACGGACTTAACGCCACAAATCATTTGGTATCTCCCATACTGGATTTGGCCTCTAAAGGGCGACCATTCCCTCCTATCTGGCTCTCAACTGGAACAACGGATTCACTGTTGGCTGAAACAATAGTTTTGGCATTGACTTGTTTACGGTCCAGTGAATCAGTTCACTTGATGATTTACGAGGACATGTACGTGTAATTGAGCTCTTATTCGTGAAGGGCAAATTTTCTCAAATGAAAACCACAATGTTTAGGAACCACGCCTTTCAACTTCGTCGAACAGCGAATGCCGGCGAACATGCTATTGACAGGCAATCTGATTTCATCAAGGCTGTAACATCAGCAGGAACTTTGAAAATGAAGAATCACCTCGCCTTCGTGAAAGCAAACACATTTGAAGAGGTACCTCTGTCTGCAACTGATGTGAAAAACACTCTGAAAAGACTGATTGAGCGTGCTGAGGCCATTAGCAAACGTGATTACGAACCGTATCGCCAAATGGCGAATGCCTCGAATATCATGGTGGATTGTTCTAGTTTGTAGGATCTGATCGATATATATCATAAGTTATTAAGATCGTGCATGTTACAATGTGACAAGTGACAAGGAAGTGAGTTCTCTTCGACGCAAACCACTCGACTTCCTACTATACGCTCTATCCTCCATAGACGCGCGACGACATGAGCCTTGTGAGCCGTACTGCTTGAGTAAGGTTCGTGCACCCTGAAGACCCTGACGAAAAATTAGCTGTGTTCGTGTACACACCAAACGTGATGAACTCTTTACCCATTTCTTACATCAGCAACAATACAGAGATCTCCTTGACCATGAACTGGAAGGCAAAGGAACCATTCCGAACGGCCTGCATCTCGCCTGTACACGAAAAGCAGCACACAGATGTCGTTTCGACAGCGCATCACCTTCGCCGTGTTGTAATCGCTGACAAGTTCGCTTGCAACGATTTGGATCTCACGTAAAAGCTAGATGGGGATGGACGTCAACCATCAACAATCTACGTCGATAATCTAGTCACGAAAAAGACTTTGCCGCAGACACCGTAATCCAAGGACGGTAGCTCTCACCATCTGACAGCTACTCTTGCTTTGTAGATTGTTCACTGGGAACATTCTCTCCCACTTACGTAATCATATCTCGCCGACCTCCTTGTTTTGAGAAAAAAAGGGGTGATGTAATGGTGCAGTTTCCACCCTTGTATTAACGTGGTGCGCTGGCAAGATACAGCAGCGATATAGCTCATCGGCAACTGCAATCGATCTAAGAGGTAAGCAAGCCACTTTGATATGGCTCCCCACAGCGTTCGGGAATATGTTGTAGGGCTGAAAGGGGCAACGTTTTGTTTCTGGTGGACGAAGTGGTCAAAAGGGTCAACAACCCATGTTGCAAAAAAGCCGCCAAGCTCTTTCATCTGCAGCCTATAGTATCGGGTATTAGCTTGCGGTTAGCATTGATTGACTTTCTTCACCTGCCCCATTTTTTAGGTTAGCAATTTAGGAAAAAGTTTTACAGGCTGAGTGGGCCATCGCAACAAGTTGTAGTGAATGGTGATAGCCATATAATGTCTTACCCTGACGCTGGTAAGTCCAGATCGTGAGCATCTGGCATCGCAGCCCCACTGACAAACGTGGTTTTCCGGTTCGGTACTAGATGATTTCAACGAGTTGATCTCCGAACAGAACAACAGAGCTCATACGGCAGAGAGCATCATGACCATCCAGAATGATCCACACAATCAATTCGTCCTACCTCCTACGTCTAGAAGGCAATATGCACCGTATCCACCATTAGATTATCACCCAAGCATGGCCTATCCAGAATTAACACCATACTATTTACCAACGTCTTATCCACCCCCGACTTATGCTTTCAAGTATGATGAGGATGGTCAGTTGCTGCCCCCTCCTACAACTCCGATACCGAGCCACCCATACTATAGCTATCCAAACATACCCCCTCCGCCGTATCCTCCAATATATTCCATGCGTCCACCGCCGATATTACCACCATGCTGTCAGAGACTGCAACAACAACCTCCACTACCTGGCGGAGCTGCTCTTCCAAGGAGAAGTTCTGGACCTGTAGATCATCACCATCAACCTCATATATTAATGCCACAATACAGACCACAGCAACCAACAGGACCACCGTCACCTATATCACCTAGATCGATATCGCCTCCACCTGTTATTCAATACGAGACAGTACCTTCTGAACGCAAGAAACGAAAATCGGCAAACGCCATCGAAGTCGCAGCTCAGCGGCTTGGAGACGATGGACACCCGATTATGATACTCTCAACACGATATGTTTGCTCTCATCAAGGATGTGGCAAGACGTTCTCAACATCGTAAGTTGGTTTTTCGTTAATCGATCTCAATTTTTGGAGAGGGATTGGATTAGGCTAAACCACTTTTTTTTGAAACTCTTCTTGTAGTGGACATTTACGGAGGTAACGTTGTGGCCATTAAGGCAGTATATCTAGCGTCATCATTCGTTTCATTATCTGACATTCTCTTCTTCGCAGACATGCCAAGGCACACACCGGAATCAAACCGTATGCTTGCCCAATAGTTGGTTGTCAAAGCAAATTCTCTCGGTGAGTTTCATTTATACACGGTGTCATAAGCATTGCATTGCAATTGCTGATACGCTTGAATCAATTCTGTAAATCTCCAGCCAAGACAATTGTTCACAACACTACAAAGTGCATCAACGTCGACTTGACCAAGAACGAGAAGGACGAACATCTACATCACCAGCCTCTCAATCGAATAATACGCCAATGACAATAAATAGCCTAAATCCGTCCCCAGCTGGTACATCAACTGAATCAGATACTTCGCCGTACGAGTCGGGAAGTCCATTTGAAAATCAAGGGTAAGTAATTATCTTTTAGTTGTCAAGGAGTAGAATTGATGTGCCTTCAGGATTATGTTGGATTTCCGTATTCTTACTTTGGATATGGTGTACTTATCCCACTTACTCGTATTAGATATGACGACTATGGTTTGCCAACCTCACCAAACTTTGGTTTACCGACTCGTAATCGCATTGACATCTTGCATACACCACCAGACATCCTCACACCACCGAACTCTACTCCGGGTGGCCTGATGACACCGGCAGTGTCGACGCCAGCCTTCACACCTAAAAATGAATTGGAGGATGTGGATCTGTCACGGTTTGCCGATGCCTTGTCACAACACAATAGGATGAATGGGATTAGGAAAGGGGAAGACGATGTGTGAAAGCCTTGGCACACAAACATCCATATTAGCCATCCCAGATAACACCAAATCAGGTCAAAACGCCCAATTATCGAACTGTAAAACCTAATATTTGAATTTTTCGAAATCGCTTTCCCCATTGTAAAAAATTATAGAGTTACAGAACAAGTAACAAAAATACTATTTCATTTTCATAAGTCTCTGATGGGTCTGTCGTAGCGTTGGAAGGATTTGTTGACAAAATCACGTCGTCTCTCTCCAAAGGCTTTGAAGCAAAGACACAGACCTGCAAAGGATCTAAGACATGCTGGCACTCATGAAAACTCATCAGATGTTGGGCACGTCAAACAACTTTATTATGACCAAAATCCACACAACGAAATAGGTTTACAGGCGAGCAGAGTGAGAAGCGGATCCAACAAGCAAAGAGTTCTGCTTCTTGATGGCTTCCACGCATTCACTCATCATCTCGTCAACGATTTGCTTTGCAGGAAGGATTTCATTGACAGCACCGGCTACTTGGCCCATGAGGTATCTCCTTCTTTCGACCAGTTCTTCGTCAGTCCATTCTGGGTGCTATGGTAGTATATTGTTAGCCTCATAGTAAACTAGTAAACTGGCATGAATTTTAAATAAGATTTTGACTTAAGCAACATAAACAATTCAGATATCGATATCAATTACAAAACCACTGTAAACGATATCAGATCAGCCTTGTTGCTTAGTGCGCTGTACCTTGTCCATGTCATCGTCAGCTGGGATTATTCCAGCCTTTGTCATTTTCTGAATGTCTTCTTGTCGGTTATTTTCCCAGTCTGCGACGTAACTATAAAGCAGCAATATGAGCATCATCAAGACAAGCTTAATTCATGTCTGAAACCGAAACACTTACGCAGTCTTACGGACTCGCATAGGTCGACCGGAAAAGATCAAGGTTCGGACAGTGTCAGTATAGTCAGCTACATAGAAGTTGTCAGTAAAGTGTGCAAGCTGATTACTCTCAGGCAATTGACAAAATTTACCTGTGAGCACCGCAGTCTGATGTGCTCTACTTGCACCAGCTTCAGTGGCGCACACGAAACGAGTTCCAACCCACACTGCTTGACAGCCGAATGCTAGAGCCATCGCGACTGATCGACCATTGTATATACCTCCCGCACCAACAACTGGTACTTGTTTGCCAGTTAAGGGTGAGAGCTTCCCCTTGCACATATCGACAACCTTTGGTAACAAGACAGAAGTAGCGATATCACCGGTGTGTCCACCACCTTCCCCACCTTGGGCGCAGATGATGTCTACACCGACTTCCAAGGCCTTTGTGACGTGTTTTGGTGCACCAATCATATTCATAATCAGGACTATGAAGCAAAGTTTAGTTTGCGTGCATGGCGAGACTCCAAAACAGCAAAGAGCCTTACTTCCATGAGCGTGCAACTTATCAACGACCCATTTCGGTGGTATGCCGACCGCACAGACGAATCTATGGACGGCAAATGTTCAGAAGTGTATAATCTATGTGTATGGATTCTGGAAAATGACTAGGCGCAAACAACTCACAATTTGGCACCCTCTTCGATGATGACGTCGATTAATTCGGGGAGCTTGCCTTCAGTCTAAGTCGAGTGAGTCAGAACATGAGGTCAGAACTTGGGGATTTCAACGCACAACAACTCACGTAATCGTAGTTGGTGGCACGTGCTCCAGCCCCGAGCTGAGGCAGCAACAAATCAACACCAAATGGAGCATTCTTGTCAATGAGGTCTTCTTTGACCTGGGAAAGAACTAATGAGTCCAGAGTATTCGAGGGAGTTGCATCCAAAAGCTCACACCTGTTTCAAGCCCTTTCGAAGCATGTTTGGGGTATATCGAATACCTCCCAAAACGCCAATGCCTCCGGCGTTAGTAACAGCGGCCACGAGTTCAGCTCTGTCGAAATGTGTCAAGTGTGTAAGCGTATACAACATTCAACAGGCTGCGAGCGGTTGGTAGCCTACCCTGCGGCGTTTCCCATGCCTGCCTGAAGTCATGAATATAGAAACAAATTAGTCAAGGAACAACGAAATCCGATTCGAGCTTGATCATGGATGTGTGATACTAGCTCAAACTGATCACAGTCAGCTCTGGAGGCAAGACGACGTACCAGCATAATTGGGTGCTAAGTGAAATCGATTAAAAGTGTTAGCATTTGCAGGGATTGGGCTTCTAATATAAAGACATATTCAAAACATTTTGGGCAACACGATTCACCTTGATCCCAAGCATCTTAGTGAGTTCAGTCTGTATAAGGGCCATAGTGAGTTTCCAATGAAGCTAGTCTGCAAAGGTGATCTTGTTTCTCCTGGTTACTTGTTGCCTGAGCAGTGAAAAGTTGAGTAAGTGTGGTTTTTTGGAAATGCTGACAGCCGATTACGTCAGGATTCAAACAGACGTTTCACAGGAAATCACGTAGATTTTCCTGAAGATCACGCGTTATTCTTGAAGGATCTACCTTTTCCCTGCCTGCCATTTCGGTTGTTTGTCATGTATCCGTCAAAATCAGTTCAATTCGATAGAAAAATTCAGACCGAATTCGATTCGACCCATATGGCGAGCCTCAATCTACTAGGATCGTATGGTGAAGATGACGAAGAGATGCACGAGGAGCCATCGAAAGAAGCTGTGCAAACTAGATCGAGTGTTGATGTAAGTTTTGTCGTTTCTGTCGTAAATTATTACTTCTTGTTCATACCAAGCTAATTTCCAACAAATATTGTAGGGTGAGTCCATTGTTCAAAGAGTTTTATTCCATTTTCCCTCATTTTTCAACCTTGGCCATTCTACGCAGCAAAATCATTATTGGCTCTTCCAACAATGGAACGAACGTCCAGTACTGAGACAAGATTTGAAAGCTTACGTGCAATCTTGAAGCCACCGGCCATAGAAGGACAAGAGAGCTATGGCATTCCTCCAGAACCAGATGCTGAATGTGATCCTGACCTAGAGGTTGGAATGTTTGGAACTTTCATGTCGGCTGCTTCCAATCAAGATGTAACTAACCATACATCCAATAGGCCAAATTCGAGAACTGGATGAATCTAAAGTTGAATGGAATGCACTTCAATACTCGCCTAACGAAAACACACGCCTTTCGTAATCCGTCAATTATGAGTAAAATGATTGAATTCCAAGGCTTGGACGAATATGGCAGTAACTTCCCAAAGGACATGTTTGATCCTCACGGATTCCCACCAGAAGCGTTTGTGGATGAGCTCGGTATGATATCATGTTGCTATGTTGTTGTGTCCGTTTGGGGATTTACATACTAAAACCCTGTGAAATTACATACTAAACTCTCCCACTTCTTACAGAAAAAGCTCAAAGGACTCGTGCTGAACGTGCAGCCGCTGCTGCCATCGCTGGAATCCCAGTACAAACAGCATCTGGATCGACCTTAAATATCAAGGAGGCCGCAGAAGTAGCTCGTCAACGGGCCATCCAATTCATGTCAGCAGCAAATCAACAGCCTAAAAACTCGCCTGGTGTTGGTAGTGTTGGAATGTATTTACCGGCAAATCAGCATGCTGCACCTGGTAGCGCCATCAGTACAGCGGGATCCAAACGAAGCAAATGGGACTCTACTGAATCTAAGAGATGATCATCTTGCACATACTTGTTCAAACCACTGTAGATAACTTTCAACTAAAACGTATTTTATTGCCAAGACACTCCATACGATTTGAATCGAGTACTCATTCACTTTTACAGACGAGCGCTGCTTCCACTGGAAGATCCAATAATGAGGGAGGCCCTGGAGCGCAAGACTTGGGCGCATTCAGTAGCCATCTCCTCGACAATTTCTCGAGCTGGTTTTACGTCTTTGATGGAACCAGCCACTTGTCCCATCAAGTAAGCTCGTCGAGCCAACATCTCATCATCCGAATAGTCATGAGTCTCCATATCTTCGACTGCTGGAACAATTCCTCGCTTGGTCTTTTCTTCAATTTCAGCTTGACGGTTGTTCTCCCCTGTTGGAATAAAAGCCATTGTTAGCTTCATCGTGCACTTACTCAATTTCATTACTGTATCTTTAACTCGATTCAAGTACGAAAGAGAAATCAAATACTTACAATCAGCAACATAGGCGGTCTTTCGGACACGTAGAGGTCGTCCTGAGAAGATCAAGGTACGGCATGTGTCTGTGTAATCAGCAGTGATCTATTCAAAATGTGAGAGTCAGCGCTGTGATTACCTAGAGATTCTGGCAATTGTCGCAACCGATGTTTGATCAATTAATGACAGCAACTGAAACGTACGACAGCTTCTTGGTGAGCACGAGAAGCACCAGCTTCAGTAGCACAGACAAAACGAGTTCCAACCCATACAGCTTGAGCACCCAAACATAAGGCCATAGCGACAGATCGACCATCGTAGATACCACCAGCAGCGACTACTTGAATAGGTTTACCAGTCATCGGTGATACTCGTCCCTTGCACAAGTCGACGACTTTTGGCACAAGGATACTGGTTGCAATGTCACCAGTGTGTCCACCACCTTCACCACCTTGAGCACAGATAATATCTACACCGACGGCTAAGGCTTTGGCAACGTGCTTGGGGGCTCCGATCATGTTCATAACGAGGACTGAAAAGATTGCGAGTTAGACAGGTTTCTGTGGAAGCATTTCACTAGGGACCAGACGTACTGCCGTGAGCGTGTAATTTGTCAACTGCCCATTTTGGTGGTACACCGATAGCGCAAACGAATCTATGGGTGAATGTGTTGGGAAACCAAAATTTTAGAAGAACAAAAAGTCGTCTACGGTGGACTCACAATTTGGTGCCTTCTTCAATAATGGCATCAATTAGTCCTGGTAGCTGTCCCTTGGTCTATTGTACAAAACGAATCACATAAGGAACAAGTGATGATGTTGACATTTGACTTTGAGATGGGGCACCCGTGGGCCGAACTTCCATCACTGCAATGGTTTCAATATAGAAGATGCTTTGTGGTATCGCAGATATGCTTACATAGTCATAGTTGGTAGCTCTGGCACCACCTAATTATTTTTTTTGCTTTAGACGCAGACGATGATAATGACGCGAAGAACCTAACAGGGACGTCGACGCACCTCCAACTTGAGGAAGAAGCAAGTCAACACCGAATGGTGCCTTCTTGTCAACCAGATCTACATATCCGGAATAATCGGTTAGACGGCGGCCATTTTACGGAAAAGCTGCAGGTGATAATGAAGGGGACTTGCCTGCCTTGAGCTTTTGCAAGTTCTTTTTCAACATTTCTGGAGTGTAGCCAATACCACCAATGACTCCCAAACCTAGCGAAAATGGTACAAGTTTATAAACAAAAAAATTCAAACGTGGACGCCGTTGTGACAAGACGGCTCAAAGAGTTCAGATAGTTACCTCCAGCGTTGGTGACGGCTGCAGCTAGCTCAGATCCAGCGGCAGTACCCTATATAATCAGTCGTGAGGGCCGTGCAGACAACTCGTTGAAGCACAAAGCAGCAGGCACAAAATGTTGTGGTCGTCAGCTGAAGTCGAAACGGGTGTTTTGGACCACAAAACAGCAATGTCCAAGTACAGCCAGCCATCACAAAGACGGCCAATGGCAGTAAGACCACGACTCAGGTACCCCAACAAGTTGTAACGTGGATGTTGATGCCGGTTGGACCAGGATCGTTGAGCATACGTACCATTCCAGCTAAAATGATTGGGTGCTATAAAGATTCCATTTTCGTTTAATTTTCATATTGGCGAATGAACCAGTCAAAGTCCACGACATTGCTTAAGGTTTGGGCAACTCACCTTGATTCCAAGCATTTTGGTCAATTCGGTTTGTACGAGAGCCATAGTGAGCTTTTAGATGAATTTGACGTGGAAGATTGCTTTTAGTACGTTGGTGGTTGTTCGCTGTTGTCAGAACAGTTTGGAAGAATGGATGTTGCTGAAGATGCACAAAGTGTGACAATTCAAAGCCACGACAAAAACGTTCAGTGCGGTAAGGAACATAGATTTCAGACCGTGTTATTATGAGAAATTTGCAAACAAAATGAAACAGTCTACAAGCGAGCAGATTGAGAGGCACCAGATGAGACAACGACTAGGTTGGCACGGCTTCGGAGAGTCTCAATGGCTCCATTAACCATTTCCTCAACTAATTGTGATCAAAAAGACATTATTAGCTTCAATTCTTTTTTGAAGGAAAGTACCCTTAGAGTCAGTTTCCTTACCAATTTCTTTTGCGGGCTTAATGTCACCGATGGAACCAGCAACTTGACCCTGAAATATTCAAATAGAGAGTAAGAACTTGACAAAAACCGTCTGAAAATGTATATACATCGGCCATTTTTCTGGCGTATATTGCTGGGCTTACCATGAGGAAAGCCTGACGGGCCAACAATTCTTCATCTTCGTAGTCGTGGGTGTCCATGTCTTGGACTGCTGGAACGATACCCTTGTTGGTCAATTCCTAGAAAAGAAGAACATAGTTAACATACTGGAATTAAGGTGCAGAGTGGTGGCTTTCAAATGTAGCAAGCGCATACCTTGATTTCAGCTTGACGGTTGTTTTCCCAGTCAGCGACGTAACTGTCCACAGAGCGATAATTAGCAACGCCATTGCTAGTAAAACAGGTGAATATGGGAGCACTTACGCAGTCTTACGGACACGCATGGGTCGTCCAGAGAAGATCAGAGTACGGCAAGTGTCGATGTAGTCGGCAGTGACCTTTAAAGAGATGACAGGACTCAGTTCAATTACCTCGTATACAGGGCACCGAAAACACTTACGACGGCTTCTTGGTGAGCACGAGAAGCACCGGCTTCAGTAGCACACACGAAACGGGTTCCGACCCAGACGGCTTGAGCACCAAAGCAGAGAGCCATGGCGACGGATCGTCCATCGTAGATACCACCAGCAGCGACAACTGGGACTTGTTTGCCAGTCAAGGGGGAGATCCTGCCCTTGCACATGTCCACGACCTTTGGAACGAGGATGGCGGTAGCAATGTCACCAGTGTGTCCACCACCTTCACCACCTTGGGCGCAGATAATGTCTACACCGACTTCCAAGGCCTTTGGAACGTGCTTGGGGGCACCGATCATGTTCATGACGAGGACTGAAATGGAGAAAGGGGAAACCAAGTTAGCTTTACCTTTTTGGTAGGAATCGAAAAGAAAATTGGGAATCTTACTGCCGTGAGCATGTAACTTGTCAACGGCCCATTTTGGTGGTACACCGACAGCGCAAACGAATCTATGGGTGGTAAAAGAGTTCAGAATAAATTCCAGAAAAGAGTGCTCTTTTGCGGCATCCCAGCTTACAATTTGGCACCTTCTTCGATGATGACATCGATGAGTTGAGGGAGTTGTCCCTTGGTCTAAATGTAAATGATTGTGAGCCTGAATCGTTCTAAAGATGTCACCAAAGAAAAAAGAAACCATACGTAGTCGTAGTTGGTAGCTCTGGCGTTTCCTCCGACAGCTGGGATCAATAAATCAACACCAAATGCGGCCTTCTTGTCAACCAAATCTGCCTTGATCTCTTGCATCTTCTTTCGCAACATAGCTGGAGTGTATCCAATACCACCGATGACACCGATACCTGGAAGAACGGATGTTTGTTGAGGCCGTGGATGTTTTCGTAAGGAAACGCATGGAGGGTGTGAGAAGGAAAAACGTACCACCAGCGTTTGAAACGGCAGCAGCCAATTCAGAACCGGCAGCCGTTCCCTGTAAAATTGTATCAGGATGGTCAGCACAGGGAAAAGCGGGCCTTGGACCACAAAGCAGCAAGGGATAAGTGCAGATGGCAATCAGAAAGATCTCCACATGCATATCGAGGCAAAAAACTGAAGTGCAGAATGTTGTAACGTGGAGTCATGACCTGGCATCTGGGATTTCACTCACCATTCCGGCTAACATAATTGGGTGTCTACACAAGCGAATATGTCGTAAGTAAAGGATTCTACCATTTCCTGTTCTCGTTTTCTCAAGCAAGCCCTGTGTGTATGCGTTTCACATTTGGAGGCACTTACCGGATTCCAAGCATTTTGGTCAAGTCAGTTTGGATGGAGGCCATTGCGAGTGTATTGAAGCTAGTTCTAAAAGTCTATAAGTCTATATTGGATTTTTTTGGATTGTTGAAATGCAATACCCCACGATTTTCAAAAAAAAGAAGGCTCGGAAAAAGCGCAAGAACGTGACAAAAAGCCCAATCTTTACGTCATAAGTGAAATTTTTGAAAAACTCTGTAGCGGTCGGTGGTGACTGAGGCCTCAGATCTGATATAGACTCACTGCAGATGAGCTACCAGAGCTTATTTGTGGCCCTGTATCACAGGTACTCGCGCTATCCTGATCACAATTGTTTTAGTGGTTGAAGCATGGCAAAACTTGGAGACCCCAAGAAGATGGAGTGCAACTCGATCAGGAGCAGTAAGGATTTAATCGCGAGGGTCTATATTTGCAGTATCTCCTTAAAGGTTGTTTCGTACTTGCAAGTGCTGGACTGCTGTCCGACCAAGCAACTGGTTTGGGTCGCCAATTCTGATCAATCAAGCTTTGAAGCCACAGTTCTGATAGTTCTAGCTGTTTAAATATACAGAAGTGTCGGCAAGAGTTCAAACAGACCGACCGTCTTCTCGACTGAGGTGGTGTTTTGGCAGAATGCTGGATTTCCATTATTGTCCCATCATTCTAACGCGTTTATTTGCATCTTTCCGCATCCGGACGCGTAAATGCCTAGAATAATAGCCTCTTGGAATTCTACACGGTTGTGCGGTTTGAGCCTCTTTGCAATCATCGTGAAACTTTTTGCGAAACAAACGTGCGAGTCCTCAAAGGTGCCCAAGATGTATATACCGGTGCTGGGGCGGCTGACCATAGCCGATTATGTCAGGATCGCATTAGCATTCACCTTCCTAATTACAGAACCATTCATTAGATTATTCTTCTTCCTCTTCCCAGTAGCCAATGTCATGAACTGGTTGCGAAAATGGTTTCCGCAACAACCTCCTGATGGCTCCACTCCTATAGACTATTTGCAAACTTCCGAGGATTTTGTACGATACTGGTGAGTCTGGTCTCGCGCTATGTCGCTTGTTTCAGCTGGGAAACATTTGTCACGAAAATTTTGGGAACCCGATGAAACAAACGAACTTGTCGTCTTTCTGGTGGACGCCTATTATGAAAGCCAATAGCAATTCATGAGATATGGAATCTGGCACAATCCTTTTTGGTTGCCTGTTTGTCGGGCGAGTACGACAAGTGTCGGGCGAGTACGACAAGAGTCGTGCGAGTAACCTCGTGCTAATGAGGTCGGAGATCCAACTCGGCCGATGACTTGAACGATACCATTAAATTCATATATTACCATATTTACACTCATTGACTGGTTTACTCATCTATGCACACAATAGGGGATTTCCATTCGAACCACACTACGTTACAACTAAAGATGGATATATTATATGCCTACACCGTATCCCACATGGTCGTGACTCATTACATTCAACTAATGGTAGTCCAAGAAGATTGAATCGGTCTCACCCACCACCATCACCTTCAACTCCAAGACCAGTCGTATTACTGTGGCATGGCTTCTTGATGTGTAGTGAAGTGTTTGTCTGTACTCCTGATCCTACCGCATCACTGGCATTCACTTTAGCTGAAGCAGGATACGACGTTTGGCTCGGAAACACCCGAGGGAACAAGTATTCTTGTAAACACAAGACCTTGAAACCCACACAGGAGGCATTTTGGGACTTTTCTCTAGACAGTCTCGCCATGTATGATATGCCTGACGCAGTAGACTACATATTGAGGATATCTGGTGCTCCGTCGCTCAGTTACATTGGATTCTCTCAAGGTACGCTTCATGAGAATTGTGTGTTAACTTTATTGCCTTTTTGTTTAGCTGACGACAACAAAATCTAGGCACTGCACAGGGATTCTCTGCCTTATCACTGAATAGGAAACTATGCAAACAAGTCAATCTTTTCATAGCATTGGCTCCAGCCACCAAACCACATGGTATCCCTCGTTCGAGCGAAGACAAAAAAGTCAACCAACTCATCTGACATATCACTTTCCTCACTAGCGCTAGCAAGCAAAACCATCAATGCATTGATCAATTCGGCTCCTGAAGTGATTTATCTGTTATTTGGTCGCAAGGCACTAATATCATCGACCCTCTTCTGGCAATCCGTATTGAGCCCTCATATATTTTCATTCGTGATTGACCAGTGTATGTGGCTCTTATTTGGCTGGAAATCCAAACATATACCACACAAGCATATAGTGTATCGTCACCTGTACTCGTATACTTCCGTCAAGACTGTCGTCCATTGGTTTCAAGTCATGAGGACCCGCAAGTTCCAAATGTATGACGAGGAACCAACTATTGTGCCTGGATCTACGGGTGGTCATCTGGTTCCAAAGTTTCCTACTGAGGGGATAACAACACCAGTAGCGATCATCTATGGTGGATTGGATACGATTCCTGATGTCGAGGTATCTTTCAAGATCTGTTTTCATCTTGAGGTGAATTTTCCGCAAAGCCTGAAATTGTGATTCACCATTTTAGTATATATTACGAGAAACGCCAACACCAGTCTTTTGTATGCAAGTTGATGGTATGATATGGGATACCGTTCATTTTTTTCTCACGCAAGAATCTAACTGGGTTGATCAACAATAGAATATGAGCACTTGCATTTCCTGTGGGGTGCATTATTGCATCGAACCGTATACCCAGCTGTACTAGGTTTACTCAACTCGTACGCCGAAATATGGTCTGATCCATCCAGCACGTCACCAACAAACAGCATCACCACAACCACTTCAGAACCAACAAGATCGGTACCATGGATACCAAAAGCCGAAATAGAAAAGGCCATAAAGCTAGGACGAGGTCGCTCAAGCTCACGAGGAACCGTATTTGAAGGCCGTATATCAATAGAAGAACTCTGGACACACGATCGACTCGTCGAATTGGGTAAACAGGGCATCGCACCACCCAGTTACGAAGAGGTAGCTGGGATGAGCAACAAACCTATATTGGCAAACCAACCATACCGTGATGAATCAATATCACTTGCTCGAGGTGGAAGCAGCAGTAGCAGTGATACGCCCCGTGTCAGTGAACCAACATCCGAAACAGCAGCCACATCACTCAAACATAATTCTAGCATGGACTCTGAATCAGATACGGCATCCATTGCATCGCATACACCATCATCAATACACTATGGATCATCAACACCACAACCATCTGTATCTACGTTCCATACCATGATGAATAATCCATCTATAGCAGCAGCCGTAGCTCGATTGTCGTCATCTTCTTCGTCAGGATTTAATCGAAGGCCACAAAGAACTCATTCTATTGGAGGTATCCCGCAAAGCAGTCGACCTGGGCCTTTAGTGAAGGCAGATCCAACGTGGGAGGAAGGCGATGATGATGTTGTCGAGAGTTTGTTTGAAAATGATGATGGAGAGGATGCGTTTCATGATGTTAGTGATTAAGGTATCCCTCGCTTCAAAATAAAAATATATATGATTAAGTGTTGTAAATAGTCGAAATACCCTTGAAAATACACAATAGAAGTTGATGATTTGTTGTTGTTTGATACTTTATTTTAATTACAAGAGCGATTCTATACATGAGCACGTTATAACTGAGTTGGCCAATACTATATTTCATTTCTTGCCTCGGACTTTATCAAGCTGTTTTCCAATCTTCTTTACCCCAATACGAGTACGATCGACACCCTGATCGACTTCCGTCAAGAGTTGATTCTGGTTGTCGAGTTCCTCAGATATAGCACTACCTATTTGCTTTTGCCTCCTTACAATAGACAACAAGGCATCGACTTCTCCATCTTGAGTGGCCATGATCTGCTGTTGTAGTTGCAATACACCTTCGTTTGATAGTGGTCGAGTAACGTCTGTTTCTTGTGCTGCACCGAATCGTCGGCTAGTTTTTGGCGATGAGGAATATACGTTGGTTGAGGAGGATGAGGATGAGTTGCTATCGGTTGGCATCAACATGCCGCCACCATTATAACTATTGCTGCCACTACCACCACTGTTATTATTACTACTATTGGTATTGTTGTGACTGAGCAATGCCTGTTTATCCTGAATATGATTCTTTGGTGGAAGTGCCAATACCCGTGTCAGGGCATCCCGCTCATCACGTAACGTGGTAATCATATCGTGTCGTCGATTCCATTCACCGCCTCCTACTTGGCTGTTTGCAGCAGCTGCGACCATGGCATCATCATATGTTGGTGGAGGAGGCACGACCTGACGCACCTGCGACCATTCCAGTCCAAGCCGAGCCAGCGCATCTTCCAATGTTTTGATACGTTGCGTCAAGGTATTCAATACTTTTTTACCATTCATGGAAGCCGTGTTGGAGACAGTCATGTCACCTCTAGCATACGCTTTATCTCGTTCTACTACGTATTGTCTGACTTGGCGTAATGCGTCCATGACTGAAGCATACTCGTCCATCCACCCCTCGATATCATCCTTTTCATTGTTGGCGTCGCCCTTTTGCCAGTATGCACTGTTTGTGTTTGCTTTACGATCAGGTATGCCAAAGAAGTCGCACCAGTCTTTGCTTCTTCGCCATATCGCATTTGGATGGTGCAAGATTGCTTGGAGATAGCGTTCGAGACCTATGCGACGGGCAGTCAAAAAGTCTGGGTTGAATGCTTGAGATGGGAGCGACGAGAAGAGAGTCTTTCCAGGCGGATATACGGGTGTTGTTGCTAACATAAGTAGGTGCGGTCAGCTCTCTGAGAATATCACCAAATGCAAAATGTCTTGAAAATGGTTTGGCCAATGGTCGGCATACCTAGTAAGGAGAGGGTTCTGTGCAGAGCATCAAAGTCACTGTATCGCTTAGTGACAGTCCATGAACGTACAGGTCCTTGGAGCGAGACAGTATATTTAACATGTCGAGAGGGAGTGTTGACAATCTCGTAAGACGGCAATCTGATTTGAGTGACTGGCTCATGAGGACCCATTCTAGGGAGCTGGCTGCTGCTTGAATTGGCGAAATGCCTATGTTGGTCAGTGTCGAAGCGCCAAACCGTGATTCAATAAAGATACGTTTTCATCAAACATGTGACGAGAAAAAAGTTGTCGAATACACTTTATTCAAGCAAATACGTACGTGTTCACAACCAATAGAATCATATCAAACTAGTCGTAACGCGTACCCGACTCTCTTTGAACAACTTACCTGCGAATTCAGCAAACTCACAATCTGCTGCCCTTGCTAGGTGGCGTTTCGAGCTTTAGGACACAATTCCTAGCCAAATTTCCTTCAGTTTTTGCAATTTCAACGCCAACGTTAGAGTTTACTGGTGGTTGTCAGCTCCCTATTGCAATTTGAGGTTTTCTGCATCCCAACACCACACTGACGATCGGTATCAGTCGGTGCTTTGAATCACTTGATTTGCCATCTAAAAGGCGAATAAAAGGTGGTAGGTTGATCTGGATTCTGCCTTCAGGTTGAATTCGCTTGCATGCAATGGCGACAGTGTTCAAAAAGTCTGCACACTGAAGCCCACATTGTTTCTCAGAATAGCAACTAATCTGATCGTCGAGGACATATGGCATCTGTCGGCTTGGAAGGAGCTACCAGTCGGCCCAACGACGTTGATGCGACTCCCATTGACATTGAGGACGTTAAGGTCACTGCGGGGCACGATGCAGCACCAGGGGAGAAGGAACACTTTGTGAGTTGGCTTGCATCGCACGTACAGTATATTTGAGCCACAGATCCAGTCCACAATTACGGTGGAGCATACATTAGTGATCTGGGTGTCTTATGTACACCTCATGTGTGGACAATCGGTTTACATCCTCTTACGAATCCGCACCTGCAAACATTAACTCTATTTGGTTTCTCACGTAGTCTGAGGAGGAATTCGGCCATATAGACTCGGAGAACTTGAAGCTCTACGTGAAGAGCACCAAATCCTACAAGGACCGATTCATAACAAGTGCGATACCCAGGCAGTTCTTTATCGGCCATGTCCTATATCGGGAGCGAGAAGCTCGACGAGTATCATGGGACGAACTCTTCCTTGACCTGATCTATATCGCAGTCATTGCCCAAACTGAGGAAACAATCAAGCTTGACTTTACGACAAGTGATGCAGGGCCAGCACAGACTTTTCTCTACTTTGTGCTGACTATGATGCCAATACTACGTTCTTGGTATGAGATTAACCTCTTCAACAATCAGTACTATACGCAATCCACCTCGCAACGGTTGTTTCTGTGGATTCAAATGGTGTTGGTCGGGTGTATGGGGCTAAATTCAGTATCGACGTTCTCTGCAAATCCAGACGAAAACACAGGCAATGTAAGAAATTAAGAATCTTAGATACCCACATACGTGATTAACTTGATATATGTTTTAGCTATTCATCGCAACGTATCTGCTTCATCGTATCGTATACCTGATATCGCACTGGAGAATATTGCTAACTACATACGAGTTCCGGTCCTTCATCTGGAGGAGCTGGATCAATGTTTGCATCAGCTCGGCACTGTGCAAGTCGTGCTTTCGTCAAACTTGCTCGCGAATTCTGTCTAAAACTCGCTCATGAATAGATTTTGCTTCACTGTTTGTATCGAGTGACTACCGTGCAATCCTATGGGCAGCGGCTGCTCTTAGCGAGTATGTCGTGCAGTACAGCCAACTGGGATTCGCAGTTGCCGTGCACCTGCCAAAATATCGATTGGCAATTAATATTGAACATATGGCCGAGCGAATGGGATTACTAACTCTGATGTGAGCTTGGTCTTGTTGCCGTTGTCGGTCTTTTTATGTCGGAGCTTCGTTTGTAACGTTCAATCTTTTTAGGGTCCTGGGAGGTAACTGCCCGACGTTTGCGTTCCAGTTTCATTGTGTACTAAGTGCTCTTCTTTGAACAGAAATATGCGTGGCCATCATCCCGGCTTCCACCACATCGCACATTTCGTTATCATATGTGGGAACGGCTCTTGGTTTAATGATTGCCATATCATTCGAATACCTTTACTATTTACAAGACGGGTCTCCTGAATTCACTCATGCGATGAGAAGGAGTATTTTTGCCAGTTGAGTATTGAACAAATCTTGAACCTTACCTGCCTTCCAACAGCGCTGACACGATTAAATGAATAGGTATAATTTGGAATCATCTTCACGTGCCGATGCACATCGCGCTGGTCGCTGGTGGAGCCGGTCTATCCAAAATACTCGCATCGGATCCATTTGCAATTCCCAATCCCGAGATACGGTGGCTGTTTGCCGGCTCAATGAGTTTTGCTATGGCTGCACTGGCAATCATGTCGCTATGCCATTTATCGCATGAAGGGGACGGGAAGCACCATCCTAGAATACCAAAGTTGTGGCGGATTGCAGCTAGAGTTGTTGTCGCTACTACGTCACTTATAGCTTCCGCTTTCGGGCGAGAATTGAATAATGTTCAACTCATTAGTAAGTTGCTGCTCTGGCTAAATCGTTATTTCCGCCTCATTGTCTTATTATCAAACAATCTGTTTAGCTATAGTGTCTCTTACTCTGTTTGGCTGTGTCCTGACAGAGGAATGGGGAAGAGGAATGGCCGAGAGCACAGAGGAAACCATTGCTCGGAAACGTGAAATGAGAGCCAGTCTCCACGAGCTCAAGAAGTTGCTGCTACGTCAACGTCATGACCACAATGACTCTAATTTGAGATGGGCTATGCAAAACGCCCTAATGTTTGACTGAATCTAATAATATAACTAAACAATAACTAATTTTGATAAGTTTATAATATTTGGGTTTGCAGAATAGTAAGTAATATACAAACTTCGAAGGATATATACAATGTAGCCGACTAGGTTTAAAACAGAGTGTTCCGTGATTATTGCGTCGTAAGCAGACGAGTTTCAAAAGAGAGCATTCCGTGAAATGTTTATTCGCAAACGACCAACACCTTTCGCCGTCGGAATACCACTAGACTCGTCACCTTCCAACACACCACTAAGACCAGTCGTTACAATACGAGGGAGTCCATCTAAATCCATCTCTATATCCGGAGACCTCCTCATGCGTCTCGACAACAAACTCCCGACAGCTATTTCATGGTGATGCTCGTCACCCAATAGACCACCCCATGGAGACGACGTCGGCGACGAGTCATACGTCACTATTGTGTACTTCTCACACTCATTCCGTAACGAATCGTTCCCAAACACCATTGGCAGTATCTGAGCAGCAGTTGCCTCGTTTATGATTGCTAATATCTCCTTTTCTAGCAGTGGGAGAATATCATCTAGTCCGACTCCATACTTGTCTAATGCTGCATATAGCTGTATCATGCCTGAATAAGACCGATCGGTATGCCCAGTGTTGCTATAATACAGATACCGTATCAGTGGTACAAATGCTTCGTAACTAGTGTCGGAGATTAGGACTCGTCGAGAGGAAGACTCGAGAGTTGGCGAGCCAAACAGGAAATCAAAGTACGGCGATTGGCTCCGTAGCACGGCTGCATGGGCTCTAGTTATTCTACCGTCTGAAAACACAAACTCTACATCTCCCGTCTCTTCAGGGTTGTCCATTCCGTGGAGGACGAACTGTCGAGGTGTTCCTATTATACATGTATCGGCCCCTCGTTGATATAGGAAGGCGGGCGGAAGTGCTGAAGGATCCTGGCTGGGTAGCGACAAGTCCACTCCTACGTTGACAAATTCTGTAAGTTCAAAGTTCGTCGTTTGCTGAAGGGGGAACTGTGAGGCTATCAGCATGTGATTTACCCTTACCGACAACTATGCCTTCGGAACCTATCTGGCCTGACTGCATCAACGCAACGAGATTCAAGAAGTTCGTGTTGCCTCTGTCCCCCTTCCTTCCCTCTTCAAACATGCTCTCGGCCTAAAATAGATAAAGTACGAGTTAGATCTACATAAACAATTCACCAACCGAGCTGCTTTTGTAATGCAACCGTTGAAAAACGTTGCCAGGCAGAATCACAAAACCGTTTACAATTCGTTCCACCAACAGTGGACCACTGAGTGAAGCAAGTCCAAACATTCTCCTCCTGAAAATAGGTCTTGTCCATGATGCCGACGATGAGGTCGCCGTGAGACATCTCAAGTACAATTCACAAAAACCTGGGGCAAACAAAGATTGAGCTCAACATCAAATGACGCAACACTGGAAAAACAAACATAGAGAGGCTTACCCGGCAACGAGTCGGCGTCGTTCGGATCGCCCGCTAATGAAGGTATCGGTCAGCATTGCTTGCAACAACGCTACGAAAAACCTAGTCACACCAAACAAACCTGGTAGCAGAATGAGCTGAAACGAGTTCTTTTGCCAGTTGAACGAGCCCGAATGTAGTTCATCCCGTTTCGGATCTAGCATGCCCGCTTGCAATTCGTTAAGGGACACTTGCCACAGGAACCTCATTGGTTTGGATTACTGGAACTTTTGTGGGTTTGTATTTGTGAAGATTGTGCCTATCTACTAGAAATGATGACTAAACGCTACCCATTGATGGTGATGTAGGTGAAGTTCACTCTACTGAAAAGATTTAAAATAAATGTACTTTCGGATCTTTGATCTGCGTGTTGCTTTTCGAGCTTGACCAACAAAGATGACTGTTCTAGTTAGCAATACAAGGCCGGATGTGATCATGGATGCTCCTCCTATAAACATCATCATTGGCTTACAGAGAAGTTCTGGATAGGTACTACCACCTAGAAGGAGACAGTTCTGGTGCAGCATGTTCCCATACGTTTTCCCATGCCGAGCCCTTCCAAGACAACGCCTGCAGCAGCTATTGTAATTACGAACCGCAGTACAATACTACTGGTCATAACTGGATTCATGTATTGGTGTTTGCAATGTCTGCTCGTTGTTTAAACGGTACGCTGTGCAGGGGAGTAGTTTCGACTGCATTGCTCGTCCCTGTTGCACGCACAGGATCCACTAATATATCATTCAAGCAAGGATAATAATGTTCCTCATTACTACTTCCGTCTTCAGCACATCTATTTATATATTCAGTATATCTGCAAGCGATACACGTTGACCATCATAAGCAGCCTCTACATGAATACAAGCCTCCGCTAAAGCCTTATTGGCCGACAAATACTGATTGACATCATCATGATCCGAAGCATGACTAAATCCTACCAGGTACCCAACCTTAGGCTTCAATATTAAAAGAGCTTCAATGGCCTCATCTACTCCAAAATGCGATATATGTGATCCAAAAAGCCGGAGAGCATCAATAACGATGACCTGACTGCCTCTCATAATGTTCATTGCTTCTTCCGGTATGAAGGAAACGTCCGAGACGTACGATAAAGGCCCCATTCGGAAACCGTTACAGATGAATGGCGTCTTGCCATCGTTATAGACACCGTGGTAAACTTCGAATGGAATAATTTCTAATTCTCCTGTCGAGAAGGGCGCAGGACCATGTTGGTCAAATATGTGGAATTGTGTTGCTAATTCGAAACGTGTTGGGGATTCAGTTATTCGAGGTCATTGTTTCAGGAATCATATCTAGACTAACTTGGGATATCACCACCACCAGTAGCTTTAGCACTATCCACTAGATACGGGAAAACGCCTCCAACGACTTTCATCGTTTCCTTGGAAAGATGTATATCGATATGACTCTGACATCTATACGACTCTGGTCCAATTGTAAACTGTCTTAGATCGTCTAATCCCTAAGTAAAAGAAGCATTTAAGCAATCCGACCTGATGTGAAATTGTTTAATTTCGTAAGCACGCAACTCAGTAACGTACATTCATTGCATCTGCATGTCCATGAGTCAAGATCAGCGCATCAATTTTCCTCAATCCATACCGAACAAACCTACAAATACGTTCGTGTTGGCCACAATCCAAAGGGAGTCTCGGCATTCAAGACATACCACTGCATACACGCCTCATAAAACGACTTGCCACAATCAATCAACACGGTTCGTAGCGTCGAATCCGAATGGCGGTACCTAATCACAGCACTTGTATTTCTCCTCCTGTTTTTTACGAATAGATCTGATTGTGGGACCACTCCGTCCTCGTCTCCGATGCGTAATGTTGGCAAAGTTGAGAGACAGACTTTGCATGTTTTCACTTGGGCTGTCAGGCAAGCAATGTTTGGTATCGATCCTAGTTGTTTGAGTTGAACATCGTGTTGATCAGTCAAACACGATGTTTGTTGTTCGAGTTGATGTCACCGGGAAAACAAACATTTCACAGTAAACAGAAGACAGAAAGACACGAATTTATGGCTAAAGTTCTCAAAGCTACATCGGTTCTTACCTAAAATACAGGAAATATGAGCCTTGCGTGTGTGCTTTAAAACACAACAATTTGTGAAAATTGATCGAATCCGCTTACCACTGGTACCCGTGCCTAGAAAGATGATCTCCTCCACAGACATTCTTTGCTTTGGATGGTGCTGTTGGTCTTGAGAACTGGCTGTCAAAGCTTGAGAAAATGTACAATCGTTATAAGCTCGTGCGTATGCATGCGTTATGTCATTATATCTGACATTGTTTTGTTATTACTTGAAATATGTCTATATATGTCATGATTTTTTGTACGGTAGATATAAAACCCCTGTATCTTTAGGAAATAGTGCAAAACAAGGCTTAAAGAGGGAAACTAGAGGAAATAAGGAGCTAGTTGTCTCGTAGACACCGATCTGTCATTGTCTGTTAGAGACAAAAAAACACAATGTCAGGTTTGCTATATTCCATTCGGAATCATCACACACAGCAACTTACCAGGAACAGCATTGAATATCTTGATTGAACCAGTGAATATCTTGATCTGTTCCCACAACGATCTGACCACATCAAGTCTAGAAAGCTCAATAGTTAGAAATCCATTATAGCTAGAAACCCATTATAGGATAATAGGTAGAAACCCATTAGGTTGAACCACAGGTTGCATACAAATCCATAACTTGGATAATCCGCCCTCGACGACGTGGGATTCTTCGATGGGTAACCACCACCTTTCGAATCCTGCCCGATCCACGCCTTCGGTATGTGCCGCGTCGTGATACTGAGACTCTGGAGAGAACAGCCAGGACTTCTTCACTTTGAGCAGCATCCAATTCCATTGCTGATATGACTTCTGAAGATTCTGGCAGACCATTCAAATCTGCTTGCGGCATAATTTGAAGGCTTGTTGTTGAAGTGGGTACTTCTTCAGGCACAAGAGTTGCCCTGGTGAAGATTGAAGGCTCGTCATCATCATCAGAGCTACAAACGAGCAATATTTAAACAAATTTCATCTTGTCGGCATTTCTTGCGAGTGCTCGTACATCTCATGGTTGTTGGTGGCAAGACCTCGAAAGCTCACAACCATCGTCCAGCAGCATTTCAGAAGGTCGTCCTCTGAGTTTGACATACTTCTCCTTTCTAAACGATGAATTAGGTAGGAAATTGCGACAGTCTCGTTTCAGTCGCCAGTGACTTCACCAGCAAAGACACTCCATGGCCACAAGGGATGATGAATGATTGCTTGTTTTACATCAGAGAAAACAGCTCCAACAAGAGAATTCTAAGGATATGGAATTGAAAGTCGCAACAGACTGTGTAGCCGATGCTCCGTTTACCTGAAACGCCCTTTTGCATGGTTCGGTATCGAAACAAGCTTGCAACATTTCAGATGCCGCAGCACTATGATTCAGGCGGACCCATGAGCTCGATCCAAATATACGAAGTACAACTCTGATGCCAAACCTGATGAATGAGAGATCAACTGTAATGCGACGATCATCCGGTAGATTCATTTCGTATCTCGTAGGAGTAGTAGAAATGGGAACAAGCAGTGCTTTTCCAGCCACGATGGCATCGTCTTCATGTAAGTCTTCCATCTTGACTGCCTCAGGTTCTTCCGTAGCCTCAGATTCTTTGGTCTTGACTTGCACATGGTCCTCATGATCATAATGTGGGGTCGAACGTGCAACGATACCATGAACGTCTTTATAGTGCTGTTCGAATTCGTCTTGTGATTCAGACAGTACTCGACAATTCAATACACAACAAGGTATTTGATCTAATCGGGGATGTGGAGTTAAATGCGAAGCAAGAGGCTATTTGTTGATGCAACATACCACTGAAATCGTCAATATCATGATGAGAACAGGCATTCAATTTGTAAATGTTTGGTTGAAAGATGTCACATACATCGCATGTTCGTAGTTCCAGAGGACAAGCACACACATTGCGAATGTGAAGATCTCTCAGTGATGAAGAGGCAAACAGCGAATGACACAACATGCACATGTGTATGCACTGATCATCCATCATTATTTTACTCTATCACAAAGCACAGTTTCAGTGACTCATTCCTTCAGAGATTCCAACACGTTCTCTTTGCCCACACACAAAACCGCAAAGACAAATTTGAAGCAGAAATAAAGCAGAAATAAAGCAGTATACTCCTACCATGCCTCTCCTTACGCCGCCACCACCGAGCACGCCTGCTGAATTGCTGCTAACCTGTACAGTGGGAGAGTTGCTCGCATCCGAGAACATAAAACCTGTCTATTTGAGTGCTACTGCTACAGTAGAGGAAGGATGTGATTGCTTGACTGAAAGAAACGTCTCCAGTGTTCCGCTTTATGACTCTGCTTCGGACTCATTTATTGGCTTGTTGGACTTCAGAGGTATGCATTGACATGACATTCGAGCACTTTGCTTTTGCATTCTAGTCAACAGTTACTCTTCATTGGCCTGAAAATATATGGAATATTTATATGCACCTACCAACTGTCTGCAAACCCTCACCATCGTTCCTTCTCTGACTTCTCTGACCCCGAACAGATCTGGCGACCTATGTACTGAAAATCTTCCACAAAACGCCTACCGAGAACCGGTTCTCAGTAGATGCAGAAATGGGATTACATGATGTTGTCAAGATGGCTCAAATTGACAAACAAGCTGTGCCCGTACACATGATTGCCAATCTTTCAAAGCGAGACAGCTTGGTACGAAGCAACACGAACAGCCAGGCGGATGTATGCTAATCCAGCTTTGGTGTTAGGTATCGATTGATTCGTCAGCCTTGCTATTGGACGCTTGCAAATTGCTGGTTCAAGAGAAGGTGCACCGTCTTGTTGTGTTTTCAAACACTGTCACAAAAGGTATTACTCGTGATTTCTGTGTCTCGTAGAGAATCGGCTCTCATTGTACTACAACGTTTAGGTCCTGAAAAGTTTGTCGGAGTCGTGTCAGAATCGTCAATCAACAAGTTCGTGGCCCATGCCTTTGGCAAACTGGGAGGTGCCAAGAAAATTCCAGGTCAGACACTGTGAAACTTGCCATCCACGACGCATCTCAACCTAATCTCACCTGTTAGGTGCTGTTTGGGACAAGGGAGAGAAACCTTTGGCTGAGCTGGGATTGGTCAAGGGCAATGTCGTCTCAATTCAAAAGGAAGACTCTGTAAGTGACATTGGTAGCATCGCATGTTCTATATACTCACGTTTGGTATCTCAAGGTTTTGGATGCTCTTGGTATAATGCACGACAAGGGAATTTCAAGTGTGGCAATCATTGAAGGGGACGATCATCTCATTGGAACCATATCAATGACAGACATACGTGAAATTCTGAAATCCCGACGTGACTGGAAGCATTTGTATGACCGCGTCTTCAACTTTTTCCAATCAACAATCAGTAAGGCTGGTTTGGAACGAGGTCAAGACAGAGGTATGTTTTTCTTACTTTGTGTGAAGATTTATCATGCGTGACTCCTTACTGCCATTGTATGCGTACCTGACTACCTTCAAACCACCACGTAGTACCAAGTGTCGTCGTGCGAACTCAGACATCTTTACTTATGACAATGGAAAGAATGGCCGGAACCCACGTGCACCGACTCTGGATTGTCGAAAATGGTGACCGACTATGTGGAATACTTTCTTTGAGCGACATTATGCCTCAATTGTTGTAGAAGGTGAGCCCAGAGAGCACTTGGTTTCCTGTGCTTTCTCATATTTCTCACGACCCATTTAGATGTGGTTGCGAGGATCTTATTCAGTGCACAAAATATAGCCAAGGCTAGAGTACAATTGTATAGTCCTTATAACAAGAGAGCTTATTTCCAACGAAGCGCGTCGTGACAGGCATTCGGAGAGAATGAGCAGATCTATTCGTTTTAATCATTGGGCGTTCACTTATTTTTAATCGATAACACGAGGGCTTATCTATACATACGTACCCTTGCGGTTAGTATTAGAGTCGTCTTTAGTCCAAAAATCCTTCCGCCTTCCTGTAACATAAAACCATTTGCAACTACACCAAAATGGCCCATGCGCAACCCGTCTCCGTCCAGGCTGCTATGAAACCAAATCATATGAAAGGAGTCGTGGAATCTACTCCTCTCCCTATCATCGATCTGAGCGCTTTAACCAAGGATTATAGCTCCAAAATCGAACCCACAGAACAAGCTCCCACAATTCAAGATGTTGCTGCGCAGATAAGATCGGTAAGTGATTGGCCTCTACGTCATTTGATCCTTCATCATCGCTGAGAATTGTTGGTTGTCAAGCTTATCATCACATTTGTTGCTCGTGTTACTCATCTTGGCGGAGGTCCTTTTTTTGCGATTCTGACTCTGATCGCCCAAAATTTAGGCATGTGAAGATCGAGGCTTCTTCCTTATCGTCAATCATGGTATTAGCTTGGACGAAATCCATGATGTCATGGCAAGTGCTCGAGACTTTTTGGACTTGCCTCAAGCTGAGAAAAACAAGTGTCGCCAAATTCAAAACAGAGGATATTTCGGTAATTGAATCAGGATTGTTATCAATTTGAAGCACAACTTGGCCTCACATCAATATCTACAAAGGCTTGGGAGACGAGAATCTAGATCCTGAATTACAATTGGAAACTGGCGACTACAAGGAAGGGATCGATATTGGACGAGAGATTCCAGAATCTGATCCTGAATACAATCAACCTTTCCGGTTGCCAAACCAATGGTAGCTTTTGCATTGGTCTTGAGAGAGGATAGTACTTAAGTCACACATTCATTTTATTAGGCCTATGGAAGCTTTACCTGAATTCAAAGAAAAGCAATTGAAGTACTTTGACCTTGTCAACCACCTTGGCAATCAAATGTTGAGTGCATTCGCACTTGCTATGGGAGAGGATAAGGATTACTTTGTCCCACGCTTTGATCACCCTATGGTAGATTGGCTCAATCCTGCTAAAAGATGCTTGCGCCTGACGACGTTTCCCGCTCGCTAGACCGTCTTGAGACACATTCGATATCCCAAAAGTGCTGATGGACTTCCTGGAAATTGCGGAGCTCATACTGATTATGGCTGTATGGCTCTTCTAATCCAAGGTATTTTGGTGCTAATTGGAGCAATTTCCAATTCTCAGAAGCTCATTGTGATTGCCTCAACGCGTAGATGCTCCCGGATTAGAGCTCTTCGATACCAAAGCACAAGGATGGGTCGCAGTTCCTCACATCGAAGGTGCCATAGTGGTGAACATTGGAGACATGATTCAACGAGTGACGAACGACCACTTCCACTCGACACTCCATCGTGTGTACAATCCATCGACTACCAATGTCCGACACTCTTGCGTGTTCTTTGTCGAAGCCAACTTTGACAGTACATGGGAAGTATTGAGCTCCTTTGTAACTCAGGAAGAGCCAGCCAAATATCCACCGATTACTCAGGGCGACCATCTTTGGAATATGTATAACAGCACGTACCAGTCTCAGATTACAGGCGATGCACAGAAGAGCAACTTGTGATTTTGTTATGAATGCTTTCATTTGTAGTAGCAAAAATATATTCATGCACGAGTGAGCGCCCTGTCGGTGGTTCCTTCTGTTGTCTCGGTGTTTTCGAAAGCTGTGATGTTTTGATATTTTGGCAAAACCGCCGCAAATCTTTCTAGCCCTAGCAAGGAACGTTCGACGCCGCGGCTACGCATCAGTCTCTATATCTATGAGGCATTGGGCTTGCATTCAAGATATCAGAAGCAGCTTTTGCCATATTCTGATATTTTGACATTCAGAATAGCGTGGGCATTTTTCTCTCCACCAACACATCAAAACAAGCAGATTTCAAATACACCATGAATCACGCTCTGCTTCCATCAATCGTATTGCTATCAACACTGTTGCTGATCCTACAAGTCGCAAATGCATTGACATTCGACAAGTCACTTCTCTCTGTCGATGCTGGTCACAATCATCGATACAAACGAATGCATCCAGGCTCAGATGCTCAGAATCCATCATCATTATCACATTCATCTGAAATTGTGGAGCTCGAGGAAGTAGTCGTTATTCCAGCAGAGCCTGCTCAAGATGTAGCTGTGGTGACATCTAGACCATCTCACTGCTGGCGTCGAGTTCGTTCATTCGCTCGAGACGATCATTCGAAATGTAATCTCATGGAATGAGCAACCTTTCAGTTGCTATTGCTGAACATAAAATTCACATTGTAGCGCTAGTTCTCTGGGGCACAGGGGCCTTTATAAGTGAGCTTGAACGTCAAGTCAATGTAGAGCTGTCAAAATCACTCGAGTACAGACTGGACACATATCTCCTTTATCATTTTTTGGGAATCTTGGAGTTGCATATTAATTGGATCCAATTATGATAGTGATACTAACTTCAAGTCAACTTTCGTAGGTGTTGGTTTCCTTTCCCCCTTTATGTACACTTCAGTCATGTACGGGCATGATGCCTTAGAGGCTCTGCAAGATGCGACAGTAGTCTTTGTATTCGGAGCTGTACCTGCTGGAACTCTCAGCTTCAGTCTCTACAAGATGTTCAGCATTATTAAGAACACGGGAAGCAAGGATACTCCGGTACGGATCCAAATATCTTTTATACTTGTAGTTGCAAGTCACATCTACCATCCAATTATAATCGTTCTTTTTTTATCTTTGCTTTGAGGACAATGAATCTGAGATGGGATTGATTCAAGAATTTAACACTCAGACTCGCCGGGAGAGTAGCTCTGGATTGGCGCCTGTTGCAGGTGTTAGTGGATCAACTGAATCAACTCATCACCTGGGAGTGTCACGCGCAGAAGGAAGTCAAGCTGATACCATGATGTTGAGTTCTTTTGCTCATAGTGATGGTTGGACTAGAAGTGAACCATGCAAGTTGCAAGGAAACACGACATGTTTTCTACTTTTAAGCCAATTGTGTGCCAGTGACCTAAATATTATCCTTCATGTCTACTAGCGTTTGGGCCTACACGTGAAATTGGATCAGCTGGTAGTGCGGTCTTGACAATTGGAGGATTGTAAGCACATACTAAAGGAAAGATTTGGTTTCAGCTCATCAATTTAAAGAAATTGTTGTCAGAATGAACTAGATGATTGCAACTTGACGAAACACTGAATAAAGAAACGCTTACACTCCTTGGCATTGATGCATACAAGTCGATTGAAAGAGTTTGGGAACGCTCTTGGATTTGTGCTTTGATTTCACCTGTTCTTCACTATGTCGGCCCATATGACATATGTGCTTCAATACTCTAGTCTGCTGCTGGCTGGCCTTAAATGAACCGCACGCCAACACGAAATAGTATGTTTAATATGACAACGCATATGTCCGCCGAGATGAACTTTCTTTCTCTTGTATTCACGAGCCCTTAGTGTCGCACACTCTTGTGCTTCCATCAAGGCTTTTGGGCTCCACCGTGGAAAGATCAAGCTGTCAAAACACTCTGCCGTCAAAGTATTTGACATGTCCGGAATGACGTTTGTGACCAAATTTGCCCTTGTGATCCGAGACATCACCACAAACAACCTTCACAACAGTCGCAGACAGCTGTGAAACAATGATGCATCAAGGTTTACATCCACCAGTCACAATGATTGTTATGTTATTGCTGGTCCTTCGAATCACGAATGTATTGACATTTGACCAGTCAATTATCAGCCATCCTCATCATTTGACCAAAAGAGCAGAAGAGCCTCTGGGTGATCAGAAGCCATCAGGAGACGAAAAAGATGTATCAGTCGGTATTCCAGAGTCTTCTGAAATTGCGGCATCTCGACCATCACGCAGGCATCGGTTTCGTATCTCGATACAAGACCGCCAATGTAAGAAAACCAGTGTGAGACTGTTTCCACGACACTAACATTCAATTTCATGTTCTAGTTCTTTACTTTTGGGGTGGAGCTGCTCTTGCTAGTACTTGTCACCGCCCGTTGTTGTAAATATTTGGATGTTCCTACTGACAGTTTTTTTGCGGTAGGTCTTGGCGCAGGGGTTCTTTTACCTTTCTGTTACTCTGTATTCTTGCTCAAACATGGTGCATGGGAAGCACTTCAAGACTCTATGGTTGAATTTGTATTTCGAGCTGTGCCTGCAGGAATTTTCGTGTTTGCTGTCTACGAGATGGTGAGCTATCTACAGAACAGGCGATACAGTGAAGCTCAGGTGAGAAACGTCGTATTCTGCTGATACGATTTTCAATTTGGCGTACACATATCAACTGAAACTGTTCACAACTTCGTTTTGAGGTCGCGCCTCCCTCTGAGATTGGAATAATTGAAGACTTTCAAACTAATTCTCGATACGAGAGGACTGGATCCATGTCTAGATCCTTTGCTCATCTTGATCTTGCTGCCCTTGATGAAAGTCCCGATACATCAACATTACCGCTACGAAGTCACGAAGACCATATGGCACATACAGAGATTCTCAAGTCCAGCTCGGCTCGTAGTGATTCTTTGGCTATAAGTGGCAGTGGGCACATGCAATGTAAGCCGCGAACGAGTACATGCCGACTTTGACGTGGTTTGAGTTTGGTTGACAGCAGTTCCAACAAAAACCCAACTGTTCTCCCTGTATAGATGCTCCTGAAATGCATCACCGGGCCCGTCATGAACACACTGGGCTTGACAATAAAAACATCATGAGTGGTTGATTCAATCCTTGAAAAGGGATTGTTGTTGGAGATGAATTCAGTGTTTCTGTACAATGTATCTATACAAGAACGATGTGGTCACAAAAGGATATATGACAATACATTCGTCAACACATCGTTTGGAGATTCCCCCTTCCTTGAGTTTGTTGACATTTCTCAAAGTTGTCGCATCTGCACAATTTTTCGAAGCAACTTCACACCACCTACGACGAGAGAGCTGCTGGTCAATGCTATCACTATCTTACTGGTTGTGATGTTGATGTTCACTTTTGTTGGATACGTTTTCATCACAACAAACACGATTCAACTATTAGAACAAACCTTATTCTACTCTATTTGAGACATCCAAGCTATCTCGAAGCTTTGGAGATTTTTTTGATTTTTTTTTACCCTGTTCAAATCTTTCAGCAGTTGCAAAACATGTGGTGACTTTAGCCTTGCCTTGTTGCTGATTATGCAAAAAAAGGCAGCTCTCTGGTAGACTTCCTCGTTAGAGGTTGACTTGTGCATGCACTCTTGCGTGTCGACGATTGAGTTTTCGGTATTAGGGCCCTCAATTGCGACAAGCCAAGTCTTTGGGAAGATCAAAATGTCAAACGATGCTGCCATCTTCCATGAACTGTGGGATGTTAAAGTCATCACGATGTTTCTATCGCGATGTCTTCATTACGAAGTATCCATCACGATGAAAGAATTGAGATTTTTCCAACACGACGTTTCCATCACTATAAAACGCTCCTACCAAAACTCTGCTTCGAACCCTTCAAATCAATCATATTTGTAAACCAACGATGTTTCAAAGTCCACATTCATCAGCCGCACTTTTGCTAGTATTGTTACTGGTCCCTCAAGTCGCAAATTCATTGAGATTTGACAAGTCAACTGGTCTGGTCGATGCTGATGAAATCATTCGTCGTCACTTAATCAAACGAATGCAAGAAACTCCGAGGAGGAGTCCATCACAATCATCGCGAGATGTGAGAATCAATATTCCACAGTCTACTGATATTATTCCATATGGACCATATCATATGCATCGATTTGGTGTTAGACTACGAGATAATCAAGGTGAGGAAAGAGCTGTTTTTTTGACCGACACTGACTTCTAATCTCGATTTTAGCTGTCTTAATTTGGGGAGCGGCTTCTCTCGCTAGTACTTGTTATTAATATTTGTGAATTCTGAATTTCAAGAAGAACTCCAGTTCACTGTTATCGTTTTCGCAGGTGCTGGCGCTGGAATTCTATGCCCATTAGTGTACTCGACAGTCTACCTCAAACATCCTCTATCTGAATCTCTTCAAGACTCTATGGTTGAATTTGTCTTTCGAGCTCTTCCCGCAGGAATTCTGGTGTCTGGTGTTGGCAAAGTGGTGAGCTCTCTTCGGAACAGGCGACACAATGGTGCTCAGGTAAGAAGCAATGGAAGCCGTTGCCAAACCCAATTTCTTTATTAACTTATACTGCTTGTTAACTTTCTATGTCAGGTCCGCTGCGAGCCTCAGATTGGGAGGGTTGACGACTTCCAAACTCTTACTCGATACGAGAGCCGCTTGTCCAGATCTTCTTCGAGTCATGATCTGGCTGACGGTTTCCAAACTCAAACTCGATACGAGAGTCGCTTGTCTAGATCATGCCCTCATCTTGATCTCACCGCTATTGAACCAATTCACGACACTTCACTATCAGTGCGACGAACTGAAGAGAATCGTATGGCACATTCAGAGATTCTCAGGTCTAGCTCCTCACGTAGTGATCCTTTGTCAGGAATGGGATATGGACATTGTAAGCCTCTTGGTTCTGCTTGAACTGACTGTAGTCTGAGACAAAACTAATTTTATTCGATTTATAGTAAATTTTGATATATATCACCAACCTCATTATGAGCACACTGACATGACAATCAGGAACTCATGAATGGTTGAGTCAGTACTTTACTTTCGACTTCTCTCAGAATGAAACTTAACTGTCTCGCACTGGGCATGAGCTATCACCAACATCTCCTGCATATTTGAACGGCTGTAAAAATCGTTATTACAAGTATGCGAGGTGTAAACATCTAAATAGATTTGGTAAAGTAGCCTCAGCGTGTTTGTGGCGTCGGTTGCATATTTCGAGACGTAGTATACAGGGCACAAAGCCTGTATATTAGCTGATAGATTCTTGACCTCTTCTCGGAATGAAGATAGCGGCAAGGAAATCCAAGAGTAGATGTTAACGAGCAACAATGTTCTCTGAGTCAGCGATTACAAAGGAGTGTTTGTGATAGTGAAGTAGATGGTTGCACCATATTGTACCTTTGAATACACCATCACTGCAACGCGACTCCGACGCAGGAGTTTTCCCAAAAGATTCAAGGCTGGAGTAGGCGTGGATATGGAATCAACAAGAACGTCGCTTCAAATCCTCATCTCTTGGTGAATATCGCGAGCATGTCTACTTGTTTAAAGCGAAAGTCGCCGCAACTCTGTTTATTTCTTCCATTGACCCCTCTACGAAACGGCTGATCACCAATAAGAACACAAGCATCATGATGAATCCTTTTACAACATCAAACTCGTGGTTGTCTTATTTTGACATGTCAAACTTGTACTCCTTTTTTTCTTCAATCAATTCATTTCTCAAGCTTCAAGACAAGAATAATTCAAGCAACGATGGATCGAGGAGGTCTATACCTATCCATCCTACTGCTATCAGTACTATTACTTGTCCTACAAGTCACGAATGCATTGACATGCGACAAGTCAATTGCATCCGTCGACATTGACGAAATCAGTCGTAATCATCTACTCAAACGAATGGATCCTTCTGCGGATGCTGCTGAAAAGCCACCATCAGCACAGCAGTTAGATGATGTTGTAATTGATATCGCTGACGAGGCTCCTGATGCTGTACCTGTTGTGACATCCTTACCATCTCGTTGGCATCGATTTGCCGCTTCTGCTCGAGAAAATCGATGTAAGAAATCTGTTATTGCAGCATGGTTTTCGCTATTTCTAACCTTCACCTTCTAGATGTGATACTCTGGTCAACTGGCTTTGTACTAAGTGAGTGAAATGAACGATTTTGAACTGTTTGACACTAGTTTGTTATTTTCACGATTTGCTGTCACTAAGTATGATATTCCAATCAATAGGTCTCGGAATTATTTTCACGCTCATTTTCACTGCTGAGTCTGTCGCGACGAAACTCGGGAATGCTGTCCACAGTGAGGCCGGTGTCCTTCTTATCGGAGGTGGTTGTATGGGAATTCCCGTGGCTGCATTCGCGTTGTTTAGTGCCTACAAGTTTGCACTGAATATTCAGGAGGGCTGGGAACTCAAACTCGCTCAGGTGAGTATCAAAAAAAGGATTCAGCTGAGGTTATCTGTCTTTTGCATCTCCGAAGCATCAAATTCTCATGTCGTCCATCCAATTTCTCAGGCCCGTGCAGCTCGAGTAGAATGGATAGACTTCTCCCAGTGGCAAACTCGCAAAGAGACTCTCTCGGCATTGTCTCCTGATACTGCTCGTACAGTACGCAAATTCGAAGCGAGCACGTCAGTGCCTCGAGAAAGTCTCCCAGGACATGCTGATATTGCAACGTGCAGCTCTCTGGATAGTGCATTGTCAGGCATCGAACCATGTAAGTCCGTTCCTTGGGGGTTGTGTTTCTGGTTTTTAATCGAATTACGTAACAAGAGAATCGAAACGATATCTCCCGTCCACTAGTTAATAGATTCTTGATTGACAATTATCATCTCACATCTGGTCGAAATGAAGATAGAGGCAAGGCAATTCTAGAGTAGAAGTCTACAAGAAACAATATTCCTTGAGTCACCATTTATAAAGGAATTGCTGATAAGATGAGATAAATGTGACACATCATACTGTATCTATGAACAAACAGACAATCACAGAATACCGGTTGTTGCGAACCAATTGCCCCTAAGGATTCGAGCGTTGCATGAATTCCTTTCACATGGCGCAATCACTTTCTGCAGATATAATGTCTTGTCTTTATCTAAAGTAGTTTGACCAAGCACAGCTATTACAACACCTGCACATCAATTGTTTTTCTCTACTTGCTTACAATGGCTCAAAATAATTACTAGGTACTAGCCCTTCACGGCTCGAGACAGTGTCTTTGAGACGAGACCACCCAGCGTCAGCTTCTCCGACATATACGTATTCCTTATTTTCAACAATCTTCAGCTCATCAGCTGCTCTAGGCTCAAATGAGTATATAGCCTTCACTCGTTTCTCAGTCTTTCTTGGCGGTGGTGGAGCTGGTCTCTTCACAGGAGCCTGAGGAACAACAGTGTTTGATGGTGGTGCGCTCACTGGTTTTATTTGAGTGGCATTGTTTGTGATAACTGGCCTTTGGGTGTTTGGTATGGTGGTTGGGGTATACTGGGGCTTACTGGCTGGAGGAGCATTAAATGACTTACTAATAGTTGCATTCGGACTGGAGGAAATCTTTTTCAGCATGTATGGTTCTGGTTTGTTCTTGGCATCTTCAGAGGCACTTGATGGTGTGTTTGCTTTGGCCCATACTGGTCTTGGAGTCTGCGATACAGTCTCATTTGAAGTAGCCAGGGTGCGTGAGGACGAGCCAACATGGGTTGCGCCTTCCTTTCGATGCTTCATTGGTACGTAGTCCATGTGTATATCTAAAAGACCCGATTCTGGTTAGAATTCTTGGTTGGGCCAATGTGCGTTGCAATCTACTTCACCTGTCGTCTTCGGAAGACCAGCCTCTACAGATACTACTGCTTCAGTCCCAGTGACTTTCAGTGGTAGAAAGGTGCCCTTCTGGAACCTTAATGTACGAGTTTGGCCCTTCTCGAATTCAAATGAGATACTGACGACAAAGAAAGATCAGAAACGACAATGTCTTTGAATTCGTGTCGACATACACCGTACCTGTTGACGAATTTGAATTCAAGCTGAGTGTCACGACCTTTGGCACTAAAGTGCTCCTTGAGTGCAACAGTAATCTCTGTCTTGTGTTCGCTCTCGAATACCAAAGACTGCCTTGCCCCTCCATTTGTTGCTCTAGAAGCGTGAATGCACATGAAATTGTCTGAATATTCTGACAAGCTAACACCCGTAAGATGGTCTTGCAGAAGGAACTTGTGATGGGAAAGTCGGCCACTTTCAAAGGCAAACCAATGAATATTCTTTAAAATTGAAAACAGTGTCAATGGGTGTGTGTTCATAACGCGACATTGCAATAACACATCAGACCTTATCGGTAATGACTAGCACCCTACGATCGAATTTGAACGACCGGTTCAGTTTCTTCACATTATCAGCAAACAAGACTCTCGAGTCTCCGTGTCTCTTCATAATGGACTGGAAATCTCCCTTCCTGATTTCAATGTACTCTCCTCTATATTTACGTTCCAAGCTAGCTCTGCGACGTTCTTTGTTACCATACACAAGCTCACGTGTAAGAGCTCGTAATTCCAAGAACCATCGTCTCATAACATAAGCCCGATAAGTCCTTTGGATCTTGACAACCAGTTTCTCGACAGCTGCATCACGTAACTCTTCAAGTTTGAATATGGTGGTTGGAGACTTGACGAAAATCTTGGTTTTGCCAATTTTGAATTCAGTAGCTGCGATACTGAGATGCTGCATGATGATACTGCAGCCTTTTGACTCGTCACCACGATAGAATGGCCAAGTAGTGGAGGTCAACATCTTGTAACGTTGCAAGAAGAGATTGAAGGAGCGACGGAATGCGTACCCTGCTCTTCTGACCTTAACATTTTCCAGCAGTCCAAGGTATCTAAGACACAATTTTAGCATCGCTGACCGGAACTACTGACGCTACAGATTGACTCTTACTGTACTTGAACGACAACTAGGTCTTGATCAAACCTTTTGGCTGACTTCGTAGCATTTGGCTTGATGCATCGAATATAGTATGGGACAGACGACATTAGCGATGTCACCAAAGCACCAACTTGAGTCTAAAGAGACAGCATTGGTCGGATCACACATCGGGATTTGCCAATACTCAAAGCACTTACTCTAAATTGAGCTCCAGCCGTAACAGGACGTTTCTTGGAATTTTTGTCTGGCATGGCATCAGCGAAGAGTGTTTTACCCAACGTCATCGAACTTTTGTTCATAAGCTCGACCAAGTCAACGAAGAGCGTGTCTCGATTCTTCTCAAGGAAGCCAGAGCACTCATATGTTACGTTGCTGGCGTAGTGAGCAATTTGAAAGATCTTTTGTGAGTTCTGAGATGCGGGAGGCTGCACCCAATGAGGTTTGCCCTTCAAGTTCTTCAGCAGCTTGTCATGCAATGACGCATCAGAACCGTTTGGAATTACACACTCCTCGTCAAGCAAATCAATTAAATGATGTTGCTGTTATGAAAAGTAGTTTTAGACCAGTGTTTTAAAGATCAGAACCATGACCGAGGTCCCTACCTTCTCAATTAATTCACAACACGGCTTGTTGTTCAGATACTGCACATTCTGCCAAGGAATGCCTTCTCGGACGTACTCTTCTTGCTCAGCCTTCAAACTCAACTCGATAAAGATTTGGTGCAATTTCTCATTGGCATAATTAATGCAGAGCTGCTCAAACGAGTTTCTCTCGAATATCTCAAAGCCGTAAATATCCAACACACCAATTGTGTTGGAGCTTTTCGCTTCAGAAGACGCCAGATTTTCATTCAAACGAGCAATGATCCACTTAAACATTCTGGCGTAAATGTTTTTGGCTAGAGAGTCTCGGGCAAGTGCTGCTTCATTGGGCTTGAGCGGAGTTGAGATACGTTCATTGTTGGTGAAGATGGTTCGGTTGACAAGAGCCTTTTCCAATTGAGCTGGTTGTACTTTTAGAATCCCAGCAGCAATAGCCAAAACTAGCAAAATGATTGAAATGACATATCAGAAATCTGATTCAAGCAAGATTGCAACCACAACAAACCTTCATGATTGCTGACTTTCGACAAGACATCCTTTGAACCATCAGTGAACTCCAGATTACCAATATGAAGGACTCCAGCTAGCAAGTGTAGAATATCGGTGATTTCAGTCTGCCCAAGACCAACAGATTTCATCGCGTCCTAAAGTCAACCTTGTTAGAGCAAATGCTTAAAAGCAACTATGAGGAGCTCAACCTACCCGAACTTCTTTGAAATCTGAAGCGTCATTAACACCGCTAACCTTCACACAATTGCTCTGGTTCAAGTATCGATAGTACTCGGGGCCGAAGAGTTGTAATTGACTCTTTTCTGCAGAAGATGATCCAGCCAAGATTTGGTAGAATATGTGAAAGTTTCGTTCTCCAGATTGTTGCTGAACGACTCGAGACTTTTCCAAAAGATCTAAATATGAATGGTGTTCAATCAATGCCCTCCAAAAATCTTACTCAGACACAACTCACAATCAAGAATCTTGCCACCAGTAGGAGCACCACTATACGAAAACTCCATCTCCATGTATTTACCAAAACGAGATGAATTATCGTTTCGTAGTGTCTTGGCATTCCCAAATGCTTCCAAAACTGGATTGGATTGTAAGAGCTTCGTCTTAATATTATCGGCGCTATTGCGCGAATCCGCTGGAGTCACAGCAGCAATATAGCTCATAATCTTCTTGGCAGCTTCTGTTTTTCCAGCACCTGATTCTCCACTGATAATCACGCAGTGCTATGATAAAACTCAAGGTCAGAATGGTATTTGTATAGTATGTCGGCGTGGCTCACATTAGACTTTTCCTTGAGCATGCTGCGATGAACATCTTCAGCCAGAGCAAAGACGTGAGGAGGGTTCTCATAACTGAATTTGTGAGGGTATTTCATCAAGGTTTGTTGACTGTATAGGTTGGGAATGTCTTGAAATGGATTAACACTGATCAAGACTGGTCCAATGTAGGTCTAAGTCAAGAAGAAATCGTCAGTCCTGGTGGTAGATGCTTTGAAAATTGTCATTTTGGAAGTCTGTTTACATCAGAACATACATAAATTTCAGATGAATCGTAATGTTTTCGAAGTGTGTCGACAATTGCGGATTCAGTAAGATCAGTGAGGAGCACCAAGTCATCCACTCCATTTTTATGAGGCCTATAATTAGACGCCTATTGGCAAAGGAATTCGTTAATAACATTTCACTGGCTCCTCGCACAACACGCAGATATTTTATCTCAGTCGTTCGGACCGTTCTCGACTTGATACAACCACGACGAGACAGTTCGAGAGTAGATTCAAGATTTCTTACCATGATTCTCTAGTCTCTAGTCGAATTCTCCCTTAATGTAGCAAATATTTCACTCTAGCTTTTGTTGTGTTCGAGCGTAAAAGTTGACCGCCGCAGCGTCCAATTAGCTTGGAAGTACGATAATACGAATGATACCAGCTCTAATAAACTGGTTGTTTTGTTTTACTTTGTTGTCTCAGCAAACTTTGAGCCGAGAGATTCCATGGCTTCTATGGCTTCCTTGATACGCCAATACCACAAAAACTCGTTTCAATACGGGCAATTCTATACTTTTTACTACAAAGGCTTTAAAATTAATATACCAACCAGACCACCACTATTATCACGACAAACCAGTTGCTTTTCTAATGGCGCTCACCCATACATCAGCGTGCCCCGTCATGTCTTCTAGATAATAAGTCCTTCTAGGACTATGCAAAAAGAAATGACGAGCATCTTTCAACTCTACCCTAAACCCATGGCCTAGCGGCACCTCACTACGAGCTACTATCTTGTCTTCATCGTAGAAAAACAATCGTGGAGTGTCAGTGAGTATCAGCCCTCTTCGTTTCGAGAAGAGCCCCTTCCTTTTATTTACTGTGGCGTACTTCATTAATACTTCGTTTGGCCGTAGCAGTGGACTTACAACAGAGGTTTGTTGTCGTTCAAGGGTTTTTTGCCGTTCCGGAGTCATTGGTTGAGAATTACTTCGAGCGGCAGGTCGATTACCGCTTGGCGGTCTAGCGGCACTTGATCTCCATGTGGGTGATCCAGTCACTCCTAATGGGATGTATTCCTCTATTCTACCGTCTGGACTAATCGGACTATTTGCCGTGAGTAGCGGCGAGCCTGGCAGACTGGCTAGCACTGCTCCAACTGAAGCTCTGTTACCCAAAGCTGGTGTTATACCATCTACATAATCATCGTCGTCGTCACCTTCCTTTCGGAAGGGATCGTCTATATCCGGCGGAGCAGCACTAAATTGGAATGGTGTCCCCTGTTCATCTTCTAGCCCATCCCCTTGTACGGCATAGTCTGATACCAGATCAGTCGAGTTATGATTCGATATAGCGGGTAAGAATGGTACTAGTTTAGGTGGTGATGTTGTATGAAGCAATGCCCAATCAATGCCTTCAAAGAAGGCATGCTGTTTGATTTCAGATATGCTTGGCCTCATATCTGGATTTAGCACTAATATTTTAGACACCAGGTCTTTAGCTACTGGTGGGAACCCGTCTGGGAACGCGTAGTCGAGTTTGGTTATCTTTTGGAAGGTTTGATATTCGTTACTAGCTTTGAAGGCATGCCTTCCTGCTAATAGTTGGTATATTATGACTCCTATAGCCCATACATCTGAGGCTGTTGATGCTGCTCTATCGTTTAGTAGTTCTGGCGAGCAATATTCGGCTGTTCCTACAAATGAGTTCCTTTGCTTCTCCTCTCCCTCGACAGACAATGATCTAGTTGGTTGTATTGGTGTCTGCGGTTGATCTAGTATCTTTGCGGTTCCAAAATCTGTTATTTTTATGTGCATATCATCCGACAAGAGTATATTCTGGAGAGTGAGAGAGCAGTCAGCATCTGAGTAACGTGTCCCAGGACCAACAGGTGACAAGGAACAGAAAGGAGAGTAACGAATGAATGTAGATTCCAACACGTGAATTAAGGTTACCTCAGGCTTTAGATCTCGATGAATGACATTGTGCGAATGAATGTATTCGACACCCGACACGATCTCAGCAGCATACCACCTAGTAGCGGCCAAATCAAAAGCACCCAATTTCCGTATAAAGCCCAACATGTCACCATTTTTTGCGAATTCGAGTACAAAATATAGGGAGTGTGAGTCCTGGAATGAGTAGTATAGCTTTACGACGAATGGGTGCTCGTTGAGCCTGTTTAGGACGTCCTTCTCTATAGATACATATTTGACTTTTTTCTCCTTTATGATATGCCGCTTGTCCAGTACCTTTACGGCGTATTCTTTGCCAGTTGCAGGCTCCTGAGCGTAAATCACGGTTGAGTAGCTACCCTCCCCCAATATTGTCCCAAAGACGAAGTCAGCGTGCTGGCGTTTGCGAGTTGAGTCTGCGGATCTGGGGCCCTCCTCACCCTCCGGAGAACTCATTCCAATCTCCCTTGTTAGGGGAACGAGTGGTTTTATATGATGTAAAACTTGAAGTTAGTCTGTCGAAGTTTGGCGATTTTAGAGATGAGGCTACTTCAAAGCTGCGTTTTCAATCAGAGATTATTCTAAGATAAATTGAGTTATCGCGTGGCCGTTACGTATTCTTAATATTTGGTACTTGTCTTTGTCGCGTCGATGTGCATTACAAGGTCGAACAAAAGTCATGAAGCTTTCAAACAGGTATCTAATACTTTGATCTACGTGAGATTCATCCATTGACACCAATTCAACCTCTGATATCGTCCTTTTTCCATACTACACCGTAGCTTAAGCGCGTAAGCTTCTTCGAGCTTTCGAATCTTCAGAATCTCGACAACAAATGGCAAACAACTTCTCAGGAGCTCTGCTCTTGACCGACCTCAATGACTTTATCTCGCCGTCACAGGCCTGTATCAAGCCTGTCGAAGTCAAGAAAACTTCAGACTCGAACGCTGCTAAAGTTTGTCATCAACTTTTTTCTGTTTGGTGTTTCTGGTTGATTAGCTCCATCTAACCCCAAAATACTGCTTAGAACGAGATCCGTATCGATGATACTGGCGACTACTATGAGATCTCCCAGACCGGAGCTACTCGTCTCGAAAAGGCAACAATCACATTGAATGATTGTCTGGCATGTAGTGGATGTATCACTTCGGCCGAAACTGTCCTCATTACGCAGCAATCGCAGGAGGAATTGTATTCTATACTGGATCAAAATCGACTGGCTAGAGAGGCCGGCCTGCCAACGAAAACCATAGTCATCTCTCTATCTCCACAATCCCGAGCTTCATTTGCTGCCAAATACGACATGCCCGTATTACAAGCTCATCGGAAACTAGCTTGGTTCTTCAGACAGTATCTGGGTATCGAGTACATGTTTGATACATCCTTTGCCAGAGACTTTAGCTTGTTGGAATCGGCAAGAGAGTTTGTCGCTGGGTATAGAAGGAGAGCTGTTGATGGAGTCTCTGTTCCCATGCTGGCTTCTGCATGTCCAGGTATGTCGTATTGCACGCAAAGGATAACTGTATCAATAATTTGACCGTCATTTTTTTGCTAGGTTGGATTTGTTATGCTGAGAAGACCCATTCGTACATATTACCATATATAGCATCTACGAAATCTCCACAGCAAATAATGGGATCCCTTGTAAAAGATTGGCTAGCGTCACATTTGAATCTCCCAGCATCATCTATATACCACGTATCAGTCATGCCCTGTTATGACAAGAAACTAGAAGCCTCTCGATCAGACTTTTACTCGGATGTATACGCCACTCGAGATGTAGATTGTGTGTTGACAACCGGAGAAGTAGAACGTATGTTTGCCAATCACCAATTCAACTTTGCCAGTCTACTGGAAATGGACATTGAAACGAATTGGACGAAATGTACAGTCAATCCTCTTGGATTGCCTACACTATTAGGAGCTGAGGGTAACTCATCGGGTGGTTATCTCAGTTATATATTCCGATACGCTGCTCATGAGCTTTTTGGTATAAGCTTGACTGCGCGGGATGTAGAGCTTGGGAATGACGCCTTAGGTGTTGCCATCAAGGCTGGTAGGAATTCAGACTTTTGGGAAGTCTGTCTGCTAAATCCCCAAGATCCCAATACGCCACTACTCAAATTCGCTGCAGCTTATGGGTTTAGAAATATTCAAAACCTTGTACGAAAAATCAAACAACCCAATAACTCGACAAATGGGATTGGTAGTGTGAACACGACCGTCACCGCACCTGGTAGTAGAGTGTCAAGGAGAGCCGGTCGACAAACAGCAGAATCAGATCATCACTTTGTAGAAGTCATGGCGTGCCCCTCTGGTTGTATAAATGGTGGTGGTCAGCTTAAACCAGAAGGAGATATGACGACATCGTCATCTGCTGCAGGAACTGGTAAAGAATGGGTTGCACATGCTGAAGCTGCATACAAGTCGTTGGAGGCAACACAAGCACCTGAAGCCAATCAAGAGATATGGCGACTTTACAGGTATGAACGCCAGTATGTGAAAGTCGTGAAAAGCGTAGCAATGATTACTCACTACACACTTGTTGTCTCTATAGGGAATGGCTTGGTGGTGAAGATTCAGAAAAGGCACACAAAATGTTACATACGCAATATCACGCTGTAGAAGCATTTGATGTCAATCCTTTAGCTGTAAAATGGTAGACTTTGTATAGTAGGTTTGTAAATTAATTCATATATGGCACCTCACACACATGGATTTGCACTGCACTTTGCGTCGCTCTAGTTTTAAGAGCTCGATGTAATCTATAGCCGATGGACTTGATCACGAACGAAGTTGTCACATTTTCGGCAATAGTCTGCGCCGTGATCTTGCTCTATTATGGCCTCTCGACGCCATACTATAACATCATCTATCCCAAAAATCAATCCAAACTTTCACGCACTCACCCCGCAGAGCTACTTCCAGCAGGCGGCAGATATGAAGATCTTCCACATATATTGATAGTTACTGCTCATCCAGATGATGAGTGCATGTTCTTTGGGCCGATTCTGTGTACATTAAAAAGTTATGGACTTCCTGTTGCTCTGCTATGTTTCTCAACTGGTGGGTGAATGAACGTATTTTGGAGTAATTTACGCAATCATCTTTTATATCTTGTGAAGGTAATCATCAAGGACTGGGTGTTACTCGTCGCAAAGAGTTAGATGAGGCGTGTCGAGACTTTGGGATTTTGGACGTGACGTGTCTGGATGAACCGTATGTGTCTCGGCTTTATTTATTTGACTACAATCGGCTCAATCTCTCTTTGAATGTAGGGACTTACAAGACAATCCATCTTGTACTTGGAAGCCAGAACGGATCTCTGAGCTGCTAAACCAACATATATCCAGAATGAAGAATGGATGTCGTGCCATCATCACGTTTGATGATTATGGAGTATCAGGACATGCAAATCATCGTGCCTTGTTTCATGGAGCTCAGTGAGTTCCATACTGGCAGCTTCCGTTTTGGACTTTATTTTTGTTCATACCGACGCGCCTTCATCAAATTCTTTAGACTATACATGTCATCACCAAACAAGAAGAATCCACCACCACCAGCATACAGTCTCACATCAATACCCCTCTATCGGAAATTCACCTCGCATTTGGATTTAATTTATTCTGCAGCACCGTTACGGAACTTGTTTACAGCACAAAGTTCACCCATTCCCATACCATTTGCAAAGGACGAGTTGCTCCCTGTCTTATTCGTATCGACATCAGAACAGTACCGAGTATCTGTCGGTGCTATGTTGAAACACGCTAGTCAAATGGTGTGGTTTCGTTGGCTGTATATAACGTTTTCTAGATATATGGTTGTAAATGATTTGAAGAAGGTGCCTCATATGTAGAAATGGGGTTTAGATCGTGCTTATTGTAATTGGAAATAGTTGTAAATTTGACTGCAATCACATGCAAATATGGAACTTCGCAAGATGAACAAGGAAATACCATTTACCGGATTGATTTCACCACATTAGCACTTTAGGGTTGACGCGTATCGAAACTGGCTCAGTTGTTAGGCTTTAAAGATGCCACTGCTTTCTGATGGTAATTTCGATTACAGCAAAAAAACAATTTTTTATTTTGCGAGGAGGCGAGGAAGGAGAATATCGACAAGAACATGGGCTCTATCACGATCTCTGGTAGCAGGCTGCAGGTACATTGTAGACTGGACTTTGGTCGTCGCTCCTCATTCAGCTTTTAACCAACCATTCGAACCATCAAAATACCACCAGTTCATTACCTTTCCCAAGTCTCAGCTACCATCTATGGTATACGCTATTATTAAAAATGTATTTTTTCGAAGGTACCTCTTCAGAACGGCTTCAAATTACTGTTTACAAACCAAACATCAACAAATGTTTTTGACCTTTCTTTTTCAACCGTACGCTCCCTTAGGCCAGATACATTCTTCTCTTATACAGAAAACAGTCTTGAAGTATCGATCATTGCAGATGTCGAGACAGTTCGAGAGGATTTCCCTCGTGAAAAGAGTTTCAAAGGATATCTCGTAAATAAGCACGTGTTTCGAGCACTGCAATTGGATTCCGAAGGAGGTCTCGGTACGTATTAACAGTGACTCTTTGTGTAAATGACGGTTGGTATGGTCCGCATCCATTAGTTAAACAGCAATTTCCTCGACCTAGACAACTCCGGAAAGCGCATTCTTGAGCTGACTGCACCATTGGCCAAAGCTGGCATATCCATCTTTTATCTATCTACATATCAGACTGATTTCATCTTTGTGAGTTCTCCATCTGCATGGCCGTAGCCACTTAGTTTTCATCACAACTGACCTCGTCCTTTCAGGTCAAAGAACGACGATTACCTCAAGTCATTCAAGCATTACAAGCTAGTGATTTCACAATAGCAGATTTGGATTCCATAGATTTAGATATCGACACCGCATCAACTGTATCATCATCCGTACGATCAACACACTTCTACGGCCACATGAGAGAAGATACTCCTTCAGGAGTCAACCTGATGGGAACGAGTATAACCAGCAACCCCACAACACCTCTACCAAACAGTTTCTCTCACTCTGCACCAATCACGATTCGCCCTAGTCTGGCGTCAGGATCTAGAACGGCTCGTGTTGGAGGAGAACTTTTTGGAACACCGTTAGGCAATTCGTTTTTTAATGAAAGGTCTACGCCTCGTCCGCCTGGAGGCGCGAAAGAAGATATGATGACTACTGTCAGGAGGCTTGGACGAAAACTCGTGTTGGGCCATATGTTGAGATTGGTTGGTCTCAGTAGGGATCATATTGATGGTTGGGCAATGAAGCTGATTCGGATTTTGTTTTATCCTGGCAACAGGTACGTGTATGGTAGCTGGAGACTGTACGGGATTAGAAGGCCATTCACTATAGTCCGGGGTTTATTCCTCCCCTTTCACGATTCTATATCATACACGTATGTGTGACAGACATTTGTGTGATATGTTCTAACAAAAGCTCTTTTTCGTTTCAAAATAGCAAACATGATTCGGAGACACGATTTTTCTCATATACGGCCACAGAAGAAGGAATATCTCTGGTAGCTGAGGAAGAAATATTGGATGAGTTCCCTGAAAACGCTTTGAATTCCAGCGCTACACCATGGTCCTTACGCTGTATCCAAGTGGATTTGGGAAACTTTCAGTCTGGTAAATGCAAAAAAAACCTGGAGGATGTACTGCAACCAACAACTGCTCATTGACGTCCTCACTTCTCCTCATCACAGATCCATCTGGTATTGTATATTCTATGAGTGAACCGTTATCAGCTGGTGGAATCAATTTGCTGTATCTGTCAACGTACATGACTGCAAACGTATTAGTAAGACTAGTCGATTCTTACTTAAAGCAAAAACGAGGTTCGAATCCCCTTACACCTGCCGCCTTCTCGTGTAGGTATCATCTCATGATCTGGACAATGCATTATCGCTTCTCAATGTCGACGAGTTACCTACGCCTCCAACAGATGAGGTTTCTTCAACAAATGGAAACACCCCACTTCCCTCTATATCTCGACGCAATAACAATGTTGGTACAGTCTCTGATGTTGAAGCTGACGACGAAGGGGAAGTTTCAGACGGACCAAGTCAGGCGGGTAAGAAATCCAGTCATAAGAGTAGTAGTGCTGGACTTGATGAGGATGATTTGGCAGAACGACATCTTGAGAACTTTTTGGACTCGGATTCGGATAATGAGGCTGATGAGGCCGATTCTTCATAGAGCCATAGAGCGACCTGGATATTAGTCCGTAGATTGTACATAGGAACGCTTAGTAGGCGAAGGAACGCTGAGTACTAGTAGCAGTAGTAATAAAATTTTGCATCGCACCTGTACACGAGAGTTTACACTGGCAGTTATGCTGTTTCTTTTCCATTAATCTCTCTGCTTTTCCATTCATCTCCAGTGCACAGAATGCGAACGTTCGAGACTCTTTCACCATCGATAATTGTTCTTCACCAACAAACACCCACAAGCAAGTTATGGCGTCACAGCTGGATGACGATCTATATTCCAAGCTTATAGGCAGTAATGCAACTCATGATGGTCTTCTCAATCATTCAGAACTCGCTAGACTGCTACACCTTCAACTCTCTGGAAATTCGTTGGACTTTTCACAAATTCTCTATGGAGCACCCAAAGAAGTCAGTCAAAGTAATCTAGATAATATACTTACAGATGCTACTTCAAGCTCGACGCGTCAGGAAGGCCATCCTGGTGATGCTTTTATGGAAGAAGGTGGCAACATTGATGATGAAGCTCTACCACCTGAATATCGATCAGCTCAACGTGGCAAAGTCTGTGGACATATATTTAAGAAGGGAGAAGGTGTCTATCGTTGCAGGTAAACGTCGTTGGGCTTAGATTCTTGGTTATTTGCTCAAAATCTTGCGAGAGTTTGGAGTGGTTTTTTGGCATGTGAAGTTTCAAGTATGATTGATCATAACTGATCATTATGTTACACTTTTGTAACTAGAGATTGCGCACTTGATGCTACCTGTGTATTCTGTGATCGATGCTTCCATGGATCAAATCATGAAGGCCACGATACTTCGTTTGCGCTGTCAGGTAGTGGGGGTGGATGCTGTGACTGTGGAGACCCAGAAGCTTGGAAGGTTCCTATAGACTGTAAATACCATTCCACAACTGGTGTTGATACTTCCCATACTACAGACGACGAATCAGCTGGTCTTCCAATCACTACTCCACTACCTCGTGAACTCGTGGATTCCATAACGAAAACAATAACCACGGTCATGGAATTCATATTACAAACATTTTCTAGATCGTACTGGAAACCGTACTTGCCGCCTGACGCCATGAGATTTCAGCCAGTGTCTATACCTGGAGATAATGCAAAGAATGATGTATGGGCAATCATTTTGTGGAATGATGAAGTACATTCGTTTAATGATGTCATTGATGTGGTATCAGATGCTATAAGTGTTACTCGTGATGAGTCTAGGAGGGTAGCTGAAGCTGTTGATCTCGAAGTAAGTATTTGCAAATTGCTTTAGTTCCTTTTTTTCACCGCTCTTTCGTGGAATCGGAAGAGATACACCGTGTTTGTCCCATCTGAGTGATTTTGCTAACTGAGCGAATTGTTAGGGTCGAGACATTATATTTACTGGTACAGACAAGGAGCGAATGAGACAAATGGCTGCCGTCATTCATCGTATAGGTCTTGATGTCACAGTACAACCGCTCCAGTTTACAAATCAAGAAAAAATAGCAGGCAAATGTATAGAATGGCTTGATGCATTATTGTCGATTGTCCTCACTCATCCTGTAAAAGTAAATGGGATCACCTATGAAGCACCTGAACCCATAGTCCGACAAAAGATTTGTGAAATATTATGTAGTGAACCACTCACACCGATAAGTCGAATGGAAGATCGATATCATCTTGGACCAGAAGGTGCTCCCAATGTAAATGAAATATCGTCCACGCCAACTCGTCTAGACTATTTATTATTATATGATGTCAAAATGTGGAAGGGCCTTCGTAAGACTCTCCATGAATTCTTTATCGGAACTCTGATTGTCAGTGGTGATGAATTCAAACGAATATTAGCAGAACGATTTGCCTTGTGTTATACGAAATTGACTGAACATGGCATTACCATTGATCGGGAAGTCGACTTGTCGGTCATTTCCCTATCTGTGCAATTATTCACAGTGCCCACTATTGCACGACACTTGGCTTTGGATACCACCATCATCAGTGATATGCTACTATTCTTATACAATCTATTTCGAGCTGATGGTGGTCAGCACAGAACTACTCGATTACAAATACATAATGTCAAGCGGAATATTGACGATGAAGTGTTTGCTTCTCGTACAGTATTCCCGCCAACTGTACTACCAGCGAACTTGTATACATTAAAGCATTCTAGGACATATGGTCAAGTCATGCACGATATGTCATACTTGTTATCAAACAAGACCATACGAATGGAGTTATTCCAATCGAATCATAATATAATGGATTTATTCAGATTCGTAAAATTGTTTGCTATAGGTCAAGGTCTTGATCCACAGACTCGAGCAATCACTCAACATGTAGAATTTGAAGGTGACGACTGGGTCAATGCCTTCAACCTGTCATTAAAGATGTCGCAACTAATGCCATATGTCGCTGGTTGCTTTGCACCTTTTGGCCGTCAAGATATTAGCTCGCTTGAGCAAGCTCTTGCGTATACAGCATCGGTATTGGTGTCTCCTGCCGCTCAAACGCGAGATAATATAGCCGATGCCTCGAAATGGTCTCTTATAAATAGTGATGGAGAATTTGGGCCGTATATAATTCCTCGATATCAAGTATCAACCAAACCCATATCGCTACATCATCCATTACACTGGTTTTTGTCTCTACTCTTGAACTATCTTCCCGTCGCAACCAAAAATAGGTCTGACGGCAAAGATGTGCTAGTGCGTGCTTTGACGAGCCAATTCCCAACTAATCCAGCTTTCTACTCAGTACCCGTTGGATTTGATAAGGTATCTGTGACGAAAACCGAGATATTGAGTTTGGTATTTGAGGAACCATTACGAGTCATGGCCATGCTTGCCCAAGTGCAAGCTGGTCTATGGGTTCGTAATGGATATATGCTTCGAGCTCAAACATATCACTATGAAGAGTTAGAGCTTCGTGAAGAAGGGCATGACCAAGATATGTTCCTGCTCCAAACAGCAGTAATCGCTCTAGGTCCCGATAGATTCATGCTGCAAGCTCTACACCGATTCGAGTTATGGGATTGGCTCGTCACACCTCATATTACCATGGCGATGCCACCTGGATTTGATAAAACCAAGTTTGGCCTGCTTGCTGAAGACTTTTTACGTATGCTCATCATCATGTTGACTGAGAGAGCATTGTGTTGCATGGGATTGGATGGCTTTGGTCCTGAAAATGAAATCAGGAGAGAATTGATTCATCATTTGGGAGCTGCCAAGAATGGATTGCCACACTCGGCTGTCATTGCTCGAGTGCCTGATCGTCTTGTTGATCCTCATGAGTTGAATGATGGATGTAAGTTTGATTCAGCCTAATTGTATATCTGTAGACTTTTCTCGCTTACATTACGTTTTTTTACGTCTTAAAATCAGTGTATAGCAAACCAACTCGATCTGTAGATGACATCTTGGCTGATATTTCCAACTTTAAATACCCAGAAGGTGTCACAGATCAAGGACTGTATGAGCTCAAGTCACAATACTATGAGCAAATTGATCCTTGGTTCTGGCACTATACTCGAGAACAACGTCAAAAGATTGACGAGATACTCCGAAATCGAATGGAAAACTCTAAATCATCGAATATAAAGAATAGTTGGATCCCAATTCCTCGTATAATACCAATACCTCCAACCAGTCCATTTGGTGACTTGCTATTGCTTACCTCCTCGAGTCTCTTTATAAGGATTGTATTCAATTGTATTGCTATTACTACCATGCCGCATATTGTTGGCTCCTTGTCACGTCCATTCCGAAATGAGAATCTATTGTCATCAGCATTGCATCTAGTAATGATTGGACTGTCTGATCCACGAACTCGTGACGAATTCTCTCGAAAAGTAGCAGTAATGACATTGTCCGATTCACCGACGTCTCCAACCTTTTTGAAACTGGTAACTAGATTTGCCGAACAGTTGGGTGTAGGCTCGCTACAACCTGCACTCATACAATCACAACGAGAAGAATTCAGTGATCAACTAGGTCGTGTAGAATGGATTATAGACCAGTTGAGTCAGACACTCGCTACTCAAATAGCTGAATGGAGAGCTCGTGCTGCTGAACGTCAAGCAACTTCCGCCGACCAACACCAACAGCAAACTGTAGATAGGCAAGCCACAAACTCGACATTCGCTTCCGACACTATATTGACTGAAGCTGAACGTAAAAAGCAGGCTGCAAAGGCTCGTCAGGCTGCCATCATGGCTCAATTTGCTAAACAGCAAAAATCATTTATGGATAAACATTCCAGTCAGATGGATGTTGATGATGTAGAAGATGAACGAGATGGTGAGGAGGATGACGATGCAGCTGCTGAAGAGTCATCAGCTTCCGCTGTCCCAATGGCAGATGATGAGAGGATTTGGGAGTTTCCTAAAGATAATTGTATAGTATGTCAGGAACCAACGTCCGGTCGACTTTATGGCACGCTGTGCTTACTTCAAAAGAGCTCCATGCTACGTCAAGTTGACTTTGCTGATATTGATAATGTGATGGACGTGTTGAATAAAGTACAAGGCTCCTTGGATTCTGGTCCTTTAGAACCAGCAGATATGGCCATACCTACCTCACCGGGTACTCCATCTGGTAGTAAATCAGCTAAAACGAGTGGTACTAGTACCAGTGGTGAGACTTCCAAGCCCTTCCAAGCAATAGATTATAGGCTTGCCGAGGCCGGATTCTTTATATCGACATGTGGACACTTGATGCACACTACATGCTTTGAATCGTATATCGCATCAATTCATACTCGTCATGAAAGTACCCACATCCGTCGTCTTGAACCTGAGGATCTACGACAACAGGAATTCTTGTGTCCATTATGTAAGACTCTAGGTAACTGTCTCGTGCCACTAGCCTTCCCAGAAGCCAAAGAAAAGGTATTATGGGGCAATGACATGGACGCAGCATCATATGAAACTCAATTAGAAGGATGGTGGAAGGAACACGAAGATCCTATTACTAAATCTTTGGCAGGTCCTCCGTCATTTGAAAAGGCTCTTAGAGCTGTAACGCCTGAGCCAGGTCCATTATCGTGGCTTTCTACTGCTCGAGCCGCCACGTCGTTGCTCTCCAGATTTACGGACATGTTGAGGTCTAGGAGGTCTGACGAGTACGTGAACAATATATGTAGTTGCCCTTTTTTTGACGAAATTGCTTTCTAACAAAGCGGACTCGACTAGTAGGCAAACTACAAATATCGAAGAGTCGTTAGCCAAACACTATTTTGAGCACTTGATACCTCACGCCTGGGACGGGATTTATGATTTAGAGTCTGAACCGGATTTAGAGGCATCCGATTTGATGCTTTTGCCTGAAACAATATATTATACCATTGCTGTGTTGGAACTAGCTACACGAGGGTTACCTCCTCCAACTCTTGATGGCTTCCGTACCAACAGGTATAAATCTAAACCAATACATCGGATTGGTGTAGTTGACTCCATGTCGTCTGGTCAAATCATGTTACTTCGGCAGTTATGCAATACCCATGACATCGTTGCTGAATTCATGGCGCAAGGTCGAGGAAGTGCTCAAAATCCAGCAATAATGGCCAGACGAGCACTGCATACATTATTAGAAGGTGTGTTGGGACCATATCAATGGGAGTCAGAGAGCGGATGGGAGGATGGTCAAGAGTTTGAAAAGCAGGTATGGACAGCTGCTCATGGCGGTTTCTGGCAAGTTGTCGGTATGAGTCTCTTTTTGAAGTCATCCGATGTATTTGGAGAAGATCCTCGTATCATGGCTGGGTTATCGTATGTGAGAGAGGTTGTACGCTGTTGTACTGTATTCACCGAAAGTATCTTGGTCAAGAAACAGTCGTGGATCCACGATACTCGAGTCTCGTCATTCGCGACATCCCCCTTACCAACTGAAGCAGACCCAGTTTTGACATTCATGTCTTGGCTTGCTCAACAACTATTTGACGAATCTCAGTTGGGCCCTGACTGGCAAACTCGACTCTATCAAATAAATCCGCAAGTAGTAGTTGCTATCTTGGAACGTATCATGTTGGTATTCCTCAGGAGGACAGCTATACTCTTTGATGCTAGATTCAAATTGATTCCAGCAGGTGGCCCAAATGGATTCGGTCTTGATAAAGTTGACTTGGACTCTATGGATGAACAGGAGGATGAGAATCTGGACGATTACGCAGCTGAAAAGAGTGAGAGTGAACGTCTTTTGTCATATCTCGCTCTGCCGAATGTACGAGATGTCTTTGTCTTATTGACACGAGACTCGAACTCCTTGATGCATCGTCTCGTAACAGGATGGGTCGTTCAAATAAAGAAGGCGCAAGCTCAAACGCCGGTATCCTCAACCTCCACTAGTAATGAAGGCGTACATCAACCAGCACCATCAACAGATAACGTAGATGCTGCTGCTGGTAGTAATGATGGCGATATCGGTCCTACTGAAATAACTAATATATTTGTTGCTGCCACGACGACCACTACAACACAAACACCCGCAGCTGGAAGAAGATTGACTGCTTTAGCAGAACAACAGCATCAGGAATTCTATGACGACCAGTCTGCCATGTCGCTTCCATCACCTCTACCATTTACACTTGTGACACTACCTCGTCGCGGTGAAGCACTTTTACAGGAGTCTACTCGACGTATATGTCCCAACTGTAAAACTTTGCCATCTGAACCCGCCATATGCTTATTATGTGGAACTACTGTATGTGTACAGAGTATGTGCTGTATGGAGACAGATTCTGTACGAGGAGAATGCAATTCACACTTGTTTCAGTAAGTTGTGTCATGGCGATGCATACGATTTCGTCTGGTACTAAATGTGACTCTTTTAGTTGTGGGAGAGATTTGGGTGTCTTTCTCATTATCAAGCGTGCTGCTGTCATGGTATTGAGGTCCAACAATCGAGGGTGTATGGTGAACTCGCCTTATTTGGATGCCCATGGAGAAGAAGATCCTGGATTCAGGTATGACATGGTGCTGGGTTCTTTTTTTTTGCTCTGTGTCCTGACTTGGCTCAAAATTGCTTAGGCGAGGCAAACCAGTGTTTTTGAATGCCAAACGCTACGACGAGTTACGCAAGCTGGTTGTCAGCCATGGGGTGTCCAAACATATTGCGCGACGGTTGGAGAGCATATATGATGCTGGAGGTTGGGTAAATATGTAATGCATGGTAGAAAAGAGGCAAGTTCCATTGCATTTGTATAAATTTGCGCTATTATTAAAGAGAAGATTTGCATGCAACTTGATTACGCTTTGATGCGTCAAAAGCGAGAACCAACGCGCAAGATTCTATTCACAGCTCTTCTATTGTTGAACGAAACGAAAGCCTTTATTTTGAAGCTAGTTCTAATTTACATGTTTTTAAAAGGGATCATTTATAGAGGGAGAGCGTGGGAGAGCTACATACCCCGTCCTCCTGGCTCTCATGCGTCCTGTCAAACCAGCGATTTTACGCGGTCTCTCCTGTTCCATCACTACTACGGGATTTGGAGCTTCCTCCGCCACAACAGCAGCATTAGGACGTGAATCTGTCGGCGGTGGCCGAGCGGCCATCATGAATCTTGCCAAAAGTTCGACCATTTCTGGGTCAGTTCCAAATAATTGCATAGCCATAAACTTTTGGATTTCACAGCTAATTATGCTGCGTTTGTTGCTGTGGGAATAGAAAAGAGGTTGCATATCAAGAATGCGTACATTGAGATCATCCGATGAGCTTACCGGCGCACTGTTTGTCGATGGTACTGCAGTTACGGATGCTGCAGGTGGCTCCGATGCTGATGGTGCTGTCACAGCAGGGGCCTGTAAACCAAATATGGCTGAGACAGCAGCTTCTACTGATATGGCAGGGGAGGTGGCTCTGATGTCTAATAATATGAATGATGTAAGCACATTGTGTTTCATAAACGGATGCCTTTTGCAATAAAGGTTACCATCAAAGATGTAGCAGACCAGCAAACGAGTGTTATGGAAGTTCTACTTTACTATTCATTCTCGGAAAATTGGGATCGGATTGTCCTGGTGATGCGGCCGATGACGACGAAGACAGTTGACTTTCAGCAAATGCTGATACTGTTCGGCGTGATCGACCCCTTTTAGTGGTTCGTGGTGGCGTTGGTAGTGTGGCTGCTGCACTCAAAGATGCAGATTCAGACAAATCCTCATCAGCTCGGCGTTTCGGCGTCTGATTTGGAGGGCTGATGGGCGGCATGGTTACGTCTCCCATATCGGCCTCTGACGAGGCAACAGTGGTAGCGGAATTGGGGAGCGGTAGCTGAATTGGGGAGCTGTGCATCTTCAGTTGGTTGGACTGCCCAAGTGGATCCATCAGCGAGAATTTTACCACCTTCCGTTAAGGACGCAGGCCAACCAATACCTTGGGAAGATTGGTATGGAGTGGGTGTTGCGGTACTAGGTGGGATGATATCAGAATTACTACCCACACTAGTATGATTAGAAATGGTCAGAATATATATAATGATACATGATGCGATCAATATCTCGTGGTAACAAATGTCTTCCTTCTTTGCAAGACCGACTAAAGGCACCAAAGTCCCAAAAGTAGGTATCCAGAAGCTCGGCATTTCTGGTTCAAATTGCACCTTACAAAGTCGAAATGCACTTTGACACCAGCTATAAAGTGATTCGTTGCGCGGCTTTTAAGACTCTTGTCATAACAAAGCCCTCGAAACCTCGAAACTACGCAAACGAGCAAGCATTGAGATGTACATTCCTCCTACTACATGAACAACCCAGCAAACAGTCTTTTCACGTATGACCTACCGTCTTTGAGTACATAAGAGCTTGCTTAATGGCCCCTTCATGGTGCCATGCGCCTTTATTCGAATCGACATTTTCTGTTGAAGCTCAAGCGATGCCGTACTGGGCGCGACAAAGAGGATCTCGTCACAGTCGTCACATAGTAGTCCATTTTCATGCGATCCAACTCTTTGATAATTCCACAGCTACTCTCCTGCTGAAAGAAGTCGCGATTTAAGTTGCCTAAATTAGATTTTTGTTGATGCACTTGTAGGAGAGCGTGACGAAGTTTGAAATTCTGCAAAACTTCAACGATAGAGTTAATTAGAATGTATTTCCGCAGTTCCAAGTTCCCATCAAATGGACCCCGTTTGGTCAAGTGAGTCACGGTACAACTCAGTTCGCAACAGAAACAGAGATAAAGACACAGCGATAAACCAATTCAACCAGTACATATCTCGTACCTTAACACAGCATATACATCAAAAAGATGGCCCACTCAAGAATGGTCATCCTCGGTAAGTTCTAATGCTTAATTTGTTTCTTGCTTGGGGGGTTTCTGTCTTTGACGAGTAGCGAAGCTAACAAGACCAATTCTATATCATTCATTAGGTATTCCATCTCCAGCAATTGAACAGTTCAAGAGTGATAGTGCTTTCCATGTAAGGTTTTGAGCTCGTACTGCCAACATTTAAAAGCAACAAACACCCACGACTTTGTGACGAGATGGGCGTTTGCTTGTTGAGCCCATATACTGGATATTTGAACTAATGCAATCTCGTTTGTTCATGATGCCTCTCCTGTGCATTAGTGGACTCTCCGAAACTTTCTAAAGGAAGGAGACACTCTCTACATCCAACACGGTTCCAAATCACTCCCTGGAGCAACTACATCCAAGGGCGGTGTCTCAGACTCACTTCCAGATGTCACATTACGTGAAATGGAGGGCAGAATTGAGGTATGACCAAAAGGAAGTCTAATAAAACACAAAAGCTAGATCCTAATTAGTTGAACACCATTTCTACGATCTTAGGAAACTGCAAAGACGATGATTGCATCAGCCGGATTTTCAAATATTGCCGTTTCCGTCCACATTACTAAAGGAGATCCACGTATGTTGGCTGCATCGTTGATTATTGACAAACACATCAAATGTGGTGCTAATACACTCAATTCATGACATAGGTGATGTACTCCTCACAGTTTCAGAAGAGAAGGCACCTTGCACTGTTATTGTTGGTAGCAGAGGTATGACAGTGCCGGTTATCAGTCTTTCAAGGCATTTCCACTCACATTTTACTCCACGAATAAAATAGGAATAGGAGCCGTTCGACGAGCACTTATGGGGTCCGTATCAAGTGCATTAGCAAACTCGTGCTCACAATCCGTTATTATCGTAAAAGAATAATTATGGGATAACACGAAAAGGGAGAAGACAAGCTTGTAATAATAGACAGCATTCAAAGTTATCGCGTTTGGTCGATTACTGTTTCGCAAACGTTCACACTCGTTCTGTACTAAGATGATATTCTATTAACGCTATCTATCAATTATGGGGATTCTTATGTTTGCATGTACATTAAGTGATGGGGGAATATGATTCCGACCTAGAATTTATGACCATTTGTTCGACTATATCTATTATAAGATCTCTAATAATCCCGAATCTAAATTATACCAATCGGAATTCCTCCTTCTCCAGCACTATTTCCGATATCGTAATGTCCTGTTTAGCCTTTTGATACATCCACAATCCAAAGAATGTGAGACACATTCCAGCAAACTGACTAGACGTGACAGAATCCGAAAACCAAAAGATGGATGATACAATTACGAAAATCCTCTTCAGTAATGAAGCCACGGAATACGTTACGGGCGATACGAGTGACAAGAGCCAGAATGCTAGGAGATTTTGTCCAAAGTGGGCTACACCATTCATAAAAAAGAGAGCTGCTACACTAAAACCACCATTGCTGCTAGTATTGATGGCATCTGCTGCTACTGATGATGATTCTACATGCGATATAAGCATGCCGAGTCCATCAGAGTACAACCATAGTGGCGTCATGAATAAAAATGCTAAAAATGATGAATAGAATAATAGATTTATCTTGTCTAGCTTTTTATGTTGTCCTTCCGATTTCTTTACACCACCTGGTGTCGGTATTTGTTGATCGGTATGATGATGGTGATGGCCCGTCGTAAACAGTTTCTTAGAAAAGATGTTTTGAGTCACGAATATTATAGTTGCTGCCAGCGCACTTAGGAAGCCAATCCAGTTGAAGCTTATTCCGTTGGAGCAGACCAGCATGACTCCAGCAGTTAGTGGTAGAAGCGAAAAGTATACTCGTGGTGCATATTGTACTTCAAAGAAGAAGCGATACATCAAAACAGTGAAGAGCGGCGACAGAGCCTGATAGGAGAACGAGTGGTATTAAAGATTATGGTGCGACTATTTTTTGGCGTCTTGACTGACACATCAAAACAGCAAAGTAACCCACCTTGATGGTATGAGCAAACGACACAGACACCATTGACAATGCTACGCTAGAGAATACATGTCCAGCAACCTGAAATAAACTCAACGGCGCAGCAGTGGCTAGCACATGTCGTGATGGCCATGTTATAGTCGTGTTGGGTATAATCTTCAATACGGCTGTAGAGAAGGCAAAGAACGCCACCATTGCGAATTGGACGTATGTGAGTGTGACTGGATGCTGATAGACGTTCATGATTTGTTTACTCAGATTGTTTGTTATGGCTGAGGATGTGTACCATGCTAGACACAGCAGTACAAACTATGGAGCGTAGTGAAATAGAGTTAGAAAGGTCTGGCTTAACCTCTTGGCCAACAAGAAAAAAGAGGCCTAGACCAACACACGTGTCAACACAGCATACCTTGATGGTCTCTCCAGGGCCCTGCCCATCCCATCTCGCAGAGAATGAACGAGTAGTTGAAGTCGAAGCATTCCATAATCCATTCTGTATTCCAGAGACAGTAGCAGCTGTCGAGTCGAATATATTGTAATTATGGTAGTTGATGTTGTTCTGAATATTGATTCTGATGCCACCAGGAGAGGTTGAGGTGCCCAAATGAAACGAGTTTTGACTTGCTGACCCTGTAAGGGTATCATTTATACTGGCATTACTCGTTGGCAGTGTGGTTGTGTCAGATTTTTCGCTGAATTGTTGAGGTATATGAGCATTGTAAGCAGGAGGAGGCATCAAGTCTCCGTCACTCAGATTGAGCTATCGGAGTAAGAACCGGTATTAGTTCTACGATACTTGCACAGATCTCAAAGGGACAATAATGAAAAATTAGGCCTTCAATCAAATGTTGCGCGGGTAGGCAACTTAAAAACAAGATAAAGGGCAGAATCGATGTAGGCAGTACGTGAGGCCACCAGATACAATGATTCCACTTGTTTTCAGTGGCTTGTTTCTGTATATATCTCAACTTACTGGTGTCGAAGCTCCTGATTCGCCTCCGAGCGATGACGTGGAATCATTGGCATCACTCATCATGCGAGCTCGCTTCTGCGCCGCGAGAGAATATATGGGACCAGTCCGTGCTGCCTTCATTCCCCAATTGTTGTAAATGGTCGAAAAGCCAAAAAGAACAAAGGGTCAGATTCGCCAGGCTTTGATAACAACTCTAGCTTATGGTGGCATACGGCACTCTGTCATATATATTGAGTAGCAAGTCTCGCAGTAAATGCTGACACGTCAATACGCCCTCTTTATCGTCTGAATTCAAATTATATTAAAATAGGACGGTAACAAACACACAAACACCGCTATGTAGATGGAGCCGAAGCAGCCAGCAACCTCAAGACTTCCATGGGCTCAATATTTGCTCGGGACTGGGCTTCTTGTTCAGTATATGCCTGCAAGATCTGAGCAAACAGTGCTTCACAATCTCGAAGTTTCTTGGTGTACTCAACTGATGTCTGACTGACCATATGTTGTAAATGATGGATCTATCAAATTTCATTAAAGAGTATATGAGTATGTCGTGTGGGTCCAAACAGCGTCCTTCGAGGGAACAATTTGTTTTCCTTATACCATTCAAACACACAAAACTACTCACATTCAATCGCAACTGTTGTAAATTCCTCTTGATTTGTTCTGAGAAATCGTCTGCTGCTGAAGGTTGTAGGTATGCATTGGCAAAGAGCTGCACATCTTCCGTCAAAGACGACAAAAGTTCTTCATTGTAGGGTATCGACTCGACTTCTGGATACTGATCTACTGCTTGAGCATGTAATGTTGATTGTTCGTTGAGTAGAGACACCCATGCCTGTTCCTCACTCGAAAACCTACGTAAAAAAGGGATTCTTGTAAGGCACTACTGCCACAACATCATGAAACCGTGGCTCAATCAAAGTCACGCACTTTTGAATGCCTTCTTGATACCGAGCCAAGGCAAGAGTGGCCTGCTCGTTTTTGGGATTGGGTAGTTTTGCGGCTGTTTGTCCTTCGTCTTCATCGCTATCATTCTTGTGTTAACAAAAAAAGGCATCAGCTGGTGACACGCTCTAAGAACTAACTGCAACCTGAATTGCGTCGAAACCTACTTTGCGATGGTACCACGATGTGTTAATTGATTTGTCTGTCAGACCAGCAATCACATCATCCATCACGGCTTCGACTATTGAAGACAGGCATAAGGTAAAGAGAGTGTTTGTTTTGCGTATGCTGACGACAAAAGACTTACAAACACGTGCGACTTCTGGATTTGCTTCTTCTTCCACATTCTGCTTAGCCTTGGCTGCACACCATAATAACAATTGTCTCATTCTGACTGGATCGGAACTATCTGCATTTATATGACGGTAGTATTCGGATGGTTCGATGATTGTGTGTGGAGGTGCTATGCGACAAAGAAAACTTTGTGAACTACTTCCACATAACATTTGGAGCTTTGAATGACGCTTACCACATAATCCACTTGAAGATGAAGATGAGCGTTTACCTCGTAATCCCAAACTTGATCTCCTTCTTCCAGTGCCACCATTCTGTCGCATGTCCTTGTTCTTGACAATCATAGGAGTTTCGCGTATTGGGATGGGCACCTCGGAATCCGTACCACGGCGTCCAAACAGCATTGGCATCATAGCAGGTCGGGATGGCTTTACGATCTGTAGTTGAATAGGTAAGAAGTATCGATAGGGTGCAAATACACAGATTCACATACAGGATTTTGAGCCGGTGGTGGTGGCGCAAGAGGCTGATGATCTGTGACGATTGTAATTCCTTCATTGTTCGGTGCGAATTCAGGAGCGAAAGCACCTTCACATGGTGCTGGTCGTATAGGTCTATCTTCTGGATTTGATGTTGTCGATAATGTTTGGTTGATGACATTGTTCTCTACCAGCTTCCTAGTATCTGATGCAGTCAATGCTGCTTCTTCACTAGCAGTCGCTTTTGGTTTCTTGAATCTAAATACAAATCCAAGCTCCTCTCCTTCGATTGTTTCATCACTTTGCCTCTGTGTTTTGATTTTTGGTGGATTTAATTGTAATGTGAGCTGAGAGTCGATGGCAACGTTCGAGATCATGAATACTTGTTTGAATACTTGCCTTTCGTGTAGGATTATTCTCTGCCATCGTTCGTCGCTGATCTGCAAACCATGTGCGAAGGACGTTGACATAGGTTCTACGACAGGTTTATCACCAACACATTTGAAGTAGATATTGCATGAGTCACGCGTTATTTAAAATTCAGAATTCAGAATCGCAATCTAACGGATGTCGAAGCAGAAACCGTCGATAGGTCAAATGCTCGCTTATGATTGGGCGTTCTTCTATCGTCTATATATTGTTGAAATTATTCATGTCCATATGGTCCAAATTACGTGCTCACGTGCTCAGATTTCCTACGAATTAGTTCAAGTCAACCCAATACGTGACACCTGGTAACTGTTGCAGCGTTTACCTTCCTGTAGATCCCTTGAACGTTTCGAATGCTCTGCCACAAGGTCATCCAAATCACAAGTAAGCAACTTCCCTTCCTCGACCACCACACGACCATTAATAACACTCATAGTCACATTTCCAGGTGTCGTCAACATGATGGCTGCCACAGGATCCAACGCTCCAGACATAGACACATTACCAGTAATCTTCCAGCCAATGAAATCAGCTGCAAACCCTGGCTGGATCTTTCCTAGATCAGTTTCACGGCCCAACACTTTGGCACCACCAAATGATGCTAGTTGTAAAGCTTCACGCACTCCCATCCCTTTCACGTCACATATCCGTGCTCTTTGGAGCAATAATGCCCAGCGAGCAGTTTCTAATAACGACCCAGAATCATTCGATGCCGATCCGTCAACTCCAAACCCCACTTTTACACCAGCATCTACCATCTCTCTCACAGGAGCTATCCCAGATGCTAACCTTGCATTCGAAGCGGGACAATGCGACACCCCACAACCGTTTGCTGCAAACTGGGCAATCTCTTTAGCATCTAATTTAACACAATGAGCAAGCCATGTCCTATCAAAGTCCCATCCACATTGAGTCAGATATTCCCCAGGTCTACACCCGTATTTTGCCAAACTAAACGCAATGTCCTGATCATTTTCAGCCAGATGTGTATGGAGCATGACAGCTGGATATTTCTTAGCTAGAGTAGCGGCTTCTATCATGGCTTCTTTATCGACAGAGAATGGTGAGCATGGTGCGATCCCAATTCGTATCATGGATAACGGTTTTGAGTCATGGTATGTGTCGATGAGACGCACTGCATCATCGAGTGCTCCAGCTGTAGTTTCTACGAGTTCATCTGGTGGTAGACCTATAGACAACTGTGGTGTCAACGCTCTTGCACTGTAGTTCAGATATACCGTAAAACAAACGACAGCGTTGGAGAGAACCATACCTCCAGAGCTTTTCCCTAACGTCATAAATCCCCGCGTCGGATGGAACCGTAATCCAATATCTTTGGCTGCTTTGATTGTATCGTCCAAAGTAACATTATTTGGAAATATGTAATGATGGTCGCTAGACGTGGTACATCCAGACAAAATGAGCTCTGCCATAGAAAGCTTAGATCCGTAGTAGGCATCTTCACTCTTCATGCGTCCCCACACCGGATACAGGGCCTCCAACCAATTGAAGAGTGGTGAATCGATGGCCACTCCGCGAGTGAGCGATTGATACATGTGATGATGAGTATTTATGAAGCCTATGCAAGACAAATTCTTGTTTTAGATGTTCGCGTTCAAGGGAATTTAGAGCGATATTCAAGCTGGATGATCTTGCAAATTACGCAAAGTTTGTTGTGATAGCTTGGCAGCGCAAGATCAATGCTACAACTGAGAATTCATTCTCTTACCTGGAATGATCACCAGTCCTTTGCAGTCGACTGTTTTACTTGTAGCCGACAAGAAACTTGAGGGTAGTTTACTATCGTCACCAACCCATTCGATAGCGTTGTTATTCACAACGATAGCAGCATCCTTAATATCAGTTTCACCGGTATACAGAGCTGCAATATGTCTGTATATCGTCACGGAGCTCATGGTTGGTGGACGGGTTTGGTGCAAGCAGGTTGATGGTTGTTGCAAAGAATGCCGCAGACAAGGTTTTCTAGAAGAGGTGACACATGGAGCGTATTTAAATGAACATGTATAGACTACCAGACAATTCTGAACAGTTAAGTAATATTTCTGAGGCAATAATAACTTCTGAATATTAGGTTGTATTTGCAACGAGAGAAAAAAAGGTGCTAAGGTCTAAATCTATTACAAGAGTCCCCTCCTATTTAATGAGCCATCTTTTCGTCGACGACCAATGGAGCGGCTTCCTCATCACCGTAAATTTCGGCTAATTGTAGAAAATATTTGAGTTAGAAACTGTTGCGTTTAGTGTGGCTGCAAATGTTCGCTTACCATCTGAGGGCAAAAGTTGGTTTAACACAAGGGCAATGAGTGAAGCAATCACGAAACCGTTCTAAAGATTGTCAATTTGATTAAACCTCGGATTCTATATATACACGACTTGCATCCAATTACCTCGACGATGATCACAATGGAGGCGAGGAATCCGGCGAGAGCTTGGTTATCTCCAGCGTAGGTAAAGAAGTAGCTGAACCATGTAGGTACAAGATACACGCCGACTCCGATAGATAGAGCACCTGCAACGATGACTCGATCACGCCTGGTCCACTTCAAGAACGCCAGGATACGGATACCGGAAGCAGCAACAGATCTGTTCATAAGACGTAATGTCTAAACGATTGTGCTTGAATGAATGCTTTCATGATAGACTTACGCAAACAAGAAGGTTGTCATTCCACCTAGTACTGCATCCGGTATAGCGAGGAATATGGCGCTGGGAGAGACAAATTCAAATAAGCATTCGGTTTAGACCAAACAAGCACGTCTCCTCTTCAACTTACGCGAATTTTCCAAACACTCCGAATATAATCAACCAAAGACAACAGCAATATCCAACCGAGGTGTTACCACATCGAGTCAAGGCGATAACGCCTGTTAAAACATTGATGTAAGTCCCACATTAACGGGCTTTAGAATATGATAGCGTTTTTCGCCGTACCGTTGTTTTGAGCAAATGTTGACATAGGGGTGTTGGTCATAAGGGAAGCCTATCACAGCAGATTTAGTTTGATTTTCAATGAAGTTCATCACAACATGCTGAATACTTACAATCAATCCATTGAGACCATCGGCGAGGATACCTCCCTGAATACGAGACTCGTATTCTTCACCGACAACAGCTACACCAGTAACATCTAAGGTGCAAAATTGTGTCAATCTACCACCCATATTAATTTCAATTGGGATACTCGAAACAAAAGATTTCTGCAGAAATGTTTACCAGCGGATGCAGTGACATCACCAATGGATTCAACAGCCAAGATCTACAAACAGGGATTTCGTCAGAAGTTACGGGACACGGAACCATGGGCTCTGAAAGAAACGGGGGAGACATCCAAATTCGTCGTCTCCCAACGTTTACAGTTGAGCATGCTTACGAGATAACAGAAGCAATAAGGGATAACTGCAGGCCCATAGATGCTCAATTTGTACGTATGCGTCCAAATGAAGTCCAGTGCAGGTGCATTTGTAATAGCAGAGGTATCCCAATAACCTGCAGCAGCACTGATTACACATCCCACAAGTAGACCCAAAACAACCTGGATATTTCTCATAAAAGGCGATCCAAATATCTCGACTAGGTAGATCGATGCGAATACGGAGAATCCTAAACCAATGAATCTTGCGTCTCCCCAAGCGTATGGTTTCGGGGCAAGAATGTTGGGACATGCAGAGAAGAATCCAGTAGCAGGTCTAGAAATGCAAGGCCCTGCACCACCTTGAATATGAAAGAGAAAACAAACCGACAAATATCAGTTATGCGAGCGAGGTTTGGCACTTCGTTTGATCTTTCTACACACCTGCCCAGGCCTGTAGACCAGCAGAAGTAAGATCCGCACCAATAAGTAAAATAGCGATACCAGTAACCAATGGTGGGAACAACTTTTGTAGTATTCTTGGTGGCGTGAAGGACAAACAGATTTCAATGATACTACAAAGTGCTGTGGTCCCTAGAATAGCTCCGTAGGCGTCTGGGCATGCGAGATAAGTAGTTACGCCACCAGTCACGGTGGTTGGGCAGAATCCATTCGAGTAGAGCTGTGAGATTACAGATTGACTGATTCCAACAACGGTGAATGAAGTTCCGACGACAGAGAGTAACCCTAAACTTTCACGTGTTAAAAGAAAACACATTGACATAGCATATAACGGATGAGAACACACCAGTTCCAAGGTAGTATTTGCCAAACAAATGGAATCGTGTTATCTGGATTGCTGAGAGGAGGCCGGATGCGATCAGAGCGACTGAGATTTGATGTTGACGAGCTGAATCGTCAAAATTGAGACCCGTGGCTCCAGCTTGTGCGGTGAGGATGATTGGTACAGTGACGACACCGGCCATCATGGCCAGAGCGTGTTGGAAGCCCAGCATGATGGCGATGAAAAGAGGTACTTCATCGTGCAATCCATAGAATCGTGGCACGTCACCTCTCATGCTAACCGATAAGGTTCCCTGTCAGTAATTTGACAACCGAGGCATCTCTACTTCGTGACAATCCTTACGTCCGTGGCTTCATGAATGGGATGCGTGGCATGCACAGGAATGCATAGTCGTATTTTCCTGTGGTGCAGAATTGTGAGCGTTTGAAGAGGAGAGTAGTGACCACAAAGGGCTTAATCTCCCACAGCAATAACGAATTAGATCTGAATTTGTGTGCGCTGGCGGTGGCGTTCCGCTCCAACCACCGATAACTCATCATCATCAAAAAAAACCAATGTACTAGCCCTTGGTATCGTCAACAATAGAAGGAGATAATTACCAAAAAGACCATCATAAGTAGTGAATTTCTTACTATTTGAATGTATTAGGAGTTAGATGGTTGGTGGCGAGCTTCAACTAAAAGTGTGATGCTGGGGATGCTGCGACGAAAATGCTTACACAGCCTTTTGAGCAAGCGTCGGTGGTGGAGGGGCTACTGGTTCAGTTCCTACAATGCCTTCTTCTTCCTCTGCCATGCTTGCTTACTGTGCTAGATGGGATTTTTAGTGTGAAATCAATCGGAGTGACAAGATCTGAAGTCTATTCAGCAGGCTTGGTCAGAGATAACAAATTCTCACTGAGCCCCAGGAAGGGATGTAAGTTTGTTAGTGGGGTTATCTATATGTTGAGGAAACCGGTTGCGCACCAGCTCACCAATTCGATCGATTCCATTCAGCCTAGGACGAACAATGAAAATTCTGACTAAGACTCACAGCTTGTCGACGATAAGGAGGACGGCTGATAAGAATTCCGCCCCTCAACTGTCACAGATCTCCAACTAGTGTTGATTGCGGTGTCCTTTCAATTGAGTCACGCACTTCACTTCTTGCTTTTCTTTTTTACATATTTATTTATCTCGACGTTGCTAATTTTTGTATATCTGTATCGATCGCTGGTACATGCATCTTCTGGATTGATACTTAGACATTTTTCTACCAGCATGTTAAGCTTACAGTGCGTGCGCAGTTAGGTTCTATGTCACTGTCGTCAAGTTCCAACTTTTCTTAAGACAATCCAACGCTGTTCGAGGACAAGAATGCTTGCTTTAATTAAGATGGCAGTTTCTCCAGCTCAGAAAATCCACAAGCAAGCAGCCAAGACTGCAAGTCCTCCCATTGCTCGTCCATTTTTTGACCTTCCGGACGAGCTTTTGTTAATACTTTTCCAACGGATGGAAGCGTGCCAATTAGCAAAAATTGCTGCAAGTAAGTTCCAGGAACTATTCCAAGCTGTTGATGGTCATTGACCTACGCCCTCAAGAAGTCAATTTTCAACCTGTTGAGTTTTGGATCAAACATGAGCTAAATGGATCTTTGTCAACAGCGTGCAGAATACTAAGGAAGGTTGCGTTGGACGATTCTCTATGGAGAGCCCATTTCGAAATCTTGGGCCTGGACCTCCAAAAGCACGGATGGAAGACTCGGCTTCCTGAGCTGTATTCAACCATACAACTGAACAGAACAGCATGGTTTTCAGGAAATGGAAGTCGGAGAAGGTACATGGATGGTGTATACGTTGGTTCCATCGTCAAAATCTCTCCAAACTGAATCTGACGCAACGGGCCGTCACGTCTAGAGTACAGGCCCATACACATGGCGTTACTTGCCTTCAAGTAGTTGGAACTCGAGTTATTACGGGCTCATGGGACGGAGTTGTCAAGATTTGGAATCTTCAAAGAGGCGAAGACGCCAACGGCATTCGTGCACCAAGTCCCGAAAATCAAGAAACCACTGTCAGCAAACATGATAATAAACGAACCAGCATTCTCCGCAAAGCTATATCCCCACCAACTGTCAAGGACACTGAGGCCAGGAAGCTTGGGCTCAAGTTTGTCCATCAATTTTCTCATCATGAAGGCCCAGTGGAATGCCTAAAGGTTTCTGGTGATTTCCTTGCCACTGGCGGACGTGGAAATCGAACAGCACTGATACTGTGGTCGCTGAAAACCCTGGCAAGACTCAAAGTTATTCCATGGGTATGCAGTTCACAAACATATATCAAGTTCAAGACTTAGTTACTGAGATTCTTGCTGTGATACACAATAGGAGCACGATGCTGTGACGTGCTTGGATCTGAACAAGAAATACCTGATTGGAGCCTCTCGAACCTTGCTTCACGTCATTTCACTTGGCGACCTCCGAATTAAAGGAACACAGCGATTTCCCACATCCTCAATCGTCAAAGTCACCTTAACGTCAGTCGGTTTCATAACTGTGTGTATGAGCGGATCCGTCACTGTTTGGAACCTTGGTGACAGCCATGAAATCACACAAATTGGCCAAGTCACCACCGCTAGTCATATTCTCTACGCTCGTATCAGAGCCCGCAAAGTCGAATCAGAATTTGAGATTCTAACTGCACACAAAGATGGTGCCGTCAGGGGGCTTCTAGTTCACGACAGGTCTCCTCACGACCAAGAAAACCAGGATCCCTTGGAATCTCGTATTATTGCTCATCCCTTGCATGAATTTGAATGTGTTTCGGATTGGGCTACTGGTGTTGATTTGAACGAAGTCAATGGAATACAAGCTGTATCGTGCTGGTAAGAGCTGCTTGTGCTTTTGAAATGTCTTCAACTGAAAACATGAGTCTCTAACCAAGAAATGTCAATAGGGATGGCAAGATACGGCTATGGAGTTTGTTTGAAGGTGACAAACGTGTACGTGCCATTCTGCAAGACACAGGATCGGCCGTTCTCTCTCTTCAAATCAGTGACAATATTCTCATAGCTGGATGTTATGACGGAAGCGTCAGGTAAGTGATTTGTTGAGTTTCCTTAGAAGGTCGCTTATTTGAGCTAACTCTACTGTCAATTCCAGTGTATTGGAATTCCCAAAGTTTCGTCTTCCTTCTAATGTCAAGCAGACCTCATTGTAGCTCAGACAGATTTGACACGCAGACCTCATTGTAAATATGTAAACGTAGAGATCACCGACTGAAACAATAGATTCAAGCTTGAAAGGACATTCTATAATCGGTTTGAAGCGTGTAAAGCTCTGCACAGCTCTGATCTTTGTGTTGCTTAATTCAAAAATCGTCACATCGCAGCTCGCATCAGTAAACTAGCTCGACAGACATGACACTTCTGCGGAGACCAAGATAGTATATTGTTACATAGAATGGACAATTCCAAAAACGATCCATCGCTAGAAGCAGCTTTGGCCACAAATCCTGAAATGGTCTCCAAGTTAACCACTGATGGTACAAACATATGGAAGACTGGAACGCCAGAACGAACCATAGGATCAATTTCAAGCCTCGTTAGATCTACGAAGTCCAAGACGAAATCTGCTACAAAGTTGGCCGACAAGCAACCAAAATCAACCTCATCAACAACACCCAGTAAAAGGGATAAAACGAACGGAGCTGGAGCAATTTCTCAAAACGTTGTCAGTGATTCCGAACAATTGGATACCAAAGAGCATGTCTTGGCACTCAAATATTCTCGTCTATGGAGGAGTAACATACGTCGTGTCAAGCAAACCAAGTTGAGTGAATCTAGGTACACGACCAAGCTCATAACGAATTGTATGCAGCTATGGAAGCATGCTTTGGTCGAGAAGAGGATGTTATGGAGAGCCGAAGTGCGTGCTCGTGTGCACTATAAAATTGCTATCTGTGGTAAAGTATGGAAGGCATGGCGACTATATGTCTCTGAACGAAGTGGTAAAGCCGTGCGACGAAAAATGATTTCAGAACATGGTAAACTGTCGAATTTTTTGGTTTTTTTTTGGCTATGAATCCATTTGAGTATCTAACGCTCGTCAAATAGTCGGTCGAGCAAGAACAAAACGAGCTTGGAATGCTTGGATGATGTACATGTCGCAGAAGAAAGATAAGGTCGCTAGGCAGAAAGCAGCCATTGCCTTTTGTCATGAGTGTGTTTTATCTCTATACTACGGATTATGGCACGCTCTATTGGTGGAACGCAAGTCATGGCAAAAACTTGAACAGGACGCTGCGAGCTGGAAGTCTCATCGCCTTGTAAAGTCATCATTCCGTAATTGGAGACTACGATTTGTGACCGCTCAGCTTCGTCAGACGAAAATGGAGCAGGCCAGTCATCACCACCAGAGACACCGCAAGAATATAGTACTGCATTCATGGTTGGCGTATGTCTCAAAGTGCCAGGAGAAGAAGCGCCGCACAGGTTTGAAATATGTTTTTAGTCGTGGCCAATAATCATCAATTAAACCAGCTCCCCAATTTAGAAAAGGCCGTATTGTGGATGACGGTTAAGCTGCGAAAACGATTTTTTGCAAAGTGGAAGCTTTCGCATATGCAAATACTGATACGAGAAGATGCTGAAAAGTATGCCATATCTTGGGATAAGAAGAGAACGCTTCGAACTGGATGGCTGATATGGAAGACGCGTGAGCGTTCTCACCTTATGTTTTGTATCCATTTCAATGATTGATTTCCCTCCGCTCTAGATTTGAGTACTGTCAGGAAGAATAATGCTGCTACAGAGAAGGCGATGGTGCACCATCATCTAGTTCTGAAGGTTGGCAGTTGTGATTGACAGTTAGTGTTGTTTCTACGCTAACGCTGCTTCTGAAGCGACATGGTCTGATGGCATTTGTGAGCCTCCTGAGTGATGGAATGACTGCTGATAAAAAGCTGGCAGCTGATGTGAGTGATGTCAGTGCGATATCTATGCACTTCAGGACGTTGACCTCACACTTGCTCTCCCTCAGCTTCTCAAACAAACCTGGATCTCTTGGATGATAGCGCATCAGCAGTCATGTCAGCGCAGAGAAACACTGGAGCTGGAAAAGGGGCTCGCATACTATCAAACGTGGCTGAAAAGATCGGCATGGGCGAGTTGGATGGATTTCGTTGGCGAGTGCCGACATGTAAAGGTAAGACATTCGTCGAAGAAATTCTCAAAATCCTGCTCCGTTGTTTATACTTTTCATCAGGGCACAGAGACGACTGCATTGGCTCATCGTCGTAAGGTTGTGTTGAAGGCAGCCTTTTCAAGTATCGTGGAATACGCCCGTAATCGTAAGATAAAGCGGGGAAGAATGGATGTTGGTATTACCGTTTCCACGAAGCGGCGTCTGATAAAAAGTTGGGTACTGTGGAAGACACTTCTTCACGACAAACGTGATGACGTCGTCAAGATGAGAAAGGTGAGTGTATTCAGTGACCTCCATGCATCAGAATGCCTTCAAACTGAGATATTTCAACTAGGCCGAACGTCTGTTCACCTTTATCATCTTACGGAGAACCTTCTCAACACTGCGGCAGAATGCAGTGAATGTTACGGTTGAACGACATTATGAGGTATACAAGATACTCAAATTACAAGAAAATGTATTTTTATTGACTTTATAAAATAGGAATTGGCGAAACTTCATTATAACCGCCGTCTTGCCTTGGTTGTTTTGATTGCCTGGTGGAACTATGCTGCTCAATCAAGCGCAAAGATGATTCAGTGGCGAGTAGCTGTACGACATCGTTACAAGAGCTTGCTTCGCCATGCGCTGAGAACATGGGCACAGGTTAGGATGTTGGCTGTGAAGAATGTCAACAACGTTTCTCAAGCAAACTAATTGAACCTATAGGCTTATACAAGCCGATGCACGTCTGCGGCTCAGTGGTCGTTAGCCGTTACCCGACATCTTCGAACCATTTCCAAAAAGGCATTACAAGCTTGGATGGTATGCATTTTTCTAGTTTCCTTAAATGATAGGACCTAACTCAAACGACAAAACTGTCAAACAGCTGTATTCATCATCACGGCGATGGATCCACAATACTATACAGTCATGCGAGACTAGACGTTCCGAAATATTGTCCATGCAATTGTTTCGGCATTGGAAGGCCAAAACGATTATTGCTCGAGAAGTTCGCCTTGAGGTTGAGAAAGCACAACAAGAAGGTGCTTTTGCTTTGATACGGCAGGTACGAGACGTTTTACTTCTTTGAGGAGATGCGAAAGCTGCAATTACCAAGTGCATCATCCTTTCTCGTCTACCTTTGTAGGCCTTTTTCGGATGGCGATCGTACGTCGAAGGTCTGAAGCTCTATCGCGAAGAGCAGGATCGTCAAGTGCGAAGAGTTCAGGTTGCCGTGGAGAAAGGTACAGAAAGTCTCATGTCTGTCCAGTGTTGAGCTGAGTGGTGAACCACACTTTTTTCTGTTAGCAAAACTCAAAAATGCCCTCGCTGCATGGCGACGATACAGAAGATACAAGCAGTTTTGTCATGCCATGAATGCTAGAGCCAAATCACACTTAACTCGTCACTTGCTATCTATAACCATGACATTCTGGATTAAAAGGAATCACCATCGAAAATGGCTGCATCGTGCTCAATCTCTGGCAGATACCTTCCTTCATCGCAACATATTGAGGCAAAGTGTAATTATGTGGAGATCTCATCGAACGAATTGGAATGAGATTAAGAGTCACATGTTTGTTATGCCGGTTCTTCATCGTGGGCAAATGCTTTTGGGCAAGACATTCTCAGCTTGGTCTGACTATGTGGCTAGTAAGAAGGATACGAGAGCCAGGATCAAAGAAGCGGAATGTTGGCGACGTGAAATGGCAATCAAGCATGGAATTTTGGCTCTATTGACTGTGAGCAGTTTATTTCTTCGGCTTGAGACAACGTTAGCGATAAGCCAAAACGCGTTTTTTTGCTGGGCCCGTGTAGGTAGCAGATCCAAATCGGTCTCGAGAACCTCTTAAAAGGGCAAACGCACCATCTGGTATCACTATGCGTAAATGGAGCATAGTTGAGAAATGTGCCCGGCACTGGCTTGATGTTACAATGAGAGCTCGAACACGAAGACGTCGCTCATCAGGTTAGCGTTGCGATTTTTTACATCCTTCTTTCACAATGTGGTATTAACTCTCATTCATTAGCAAATCAACGCTCAGCTCTCCAAACTGAATCTCGTAAACCAATTCCGTTGGTTTCAAGTCGCCAACGGCAGTCGGCTAGTCTGAATGGAGAACTACCGCCGAGAATAGCGCTACCCGAGAATCCCTCACTTGCATTGCCTAGAACTTTAGGCTCCATCCTTCATCAAAACACATTCGAAACTCATGCCACGAACGTAACTGAAACGACGAAACCTCGTCCTCTAGAACGCCGCCACAATGAAATAGGCCCCCCAGTGCCACCACTAGTGAAATATAGTCAACCACCGTCTCAACCTTTAAATCGTCCAACAGCAACACTACAGCAAAGTGCCTCTAGGAATAAACGTGCTTCACCACGTCGACCAGACTATATATTAGATCCCACGTCAGGTAGATTTGTGGCAGCCGGTGATAAAGGTCTCGATTGGCATACTTCCAATAAGGAAAACGTAATTCAGGATACGTCATGGTTGAATGGTAGAATTAGCTCAGCTTCGTTACCCATCTTTGTATCGAATCTAGAACGAGTCGTAGAAGCTCAGTCGGTGGGAGGTAGTCCTGATGTGTTTGCTGGGTGGCCACAATCTGGAAATGTGTCGATAGATGTAGGGTTGCCTTCGATACCTGAACCGCCGATACAGGATCCAGAGTATCAGGTCAAATCTATATATGTGGAGCCCGTACATCCTGTCTCTATTCCTATCATACCAATACCGCCACGGCCAAAGGTTCTAGCTGCGGCAAGAACGAGGTGGCGTTCTGATGACGACTCAAGGGAAGAAGCTTTGGAGATCCTTCGACACATCCATGTCGATCCTGACGAATTGGAAAGAACTTTGTCAAATCATGATATTAATGTTCGTCGGTCCGTATACAATCAAAGTATTAATAGCAATGGCGGGTTGGAGAAGGCCGGTAGTGTTGATACTAGAAGTGTATTGGTTGAGGCCTTCATTGCCAAGAAGGTCGATTAATGTTTCTATGTAAATAATCTTCAGTAAAACATTCAGACGTTTTTGAGGCAAATGCGGTCGGGTTTGCGAAATCTTGACTTATATTCTTGTCGCAAAAAAATTGAAAGTTGGCAAACACAACATTTTACAGCATGGGTTGAAATCTTATTCACATCTACCCTCCAACAGTAGCTGTGCAGGTACCAGCTTTCGTCGTGCAAGTACACGTTGTAATCTTTATAGGCGTGGCCTCTTGTCCTGTCTGGGTATCGCATGGTGTATCAAAGTTACCCACCCAGACTTGATTTGGTCCATCATCGGTCTAAAATTGAAGCGACCCGCTTAACGATCGCGCAAACTGAACATTTCAGCAAAACGAACGTACCATGGTGTAAGTCAGTTGGCCATTGGATACAGACGGGTTGCTCATAGCTGAGCCTTCCCCATTGAGAGAGAGGATGGGGAGACTGAAACTACAAGTTATTGTAGGTAGTCCTTCCTATTATTTCAATAGAAAAATTAATTTGTCGAGTTCTGACATTCTTCAAAAATGGGGAGTTTCGTACAGTAGAGTCGTCATCCATAGGTTGATGACCATTGATTCGAACATCGTGAAAGCCTAGACGCTTCGTACTCCCATTGTGATTGTCTAATATCGTGCTGTGAGATTGGCTTCCACATTAACGATGATGTAGTTCTAACTTACCACCACCAGGGTTGCATCTGTCCACAGGCTGTAATGGAAGAGAAACAGTGGTACTGCCACCTGAAGGAGACAGCGTTGATTAAACACATGGCTTTGGCGCATTGTCAACCAAACTGGAATCACGAGGCTTACCACCAGCAGGAGCACCAGTGGTTTGTGGTACAGGAGGACCTGGTGGTGCTGTCATTGAAGCAGCAGGCTGTGGTGAAGAGTCTGGAGATGGTTGGGCGTTACCGCCAGCAGGGGCAGAAGCTTGGGCAGTAAGAGCAGCAACACCAATGGCTTTCGTTGCTTGGCCATTGATGACTAGAGTGACTGGCTGGTTATTTACTGATGCCGAACCAGAGAGAGTGATTTGGCTACAATCGTCTATAGGTGCTCCATCAACGGCTGAAACCCTGCATAGTCCAATTGTGAGTCAGCTTGATGAAAATGCCAATTCTAAATACGCATAAATAGCATACGTGAAACCACAGCCTGAATTCGGCTGATCATCTAGGAGCGACCATACCGCACATTTGCCTCCATTCAATGTCACAGGTGTCAGAGTATCTACATTCCAGCCCTTACAATCAAAGTTCAATACTCGTCCACCGACTGACGCACACAAAGCGAGGGTTGGAAGTCCATCTTCATGCTGTTTATCAAAAATGGATTAGAGTTCTCACGTAATTGGGAGTACTAGAAACATTGTCCAAAGTTACCGCTGGTCCTTTTCCGTCAACAGCTAGCTGGGCACCGAAACCTCCAATGCCTAGAATGTTCAAAATACTAGATTGGATATCGCCTCTTTTAACGTAAACAATTCGCATTTGAAGGCTTTACCTGTTCCCCAACACTTCGTGAACGTTCCATTTAGAGTCACTTCCTTCGGAATCGGAGTCCCTCCAGCACCAGTAGCACCAGTAGCAGGTGGCTGATTGCTTGGAGACGCAGCTGGACTAGGTTGAGTATTTGTGCCAGCAGCAATCACTGGTTTCTCTGCTGTATTTCCATTAATAAACAATGTCACTGGAGTGTTGTTTACTGTCGCGGAACCAGAGAGAGTGATTTGAGAGCAATCATCTATAGCAGAACCATCAACAGCAGAGACTCTGATTTATAACAGAACGAATAATATTAGCCGACATTAGCGAAATTCCCAAAAACATCGTGCAGTCGACTTACTTGAAAACACACCCAGAGTTGGGTTGATCATCTCTCAAAGTCCAGGCAGAGCATTGAGCTCCGTTTACAGTTTGAGGTGCACCTGTATCGACGTTGTAGCCTGAACAGTCAAAGTTCAAGGCTTTTGTGCCAATCGAGGCACATAGAGTAACAGTCGGAAGTCCGCTTTCTGCAGCAGGAGCGTGTCCTGAAAGGGCAAAGGAAGACGAGATTAGGTCAGTCTTTCGAGGTGAAGGATAAACACAGTGTGTGGGTGTGCAATTTGCCATCAAGTAGGAACATACCATCGACATCGAGTGCAACATTGAGGCCCCCTTGCCCCTGAATCCAGCACTTTCCAATGCTCGTTTTGAGCGTTAGAGTGCTAGGAACTGCAGTTGCGTTCCCGCTGTCTCGTTTGATGTTTTGGGCGGTGTCGGCGGCTTCGACCAACGATGGCCCAATGAAATGTGGCCCAGAACCGTATGTAAGTCCAACAAGGAAGTATCCGAAGGTCAGCGACAGTATGTCAAATGCCTTCATTCTGTCTGTCCTTGGACTCGATTTTCGAAGTTGGAGATTTTAAAAAGTGGAAAAAGTGGGGGAGCTTTTACAAAGCTGTAGACACAATACTATGACACCGTAACTACATATCGGAAAAACTCTCCGTGTTTCTCACTAGCACATCCACAATGTCGTCCAAAGGCATTCCACGAACGCCAGCAATGAGCTCAACAATCTTCTCAATGGCATTGTCCACCTCAAGAGTATCGTGTACGTCCGATTCAACTAACAATCTATCTATGGGCAGATTTTCTATCCTCCTTCCGAATTGAGGAGATCGTGCAGACACTCCATGAGAAAGGGAAAAATACAACCGTGGACCTACTACAGGAATCTTAAGAAGTTCCATTGCTATCTCAGCGGAACCGGTCCAGGAGTGTAGCATGATCTTTTTCGGTATCGAGTCGTATTGTATAGCCTTCATGATATCTAAAAACTGTCCATGGCATTTTACGAGGTGCACAGAGACAGGGCGATTATATCTTGTAGCAAGATTCATCTGTTTAATGAATGCATCGATTTGCCGGTCCATTCGATACTTCTTCTTTGTTGTTGGGTCAGTTGCGACATTGTCGAGCCCGATCCTATCAAACGGTGGATTCAGCTTTCTGAAAATCTCTATCGCGTTATATTGACGCGGGAAAATGAAACACTGTCTAGGTAACTTACTCTCCAACAAGGGCGTTGGGAAGCTTGATCAGAAAAGATTCAAGTAATGGCATCCAATCCGAATTATACGAACTTTCAACAAAGTAGGGATGAAGACCAAAGCACGGTAATGTGATGTTTGGATGGGACTCATACAGTTGGCTCACAACGTTCCAATCTGATACCCTAGTTCCCATTAGCCAAGTGTTGCACTTCATCAACTGAAGATGTACAAGTGTTGATGGAGTGTCGTTGACATGCGAGTGAACACATGTAAGCCTTCGAAGCCAATTGGCAGACATTTTATTTTGAATTTTCTAGCAGAAAGCCACGGGTAGCAGTGCCTTGCACCGGCGATGCCAAAGTGTTTGATGTGCGTGCCAAAACAAGGCGCCCACCTTTGAAGAGAATGGCAAGAGTTAGAGTCGAATCACGTCAATTTGTCCAGTAAACGCGTCCCAACCAGTCCATCGATCAGGTCGATGTTCGATCAGTAATAAGCACACTCGGTTCGTCGCGACACCTACCAAACTAGCACACTTGCCGTTTTCCGTTGGACTAGGACAAAGGTGCCAAGCAACTACGTCAATCAATAATTTTCCTCGCTCGTTATTTCCTTTGCTATGATACTTTGAATTCTTATAATCGTCTTATTTGTCTAGCTGTAATCATAGAGCATCGACATTTATTTGGTTGATGATGTCCAACAACTACGGAGGTGGATACAACGGCGGATACGATGATGGACAGATGTACGGTTCTCGACCATCTACAAGCGCCTATCCGGGCGTCAAGTCTACCGCATTCTCAGGAAAACTGGATGAGGAATTGTCGGTCCACATTAGAAAGGCAGTCAATCCTGGTCGGTTTGAGACGTCTTCCCTTGTTTTCTGCTTGATGATGGCCAATGAATGTTGCGGAACGCACTAGTTCTCGCTCGTTCCAAGGCCCTAAAGTCAACCAGAGCTAAATACCCCTTTACATCCCTCACCGCAGACGAGACAGCTCCCAAGCAAAAGCACGTACGAGCTTGTCAAGTATATACTTGGGACGCAAAGAACTCTACCTCCTTCTTCAATGGAATCAAATCCGCCCCAATCATTGGTGACGAGGTCATGACCTTCAAGGCTCTCATCACCATACACAAGGTCATTCGGGGAGGGCATCCCAGTGCTCTTGCTGAAGGAATTAGAGAAGCTCAATGGATTGAAAATATTGGGAGATCTGTTGGTGCTCAGGGCGGAAGAGGTCAGTCATGATTACCTGGCACTTGCCTCCTACCTCGCGAGTCTGATCTTACGTCCGTCTTCATGTCTTCCTGTACGATCATTCTAATCTAAAGCATATCTATGTGAACAGGTTATGGGGCTTTGATCAAGGCCTATGTACAATTCCTCATGACAAAACTGGAATACCATGCCGCACATCCTGAATTCACTGCATCGTTTGATTACGAGGAATATGTAACTCTCAAGGGTATTGAGGATCCTAATGAAGGGTACTTGCCATAGACCTAATAAGTCTTGTCGTTATCAAAAATGAGGCCTTCCTGATCCTTGTTTGTCGCTAGTTTCCAAACTGTGGACGATTTGATTATTCTACTCGACAAGGTCGACTCATTCCAGAAACTTATATTTGCCAACTTCCGACCATCAAGCAGTAACGAATGTCGTATCGCTGCCCTTGTACCACTTGTGGAAGAGAGTTATGGTATTTATCAGTTCCTTCTCTCCATGCTTACAGCCTTCCATCAAAGTAAGCGTTGTATCGCTTGATCGTCTCGCTCGCAGAAAACTCACTTTTCGTGTCCCCAGTCATTGGTGCTGCTGAGATTCTAGCACCGTTGCGGATCAAATTTAGTGCCGGCCATATGGCTCTCTACAGGTTTTACTATGAATGTAACAACCTCAAATACCTCACGTCTCTTATCACGGTTCCACGATTGTCACCTGATCCACCAGACTTCCTCGCTGTGCCTCCTACATTGCCAGCAAGAGGAAAGAATGAACGAATTATAGACTTTTATGATGATGAAACCGTCAACATGAATGTATGTTGGGCACCATTTTGGTGATCTCCTTGCTTTCTTTTATTGGCTAAAGACTCTCTCTATTGGATTTTGCTAGTTGCAAGAGCAGCTATTACAACAACAAATGATGGAACAACAACGACAGCTCGAAATGCAACGGCAGCTAGAAATGCAGCAAATGCAGCAAGCTCAAATGATTCCACAACTGCAACAACAGCTTGAAATGTATGCTCAGGTAAAGAAAATATGTACGTTCGTTGTCTTCTCAGGACATTCGTGTTGACCAGAGGGGCTTTTTTGCACCATCATTGTAGCGTGTCAGACAATTGGAAGCTCAGTTAGGTCAAATATCTCTCAGCAATCGAAGTCAAGAAGAAGCCAAGGATGAGCTGATTCGCAAGCTACAGTGTAACTGCTAAATTAAGGGTGCGCAGAAACTATTAAATTGTCACTCATTCTACCCCCCGTCTTCGTTACATAGCTGAGGTTGACCAATGGAAGCAGAAATACGAGGCCTTGGCTAAATTATATGCTCAATTGAGAAAGGAGCACTTGGATTTGTTGGGCAAGTTGAAAGAAATGAAAGAGAAAAAGAATGATGATGGTGCTGTCCTTCAAGCTGGCTTGGATCAGAGTTTAATGGCTCTCAAACAGCTGCAACTAGTAGGATTCGTGTTCTCGACGTCGTGGAAGCAAAAAACTGCCACTAACAATCTTCTAATTGACAGGCTAGTTCAGATCAGTTATCACGTATCATTGATAGTGTATTGGATTCGTGTATTGATCAACTTGATACTGCCATCCAAGAACTCGATAATCCAGTTGCATCTGGTAATATCACCGCCTCACCTGAGTTCACTCTCACCATCCTTGATAAAGCTTCAGGCTCGTCAAGTGAATTCTCCACGAGCTTTGTAAGATATCTACAAGGAGGAGATCCATACGACCCAGTTAGCTCGTCGACATCGTTTGCTCAAACAACTAGTCTCTTACTAAGCAACGTGAAAGGTGTAATTAGACTAGCAGCTCAAGAGGATACCTCAGACAAGATCCTCAACAGTGGCAAAGCAGCAGCATCGAGTGCCAAGTCCTTCTTCACTCAAATAAAGTCCACGAATCTAAACAAGATGGATGCATCACGACGTATAGAGTATGTGAATGGCCTAGGTCGAGATGTCAATGCTAAATTGACTGCAGTTGGTGGTGCTGTAGAGCAACTCTTGACAAACCATCTACCCACATCCGACGATCTGGGAGATCTAGTAGAACAAGAAATGCTTAATGCTGCCAATGCTATTGAAGAAGCTGCTCAGAAATTGAGAGCTCTTGTCAATAAGCCACGTGGTGAAGGATTACAAGTCAAAGTCAATGCATTGATTTTGGATGCTGCCTTGACTATAACCGATGCTATAGCCAATTTGATTCGACAAGCTACTGCTGTACAACAAGAAATTGTTGCTGAGGGTAAAGGTGGTGCCAGTAAGGCTCAGTTTTACAAGAAGAATAACAGATGGACTGAAGGTTTGGTGAGTGTTTGTTATAGATGGGTTCTGGTGGATCAAACTGCAAACCATTTACAGGAACTACGCTTTTTTTGTCGTTACTGATTTGCTTTATCTCCTCCCGCTTTCTCTCAGATCTCTGCTGCCAAGGCCGTAGCGTTTGCCACCACATATCTCGTAGAGTGTGCTGATGGTGTAGTTGAAGGAACACATTCGATGGAACAACTAGTAGTCGCCGCTACTGAAGTATCAGCCGCCACGACTCAACTAGTAGCAGCAGCACGAGTAAAAGCCTCTCAAGGATCTAAATCACAAGATCGTCTAGAAACAGCTGCTAAAGCCGTACGAGAAGCCACAAAGTCATTGGTCAAGGCCGCCAAAGATGCTGCTCGAAGTGCTCAAAAGGAGCAAGCAAAAGGTGAAGTGGCTGGATGGGGTATGAGTGATTATAAACTGAAGGAGATGGCAGCTCAAGTTAAAATCTTGGAGCTTGAGAAACAGTTGGAGCAAGCTAGGTATACTTTGGGTGAGATTCGAAAGTCTGGATATCATGCTGCTGATGGTGAATGGAATGAGAAGGAAGATGATTGAAGGGTCTGAAATCGTAAGAAATAGTCATATTGCTTTTATTATCCTTGTTATTGAGAGGGAGAGATTTTGAACATGCTTTTGAGATGATACAATAATCCGATATGTTTGTTGTCGAGCTTCTGAACCCATTTGCACTCCTATTTTTGTTCGAACAGTTGTTGAGAAAGAATCGTACACCGCGTGCTCGAGGTTTCAAACTTGTGTGTTTATATACTGAGATTTGTTATTTGTTTTGAGAAGGTTAAAACATGAATATTTTGAAGCTTTTATGATTTTCGAACATCCATTTGAAGCCACCCCTTTATCTACATAGCCCAGCATCACCACGACTGATGACCCAACCCCTTTTATCAAATCCTAACTATGACTTCTATGCTGTAGGGCGAACGGGACGATTCCAGCATTCCATGGCACCCCGAATTATATCACTTGGACAGTTCTTGCCACCGTCCATACGGTGCTTTTCATGTCGTTCCATAATACGATGCTTTAATTTCATAGCCATCGTCTGCCATAGCCCTGCAACCACAACCGAAGTCACGACATTGGTCAACCCACATGTAAACTGCGTAGTCATAAAGCTAGATAACACTGCAGTCTTGACTACAAAAGCAGCCAGTTCCAATCGTTTGTTTGCAGTTTGCGAGCACCCGAAGCCGGCATATGCTTTTCCTGTTTCCTGGTTTACGAGTTCTAGACCGCCTTCTGTGATGATTGTGCCTTCCTCTTCTTCAGTGATTGGCTTCTCGACTATGTTTACATCTAGACCATCGATACCCTGGATATCTTCGTATGATGGTGGTGGTGCGGTATTGTTGCCGTCTTCGAGTAGGAGGAGACGAGACTGGCCTTTCAGGTGGGGTTGGTCGAGGATCGAGTCTGTAGATGATTCGAGATTTATCTTGTCCAGCATGTCAATGAGGTGGGCAAAGAGAGCCGTGTTGAACATTGGGGGTATGATTGCTCTGTTAACGTTTAGTTGGGATTGTTGTTGTTGGACTTGTGGGTTGAAGGAGGCAAACATTAGTGCAGCGTGGAGCTAGTCATGTGAAGAGAATGCGTGAGTTTGAATTTGCAAAATTTGGATGTAAGGTTTGTCTCTTTTTTGGTTACCTGCAACCGGACTTGAGCAAGCTCCTGTTGTTGAGCAACAAGTCGAACCGTCAGTTGACGGTTTTGGTCCTCCAATACTCGGATACGTTCTCTGGTTTGTTCTTCGACGGTCTTGACACGGACCAAGAGTTCTGCGTTTGTCTTTTCCAGAGTTGACACGTACATTCGTTTCTTGTCACGGGATTGTTGGGCTGAGGCGCGGTTCCTCATAATACCTGTAACAGGAGCAAATGTGTCAGTTTCCATGTTGATGCGTGAGGAGTAACAGGTAAACACAAATGATTTGAGTTACAAAGTACTCACGTTGGCGCTGGTATGGAGTCAACTTTTCCAGATCTTTATCATCAGTTCTGCGCCTCTTTGTAGGCTTGGAGCTACCGCTCTCGTCATCACCAGAATGACGGTCACTAGACGAATGGTCGTCTGAAGTACTGTTGCGGTGGTCATGATGGTGGTCGTCTTCGTCGGGTAGTTGTTTAGGAGACAAGTCGTGGCTCGAGTGAGTATGTGTTGGGCTGTTTAAACCACCGTGTTCAGAGGGTTCAGATGGTGAGCTGCTACTATCGTCGGCCAATGGGGGCATCATTATGCCATCGATGGTATCTACGAGTTGGGCATATGGTATCACGGCTTCCGAGAGGAGTCTGATGTCAAAGAAGTCTTCATTGTTGTTTGGTAAGAGATTGCCGTCGTCTTGCTGATATAACAGGAAGTCGAGTTCAGACAAGTCCATTGTATCACTACTAGTTTGATGTTTGATGCTGAACAAAAAGTGTGTGAGACGATGGGCAAAAAGATGCAGGTTGTGATAATAGAAACCGACGGGTTGATGGGTACCTGTGCTAGAGCTGCTTGGCGACGTCCACCACAAGTGTGCGAGATAGAGAGGTTGAGAGTTGTTTCTCCTGGTACTTCTGAAAATAGAATGTCAGTGGATCACCAGCAAAATGGCACGTCAACCTGGAAAGGGAAGGGGGAGGGTGGAGATGATGCTTACAGTAATATCCAATGTTTTGGCAACTTGCTTCTTCCTCTCTTCTGTCTCTTGTTTTTCTCGAAAGTTTTTGGGTTTGACCGGTTGAGTCTGTGGCTCTGCACCAACTACGTGTCAGCTCTGATTAAAAAAAAAAGTCAAGAGCCCAAGCGAAAACTGGTCTCTCGAAAAACTGGTCAATTTTCGCCAACTTGACGTTTTCAGAGCTTCAAAACAAGGTTCGAACTGTGTTGTGGTCTGCTAAATCTTGGTCGGGAAAACTCTAGTCAAATTTCTTGCACTCCGTCTATCTCCTCAAACTTGGCACGTTCAACATGGAAAATCAATCCAATTAGATAGTCGATCGCGGACGTCGTAAACCACAATATATATTATCACCAAAGTAACCACATATTCCATTAGAGTTCATGCCTTGTGTATCTTCTGGCTTCGTGCCAAGTCGATATTTTCAATTCAGCACCTGCTACCTTTGCAAGATCACCTCGAATCGACACGCATGGACGTGTTGGGTAGCAGTAAAATAGTCTGAAGTAACTGAACGAATTAGAACTGCAGTTCTCTTCGCGAAACCTACATCAAGATTTTTTCTTTTCTGTCGGTCGTGTGTCTTCACGTTTTGCAACACACTAGCAAACATGGATACAGCTGCTATTATGGACCACGTTCTGGCGGCTGGAAAGTCAATTGAAGCCTTTACAGCGCAGATCCGGCCGATCGCAATGGACCAAAACGTTGTACTTTCCATCGCTATTGGCTATTTTATTCTAGTCCAACTTGTCAACCCTCCTTCAAAATCACAACCGGTGAAGCTCGGCACTGCCGTCACCTTTTTGGTCTTCTTACATAGTAAGCAGCTACAACCTCGACTCTCGGGATCGATCGTCACAAACCGTGGATATTTCGTTTGCGACATCATTTGATGTGAATGGGGTGTTGGCTAGGTGTGAAAGGGCATTTGTTATACTAAAAACAGGGCAGTTTTGTGGGATTTGGGGAACTCGGTTGACGATCGATGTGGGAGTAGATCTCGTTCACTCCACTCTGGTTGTATTGGTGGAAGAACTGGATGACTCAGACACTCTTTTACACGATCCATATAGACGTTGCACTTTGTGCCTACTCGGCATGGACGTTTTATAACACTGGACCAGTATGGATTCAAAGGCTATTAGATGGCGAGAACTTTTTCCATACTTTCTGTGACTTGGATGGTGTCTATTGGAAGCAGACTCTCGATAAATACGCATACTTGTTCTACCTGTCCAAGTACTATGAGTTCATTGACACAGTGATATTATTGATGAAGAATCGAAGAGTGGGTCTTCTTCAATCGTATCATCACACTGGTAGGTCAGAACGCTCCGTATAAACTCTCGATACGATGCATCTAATCCTGCTGAACGAAAATAGGTGCAGTCATTACAATGTTCCTGTTGGTGGAGAGCCAGGCAACGGCCTGCTGGATTTTTGTAGTGTTCAACAGCTTCATTCACACGATCATGTATGCCTACTATGCAGCCTCTACTATTGGCATCCACTTTCCATTCAAGCAGTTGATTACTATATCCCAGATTACACAATTCTTGGTTGGATCGGTGAGTTGGGTTGCCTGAGCTAGCACCAATCTCTGAATGATACCAGAAAAGAGGCTAACACTCTTCATTTGACCAATTTAAAGTGTTTTGGAGTGTTTTATATCTTCTGCCCTGGATGTGCCAAACGACTTGATGAAGGATTCTCGTGGGGCTCCGAAAGGACATCTATTGCAGTCACGGTTGTTTATCTGATTCCTCTAACTTATCTGTTCTTTGGTATGTGACCTGCGCGAAATTTCACAGTCTATATGTATAAATTCAAGAACTGACTGTTGGTGTTTGGTAGATTTCGCCTTTAGGACCTATGGAAAGAAGGCGCGTTCTTCTAAATCCAATGGACACACTGGAAAGCCTTTGAAAGAAGAATAATGTTGCTTCTTTACCCAAAAGCACACGGTCTCGAAATGAGACTCACCTAAAAAAATCTTAAATTTTTAAAATCGCATTCCCCCATATAAGTCTCATGGTAAGATTATTGTCATGTTGTATTCATTTTAAACTTGACTATATAAACTGGTTTGCTGCATCATGATAAGACTTCCCAACGTCTGGCTTCCAAATTGCAAAAATCGCAGCAGTTCGTAAAGGTCAATCCGACCCCTCCAAAAGACAACTCTCTTCTTAGCGGTCGCTCTTCTGGCAGTCAAGGGATTGAGATTGCATCCATATCGGTTCTTAAACAAGTATGGACAAAGCTCTCAAAACGCTGATGGACTCATCGGGTTCCCCAAATTCAATAACGAAAATGGATACCAACTTGAACTCTGAGCAAGGAAAGACCCAATTGCATGTAGCTGCATCTACGGGCAACGTGGATGTCCTGAAATATCATCTATCTCAGGTACGCCGTCTGGACTATTGATACTCTTGTAGCCATTCGCGCCATTTTAACGTTTGAATCACGAAATTTGAATCTTGACGACAAACTCTGTCTTTCTGTATAGGCGGATACGAATGTTGATCAACAGGACTTGCAGGGAAACACTGCATTAAATTTAGCGGCTGCCTGTTCGGATTTAGAGGCTGTTCGGTTGTTGTTAGATGCAAATGCCGATCCGACGATAAAGAACTTTGCTGCTAGAGGGCCGTTGGAGAATGCCAAGAGTACTGAAGTTCAGGCACTACTTAAGAGTGAGTGCTTTGGAAGTGCTTTCAGAAGATTTTCGTGGTTGCTGACAAAATTTTATGGTTTTTATAGGTCGAATGTTTGTCACGAATGAGGACGCTCGTCCAGTCAAGGTAGAACATGAGATTCAATTTAGGCAATAATTTATACGTGCTTATTCACGGATACTCTTTCAAAAGGTGTCTCGACAAGCATTGACTGCTCAAATTCAATCTGCACTACCCAAAGATCCAGCTACCGTCAGACTCTTTGCAATAGATCTATTCGTCACTGAGGAAATAATATTGGAGCGATGTCGGGTACCTACAATCATACGATTACTCCGTTAGTTTCGTTCACGAACGGATTTGCTAACATCACTCTCAAACAATAGGAACTCATCCGCCAACTAATCGAAGAAAAACAAATCGCAAACCACAAATCCCGTCTCCTTGAAGCAGCAGTCGGTCTCAAAGACAAGGAAACAGCAGAACGATTCATGGACCAACTACAGCACTGGCAAGACGAAAACGAACGACAAGCAGCAACAATAACATACCTCAAAATACGCATCCAGATGCTGGAGAATGCATCACTGCAACAAGAAGAATATTATCGTAAAAACCTGTCTGATGTGATACGGCAGCACTCTGAAGAATTGCAGGCTGCATTCAAGCGAAATGAAGAGACTGAGAGTTCGTTGATGGAGTTGCAGCAAAAGAATGCAGAGACTACTATGGATTTGGCGAGGTTGCGTGCTGATTTGAATGTGAAGGCTCAGTCTCAGAGCGATTTGACTGCTGTTGATGGGGTACGGGTGGTGTTTTGTATCTTCGCAACCACAAAAACGTACCAGTGAAGCCTTGCGACTGAGCTAAACAATTGATGCTTTGTTACTTTGTGTTTTAGGGTGCCAAGATTAGACAAGATATGGCAAAACTTCAAGCAGAAAAGACATCTCTGGAAGAGCGAGTCAAGGTTAGCTCCAATGTTGGCATCGGGAGAATTTTCTTCGCAGTTTCTTACAAACAGATGTTCTCTCCTCTTTAGCTGGCCGATAAGCTCAAAGCAATCACAGATACCGAGCTTGCAGATTTGAGAACTGAAGTTGGGAAGCTTCGAAATACTCGTCAAGAGGAGGTGCGCAAAAAAGTGACGAAGCGAAGTGAATATCGCATAACTCACACAATCTTCCCCCCTCTACACTCACGACCGTAGATGTTCAAACAGATTGAAACAGCAGTAACCACATCAACTCATACCGTTCAAGGAGAATTAGATGAGAAGGAGGAGACCAACATTGTGTATATCAAGGGAGAGGGTCAAGTGAAACGAATCAAGTGTGGCACACCGGAGAAGCTTATTGAGAAGCTCATTAATCCAACCAGTTTCGGTATGCAGCGTCAATGATCTTGTATGATGCGAGTTGGAAGTTGACTTTTTTTTGGCATTGTTTTAGACAATCAATTCATGCAGGCGTTCTTGATGACGCATACAGCTTTCATGCCTTCAAAGGATGTTATGAGTGCGTTTATCACCAAGTATGCTGAGGCATCTGGTGACGATGTGTCAAAGACATATTTGAGGTACGTTGGGACTGAAAGAGAAATATAGAGAAACATCTTGACATCTCATCCTGCTGCAAAGCGGTTACACTCTACTCACACTTAACGACATGCCGTTATTAGATTAATCAACAGTGTCAAATACTGGGTGGACACATACTGGAGCGATTTCGTCGAAGACCCATCCCTACAATCAATGCTAACAACCTTTGTGGACAGCATCAAAACCGAAAACATGGCCAACATATTGAAAAAAGTCATTCAACGAAAACAAACCGGTGCCGAACCACGAAATCGAATGGGCACTAACGACATGAATGCCGGAATCATGGCACCACCACCTAAACCAGTCCTCCCCAAATTCCTAGCCAAGAAATATTCAGACAAGACAGACAAGATGTTATATGGAACCATGAATGCTGGAATGTTGTCTTCATTGGCTAACGATGGGGTGGTGAGAACTCAGAGTTCGGATTCGTTGGGGTCTCAGTCGCAGAATCAGAATCAAAATCGGGTTTGGTCGTTTGGAGCAACGAGAAGTCGAACATCGGAAGATGGGGTTCCGATACCTGACATTCCAATCAAGATTCCGGATTTGGATCCGATGGAGATGGCGAGACAGTTGACGTTGATTGAGTTTGAATTGTTTAGTAATATTAAGGTATCGATTGAGTGAAGAGGAAATATAGCTCACCCACTATCGATTACCCTTACTTTATTGCTTTTTTTAGCCAAGAGAGTACCTTGATATGGCATGGATGAAAGAGGACAAGGAGGTCAGGGCTCCTAATATTACTAGGATGACGCGATGGTCGAATCATGTAAGGCAATCCATCCATCGACGAGTGATGCGTTTTTCGCTAACTTTGTACACCCTTTACAATCAGGTCATTCACTGGCTAGTGACAGAAATAGTAATTGTCAAGGAATCAGCCAAAGCCAGAGCCATCGTTCTCGAAAAGTTTATTCAACTTGCTATAGTAAGTCCGTTCAACATAAAAAAGCTTGGGCACGGCACAAGATCACATTCATAAATATCTCTGACATTTCCATTTCCATCCTTTCACAGAGTTTAGAAAAACTAAACAACTTTAACGGAGTCAAGGAAGTGCTGGCAGCATTACAATCATCGTCTGTATATAGACTCAAGAAAACCAAGGAACAAGTATCCTCCAAGCTTCTCAAGGCGTTAACGGATTTGGAAAAGCTGACTGCTAGTGATATGAACTACAAGAGTCTTCGTGCCAAGGTTCATGCTGCTGATCCACCGCTAATACCGTTCCCTGGGGTATATCAAGGCGATCTGGTATGTGTGAAAACAAGCAAATTGCTCTTAAGCCCTGTATACTTCTCTTTTTGTATGTCTTCAATCAAATTCACACCTTTGTATCAAATCAGGTCTTTTTGGAAGAATGCAGCAAAGAAAAACTAGAGAATGGAATGATCAACTTTAGCAAATACCAAAAGACTGCTGGATACATTACCGAACTACAAACATATCAGCAAACACCATACAATTTCGAAATGGTGGCCGAGATTCAAGACTACATCAAGCACTATCCAATCTTTGACGACGACGTGGCCTACAGTCATTCCCTACAATGTGAAGCTCGGGCTACGACGTAATAGGGGTTTCGATTCTGCACCCTCTCTACCTATTTTTATATGATTATTTCTTGTTGAGGATTAATACAGAGGTCTCTTATACATCGTAATTACTATTTTAGTTGGTTGCGACATAGAGACGTTTGGAATTGACCGTAAGAAGAGATGATGTTCTTCAAAGTCTCGTCGTTGTGGTATCAAAGCAGGCAATAATATCCATCATATACTTCAAAAACGCATCAGCACCATCACCCTGCATCTTGGCAAGACGAACAATAACCAAATCCAAAGCGGGCACAACTATTATTCTCTGTCCTTCATACCCATGAGCAGCAAATATCCCATATGGCTGATCCCTCCAAATCCACCAGTGCTCACCATAATCATACGGACCATCTTCGACGGGCATATCATTTGCACCTGCACTAGGAGTTCGAGCACGATCAACCCATCCTTCAGGTACCAAACGACGTCCATTCCAAACCCCATCTCTTAGATACAGTAACCCCAACCTAGCAAAGTCTCGTGCGATAGAATAGCAGTAACTGCTTCCAATCCACGTTCCGGCCTCGTCTACTACTGGGTTTGGATTTACTTCAAACTGTAGTGTCTTAAACAAGTTTTTGGATAGAAATTCTAGAATTGCTTTTTTCTTTAGCTCTGGATCCGATGATTGGGCCAGCATTTTACATATCATGTCTGATAATACGTTGGTGTCGCCTGACGAATATGAGTATTTGGTTCCTGGTTTATGTCTCAAGGGTTTAGTTGATACGAAGCCAGCTACGTCTTCCTTGCCAGATCCAAACAGCATTTCAATTACATCTAAGATTCGTTGTGAGTATGAGAGAAGGCGGATTGTGAAGTTTGACGACATGCGCGTATGATAGCTGCTGTATTTTTTGCTGCAATACATACATACCTGGCATATCATCCTCATTCCTAACATAAACTTCCACGAAATCAAGACCCGATCGCATCTGTAGAAGATCCTTCATCGTCATTGACCCTCTCTCATCGTCCTTCCATTCAAGTTTGCGTAGTCCAACAGGAGCAGTATCGATCCCCTTTTCAGTAATCAGACCTTGATGGATACATATCCCCAATGCTATCTGGAGAATGGACTTTGCCATAGACCAAGAATCTACAAAAGTTGAAGGATCAATTGTCAAACCTTCCACGTCACCCACGAAAACCACATACCGAGCGTTTTGTCAGGTCCTTCCTTGTACAGCTCTTTTACTACAGTTCCTTTGTGCACAATGACGAATGCCTGGTTGTCTTGCTCTTCATCCTCCCAGAATGTCTTGATGAGTGCTTCGATCTTTGCAACGTTGATCCCGGGAATTGTGTCCAATTTGGCCAATGGCCAGGAAGATCCGGGTACATTACGTGATTTCGGTAATGGAATCATGACTCTTTGAGCTTCTGGATGCAGGTATCTAGTGGTTTGAAAGGCAGAAAAATGTCAGCTTGATTCCAGATGCGATTGTGTCAAAGTTTGGCGAATAAATGAGAATGTAAACGCCTTAATACGTGTATTTTACTTCAATATACAGCACAATGGCACTAGAAAGACACTTACTTGTACTATGACTGTCTCACCTTCAATCTTCAATCTCTTCAAACTTTCAAAATCTTGAACTGAAATCAGCAACAGGGAGGAGAGAAGAATAGACGGGAACAGCGCAGCGGCAAACAAGTCCATATTATTATGTCTTCAGGATACGGCAGCAGCGAAGCAAAACCATTCATCCTGCCAACATCAACATCACAAACTCAAAACGTGCCAATTCCAAACTTACTCGGCAGCCAACAACCAATAATGAACAACCAGCTGTACGCTCAATCGGGTGCATATGCCCAACAAGGTCTGTCTCAGAGGACATTGGATACTCTCGATGAGCCTGTATCGGAAACATTGGTAGGATGAGAGATTTGGTTGGCAGAAGGGAGAGACAGAGGCACGCCATTGGATAAATTCTTACAAAATTATATATATATGTCTTCTAGTTGAGAGATTTACGTGCCATCAGAAACAAACTGATGCAGGTTTTGATACCAAGAGGAAACAAGGACTTGTTGCGTGATTGTAAGAGACAGATTACTTGTTTGATCTGGTTCTGTCTTTTAAACATGCTTTTCTTTGTGCAGGGGACTTGTGGGGCCCATTACTCTTATGTCTGACTCTCGCAATGTAAGAAAGATCACCCTTTCGATACGTGTATGAAGCATTCACCACCTATTAAACTGTTAGACGGCTGGGCATCACAGCACCAGCAGATCAATCAGCAATAGTATTCACCTCCATATTCGTCATCATATGGTTTGGTGCTGCTGTCGTATCAGTCAATTCAAACTTGCTTGGCGGAAAAGTGTGAGCACATGGACATATGGATATGCGAGACATTGCTTTTTTTTCTTTTGTCTCAGAAGCCAACATGCCTTTTCGTATTAGGTCCTTTTATCAAAGCATCTGCGTGCTAGGATATTGCATCTTCCCACTCGTCTTGACATCCATCATATCCCTCTTTGTGCCATATGTTATCTTTAGATTCGTGTTTGTTGGGATTGCTTTTACGTGGTCGACTTATGGTATGTTTGCAAGACCATCCATACCGGCTATCGGCTAGCCTTTTTTCTTCTGCTTTCTGACATCTTTTCAAAATTTGATTTCATAGCATCTGTTGGGTTTCTGGATAATGTCCAGTTGAACAATCGACGGATTCTTGCTGTATATCCTATATTCTTGTTCTATTTCATCATTGCTTGGATGGTAAGCGCACTCAGAAAATAGCTGTTCACGCAACAATCCTTTGACCTTATCATAACTTTTTTTGCCATCTCCAAAACCAAACTCAGGTTCTGATATCCAAGTCGTTATTCGGTTGATTTTGTGATACGAATGTAAATATTATTGATTTTCAAACAAAAACAACAACACAATATATGTCATTTATGCAACAACAACAAGAAGAAACTTGCTCAAAATGTCATCACTCTATATGGAAGCTCTCTATCTTATGATATGACACAACAGGCAGCACCATCCTTGCCTCCATTCACATGATTCTTTGGCGGTACAGGTGGTGTGTAGTCTCCTGCTTCAGGTGTGCTAGAAAATGATAGAGGTTAGTGTTGGAAAGACACGGCAAGAAAACCCAGCAATGGAATCCATCACTTACCCAAGAGTTGGAAGTGCCACATACGTCGAATCAGACTGCGATGATACATTACGACCCCTTGAAGTAGTGGTGGTAGCGCTGCCATTAGCGTTGCCAGATGTTTTTTTGGGGCCTGATTTTGTTGATCTCCATCGAAGTATACCTGTTCCTCCACTTGGTGTTGAGGGCAAATCCTTGTCTGTGGATGGTCGTGACATGGTTGTTTGTACACGTGCTTCAGCTTCTCTCATCAACTAGGTGCATGAGAATAGACGCGAAGTCAGTATTTATTGGTTGAGATTAACAGCAAAAAAGGAAATGACTCGGAACATTGTATTTCAAACACAAATGATTTACTCAACACAAAGACAACAGTCTTGATACTTACAGTATCCATATCAAAATCATTGCTTTCAGCGGTATGTGGAATGATCACTCCAGACAAGAGTCCATCAGTCAAGGGTTTACCACCAGTCATGCGTATTGATGTTGTTCTCTGAGGTAATCCATCAGCTTCGAATTCGGGTTTACTACTACTGTTGTTACTGTTACTATTCACATTCGTGATGGGTTCAGCTGATGAAGGAATGACATTGGGTACTACTGCTGCTGCTGTTAAGTTTGTTGATGATGATGCTGCAGTGGCTTGCAAAGAAGCAGTTCTAGGTGTCAGATCACCTGGAAGGAAATCACGCGTAATCGAGGTTGGTTGTACTATGGTCGGCATACTAGGCAAGTCTTTGGTATTATCACGTTGTTGCTGTTGCTGTTGAGCTACAGTTGCGGCCTGCGCAGCTTGTTGCTCTCGTGCCAGTGCGTTCTGTTTCACTTGTTCTTGTTGAGCCAATGCATCTTGACGAGCTCGTTCTTGTGCTGCTTGTGCATCTCGTTTGGCCTGAGCTTCTTGTTCAATTCGTGCAGCTTCTTCTTGTCGTGCTCGTTCAGCAGCTGCTGAAGCCTCAGCTGCTTCACGAGTAGCTTTATCATCAGCTTCTTGTTTCACTCTTTGTATTTCTGCTTTTTCTGCCAAGTATGCATCTCTTTGTGAAGGTGACATTGCCTAAATTGCCAAAGCAAGATTCAGAAGCCAAAAAAAGGAGATGGAATACTTGTATAGCACGAAACTCACTTTGATTCTTCGTTGCTCTTCAAACTCTTCCAAAGCAAGCTTTTGCTTTCTGGCCTTCTCGTCTCGAGCTTGTGCTTCAACAGCCATCTTTTCAGCTTCCAGTCTACGTTTTTCTTCTTGTTCAGAGTCCAGTTTCAACTTGGCTGCTTCGGCTTTGGCGAATGCTTCCTTTTCTCTACGATCCGCTTCAGCTTTGCGTTCGGCTTCTGCTCGTGCAAGCGATTCTTGTTTTGCACGTTCTAATTAAGGGGAGATAAAGATGCGATTGAATGAGTGACGAGTAAGTAAAGCTCTGATCAATAAAGTAATGAAACGAGTAAATATGCGTCCACCGTCTGAGATGCTCTCGCAGATGACGTGTCGTACCAAAGTTGGACATGTTTTGTTGTTGCTCCAACAACCTCTGTTCCCTCAAAGTTTCAGACTGCGCAACACGTTGGAGATCTGCCTCTCGTCTGGCGGCCTCATCCTGATCTAATTTGAGCTTGGCTTGTCTAGCCCTACGTTGGGATGTTTTAGCATGTGCAAGCTATGCTATAGGACCTGATCCCTTTCTTAAACCAGTTGTAGAACATTGAAAGCTCTAACAGACATTTCCGAATGCATCAACTCAAATGGCATCGACCCACACATACTTTTCAAAAGCCTGTTCTTCATTGGCTTGTAACTGAGCATCCCTTAGTCGTTGAGCATCTTGCAATTTGGACTGTTTGTCAGCCTCAAAAGCAGATACTTCATTCAGTCTGAGTGCATTTCCAGCTTCAGAGAGCTTGACTGATGTGTCGGAAGGTGAGAGTTTCGATAGGAGGTCGGTTTGTGATTCTTCAAATGTTGCCAATGCAGCGACTCGGAAGCTGTTTCCGGCTTCGGGGAGGAGTACATCTGCTCCAGACTAGATTGGACATCAATTATAAATTGTCGGTTAGTATGTTGGGCAATGGGGTTTAGCTTTTGATTCACAACAGTGCAGTTTGGTGGTTGGTAACAATGGAATGTGAGGATTCCAATTCGAGCGATGCATTATCAAGTTACCATCGCATTGTAACTAGTGAGGATCTATCATATCTCAACTTACCATGTCTTAATTCTCTCCTTGCGAGTGGCTGTAAAGCTTCGGAGCTTTCGAATGTTCGAGGTTGGACAAAAGATCTGAGTCCAGTCAAGCCTTCATAGAGAGCCTTCTAACCCCAAGAAAGAACACGCGCAACTCATATTCTATATAACTTCTTACTGAAGAGCTCGTTTACTTCCTAACGCACACGATACACGACCAGCTTTCTCGACCATTCTTTATTTACAACGAGGAATTCAACAATTTTTTCGAGGAGGCTTTTTACATACTACAGCCAATAATATATGTGTCAGTGCTCCTGGCTCTCATCCTTCTTGGCATACCAGCGATTTTACGCGGTCCCTCCTCTTCCATCATTACATGGGCTTGGAGCTTCCTCTGCCACAACAGCAGCACTAGGACCTGTATCACTTGGCGGTGGCCGAGCGGCTATCATGAATCTAGCCAAAAGTTCGTCCATTTCTGGGTCATTTCCAAATAACTGAAATGCCATAAACTAGAGGTTTTGGATTTCAAAATTACTGATGCTCCATTTGTTGCTCTGGAAACAGAAAAGAGGATGGATATCAACAATACTTACATTTTATTCTTATGAACTTCCTGGCGTACTGCCTGTTGATGGTGCTGCAGATACGGATGCTGCAGGTGGTGATTTCGACGCTGATGGTGTTGCAGCAGGCGCTAGTGTACCAAATATAGCAAAAACAGCAGCTTCTACAGACTAAGAAGGTGCAGAGGGCGCAGCTTCAGGCCGTGATGTCTAAAAAATGAAGGCTGTAAGCATATGTGTTTCATTAACGGATCATTTTGCTATCAACCTTACCATCGACGATGTAGGAGTTGCTACATGACCAGTAAATGAGGGTGACCGTACTTCTACTTGACTAATCATTGTGGATAAATTGGGATCGGATTGTCTTGGTGATGCGGCCAATGACGACGAAGTGCGAATTCTGGTGCTGCTCGTCGTGATCTAGCCCTTTTAATGGTCCGTGATGGCGTTGGTAGTGCCGCAGCTGCAATCAGCGATCCAGATTCAGACATGGCTTCATCAGCACTCCGTTTTGGACTATGGTCTTCCATAAGAGCCTCTGATGAGGCAACAGTCGTCGCCGAATTGGCAGTTGTGCATCTTCAGTTGGTTGGACTGCCCAAATGGATGCATCCGCTGGAAGTTTACCATCTGCCAACAAGGACGCAGGCCACGGAATCCGATGGGAGGGTTGATATGGAGTGGCTGTGGCGATACTGGTTGGGATCACACGAGCATTACTACCCACACTAATAGCATTTAATGACGTTGAGTTCGGAATCGGCTGCGGGGCTGATGATGGACCGTTTTTCTTCAACGTCATCTTGAACTATGACAGCAGTATAAATTTCCTCAAATCCATCACCGGCTGGTGGTTTACCAAGTCCCTCATCAGCAGGGTGTAAGGTCCCAAACTGCATAGCACTAGTTCATTCCCATGATGGTACGGATTCCGTTATACGAGCAGTCACCTTTGGTGCGTTTAAAGTGGCAGCGACGGGTTCGGATAGTGCATGTGAGGTGGTTGTCAAACCAAGAACACATTTGGATGCGGTTGCAACAACTGGAGCACTGTTAACTGATATATTATTGGCTAAGTTCCCGATTTGACTTCCGATATAAACTCCATAGACTCTGAGAGGCTTGCGGCTCCACCATAGGATGCTGAATAGGGTTCTGCTGTATGTATAGTTGGATAAGCTCCTGATAGATCCATAACGGGAGCTACATTAGCGGTTACATATCCAGCGAAAAATACGAGAGTTGGTAAGACTACGGCGGGAGGTTCCGTAGATGGAGTTTCGAACATGTGACCTGATTCCATTTCACGATCGTTAATAACAACTTCGGTTGACTTCGATGAAGAGGGAGCAGTAACGCCAATAGGACTGACTGATATGTCGGTATACTGTTCATAAAGTATCGGATGAGGAGCACCTCTTGTTGTGGTGGTTATTGTTTGCGTGGTCAGGAGCTCGACAATTGGAAGAATATATGCCTGAGCTGGTTCCATCACATTGTCACTCAATACAACAGCGATTGATTGAGATGCGGGAGCCGCAAAAGTAATGCGATTGACTGCTATACTGGTATACTGCTGAGCAACTGCCATGTCAGTCTGGCGATGAACTACAGAGGAGCGATGTGTGTTGTGGTAGTTACTGTTGCTGTGGTCGGAAGCTCAGTGTGACGATCTTTAATCCCGAATCTTTCAAAGAAGAGGATTAATTCGTCACAGTTTCGTTTTCCTCCACACTCCATATACGCAGGTTTAATGCATATGCTGGTGGGACGGGAGAATCTGATGAGTTGAAGCCTGGAAACAACAAGTTGTTCCGATAAGGCTTTTGTTTAAGTCGGCACCAAGACTTGACAATTCTTCTGTTGTCCATCATCACACCAAGCTACTTGGACATCTATTATAATATCAGTTGATGGGAGTCGTTGGCTCATACAAGAACAAGACGACCCTACAACTAGTGGCCACGTAGCAGAAGTAGCAAGAGAAAACCTTATTGACAAGGTGTCGTTTACTACTGTATCAGATGTACAAGAGACAGTGAAAGGTTTGTTGGCGGTGGTTTGTCTTAATGGGCTTGAATATAATATAGTTCGGGAGGGCCTTTAGGTCGGTACAACAGCATAGGGGCGTAGTTGCCCTATTAGAAGAGAGATTTGTATAGTTTAGGTTAGTTGAAATGTTTCTGAAGTGGTGCGTACCAAGTCAATAACAGATAATTTTCGAAAGGACGTCCAAAAACAACGGGGAGGTCGCGACAAATGAATGAAATAGGGAAGGGGGTGAGATGCTATGGCCATACAGTGAATCAAAAAAAACAACTTGAAAGCTATGGCAACGAAACCAAACCTACCTCAGCTGCAGGAACCTCCCCACAGCTTGTTTGTTTTGGGGGGCTGGGCGCCCTTCTACTTCGTCACCACGATTTGACTCGTGGGCCGGTACCAACCCAACACCCACAGACAGGTGTTGATGTTGGCGTTTCGAAGGGACCGGGAGGCCATAGCCAGGTCCCTTGTTGGTCGTAGACCGTACAAGACTATATGAGAATGAGATTGACCCGGTAGTTCTCGGCTTTGACAACAAAAACAAACTTGAACGCATCATCAAGAAACATACCCCCCTTGTAAACCTCCCACCAGCATCTGCTTCATATGACGGCAGAGTGTTGCCAGTGCTAGCCAGACAGCCATAGTAGTGGCAACAATCGCTCTGAGAACGGCTTGGGGGCTGTAGTCAGTGGTGCTCATTGTAATAATGCGCTGAGAAAACTTGGAAGTAGGCGATGACCCGAATAGTATACGGAGGTATGACAAGATTGGAAATGGTCAGATTATATATAATGATACCTAGTGCGATCAATATCTTGTGGTAATAAGTATCTTCCTTCTTTGCAAGGCCGCCTACAGGCACCAAGTCACGTTTACAGGAGCTTGTGATTTCAAGTACATTCTGCTTCTGTCGAAGACCGGACATACATCCAATTAGACTATAAAAGAATACACTGTATTTTGTAACCAACACCTTTCATGAGAAACTCCCAAAAACCCCAAAATTACGCAAATGAGCAAACATCGAGATCTACATCCCTCCTACTAAGTCAACAAGCTGGAAACCGTCCTTTCACGTGCATAAAACCGTCTCAAGATGCCTCAGACTTTCTCAGTATCCATCTGACTAATCATGGAGCTGTTACGTGACGAACACGATTATCAAAGAATCAAGCTCTGATACGTGTGAGGCTAAGACGGATGAGGATTTTTGTTCGAAACACATGGACATCGCATTCCACAGTCAAGTCAGGACGTTCGGAGCACAGGAAATTGCTGCGTATTGATTACTGTTTTGCACTCGCAGAACAAATATACTGGACGCTCAAGTTTAAAATCTCACATGCAATATGTATTCGTTTAACTCTTCTAACTGACTGACAAATAGTGTGGGCAAGACTTAAAATACATTCAATCTATCGGGCACGACCTTCGAACCCAGGTCGTCTAGGCTTCTTGGAGTCGGTACCTTTGCCTTTACCTTTGCTACTACCTTTACCCTTCTGGCCAGTCTTTTTCGAAGCTTTACGATTAGCTATATTCTCTGCTCTCTTCTTTTGGCGATCATCTTGGGACTTTTGTACTTGAGATTTACGTTCATCCCTAACAAAAACATTGTATGTTAGTACACTGATGACAATAATAACACAAGCAGAACAATTTCTGCCGAATACATCAACATACCACTCTTCAGAGGACTTCTGTTTACGTTTCTGTTCACGTTTCAAAGTCTGTTTGAGTAATTTAGGATCATCCTTGATCTTGTCACCTTCAGCCTTCCTTTCTAATTGCGACCAAGCATCTTTTTCCATAATGGCTGCATGTTTGTCAGCATCTTTTGCCTTGATTTCGTCTAATTTGCGTTTCTTGGCTTCGACCTAATGATAGCAGCATAGTTTAGGAAATTTCCAATTGGCGAAAAAAATAGTAGGAGACTAAAACATACCGATTTCAATAATCCCAAGGTATCGCCTTTACGCTTCTTTGGTGCAGCATCTCCATACTCAATCTTTCCGAATGACAAGGCAGCAACAACATCCTTCTTTCCACCATCATTAGAATCAGTTACACGTCCAATATTGGTAGTCAATTCATCACCACCTTCATTAGCAGCAATACGATGTTTGACTTCTTTACGATCTTTCTTACGTTCCTCCTTCTTTTTCAATCTCTTTTCAATCAAGGCAGCACGTCCTTCACCCTTGGAAGATATGTTGCGTTTAGATTGTAAAGTTTCGATACGAGCGTGTAATCTAGCTCGTAGTTCTGAAGCGGATGCAGCTCGTTCCTTTGGATTTGCGATGGTTGGTAGCCTTTGAGGACCAGCTGCTTCGTCATCGTTATCTGATTGTTTGCCTTCTTTCCGGTCTTGGCCGTTGAGCTCTTCTCTCTCAAGTTGGACTACACTCTTGTAGTTGTCAGGGTTGAGCTGTCACAGCGATAAAACAACGGAGATCAGTAACGTTTCATCTTGCAACACGAGTTCCCAAATACTTAGATCTCCAAGCTCACCTTTGCCTTCTTTGCTTTCCTGGTAGCTTCTTTGATGGCCTGCTTTGGAGCTTGGTTTTTAGTGTTTTTCATATACCTTGAATTCTAATGTTGAAGACAGTTGGCACATTGATGCGGTTGCGAGAAAAAGAGACGACGGAAATGTAGACGTTACCACAGGCATAGAATCCTCATCGGTTGGTAGATACCATTTTGGAGGTATGAGCTCGACAAGAGCCTCTATAGCTTGACGATGTTTGTTCAGTCGCTCCTGATTTGAAGTAATAAGACATTAGTGGATTTAAAGGTGACAGTAGGCAAGAAAAACTGTATTGAGCTCACGTCCAGTCCCTCCAACGAGTACTCTGAGACCATCTCCAAACTCGTTTTTATTCTCTCGTTTTTGTTAACGAGCGGAAGACGAAAAAAAAAAGTTGGTGACATGACAGTGTCCAAACCGCAGGTAGGAAGTACCTGTGGCAAGGTATCCAGTCGCGCTGTATTATTTTCTCAACACTCAGCCGACTTATCCCGTGACAGATCCACAAACCTGAGGTTATTGTGTATTCGCGAAATAAAATGCCATTGGGTTGCCATATCAAAATATCATTAACGCGTAAAAAAGTATTTCTAGTCCTTTTTCGGGCTCGATATTACGTTTGTTAGGAAACTCCATAATCCTCCTCCTTTGACTGATCGATTTTGTTCAATAAAACATCATCGAACGATGGCAGCCCTCCAGCAAGCGGAAGCTGCTCTAGGCCAAGTTCTTGGGGACCCGACAAAACTTGTGGATTTACGAAATAGGTTGGAAGCTTTGATGCTCGATTGCACTCAGGCGAACATCCAAGTACGTTGATGCAACATCTACTTGCACTGAATCCAAGCTTTTGTTCAATCGTTTTGGTGTCCTTCAACTCAATAATACTAACTACATTACTTGTTCCCAACTAGTCTGGAAAGAGCTGGGTCATTGCGCAATGCACCACGCCCATTGCTACTCAGGTTTTTGGTGTGTATCTGCGTACATTGATGGAAGTTCAAAATCAATTCGAGAAATGTCTGCACTTGCTGTATCTCATCAACGATGTGCTCAGTCAAGGGTAACTGTCTCGCTTTTGTCACCACATCATCCTTGATTCCTACACTCATACTCCTTTGCGTCATTATCAGGGAACGTAAAGGATTGCCATGGATTAAAGCAACTCTCTTCCCGTATCTCGGAACGTATTTGAGCATATGCTGGAGGAATGCGCAAAAGATACAGGAAAAGGAGGCCAAACTTGACAAAGTTCTCTCTATATGGAGCGATCGTAAATTCTTTGAGGAGGCCACGATTGCTACTCTAAAGATTGCCATGACTGTGAATATTCCATCGGATATAGCCACTCTCCCTATGCCATTTAATCCTCAACAACATCATATGCGTCCACAAGTGCATCCTCCTCCTTTGCCTCCCTTTATGAATGCGCAGATGCCACAGATCCCGCAGATGCCTCCAATTCTCCATACGCAATTCCAGATGCCTCCTTCTCAGCTAACACAACAGCAACGGCAGTCTCGCTTTGCCCCAATGATGGATGTAATGCCACCACAACCGCCACCTATGCTTCCACCTATGCTTCCACCTCATCTGATTCAGCCCCCGCAGAGAAAGTATTATGAATTGCCCGCTGGCCTTATGGTAGATCTGATCAAGGTATTGTTCTCGCTGTTACTGTGTTGAGATTATCGCCCTTAGACGTGCTGCCCTTACCAACTACCCACTTAGGTAACCGATGCTCCATATACTCCCATCAAGAGTGCATTGGTTCGAATTCCAGCTGGTCTTCGACCGCCTCCCACAAAGGAAATCTTGGATGCTGTATCGGATTTCTATACAGGACTGGACAAACAGCGAGCCTTCTTGTCGAGACAGCGGCAACGTGACGGGTTTGAAGAAAATCCTGAATTATTAGGGTCAGGTGTTGTACCTGATGATTTTGAAAACGATGGTTGGGAAAAAGGATATCTTGACGAGTGGTATGCTATGCGGCCTAAAGTCGAAGTCAAACCACCAGTCAAATCGAAAAGGAATCAATACGAGGATTATGATTCTTTTGATGAACGACGACGGGATATAGAACGAGGTCGAGATATCGAACGAGAACGAGATATCGAACGAGATCGAGATATAGAGCCAGGTCATATGGAAAGAGGTCCGGGTGTTCAACGAGGTCGTAAGCAGGAAGTATCACCACGTCGTAAGCCATCTCGCTCGTCGTCATCATCTAGATCAGATTCTTCATCTTCATCGAGGTCACGATCAAGATCTCGCTCGAGGTCTAGGTCTCGAACACGCAATGATAAAAAGAGAGCATCAGATAGAAGTAGAAGTAGAGACAGAAAGAGAAGGAGAAGAAGGTCTGACTATTCATCCGGATCAAGTAGAACGTCGCGCTCATCATCATCAGGATCATCGAGGTCTAGGTCTCGATCACCGTATCGTCGGAAAAGGCAAACCTCATCGTCTCGCGATGCTAGAAGGGCATCACCTCGTAAACCATCACCTCCTCCTCGTATGCCCGTAGCAGCTGCCCCGGCGCCTGTGATGATGCAACATCAACAGCCGTATCAACAGCAACAGCAATCTAAACCTGATTTTGGTTCTCGAATGTTGTCCAAGATGGGTATGTGTTCCTACCAGTAAGCATTTAAGACTCTATTTCTCATGCCGAAACATATACTTAGGATGGGCCGGAGACACTGCGACTCTGGCAGCACCTCCTATGGGATTAGGATTAGGAGCTGCACCTTCAGTTTCAGGTGGAGGAGATTTGTTTGATATGTACCGAAAGCAGAAGAGTATGTCGTATGGTGGCCCACATGAACGAAGGCCGACTGGGTGTTACAGATGTGGTAGGTTGCCTTTGATAAATTTTAAGCATTAATCTCCACTGATTTTCTTGGTTTCTGATGTAGGCAAAGATGGGCATATTGCCCGAGACTGCCCAAATTAGTAAAAGAACGCTGCGGATCGCTTGTAAAGTGTTTGGATCTAGCGGAACAACATGTACTTTCAAAAGCTTTATGCAAATTTTTGAACATTTTATATACTCCAGCTCTGCTATGAAACATTACGCGAATGTTACGAATCTCGAACATTTTGAGCCGTAGTTTTCCGGCAACATCCTTGGTTAGCTGCGGTTTGAGTTTTTTGTCAGAGTTTGGGAACACAGCAACCACCACCACTTGCATCAGGGACTAGGAATGGCAGACGATGAAGGGAGGCAGCCCGATGACAGTAGTCCAGAAGGATCTGAAGTTTCTCCCAGCAACTCCCAAACTAACCTGTTAACTCCAGGCACGATTTTGGGCGACGGAATCTCGTCTACCACACAGCGCATCTTCCGTAGACCATCAAGGACACGCGCAATAAGCCTCAGCATTCTAACGCCTGAAATAAGTGATCCTGATCCCAACAATGCCACAAATCTGGCTGAATCACCCACGGAAGATTTGGATCCAAGCTCGTTACTACTGTCTCCGCAACAACCAGCACAACGCAGAAATAGCATCAGCTCACTTAGATCCAATAGAAGACTCTCGTTTTCTTCTGTAAATGAAGGAGATGCCGGTCTTGGCGTGCCAAACCTTGATGGAGGGAGCAGGAGTGAGCGTCTTTTCAAAAGGCCGAGTCTGATACACCCACCAGCACAGATCCAATTGAATATCCGTATACCGACTCCAGAGCCTGAACCTGATGCAATGTCACCGCCGATCGTGTTGGTTGAGTCACCGGTAGATAACGATGCCAACTCGATGCTTGCTCCAGAGCAAACACTGCCACGTCGAAACAGTTTTAGCTCTATACGGTCTGTACGGTCGAACAATAGTAGGAGGCAGTCTATATCGTCCATAAATGGGTTTGTAGTAGACGGACTGGATGTACCAAACCGCAGGCTGAGCATATCGTCAATCAATTCTGTCGCATCGCTGGACGTACCAAGTATGATAAATAGGCGAGCTTCTATTGGATCATTGGCTTCCATAGGAATACCCATGGCCAAAGTTGCTAGCTATATTGAACGTCAGAAAGAGATACTGAAACCACATGTCAGGAAACTCAAAGTTAAACTGAAGAGGGCGCTTGGGAAGGGGCCAACTGCGCTGAGACCTTCTGTAAAACTCACCAAGAGCTGGTTTACGTGGCTGGGAATCGGGTGGCGGTTTGCTGACTACTCTGTCGAACGAGGCTTCCTGCAATACCAAGCAGAACACAGACGACTGTACACGTGGATTTTATGTGGTATCGTTATACTGTATCAGATAGGAGACATGGCATTCTCAGCCCCAGACAGGCCCGGGACGTCATGGAGAGAGGCACTAGTAGCTGGGTCGTACTGCTTCTCAGCTCTCGTCACCCTGTCGGCTTACCTTCCACCATTAAAGAGCTACCGACCCGCTATAGTCATGGGTGGAACAGCTTGCTTCATCGCCGTCGCTTTAATTGAGTTCCACCTCTTGAGTTTTACTGTTAATGACCGGTTACAGCTCAACAATATGGGGACGTTTGACGACACGCCATTGATACGAGAGTACCCATCATATTTGGCTGTGGTATGATTGATGTCATCAATCAAACTGCTCGGTTTTTTCTGACGCACTTCCTACCTTTGCATCTATATAGGCGTATAGTAGAATGGCTATAGGTTTCCTAGCGGCGCCGCTTTGGTTTACCGGGCCCGTCGCGTTACTTTGCGCTTTTGGACAAGCAATTGGTGTTGCTATTATTGATATTGTGTATGGAAGTGGCCTATATGCCAAGTACAGCTATTGGACTGTTGCGTTTACGGTATAATTTTTACACATATTCAGTCTTCACTCTCTCGCTAACACACCGTCCCTTCTAGTACATACAATACATGTTTGCAACAATCCTCGTCGTGAGAGAACGAGAATTTCTAGATAGAGAGCTGTTTGCATTAGAATGGTGTGAATCAGGATGCCCTAGCTTATTAGCTATACCTCGCCCATCACAAGTGAGAGATGTAGATAGAGAATTGTTTGCCATGGAGTGGGAAGCGAGTCACCCGCATCTCTTTACGCATCCTGACGACGTACCACACAGCATCAAGGAAGTCAGACGAGCAATCAGGACGGGTGTCTACAGAGATCCAAATGAACCAGAAGGGTTAACGGGATGGAAACGCTCATGGTTTTACTGGAGACGGAGTATCCAATGGCTTGTACTGAGACCTCGATGGTCGTATAAACCGCTCGAAAAGGAGTTTCGATACCATTTAGCTGCTCTTTACCGTGAGAAAAATACTCGTCAGTGGATTATAAAGATGTTGCTGAATGGTGTGTCTGGAATACTCAATTCGCAGGGAGATAAAGACTGGCTATTGCTGGGTGTACATATGAGTGGTCTCGCGCTCGTTACGGGCATATGTAGTTTTCTCGCTTATAAAATCCGTCGACCAGTAATTTATCTTGAGGTCAATGTCATTGTCGGATTCTCCTTGCTTGCCATGTTATATAACGGACTGACGGCAAAGGCACAATGTGACGCATACGACTATGCGGCACTGGCAGACCCGTTGTCTGTGGAGAGAGCTAATTATTATTTCCGGTCTGTTAACTTTTATAATGTACGTGTGGTGGTTGAGTGAAGCTGGAAGTGCTTTGTTTATGTTGAACATACTATGATCTTTCCTGCCAAGTATTTTTCGGCCACTGCTAACACTTCAATGAATTAAATAGTCAATGGAGTTTAATGTAATAATATCTGCATCAATTTTACCTGGAGTGAGGTTCTTTGGGTACATCATTATCGGTACGTCTTGACCGTTTCGCGGATGACTTTTCTTCACCACAATCCCCCCCTCCCACATACATACACATATACATACACACACACACATTCACTGATTCTTGTTTTCTCTCTTTATAGCCATGGTGTCTATACTCACAAAGCAATTCGTGTGGTTTTGTCAACCAGACGGCCAATCAGACCGCTCTGCATGGGCCGAAATTCTAGTCGCTACCGTAGTAATATGTCTCGTTCCCTCCATGGTATCTCGCGACATGGAACTTCGATCCCGAGCATACTTTCTCGGCTTACGAGCACAGTCAGAAACAATCGGAGAAGCCGAACTAGATCTCGAAGTCCTCGAGACGCCCGATAGTGACGATGAAACGACACTCCCTCTGGACAAGGATACCAAACCACCACCAGAATACTCGCCCATTAAAGTCGAAGTATCAGGTGGGGCTCTAGGATCTCGTGTATATGATGACGCCGATTATGCAGATCCGTTACACGGACGCCGTAAAATCCGAATACAGGATATACTGCCACCACAGCCCCCAAATCATATAGACAATACCCGAAACAGCTACTCTGATGAAGTGTCACGCACCAGTTGTGCGTCTGAATGTGACTTGTATGATTCAGGTCATTCTCAGCAGCACGAGAAGGTGCGTATACGCAAGCATTCCCATCATGTTGTATCGTCGCCCACAACGACGATATCTAATACTCATGATGGGGATCTGGGAGGTATGATTGTAGTTACGGATGTTGATGCTGAGCCTATGGTGAGTTCTCCTACGTCGACATTGTCGCCTGGAGGATTCTCGCCTAGCAGCGAAGGGCAGTCTATCCCGCCTTGGATCAATGGTAATAGCAATAGTGATAGAGTTAATGGTAGTAGTGGTAATGGTGGAGACGGTTTACATACTGGGCTAGGACTCAACAGCACATCCAGTGCCAGTACTAATGGACTGAATGTATCAAAGACATTGCTGCAACTTGGCAGCATAACCCAAGGAACATTTCATGACCTGGAGAAGGGTGACCATTCATAAATCACAAAAAATTCGTAAAATCATCTTGAACTTTGTTTCCATGTTGCCAAATACAATTTCATCATAGTTTCCTCTTGACCCCAATGCCTCCAAACAGCTACATCTTGTGGCAATCCGAACTAAGCTCGCTCTCGGGTTATTGTTTATAATACAGGGTTTATTCATTTCATATGGGCCTTATGAAGCTTTCGGTTAACTAGTGTACAAGCATTTTGTAAGGGTATGACTATTTGGAACTTTCTTCCTTTGAAACAACTACCAGAGACATTAATCTCTCCCTGCTATCTCCTCTCCTTCTCTCCTCCATAGATTCCACATTTTATGTAAAACAACATCAACCCAAATCCCACTCCCCAAATACTAATATAATTCCTGCAACTGTTTATATGCTATTGATGTTTTCACTTTTCTGCAAGGAATGGATGTCTCAAAGCTTCCGACGCAGTGGGTCGAGCTTGAGGATCTAAATCCAACATCTTCTTGACCAAATCAAGTAGTAATCGTTCAGCTTGATCTCGTGGCCTAAATGTCTTTTCTAGGCGTGGAAGAGCTTTTACATCCATATATCTTTCGTGTCGAGTATCGTTTTTGGGATAATCAACTCGACCACGTGGGAAGAATGTGGGTGATGAGTTTACCATCCGGGTTGGGAATTTTCCTAATATTGCTTCCAACATGAAGAGATGCTCTTCATGTGTTGTTTCGTCCACGGTAGGAACGAGGACTGATCCTGTGAATAGTTCAGCGAGTATACATCCAATGGCGAACTATGAGAGTTGCAACAGAGGGGTGAGACGGTTGAAAACATCACGAAGCATGATTGCATCATAAACTTACGATGTCACAAGGATAAGACCACCCAGTACCCAGAATGATTTCGGGTGCTCGATAGTGTCGTGTTGCTACAACCGAAGAATGATAGTCGTCGTGAAATACGGCACTATAAAATAAGGGTCGTGAGCAATCTTATCAGAGTGAAAAAACTAACAAACGAAGTCCCTTGATGCAGCGGAAGCGTTTCTTACCTGCCCATATCAATGACAGTCAAGCGGGTATCTCGCAATACGATTTGAGTAGCCGTAGTCCTCTATTTAAAGCCAAAGAATTGCATGTGTTAGTACTCGTAAAACTTCTGATCAAAAACAATCTGTCAATAGCCAAAGCATACCTTGGAAAGTGGCTGAAGCTCAAACTCTTTACAATCCAACATGAGGTTTTCAGGCTTCAAATCTGTATGCGTAATCTTTTCTGAATGTAGAAATGCAGTGGCTTCTAATATCTGACGAGCCAATTCTCGGATTTGATGGGTTGCAAATGGCGAGAATCGAGATGCTCTCATACAATCATACAAGGAACCTCCCAACAAGTTGAAGACCATACACATATGATCACCAATGAAGAAGTCTTCAAGTAGATGTATGCATTGTCTAAGTTAATAGAAAAGTGTAAGAAAAGTGTTTCTGTTTCAACAGTTCATCGGTTATGCAGCCAAAAAAGGTAACTAAAGTGTATCAATAGCACCAAAGCACTTACTTCTTGTTGGAAGGATCTCTTGCCTGAACATGTTTCAAAATCTTGACTTCGCCTCTAGCAGCATTCTTGAATTTGGCTTGAGAGCGTATGATCTTAATGGCCACATGTACTTTTCGTTCTCGGTCCCATGCCTCAACTACCCTTCCGAATGTTCCTTGTCCTCTAACCTTTAACACTTTATCTATTAGGTGAATGTGTGGAGTGAGCTTCAAACATCTGAAGTCAGACAAAAAAATAGAGATCCATTGCTTACATCGTCCATTACGTATACTATCATTGATTTTCACAATAAGATATCCATTCTCATCGTCCTGATGCTGTTCCGAGTCTTTAAAGGACGATGCCTACACAACAAAAATATCGTTAGATGTTGCATCTCCATGTAACATTACAACACAACCAAATAATTCTACCTTGGCAGAAACAGGAGTCAGCATGATGGGAGCACCAACAGCCTGCTTATCCACCCGTCGTCTTTTGACGACTGGTTCAGGAGTATCCATCGTCAAATCAATAACCTCAGCTGCAACACCACCTCTAGATCTTTTACCAGTCACCGCGGCAGTAGATATAGCAGGCACCATATTTATACCAGCAGCTGCAGCATGACGAGTCACCTTGCCTTGCTGCTGTCGTTGATGATGCTGTGCTGGTGATTCTTGTATGACAATAGGAGCATTTCCGACATTCCGTCCAACAGATTGATGGTGTTGTGGCGGAGAAGGCAATTGTCTACCTCGCATAGATACGGGATGGACGTATTGTCGGGATGGTAGAGCATCCACCACACTTTCATCGGAATGGTTTGAGTAGGATGATGAGGCTGGGACGAATGGTGGTATTAAGGTTGATGATGAGGGTGGTTGTCCGGGGAAGAGCTGCCTACGTATATCGTTTGACTGGAAATCATCTATTATGATTGCATTATTACTTGGATGAGCATAGTATGGTATGTAAGCGGCTTGTTGTTGTTGCTGCTGCTGTTGTTGGGTGTAATAGCAATCTTGTGGTTGCTGTTGCTGGTTTTGCGGTGGCATCATATGATACGTGGATTGCACCTTTTGTATAGGCTGAGTCCGAAATGCAGCGCTGCTAGCAACCCAGTATTGCTGCGGTCGTTGCTGTTGTGGTGGTTGCTGTTGTTGATAGTGCTGAGCAGATCCAGCAACGGGTATCGGAGATCGAGCGGAATTGGCAGTTGAAGTCGACACATTTGACTGCTGATAATATAATGGATGGACTCCACTTATATGATTATGATGAGTTAACATTGTGGAAGTCTCGATTTTTTCTTTACTTGTCTACTTTTTTCGAGGGCGTTTGTTTGCCAACTATAAGCCACAACACGGTATTACCTATATATAGAATAACTTGAGCCCAATGATATATCCTTGACGTGTCTTTATGGTCGATAATATATCGAGTTCTGAGCTCAGTCAAGATTCGTCCAAGTCGTTTCTATCCGAGTTATCAATCCAACGAGAGAGTATATCAATAGCAATTCCAATGGACAGTGGGTATAAAGAGGTCTGGGCAATGTCGAGGTGATAAAACTACTGAGCAAATGTTGTTTGTTGACGAAAACCTTAATTATTGAATAGAAGGATGAGACCGTCTGTTAGTTCCAAGAAAGAAGCTAGACCATAAGAAAACAATAAATTTCAAGATGATTCACCCTGTCTCGTGTACTTTATGCATCGCTGTGTGCCTCAATACCAAGGATTTTTCTTTGCTTTTGTATCCAGTCAGCCTCAAAATGCTTACCTTCTAAAATTGCCAAGAACTAGGCTCCAACCTCTACTATGTAAACAAGAAGACCTCCAACACTCCAATCTTGCCCACAGCTCTCCTCTCTCGTCTCTGGGTCAAGGTCGAAATGTTTTTGTCACCCTTTGGTGAAATTGCAAGATGGTGATTGAACTACACGAAGAAAAGAGTAAAACTTTGTTCGTTTGATTGAATCAACTATTGAAAGGAAATCAATCCTGTAAGTGTACGTTGTTCAAACGGCTGCAAACGCGCCGAGATCTATTGCCAAGTCGACAAATGTGACGTGTTTGCGTGTTGAGAGTACAATATACATGGGCTAATTTCAACACTTGTTCTTCCTACATCGTTTACGTATTCTATGCAACATTCTTTGCCCTCTTTCTACATTCCTTCAATGACTGCTTCAAGTGAACCTCGATCTAGTGGTATATACAATGCATCTTGTCCATCAGGTCGTCGCTTGCTAAGCACCAGTTTATGATCCTTGAGTTCTGTCATTAGCTGTCTAAACGTCTGTATACTATGAGCAATAAACTGCTGGCGACACTTGGCCCAGAATGTATCGAATGGAATACCATTGACCAGAGGCGAAGTAGCAACAGCTTTACTGCCTGCACCTGTACTAGCCTTGCCATTACCCTTTCGTCGACTGCTGCTAGCAGTAGTGTCCATGTGATTATTAAGAGTTGGGAATTCATCGTGATCATGACCTGCTACATCATGGTCATAGGCTTTATCATCAGCTTCATTACGAGTTCGTGAGTCTTCTTTCATAGCATGGATCTGTGTCTCGGCCAGCAGCTTGAAGAGTCGACGTGTACTCTCATTCACACTTTGCAAGACAAATCCAAACCCACGAGCAGACAGGTCATCTCCAGTCTTCATCAGTATAGAATCCTCAAACGACATTTCAGCATCATAGTGCTCATATGTCGTGGCATCATGATACATCCAGTTGAATTGATGAGATTTAAAACTATCCCACATCATGGGCGCATGAATGTGGTCTATCGATGCCATGACGTGTATGTGTGGATTACTGGCCAGCAAGGCTAGAGCAGAGACTGCCTTCTCAGATCGTAGATTCTGACCATCAATATTATGTACTAGGAGATACAATCGGTCGTATTCTCGTTCTTCATTATTAAAGTACTCGGCAATGGTGTTGACCTGATCTGTATATGTACCCATACGACCTTGATATTTGACTACGCTGCCTAGAATCTGACCTAGAATATCTTTTATAGTGGTGGAGGGAAAGTAACCATTGACTACGAGTATAGGGTGACGAGAGCAATACCGTTGAGCAAATCGAGTCAAGAGTTCCCGCTTTGAGCCATACCCATAAAATAATAAGTTAAACCCTGAGGAGAGACTGAAATACCACTCTGGATATCTAGACTCGTAAAGCTTTGCTAACTCCTTGGTTTGTTGAGCATGACGTGATATGACTTTGCTCAAGAGTTCTTTATATACTTTGGGTTCGAGCGATGGAAGTTTTGCCATGGTATTATTAGATGTAATATGAGCTGTAGTTGCTACTTTGAAGAAGGCGGCGGTTTCTCCAGTGGCTGATTGTTGTTGTTGTTCCGCATCCTTCTGAGCTTCACCTATAGTTTGCACTTCTTCGTTGACCTCCTCTTCTTCGTCTTCAGCTTGTTCTTCATATTCCTCGCCATCATCATCATCCTCATCAGACGATTCACCATTAGAATCAGCATCGTCGTCTTTGAGTGCTCTAGCAATAATTCGTCGTTCTCGAGTTTGTTGATTGACTTCCTCGACACGTTTACGTTTAAGCGGACTAGGATCATCTTCTTCTTCCATTTCAGCATCACTTTTAGATTCTTCCTCTTCATTTGCGTCATCGTACTTGTCTGGAGGTGCCATTTCCTCATCATCAGCGTCTCGACTACCAGCAGCACTACCACCAGGTTGAGTACCATCACCACTATTATTGCTATTATTATTACTAGTATCCTGATGTAATCTAGCAGCCTCTGTAGCATACATTTTCAATCCCATTTTGCCATAACTCGGTCGTTGGAATGAATACGTGATGCCATTGTTTTCCTTGCCTAATTCGGTTGCATCAGGTAGATTGAGACCACCAATCAGTCTCTGACGTTGTATTTCTTTATCGGATCTATCTATCTCGTCTTCTGCTTCATCAACCTGCAAAAGATCTACTCGAGTTGTAAACTTGGATGGGACGCTTCTTTGTTGCTTGTTTGTTTTGGGGCGAGAATCTTTAAGTGCCAGGCCTGACATATCTTCAAAACTAAACACCCAGAACGAGTCAGATTTGCTATAGAGTATGTTCGCTTGGGGTGATTTGGTTTGTGTGTTTGTGCGAAGGTGGTCAGCGAGTGAGACGAAAACGGCGAACGAGGAGACAAGCAGCTCTCAGCAAATTCAGGTGTTCTTACGCCCTCACACGATCACACATTGAGATGCCATGCGATATTACATTTGTTGTTTGGGAGCCGATCCAATAATAATTTGTACAAACGATTTACTAAACAAGGAAATTAATTCAGACAAAGATAGGAATAGTTTTCTCCTTCAATCGCGCTGCTAACTTCAGGTGTTTCAATCAACGTCATTGAATGACTTGAAGAATGACCCAGATAATCCTTCAAATGACACGGATCACATAAATCCAGCTCATCGCATTGAAGACATTTCCATCTACCCCCTACTATAGGTTCTGATCCACAACTATCACACTTGTATCCGTGATGCACAGTTAGTGTGGTATATCTCTGTTGTTTTACTACAACTTGTGGTTGTGTTTTTGCTGGTGGAGGCGTGGGCGGATGCTGAGCCTGAGTATCTACAGCTGCACTACTAGACGTTACTGATGGCTTAGATATCTGCTGCTGTTGCGATTGCTGTTGCTTTTTAAGTTTGGCGAGTCGTTTAAGTTTGAGTAGCTCCTTGTACTCTTCGCTATCACGAAACTCAGCTGGTATCTCTGATTCTGCTTCGTTATCTGACACAGAAGGCGATGGAGATAATGGAGCGACAGCTCGCTCCTCATCTTCCATTCGGATTGTTGGAGTTCCTAAATATGAAGCTCCTGAAAACCTAAATTCCAAGTTGTGGCATGTCAATATTTCTGTTGAGCAAAAGGTTCGTTAATAATTACCAACCTATTGGAGTAGTAGAGACCAGACGGTCTAATCCCAGGGCCACGAGTTCCCTTTGGCCTTCTCTGAGCAACTTTGGTAGCAGCTGGTTTTGCCAAAGCAGGTATACTACGTTCTTCTACTAATGGAGAGTCTAAAGGATTCCTTCGTTCAAATGCTGGACTGCCACATGTGGATACTGAAGGAGAACGCTGATATAATAATAAACGTGTCAATTCAGGCGTTAGTGTCAAAAAATCTCAAATCAGGAATATACCTGGTAAGCAGGAAAAACTGTACTGATTTCAGGAACCGTTGGTCGGTATATTCTAGGTTTCTTTGGCGGCGATATCACCATATCTAGGGTTCATTCAGAACGATGGCGTCAGACTTTGAGAACAGATGACTGAAACAACACAGCTATTACGACATACCAATATCACTCCCTCTCTTTTTTAGAGGCTCCATGTACTTTTCCAGATTGACATGTGGTATAGCAACCACTTTTTGCAGGCCTTTATAGTGTTCATGCGCACTCTGTTTATAGTTGGTTGCCAAAAAGGTTTGTTAGACGTTGTGACGTTTGTGTAGCAAAAGATCTACAAGCAAAAGATCTCCAAGCATTGTTTCAAATGATCTAACCTTGGAAGTGACCTTGTCGACATACGTCAAAGGATCCGCAACAGCTTCAGATTTGAGCTCTTCCAACCGTAGCAAATCCGACTGAGCTTGCACCAGCTGGTTTCGTAAGACCGTCAATGCACTTGCAACCAATTGATAACTAGTATCGATACAAAGTTAGGTCTAAAGTCTTCTAAACCAGTAGTAAAACAAACTGGCAGAACACTTGCTCATTATTTTTCTTGCAATCGGTTACTACTGGAGCATCGAGAACAAACGACGAACTTGATGTTGAGGAGTTGTCCATGGTCTCTGTAGATCTAAAGTCGTCATAGCTTAGGCCCATACGGCATATAAGGTCATTGAACTTATTCTCCAAAATTCAATTTTATTAGTTGACTTCGGCAAAAAAACTCGACCTAAGCCACGCCAAAACACGAAACCCAACGCTTCAACTCAGAGAACGGGTATCTTGGTCTTATTCAAGTCTTACATCTCAGTTTGGAATAGTTTTACCTTGTCTATGGTTTCCTCTTGAACCGTTTACCATCAACGGATTACCATTGCGTGTTACTGCATCAATTTACAAGCTTCTGAATCCTTAGAAGACTATTATCTCGCTCAAATCGAACTTCTGCTGTTACAGATCACAGATCTATACTCCTCCAAACATCGTTGTACGTGGTGCTCGAGTGCTTGGAGTTGGTTTTCCGACAAACACGCACACGGTCATTAATCGTTCAATGCGAATCATTGGGCTATCTCGAGACAGAGAAAGCAATCTTGGTAACGTTCTCTTGGATCTCCGTGTCTTTGGACTCACTCTGCGCTCCACCAATCTACCGTGGAATGTTGAAGCATCAGTCGCCCCCTAAACCACGATAGAGGAACAGCAGTCGCTTTTTGTGAATTGTGATCCAATTACTAGTCACACGTTTCATGGTGGGATTGACTTTGTGCTCAGACTCTGCGAATTCTAATAGAGACGAATCCATTCTCGAGTGATTCGGCAGACACTCCCAAGCCAGTCGTTTGGCATGGCAGCAAATGGTGTGATTCAACTATTAGCTGGTGATGTTATGCTCCTGTGCTCACTGTTTCGAGAAGCACATACACACTGCATATTATTTGAGTGAATTGGAGCGGGCCTCGTCAGATTTCGATGTAGAGTTTTGGCCATATAAAATCGCTCATACCAGATTCTCAAGTTATTTGAGCAAACGGTATCTCAAAGCCCACGTCCCGTCCTTAAGTCCCATCTCTACCATATTTTGTTTTCTCGCTTCTTAAGTCCCATCTCCACAAATTTCGTTTGGCAGGAAATAAGGGTAACGAAACTGAAAGAGAAACCGTTCAAGATCTTCATATCGAAATTGTTTTTAACTTCGATTGGTGACTTCACGTGGGATGCTAACCTACTATGTGTATGCTGGCTGACAAATCTAAAAACATCCCGCATGCACGTAGTCCCCGACATTTTCAGGAGCGTTCGCGACTGATCTCCGACAGAAAAGCGTCCAAAATGAGCCGGTTCACTTGCTAAGGTGCGATTAAAGGCGTTCATGTTGTACCCTCAACGTCAATTAAAGCCTTTCAGCACAGCGAGCAGAAACTGGGTTTTCGACAGCAAGTGTACCATTCACTGTAAATCTCAAAATCTAAAGAATTAGCTTCGGCTTGAATGGTGTCGAACATACCGAGTTGCGAACGATTGTGACATTCTTGGATTTTGCCGCAAAAGCAGATCGCAGTATAGGAGATTATGCTCAACTAGTTAAAAGTATGTAGCAAATCACGTTCCAAGGGCAGAGAATCAATGATATGGTGGGCCAGATCTTTTCTTGTAAGTGAGCCTAGTGCAACCTTTGCGACCATTTTGGTTGATGCATCCTTTTCTCTGTGAACCTCGATGGAAGACCTGCACGTTGCGCTTATATTGCTCTTGAGACTGCAAGAAACATACATATTCGCGACAACAACTGCTCATTGGAGGTACACTGAGACTTTATGGTTTTTTTTTGTTTTTGATATTTTGCATCACAAGGTTCACAGAACAAACATGACACCAACCACTGCTTCCAAAGAGTGCGAATTGTGGTAATGAAGCTGTATGCCACATAGGTCGAAAGAAACGGCCGTTTGGACACGAAGTGTGATAGGGAGCTCGATCCAACAAGCTGGCGCCATCGGAGAACTCAGAACATATGAAGAACGTTCAAGGTTGGATGGCCGAGCGGTTAAGGCGGTGCACTCAAGATGCACTCACGAAAGTGGCATGGGTTCAAGTCCCATTTCAACCAAAGTAATGAAATTCTCATTGATGCTCATTTTTACGACGATGCAAAAAATGTATTTTAAGGCGATGTACAGCAATAATCTACACCAAAAAGCAGCACCTCTACATTCATAGACCCCAAATAGGCTCACCCAAACGACGACGACCGACAAGTTGTCGCGCAATACCCTTCATGATACAGAATCCAACACGGCGGAAGACAAAGTTCTGAGCAACTATACCCCGAGCAGATTGCGCGTGAGCCCACGCGGCTTGAATGCGACGTAAAATTTCTACAGCGTCTGGAGCAAGGTAGCCCATGGTGTCAAAAGCAAATGGAAGGAAGCCGAATCCAGCAAGACTACAGGTACCAACATATTTCTCCTTTTTGTCGTGAGCGGCTGCACGAGCAGCTTCACCCAAGCCACGAAGATCCGTATGGGCTAGTACAGACACCCCAGTAACATCGACACAGACAGATCGCCCGTCAGACCAGCTTGGTAAGAATACATCGGCGGGGCGAGGGCGAGCGGTATGTTTCCCATAGCGTGTGGTGATACCTAAACAACCAACATTATGCTCCGCAGTAGCGCGAATCCCAGAAGCCTGAGCAAGAGAGACAAGAGTATCCCGGACCATATCGTGACGTTTGCCAAAGGAGGGTTTACTAGCACAGCTCACGGCATGATCACCCCAAATATCTAACTTATAATATTCAGAGTACAGCTAAGACACCGGGAATCTTTTCCACTAGTGATGCAAAAATTGTATACTAAAGCGAGTTACAGCAATAATCTACACCAAAAAGCAGCACCTCTACATTCATAGACCCCAAATAGGATCACCCATATCATCATTTTTACACAAATCTGGCGGTAAAACTTGGTTCTTCTTTTAGAGTTAACTTGACATGCCATTGATTATGACCGAAAAGATGGATGGTGAGGCCCTGGTGAGGTGCTTGTACGTAAATGCCGCGGGCTGCCACAGTCTCAGAAAAGGCAACGTGGAGTCGTGGAGTTTTCGACATTTGTGGCTGCACCAACAGCATCGACAGCAGGAAGGAAAGGCTCGGCAAGTACCACCATCAGGCGAGTTCAAAACAACAAGTCTTACAATTTAGAGTCACAAGAACCTTATGCTTGCGCATTGACGCAAAAATGCCTCCGGAGGGGTTCGAACCCTCGCAACTTGCGTTAGTAGGACTTAAATCTACCCTGTGTACGTAAGAACAGTTTTAGCACAAGGGATGTGGCTATTAAATGATGCTAACGGAATACGTACGCCTTAACCGCTCGGCCACAGAGGCTTGCACTTCAATAGCGTTGCGAAACCACAGGTTGTGTTGTTATTCGCATCCAGTATCCCTTAAGACGAAAAAGAAAAAATATTTCTCTATACGACCTCACCACAGTATCGTATATTGCACTGTTGGCCCGTTAACCGGGACTGCAGCGGTTAATTCTATGCTTCATGTCCTTGGTGCTTGACAGAGAACAAGCAGCAAGTGCTAAAAAAAAAAAAATGGAGAACCCTTGTACATGGAACAGCATGTAATGGCGAAACTTGGAGTTAATACCCCCTACAGTATTGGAATGGAGTCCACGGGTCTTCTCAATGTTGGGTGTGTCTTTTGTCGATATCGCAACAGCAACGAAAAAACAGAAAGCTTTTGCATTTGCCCGTCAGGACTCGCGCCACAATGAAATTGCATAGTGTCTAACTGCGATTATATTATAAATTACACGTCGCAAGATATGCAAAGGCGGGAATCATTTGGTCTAAGTTGGAGGTTGGTCAGTCAACAGTTGATGACTCGACCAGCAACACCGCCAACAACAGAAGCCCGACCAAAAGAGCCGGAATAACGTCGAGGACATGAAATTTTCGTGTGTTACCGCGAGCAATTCTTGATCAGTCGTTTTTATAATTAATTGTTCAGTCTTGAAATTCGGTGACTGCGTGACTGTACAGAATTTCAGGCACTTAACATGAATACAGCCCGTTTTCAACAACAATTTCAAACAAAACATAGTACTAAAGACCTGATACAAACATGGGGAATACTACCACAGAGGTACTTAAGGCTCGCATGTCTCAGCACTTTCAGTTCCAAACATTTGACTCTTTTTGATCCAACAAGCTGACAAGTTCTTACTTTGACTCTCTATACAGACAACTTTTACCGAAATGGATGCATGCATGGCGTCAGTACTCAGAGTCGCTACTGTCATGAACATTGTACAAACTCATTTGGACGAGGTGAATGGCCCTCCCTCGCTTCAAACTCTCCCTGCGGAGCTCATTGAAGAGGCAAGTTGCTATTGCATTAATATATGAACTTGCTGAATCTCATTCTTGTTGGCCGAAAACATGGCATTCAGCTGCCCTGAACTACTTTTTGCCAAAAACATGTGATTGTTCAAATCCACCTTGAATCTTCATACAACTACGATGAATGCTTTAAGCGGAGTTTATTACACAATATGATTGACAAGATGACTACACCTTGAGTCTTTGTACAAAGACTATTGTAGAAGCATAGCTAACCCTTTTCAATATCATACCCATATTAGGTCTTTTCTCACTTGACAAGGACTCGATATGGCCGTGGAATCTTACACAGACTACTCCCACACACTGGTCACATCATATCCCAACACGTCTCCGCAACTCTATATCGAAACATGCCAATCCTCGTCGGCTCAGACAACACTCGCCCCGAGAAGCTAAAGAAGCGTGGTGAAGTACGTTCCACCGACCTGTTGACTTTCGTAACCATCCCTCGAAACATCTACATGACAACCTTGATGACTCACGTCGAGTTCAGTCAGTACGTATCTGCAACGACCGCGGTATCTATACTTGAAAAGCTGCCCAATCTGAGGAGGCTGAATATTGCGGGGTTTGAGGGTACACCACCTGATAATATGGTGGAGAGTATACCGAAGTCGGTTACCAGATTCAAGTTGGCGTTTGGTAGTCATTTGCATTATGCTGATTTGGTGGTTGCCATTGCGCCGAACTTGGTGAGATTGAGGTTGGATTATGCTACCTTTGGTGAGTGAGTTTGTTCTTGTAAATATATCTAATTTGCTCATCAACCTCCTCTGGCTTTATGTAGATGAGATTGACATGTACACAATATTGACCAATGCAATCAAGTTGGAGACTCTCAAGATTTGTGGTTTGCATTCTACTCGATCTGACATTGGTACGGAATTGCAACCACATATTAGAGTTTTTTTTTTGTTACTATGCTAACAAACTCTTTCTTGCCAGTTGACAATGATGGAAAGCCAATTGCTGTTGTAGACTGGCTCACTACTGTATTTGCAAACATCCCTACAGTCACTCGGTTGGTGTTGAATAGGCCACCTCGACCTGCTGTTTGTCGTGCGAGATGGAGTGATATGACTGTTTGCCCTCAGGTAGGGTTTATTTATATAAATGGCCATGATTATGAACTTCGTTGCTGAGTTGCAAGTGCTTTGTGATTTTTATCTCTGTTTTGTCTGACTCGACACATTTGCTTAGGTCAAGGAACTAGAACTCGACATGATATCCTTCGAATTAACAATTAGCAAGGCAGCAGTCGCTCGAGGTTTCCTCCCCGTACCTATACCACGTATCCTATCTACATTCTTCCCATCACTCACACACATCACATTATCTCGTCTCACACTGTCTCCAGACGAAGGCAAGGACTTGCTGAATGTCATCACCAAGCATTATAGTGCTACTCTAAAGTTATTAAGCTTGACGGATATGAGTATGAACTTTGTGGATGTGTTGCAAGTATTGAACGCTACAAGTGGGTTGACAAAGTTGGTGCTATCGAATATTGTGTTTATGGATTTCGTCAATCCGCCTGCTGCTCTGGTGCCTGGTAATAATGTGGATGTAGTAGCAGCAGCCAATAATACCACTGTAGAATCTCAACCCAATATCGAACCTTACAACTTATCACCAAACGCCAAACTCGTATGCCTCATAAACGTTCTCCCATCAACCCTCACACGCCTAACCATAGTCGCAAACCTATCCGATAGACAGTGCATCAGTATGAATGAAGCAGACTACAAAACCTTGCTAGACAAGTGTGGCGGACTGTACTACTTCAAGTTTGGAGCGAGAGATTACAACTACTTTTATATCAAGTGTCTGAGGAGTAATCAGTTGAGCGCTGCTGAAGTTGTGGATGGGCTGCTTGATGATGATTCGTTGTTGGCATTGTTTGGGGAATTGTGAGATAAATGAGTGAGGAGGTGTGCGGCTGTTATTGTGACGGTGTAACGGTAAAATGAGTGAGGGGGTATGTATATGGTTGTTTTGGTGAAGGTGTAATGGTATCGGTATATTAGTGAAGGAGGGAATAGGATTGCTTGCTCAGATTGTTGGAATGGTGAAGAGAGAGATGTGATTGTTTGCACCGGAAGGCCATTTACATATGAACGCTCATAAAGCACTTGTTTGAAGAAACGGGGGATGGTAAGTATTGTTATTATTGTATAAGGTATATATGACTTGTAAAAGCAAATCTACAAAATAAGGAAATTGATTTACTGTTCTCCAAAAACCAAGCAAAACAGCCAAGCACCAATGTAAAACGAACTGGACTTGCTCAAGATATTCCGTTGCTCGTTACTAGAATCCAGAAGGTGTCAACTCAATCAGCCGAATCAACAAATCCGTATCAACCACAAGCACAATACAATTAGCAACCAGCATGTCCTTTCGACCACCTTGGACATAACTATATCCACGATAAACAAAGTCCGTAAAACCACTAAACGTTTCTGAATGTGTTACTTGTATCTTGACGATTGTTTGCCTTATCATCGTTTGTGGTGGTATCGTTGTTAATGTTGGTTGGTCGTGAGGTATCGGCAAAACTGCTTGCAGAGGATGTATGCACGAGTTTGGATCTAAGGACTGCCGAGGTGTGGAGGTATGGAGTGTGTCCCAGGTGTTCACAGAGAAAATTCCGTATTGTTTTCCGAGCTGCAGACCTGTATGCAGACGTCAGCTTCCTTCTTTTCGTTGAGAAAGACTTAACCCATTACAAATTTGGTTGCGGTACACGTTAGAGCGAGAGAGAAAACTCCAACCGAACCACGACAAGTGATTTTCCAATGGCTTGATTTCAAAAACAGAAATCATGCCATTGAAAACACGGCGCATAGCACGATAGAAACTGATTTCCACCAACAACTAAGACAAGTCACGCTCCCGTTGACTTACAAGCATGCAGCCGAGCTAAAAACAAGACTCGAGCAATGGACTTGTCCACTTCACTCTTCTTCCTGTTGTAAGTCGCAGATACGGCAGCAAATGAAACAGGTGATACACATGACACGGTGAATGGAGCTGGAAGCGCAGGCAAGTCAATTGAATCTAAAGCTGGAGTCGATGCACTTGGAGTTGGCTCGAAGAAAGCGACTTGATAAATCAGGTGAAGCATCGGCCAACGATTCAGTCACGATAGACAATCGCTTCGGGATGGCGTGGTTGGTGGATTGTCGTCTTGCATTTAGAGTGAGGAACGCCGCGAAGAGACGTCGACTGTCCAAAAGACTGCCAAATAGTGGAGAAGCAGGTGGTGAAAGGTTCACGTCGGCGAATGATTCCATATGAGGTTGGATCGGAGATAGATTTATAGATTCCATTGATGGCGGGTAGTAGATGTGAATGGTAATAATGTGATGATGGACGGTGCTGGGTAATTGTGGGAGTGAAGAGAGTGGCGGAATGAATAGAACTGACAATGCGGATGAAGTTTGGCTGAGATTCGGTCTTTCGGATGCAAGATACTGATCATCCAACCCATTGGCAAAGTTTGGATTCTCCCATCAAATAAAAGTGAGTTGTGACGAGGTGCCTAGTTAACAAGAGGAGAATACATGTTATCCGCGCTTGCCTGCATCGAGACGGCCGTAGCTCTGCGCCTTCTCACGTGCCTTCGAACGTCTGAGAAATCCGTGACGCGTCATCAAAATTTCGCAAGTCGTGAACTTGCTCACACACTAAAAGCAGACCGCAGCCTATTAAAGCAGAAGAAGAGGGAATAAGACCATACTAGATAGATATATAGACAACACTACTACACACTCACACCCAAATAATCTCATTATACTCAGAATCATGTCTTCAGGTATGGATGGCGTTTCACCAATTGAAGTGCTTTGAGATCCAAATGCGATATACCCACTGATAAGGAGCAAACACTAACTATTTTCACTCTACAGTAGACGCTACTACTCAATCCAAGGCCGCTATATCATCAACAGCTCCTTCCGAGGCCGCCACTCTTCCATCATCATCTGATCCCAACACAACATCAACCGCACCGATAACCCCATCCAAGAAGAACAAGTGTGCTGTGGAAGGCTGCATCGAACGAGTACGTATATGCTTTATCCTGCACTCTTAATTTGACCGAACTGTGGAAGTGGTTGGATCGTGGCTATCATATAACGCCTCCATTCTCACATGCACATGGATGCGTGCCGAGTGCTGCAATGTTTTCCACACCCAATTCGTTTTGATCATGATCATCTCATGCACTTGCAATCAGCCATTTCTAACTCTCCTTCTCACTTTACAGCCAGTCAAGATTATTGGCGATTGTCGGTACTGCCTAAACAAGTACTGCTCAAAGCATAGATTACCAGAGGCTCATGTCTGTTCGGGGTTGCAAACATGTCGAGATGAATCGGTCGCCAAGTTAACGGGAAAGCTCATGGTTAGTGTTGCCGACTGGTAGAACTCGTTGAACTCTGCTTATACTTATAAATTCTCCTCTTATCACACAGTCGGAGAAACTTGTCGCCTCGAAAATTCGATAAAAGGCCCTCTCTTATTTATTACCAGGCGGAGCGTTGCAAGGTGGAGATAACGTTGGAAAGAAAGAACTCATTAGATTCAAGTTGTATATTTCATATTATAAGAAAGCTTTATGGTTTTGTGAATCTGTGTTGCTGTGTTGAGCAGGTTGTGTAGGTGTAGTATCTCCGGATGGAAGATCGCGTCGAGATTTGAGACAAACTCCCGACGTTTTCGTGTTTTTGGATTCCACACTCCGACATGCAAAACAATGGGCAAGGAGATACTCAAGATAGTGTTGTTGGGAGATGGCGGAGTAGGGAAGGTACGTATAATTATCTTCCCTTAGATTCTCATATACAATCTGACACTTTGTACAAGACTTCATTGAGGAACCAATATCTGCACAAGAGATTCACAAATACCTACAAGGCAACTATCGGCGCTGATTTCATTACAAAGGAAGTCGAACTGGCTGAACAGGGCAGAAAGATCTCCATGCAGATCTGGGATACTGCTGGTGAACCTTTATTTGCACATTTTGTTGTTTCTTTCCAGTGATTAGGCAACGGGTTGATAACTCTCAATACCACAGGTCAAGAACGGTTTCAGTCTCTTGGAGTCGCATTCTATCGTGGTGCTGATGCTTGCATGTACGTTCTCCTTGGTCGAACAGATCATATGCTGATCAAACTAACGCTGGACACCTCACACTAAACCAAACACTAGACTGGTATACGATGTAACAAACCCATTATCACTATCGCGACTCGAAATGTGGATTGCTGAATTCATAAAACAAGCTGATATACCTGAACCTTCCCATTTTCCCTTCATCATAATCGGCAACAAGGTCGATTTAGAAACAGAACGTATTGTCACTAGGAAACATGGACGTGATATGGCTAAGCAGCTTAAAGCTTACTGTATGGCTGCTCCTCGTGGTGGTGGTAACAGTAGTCTTAACAACAGTATAGCGGCAAGAGGAGGCAAGACCAATGTTGTCGTTAGTGAAACATCACTGAATCTATCGAATACCACCAGCAAGTCAAAGATAAAGGCTGCTAGAAAGAGTTCTACTGCTAGTAGTGTTAGCGAGGTACTCGGTAAAGGCGCTAGTGCTGGCAGTCTGAGTCGTCGTAGCAGTAGCGTCACAAAGAAGAACTCGACACCCACTCTGGCTACACCCGCTAGTGCATCAATACCGATAACATCACCACCGTCCCAATCACTACCAGTATCAACCATCCAATCTCCATCGACTTATGGTACGACCACGACGTCACCAACATCATCACTAATAGTTCAACAAACGCCACAGAAATCAACTCGTGTTTTCGGCAACAGTAATACCAACAGTACCCGAAAAGCAAGCAGCAGCGGATGGAGATCATCCGTAGCATCTCAATTCCAACGAGTATCACGAAAAGCCTCGACATCATTCAAATCCAACTCGGAACTGGACCTAGGTCAGGAACTAGCTGATGATATAGATTGGAAGGCGTCTTCTTCATCTGCAGATAATAATAACAATAATATCAATAATGTTATGAGTAATGGGTCACACGACACACCGTCGTCACACTATGAAGACGACGATGTCATAACGAACCATACCACAGAATCACTACCAAGCACAGCATCAACCACTATAGATACATTCCCGTTATTTGAAACATCGGCCAAGACGGGTACACGTGTAGAAGAGGCTTTTGCATATATTGCCAAAAATGTTAGGCCACCCAAATTTGATTTTGAGATATCAGATCATCATCAGAGGGCAAGCTTGAATGTTGGTGAGGATGGTGGTGGTGTGAGAAGAGCTGGATATTGTAGTTGCTAATATATTATTCGCATTTGTGTATATGTCTTGCATTCATAATAATTACGTGAATCCAAATATAGAATGAACCGTGGGTGGTATCATATTAATCTACAGTCGGGTTTTTGGCGTTGGATACATCATGTCTTTCTTAACGTTTATGTATATTTGAGAGAGTGAATTCAACAACTTTTTATGTAGATGTAGGTCAAGCAAGATGGGACCATTGCAAAGACAGATTTGTATCCGGTACCAATCTGGCGGCTGGGATAATGAGCTATATAGGAAAGGCCGGTAGCAGCTGCAGAAGACAATATCCTCGCTGCCGAGATTTTTCGCTGTTTAACAGGAGAAGACCTTCAAACAAAGAAACAGAAGCTTGAAACAGGAATTGGCAAGATGTACTTACGTAGCTGAGGGGTACTAGAAACCTTGGGTGCTGGTCCAGCTTCTACTTCAGCACCACGATCATTTGACTCTCGGGCTGGCACCAAACTGTCAACGCCCGAAGGCTGATGCCACAAGTGGTCTTTCGAAGAGACAGAGAGGTCGCCACCGAATCCCTTGTCGTTCAAAGACCTTACAGGACTATGGATGATTAGAGAAGGGTGTGAGATGACATGTCTGTACATTAAAACAAAAACAATGCTTGGAATTGGTTTCTAAGAAACCAACTCTACCTCAGGTGCAGGAACCTCCCCACAGATTTTGCTTTGGTAGGCTGGGTGCCCGTCTACTTCGGCACCACGATTTGACTCGTGGGCCGGTACCAACCCAGCACCCATCGACAGGTGTAGATGTTGGCGTTTCGAAGGGACCGGGAGGCCGCAGCCAGGTCCCTTGTTGGTCGTAGACCGTACAGGGCTAGATGAAAAAGAGATGTGCTGGTTAGGTCTCGGCCTTTAAAACCAAAACAAACTTGAAATCAACATCACAAAACCTACTTGACTGCCGTTGTGCACCTCCCACCAGCAGCATCTGCCTCATATGACGGCAGAGTGTTTGCCAGTGCTAGCCAGACAGCCATAGCAGCGGCAACGATCGCTCTGAGAACGCCTTGGGGGCTGTAGTCAGTAGGGCTCATTGTAATAACGCGCTGATAAACTTGGAAGTTGGCGATGGCCCAAACAGTATAGGGAGGTTTGAAAGACCAGAAATAGTCAATATTGATACGTCGTATTATAATACAAGTGATATCTTGTGGTAATAAGTGTATTCTTTCCTTGCAAGGCCGACTAAAGGCACAAAAGTCACATATCCCGAAGCTCTGGATTTCTGGTTCAGTTTCCACCTTCCAGAGTCAAAATCCACTTTTTCACTAGCTAGGGAATGATTCTTTGTGCGGGTTTTATGACACTCTCTATAACAAGGACCTCGAAAGCTCGAAACTACGCAAACGACCAAACATTGAGATGCGCATTCGTCCTAGTACGTGAACAGCCCAGCAAACAGTCTTTCCACGTGTAATTTACCGTTTCGAGATAGATCTATCCTCACGTAACATCGTCTCCATAGAGCTACGCTCCATTATTCAATTCAATAGGATTTGTTGGTTTGTTGGTGCTCCAACGATGCCATTTCTTTACGTAACAGAGACGCCTGCATTGAACTGTGGCCATGTAACATGTTAGTGAACTGCTGAACAGAACTCTATATGATGTTCGCTCCATAAACTCAAACAAACCTTCCACCTATATGCTTTATGTCTTGCTGTTCTACAAATGACTATATCTTACTCTGCCACCAACGGCTCATGCTCATTCAACAAGTGCTCACGAAACACTTTCTAAAAACCCAGCAAATTAAGTCAGTTCAGCTACTAAACTCAAAAGCACTGTCCATATACTAAAATCAGAAGACATACCTCTGATCGAAATCCTCTAGTATTATCAGCACATTCATCCATCGGACACTGATACGGAGCTCCAGCATCCAAAATAACCTGATAACTTTCAGCACTTATAGGCCCAACATTCGCTACACTAGTCGCATCACCAGTCATTTGTGGCCATGCTTCCCGTACGTTTTGTATAAATGTTTCGGTATGATCAAGTGCAATAGCATACTGGAGTCGATTATCAGTCATTCCTCGTTTCATTTTATACACTCGACCATGATGCGAGATTTGCCAAATTCGAACCCAGTTTTGGAATTTCGTGATTTCGGCGGGTGGTTCAAGTTCCTTGTACGCTGGAATGTCTTTCTTCAACAGATCAGATACTATTATGCCAGTTGTTGCATCCAGTACGACTTGTTCTGTCTTTTGCTTCTTGACAGCTACGGATAGAATTTTAAGCGATTAAATGAGGAATGTATACATCCAGAGCCAGAATAAAAATGGCAATTTGATTTACCTGACAGAACATCAACATCAGACTTCCCAGCCACACTCCCAGCAACACTTCCAGTCTCAGTCTCATTGCCCGTATCATTGTCCTCTCCAGAATTCACATCAGGAAACAAGGCAGGTCGAGTTCCTCCTTGACGTCCATATTTAGCTTCAAAATCACGTATAAAGAGTTCCTGTTTATCACCTGCAGGTATAGCCCATTGAGGCGGTCCACGACTAGCATTGGCTTTTTTGGGGTTTGCTGTATTCTTTTTGACCCATGTGCTAACAAACTCTGAGGTTGATGCACCAGGATTCTTCCATCCAGGATATTTCCTCTTGAGTAGATCAGTCCAAGCTATTTCTTTGCCTGATGATGCCGACTCGGAGGATTTACGTTTAGCTTTATTCCTCGGTGCGGATGTTGCTTTGGCTTTAGGTGGAGGTTTGCTTGCAGGTGATGATAATGGTGCTGAAGCTGCTTTGGCTGGAGCAGCAAGGCCTTTACCCTTACTACCACTACTACCACTAGCATCAGCGACCTGCGGCATCTCATATAGAGTTATCGGATCATCACTCCAACTTCCATATTTATCAGATAGTCTGAAATTGAGATATTCATGTAGACTTTGCGGGACGGCCCAATCACCACTAATCTGAGTTGGATTAATACCCAATTCGATGAGTATTGACTTGACAAAGGCCTTCATGGATGAATCTAGCATGGTCCAATCTGGATAGAATGACTTCATCACCTTCTTCCATTGCACAAGTGGCCCTGATGGTGCTGGGATTGGTAGTGGCTCACCATCAATGCCTTCATCCTCGTCATCAGCAGCTGCTGCTTCTACTTCTTCTTCGTCATCTATTTGCTCTTCTTCTTCTTCAGGTTCGCTGACTAGGGCAGTATTAGTCAGTAAATGACTAGGAGTGTACTCTGCGGTTGCATCATCGTCATCAACATCCATATCATTGAATGAATGAATATCACCAGTCACTACTCTAACATTAGGCTTAATCACTTCAAGGTCATCTGTACTATTCCTATCCATATCGACATCAGGCTGCTCTTGCACAGCATTGTTGGGAGTCACCAAGTCGTCGTCGTCGTCGTCCTCAGCCAATAAACTATCAACTTCATCCATTTCGTTGATGACTTCGGCAGTTATACGTCTAGCAGCTAGATCCACTTCAACTGTTGTAGTAGTGATAGAAGTCGCAGTTGGTTCTTTGACTACTTCACTGACATCAAGCTTGATTTCGTCGGCAGGCTGGTCAAGCGATGATGCTTTATCGAGTTGACTACCAGTATCGGTGGTATTAGGTTGATCAACTTTATCGTCGGCTTGATCACCAGGATTGTCACCTTCATCAGGATTATCATTATTATCTTCACCATCGTCTTCCTCCTCAACAGACTGTTTGCCTTTACCGACTCCTTCTTTACTACCTCTCTTTGATACTGCAGATCCTCCTTGAGATGCAACTTCTATAAAATCATCTCCATATTTCTTGATAAACTCGTCCAAGAATTCTGCCTTCATGATTGTGGGTACACCAGTAGTCTTGGTGTTTTTAGAGGACTTGACTTTAATTGTGGGTAATCTACGTCTAGATATAAAACCTGATACCCAATTTGCACATGCTGCATTCTTGGGTACTTGGAAGTTTGCATTTACTTCTCGAATGATTTCGATCCAAGCTATATAATCTTCAGCACGTATTGATCGTTCAGGTGGCGGAGCAGGTTTTGAAGGTGGCGGTTGGATGGCTGGAGATTCTGATTTCTCCTTCTCGTCAGCTGCTCTTCGCTCGGCTCTTTCAGCCCTCTCGTCGACCTTCTTTTCAGCTTTTACTAAATCCTCACCTCGTCTTTCAGGTCTGTATTCACCTTTGGGAACTGTCTTTGGAATTATAGATTTACGTTGTGGTGGTTGTGACGATTTAGAAGGTTTAACCTTAGCTTCCGTCTCATCGCCTGTCTGAGTACCATCACGTTCCTCTTTTTCTTGAGAAGCTCTACTACCAGCAGCAGTTGAATCGATTTTGGCCTCTTCGCCTGGTGGTGGTGTTGGTTGTTTAGGTGGTGCTTTGATAACTGGAGGTGAAATGTGAATCGACTTTGCACTCAATTCATCACTCCAAGCACCTCGACCAGCATCACTCACAGCAGCTATTCTGAATTTATATACAACATCAATATCGATGTGAGGCCAATCTTTAATACCTTGTGGCAGAGGGAAGGTTGCGTGGCCAAACATGAGATGTAGTCGTCTAGAACCAACTGAGATGCTAGTCGCATTACCAGCAGCTCCAGGAAGAATAAGGCCCCATTCACCTGTGAATACTTCTGGTTCTGGCGGTAGTCCTGGTTCTGACACTGTCGTCGATTCTTCCATACCCCCACCAGTTTCCATTGCATCTGAGTCCACATCTACAACGGATTTCTCAGGTTCTGCTGGTATTGCTGCGGAGGGCTTATCCACCGACGCAGATGGTAAGGGTGGGACTATAGCAGATAGTTCTAAAGCATCATGCATCTTGACTGTAGGGCTGATTATTTCCATATCATCGTTCTTATCATCAGCAGGAGCCATATTTATTGACGTTGCATCTGTCATCTCAACATCTTCGAGCTCTGTAGTCCTTTGATGCATATCTAGAAATGAAGAAATGAGCAAAAAGAAACAAGAACAACTATACGATGTTCGTTGATTCTGCGGACGTACCTGCAGTCATCTCTGTCTTCAATGGCGCATCCTCCATTTTGGCATCCTTCGACACATCGTCGTCATTACTATTAATTACAGTTTGACCACCATCTGCTTGAACCTTTAAGATTTCTGGCTTCATCTCAAGGCTTTCCATAGATTTACTCGTCACATCCTCAGCAACAGCTTCCACTGATGGAGGAGGAGGAAGTGCAAAAGGGACAGTTACAACACAGCAAACTTCAACAGTATGTGACGTAACAGTCTCTCCCTCCACCTTTTCACCTAACTCCCAACTTAGATTAAAGTTATATTGTGGTAAGGAAGGCTCTTTCGTGGCTCGTGCATCATCAGGAAGTTCTTCAATAACAACATTAATATTTCGTGGTGGATTGGCAGTTTGTCGAGGTGGCATAACGACGACAGTACTACCATCAATCTCTTCTTCACCGATACGACGTGACGACGATGTACTTTGTTGCCAATATGAGGAAAGGCCAGCAAAGTTGGAGACCAGAACTGCAACTTCATATCGTCCCATTTCACCTAGTACATCTTGAGTGCCACTTGCAGTGATGGAAAAATCTCGAGAACTCTTAATGACAGTTTGCTTGTTGGATCCTTCATATACTTTGACCCATTTATCTACAGCTGATCCATCAGTCACTTGACGACGAATGGAGACACGATAGCTTTCGTCTGTTGACCGTCTCACTGTATCCGACCATTTGACTCTTATTTCACGTTGGCCATACGGAGTAGCGTCAATGGTGCCTGCTATAGGTACTGGTGGGAAGAGATCTAGTCGCCACAAATCATTTCGGAATCGATCGGCAGGTGAGTATATGGATTGGCTGGTGGATCCACCAAATATGTACATTGTAGTTCCCAACTAATAAGGAACAATCAGTACATATGGGTGTTTTTGCATGACTAGTGAACAAGTTCTTCACTCACCATGCAAGCACTATGACAAGCTCGAGCTTCAGGTTTCTTCAAGCTCAAACTTTGCTGTTTTAAGACCAGTTCCATTCGCTCAGAATCTGACGAGCAACAAAAAAAAAACACCAGATTTAAATGTTTTGAAACCACCTTCCTTCCTCTAACCCAATACATACCGAGATTGAATACATAAACTTCACTGCTGGGCTTTACAGAACGAAACTCTGGTGTTCCAGTTGCTTTGGCACCAGAAGGGGCTGGAGGAAGAGGATCTATCGGCGGAAACTCTCGACCACCAAATATAACCATCTTATTACCATAACTAACAGCAGTGTGCAGTCCTCGTGGCAATGGAGCCTCGAGTAAAGGTTTGACTTCCCGCCACTTCATAGAATCGAGCATGAGACAATGCATATCAGGTTCCCGACATAGTGGACGGCCACCTCTCCTACTAGTGCCTCCATAAATATATATACAGTTTTTGGGCGGATAGTATACGGCTGAGTGATCTGCTCGTGGGCTGGGAGGTGTGCCTTCTACTGCAGGTTTACTCCATTTACGATCTACGAGGTCGAATATATGGACATCGTTTGTAGGCAGCCCTGATTGTTCCAGACCGCCGAGTAGGTACAAGCATGGATTTGGTCGAGTTGGTGGATGTGGTGGTATGTAAGTAAGGGTAGCTTGAGCTCTATAGCTGGGATTTTGGTTGTCGTCGTTTTCGAGTATATTGCTGATAATCGTACTAGTCAATGCGGTCATATCGAACTTGACTAGGTAGGGCGACAAGGCACGTTGCGCCTGATCACCTTTATGGTCTTCATCTTCGGCTGGATAGATGCCTCCGTATATATACACGTTATTGTTTACAGCATCGATGCAGCTAGCACCCGCAGCAGTAGGTATTATCTCGTCCCAGTCGCCATTAGCATCGAGCAGAGTAGGTACAAATTCAAAGGAGAGTTCCTTCCAATGAGCGTCCCGTGGATGGATTGCCCAAATGTCTGAGCGAATACGATGACCACCACCCCAAAAGATAACAAGATGAGGGTCAATCTTCTTGTCCGGATGATCAGATCTAGGTAGATTGCATATGTGACTGGCATGGTATTCTCTTGCGAATGGCTTTTTGGATTTTACGTGAAGCTCCTTCCATTTAACTGTTGCTGGCATCGTTGAAATTAGGCTTCTATACGATAGATCACCCTATATAAGGTCCATATACAATATTGTAGGCTTGAGATATCAAAGTGGTCGGTTTGGACGAATCAATTCTGTTGTTTGGAATGTTGCAAAGGTTGGAATCAAGCTTTAAGGTGCTTGAGCTGCAGTTACAGATATCTATGAATGTGAATGTTGTTTTAAGCGTTATAACGTGTATAAATCAACCGGCCTGGCGCAGACTTACCTGACTTTTTCTACGTCGAGGTTCGAAATCAAGATGTTTGGATTCACATGTGGACGTGTCAAAGGAGCTCAATCTCCTTCGCAATTCAATTTCACCAAGAAATTTACATTTCGTAATACGGAATACTTGTTTCTGTCGCGTCCGATAAAAGTTACTTCCTCATCGGTAATGCTCACTTTTCTCAACTCAACACAAAACGTGTGTCTAGTCGCCAGACTCCATTCTGGGCGGTGGGAGAACCGATATTCAATCAATTTCAATTTGCAGTGAGTTTAGAATCGAGTTCATGGACTTCATTATCGTTTTTCTAATCATCTGACCTTGAATTCTAGATTGTCAACAACAATGAGAGCCACCAGACCAACTTCTGGAGGTTCCAAGAAGGGGAAAGGTCCACTCGTAGATATGGCTTCCCCTTTCTTGACTTTTCCTGCTTCTGCCTCAGACAAGTCCATCTTTTCACTTCCTGATGGTGAATTGCTCTTTAAAAGTTACTCCAAATGCTGTGAATTTAACAACTTTAATCTCTAAATTTATGTATTTAGAACTGCTAATTCATTGCTTGGCAAATCTGGAGCCGCATGATCTCGAAAAGGCCTCACTGGCGTGCAAGAAATGGAATCAAATCATTGCCGATGAATCGTGCTGGAGGTGTGCTTTGGAGACCTACTTTGGGTCGTTGCCCATACGGTGGGTGAAATTGATGTGGCAATGTTTGGACTCTTGGCCATGTTGGGATCCTCGCTAAACAATCACGACTCATAACTTAGACGCGTTTCTCAGTCAAGTTGGAAAAAGGAATATTTGAAACGGTCAAGATTTCTGCGATGCCTCTCATGGTAAGTTGAAGGTAGTTTAGATCTGTTGGAAGCACCAGTTCTCAAGGTTCCTCTTGTGATTCTTCCCAGGGATTGGCGAGGGCGTCATGTCGTCCAGTTTGAACCTCGCGTGGGTGTTATAGATGCCATTCATGTCGACTTTGAAGAGGGTAGAATGTTGGCTGCATCACTTGACAAAGGTATATATTGCCTATCAACAAATGCCCTCTGTTTCGCGTACGATCACATGTGACATGTGAGCTATGCAGCTAGAACGCTTTTCAATATCAGCACTTTCTTTATTCAGGAATGATTTCATCATGCAATCCAAGTACAGGAAAAGTGGAACGGTCCATAACCTGCTCTGGAGACCCTCTTACACCAGTACCTGTCTCATGCATCAAACTTGACAAGTAATGTAGCATTCATGTCCCCTTTTGCGGCGTTCGCTGAACTGACCCAGCTTGTCGGCAGGTTTCGTATTGCTGTGGGCTACACAACGGGCCATGTTGGAATCGTTACCAACTTTCGCGATCGAAGTGAAGCCACGATAAGAATATTTAGAGACAATCACAATGGCCCTGCGACGGAATTAGCTTGGGTACCGACTCTTGTTACTGGAATAGTTTCCGGTGGTGTTGATGGGAATGTCAGAGTGTGGGATGTTCCAACCAACAAGTGTATTCGTCTCCTCAACGGTGAGCAAGTGGAAAGCTTTACACGCACGGAATAGGTCATTCTTGTTTGCTCACGTCTTTAGATTATAGGTAACACATCAAAAATCACAGCGTTGGCTTGTGATGCCCGAAATTATGTGATTGCTGGCACCGAATCTGGCTCCATTATCGTCTGGGATCTCGAAATATCCTCATTCATCAGCAAATCCTTGTCTTCTGCTGGTATATTGAATGGTCTGGATTCCGAAAGCGCTCCGGTCGAGTCGCTGGCGCCAGCACGAATAATCACAATGCCACAATCAGACTCGACCCTTCCTATACCACAGGCACCGATAGTTTCAATGGTGTATGATCCACCAACTAGTACAGCTATAATAGGATGTAAATTGTCACAGTCTGAATGGGCCATCAGACGTATCCATGTTGGGACTGGAGCTATCACAGGTGTGTTTGTACAGGGACACGTTGTTGAGCCGACGTGTCTTGTTTGGGATCGCCCGGAATTGGGTGTTGGTGATAGAAAGACTAGTATTATGGTGTCCGGTGACATTGGTGGTACGATCTGCATCTGGGCTGTAACGGATGCTATAGAATCCAAATCTTCTGCCACACCATCATCAAACCCGTACTCAGAAATGACGAGATTTAAGCCAACCCATGTAATATCAAATGTCCATCAATTGGGTGTTTTATCACTGCATTTGGATCCATTTAAGATTATATCTGGAGGTGCCGATGGTGGAGCTAAAGTTTGGGATGTTTTGACTGGTAGATGTATTCGAACGTGTACAGGACGAGAAGGGGGTCGTGGTGCTGTTGTAGTAGCAGCAGGTCCAGCAAATGCTGGAAAAGGTGTCAGGGCAGTCTACGGAGGACCATTTCAAATAATAACAGCCTTCGGACCTCATATTCGAACATGGGACTTTGCGCCAGTAGATCAAGCCATGCATGCCATGAAATCCAAACCCAAACAAAAGAGTCGTCGCTATGCACCTGCTCGTAGTAACAATAATTCCAATAGCAACACAACACCGTCAAAACGAGTCATGTCGCCACGAGCACTACAACTAGACTGGGAAGACATTAAAGATATAGAAAGAGAACGAGAATATGCTCGTAGTGTATCTGAACGACGAGAACGTAATCTTCATCGTGTAAATGGAGGAGGAACTGATATGACTGAAGATGAACTCGTTTCGTACGCCATGTTATTATCAGTCGAAGAAGCTGAACGCGATGCACTTAGGAGATCAGCACAGCAAACGCCCTTGATTGGTCCTGAAATACTAGGTCCAGAAAGGACAAGAACTCCAGCCTCACCACCAATGCCATTTATAATGTCTCCTGATTTGACACCGTCTCAAGAATTAGGAGGAACGCCTACTCCTTCTGGTGGTGGTGGAGTTAGTATACCTGATTTAGGATTACCACCTCCATTTCCTCCACGAGACAACACATCAATGTCTAGGAGTGTCTCGTCAAGAGGATCTTCATTCAATCATCTATCATCTTCTTATGGCGGTCGCCACAACAATAATAATAACGAGTGGGATGAAGATGATGAAGCAGTAGAAGAAGACGAAGAGGACGACGACTATCCAACATCCCAACATGGCTCATACGGCTCTTTAACAAACCGCCAACATATGATTCCATCCTCTGTAAGATCCAACGAGAGAACATTTGACGATTGGCCTGAATTGGAAGCGTCGCCGGGCAAAAAGATTGTATTTGGTAGTGGTGGAGGTGGTATTGGAACCGCAGGGAGTAATAGTCGAATGTCATTCACACCGGCTTCTCCTGCTAACATGTCGAGGAGTACCAGCTACGGCAATGAAAGGGAGACCGCTTGGTTGCAAAGATCACCACATTTGACTCCTAGTGGTGGTAGTAGACAGCAACATAGCAGTGTGAATGTGAAGAAGAGGTCTGAGGAGGAGGAGTTGCAGCATGCATTGGAGTTGAGTTTACTAGACTCTTAAATCGATTTCCTAAAGGAAGTTGACCTTGGTATTTATTGAAGGTTACTCATTATTATCTATTAACCACGCAACATCGCGTATCTTGTATGTTACATAGCAATAGTCAATAGTGGTAGTGACAATGTTTTATAGCCATAATTAAATAAATATCTGACATCATCTTGAACCACTCTTTTGGTTGTTGGTCGCGTGGGAGCCGAGAACAAGAAGGACGGACGATCCACTGTGCGTGCTGGAGTACCAGCAGTAGCAGGACTGCTTTTCACAGGTGTTCTTGCCATCTAGGTAATTGATGTGTTGCAACGAGTTGTTAGTCCTTTTGAACTGCAGCAGTCGTTCGTATGTTTGAAGGGAGATGAATCCAACTAGAATACCACGTATCGTTTCGTAGATATACTTTAAATCCTGGATCAAGGTATATCAGCCACTGTGTCTCGTCAACCTAGCAGCAACATTTCAAGCTCAACATTTGACTCAACAACATCACACATTTACATGCAGGCTCAACGCACCTGCTATTTAAGTAGTCATGTCGGGATCTGGCATGGGAATACGTGAATTCATCGAAGCTCGTAAGAAATCGGCATACTCGCTGTAAGTCTACATGGTGCATTTGAAGGCTTGGAGGCTCGCTTGAATGTTTTGGTTTGAGGTCAAAGCAATGGATGGGGAGAATCTGATTAACAATATGGCGCCAAGTCATCAAAGATTTTAAAGAAGACGCAGCATGGAGCCAGAAATCATTGGCGTGCCTCCGTTTACCAATGTGATCTCACAGCACAATCCGCTTTGTTTGTTATTAGAGATGAATTCAAAGAGCTTAAAGCAAAGAAGGATGGTGGTGGTAATTCAGAAGCTGAAATGATCAAGGTGCACCCCAGCATACGTTGCAATCTGTCTTTTTGCTACACAGCCCAAACCTCTTTAAATGTCAGTACCTTACACATTACACAATTTCAACAGTATCGTGCTCAGCTAGACGCAGAACGCGAGTCAAAACTGAAAAAGCACAAGAGCAAGGACTCCAAGAAGAAGAAAAAGAAGAAAAAGGCATCTTCTAGTAAAGGCAAATCCTCATCATCAAGCAAACATAAACGAAAGCATGATTCGTCTGACTCGGACGACTCATCAGATACGGAGTCTAACTTTGATGATGAACATCGTAAAAAGTCTCCTAGACGAGAGGATGGTGAGGTTAGCGATCAAACGACATCATCGTCGTCTACTAAACAGAAGAAGAAGACAAAGAAGAGGAGGAAGACGTCTGATGATGATAATAGTAATGGTAGCGATGATGAAAAGCATAAAAGGATTAAAAAGTCAAAGGATGAGGTGCTAGTGGACAAGACGACGAGGAAAAGGGATTATTCGTCTAAGTCTCCTTAGTCAAGGATTGGCACAGGGAGCTGTGCAATTGCATTTCACATTTTGTAAATACTCGACAAAACACTCAAATAGCAATACGTGTAAGATTTGACGGAAACGTGTATGCGCGTACAGTGGGCATGTTTGAACACGTTTTTTGTGCTCTTTGCGAGGAGAAGCTAGCGTGATATTTTCGCGAAACCAATGGTAATTGTTTTGGGGAGTAAAATGGTAGTTTCTCATACCACCTGGAAGTTTAAACAAAACCTGCGTCCAAATAAAGGGTCAACAAATCAAGTCACCCTCCAAGAACAGAAAAGGAAGTCTTTATAACAAGAGAAGTTATCTTATTGGATTTATACCATTTTCAATGTCATCTCATATGTTTAATACCTACTAATCCTTCTTCTTCCCTACTCTTTGACAGGGCTTCCAAACATCAACGACATTTAAAATCCAAATCCAGCAAAACAAGGATGTCATCGTGTACAGTAGCCAAGACCATAATCAGCACTCTCTTCGAAAATCAATTCGCTCCTGTCTGTCGTCCTGATGAAGAATCTGGAGGCATCAATATCTTCACAGTCACGACATCTCAAGCTGCCGATTCAATCATATCAATCATCAACTCTGTCAATGATGCATCCAAGGAACGTATCCGAGTCGTTGGATTTGATATGCAAACTCGAAAATATCGTCCTACTGATCTTGAATATGATGGTAAGCTGTGATTATCGGATTATCGCGTGATTGTGAGTGATTGTGACGTGTTGCTCAAATTTGATCAGGGATGCCTATTCATCTCATTCTAATCCTGGAATTGTTTTAGATACTCCATCAATCTTGACTTTGGCACTCTCTCCGGAATTGGTCATTGTGTTTGCCGTATGCAACATGAAAGAGAGGTAGACAGCTTGATTACAAAGGGCTCTAATGCTTTGCTATCTAATCCTTAGATTCGCCGCATGTGCCTTCGATGGACCACTACAGAAACACTCTTCCAACCATTCCGATTGTCTCGAGAATTGAAACACTTGCTTCGAGACAAGAGGATTGTCAAGGCTGGTGTCAATGCTCAACGATACGCAGACAAGATGTTTGAACATTATGGATTCGATGTGAGTTGTGTAGGAATTCGGTGGAAATGTTATAAGATGTTGGGGGTATTGTTGTAATATGACGGGCATGCTTGGTAGTGACTTCTTTGTCGTCACACCTTTTATACTTAGATTACCTCAGTCGTTGACTACGAAGTTGTCACTCGTGGATTGGGTATACCAAACCGTTCCCTTTCTGCTCTCTCCTGGATGGTGAGCTTGCTTGATGTTTCTCCTTGAAACCCCACATCTACAGACGCACTTGCAAGCACCCATATACTTTTATGCTAGTACAACAATGCAACTACTCAATCTGGAAGGCTATTCAGGAAGATCAATTGGGACATGAATCCCAAAACACTCAGTGTGTCTGCACTCATGTTTACAGCCAACAATGCAGCAAAGAACTTGCTTCTATTTGACAAGATTATTCACAAGCCTTCTACTACTGCTGCTACAGCAAATGGTCCCAGTGAGAAGCATATGGCCAATGGTGTTGGATCAAAGGGTTGAATTCGGCTAATCGCAAAAGGAGCTAGTGTATATATGGAGATGAAAGAGGTTGCAAGAAATTGGAAATAGTTGCTTTTATTATTATTTGCGTAAGCTTTGTAAGTAGCGATTGTATCTAGCAAAAAAGTTTGCACTTGCCATGAAGGAAATGGTTCGAGTGCTTGAAGTGAATTAAAGCGAATCAAAGCAGAAAGTCACGCGTCATCCAATACTCTTCCCGTATTACCCATTCCTCCTTCATCGTGATATATAAAACACCAACAAAATGTCCAAGCCACACTCACACGATTTTCTTGAACGCCTCCCTTTTTTTCTATCATTCTTTGTTTCATCAACGAGGACGCTTAACCTGCCCAGACTCTTCTACGAAGACGACGAGGCAGCCATTAAGCTAGTTGGACAGTCACAGAAGAGTACACCAACCCTTTTATTACACTTTTCGCATTCTTGATTTGCCCAAGATGCAGATTTTTGTAAAGGTATGCAATGCTGAACAGAGTTGGTGTAGTAGATTCAATTATATAAATATACTAATTACATATTTTAATGATCTAGACTCTCACTGGCAAGGTACATACTCGAACGGATGGATAAGCTTTCATTTGATGAAAAAAGCAACCAGATTTTGTGCTCAACAACCAACTTGTATACTTAGACCATTACTTTGGAAGTCGAGTCATCCGACACCATTGACAATGTCAAGGCCAAAATTCAAGACAAGGAAGTGAGTATTATTGAAGTAGTGGTTGATGCCATGGTTAAGCTCGACATGTGCTAAACGTTATTTTATTTCAAATAGGGTATTCCCCCAGACCAGCAACGATTGATTTTTGCTGGAAAGCAACTTGAGGACGGTCGTACCCTGTCAGGTTAGTTGTCGGCGCAACTCTGGGCTCCGTGCATATGTCGCTTTTTTTGCTCATTCTCATCCAACGACCATATTCACACTAGACTACAACATCCAAAAGGAATCAACCCTCCATCTAGTCCTCCGCTTACGTGGTGGTGGTAAAAAGCGAAAGAAAAAGACCTACACCACTCCCAAAAAGATCAAACACAAGCGCAAAAAGACTAAATTGGCAATCTTGAAATACTACAAGGTTGAAGATGGAAGCTTGAAGGTTACCCGCCTTCGTCGTGAATGTCCTCAAGACACTTGTGGTGCCGGTGTCTTTATGGCGTTCCACAAGAACCGTCAATACTGTGGTCGTTGTGGTTTGACTTATACTTTCACCAAAGATCAAGTTGCAAAGTAAACATGGTTTGAGAGGGATATGAAGGAGGGAAGAGGATTATAAGGAGTTTGGTCGTCATGAATTGAAGATGGATTGATGGATGCAAAAATTTATAAACCCAGCTTTTTTTGTAATAAGCTTCCCTTTTTCGCCTGCTTGGAAGCATAAAAGTCAGTCTACAGATATTCAAGTAGTGCTTTGACGTTGGTTGTGTGGGGAATGGAGCTCGCGTGGTTGCTATTTGCAAGTGGTTTGTTCAAGCGAACCCCTATCCAACTACTTGAAGCATGTTTCGACTTATGATTTTCATAGGACGCTCGTGATCTCAATGATAACGTTGGTGAAGTGCATTACGCAGAGGATACGCTACGTTAGACCCACGATTACGTAGGTTACCGTAGATGCTCCTCAGTGGCTTAGGACCAATGCACCGCACCCCAGTGGATGTTTGTGGCTCGAAACCCAGCGACTTTTTTTGCAGATCTTTTTTTTTCTCATTCGAAAGGAACAACATCCAAACCTCGAAAAAGCAAGAAAAATGCCATATTTTTACATGTGAAATAGCGCGTCCAAGGAACGTTTTCTGCCTTTTATGCCACATACATGTTTTCCCACATCTTGCTTGCTCAGTTGCGAGAGCCACCAATGGGTAGTTGGCCTAGCGATTGAACCATCTAGTGAGCTTCATTGCTCATCCGCGAGCAATGCTTCGAAATGATCTAAAAACGGGTGGTCAAAAGAATCGAACAGGCTTTGTAGTCCTCGACCTTTGTATTGATCAATAATAAGTAACTGATAAAAGAAACAGCCATTATGTCCAGCATTTAAAACAACTGTTTTTTCGCAACAACTGCAGTTATGCTGTTTCGCTCCCCCTACTACTTCTACTTCTTTGACTTGAATTCTAACCCATTCGGAGACCCAGGCGACGTATAACTGGCTATTGGGTCAAGGCAAGAGGAGGGTTAGTTTCTTGTTGATGATATACCAAAACCATTCAAATCCTTCACGCTTGCCTTTTCTGGAGTACCAGGTTGTTTTCCACCTTCCAACTGTTTCTTTCTGTTTTCCAATTCTAATCGTTGCTTTTCTAAGTTCTCCTTCATCTCCTTATGCCGCGCGTACAACTAGATTGTGATTTACAGTGTGTTTTGGTTAGAAGGTTCTCAAGAAGAATTCAAGGAGTCACATCATCGCAATGCAAAACAACAAAATAACCAACATCATATCCACATACCTCTTCTTCAGATTGCTTGAGCTTGGATTCTTTCTCGGCAACCTTTTGTTGGAAGACTGCCTTCATTTCGGCTTCCATCTTTGACATCTTTTGCTCGTGAGCAGCTTTTTCTTCATCAAATTTGCCCGTAGCTCCACTACATAGGCAGAAGAAGAGTTATTATGGTAGTGAAGCACCATGTTGAGTTTGAGTAAATGGTGAACCTCGAAGCCTCAAAAAACTTCCCAGTGCCCGTATATATGCGGCAAAGGCTACACGCCCTCGATAATCGAGCTTCCACATCAACGCATTCGAAAAACACTATACACTTACGCAGGTCCCTTCTTGGAGGCTAGCAGAGCCAACTTTTCAGATCTGTAATTCTCATACAACATTTCATCCGTGAATTCCCTCAATTCTTCCATATGTGTTCGAACAAGCATTTGACGGAGTTTGACGAAATCACAGTGATCTTCATTATCCACTTCAATGATTCCCCAAGGATATTTGCGACCTCTGACTTTTCGACCTGCCACATCATATTCCTTCTCGCTACCGACTACTGCGAACGGAATACGTGACTAGAGTAAAAGAGCTTGGAGTTATAATGGGAAGTGATTGGTTGTCGAAACGTAAGGTGTCCTGTTCAAGTGACGCGAGCAAAAAAAGTAACATTTTCATACTATGAATGCCATTTTACCTTGATTTCCTTGTTTTCTTGAACCGTGTCATTATCATCGTTATCATACATTGGAGGAGTCCATGTTTCAATCTTGTGGAAGGCCAGGTCCTCCAAAATCTAACCGGTAACATGTTTGTCAATCAGCATTGTCACGACGCAAAAAGAAACAACGTCTATATATTATAATCCTTACTCTTGCTTTGAAGGCCTTGACTTCCTCTTCTGTCAGAGTATCTGATTTGGCAATCACTGGAATGAGATTGACACGAGTACACAATCGTTTCATGAATTCGATGTCCAGTGGTCTCAATCTAAAATTCAATAGTTATCATGAGTTAGCGATATGAAAAATTAACGTCTATTGCAGGTGTGGATTTGTACTCACGAGTGACCTGTGGGTGCAACAAAGTATACCAAAGCATGAACTCTAGTATCTGCCATCTTTTTTCGATTGACTCTGTTTTCTTGTTCCATGTATGCATCATATCTTGCAGTGATATTCTCTAGTACGGGTTTCCAGCATTCATCATTGTTCATGGCGTCTCCAAATCCAGGTGTAGCAATCACAGTCAGTTTTAATTTGACGCCGTTCTCGTCCAAATCTACGAGTAGTGGAGATGATGTATGTGTGAGTTTCTTAATGGAGAAAAAAATAGTTACGATAGAAGAATGTAAACCTGTAGTGACTGTTTGCATATCGACGGTTTTGGGTTGTTCTACACTTGGTTCTTTAAGTTCTTTAGGGGCGTAAAGAGGAGTGTTGAAGAGAGTGTTGACGAGCGTGGATTTGCCCAGACCAGATTCACCTATTTGCATATTATATGCCTGTGAGCATTTCTGCACAGAAATACACTCATGAGGTATAGGAGAGCAAATATGGAAGACGGGCAGCAGCTGATGATCATACCAACGACCATCATGGTAAATTGGAAGCCCTTCTTGATGGATTTTCGATGAACCTGATTCGGCAAGTTGGCGAAACCAACATAGCCCATCAGTTTCTTCTTTGTGATTGGGATCTGCGAGAAGGAAACGATACGGATTAGAATTTCAAGTAGAACTGTAAACGTTGACCGAGCAGAAATGGAATTGATGTTCAAGACAAGGTTTAAAAATCGGTCTGCGAACTACATACCTGTGCCACGGCTGTTTAAAGCGTTCGCGTTAAAAGAGTAGCGAAGAATATTAGTACATTGACAATTAGAGATGCGATCGTTCGTTGCTAATACGACTGCTGTCTTCCCACGTCCTCGTTGTTCATCAATCAACCAAAGCGAAATTGCAGTAGACGATATTCAGTAACTGGGCGACTTTATTCCCAGTGGATTTCGTACCTGACATGACTGGCAAACTGGATTATGGCCTACGGAAGCGATACTGGGCTCTATTTTGCCCCTTGCCTAGCACTGGATGACCTGGCAGCGGAATTATCAGCATAGCGACAGAAACAGGTAAATTCAAACACTTAGACCTACAATATTAAAGCGATGAAGGCCTGCTATCAATCCGCTATAGTCAGCCTGAGTGCAGCTTGTTTCCTTCAGCCCTTTTATTGCTTCCGACTGTTTGTTTGCGGTCTTTGGTAAAATGTGGTGGGCGCTGTTGAATAATAATAAGCAACTGTAGGAAGAACCAACCTTTCGCACTATAAACTACTCGGTTGAATCGGTAATTTCGTCAATCAAATTACACTTCTAATCGAATCATCCGCGAATGACGCGTTAAAATCGCATGGAAATGCTTCAACGTCAGCCGATGACCATCCAAAGCACTTCAAAGAGAACATGTGAAGAGGCAGACGCCTTTTAAAAACGCGGCCATTCACCATCCACAAGCACATATCACCTTCCAAAACCCAGATACACCCGCAGAGCTCGTAAGAGAGACGATGAGGGACAAACTTTTCTTACTCGACAATGGATTAGAGTTTTGCAAACTATTTTATCATAACGATCTGTTAGGCATCATCATATCCCGTGATCCTTCACCTCCGAGCTGAATTTGTGATGTTGGTGATGGTGCTTCTGGTATTGTTCCTGCTGTATCTGTTATATTTGAAGCTGAAGCTGCCTCTTGTTGTTGTTGTTGTGTGTATGCTCTGGACGCCGTGCTCGCACGTGGGGTTGGACCTTCCGGTGTTGAAACTCCATTAAGCACATTAACAATCGACAAGTGCACGCTCTGGCTAGTGGCGGACCCAAGCCTCGTTCCTGGATCCATTCGTCTTCGTAGAGTCTTTCGCATGGCGGCGTCGACTTCTTCGGGAGACTTGAAGCTAGGTGAGATTTGTGTTGATGGTGATTTGGCTCGGTTGAGTGTATGATAGGATGGAGATGTTGGAGAATGACCAGTAATTCTTGGTGGTGATAAGGTGGCATACGATCCCGCTGCTGGGACACTTGCCTTTCGTGCAGGGCTTGTGGATATAGCCGGTGGAAGTGGTGGTCTTGTTGACACGACGGGTGATTCAGATACCAGGGTACTAGCTTTTGCATCCGATGGAACCATCGCAATAGTAGACTGTACCACTGATGTGTTGGGAGATTCGGCCTCTTCATCAGCGAATCGAGCCTCCAGATTATTTCCAGTCTTGGCCAGTTCTCTGACAATGTCAACGTCTGATGGATAAACTTGGGTATAGAGATACCGTATGATCATGCTCGGTAGTAGACAAGCGACCACTGCACATAGCAACGATATCCAGAATTGCACTTCATAGAAGAGCACCTTGTCAACCCGATATATCGATGCACTTATAAACTGGGAATAGATGGCCGTCCACAGGAAAAATGAAAGCATCGATAGAAACAATACAACGACAGTGATGAGCGTCCAGTGTTTAACATTCATAAGAATGTAGATGTTGACCACCACAATAGCATACGAAGCTACTGCTGTTCCCAATATTGCCAGATCTTCGTCGTGTCCACGATGGTCAACAAATGCGGTCGAGAACAAGAGCTGGGCGGTAAAGAAGCACACTATCGAATGCCATATTCCTTCCACCGTAAACAATACGAATCTCCGTATCGTATACAGAGACATGAATAGGCCTTGGTAGTACAATTGTGGAGAAGTCATCAGATATTCCGGTGGACAGTCTTGGTCAAAAATACCTAAATGCAAAAAATCGTCAATACCCTTTTCGAACGTATGCGGTTCACATTTCAAGCTTTACATACCCATAACAAGTGGTGGCAATGAAGTGAAGACGAGATTGTACAGCATGATGAAGGTGAAGTCGTATAAAATCGTACTTGAGAAACCGCAATAAATCTGAAACCAGAATAAGGTGAACGTCCAAGTGAAGTTCTTGTAGAAGAAATTGAGGATGGTTTCCTATAGGAAAGCATTTTCATTGACCTGCGCTCTTTTTTTTGCTGGCACCCAACCACAGACTTACCGAAGTTCTATAATAACTCCAATGTCCATGAACAAGAAGTAACTTGGTCAAGAATCGAAACTGACCGATGACATAATCAGACGACATGGCAGCTTGTAGACCTTCTTGACCAGCGATACCAACGCCCACATCTGCTTCTTGAATCATAGACACGTCATTAGCACCATCACCAACAGCTAAACAAATAGCAGCCAATCCCAATTTGACAAGTCTAACAACTTGAGCCTTTTGCTTCGGAGATGCACGACAGCATACTACAGAAGTGCATCGTACTCCCAATTCCAAAAATTGAGCTCGGAACTCTTTCACAGCCAATACGTCCCGTAATGCGTCTCCTTCAACGACAAGCCCAATATTGTCCTTCTGTAGGGACAAATTCAAAGCTTCTGCGACTTGGATACCGGCATCGTTTGCATTCGCGGATGCTCTTATAACGGCTAAAGTTTGGTCTCGAGTGAAGAGATTTGACGCAAAGGCAATGTTTATAGCAGTTTCCATCTTGTCACCAGTCAAGACCCATACTTTGATACCGGCTCCACGGAGTAATTCAATAGCCTCGGGTACACCGTCTTGTAATCGATCTTCAATCGCGGTGGCACCAAGTAGATGGAAATCTCGTTCAGCTATATCGGCGACCTGCTCTAATGCTTCAGCTCGATTCACGAGAGCTGATGAAGCTTCGGCATATGATTTGGACCAAGCTTCGTATTCCGAAAGTGGCATTTCTCGGTGAGCAATCACCAGTGTTCGTAAACCTTCGTTTGCAAATTCACTTAGATGCACAAAGGTGTCTCTCTGCTGGTCATGCTGGCTTTCATGGAGTCGAGCCAAAAGAATATTATCGGCTCCTTTACAAAATATCATGATTTTGCCTTCTGGCGTCCTGACTATTACCGACATTCGTTTACGAGCACTTGTGAATTCCATGACGTGTAATACCTTGAATCTCATCATCTGTCCTAAAACTTGAATAGTCACATCGTCCAAGGCTTTGCTCTTGTATATAAATCCCAACTCGCAAGCTGCTTTGACGAGTGCTAGCTCATCGGGCGACTGAGCTTGGTATTTTGGCGGATTTCCGCCAGTTGGAGTTGGCACGGTATGGCATATTGCCAGCACGGTGAAAAATTGTTTTATCAATGACGATTGGGAATTGTCAACCATTAGGTCGGGATATAATTTGTCATCGATAAAGGCGGGAATGGGTGGCGCATATTCTGGAATGTATCGAGCACCTTGCGTTCTCATCGTGTTTGCTAATGCTTGTATCTCTGGCGATGAAACTGCAGTGCCGTCAGTTGATGATGTGTCTTTGGATAACTCTGCTCTAGGTATTCCGTATATGACACCACCAATGCTGCAACGGCGAAACTCCATCTTGTTCTGCGTCAATGTTCCAGTCTGTTTATCAGACAATGTTAGAAGGAGGCCCAAAAAAAACAAGAACATCCAGCCTCGTTTACCTTGTCTGAAAACAAGAACTCTATCTGTCCGGCATCATCTGATATCGTCCAATTCTTTGGTATACATGGCTGGTCGATTTCCGGATCATACATGTCTACATCTTGATAGATGAAATAGGCCTGAATCGTTTTGACAATCTAATTGGTGTTTGGAAATGGTCAAGTCCTAATACCATTGTTGAATGTCTGATAGCGTTCACTCACTTCCATCGTGATGTATAGTGAAATCGGCACAATGTTTTGAAACATGATCATGGAGGCCCAAAACGTGAAAAGTGTCATACCGGAAACTGTTATATCGAGAGAAATCCATGGCACTGACTGAGATATCCAAGCCTCAACGTTTCTCGAGTTCAAAGCAGCAACAATGGCACAGATGGCAATCAAAATCGCGAAGTTGAGTAAAATTTGGACATTCATTAGCCTATCAATGCGACTGCGTTTGCTAGGTGTCTTGCCACCATTCAACATGACTTTGGTCTCATATCCAGTAAACAAGACGAGTCCAATCACCCATTCCGTGTTTCTCAAAGTTGATCCTCTCAACAGGATGTTATCTATGTTTATGGGTTCTGTTGTGGAATCTGCTGGTATATCGGTCAGTTGAGGTTGAGTGGATAATTGAGCGTCCAGACTCATTCTGCGTGGTTGCCATTTCGAGTTCTTAGGTGGTACAACCATGAGTCCAGTATAAGAATATAGGTTCAATGTCGGTGGTTCAGAATCACAGTAAAAATTCAGGGTCGTGCATTCTTGAGCTGTCGTCACGTTCATGGTAGGTCTCAACGCCCGGCGAAGCTTGAGATTAGATTCACCGTCCAGATTCTTGGTTTCGATGTAACAAGCTCCTTCTGAATCTGAGGACGATAGTACTACCACATCGGCAGGTATAGGCTCGTCTGATTTTAAATAAACAATGTCTCCGACGAAGATATCCTTCCATAACGTGGTCCTCCATCCTTGAGGAGCTGGATTTTGGTCTGAAGCTGATTTTGACGGCCGCCTCTTGTCACCAGCATGTTTCTGAGCTGCAGCCAGCGTCGCTTTTGCACTAGTTCGAGCACCATAATCCCCGGGAGAAATCCAATACTGAACATGGTCATAAACGGTACCGGGTGCTTGCGGCAAGTTCACGTTATTCCAAGGAGATTCCAACGTTAACGCTATCGAGTTATTGACGAATTTGTCCGCGTTTTGTCGTCTTACATCCTCTATAGCGTCTTTCAACGCCGTAGCAGCTATAATCACCATAAGCGGGAGTGCTGCGAGCACTGGGTTGAAGACCTGGAAGACAGCTTGTCCTTGCAAAACGACCAGCAACAAAAAGTACCTACAGCGTTATGTGTGAGCCATTGGTAGCTTGGTGACGAGAAACGAGGGACGGACTCACAGATTTGCAATCTATCAAAAACAAATTCAAGAATTAGCCAACAGAAGTGGATGATAAAAAACTGATCAGCAACAAATACCTTTCTAAACTGCTCAGCCAAGTTCTTTGGCACGAACGTCAGGACGGTGTATTTGGACGTCCTGACTGCATTAACAGGAAATATGGGTTGAGAGTGTAATGGCTGGTTGGGAATTTGTGAAGCAACACAAACTCTTCGTCTTCTTCCAATCTTTGTGACAACCTTTTCCACGGTGTCCATATCTAGATCTCCAGGCACTGGAGCCCCGATTCCAATTCGACCAAAGAATCTGCGACATTTCCAAAACAAGCTCTCCTCGTCGCCGTCATCAGACTAGATAGATACGAGTATCAGGAATAAATGTTGTAAAAACTGTGCCGCAAAGCAAATACCGTAGGCATAGTTGGTGAGTTGTTGCGACTATGCTATATTTCTGGCTCCATATGATTCCCAAATTGCGAAAGACTCTGACCAGAAAACCCCAGAATGTATTTAGCTTTGGTTGAGAACCGGAAGATTGATTCGTCACGGATTGTGGATAGAGTTCGAACAATAAAGTGCTAGAGAATCGAATAGGCTGGTGCTGCATAAGAGCGTCTGAATACCATTACTGGTTCATTGGTTGTTCAACAATTGTGACTGCCTGTCGCACTCGGTTTAGATGAATGAGTATCTGCTTACATGACAAAAGAGCAGATCTTCACAGTTCGTTGCCATGATTTGATTATCTCTCTCTGTGATATTGTAGCGAGACGATCAAAACTGCTGTTCCTTGCCGTTATTGCGTCCAAAAGTCCTACGAACACAACTTGAAAAGTTGCGACACAACACCACCCTGACACGTTTCTAAGTTTGATGGCGCCAACCTTATTGAATTCGTAGATAGATAAATGTGGAGATGGACCTCGTGGCTCCCTCCTCACTCTTGGTGCCAGCTCCCATCAACGACATAGGACTGAGATCTTCAAAAGACAATGCCTCATTCAACACAACCAGCACCAAAGAAGCCAAACCAGCTGCTGTTGGTGCTAGTGGATTGTCACGTCATGGAGTTGCAAGGCACAGCACGATGCGAAAGGTTTGTGCAAATTGTCTGACATCAACATTTTGTATGCAGTGAGCTTTTGCTCAAATTTGACCCAGAGAGAGTATGGAGAGTCTTGATCCTGTAGCTCACTTTGAAAATTTTCGTAGCTGCTCAAGCACAAGACTGTTGGCGTTCTTGGTGGTATAGCGCTGCTTGTGAACTCAATGGCTGGACCAGGACTACCTCAAGTAAATCTATAGTTGCGTTCACAGATCTCATCTTTTCAGGATTTCTTATCTGAACCCATTTCGTAGGCTGCCGGCATGTATCAACAGAACGGATGGTTGTATCCAACGGTCGCTTTTTTGCTCTACGCAATCTTGACAGCATTGTGCTCCATGTTCGTCATAGAAGCAATGCAATCAATACCAGGGAATGTGAGTCTGAACTTTCTGGCGCATTGCTGAACGGATTGCGGAAGGGTTCTCACCATATTGCAACCTCTCTCAACCCACAGAAACACTTTCAAGGAACGGTTGAATATGGAACATTGATCAATTTCTATTTCTCAGACAACTTTTCTCACATTCTGGGACAGTTGTTTCTGTATTGCTCGTTACAGTCGACTTCCATTGCTTCAATCGTCACTGCATCGCAAACGTTTGATTCGATACTGATTGATATATTCCACAGAGTGAGTGTGGAGAGAGTCTAGTTGGGACGGCCAGAACACAGCAAACTAAATGATTTATTGACGTAGACCTGTGGACTTTCGTTCAGAAGTGGTTGGGTCTGCGTGTCTCAAACCACGTCAGCAAACTCTCCGTTTGGCGATGAGCTAATGGTATTCACTGGGGGGTTCTTGGTAGGCTGCTTCTGACCTGCATCGCTTTGTCATTTTCACTTGTATCTCATCAGCATGTTTTGTTAAAGGTTGTTTTGCTATTGGTGATTCCATTATCGAGGATGAATCTTGACGACAATATCAATTTTCAAATATGTGAGAAACTATCATTTGTAATTTACCGTCCTTTTCATTAACCAGCTTCATCTTCAGGGGGCTTCATTGCAACGTTAGTCATATACGCCATATGGATTATCAACTCTATCGTGTTGGGAATGAGTAGCAGTAATGGACTTCCAGCAGCCGAAGCTTCGCCGTCACTCGGTGCAGTAACTGGAATTGTCATGTTGAATTACGCTGTCGCGGCAACGATCCCATCATGGGTGAATGTAAAGCGGCGACAAGTCAATGTTTCTGGATCTGTGTGGTCGAGTGTTCTAATTTCATTATTCTCATATATTGCTCTCGGAGTGCTTCGTAAGTGATACTAGCTTTTTTAAGACTTGATATGCACAAGCTTGCTTGTGTATCAATAGCTCATTTGGTGTTTTTTACCTAGCTGCCTTGGCGCTGGACTTGTCAAACGGAAACCTCCTTACGGCGATGGCATCCAAGGGCATGCTGGGACGAGTCACTGGTTACATGTTCTCCATTGTGGTCTTGGTGTTCTCAATCCCAGTCTTCTTCTTTGTGTCGAAAGCCAATCTGGTCCAAAACGATTTAGCTCGCCCATGTATGATATCAAAAGATCAGTCTTGTAATTATCGAATCTCTAATTTTCACTTTTTTGTCAGCCGTCGCGACAATTTTCTCTCATGTGCTGCCTTGGATTATATCAATCTTCTTCCAGACCGGAACAACAATCAATACCTTTATTGCTTTCACCTCTTTGATTTTCGTGTCGATTGGTAAGCCATTGTGACTCGTTTACAGCCAAAACAAGCAATGTCAAAATTTGTTCAAATTAGCCAACTTTGCAATACCATTGGCCATATACCTAAAATGTCTGAGATTCCGAGTGTCGTATAACACTGCTAGGCGTAAGTGTTATTTGTAATCCATTTGTAAACTTCTCTTTTTAACCTGTTCAACTAAACTATAGAGCTCACACCTCGTCAACGGAACCTTCTAAAAAAGATTCATATTGCCTCCAAAGCCATAAACCGATTCCTTGATATTGCCCAGCAAGAGATCGAAAACAAACAACGAGTCAACCCATCTCACCTAGCCCTCCCGCTGTCTGCTTCATCGGGAACCGCAACACCTGATCATGTAGACACGCCGATATTTACAATCAACAGCCCAGCTGAAAAGCCGATAAGCCTTCTTCGTGAAACTTTACCGCCTCCAGCGAAAGTGCTATCTCAAGAGTCAACACCCAGACTGGCAAGTTTTGAATTAGAACGAGGAGGCAGTTTCCATACTGGGTCGTTTCAGACAGGTACTTTGCAGAATACTGCCAACAGGAGAAAAGTTTTGATTCTTGATAATTCACCGGCTTCCGTAAGTTATCTTTATTATACTTTCTTGTTGCCTTGACATGGGATCAAGCAGCGACTGAAACTTATATTAACCAACTGTAGGGATCGCCAATGAAAGCATCTCCACTGCGTATTGAATCAAGATTATCCAACGATATTGTGCCAGACATTTCACCATCAACGCCATCCCAGGGTCGACTTCGTCCAGCTCTCATAGCTCCCACATCACCATCTCGGCCAGCATCGCTACTAGACGCCAGCGCCATGGTTACGGAACCACTCGACGAGAACGACGCTGATGACGTGAGACTAGCAGCAATTGATCTCCTCATCGACGAGGACGTCCCAGATCCAGAGAATGAAAGAAAAGCAATGACTATTGCAAGATCGTTACACCGCCCATCGCATGATATGACGTATAGCCCTGAATCGATGGACGAGATGCCACCACCACCAACACTAGCTAGAAGGCTCTCAAAACTGATACGACCGATATCACATCGTTTCTCATCGCATGATAGAGAGCAGTCGCTGCAGTCTCAGCCGTCTCACCAACGAGATACATCACAGCACCCACAATCAATAGCACAGCAATCATTTGATTTACCAACAATGTCACGATCAATAAAATCGCAGGACGGGCTTGGAATAACAACAGTGGAATCCAGAACAAGAGAGAATAGTAATAGCCCGACACGTCTGTACACATCCAAACAACTTGGAACAGTAGCCGAAACATCATCACTCAAAGAACGAGAAACAGCCACATCAGCGTCCATTGCATCAGCATCCCTCGGCTCCTCTTTTGACTTGCTACGAGATGGATCACGACAAAATAGTAACTGGGTGGACAGCAAAGCTACCAATAGCACGACAAATCTATTCGGCACACCAGCAACAAGCACGAATGCACCTCTGGGAATAATAGTACAGTCTCCTACTCCTGTACCGTCATACCCTACGAATGCCAATATCTATCTTAGTGTGACTCCTACACCTTCAGCTGGTAAGCCGTCAAGTGAATTCTCGATAGCGTCAAGGCCGTCGTCAAGTCATATGTCGAGGTCGAATTCTGGATTTCCTGGAGATCATTCGGTCCAACATCATACCCGGACTTTACCAATGTAAGGATAGGGGCATGCGGAGCCTGGGTTGGGTAAACATGTATTGCAAGCTCCTGCTTGGGGGTTTTTGGCAACGCTGATATGGGAAATTTTCGTTTAGGCACCCAGAGTTCGTAGGACCCAATTTTAGGACAGTTCCCATCTGGTAAGAGGGCGAAGATATGATGCTATGATGATAAACAGTCACTGAATTTTTCGTGTGAACTCCAATATACTCATAATTTTTTCTTTCAAGGCTACCACTGAGAGGCTTCACAGTCGCTATCGTCTGCTTGTTTATAGCCAGCGGAACCACCCTGATAAGTTTATGCTACACAATCGCAACAAGTATCATGTAAATGCGACCTTTATATAGTGGAGTAAATGAAACAAAGATATATATTGTCCATTCGGAAACCATAAAATACCACTACCTATTATGTGCAAACCATCTGGCCTCTTGTTCCAATAATAAAAAATCTTCATTATCAACCAACATATGCCTTCTTTAGAAGTCACGTCTTCCACGTTTCCCATATGAACTACGATCATCTTCATAATCTCCTGGCCGTTTCGTTGAATATCCTCGTCCATATGATGATGATGATCCACCGCCCTATGGTATAAAAGATGTTGGTACATCAGAGCTAGAAACAACAGTTTATAAGATAGCAAACGTGATTTTTCAGACGTACACGACGTGGTGCATAAGCAGGAGGTGAAGGTCTGGGCATAGCTGGTGGAAGAGATGCAGGTCGCTGCATAGGAATACCTGGACCTTGTCCCATAGCAGGAGGCAATGTAGATATAGAGATCTGTACCATGTTTGGTAGGATACTTGGAGGTGGTACGTTCATAATATGCAAGAATTCAATCATGGCTTCAACAGGTATGATTGGCCCTACAAGAATTTGTGTTATATCAGCTTTTGCACAACGACAAAATCATCAAGTCTAAACATAAAGAATATACCATTGTACGTAGCAGCTGATGGCAACTGATTATACAAAATCCCAATACTCTCAGGTACAGCAACAGTTGGTCCCAATGGCACTTTTCTAATATCCGGAGCTAAGGCTTGCATCGTTGCTTGTTGAGCGGCTGCGGCAGCTGCTATTGCTGCAGCACTACCAGGTATAGGTACTTCCTTATATGGAGTCCATTTCGTGAAATCAGGTCGTGCATATCGTTCAGGGTGTACGGATTGTAGAGTCTTTCGAGTTTGGGATGCAGCTGCTGGTGATGCAATCAAACTCGTTGGTACCACTACCGAACTCGAAGAGTTGGATGGTAGTGATATGGGAAGTTTTGATAAATTATTGTCGGGTTGTTGTAGTGATGGTTTTAAAGTGAAGCCCTTTTGAGCTATAGAGAAGAGGAAGTAATGTGTTGGATTTCAACAAACGTTTGCTGAGATCCTGGAATGATACGCTGTCATACCATCAAGTCCTAGTTCTGACTCTCCAACATGATTCAAATCCAAGTAAGACCATCTTTCTGCGACTTGATCCAAGGTATTTGACGGCGTTGCATCTAAAGCAAATCCAAAAACGAGTTTAAGGCAAAGCAAAAAAGCAATATAAGAAGTCCTTCATACCTGGGAAGGCTTCAGCTCGTCTCTTGGCGACTTTTTGCAAACTTGTCAAATCACCATATCGAATCTCATAATCAAGGAATTTTTGCCATATTTCTGTTGATTGTTCGGGCGGTATGACTGACAATGCACGTTCAAATAATGCACGTGTGTCTAAAATTGTCACAAGAAACAAAAAATTAGTCCAAGTTGACCAACCAACTTAGCACGATCTGTTACAAGTACTCACTGTTATCGTCATTCATTTGTATCAAGAAATCCAAGTAGTGGGAAATGAAGTGAGCCATATCTACATCATTCTTTTCTGTCAGGGTCTTGTAACCCAATTCAAAGATACGACCAGCTACACCAGCGTCCTTGGTATTATAGTATTCCATTAATGCTATTTCAGATTGGTTGTAATGATGAGCAAAAAAATAACGAAGAAATATCATAGTAGAACTCGAATATAAATGTGGTGTTTGGTACCGGATGAAACAAACAACTGATATGAGCTATACATAGTTTTACGACCACGAGCAAATATGGCACGAGCTCCACGAACACCCTAAGTGTTATGAGATTGATTTTAGATGAAAACACAATCATGACGAGGACAAAAGAAACCAGTCATACGGCTCGACAATGCTGTGCAAACGTCCTTCACTAACCTGCAACCTCCTCATAACCCTCATATACACAACCCACACAAGAGTCAAGCTCCTTCTCGTAGTCTCAAACTCTTTTTTACGTTGAGATTCAACTTGAGCTTGGACTTGTTTATCCACCTCTCGCTGTTTATCTCGAACGACTTCTCTCGCTTCACCGTCCCATTGGTCATCGGGTGTCGAGAATCTACCTTCACTTCCCAATTCGATCAACACGCCTCGTGATTCTTGGGCAGCTGATAACTTGTTTGTTAATGCTTCGACTAGTTTTCCTCGTTCGGTATCGTATTTCTTGGTGATTGCGTCAAAGTTGGATTCGAGAGTTGTTATGAGGGATTCAAAGAGAGGTGCTGGATCTCGTTTTTTGGATTCTTCTAGTTCGGCGAATGTAAAGTTGAGGAGTAAGCTAAAGGGAAATAGAAAGCTCTGTGAGTCAACCAAAAAGGGAGCAAGGCAAGCTGTACGTATACTGTCTTACGAAGTAGGTATAGCTTCAATCCCCGACTTGAGCATTTCTTCACTTTCACTTGACTTGTTACTGTCTATCAGATACATTGCTGCGTCATGCCTATACAACACAGACGAAAAGGAGAGAGAAAAAAGTGTCAACGAAGAAGTATCCAAGTAGATTTGGCATTTCAAAAGTTAATATCATTGCTCAATGCTCACCATATTTCAGGATAATGTCTTAATGGCAAGAGAGCACACTTGTAGCTGTACAATATGCGAGCATGTAAGATAGCCTTGTCTTCCAGTTTCAATGCGTTCGATTTTTCCCAAGCAATCACTCGTTTCCACGCTTGCAACTAGAGCATGAAATAACAACAGATTTTTATGTTAACGATTGCGAGAAATCAGGAATCGAGGTTGCATTTGGTCAAAAGTTTTCGTGAGAACGTACGAGAGTAATATCCTTGTCATTCCATTCAGGTGGTCTGGGCAAGTATGCTTTTTGCAGCTTTTCGATAGGATCAAACATGTTCTTCAAGTCACGTTGAGCAGTACGCGCCGTCATGTAACCAGCCGCCTTGTCACCCAACAGCTTTTTGGCCTAGAAACGTATGTTTTTTTTCAAACAACCGAATCGTTTTTTTTTGCTGGCACACGAGAGTCGATCGTTTGAGACGAAGTGATGGCTGGAGACAACAAAAGGATATTTCGTCGCTCCAAGGTGATAGATAACAACCAGCTTTTAAACACACAAACAACAAGACGTACAGTCAACTTGTTCAAGCCGTTTTCAAAGACATCGTAATCCTTCCATAGAGTTTCAATATTATTCAGAGGCACAATCAATGCACGATGATAAATCTTTCGTAAAGCATCCATTCGTTGTTGTTCCTCATACAATGTAGGTGCCTGTTGTGGTTATGACGAAGCCAAAGAGAGACAAAGAGAAAAGGAATAATTGGTCAGAACTTGTATTATCATTATGAATTCTTGACGGGGGCTGTAGTACACCATGACACTAAGGGCACGTTGGATGGCACACACACACGGGAACGACCTATTAATACATAAGCACACTTTTATCATATCTGCTTCTTGGATATGCAGTAGAGCGTGTGCGGATGATTGGGGGGCCGATGCAAAGATAGCAAACAACTCTCAAACACCACAAAAACCAACATGACTCATCAAACATATGTGTTGCAATATGATTTGTATCTTTCTCAATGCTCACCTCTCCAGATTTGACAAAGACTAGATAATCCATCCATACAGGACCTGAATCTTTATCATGACCAACAAGAGCAAGTACAAATTCAAAAGCATCCTTCACTTCGGATCTGGCCGATGCCAGTTTGTCGGGCTCCAAATGAGCGGGCATGTGTATTTTGCGGACATAGTTGATGTAGGTTTTGCATAGGTCAACGTTTGGGACTGCTCGTAGACATTGTCCAAAGAGCGATTGGAGCTTGTCGTGATCGTCTTGTCTTGTTTCGTATTCCACGTATTGAATCCAATGGCGAGCCTAGATTCGAGATTGGTTGGTTAGGATTCGATGATGGATTTTTTCAATAGATTGTCTTGTACATTTGGCCCTCCACCACGAAACGACACATTTTCTTCATTTTGCATCCATTCTCAATGTCGACCAAATAAAACACAATGCTCACTTACCGAGGTAGGAAAGACAGTCAGAAATTCATCAAATGTATCGCGGATGATGCCACTTTGATCCTTTGCTATGGCATCTTGAAGTAATAATTGCCAAGCTTCAGAGTCCCACTTATTAAATTCGATTCGTTGCCTCAACTTGGCTGTCTTGGAAGAGTTGCTACTACCGTTATTAGTGACTGGCAATACGATATCAGACATCGTCTCTCCTCTCCGTGTTTAGATATGGTAACTGAATCTGTCGTGTTTGAAAACACAAAGTCATGAACCATTGAACATCGCATGTTGAGGTCGGAGTATCGCGTATCGCGACATTAAACATTGAACCAGACGTGCAAGTTATGAATAATGTTCCTACATATTGCGTCTATCTTGTATTTACAACGAAATTACAGGATGCAGCTAGCAAATTACCCTTTCGTCTAGGTGAGTTTGAAAATTACGAGTTTTCCTTCAGAAACTGGTCAATCTGAGACATTTCTGCAGCCTAAAAGAAATTGTACAATACTCGTAAGTTCGTCAGCGAATAATCCGAAGCGAAAAAAATCGTTGTATTCATGATGCGGATTCTAACTCACCACTGAGGGAGACCTCAAATGTGCTGTAGAACTTTCTGAAAAGAACTCGGCATCACTAAATGTCTGTTCTAGAGCGACCTTCCCAATACCACTGTCGGAAGAATCACTTAATGCCTCTGAGATGACAGACGAAGCATCATCATCGTCCTCCGGTTGCTGTTGTTCTGATTGTTCTGAAGGTTCGGCAGTACTATCAGGAAGTGCTGATGTACTGCGTGCCGGTATTGCAATTCCATCGTCTGTCATTCGTTGTGGCTGTGATTGAGACTGTTCTTGCTGGGGCTGTTGGTATTGAGGCTTATTGTGGGGACGGCGAGGTGATTTAGGCGATTTTACACCAACTTCTGTTTCATATAGTCTCATTGCTTCCAGCAATCGTTCATTTACGGATAATAGTTGGCCTACGTTAACGAAAAATGAGCAAAACGTTTGAAGAAGAGTATGTGAGGAAAACAAGAACCGAGGCCAAATTTTCTCAAAAGCTAACATACCGATAAGAGCATCATCAACCACATTATTAAACACAGAATGTAGCCTATCTTGAATTCTCTGACACTCGACATACAATTGCCTCATAAGCTCGTCTTGCGATATGAGGAGCTCCGAGGTTCTATCAGCACTATATGATTTGATCATATCGATCAAAAGACCAGCAGTCTCCTCTCCAGTTGCAATCTCTTTACCAAGCTGAAGTGGATCAACTGTCACTTTCCTAACATGGGAATGTCTCGTTCGTGGTGGAGTTCCAACTGTATGAGATCGAGGAGGTGAATCATTCATGTTTTCTTCTGTGTCCAAATCACCGTTTTTGGAGACAGATGATCGGCTTTTTGCTAGCATCTCCATATTACGGCCCGTGTGCTCAAAAATATCGTGCAGCATTCGATTAAGCTCAGATGCTTCTTCCGGCTTGACACCCGGTCGGTCAAGGACGGGTACAATTTCCAGTGATACTAAACTGTCATTCATTCGCAATGAGATTGCGAGAGCCATCACACCAGCGAGGTCAATAGGATTGTATGTGACATCCAACCGTTTGAGGTTGTCGCATAGTGGTAATGCCTCAGCTAGAGCAATCGCACCTAAATGACCGTATTAACATGGATCCATTTACATAGATTTTGTTTCTTACCTTCAGTGCCTATGCGAGTATTTGCTAGATACAGTTCTAGTAGATCGCGATTCTGAGTCATGGCTTCCTTTAAAGAAGTGATCTGTGTGTAATAAAGATGCATATAAGAAAGAGCACCAAAGCAAAAAAAAAAACATTTCGGTAATACACAATTTGTACGTACGCCCTCCATATCTGTACCGAAGGCATTTCCGCTCAAATCCAAAACACGAAGACCAGTATTCTTTCTCTATTAGATTGGAAAAAATCAGGACATCGTCGTCATATTTTGCAAGACAACCTGTAAGGCATTTACCAATAGCGATGCAATGATATCAAGACCAGGCCCATCAATCTTATTATCTCTCAAATCCAACTCACGTAACCTATCATTGTCATTCAAAGCGGCACAAATAGGGGCTATTCCATTCCTCAGATCGTTGCCTCTCAAATCAATTGACGTCAATCCTTGTCGTTTGGGTGACATGGGCATTCCAGCTTCAGGTTGATCGTCATCAGGCAACAACATTTCGGATATTGGTTGCCCGGCTTCCCATGTTGCCTTATTGTCTTTTAAACTTAGATGTGTCAATCTTGATCTTCTTACTCCTGGAACTAATTGGACGACAAAAATGAGGTTAAGATAATAAGCAGTAGTGCCTGCGACTCTCCAAACAAGCGATATCTACCTATGGTATCCAACATATTTCCGCGCAATCTACAATTCTCTAGCTTGAGTCCTTCGATGGTCGGACCAAGAGGTTGCGAATCTGATGGCGACAGAGCATGATTCAGATAGGCCAATCCTTTTCGATCTACCGCAAGCCCAGACATATCAAGATACTTCAATGACTTGGTCTACGAGAATACATTTTCCGAATCAGAAACAAGACTTTCTTTTAATAAACGGATCATACCTTCTTGATAAAGACTGCGATATACTACGTAAATAGAAAAAAGAGCGTTGCTAATTAGCATTGAACCGGGCAACAAAAGGACTTTACTCTTTTATTTGTTTACCTTGATACCATTGCCGCGCAGACGACGATTATCAGCCAGGGATAGCCACGGCAGCTCGTTACGATAGAGTATGGCATGCAACAACATTTTCAATGAATCATCTTCCAGGTTGCAGTTGGCCATGTTTAATTGTGTTAGGCCAACCACTTCCGTAAGCAATTCTGATATCGATGCAATGTTCTTTCTATCCAACATGGATCCTGTTGAAATTTTTGGATCAATTAATGGCAAGAGGACGCTCGCCAACTAATTGCAAACACCGTGTAACTCAACGTCCTGATCTTACCTGATAAATCCAGCTTTGTCAGAAACCCACTAATCGACAGCTGATTTGTCAGCTTGTCAAGTGTGGGTTCACCCCTCCGTGCCGCTGCCTGCTGGTAGAACAGCAAGAGCTCATCTGCATCATATCGATTCGTATGATCCCGCATTCTAGTCCCCGACACAACAGAATGATCCACGTTCCTTGATGATCCAGCTTGTCTTCGTGCCAGAGAATCAGTCGAATTTACAGTCAATGGCATATTACTGCTGCTACTACCATTTGTACCCTGATTATCTGCCTCTTCGCTATAGAACACCATCTCGTCAATTGGTTGTTCTTCTGGTGAGATTGTAATGTCTGGAAACGAGAAACGGACGTGACGTGGTATTTTAGCTAGTGATGAGGGGTGATCGCCACCTATATTCGGATCAGAGTTCTCTCGTGATCTCTGCAAGTCGGGCGGTGTTGCTGGTGACAAGGAAGCATTCGATAGCGACGTGGTTGGTGTTAGGTGCGGCATGGTCGCATAACCATTCACACTACCATTAGCATGCCCATTTGTTGCGGTCTTCCATGACTGATCCATCGGCGACGACGTAGCTGGTGGTGATCCAAACATGGAAGTCCATGATTGTCCATTATTAGTATTACTCGTCGGTGTACTAGTAGCATTTGTGTTTATTGCTACAGTTCCTGTTCTTATTCTTCCCAGTGTAGCGGTGAGTACCGAGGCTGCTGTATCGACCTGCTTTACTAGCCAGTCTCTTTTGAATATCGAGCCTGTGGTTGATCTGATGGCTGGTGGTGAGTTAGATGGTTTTAATATAGATTTTGCAGGCACGGCCGAGCAGGGAGGTGGTCGATTTGCTTTTGGTGAATGTGGTGGTGAATCTATGATTGATTGTAAGAGCGTGTCAGTGGTCTGAGCTTTTGGGTGGTTGAGAGTTGCAGATTGAGCTTGACCCAGACCAGAGGTTGAGCAAGTATTCAACGTACATAGAACAGCTCTTGGCTCCTGTTCATCGCCTGTGATTGCGAGTAGATATTGTAGAGCAGCTTCAAGCAGAGATATTGTCGGATCCTGCGCTATTCGAGCCAGAGCAGTCCTAACAGCACTTGCACTCTGTTCATTATCAAATCCCATGAGCAAAAGACTCGTATTCGTGTCGTCCTATATCGAAAGAAGTGTGTGGGTCCCAAGATGTTATCTTCTCAAACGATTGCCAAAAAATGTTGGACATACCGCTGAGGAAGGCTCCATGGTGCGATTCCTGCCAGTCTCTGCCAATTCGGCCATCATTCAGGCGTTGCAAATGACTACTACAAGGTCCAAGACGGCTACCACCTGCGATTAACTGAAGAAGGAAAGTTGTTTGGTCTGAGCTCCGAAGTCGAAAACTTGAATCAAGCAACAGGACGAGCGTGATAGCCGATTACGAGCAAGGAGCTTCGTTATATCTCTATCCAATGGTTATACGCCCTCCTTTTTGAGTCTGCGGTCTGGTTCACTCTTATTGGTGGCAGCTGTTGGACAGGCTTTTGTTTGTCGTGATACAAAGGACCTGACGATCGCATTCATTCAACCCAACGCGTGGCAAATGAGCTAGGTCTGTTCTATGCAAAAACTGCAGCAATTCTAATATAATGACTTGGACTATACAACCCCGACATCCACCACCGATTTCTACACCCCCTAGCGACCATCAAATGTCACCAAATCAACAATCACATCAACCAACTTGAATCCTCCAATTTCAAGACGAGGATTCTCAATCTTGCGAGCCAACAACTCATCCAAAGCAGTCCTTGCTGCTTGGAGTGTAGCTGATACACTCTTGACAGCCAAGAACCTAATCCAACCATCGTCCAAGTTGAGGTTATGTTTTACTGCCGTTAATCTACCACCAAAGAAGGCAAGCGCGTAGGCAGATACGAGAGTGGCGTCACGTATAAAGACTTTGGACGTCTTTACCTTCTCGTGATAGACGGCGAAGGGCATCGTAAGAGGTGCTTGGAAGTTCTAGTGTCCAGAATCCGCATCAAGTCAGTCATTTGTCTAAAGATCAATGCCAAGAAAGCACGTACCACAGAAGAAGGATGCAAATGAACCTCATCACCACCACGAACCAACAGCGTAACTTTACCAGGCTTATCACCACCTTTTCGAGGCTTTCTAGTAGGAGGTGGTCTTTGAATCTTTACAACGTTGGGATACAGCCCACTGATCAATAAAGCCTTGATTAGGCTCGTATTGTCTGAGCGAGCAACATATTGCGTATTCTGAAGTGCTTCCGAAACACCATCAGAGTTCCTTCCTCCTCGTCGTTCAACATCTCGCACGTATAGACCACTAGGTGCAAATCCAATCTCTGATAATAGTTCGAGTAGTTGTCGTTTGATTCCAGCAATCATGCCTGACGACAAAACAAGGTTCATTCAGACCAGGTGAACGGTTTGAGCAGGTTTTACACTCCGACAAATACCACACTTACTCAGAGTCTTGCCAGATAAAAAATTATACCACAAAAAGTCCTTGTCCTTGCCACTTTGACGAGCCTTTATCCATTCTTCGTAAGCGACAAGTACGGTCAAGTGATCTGAACTGCCCAGACTAAAGCCTTTCTTCCGTTCACCAGCAATGTCACGCTTCTCAAAGGGCGCCATGAAGGGTGATTGATGAGATAGTGCGGCTGCGATCGTCAATACTCGATCAAGACATCCAAAAATCGATCCGAATAAGATTAATTTACCAATCTAAAAGGTTTCGTTTTCGTGAGCGACAAAGAATGAACATGATCAAGGAAAATATGTGCCAAATGCTTACACGAACATCAACCGGCAATTTTGCAAGATGAAATCCTAGTGGCGTCAATGATTCGTCCTTGTTGAGTGCCTAAAAGATTTTGTGTGAATAAAGGAGATGGGTAAAACAACGAATAACTAGCAATAATCGACTATAGTTCTTTACCCTCAAAACTCGTAATGTCGATACAGCATGAGCCACACCTTCAACTGAAGGAGGTTCAATAATCTTTGACAAGATATCAGCAACCTTGCCACTCAAGAATGGTAATACTTTAATTCGAAGACATAGTTGCTCTAATGGCGTTCTTTTAATTTCAGGGTCTTGTTGAGCGAGTAATTGGTGCTCAAAGCGATGGCTAAACGAGTGGTTCTGGATTAGACGAGTAACCCCCAAAGAATTATGACCTTATATTAAACACCTTGTAAATAGATGAAAACAAGACCCAGTGGATACTCGACCAGCTCGACCACGCCTCTGAGTAGCATTCGCTTTTGAGACCCAGCTGCGGAAGCAATGTCAGCTTTGAACAGTGATATGCAAGCCACACGACAACTTACCAAGCTTCAAGTGAAGCCATTCCCTTAGAAGGATCAAATCTCGTCTCCTTCATCTTTCCGCAGTCAATAACATAGACTATATCGTCTATGGTAATTGATGTCTCCGCTACATTGGTAGCGATAACGATTTTGACGGCGTTTTCTGCTGGTCTCTCGAAAGCTCGTGCTTGATCCGCACTAGATAAGGACCCATGAACTGGCAAGACGTATCGTCCATTCTGTGTAGCATTACGAACGAATGCATTATCCAATAAGCCTTCTCGTAAAGTGGAGATTTCTAATGTGAAGGTTACACAGATTGTAAGGAATAGACGACAACCTAGCACAAAATTGCAAAGCGAAAAAAAGGCGTTCGCAAGGTCTTGATTGACAGAGAGTTCTACCTTCATAACCAGGCAGAAACACCAGTATACCCCGATTTGGTTTGATACCAGCTGGTGCCGGAGTAGCACTTCCAGACTGAGGTGACTGAGCACCAGCAGACTGAACTTCATTCTGACTCCAACCACCACGTCCTCTTCCACGAGCACCACGACCTCTTGCCCCTCCTCCTCTACTATTACCCCTCGGACTACCACTATTACTCATACCAGGCACACTCTGCGTCTGAGCGGCGCCCCCAAAGAGCTGTGTTATCATCCACTCAATCAGCTTCTCGACAAGCGGATACTGAATCGTATCAGTATTCATAGTGAGTAATGCATTGGCACTACGGCTATTGAGAACCGGATATCTCTTCTGTAACGCCTCTACAGATAAGTCTTCATCTGGTTTCTGTTCGTCTGTAATGACTTTTTCGGGTTTGGCACCACGTTTGGGGTCTTTAGAAGAATATGGTCCTTGAGATGGTGCAGATACGGGTCCTGGTGCACGTTTACCTCCAGGCTTACGTACGAATTCAGTGTTTGGTTGTGGTACATAGTTTGTAAGTGCTAGTGCGTCTTCCAAGTACGATACTTCGACTGGGAAGGTTCGACCAGGGATGTGGAGTAATGGTACTGACTCTCCAAAATACGTTTGGAACAATTGAGCGTTCAGGGTGGCACTCATTAACACTAGTTTCAAGTCCTTCCTAATGACAATGGAAGACTTGGTTAACAGCGAGCGGGCAAAAAAAACGGCAATGGACGTGTGATTGACCTGATTTCCAGCAAATCCTTCAAAACCATCATCAGAAAGTCCGAATCAATAGACCTTTCATGCACTTCATCAACAAAGATGTGTGATATATCATCAATACCATCTTCATCTTAAAAGAATGTTAAGTCAGTTAGATTTGCAAAAAACATCTCGAAAAGAAATACCAATATTACCGTTCAGAGCACCACCTTCCAGCCTCCTCAACAAGATCCCAGTAGTACAATACAATATCCTAGTCTCAGCACTCATGCGACTCTCAAGACGAATCTGATACCCAACCATGTCACCAAGTCTCGAAGCCCGTTCATTGGCGACTCGATCGGACACACCAATCGCACTTATCCTACGTGGCTGCGTAACAAGTATTTTACATCTACCACCTTGATTTCGTCTAATATAATCATCCAAGACGAATTGTGGGACTTGAGTCGTTTTTCCACAACCGGTTTCACCAGATATTACAACAACTCGATTACTATTGATGGTATCTACAATGTTCTTCTGTAGCGAGAAGGCGGGCAATGATTCTCGTTGCGTACGCATCTTTGTGTATGCTGGATTACTACTCATTGCTTTCTGTTGAGACAAGAGTTGAGCAGATGCCTTGTTGATATCGGCGTCAGATGGTTTTGGTTTGGTAGATGCCTTGATTACAGGTGCCTTTACTTTCAAGACAGGAAGGGACCAATCGTCGGTATCATGAAGACCAATTTCAGATTGACGTTTCTTGCCAGTACTTAGTTCCGGCATATCGTCATATGGAGCTGAAGCAGCTGATTTCTTTTTCGTGCTGGCTTTGTCGACCTTCTTGTGCTTGTTGCCCTTTGTGGTCTGCACTTCCTTTGCATCAATTACAAAGTCGTCTTCAAATATGTCATCGTCAAACCCATCATCAAGCACATCTTCATATTCATACGCCTCGTCGTCATCTTCATCATACTCGTCCTCAATATCTTCATAGTCATCATCATCATTCTCATCTTCTATGACTTCAGTCACATGGCCTTTACCCTTCACATCAACAGGAACTCCATCAGCTCCAATATGAGCCAGTAATAGATCATATTTCAGTACCGAATCATATCGACTTGGTGGCTTATTTACTATTCTATGCGCCTCATTGAGTGATATCCAGTCAACAAGTTTATGTATATGTAAGGATCCAGTCCATGAGGCTGCAAGTTCTTGCATGCGGAGATTGAGTGCAAGTCGTGATGGCGTTGTTAGCACTGATGCTGGTTCACGAACGATGACTAGGACAGTTTCTAGTGGATACTTCTCGGGTAGATGGAATTCAAGGATTAAAGTGGTTGATACATTCGATGTGTGAGCCATATTGCAATCTTTACCACGTCGACATGTGCCTAATGACCAAGTCAGCAAAGTCACAAAATGTAGCATAAAAGGACTTTATTCTCACCCGTCAAAAAATCTGGACACACAGAAAACTCAGTAGCCTGCCAATCAATGGTAATCCTCCAAACACTACCATCGCGACTAAACTTTTCTTCATACAAACTATCCAGTATCATAGCTTCATCTTCACGCATCTGTTCAAAGTCGTCGCCAATGACTTTGGTAGGCTTGAGCGGATTCTCGATTGCAAGTGCATATGCAAACAGCCATTCCAGTGCTTCCAGCCCAGTAGACTTACGTTGTATGGCCGTAGCACATAATTCCTTTGGAAAACCTATATCAGTCAACCATTGTAGAGTGTTGCTCTCATCAGTGGGAGTGCTTTTGCTGACGATTACTGGTGTTGGTAGGGCAGATACTGCAGGTTTCGGCGTCGAAGGCAGTGACCGAGCAGTAGGCAAACTTTTACTATTCGACATTACTGGTCCTGACTTGATGCTACTACTCTGCACTACAGCACTTAGATCCTTCTGAGCAGGCTGCAACTTCTTCTTACTATCACCCTTATCAACACTCTGTGTTTTTACCACAGACTTGTACCCAACCAAAGTATTTATCACAACCTTGGGCTCCCTAGAAATCTGACTAGCTTCAGCCGAGCTCAGCCACTCAACAGCTTCAAACACCATAGCATTTCCAATCCATGCGTTTGTGAGTTCCTGTAACCTGATGTTGAGAGCTAGCCGTGATTCGATAGATAATCTAGCACTAGTTTCACGCAAGACGATTATAGGAGATTCAAATGGATAGTTTGCTGGAATGTGGAATTCGAGTTTGATGGTGGTAGTATTTACACCTGTATTATTAGATATGTGGAGTTTGCTACATGAATCACCGTATTTACATTTTCCTAAATCGGAAAGCAAGGTTACAAAGAGGCACTAGCTTTTCAGAAATGACCTTACCAGCTTTAAAGAAAGAACACATCTCCCCTTTACTAGCGTGTACACCAACTTTGAACGTCGTATCAATCTCCCAAACACTCCACAACCGTTTATACCTATGTCCGTATATACTATCCAGCACCATAGCCTCATCCTCTTGCATACTCTCCACATCATTATCAGGCACCTTCTTAGCAAATGCATCTATTTTCAATGCGTGTCTCCATATGAATGCAAGAGCATCGATCTTGTTGTTTGGATGTTTAGAGACTCCATCAGCACATATTTGTGGAGGCAGTCCGATATCGCGCAGCCAGGTGAAGGATGGATTCTCCGTAGGTATAAGAGCTTGCGGTTGCTGTTCTAGTTGCGGGTGTTGTGCTAGCGTATTATCGGTGTGAGCTTGTGGAGCTTGTGCTTCAGACTCGTCGTCGTCGTCGTCGTCGTCAATTCTAGCGAATGAATCGTATGCGGCGATAATCTAGTAATAAAAAAATGAGTATTTAAGCGTCCAGGAATGCGACAAAAAACCGCAAGAGCTTATGCGCCGAATCGACACACCTTGTCATCCTCTTCATCTTCAGCCATTTCAGAATCCACTTCCTCATCAGAAGCCGATTCTTCTGTATCCTCATCATCAGATTCCTCACTTTCAGCACTATCACTATCGTCAGACTCCTTCAAATCCTCCTGATCAGTATCATCCCCCTCTCCAACGTGCCTCGAAGCAAGCAACGCAGCAGCATCATGATACTCTCCAACAACATATCTAATCTTATTCAACATGTCCTTGCTGAGCTTTAAGAATTCAGGAGTTTCATGTTTTGATTTTCGTTTGTTGAGTTTGAGAATACGTGCCGCTTCTTTTTCCATGTTGGATAGCTGAGAGTTCAGCTTAGCGGATTTCTTGACTTTGATTCCTGCTGCAGCAAGTTGATTGTAGACATCATCGTCTAAAGTTTTCTTGATTGGTTTCTTGGATTTTTTTACTGGAGAGCTGGGGCGTCCTTGGCTAGCTTGCTTGCTGCCGCCACGGCCTCCACGCGTAGGCTTGCCGCCACGTTCTGACTTTCTTCCTTTGCCCATCGCTGTGATGCAAATGTGTGCAAGTGGTTTAGTGATTGAAGGCGATCAGCACAAACGCAGTGTCCTAGTACTTGAACAAATAAATGTATTTTCGAAACTATGAGAATTTTTTACACGTTTTGAGCTGCTTAAAGTTATATGAGATGACCAGTTTACACAATGATTCAACCAAACTGATTTCAAACTCGACAAGCTTTATACGGAGCTGATTCAACCAAAGTTCATTCAAACACGACGATGCTTAATAGATCCAGCAGTAGCATTTCGTGGTGGTGCAATGGGCTGAGATCCACTACTTGAATGAGTACTGGCGACATCATCCATCGAATCCATGTTTCTCGACGAGACTGTACGAGGACTATAAGGTGGTATATGTGGTTGCGTTGGAGAAAGGTTTCGTTGTTGGCGAGGAGTTGCGGGTCTTGCATGATACACATCAGACGCACCCAACGCGGCTGGTGCCAGTTGACTATGCGACGTGTAGGTGGGTTGCTGTGGTATGTTGTCACCGTAGTATGGATGTGACATGGCAAGCCCACTTGAAGATAATGGCAGTTGATCTTTGGGATAATAAAATCCTGAAGGTGGTAAGCCTGTTGGTTGTAAGCTTCTTCTTATAAAGGAATCCATGGACTTGAGTGGCCTATGATAGACATTCATTCGTTTAGACTCTTTTTTGCCCGTCCGACAAGTGTTTGCAACCAAACACCTTACTTGTCTAGATCAACATCAAGCTTTGGTAGCGCTGGCCCAACATTCAATCCAACAGGTGGTGGAGCTCGCTTCGGCAATGACGGATCATACGACTCGTATTCACCTTCGCCCCTTTGAGCTCGTTCTTGTGCTTCAAGTTTCGCAGCACGACGTGCTCTTTCAACACGTTTACGAGATATCTTTCGTAATAATTGATCAATCCTAATTTGCAAAGATTGCATCAGTAAACAGAAATACTCCTTTTTGTTCTTACTTTGACGATGCTGTTCAATGATTCCAATGCGTATTCTGCGACAATTCCAAGTAAACCCTAATTCCTAGACACGTTCCAAGCTTACCTCTTGTCAATCTTCTTACAACAGTATTCCTTCAAATTGCCTTGAATCACACAAACCAAAGGAATATACATGAGACCGGCAACCAGAAGCGAAGTAAGAGAAATGGCGGCCATAAGGACTGTGAATGAGGACAAGACAAGACCAAGGACTTCGACCTTGTCTGGTCGAGCAACAATACTCGAGACAGCAACATAGAAGGCTGTAAAGATATCTGGTGATTTTGTTGCGGGTACATTTGCAACAACCTATTCTCTGTCTATGTGAGAATTTTTCTTTTGTTTGTTCTCAGTGAATGCGACAGGAACGAGACTTACGATGTCGAAAAGATTGAGCGCGTTGATGAGTTGACGTGGGAATTCAGCCAACAAGAGTCGTTTCCAACCTATTGGTTTGGATGCATTGAAGAGTTTGCAAAAGGATGGCACGTCAGTGAAAAAAAAAACGCAGCAAGGATAGATCCGTACCTTTGAGAGAAAAGAAGACAAAGAATGCCAGAGCATCTATGCCTTTCTTCGAGTTGGAGATTTGATTGAATAAGCAATAATGAGGATAGCTGAAAAGAGAGTCAGTACAGTGAACTGGATGGATGTAGCTCGTCAAACACAAGCCCGTCCCTTCACACAGATTTTACCTCTTGAGCGAGTAGTAGCGATAGGCAATAGTACTAGTCAGCGCATAACTAATATCGCGACTAGCAATAATGACATTTGCTCTCTTCACATCCAGATACAAGAGCAAGAATGTGATTAATATGGTAGCCGAAATAATCCACACTCTGGCATTGAGAGGTATCAACCGAGTAGCAATTCCTCCATTCACACAGGGAGTGAAGCCGCCTTGAGCAGAACAGCCTGTATTGTTTGCGTTTGTGATTGCATTTGAAAAGGAGCCAGTGATGAATAGAGACACGACGATGGCGATATCTGCCATGTACTAGAATGTGAATGGTGAGGTTGAGGATGACACATTCAGGAGCAAGGGATCACTGCAAGCTTTCAGAGTTGCAAACAAGCGTGGAAGCTAATAGACACAACATACCACCAGAATGGACTTTAGTGTCATGATAAAGACACTAGAGTATGCCAGTCTTCGATAAGCTCCAGGATCAGCAAACTCGTCCACGTTGATAAAGTCAAACTAGAAAAGGGAATGAATGTGTGTGAATGTTGGTATGATTTTGGCTCGATTCTAGATATATGAAAAGCAGGTTGGATCAGGTATCAGTACCTTGTGATCGAGTAGTTCTTCCCGTTTCCATGAGCTCCCATCGCAACAGGAAGACTCATCCATTACGGCCCTTCTTTTGAGCTCTCTATAATCTCTGGTCTTGAATGGTGTTGTCGACACAAGTAAAGCAGGTGATCAGCGAACAGTCAGCGTATATAATTATGTCTTGTGAAAGTACGCAGACGTGCGACTCAGTCCAAATCACCGCTCAGGTTGTTCTGCTTCGTCAAACAAACTGGTGTCGATGATGTGCACGAAGCCATTGAATGTAAACAATAGAAACGACGTACTTCTTTTATTGATAGACCAATTTTCCACGCGATCTGGCATTTCGAGTATATATGACGAGCCTGGATGACGAGTCTCTCTGCATACCTGCAAATGAATGACTTTTATAAGCTCTTGAAACTCGACATAGTCCAATCTTCAACACAGCTACTACGGCAACAAGGGCATAAAAGGACTACATTTACAAGCTATTATACCGTTGAAACATGCCTTGTCCAGAAAGGGTATGAGAGCATCTGCTTCGTGAAAGAAGCTACTTCAAACTAATACATTTCAACCCTCCAGATACTCTTTTTTGTTGATGTGGGCCAAGAAATGGGCACAGCTGAACTCAAACCACCTGGATCGTATGTATTTTAATCACTCTATTCATGCATTCTTCTATTTTCTCGTTGTTGGCATGCACATTAGCAAAACACATCAAACGAGCCTTGTTACTTTCGCGTCACTCGAACTTACACCATCTCACGCGTTGACATCCCTACAGGACACGACTCAACATGACCAAGAGACTGATAAAGCGATTCGTATGGCTCAAATCTCATTTGTTGAAAGATCATGAGTATGGACTGGTCGAGCTGGGGAATGAGGCAAATTGGGTATGTACTGCGGTGTCATTACGTACTTGTTTATGGTCTTCCTGTTGTATGTTGACATGTTCCCGTTGTATATTGAATTGAAGAATAGTGATTGTTGTGTCATTCGTACCAATTGACTCTTCTTTTGCTTTCACTGTGTATTGTAGACGTGTCGCTCACTCACACACTCCCTATCTTAGCATACTCCTTTTACTTCAGATCCAGAAAGCATTATCGGAGGTGTCGATTCTCTACAACGACAAGATGACCCATTCAACAGTCTGAACTCTGATAGCATCCTCGAAACATTGTAAGTGACAATAAACAACCAGCAAAAAAATATGAATCTACTTTCATCAAATGTGATGCAAAGGAGTGCTGCTCACAAACTAACTCACTTCTAACCTCCCTCCCATTCTGTAGACTACAAGCACAACCAGAAAACCCAAAAACACCAGAATCCCACTCCCTCCGCGCAATAATCATATACGGCCGCTCCAATGTCCTCCCCACAGTCCCATCTCCCGAACTACTTGACAAGGTCCGCGCAAACCCTGCCATAACAATAGATTGTGTCTACTTGCACGGACTGGCTCGTGATTATGGAGAGATGGTGCAAGAAATCTATGAGAGACTCACTGAATTCGAATTGAGAGAGGACATGTATTCGTTCGAGTTATCACAACGTGCTCCAAGGTAAACATATGGATTTGCGCCTGACTTTTTTGCAGACCTAGGTGTATTTACGCCTTGCACTCAATGATGAATACTAACCTCGTTTGAAATAGGTATGGGATTGCTATGACGCAACTGGTATCACACCCGGCACAACGAGTTCACCAGGCCCGTGCTTTTCCTATCGTGATTAATCAATAACGAGCAAGGGAAACGATTCAATTAGCTAGACTTCGTAAAACTCTCCTTGTACCATATAAAACATATATATTCCAAGCACCCCATTGCAATTTGCCAAGAAGAAAATATATTAGGTTCTTTATACACAAGAGAGAGAGAGATCTGCCAAAAACAGTTTATGATAAATGGGGGTTGATTTGTATTAATCATAACTCATGATCGAGATCTAGCTGGCGTATGAGCTAGTGATGGATTCTTTACCCGTTGTCCCGACGAGCTACTACTCTTCAGTGATCCAGCCACTGGTTGTCTCGTATTGTAATTCCCATCCGCTCCTCTCCCATACCCACTCTGCTGCTGCTGCTGCTGATACGCAGACTCCTCATACGGCGCCTGATACTGCGTCTGGTTATAAGAAGTCTGCTGCTGCTGTGTCTGGTAGCTATTATACGGCGTATCACCATCATCAGCCGCCTGTTGATAATACGTATCATCGTACTGTCCAGCAGTAGGCGTAGGCGACGACCATTCATCTTCCGGCTGCAATGCCGTAAATATGGAGTCTCTCGCACCCATTTCATCGTCCTGGCCAGTCGCCATGCTGTACTGTGCTCGCATATGCTGCATCGGGTACGTGGTTGCTCCTGCTGATGTGGATGCTATAGACAGTGGTGGTATCTCGTGGTTGTCAGATGTTGCATAGTATCCATCATAGTCTGATGTGCTCGTCACTATCGCTGATCCGGATGGCTCGGAGTATGGATCTCCGTACGGTGAGTATACGTTGGCCGGTACTGCTGGATACTGATATTGCTGTTGTTGTGATTTACTAGCTTTGCTACCATTACTTACATTCGTAGCATACTGCCCTTTACTACTGTTGCTAACATGCGTCAAATAGGGGTCCTGAGATACTCCCATCGTGGTCACTGGATATCCGTTCTGGTCATTTCCACCATATCCCATGTATGCGTCTGGCGGTGCAACTGTTTCTGGTGGGTATTTCACGTTCGGATCATATTGTCCGTATGGGTCGTATGCGTATGGGTCGTATCCTTGATCGTAGCCATATCCATATCCGTTTGCATATGCGTATGCTTGCTTTTCTTCCCATGAGTCGGGACGGCTGTTGGCGTCACCTTCTGTGAGGTACGAGTCACGGATTTCTTCTACTTTGGGATGTTGCTTCTTCTTTTTTCGGCGCAACATTTCTTCGATTCTATGGTGAAGGATAGGGGGTCAGTTTCTGATAAACGTTAAGATGGGAGAAAAAAGGTGGAATCGGCAGAAAATATACCTCTTGTCGATTCGTTTACACACGTATTCCTTCAAGTTGCCTCGAATAATACATGCTAGAGGTATGTACGAGACACCAGAAATGACCAAACGACCAAACGACACAATCCATATAGAAACTGTAAATGTAGCCAGGATCAAAGTTGCCGTGACAATCTAGATTGACGTTGTGTATTTTATTAGTATGTTGTGGTCATGAAAGCCGGAGAAGAGACGACTCACGTAAGGGTATTTTGCAACTATAGAGGAAAGAGCTGATCCATAAGCGATAAAGAGATTTGCTTCTCGTTTTGGCATATTGGAGACCATCTGTGTACGAAAAAAACGTCAGTAACATTGATATCAGTCTTACTGCTTGATTTTTTTGGCAACGTTACGTACAGCATCGTAAATGTTCATCCCGTTGAGCAACACACGAGGAAATTCAGCTAGTACCAGTCTCTTCCACCCTATCATGTGCAGATTGTAAGCCAACAAAAAAGGGATAAACAACGTTTTCAACAAACAACATACCCTTCAGACCAAAGAACACAAAGAATGCCAACACATCCGTTCTCTTTTGCGCATTACTAGCTTGAGCGACAGCCTTCTTGTTATTATCAAGCTGAGCAAACAGTATCGTCGAGAAGAAACAAAAATGTGGATAACTACAAGCAAAAAAGGCATCAGATCTATCATCCAATTAAACTCAACTAGTCAACCAACCTCCTCAGCGTATAAAACCGATAAGCAATAGTATTCGTAAAAGCGTATGCAATATCACGACTCCTCAGCACAATCCTTGCTCTCCGATAATCCAGAAAGAGTAGAGCAAAAGACACGATAATGGAGCCAGCCATGAGCCACGGGCGAACATAGAATGGAATGTAGTTTGTAGTGACACCACCAGGTATACAGACGTTTCCAGCGGCGGTACAACCAGACGTATTCGCAACAGCTTGACTAAACGCTCCGTTGATGAGCAGGATGGCAACGATACCTAGAGTATATGGAATTGTCAGAAGGAATTCCAATGGGCGCCAATGTCATCGCATACGCAATACCTATATCGGCCATATACACGAGCACAGACTTGAGCGTAAGGAGAAAGACACCCGAGTACGATATTTTGGCTACTAGTTGTGGTGAAGCATAGCTCTCGACATCGATACCGTCGAACTTGTGTTCAGGTATTGGTTCCCTTTGCCATGCTGTCGCGTCTTCATCGTTGCCACATCCACACGACATTGTAATATATAGCTGAAATGTTCGGTCCTAATGTGTAGGGTCTATAACACACCCTCGACCAAAGCAAGCCTACGGTCGAAACCAGTAGCTTCTAGATATATGTAAGCTGCCAAAGTAAGCTTGAAGATGGTTGATTTGTTACCAAGTCGAATGCCAAGTTCCACTAAAAGCGAAGAAGGACTGGTTGGTGGACCTAGGCAACTGCCGTTATATAGATGGGCGATGCTAGACCTAGATATGTGAATGGTTGCGATTGAGCTTGAATAAACTCCTCGCTCTTGCTTTTTTACTCTCCGAATCACCTAGGTGTTTTTCCTATAGGAAATGGCCGTTTTGGACTGTCTTGCCTCTTTCGTTCTTTTCGTCACAGAGGACAGCACAATTACAAAAGCGAGATAGCCAGTACTATGGGATTGCGTTATTGCGATAAATGGGATCCGCCGTTGTAAATGCCAAGCTTCCTTTTCTGGATGCTGTCGAATAGCTTTGTATGGAAACTTTTTGATTGTTCACAGCTCCAAGTTCAATAGTGATCGCTCCAAGTTACATCGGATTTGCATCTCCTGGCACATGGCTTATATATTCAAATCAGTCATGTTCGTTTCGTTACCGCTCCTCAAACCCTCCTTCATGCTGTTTGCCCACATCAAACAAACCAGAATACAGGCGGAATTGTACGTGTGTGGAATTGATCAAACAGGAGGAGGTAATTCACAAGTTTACAACGGATACAATCGTTCATATTGCTGAATAAATGGAATGGTGAAAGAGCTTGTAAGCGACCGCATAGTAATTGGGCTTTGTATCCAAAGTGATACGATCGTGATAGAGTTTCAAACTGCATCAGTAATCCTCTGTTTGAAAAAAATGTATTTGGTACCTGAGCACTACTATAAAAAAGGGGACTAATAGAATGTACAATAAAAGCGACTATAAAGCAAACCTTGTCCCTGCCACTGTTGTACTGTGATTACGCCTAAGTTGTTTGTTGGAGACTGCTTTCCATCACGATAGAGATTACTCCATCCTAACATATACTAGCAAGACTGCAGAGAGCCAATGCTGCTTCCCGAGTGTCAATGCCTCCAGCGACGGATTTCCTTCTAGCAGCCTGAGGCGATGAACCATGGTCCGATTCTTCAGAGGTCGAAGCAGGAGATGGAATCGATTGCTCCACATCTCTCTGCTGCTTGTTCTTTATACTATATGGTGTATATCGGGGAGATGATTTCGGTGTTCGGATCTGTTGACTGTGGTTGTGATTCTCGTTAGTCCTCGAAACCAGAGCCTGCAGGTGTTTTATATAGTCGATTGCACTTTGAAGCACGTCCACTTTGTGCATGTTGGAGTTGGATACTTGCGGTATGACGGATTGTAGTTCTGATATCTGTGGCAAATTGACATGTGTCAGCTCGAATGTTCATTTTGCATAAACACACACCATTGAAGTGATATTAAGGGTAAAATTGAGTGAAAATGACTGTAAAGTACCTTGTCGTTAATCTTTTCACGTCTCCTTCGTTCCACTTGTTTATGTGTCGTCTTTCGCTGCACCTCCTTGTCCTCATCCTCTATACTATCCTGTCTCGGGCGATCCAGCGCGACTACAGCATTGACAGAGGTCGGTTTGGGCGCTATAGATATCGACGACAATTGTATAGGCATTGCAACAGCAGGTTTTGACATGTCGAGAGTGGATGCACGTGAAATTCCTTGTGGATGCTGCATGAGATATGGCGTTTGAGTGGTGTAATGTGCCTGACTACGATTATGATATGGTAGCATTTGCGTATGGTAGTGCGGGAAATGTGCGGGATTTTGCTGTTCTTGATACTGCTGCTGTTTCTGAGCTGGCAGATTTCTGGATCCGTTGGCTGTGGAATAGTGTAAATAGTGTGAATTCATGTCGGTAGAGGGATGATGATGCACGATCTATACTATAGTTGGCGAGAGTCCTTCGAAATGTCGACGTTATCTCGTATCAGCCTGGTGTTCTTTTTTTGTAAAAAGTGAAAATTGTTAAGACCGGCTTTGACACATGCTGAAACAAACGACCGACGTTGGCCTTACGCAATCAGCTCTAGGTTTCCGATCTATTAGGGACGACGACGATGAGATCTGCTCCTCTCTCTGATACAACCGTACCTTTGCTTGTACTTGCTTGATATGGAGCCGGCGCTTGGAGAAAACGAATGCAACCGTCGTGATAAAATCGAGATATTGCTTTGTTTTAAATCACTTCAGATCATCCATCTACGCGTGCACGTGTATACGTATTGAATCACGAGCTAAAACCATACCGAACTCTCGCAGAGTGCTCCTGGGCCCACTTTTACAAAACCCCAAGCCCCCAAGGGCGTTTCTGACGACTTTCACGTGTCAGTGGATGGAAGTACAGACCACAGTCATTCACAAAACGGCTCCAGACAAGAGTAGAAGAGAATAAAAATTGTCAATTGTCTATAGAAATGTACTTTTTCCTTCGACAAGCTAATATACGACAACGAATGTCACCACACAGAAAAACAACACACTACATGAAGTTATATACCACCATCTTCAACCACACAGCCAACCAATCAAAATTTTGCCAAATGCACCCGAATATGTGGTTGATCAACCACGGATTGGCAATTCATGGTTGTGTTCCATCGACTTGCTAGTACGAAACTTCCAGACACCCTTGTTATCCTTGTCTTCATACAAGATAACATGCATTTCACACCCAGAAGTTCGTTTCTTCTTGTTCTTGTCTTCGTCAGAAGAGTTGTTGCCATTATTGACACGGTCTCGCATTTCACACACCAAGACGACTATAAACGTAAGTTAAGTGAGATAAGGGATTTGTCCGTCAAAAGACCAAATCACCGACGGACGAGAGTCCATTATACTACACGCCAGACGATTTCTTACTGTATGAAGTACGAGATGTCCTGATATTGATTGCAAAGCCCGATTGCAATGCAACGTCTTTTACATACTTGATTGCTGATGCCTATTGAAGATGAAAGATTCAGTATGACAGTAATTAGGCACACGAGTACAGTAACAATGTGCATAATGTGCAACAACCACCAACAGTCCATGTGCAAAGTTGAGTCAACAACGACCAACAAAGCACACTTACACGATCATCGAAGCTCTGATCTTCATTAATCTTATCAGTAAAGTTGCACGTAAGTGTCTGAGTAAGCTGACTCGGCTGGCTGCCTTCAACACGACGTGCAACCACACCAGGAGATCCAGACGAAGCACTTCGTTGACGAGTACCCATTGGACTTGCGCGAGCCTTTGATGGCAGAGTACGGGCTCGACGACGAGTAGTAGCAGTCCTTTTAGTAGCAGAGCCTGACGGTGAGTATTCGCCGTCATCACCATCTTCGTCAGACTCGCTCTTGACTTGAGTGTACTCTGCGTCGTCTTCCTTGCTCATGGATGCAAACGAAGACAGCGGTGGTGTTGCTATAAATCCAGAGTCTAGACGTTGCTGCTGTTGTTGAGGGATTACATTACTACTACCATCGTGGTTGTGGAAGAGTGGGAAAGCCGTTTGCATATTGGTATTGATTTGTTGGTCATAATAAAATGGTTGCTGTTGTTGTGGTTGTTGTGCTGGTTGACTATTGTACTGGTATTGTACTGGCGGAAGTGGTTGTGTAAATGCATTACCATTCTCATACACAACAGACCTGCGATGAGGAACCATAAACTGAGGCTATAATGGAAAAGCTCATGTCTTGTGAGCTCAATTTTTGTCGATTGTAGCTACAACAAGCTGCCGCAGAAACAAATGTGATGAAACTATACGTATAGCCCTTACCATCATAGAGTCCGAGAATTCATCATAGTAGATGACAGATTCGATACGCATCATCCCATCGTCAATCAATACAGGATAAAAGTCGTGACTAACGGAAGGACGATGTTGCTGATCAAACATCCCAAAAGGCATGATATCGTCACGACCTTCTACGACTCCACGAGACGATAGAGGTATCTTCCAGTCTTCAGTAGAGAGTACATTAGATACTGGAATGGTTTGTAACGAGGTGTCTGGGAAGTAGCTTGTTGGTGTAGTTGTGGTTTGTTGAGGATCAAAATGTTGGCCAAAGAACATGTTAATGTCCAAGACACTTGAACGGCGACGGTCGTATTGGGCTGAACGTTCCGTTTCGATCATGTTTATAAGCTTGTGGTTTGCAAGTTTGCAAATTCTAGCAAAAGTAAAAGGCGTGAGTGGAGATCCAACAACTCTTCACAGTGCAAGGAACCCGTTATAGCAGTTGGCAAGGCTTACATGTAAATATATGTGCAGTTGCAGTGCACACAGCTTCTCAGAAGTCTCACGTAGGTCAGTTTCAATTGTCCGTGCAAAGTGTGATTTCTTTGAGTGCACACCTCACAAACTTACAGCTCCCAAACGGAATCGGGATCCACTTAGAAGATATACAGTGTAAGTCATTGACGTGTCAGGCCGCGCCATTACTGACAACTTGTTTCTAAAAACCCGTAATATCATTTTGAAGTTCGTCTATGAGACAAAAATTGTTTGGACACTTTGAACATCCCAACAATTCACACCAAACAAACACTAATTTGTTCTGCAGTCCCTGTGAAAGATTGAGAGCCACAAGTTTCGTTTGATTTAGCATTCTTATCACGGGCCAAAGTTACTTGGTGAGGCTTTTGAGTCTGCCCCACAATCACATCACTAAGCTAAAATTAACGGTTGGATTTAGGCGAATTTGGCATCCATAACAACCTTCTGGCACGGTCTGCTCCGGTCTTGAACGTAAGCATCGTTGCCGCTTGGAAGCCTAAGGTCAACATTCAACCCCAAGGACTAAGGCAATCGCTCAACAACGCCAAACCCAATCTTTGATTAGAACGCCTTTCGATCTCAAATGCTTTGCATATCATGCATCGCCGCCTTCAACTTTGGCGTCATCCAAATCGTCACAATCGGCCTCATTGTCTGGGCCATAAGACCGACATATCCAAAGAGCTTCCTCGTGAGGCAGTTTGAGATGGCCTCTGGAGTATTGGTAACTGAAGGACCTCTTGTTCTCGCTAACATGTCCCTGTTTACTATTGCTGTGGCTGGCTTCTTTGGGGTCTTCCAATTCAGGTTGGTATTCACGCTGACTGACTTGAACGCCTCTATTAACGACTTTAATAGTTTAGGCCGATTCTTCTTGGGACTTGCAGCGGTCAAGCTTTTCGTATATCCGTTACTCCACCTGAATGGATACGCATCTAAAGCTGAGGCCGAAGCTCAAGTGAAGAAGATGTATGCTTCAATGTCGACATACAGGGCTACGAGTGACGGTGCGGATGATCTTCCCGTTATAGCGCCAGCAGCACCAGTGTTTGTGACGTCAGCCACCATTCCCGTCTGGGTGCCATGGAATGTCAAGGTTAATCAAGACAGTAAGATTGGTACTTATCCTTTCATGATCATTGTTGACCACCTAACCGTAAACATAGTCACTTATGCAACGGATGAAGAGATGCGAAGTGCTGGCAGGATCGGTGCGAGTTACTTAAAACTCGACGTGATTACACCCAACAAGGGCTCCATAACACACTTAAAACCTGTGTTTGTCTATATACACGGCGGCGCATGGTCGGTTGGAAGCAAAAACCCAACCATACCCGGTGTTTACCATATGGCGACGAAGGGTTGGGTCGTAGTGAATATCAATTACCGAATGTACCCTCTGGTAAATTATCCAACCCATTTGATTGATTGTAAGCGAGCTATGAGATGGGTAAAGCAGAATATTTCAAGGTGTGTGTCTTCCTGTTTCAAGCTCGAATTCATTGGAATTAACTCTTATCGTTCATAGCTATGGCGGAGATCCAGAGTTTGTTACAGTTGGAGGTGGCAGCGCCGGGGCTCATCTCGCAGCAGTACTCGCCTTGAGCAGTGACAGACCTGCGTATCAACCAGGTTTTGAGGATGTGGACTTGTCCGTCAAGGCCTGTGTTGCCTACTACATGCCGTGTGATGTCACGTCTCGGATCGACAGCAGCGGAGTCGAGAGTACAGAACGCGGATTCCCAGAATGGTTTGCCAAAGTATTATGTGGATTTCGGTCATATGAGGAGAATTATGAGTATTTAAAGTACGATCATTCGCCGATACATATGCTTGAACGGCAAGCCACGTCGCCAAAGGGGATTCCGCCGTTTTTCCTAGTACATGGGGTATGCCACTCCCTCTTCCCATTAAAATCTGAATGCTTGCTAAAGCCCATCGATTTTTAGACACTGGACAATTTGGTTGCTGTAGAATTGTCACAAAAATTCAAGAAAAGATGCCAAGAACTAGGTGGAAGATGCTATTTTCTGGAGCTGAAGGGCGCTCACCATGCTTTTGATGTGCTACAGTCACCAAGAAGCAGGTACTCGTTTTGGGCAATGGAACAATTCTTGGAAAGTGTGTATGATAGGAGACGGCGACGTCTTCATGTTTTGTAAATTGCAAGTAGTATCAAGTAGTAGTTTGTATAGAAGTAGAGCACGTTAGAAGTAGTCAATATAAAGCACGAGTCAAAACAGGCTTCCAGACATGCTTGCGTTGAAGCATATCGCCAAATCCACCAATCTACGCAAACGACAAGAGCACTCGACGGACTGGTGGACAAGGCCAATTTCCACCAGATATAGCAGTTTCCCCTGCGGATTAATGGAAGTACTTTTTTTGACCTTCTTTAGTGCCCGTTGTAGTGCTCGCCGTGGTCAAAAGATTGGCCGGCTGGACACTGGCAACAATTTCGTCATTGAAATTTCACAACTTTTTCACGTTCTCTCACACCAACCTCATTCGAATCTAGGCCAGAAATCTGAATCTTACAACAAGGAAAAGCCTTGATCTGCGTATCAATATGCCTCAAGATACCTTTCCACCTCTCAAAAATCTCGTGGGTTCGCCTGTCGAAAATTTACTTGTCGAAAGTGGAGCAACCAAGAGGATTACAACATCCATAGATACATCCTTATCATCTATACCTCACGATCAAACCACTCCCGTATCAGGATACGAGTCAGAATCCGACTCTTCCATAGAACATCAACGGTTTCGTCGCCAACCGCACCAACTTAAACGGATTGCACAATTATTGGATCATCCATCTAGTGATTCTGACTCGACTCTAGTGTGTTCGAACAACACTGCTTTAATTGGAAGTCCTTTGGCTTCTAAGGATGAAGAAGCACCAAATGATGAGAAAGTTGTCGTTGTGGAAGACGATAGGTGGGTTTGACACGCTTGAATTCTGGTAAAAAAATCGTTTACTAATCCTGTCTCAATAGATATGGTGATCCGCCAGATGGTGGACTTCGAGCATGGCTTGTAGTTTTAGGATCTTTCCTAGTACATTTCTTGGTATGTGACAGAAGCTCAAACCACGCAGGGTCAATTGTATTGTTGATCCATTGACGCAAGAAGTGTTTCCACTTTCTCTTGGTTTTTATTGTTTTTAATCAATCGCCAATAGGTCCTTGGAATAATGTATAGTTATGGAGTCTATCAACAGTTCTACCTAACCCAAGGATTTGCCTCGAATTCAGAACTTGCATTGATTGGAACTTTCACATCCGCGACGATGCCTTTGCTTGGTGTGGTGTCTGGACGGCTAGCGGAGCGTTTTGGCTTCAGGACGATGATATTTATTGGAGCAACACTTATATTGATTGCACTCGTCAGTGCTAGCTTTACAACAACGACGTTATGGAGTCTGGTATTGACTCAGGGATTCTTGGGTGGTGTTGGGGCTAGCTTTTGTTTTTTCAGTGCTGTGTCGGTACCATCTCAGTGGTTCTCCACGAAGAGAGGACTTGCTACGGGGATAGCAGTCAGCGGCGCGGGTACGTGTCAGACCTATTTCCTGTTGGAGCAGAAACTGACAGGAGTTGATTCTAACCCTGTATTTCTAGGTCTAGGGGGGTTTGCTGTATCGCTGATTATTCGAAAGCTTCTAACGGTCGTTTCCATTCAGTGGACGCTGCGAATTGTTGGACTATACACTTTCGGTACGAGTCCAATCGCATCTCTGCGCGATTCTATATTTTGCTGACACCTATCTTTGCTAGTCGGCCTCCTCTTTGCCGGAGCTCTGATACGTAATAGGATACCATCAAACCGAAAGTCAAAGCTAGATTGGACTATTTGGAGGGACTACAAGTTCCAGTTATTATTCTGGGTTGGCCTGGTCAATAATATCGGCTACTTGATCCCTTCCACATTTATATCTGTTTATGCCACTCAATATGTGGGCTTGTCTGCAGACAGCGGGGCACTACTGCTATCAATCTGGAATGGATCTTCAGCTGCTGGCCGTATATTTATGGGCTTCTTCTCTGACAAGTACCTTGGACGTGTGAATACGCTGCTTGTATGCATGACATTGTCTGGCGCTTCCATGGTAGGGTTTGTATCTTCATTTCTGTAATATTTATCAGTGGTAGATGTTGGGAAAATTGATACCTCATTTGAATTGGATTCAACTATTGAGAATTCATATGGAACATCGTTGACACTTTTCTTGACCGTAATAGTTTCTGATATGGATGTTTGCAAACAACTACGCTATTCTGATTCTGTTTGTCGTCTTCAATGGCATGTTTGCTGGAGGTTATATCAGCAGTTTCCCTGTCGTGAATGCCGGTACGTCCTTCACAGTGTGTGTGAGTGTGAAATCTGAAAGCTCACATATCTTGTAGATCTATTTGGTAGTTACAGGCTTCCCAGTGTTAGTGGAATGCAATCTCTCGGAGCCGCCATAGGCAGCTTGATGAGTGCACCCATTGGAGGTGCTATTATTGATCGTTACGGCTTCCACCCCGCCATTGTCTTTGCAGGCGTTTCCACTCTAGTGGCAGCCTGTTTTGTATTTGCAGTCAAGATCTCGGTCAGTCCAAAGATCTTGAAACGCGTCTAGCTAAGATCTCTGTCGGGCTCTTTTGTATTGTCCTGACAATCAGACGCAATCCGACGCGTCCAGATCTCCGTATATTTGTCAAATATCCAAAATTGTATTTAAATATCAACCTTTCATACCATAATAGAGTTAGAGTCATAGAGTCTAGCAATGTTGACATTCGTCTTGCGCGATTGTTGCTCTGCTGGTATTGGTAGCCGGTTTCGCACGTAAACCTGACGGTAATAAGTATTTCCTAGGTGTCCCGATGCTCCTCTGCTGTGGTTTCAACTTGTTGATCTGGCTTCTTCGCTCACCAAACATCCTTCCCACAAAAAGCACAACAATATGGATTTCTGGTCCTTTACTACAGCCGCAGGCACTGTCCTGGCAGCAGGTGCAGGAGTCGCACTGACATATTACCAGCAAGCTAAAGCTGCCAAAGAGAAGAAATTCCAAGAACAAATGGGGTATGAAAAAATTTGGAAAATCTAAATTCAAAGAGACCGCGATTTGCCGCAATAATTGCTTGCTGATCAATCATTTACCTAGGCCTCGACGGCGGATTGTTATAGATAGGACACCTGCTCGTCGCTATGTACATCCTCCTCCCTCCACTCCTCAACATCAAACGAATGGTGACGGTGTTGCTGCGCCAGCTACTGGCAATGCGAATCATCCTACACATCAATTCAATATCAATACGCCTCAACATCGTATGTATTTACTATTGTCAATTCCTGGTTTTGGCGCTTTGATGGGAATTGTTAAAACCTTGTCTTGTTTAGAACCCTTTACACCTCATCACGCTCCAGCCGATGGACCTCTATTACCATATGCACAACAACCAGCGTTGGTATTCAATTATCCTATGGTTACCCCCGCTCCTGTTATGGAAATCATTCGAAACCCAATCAGAGTTCACTATAGAGGTAGGTGACTTTTAACCAGTACACAAAACGTTTAATACCACAACACACTAATCTTCATTTATTTTTATCCAGACCCAGGAGAAGTTGAAGCTAGAAATTATGAATTGAGTTTAGCCGCTGCAGCTGCAGCAGCTTCCTCCTCTTCAAATCCAAAAATCCCACCCAATGCACCAGAACCGTCTACAAATGGCCTCAAATTGGGCAAAAGAGATCGAAGTACGTCACCTCCTCGAGAGCCTCATCATAAAAGAGTAAATCTAGGTATAACAGATCGAATGAATGGTGGTCCAGTCACAGTTATAAATGGACAAACCAATATGCCTATAACAACTCCTCAGCATGGACGAATCGATACTTTCGGACTTCCTGATGAGCCAGCCTCTCAAGTCCCAACCATATCCACAAGTAGAGCTACTGCGTCCTCAACCTCAACGAGCACTACAGAAGATGCCGCAACCATGACACCTCAAACGTCTGGTTCTCGCTCGCGTAAACGAAGTGGATATGGATTGGATGATGAAGACGAAGAAAATGCTAGATTGGAAGCTGCCGGATACTATACAGGATCTACAGCCAAGAAACGTAAGATGGGAGGTACACGTCGTGATTCTGGTGCCCCAGACACACCATTGAATGTTGCACAGAGGAGGATAGCTAAGCAGAAGAAGCCTGAATCAGGACAGAGTTTGAGAAAGGTAAATGGCCATTTCCTAGAAAGAATCGTAAATAACGGATCACCAAGAGATTGACGCTTTTTTTGATTATAGGGCGCGACTCGGCCTCCATCTAGTCTCAGAAGGACAATTGTACCAGAAGAAGACGAGGATGAAGGAAAGGAAGATCAGGTAAGGTTCTAGTAACTCTTTCGATTGTGATATTTTTGTTGGCTCGTCAGCGATTTTAATCTTCACATTCCTTGAATTAGCCACCACTTTCAGAAAAACCGAGAGAAAAGGCCGTAGAACAGTCGGAGCCAGAAGCAGTGACAAAACCAGCTACTGCTCCAAAATCTATATTGAAAAAAACAGGTCGCCTCAAGCTATCGGCTGCCCGACGTCAATTGCCAATGCTTGACAGGAATGGATTGCCCGGGACGCCTCTTAAAAAGCCAATGTCAGATGCAGAGATTGCAAAACGCGAGGCAGAAATGTATGGCCCACCTCCTCCAATGCCCAATCAAACTAGGCCAATAGAATCAAAACCAGAAACAAGACGAGTCGACTTTGACCCAAAGCCTACCGTCAAGATAATTTCAACGGAAATACCATCCCCTACTACTCAGCCACCTTCAATGACCATGTTTGCTGGTATTAGTAACAATGCTGAACAGAAAACTGAAGTACCAAATACCTCTGTCCCAATGCTTGCTACCACGCTACCATGGGCAGCTCCAGTAGTCACTCCGCTACCTCTCCATGCCCAAGCAGCCGTGCCAGCTAGCACATCTCCCGTACCTTCATTGGCAAATTCAGCTGTGCCATTAATGTCGCCTATAAAAATTCTCGACTCTGGTTTGAAGAGCACGGCACCAACAGACTCTACAATAGCAACTCCTACTCCAGGTATAGTCCAACCTTCAGGAATAATATCTCCCTCGGCTCTGAATAAAACAGCAGTCAAACCACTTGCTCCATTTGGTGATATAGCAGCTACTACAATGCCTACTTTTGGAAATGGAAAAGCTACTACGTCCGCTTCGCCAGTAAGTAACTGGTTTCTGCACTTGTTATAATTTTTTTACTCGACCTTTGAATTTGCTTCCTTGAGTTTTTTCGAATGTTGGGCTGAACTCCAGGCTCATGAGCTGTACTTTTTAGACTCTCCCCACCTTCACCTTCGGAGGCCAAGGTGGTATGTCAGCATCACCAGGACAGCAGGCTCCCACACCAGCCTTTTTGACTGGAAGTACTACTATAGCTCCTGCTGCTCCGACAGTAATATTTGGTGCCAAACCAGTTGAAGCAGCCGCTACTACTAGTGCTATGACCTCGGTAGCACCAGCGTCATCAGTCCCATCTTTCAGCTTTGGAGGCCTTCCCGTACGTTGTCTGTTAATACTTTCTGGGCATAACATATCGGATGCAAGACACCAATAACATTTCTGTATTACTTAGGCTTCAATTGGATTGACTCTTGGTGTACCTCCAAAGACTAGTGTTGCAATGACCCCTGCTTCCTCTACTATTGCACCTCCAATTATGCCATTTACTTTGGCATTTGGAAGTGCGGGTCAAGAGAAGCCATCGTTCCCTACAGACCCAAGTGTGCGTAGTATAAATGCATTGTTCTGAAGTGGTTTGTAAGCTAACTTTTCAATTACGCTAGACTCCATTCGGTATGTTGGGAGCTACGACATCAGCTGCTGCATCAACAATAGCCACTCCAGCACAGACTCCCACTGCAATAGTGTTTGGTGGATTCGCTCCGGGAGGCGTAAAACCTAGTACTGAAGTAAAAGCTCCCACCACTCAGACTCAACCTCCACAGTTCACATTTGGGCGTCCTCCAGCACCGATAGTAACATCAAGTGCACCAGCTTCTACTGCGGCCTCTCCAGCTGGATTGGTATTCAATTTGCCAACTAGCACCACAGCTCCATCTACAGCAGCTGCCGCGACAACAGCTCCAGGAATGGCTGTTTATGGATTCGGTGGCCAACAAACTGGTGCTCCAAGTGGATTTGCTCCACAAACTACAAACGCCTTTGGCCAACAAGGTCAAAATGCATTTGTTGGGCCGCCTGCATTTGGTACACAACAGCAACAGCAGCAACAAGCTCAATCTTCAGCCGAAGCATCAAAACCAGCTGTAATGTCCTTCGGTAATAACAACAATAGTATTAATGCAGGTGGTCAGTCATTCCAATTTGGAGCCGGCAATGCTTTTGCAGCTCAACAACCTGCTGCTGGAACACCATCTCAACCACAACCAAATGCGTCTATAACATTTGGTAGTCCAGCCATTCCACCATCTACTCTAGCAGGAGGATTTGGTAGTCCATCGATACAACCAACCCAAGGCTTTGGCAGTCCATCAGTACAAGCACATCAACCATTTGGTAGTCCATCCGTAACACCAGGCAATGTAGCCCCTGTATTTGGAGGAGGTCAAGCAGCAACAACAGCTCCAAAGACGTTTCGTACCCAGCAACAACAGCAGCCAGCGTTTGGTACCCAGCAACAACAGCAACCAGCGTTTGGTATCCAACCACAACAGCAACAGCCAAACTTTGGCGGCTTTGGACAAAATATAGGTCAACAGCAACAACAACCAAACGGTGGACAAACTGTAGTAAACTTTGGTGGTTCTCCTGCTGGGTTTGGTGGACAATCTCAACAACAGCAACAACAAACTCCAGGTGGATTTGCAGCTTTTGGTAACAATGGCCAACAACAAGGGGCAGGAAATGGTGGCTTCGCTGGATTTGGTAATCAACAAGGTCAACAGCCACAACAGCAACAACAGCAACAACAACCTATGGCAGTTGCCAATGGATTCCCTGGTAGTAATAATAATAATACTAATGCATTCAACTTTGGTCAACCAGCACCAGCTCAACCAGGTCAGCCAGCCAATGGGTTTACTTTTGGCTTCACTGCAGGAGGAGGTATGGGTATGCCACAACAACAACAGCAACAGCAAATGCCTCAGCAACAACAAGGAGGGCCGCAATTCCAATTCAATGCTCCTACTGGTGATGCCATGTTTCAAGTTGGTGCAGGTGATAGGAAGATTGCCGGTATTGGAAGGAAGTTTGGAAAGAAAGGAGGAGGACGACGATAAAAACAAACATATATAGATTTCCATACATACTTCCAACATAAATACATACAGGTACGATGCCTTGTAAAAAATAACGAACCAATTAAGGGAAATAATAGAAATCGCATTTACATCCATATAAATTGTGAATGGCAAGTTTTTCTACGCGGTTGACACGCTTCTCCTCCTTTTCCAGCTTGTTTGGTTGGTTGGCTGGTTGATTTGCTCGATCCAATCACGTCCCAAATTTTTGCGTTTCGTCTTCCTTCTCGAAGTTGAACACCGCAAGGAGAGCTATATTGGCTCAGAAAGAGAGATAGATCACAGGTTATAGTCTGCATCCGACTCTGACGGGATCTTAGTTTGAAGGTCGTTTTGTACTGGGGTTGTTTGAACATCAAAAACAACAGGCTGAACTGGAAAAGAAGGTAAGCGAAGCCAATACTCGTCATAGCATTGAAATGATGCTCATTGACAGATTTCGCTACCCACTTTTATAAGGAACTTGTATTGAAGCATCCTTACATTCGCCCGTTGAAAGGTCTGTAGGAACAGGGCTCTTCTTTTGTATATAAGAAAGTCATGGTCGACTTACGCTCGCCATCAGGGCCACCAATATTGTCACCGCAGCTGATTGCCAGAGTCTTGAACTATCTCGAAGACGACCAAGTTGCTACTTTGCAACTCGTGAATAAAACATGGAGTCAGGCTGCAGCCATTAGGCTCTACGAAACCATATATTTGTCTTCGGAGGAATCTATACATGATATGACATCACGCTTATTACGTGGTGGTGTTGTCTCGTATGGTCTGTTTGTCAAGGCGCTTGTAATAGATGACGCAGAAGACGACGACATTCTGATGGTGGGGGATATACAGATTCTTATTCAGCTTACTCCTAATCTGCAGACATTGCAGATTCATTCTATGGTTGCGTCGAATATCGTTTGTCAGAATGTGTCGGATTACTTGCAAGGTTTGCTGATTTTTTGAATCACATATTTGCAGACCAAATGACACTAATTCGAATATATGATTATAGCGCTGCGGCATCTGGATTTGAAAAACTGCTTGTGTATATCAAATGCAGTGTTGCCCGTACTAGTCAAACGGTGCATACATCTAGAACACATAGATCTTTCGTATACGTCTGTAACTCCAGCATCCGTGACTATGCTCTTGCCCGATGCACCGAGTCTAAAGAGACTAGTAATGGATGGCTGCACGACGGTGCCTCCAGGAACCGATACCTTTATACCCACGTTAAACCATCAGAGACGATCAACATTACAACACTTTTCAGCTGTCGACTCGGATGTATCTGATGAATACGCTAGATATGTTGCCTCTGCATGTCCTCAACTGTTGGCTCTTAATCTCTCTGGCTGTCAGATATCGGATGAAACATTGATATGTGTTGCTCGATCATGTAGTTTATTAGAGCATCTAGATGTCTCCTTTTCGCATCTAGTCACAGACGTCGGACTCTTTGCATTAGCAGCTTTTGCGAGCAACTTGAAGGAGTTATTGTGTGCTGGCTGTGAGAATGTTAGTCAGGCAGGAGTAGTAGCACTATGTAGGAAGTGTAAATACTTGAACGAGATCGTATTGCATGGATGTGCAAGTCTAGTGAATTCATTTATAGCAGACTACGCGGGTGTCAATGAAGAGAGTCTGAATTTTGTATTGTCGAGTAAGGGTATTGAATGGGTAGCTGGTCAGGAAATAAATGGAAACTTGGATGGCAGTAGCCAGATGACTAGAGGTATACAAACCGAGATTCAAGACGAGTCTTCGGATGACGATGAGCCGCTGCAAAAGGAACTCATTCAGATGGACGACCCAATGAGCCCTGTCAATAACTCCAGTAAATATGCCCAGGCGGCACTGCTGAAGCTCGCTTCAGCTATAGTGTCTGGAAACTATGTACCTGGTCAAACAAACCAAATCCATCATAAAGAGTCAGCTGTAGCGCGCGGTGCTCCAACACCGCCAGCTACACCGCCATCTCAAAGTCTTATGGATTCCAATGATCTAGACGATGCGCTAGTCTTGTCGCCATTGCTTCCTGCTTTTGGTGGCATCAAGCCAAATGACCACAGTAACAACAGTATGCCGTCTCAAAATGCATCATATATTCCACAACCAAAGCCAGCATCCAACAAGGTCATAAATGGCATCCACAAAAATAATGATGGTAGCGTAAATATGTCAAGTGTAAATGGAAACCATAATCATCGTAGCTCTGTAAATGGTCGATATTCCCCGATACCTAGTACATTATCATCTGTAACCACTCCTGTAATGACTCCTGTAGTTAGTCCTACAATGAGTGCTAGGAGCACACCAGAACCTAAAGATGAATTTAGTAGACGAATGGCCGTACTTGAACCACAACGAATAGATATCAGCCAAAAGAAGGTGATCGATCTTAAACCGCCTGCACGAAGAGAATCGTTTGGGAAATCAACCTGGGAGATGAATGGTAATTCATCATGGGACGCTCTGCCGAATCATCTAAAGGGAGCTTCAGTACCACATCAACCAATGAGGGTAATATCACCTATAGAAAATGGTAATGGTAGTACTAGTGTTACATATAAACCTAGAGCAGGTCGTATGAAGATGGTTGAAGATCATTCTTTGACTGGTCGCTCTGTCTCTCCTAGTCGTCACTCATCGACAAGAAACACTAAAGCTAGTGGTTCTACGGTCCTAGCACCAAGAAAACCAGTAACGCTGACTGCATCCACTGTATCGCGCTCACCAAAAATTGGTGGCAGAGCTTCTCCAACCAGTGGTAGAACATCACCTCTAGTCGTACGACGCTCAGAAGACAAGTGGATAGCTGGTGGTAGTAGTACTGGTAGAACGTCACCCGTGGTAGTAGAACAACGGCCAGATTCAGGACTTGCTATCAGAATGAACGAGTCTGAACTAGAGCCTAGTAGTTACTTGCCTTTGCCTCAGTTTAGAGGCAGGGTAAGGTTTTAGAATCGAAGAGACACCATAATATAATGTAATCAATCAACACCATCATGTAAAAAAAAGCGCACATGGGGCAAAAGTCAATATAGAACAATACAGAAGAAGAACGGTTATGTGACTCGCGGTTGGGTTGACAAGTGTCAACTAACATTCTTGCAAAACTTTTGCATTCCTCGCCTAGCCTGGTTCAACCTGGTTCATTTGGTTATGCTGCTTGAGAGATTAAAGATGTGTATCTGTAAACATACATACACTACTTTTGTTTCACTACTATGAATTCAATTAACAAGTATACTCGACACTAAAATGTAACTGGATGAACGCAAATAGAGTGAGTCCAGGCGTTCCGTTCCATATAAAGTGCTGGAGCTTGTCCATCTCGTTGTATCATCTGCAAAATATTGCCATGTTTGAAACTAACCTCGCATCCGGCACTTCAATGGGGGCAACTTACATCCTATTCGGACAGTCTTTCACCACGATCAGCATCATCGACTTGATGACCAGCCAACTCCTTATCAAATCGATTTACAGCTGGAGCAGGAGTTGGTGATGGCGTTGGAGGACCTCCAGCTCGTAAACAACTGCCCAGCACTTCCCTCACTCGTGCAGCATCATCCGGCATACACAAAACCTTCAACTCACACCGGTACTCCAATGGTCCACGCCCACGTATCCTACACTCCACAGATACAAGATGCCGATCCATAACTGGGGCCAATCGAGCAGCAATATTCTTATCTACGTGTCCAACTTGCACGTTTGATTCGTTGTACACTTGGATCGCGTTCAGGTCTTTGAGGTTTTCGAGCTCACGAGTCAGTGAAATAAGTTCACCAGGTTGAATGTCACCATTGTAGTACTGTGTACCTTTGATGGTGGTTTTGATGACTCCGATTAGAATTTGGCGAGGGTGTGACGATATTATGTTGTTGTTGGATTCGGATTGTGTAGCAGGTTTGTGAGGTTTACAGTCAATCACGCTATGATCATTCCTTTTATCGTGAGTGGGAGTGGTGGGAGCCATTCCGAGAGTGGGGGTAATGGGAGCCAACCCGAGAGCTTGAGTTGTTGGAATGTATCGATAATCAAGAACATGGGGTTCAGGAGGTTGTACCATAGATGGAGACGGTAAAGTTGCCTTTTCATCGGAGTTTGAGATGATGGGACGACGCTTGGTTTGAGGTCCAAGAGTCCTGAAGGTGCAAAGAAAACGACGATGACGTGTCAGCAGCCATCTACTAGAAGTTGACTGTCTCACAGAAAGACTCACGAATCTGATGAAGAGAGATTCTGATGCTCATCATCATCAGATTCAACCAAACTGTGCTTGTTTGACTTCTTTGTAGAAGCAACAGCTGTTGTCAGATCATGGTGTGGATGTTGATGAACTGGCTCAGTAGCGATGTCTGTATCAGCTTCTTCTGGTTCAGTATTCTCCACAGAAGAGCAGCTTCTGCGATCATGACCAGGTTGTTCTGGTCGAAAAAGGAAAAGAAGGGTAAAGAATGGTGTAGCATTGCTGGACTTTCAAGACTGTTCAAAGTCAGCGTGATAAAGCTTGATCCAACTTACTACAGATTCCAGACTTGCAATTTGAAGGATTCATGCTTAGTACTATCGCTGTTCTGTCGAGGTCTCGAGTCAAAGTGCTGTCGTTTTTTGTATCAAAACAATGGTCAAGTATAACCCCCGACGCAAAACAGGAAAGCGACCAAGAAAAACTATGAAGATTGGATGAATCAGGAACCAATGTTTTATTTCAGTCTGTATGACCCCATCCTTTTGATTCCCAAACGTCAACTTAGTTCAAATTGAAACCAAATCCATACATAGACTGACACGGGAAATGATAAACTTGTCTTTGATTTGAACATAAACTTGCTTCCTTAATATAATTACAGGAGTGCTATGATTTGATGTGACACTGATTTGAACACTTGGTAAAGAAGAGCAACGCGAAACTGCATGTCCAGATTTAGCTCTCCTTTAAAGGATTGGCCGTTCTTCTTCATCGCCTCCAAGAAGACGACGAAGATCTTCAGGACGGGATTCCCTGGTCTCTTTGGGCTTCTTGTCACCAAAGGCTGGAGCTGCCAGCTCTCGTTTGCGATTTTGAATATCTAGAACACGTTCTTCAACTGTGCCCTTCATCTAACAGATAACAGATAAGAGAGATAGGCAATTATCGTATTTACATTTTCAAACGAAGAGCAAGGTTAAGGTGATTAGAGTACGTGCCACAAGCTCTGTCAACAGCTTGATCCTCAATAAATAGAACTTGAGGAAGAGCTGTGAGCATGTATACTCAAAAGTATACGTCAGATCAATTCACACATATACAGACGGGTTCCACCAAATGTCTATGAAGAAGTCCATATTGGCCCGAGTGAGATTCAACCCAACATTTGCAGCCTGCGCAAGAGACAAGTGTCAGCCTTAAAATACCAGACGAGAACCACGCGACAGGCGTACCTTCAATGAAGCCAGAAATACCTGCACATTGAAAGCGACGAGCGTTTGACAGGAACAGCATGAAACATGGAAAACTGGCATAGACGTGACTAATGTCACTATAACCATATTTGACTAATTTAACTACTTTCTTATTATGTACACTAAGCGCAAGTGAACTACTACAGATGCGACATTAAGCCAGCGAGTATGGAAATCAAAATCCACACTATAGGACTTCCGGAGGAGCGCGGCGATGCAGCACTTGGAGTCAGGGTATTATTGTTCGAATAGAACGAGAACGGCAAAGTTCCAGTTCCATTTTCATAAGCCAAAGAACTGACGGCTCGAACTCCAACAAATGCGGCAGGATGGCTGCAAAAGTATTAACGTGTAAGCTTTGATTTTCAACCATCGCTCATGATTCAAATACGTGTTTCTTTCAACTTACGATGAATTGGCTTTATCACAACCACAACCAGGAGCAAAACCAATTCGAGAATTGTCACGGTCGAAAACGGTGTAGACAGAATTCAACCATGAAGCTCCCAAGTTGATATAATTGACGGAGGTAGATTGTGGAAGGACGGTGAAGACGTAGCCATTTACTGGGTCGAGCTGGATGTATTGGTGGCCAAAAATGGTGACTGTGACAACGGATGTCGAATTCATCACCATGTCAATGGTTAGGGAAGGCAGAGCAGCCCAGTTGATGCTACTTCCGGCACTCTATAGTATAATGAGATTAATATTATGAGATATGATTCTGAGATGAATCTCCAACCAACCAAAAAACCGTTGCGATAAGACATTCTAATAGCGTTGCAAACTCACTGCACGTATTCCAATTTGGTAATTGAAAAATGGGTTAGTCTGATCATTGCCATATCCAGACAATCCAGGGATGGCATTACTAGACAAGACAGCAAGCGCAAGTGTCTTCCAAGCATTCGTAGTCAAATAGATTAAACTTGTACAGGTATCCACAATACTCCACTGTCCATAAGCATTAGAGGTTTGGAATGCAGCCGGTAAGGTAGTAAATTGTCCATTCACAGCAATCCCCAAGACTTGAATCGTATACCATGCCTGATATGGCGTGTTTGCCCATCCGACAACACCAGATGACGAACACGTCAATGCATCATTTGTGCCTCCAATATCCATCGCCGAACTACCGGAATACACGTAAGGACATGCACGGAATGCGATGGTGTTTGACACAGTGCCGGGGTTTTGAGCGACGAGCGCTTCAAATACGGTAGATGGGCTGGTTGCTGAGGACGGTTGATATGAGGATAGGGAACGGTATGCAATACCCAAGAGACCAGTTGAGCCAGTAGTTCCGTCCATGACTTTGGGGTTTTGGGATTGGGATGTTACTGCTATTAGTGGTGACGCAGCTGATATGCTAGTGCCATAAAGCGTTACTGTGTCTTGATAGATGTATCCAGTCCAGCTGGAGCCTTCCGCAAACGATTGCGACACGGATTGGGCCTGTAGTAGTGTTTGACCTGTTGTGGACCATGTTGGTGCTGATGACGATGTTGTAAACCCCGCTAGATTAGTAGTAGGTAGAATCAAATTCGACGATCCCGAGTCCACTTCCACATTAAACTATTTAATTGAAAGCAAGATGTTGTATAAGTAGGCAGTCAATCACACGACGCAACACGAAAAATTAAATTCAAACTACGCGACAAACTCACAGTTTTTCCTTGTATGCTTAGATTAATTAAGTAACAAGTCTTTATACCACCTCCCATAGATGGTTCTTTACCTCCACTTGCAGTTGTTTGGTATCGTGCCATGCCAGAACCTTGAATTGTCGAGTCTGATAAATTTGCATACGGGGCAGTGAATAAAGGGACAGTTATGGCGTGTACAAGCGGTAAAGCTAATGAAAAAGCTACTAGATGTCGCATCCTCGATGTATTTCGTGTTGGTAAAGTTTACAGGACACTTCTGGTAGTAGAAGGAAGCCAGGATTGGGGTCCAAATAAGAACACGAATCAAGGACGTCAAGGCCGCGTTCTTGAAGCTTCTCTCCAAACTCTACGTTGTAGGTCTCATATCCTCGCGTTCATCGAGAAGCTCCTTGTTGCGGCAATTTCTCATGACAGTGTGATGTGTTAAAAACACCAGACCCGCGAAAAGGAAGATAAGGTATATCGACTTTATTAAAATATCAAGATTAATTGCCTTATCGTTTAGCCTTCTTTTGGCGCTTGACGTGATTTGTAAGTACACGCTATCAAGAATAAGAATATATAAGTCAACCAAAGACAAAAATTACAGAATCCAGTATAAGAACTCACCCTCTTCTCTCTCAACGATCTCTTGGCCTTATTCTTGACATCGCGTTTATGAATCATCATCATAAATGCCTTAGACTTCTTTGCCTTGACCTTGAATGGTTTTGGTTAAGTGTAAGCTTTTGTTTTTCAAACTAGCTTATAAAACAGCATACCTTGTTCGTAAGACTAGATCTCTCCGTCTTGTTTCTCTTCGACCCATACGAGTTGCCTTCACGACCAGCTTGGATACTAGCCATACGAGCATCGTAATCGTCCTTTCGTTTAATACCAGATGTAATGGTGGATTCATTCACTACATCACTAAGGACATACACTGTGAGATAAACGGATTTTGCCAGTGTAAAGTTTAGAAGAAAGCCTATTTGGCGTTACTTACGTGATACCCTCTTCGTCACTATCTTCTTGTTCCTCCTCTTCTTGAATCAGTCTCTTTCTCTTCTTCTGATTTGGATTGACACCAGTAATTTTCTCTACATCACGACCTTGTTTGCGGGCTCGGATAAGAGCAAAGTCTTCTTCCGTCAGGACCTAGAGTTTGAAATTCGAATCAAGCAAAAAAACGAGACCCTAAGCAAATTGCTGTCCAATACCTTCTGGGTACCGGCGATAACTTTGGCAGCTACTGGAACGCCATCTTCCGTAACAGTAACCTTATCAGCAGGTAACATGGCTGAATCTTCTTCAGCAGCATCACTCTCTACTTCTTCGTCTTCTGCGTCGCTATCATCGACGGCTTCGTCAATGTCACCTTCCATATCCTCGCCATCGACTTCTTCGATGTCATCATCGTCTTCTATCTCCTCCCATTCGCCCTCTTCTTCCCCATCGTCTTCAACGACTACTTCTTCAGCATCAGATTCATTGCCATCTTCTTCATCGGATGACTGGTCGTCCTCTTCAATCCATCCTTCAAAGCCATCTTCCAGCAGAGATTGTTCTTCGATATCTTCTTCTTTCTCCTCGAGCAACTACAACGGATGATATGTCAGGATCAAAAGCAAAAACAAGGATACAGACATAGATTGGATCATTCCCCCCAGATAATGCTTTGACTAACCTCGATGCCTTCTACATCCGACGAGACTTTAACTTGCCCATACACCATCTTGGAGGTAGCAAAGCCCTTCCTCCTCTGCTCTTGTAAGGTCAAAGACACAGACTTGCCACGATCCTTCTTTCTCAGCATTTCAGGATTGATTTCACGATACAATCCAATCAAGGAACGTGCTGCCATCATAGGTCCCTTCTCACGATGATTTTTGTAATCGTCTACTAGACTGTGCAGTAACGTCTCACTCATAGCTAAAGGACACCTTGAGCAGACTTCTCGTAAAGCATTCATGCCAGCAACGACTACTTCACTAGCGACATTATTCCACACAAAATGGTTTGCGATGGCGTCTACGAGCAGACTGCCAGCTTCGGGAGGCACGATGTCGTGACATGCTTGCGCGGCGTATGCGAGTATCTTTGTGGCTTCACGCTGTTGTGGGCGGAGATATGGGACAAAGTAGTCGTAGAAGGGGAGGAGGATGAGTTTGTGGATTCCGACTAGACGACTGATTAAATCCATGATGGAAAGACGGAGCTCGAAACGGAGAGCTGAGGTGTTTGTAGCTAATTTCAGGCGAGCAAACAACTTTTCAGCAAAGCCTAGACAATGACACAAAAAATCCGAAGTCAGTATCCCTGATTCTCGAGAAAGAACCAACTACTTCGAATACCTTGAGGGTCATTCAGCAAATGAATTGCAGAAAAGTTAAAGCTCTCTGCTCGGTTCTTTGCTCTTGCTTTCTACAAGTTGATGATGATGTATATTAGTAAGGACTTCTTTTAACGGCGCGCACAGAACAATCCACCTACTCTTTTGACTGAGGCAACAGCACGATCAATCTGTGTTCTTCTTGACCGTTTCTTCTTGTTGATGTGAAGAGTGTGCTTCATAGCACCAACATCAGGTCCCTAATAATTCGATTATGAATTTAGCAAAAAAAAAACCCAAGAGAATTCATGTCATGTTTCTCGATTATACCTGATCCTCTTCACCATCCGAGTCTTCACCCGACTTTTCGTTCACCGACAAGAAAAAGTTGACGGCAGTAGCCACAATCTTGGGTGATGTAGACAGACATGCTTCGGCAATGATATTTACAGTTTTAGCGTCATTCCAGACATTCTTCTTGTACAAGTCAATCATAGCTTCTAGTGACTTTTTAGCAGCAATCTGTAAAAATGGACAGTGTAAGCATGATACCAACCCAACTTGGACTCACACGATACTTACATCTGAAGGATCCTTGAGCATGGTGTACATGAAATTCTGCAGGTACTTGTTGAGTTTATTGTTCTTTCCTTTAACATTCTGACTTTTGATGTCATTGACGATATGAGAATGCAAGAGTGTTCGCAGCTGCTTGTCCTTTACACGAAATAGTGTAAAACACAGTGATAGTAGTGCAGTTGAGGGGATTAGATCACGATTTCGAAGTAGGATCAAGACTTGGACCAAAGTTTTTCGTAAATCAGCATCCATGGTTGCACTGTGAGCAGTCAGCAAATCGACGAGATCTTGTGGGAATGTTTTGCATTCGTTTGGATAACATGCTGCGACCTAAACGTGTGTGATGTTGGTTGGTTGACGTCCGTAAGAGCTCTTGAGGTCGTTTTTTCTTCCAACAATTTAAATGATCCAAGCTTTTAAAGCTGATCCAAGCGGTTGCGATAGAAATAAAGAGATGAAAGCTTACATGACCAACAAAATGGACCAATTCAGCTAGATTTTGGTTGTCTTGCTCTGTGCTGGGATGCGTTCCAAAAAGTGACAAACTCGCTTGCAACCGTGCTTTTTGCTGTAGGAATTCCTCCTTGTATGAAGATGGATCTCGCTTGACAAGGTTCTGTAGCTGAGGTAAGTTGAATGGCAACGTGTCCTTGCCTCGTCGTCCCATCTTTAATAGAGCGACCGGTCCTTTTCTTTTAATTGCTGAAAACTTCGGGTTGCCAATTTGGATTTTGGAACAAGCGACTCAGATGCACGGATTATTCGTGACTTAGAAGTGTATTGATTGCATTCTTTAATTCACTTTGGAGCTCCATTTACAAACAACACCAAAATCAACCCAAACATTAAAACTCACAACATACAACTGTTTCTCGTACAGATCATGACCACATCGCAAACAGCTGTCTCGTCATCTTTCTTAAGGAACAAGCTGCCACCATTCCAAAGATTTATTACGCCCCTATACTTTGAATTCTTTAGTGATGACAGGCCAGTAAACATAACAGACTCCAAACCAGCTCCCAGCAACGTGGTAGTAGAGGTGCACCAGAGCCTGGAGAATGTAAATTGTGTCTGGGATGCTTGTACGATATTCTGTGGGTACCTGATTGCCAACTCTGAAAGTGTCTTTGCCCTGTGCCAGCCGCCAGGAGACGTGTTTCGTGTTTTGGAGATTGGGAGTGGGTCTGGATTGCTGGGTATAGTCGCACTACTCGCACTCAAGCCAGTGTGTCATCGGCATAATAAACAGTTGCAGGTGTGTATGACTGACTTGGAAGAGGAACTGGACGTGATCAAACAAACTGTAGCTGCCAACTTTAGCGAGCTAGAAAGCAAACCTCTAGTCGAAGCATTAGAGTGGGGATCTACAGAGCAGTATGAATCCCTAATACTGAAGCTGGAAGGGGACGAGTTGGATGTTGTTCTAGCAACAGATGTGGTCTACGAGATTCAGCACTTTGATTTGCTCTTTCGCACTTTAAAGCTGCTACTAAGGCCAAACACGTTATTTATCATGGCAATGGAACGTAGATGGAGTGATATAACAAGGTTCTTTTGGGACGATGCCAAGTCATATGGCTTCAATTACGAAATGCTGCCCAAAAGTAATGTTGGTGACGGGCCGTGGTGGGAAATGCCTCATATAGATATATATTTCATTAGGAAGGTGATTGTAGAGACGAACGATGATGTAGAATAATGCGTAAATAAAAGATGAGCTTCAATAGTATAAGTGTCAAACACTTTGCGATAGATCTTGCGTGGACCAAGCGGTTCAAGGTCGAGATTATTTGATTTGACACGTACAGCTTCGTGCTCTACACATGAAGGTAAGTGCCTCTTCGCCCTGTTCCAATGTGGTTCAACACCTCCTCTCTAATTTTCAAAAAACACGGATCGCAGTCCAACGCTAAGAATGGCAATTGAAAATAAGCCTGCGGGCAGTCTCAAAGTCAAGACATTACAAATCCATTGGCATGACAAGCAGGCAGTTTACAGCGTCGACTTTGAGCCTGGAACATCTGAAAGGTTTGCTACTGGAGGTGCTGACAATGCTGTGCGAGTAAGTGAAATAGACGTGGTCCTTATTAATGATCTAATATATTCTAACATTACTTATTACTGCTAGATCTGGAAGATTCAAAAGAGCGAGACTGAACCACCAAATATTCAGTTCAGATCTACCTTGTCAAGACACAGCGCAGCAGTCAATGTCGTTCGCTGGTCCCCAAAAGGTTGGACAATAGATTGAATCTTTATTCCTAATTATGTCATCGTTCTGATATCGCCTGTCTCCTAATTAGGCGGTGTCTTGGCCACTGGTGGTGATGGTAAGCGACGATCAGATGCTCGTTGTTGGAGCATTCCTTTTCGTGATTAACACGGACCGATCGCAACTTAGATGCCTCAATTATATTATGGCGTGAAGCTCCACATACTGCTGCTACACAATCTGCTGGAAACATTGCTGATGAAGACGAAGAAGAGAATCTGGAAACATGGCGATTGCATAATCACCTAAAGATACCAACTGGACGTGAAATTTATGATCTGGCATGGTCTCCTGACGCTAATTATATCATATCTGCGTGCTTTGATAACGTCGCTCGAATATGGGATACACGCGATGGTGAGAGCATTCACCATATCGATTGGTCCCGCCTTTTTTGGTTTGACGCTTCCTTGCAAACTGGTAGGTAAATGCATTCATGCTATTGAGGATCATACTCATGTTGTGCAAGGAGTGGCATGGGATCCTCTAGAACAGTATCTCGCTACACAGAGTAGCGATAGGTTAGTAAGACCCCAAAAATACACTTGTAAACATGACTTAACATGGACCTTTCAATAGATCCGTTCACATTTATTCATACGACATCAAACCCACCGGTGTTACTGTGAAACGTCTTGCATCTCACTCCCGAATCGACACTCTTCAACCAGCAGAGCCATCAGGCAGTAGAAGCAATACTCCAATACCACCACCGCAATCGTCACCGACGAAGCCTGCTGCTGCATCATCATCAGCTGCACCTATTCCAGAAGTGCCTGTACCTGCCCCTGTATTACAACCACCCACAAAAATGAGAATGTATCGTGACGAGACCTTAGTGAGCTTCTTTAGAAGACTCACATTCTCTCCTGATGGATCGTTGCTGATAACTCCAACTGGACAATACAAGTTGGGTACAGGCAAGAATGACATTGTGCGAAACGCAACTTTTGTGTATACGAGAGGTGGAATAAGAAAGTAAGAGACCAAACAAGCGGAAACTGATAGCCTGAATTACTGACGACAACAATATCGTAGACAGCCAGTCGTAATATTACCAAATATGAAGAAACCGTCAATAGCTGTTCGATTCAATCCTAGATTCTATGAATTAGAGGAACGACAGACTCAAGCCACATTTTTATTACCACATCGTCTCATATTTGCTGTCGCTGCTCAAGATGCTGTCCTCATTTATGACACTCAAGCAGCAACACCACTTGCATTGATGAAGAATCTGCATTATGCTACGATCAATGATATTGCATGGTACGTCACCTCATTGTTCTATAAATTTGAGGGATTGGTCACCTCTTGTTCTTGCTGAACTATCACTGATTCAAATGGCTGGCAAACAGGTCGTATGATGGAACAACTCTCATGTTAGTGTCTTCTGATGGGTTTTGCTCAATGGTCGTCTTTGATAAAGAAGAACTCGGTATGGTTATTGCTCGAGACCCTACTGCTGCTATGGACGGTGTAGAAATCCTGAGTACGGGTGTTACTGTCCCTGATAATGTCGCAATGAGGGACAATGATGTCGAAATGATTGTAGACGATGATGAATCTCGCATGCCTGACAAGAAGAATGAGGGTGCTTTATCACAGGTAACGGGATTATGTGTTTGGCTCTTGAAAGGCTTGCGACAGGTCTAACGTGGGATTTTAGGCCAAGCTCATGAAATTCGATATGGCTGGTAGTGCTGCAGATCCAGTACGTATTGACAGTGTTGAACCTATAGACGTTGATAGTGTTGAGCAGACCATAGAGGTTGAACAAACTGTGCTTTGACCATCATTCTGTACATCGTAGAGCAAAAACCTAAACCAATGAATGTTTAATAGTATGTACCAAAGGCGCACTCGTTTTTTGCAGTTCCCGTTTATTGAATGTAGCAGATATAAACATATTGTTTATGACACATGATATGAGCAGAGTGAAGTGATATCATTCCGGATAGAAGCAAAAGCTTTAATCAGGGTAACATTCTGTCCAAGTTAAATATAGCTGAAATGAGACTGAGATGCGTGAATGCTTGCGGGAAGTTGCCGAGGCATTCACCGGTCTAGCGGGCGCGAGACGTTATTGGAGGAATGCCAGAAAAGGAGACCGACGCTTCGGCTGATGCTGCATGTTGAGACAAACCTTGGTGACTTGTTCTGAAAACAGATTGAGAGAGTTGCCATATGATACCGTCTAACAAAGCAGTTGAGAGAGATGGTTTGTAACTCTGTGTATGCACATTTCACATCGACGATTCGTCAATGCACATCGACCATCCGGCTTTTTTTTACCTGTTCAAATAATGTGAGGGCTGTCTGAAGCAGTGACGGATCATGTTTGCCTGCTCGAGTAAGAGCTTCGACAAGCCAGAATGTACCTGTGTTGGATATGTTTGGCATCAGCGAAAAAAAGCAAGCAGAGTAAAATCAATGCTTTGTCTTAATACATACACATCAGGAAAGCACCTTCAGAACCAGTCAATCCATCATGATAAGACCAATGATTGTATCGGTATACGAGTCCGTTCAACGTGAGACCACCTGCATAAAAAGGTGTAGAAGTTCATGAAAAGCTACGTTTACGTAAATCAAGCCAACCGCCAACCTTTCTCTGGTGGTTTCATGATTCGAGCTATAGTTGACAGAATTCGTGGGTCGACCGGAGAGCAGAAAAAGACCATTGGCATAATTAGGACTCCAGCATCGAGTGTTCCTGAAAAGATACGTTTAGTATGATGGTTTTGTTAACGTCCTTTACATGTCATTTGTTACCTTCATCACGTCCTTCATAAGATTGCGTAAAAGTTTGCAGAGTCGGATTCCAACCTTTGGTCATGATTTCTTCATAGATCTACCAAAACTCCATGAGACAAAAGAGACATACGCCCAAATGTTTCAATTTACCTGATCCCGCACAGCATACCACCTCGCCCGATCTACACAAGGCAAACTCCTCTTCTCCAATAAGCGAATACCACGATCAAGACCAACCCAACACATAACTTTAGAAAACAGAAATTCACGAGGATTGCTACGAATCTCCCATATACTCATATCAGGACGATGGAAATTGTCACAGATGTAGTTGACGATTTTTCGTACTGATACCCAGGTATCGTATCCGATTGGTGCACGGTACTTGTTGTAGAGGTAGACAGAGTCCATTAGTGCGCCGTATATGTCTAGCTGGAGGTGGTCGCGTGCACCGTTGCCGACTCGGACTGGTTTCGAGCCGCGGTTTCCTTCTAGGTGGGGGAGTATGCGTTCTTCGGGGACACGGCCGCCATCGACGGTGTACATTACGGATAGGGAGCCGTCAGCTTTCTAGTAATGCAAAAAACAGAACTTGATGAGCTACATATTGATATCTGGCTGTCTCCTGATGACAAAACAACATACCGCATCCTTGAGTCTTGCTTCAATCCACCTATATGCGAATACATCATTCAACTTAAGCGAAAAAAATGAAGTAGTGTAAAAGACCACACCTCATGTAAGCTTCAGCTTCATCCGTCAACCCAATACGAATGAAAGAATATATGCAAAACGCACTATCTCGTATCCAAACATATCTAAGCAATGCCGACTTTTAGAAACTCATCTAAAGGACTCTTTAGAAACTCATCTAAAGGACTCCACAAAACGCCGTTACCTATAATCCCAGTTCCTCACTCCACCAATCTCTTCAGGTAGTCCAAATGTTGGAGATGCGACAATGGCACCTGATGGTTCATACGTCAGTAGTTTGAGTACCAGAGCACTGCGTTCAACTAGTTCTCGGTGCCTTCCTTTATCTAAGATCGGAACATATTGCAAAGTCAGTTGACTTCTTGAGTTCATGATAGAGATTTTTTTTTGGTTACAAATGCCATTCTTACAATTTGACTTTCGAATCCATTCCAACCAATATTCCATAGTTTGAGCCTTGAGAGCTGATAACAATGACCAAGTGAGTAGCGGATCCAAATTGCCGGCGATGGTGTCAGTTTGACGAAAGACAAAGGCAACACTCTGTCCCTCTTCTAGCTTGAAATCTGCAAAGGCTTTTGGCCCGCGAGAGCCATCAATAAGTTTCCACTGTATTGGTATTACTGGATTCTCGCTATCTGAAACAGAGCGCAAGTCAACTTCAAATCCACTCTCTGACGTGAACCTGGATCAAACCAAAGTGTAAGTATGCAAGTTGCAGTATTTATAACAAACAATACCTACACAACTCGACTTTTCTTGAGATGAGATTCACTATTCGTCAATGTCTCATCTTTGACGTCCAACCCATCAACTTTAGCAACATGCTTCTCCGTCGCATACCCAAATCCAGGCTCACAGCTAACATTCACAACCACAGACCCTCTAACGCACTCTACAATGCGAATCAGCCACGGCAACAAAGGTTTTGTGACCCTTTGTCGCTCGTTCCGGTGAAAGAAATCCGTCAACTGTAAGACACCCTCATCAAACAAGAATCGTGTTTGCAAGATGTTTGTAGCGAGTAGATATTGCTGTTTAGCGTTAATTCCATCGTTTGTGGTTGGTTGGATTGAGAAATGTCCTGCGTCAACGTCGAGGATTTTAGCAAAGATCGATGGACTGTCGAAGCGAGGTAGACACATGAAATCAATAGATCCATCGTTTGAGACTAGTGCAGCAGTCCTAGATGGCAAGGTGCATTAGTATTAAGCGAACTCTATCAACAAAAAGAACCAATGCGATGTTATGGTTCCAAACATGGGATCAAGGCAGATACCTCATGTTTCCAATCATTCCATGCTCCTGATTGATTTTACTGTTTGAAGCTGTCGACATTGTGAGTATTTTGGCTAACAGTGAGCTTTCAATGGGCTAGCTTGTTGCGGCAAAAACCTTACTTCTCAACTGTTTGACGAAATCAGGTGCCAGTCGCGCGCTTGACGGTGCATTGGAATATAGATAAAGTATAGAGCGATGGAAATATTCTCGTATTTTACGTTTTGCAATATTATTACGTCGAAATAAATTTATTGCAATAAGGGTAGTTACTTCCAGCAGCGATTGATAAGCGACCAAATCCAAGAGCAAAGCATAGGAGATGCACGATATGTATGCAGAAAGAAATTGTTAGTAGCTACTCCTCACCACAAATGGAGCCACTCCCAGGCAGCCCAAACAGCAGCTTCCAGCGAATAAGAGACCAAATCCAAGAGCGAAGAAGAAGACATTCGTGATAGCTATATGAGGACATTGGTAGCTACTTCCCCCACCACTACTGAACCGCGTAAATCGCTTCAGCTAGTAGCTGCACCAGCAATGGAAGTTCGCAAGAGAGACCTGACACAATTCAATCCACCTCGGTGGTACGATTCACTCCAAGAAAGTTTAGGTATGAGATGCACAAGAGATCGGTGTGTGTTCGCATTCTTTTTTCTCTTTTAACTCGCGTCACGAGTGGGATGCGTCGTTTTCAACTATTTTCGAGTTTCATTAATACAACTTAGCGAGCGAGGCAAAACCTTGATGCAATGTTGGAGACTCTATACAACAAAAACGATGTCCCACAATCGCAGTCTTCTCAATACACTACTCGCTCGTTATCATCACACCCAATTCACCACACACATACCAAACGATTAGCCAACCTCAATAGTCCAATGCGCATACAGAGTCGACAAATCTTCCTCCCGACTAGCCTTCTCACTAGTCCACATCCTCATAAACTTGACGATATTTTCAAACCCAGCGCCCTCAACAATAGATTTAGCATTACCATTATCTACCGCTACATCAGCATACAATGGCACACCCTTCAACCCATTTTGCCCCAACGCCACCTTCAACAATGTTTTTGCAATATCAGGTGTATTAGCACTCCAGGGTCCTAATTTGTATCCATCAAAACACGACCTTATTCCAGCCATTCCTTTGATGGTTCCAGTCTTTTCATCGACAGCGACCCAAGCGTGAGATTTCGGTTGAGCGAAATAGGATTCGATGAAATGTTGATTGCGTTCCAGGGATGATACTGTTGTGTCGTAATCACGGATTGAATGCCAGGGTACTGATGATATGGGTTTGATGATTACGTCTGTCAGGTCTTTGGCCTCGATGTGAGTCTCGCCAAAGCTACCCTTGTATCGGACATTCCACCTGCGTTGTTTAGATTTGTGAGATTGAGAGGTAAAGACATCACCTTAAAAGTTACCTTGTAGAACTGAATCCAGACTTGGTATAATTACTGATCTGCTCTTCGACGGCATCAAGAGCAGAGTGTCGTCCTTCCAAGTACTTCATTCCATGTTGGAAAAGTGGCAAGCCAAATCCTGTCAACATTGTAAGCATTTGTAAACATTGAGCAACACGTCCAAATCAGTGACGTAGCATTCTAAACGAAGCTCACCACCACCGCGATGCGCTTCATCAACAATGTAGCATCCAATGAAACCTTTCGACGTTCCATATCTGATGGCACAGATACATCCGACTATAACACCATTCAGTACACCAACGAAATAACCATGTGGATCACTCATATAGAAGGCCTCATAATCATACGCTCCCTAATGTTGGTGAAAGACATGCGCGTCAGCAGTCCGACATTCGAATTCAAATGTAACATAGCTTTTGCGAAAAACAGTCTATCGAAATGAGTTGAAAACAGCACAAAGCACAAGGTTCGGAAATTAAACTGATATTTCTTTCATCGAGAGCTCTTTCGCACGTCACTGCCATGCTTGCAACAAACGCTCACCTTGTTCCATTCAAGTTTGTTGGCTTGAACCATGGTCCAAGTCTTCCATTCCTCCATTGTTCCTTTCCTTATGATGTATCCTGGCGGCAAGGCAGCTGGAGCAACCATCTTGTACGTCAGCTAGTTGGTTCGTTTGTGAGCTGAGATTGAACTCGAATGTGTCATTTGGAACGACTAATCCGGTGACTTTGCCTAATCCAGACGATGATTCACGCTTCGATGCGAATGCACAATGGATTACTTTCGTTGCGGTTCAGAAATCAACACATTTGGTGTTCCACTGTCAAATATTGGAACCAGGAACACTCAACCCCGTCTTCTTTTGTTTGATAACTTCAAATGTATTATTTGTTATTTTCCTATTATACGACACTCTACTGCTAGCTCTTACAAAGGCTTGCACATGCTTCTGTGTGTGTTGTATTTTTCACTCCATTCATCAAGCTATTTGACAACACTGGGGGGGTTTTCGGTCCAACGCTATCTATGCAATCACCGCCACTATGGCAAACACCGCAACTCCAGCGATAAAGCTAAATGCCAAATTGCTGCCAAAATGCTGTGGTTGCCTTATCGAGCCTGATGTGATTGCTTGTGGTGTCGATGTAGCTAATGGTGCTAGACCTGTCGGAGCCATGGTAGCCGCGACAGTTGCAGTGGTGGTGGTAATAGTCGCTCCAGGACTGTATGCACTATATGGTCCTTGAACGTATGATAATACTGATGGGACTTGGGTTACTGGTAGTGCTGATGGCGATCCAGATGGAGGCGAGCCTTGCCTGATTATTATGAAATAGACGTTAATACCGCCGAGTCAATTTGAAAACGTGGGGTTGACCTACTTGGGAAGCTCTGCTACTCCTGACGTAAATCCTGCGCCATAATTACCAGGTATAGCAACCTAGGAAACAAAGTCTAAGATTCTTTTCATGGATGGACTGTGATATCAACGTTTCCAGCTTACTGGGCATCCATTATGAGGATTGTCTGCATTACATTGGTACCATCCTACACATGCCTGAATGCTAGAAGTTGAAGGAAATCGAGATTAGACTCTGTGGTTTCGAGATGTCTCACTTTGATTTACAAATGGCATCCTCATTTACCAGAACGTGTTCCCCACCAACAGAGCGACATATTCCGTATAGTTATTAACCTTCCCTCCTACGTAATCGAAATGAGTGAGAAACCAAGCCAACTTTGGAGGTAACATCAGCTCATACCTGGCGGACTGTTCACTTGCCATATACCGGTATTTGTAAAACTATCCGAGATTTGTGATTGTTAGCACATTCAGAGGTTGAGCACCGTTTCACCAGAAGATTTACTCACTCGTATTGACCACCTCCGTTTGAAGTCAAGTCATTTTGTACGAAAGGATATTTATCGACATTCAAAGTGCCAGTCACTTGTATTTTGGTATTTTCTGGATTGGTGACGACATGAGCGGAAGCAAAGAGGCCTTTAGGGAAGGCCTTTGCGCCGGGAGTTAGCCCTGCGACTGTACACCAGGCGGTAGCATCTGTGGCGATGGGGACACAACTGTTGTTGTATCGAGTATAGTTCTGTTGGCACCATGCACTTCCACAACATCCTTCAGACGTTCGAACTGTCACTCCAGAAGGAGGAAGCTGTTCCGGAGAAAACCAGCATGTTAGTAGGATTAAGATTTGATGAATATGACAGTCGCTACTCACCCATAGACAAAAGTTTTGGACTGTGTTGGCGGATAACAAGGGGAAGGAGTTAGAAACAGATAAAAAGGCGGGGTCGCGACATATAACCAAGGAGGCACTGAGTGCTATGTATCCAAAAGTACTTACGATCTAGAATTGTGGAGAGAGAAACGAGTAAGTAACAAGAAAATGTGTAATGAACGTGTGGTGGTCCGAAACCAAAGGTTTTTTGAATCACCGCAGACGAGGAAAGAAGAGGCTTACCCTGAATAACCAAATCCAATCCTTGGCCGCCCGCGCCCTGTATACGTATAGAGTGGTTAGAGTTGAATGGTGCTAGTCTTGGCGGTATTGGGAGCAGAAAAGAACCTACACAGGCCGGAATGACAGTCGAGTTACAGTAGTCTCCAGAGACTTGTGAGGTTGAGGTCCATAGCAGCAGTATGAGAGTCACAGCTAGCGGTATCATTTCCTATGATACAATGTAGCAGGCTCCAGTGATGAGAAGCTGCAATAGGTGTGTCTTGCCAAGGCTTTGTTTTTCATGTGGTGGGTGAGAAAAGAGAACAAGACCGCTGATTTTCAGACCTTTCGATGAATGAAGAACAATAATAGACCAGGAAGAGATTCACGTGCATATCACGCTGGAAATATACCTGTTTCACAGTCAATCTCGCTTACAATTAGCATCCGGACGTTTTCCGTTCAATGCTTTCAATGTGTAGCTTTTGTGTTTGTTGGGATGTAAAAGTGGCCATGCTTCGAGATCTGGCAGCGATTTTAGCACTCGAAATAGCATAAAATATAGTACCTAGTCTAGAAATACTTTTTTCCTCCCAATATTACGACGCATATCCTTGCTTACAACATTTCATATTCACAATCACAACGATGCTGCTGTTCAAAAATGAGTACCAGGTAAGGCCTGCATAGTCGCCATATGTTCATATCACTCATGATCATCGTATCTCTTAGGGCGGAGCCGATTTTACTATATTGGACAAGTCCTTGGAAAACTGGAAGATGGTCAAGATTGCAAAAGAGTATGAGCGAGAGGTCAAAGGTTACTGTCTATGTACCAAAGGAACAGGAAGCGCTTGCTTGCCAAAGGATCCGCTAAAGCAGTCTGGTACGAACTCGCATCGAGCTCGAGATCAATTGCTATTCATCAAATTGTGGTTGATGAATATGTCAAGCCGTTCCTTTCTGATCCATTCCACAAGAAACAATCTATCTATCTTCATTGAATTTGATCAAATCTATGCGAACTGATCAAGTATTCCTTATGCCTCGTCAACCTTTAGCTCACTTGGTTCAGCCATATCTGGTGCTGCAAATATGGGTTCCTCTGACGGCACCCTTGGCTCTGGAACTGAACTTGTCTGATGTGTCTGGAAGCAAGAGAAAGTTCTTAATGTCGGCTGCCTATCGAACCCTTCAAGTGACGCCACTACATGTATCAATTCCACTCTCAGAGTCATTACCTCGAGACACATGGGTGAATCTCGTCATAGACCTCAGCAGCTTAATCTCGGAAACGTTACGAGGTCAAACATTTAGATCTCTCGACGCCATTCATGTTACCGGTTCATTCAAACTACGGAGGATCTTTACACTCAAAGACAAGCCTTTCGATGTTGATCACTATGGTAAGCACAATCAACTTCGATGATAGATCAAACGCTCAAGTTTTTGTTATTGTGCTAGGAGAATCATCAGAACCCATACCGCGAGCAAACCAGTTCCCACCTGGCGTCGAATACACGTCACACTTCATATGCCTCGCCAGGGCTGAACCACTACAGAGAAACGAACAACCCGTAGAATCGCCAATACCGCAATTGCATATGGACGACAGCTCCAAGCCGCATATAGCGTTTGGACGTAAAGTAGCAGTAGGAGCTAGTCAGGCTCCATCAACAAAGACCTCACCAACACGGTTGCCAACATCACCAAAGAGACATGAAACAGGCTCTGAAGAACAGAGCAGATCCGTCTCTAGAGCATCAATTGCTAAACCTGTAGCTGTCGTTGCGGAACCTGCACCAGTTAAAAGACCTCATAAACCTATCCGCTCCCCACCCAAAGTTAGGATTGTGAAGCCTGATCCGTCGACCATGAAATCAAAACCAAGTGGTGGTGTTGTTGCGAAAACAGTGGTGTCGCTAGCGGTACCAGTGGCAATAGCTCAACCGATAGAGCAGATGGTCATCCCAAACGCTCCGTCTTATAATCCCTCAGTATATTCTGACGATTTGGACAGGGAAGAGCCACCAGATCAACTACATACCGAATTTGATGGTGAAAGCGGTGAGATGTCATTTCCTGTTCACACCCCTGCTCAAACCTCAAAGTAAGTGCAGATCAATTTGAATCAAAGGTTTGCAAGGTTCTTATATTTCACCTTTCGTAGATTGACGACGAGAATCCCATCGAGCTCCTTATCATCAACAGCTAAACCAAAGCCAACTCGCTCGAATATACCCTCACCTCGAACACGCCCATTGTCATCCAGTGCATCAAAGCCTACGGAATGTGTAGCAGAACCCGTCATGCAACAACCAGATAGACAGGAATTGCACCAGATGTCCCCTTTTGTCGCAATGGACAGCGGTGTATCACTGTCTGAAAACAAAGAGCCGGGTATGAAATCGATATTCGACGTTCTGGACAGGTATGTGACAATTGGAGCGGAAAATTGTGTCAACGTAGTTGGCTCACAGTCTACACCGACTAGTATAATACAAGACGAAGAGGCCGTGCTTTCAGAATCTGATCAAGCCATTGAAAGCCCTCATATTGCGAAAGCAGCTGAGTTACAACGTATCAACAGGTTGGTGGACGAGTCTACACTTTACAGGATGTTTCGGATTTCTAACTTGTGTCTCTACCAGACCTGAACTTGTACATACTGTGAAGGAACAGGCCCTAAATCTTTCAAAAGGCAAAGAAGCATCAGCAGCAATGGAACCAACTTCACCACATCTACAGAGTCATGAAGATGGGGATGACGCATCCAGTGAAAGTTCTGAGATTGAGGTGGTATTCGACCCTGTGAAAAATGTGTATGTAGATAGCACCGGAACTGTATACGAACTTGCAGTTTAAGCACCAACTTATACAACATAGATAATTATAAAAAAGATCCCGTGAATTGGTTTAAAAAATTACATTACAAAAGTTATAAAGTAAAAAATACCCCTTCTCGCCAAACCATAGTCGTCGCGGTGGCGTTACATTATATTTTAAGGGCCTGAATCGTACTTCCAAACGATATCGATACAAAGTCCGGCTGAGCTGTATTCCACGCCAGCTGATTAATTTCCGCGTCAGCGGTATAAGCCAGCAGTGGATCTCTCAATACTCTTTGTTTTGACTTCGAAACGTCCCATACCAGCGCCTGCGAATCATCTCCCGCTGTACAAATCAGTCCACTGGCATGCGGAGCCCAGCATATTGTATTCACTGTGGATGCATGGGCGTGTAGTTCGACTACTGGGACGGCGGGTACCCGAACATCCAGTATCAGGACAGTGTCTGACTCCATTTGGAAGGTTGCTATGTAGTTTGGATCCTGTTTGTTCCATGACAGACGCAGTAGCGGTGGGTTTTCTACTGGTGGCAAGGTTATTGATGTGGTGGTGGGGTTTGCGGTTGCCATTGAGGGGGATGGCGACATATTATTGTTAAAGTTGTTGTTGGAAGAGGATGATGGGTTTGATGATGGTGCTGGTGTTTCGTATATGATGGTTGAGTGGTCGAGTGACCTGTAAAGCATCAAACGGTTCCAGGGTCAGCTGTGTGAGCGAAAAGAAAAGAAACTGATGCCCAGATCATGGTGCGAGGCACGTACCGCAGATCAAACATTCTCACTGATCCATCAGCGCCCACACTAGCAAATACATCTGCCCCTCTTGCGAATGCCACGTCATATACTTCCTTGTCGTGAGCAATCAGTTGTGTTTTGGCTTGTTGTGTCTATGATGAGGTGTCAGTTTCTTCTCGTGTCCTTGAAATGCATGAATTTGATATGAAACATACATGTACATCCCACACTGTACACGTTGTATCTATACTGCTTGTGACGATGAGGTTTTGATCTGTCTCATTCCAATCGAATGATGTCAATGGTGCACAGAAATCTCGTTTACTCTACAAATGACGTGACGTTACAAAGAGTAGTGACCTGTTCAAACAACATGGGACCAACCTGTCCAATCCGCCTGACATTGGCCAATGTGGACCTGAGTGTTAGATTAGGTACGGGTCTAGCCCATTCTCCAATATGATTACTGGCGTTTGTTTCGAGTATATCGGATGACGGTAGCTCCCATATTCTCAAATAATCTCCTGTTGTGCCTAGCACATCTGGCGTGGACCCACCCTAAGACAACAAACTGAGGTTGGTATACACATCTCTTCACTCATACAGAAACACGAGCATGCCTTATACGGAGTCCACAGCAATTTAGTAATAGGATATGGATGATCTGCTTCAGCAATCTTGACGAGGTCAGCAGCATGATCCCATAATTGAATTATTTGCAACTAGAATCCAGAAATGTCAGAACATATTGAAATGATGGGACGCACCGAGATCCAAATTACTTGCCTTATTCCTGTACTCTTCTATGTAGGATCCGAGAGCTAGTCTAAATGTATTCGGTCTCTGTGACCAGTTTTGAGCATAGACAGGCCAAGGTGCGTTGTAGGTGTATATCTCTCGATAGGAGGAAGTCGGTATTGGCGGAGGAGGATGCGGTTGGGTGGCCATATATATTATAAATTACCTGTCCGCGGGATGACGAACTAGTATCGTTCATCCACCCTCGGCGTCGGAATAGATCACACCTATACAAGTTTGAGATTATTGAACGTGGATGTTGGGATCCTGTAGAGTTGAGACGGAAGGACGCGAATCTGGCTGCCCCAGATAATTGATGTGTACTATATATCCGTGGATATGTGTGGCCTAGTATGATGTTAGGCTTTTGCTTACTTGAAGAAAGGAGACGAACGTCTGGCCTAGTCACTTTCAAAACCATTCCCCGCCTTTTGAACGTGCTTTCGAATTACAATAACGTAGAACCTTACAATAAATTCAATTACACGGTCCTCCTTCTCTGCCTTGTCGGTTTGGGAACGTGACATGTTCTGCTGTTCTACTCCTTCAATACTACTAGGGAGTGGGTCTGAACTCGCAAACTACGGAGGGTGCAATGTCATCAGATCTGTTAGATCCAGGTATGGAACTATCATTCATCTCATTCCCAGCCACAGATCTATCAACGTAAACTCACAAACCTCTTCACCCTTTTTCAAAATGCAACAAGATGTAGAAAGTGCTTCTGTTCGGCCCTCTAATATGAACCTAGGAGGCGGATCACGGCTATTTCTAGACGACAACATTTACAAAATAGAGGATCTCCAAGATGCCTCAAAGAAAACCTCAAGGGAGATGGACAATACCGCATTAAAACTATAGTATGCTCATTGTACTGCACCAACAATTCCACATCGAGCACGCAAAAATTGACGATTCATCTTGTGCATTCTAGTGCTTCTTTTGGATTCGAAGCTACCAGAAAGTCACATCTCCACTTTCTGGACGAGACTACTCTCATGTCGGCTGTTGGAAACGTTCTGGTCTTTATAAACCTAAAAAACATGCAACAAACCTACTTTGAAGGTTTCAGGGACGGAGGAATTGGTGCTATGGCTGTGAGTTCATATGACGCTGGTGCCAAAAGCAGAGTTCATGTGGACAACGCTGTTTGCGAATGACCAATACTCATAACTCTACCTCGTTTCGCTAGTTACACCCAAGTCGTAAACTCATTGCAGTCGCAGAGATTCATGAGCCAACACCTAGGATATATCTCTTGGAGTATCCCTCTCTAGACGTCCGACGTGTCTTAACGGGTGGTGCAGTCCGTGGATATTCCGCAATCTGTTTTGATTCTACTGGAGAAAGGTTGGCCTCAGTCGCCACAGATCCAGATTATACACTGACAATATGGGATTGGCAACGCGAAATGGTCGTGCTTCGTAGCAAAGCGTTTGCTCAAGTGAGACTCTTTCCATCAATCTCATCTACTCGTTTTTTGTTGACCGTCTTAATCTGTCTTAGGACGTAGCCAATGTAGCATTCGCACCATCATCAAACCAACTCACTACGTCTGGATCTGGACATATAAAGTTTTGGCGTGCTTCCTCAACATTCACAGGTCTCAAACTTGTCGGACAATTGGGCAAGTTTGGAGCTACAGAACTGTCAGATATAGCATCATTTTCTCAATTTCCAGACGGAAAAGTTCTGTCTTCCACTGAATTCGGAAACTTGCTTTTATGGGAGGGCAATACTATAAAATGTGAAATCATGCTGAGAGGCAAGAAGCCATGTCATCAGGGACAAATTCATAGTGTTATGATGGAAGAAGGTGAAGTTCTTACAGCTGGTGATGACGGGTTCATAAGGATGTGGGATTTTGAGACTATTGATGGTGCTGATGTTTCAGATGATCCGCCTGCTGCTGCAGCACCAGCGAGTTCTGGTGAGAATGGTGTGGCTGGAGGCGGGAATGCACCTGTAGCTGTGTCGTCTGTGCAGGCTAGAATATTTGAGATTGAACCTCTGGACGAAATTTTGATTGGTAAAGACGTTCAGGTATGTTTCACGACGAAAAGAACGTATTGCATTCTGCTATTATAGAGTGCTTTCACTAAATCCTAATCTTTCAACAACACAAGATTAAAGCCATGGCACGATGTTTAGGCCCTGGTAGTAACGACTATATTGTGTTGGATTCATGTGGAGCTTTATATCGTGTCGACATTCGAAAACACAGTGTTGACCGTTTAATGTCCTTCCATTCGGGTGCTATACATGGACTCGATGCATCACCACTTCTACATCATATATCTAGTATAGGTGTAGATGGTACAATTCGAGTGTATGATCTAATAGCTCGGACACTCGCTGACCGAATCAAGTATCCAGCGGGAGGTAGCTTCTTGGCATATCTGCCTCCAAGTCTAGATGCAGCAGGTCGAACACTCGTAACTGGATTTGAAGATGGTGTCATGAAAATAATGTCGCATGGTACAGCTGGACTGGCACCAGGTGCAGACAATAATGCTCCATCAAATGCTACCTTAGGACAATTCACCCTTCATTATGTATTTAAACCACATACCAAACCTATAACTCAAATATCAGTGTCCGTGGACGGCACCTTCCTGGCTTCAGCGTCACTGGACAAGACGGTCTTCTTCTTTAGACTGAAACGGGATTCAGCTCTAGATAGAGACACGCTAGTGTTTTCACGAGATTCGGTTAGCGTAACCCTCGTTGGATTTATAGAACTCGACGCTGCTCCAACATGTATAACATTCTTGTCTGGGTCTAGTAATGGAGATGAGCTGGCAACAGATTCAGCCGCCGATCTGGAACCGCCGACTTTGCTGATTGTTTTGGAAGACGGTCGTTTATGTACCGTGATACCTCCAATTGCTCCCATTAGTGAAAATCCGGTAACATACAGGCTTCCAAAGTCTGTCGAAGTCATGCCATGGGTTTTAGATATACCAGTGGTGCCTGGAGCTGTAATTCCAGACACTATAGCAGTGGAGGAAGTAGAAGATGTTAGTGGTGAACAAGGTGATGAAACCCAACCAGATGAAATCGCAGAAGTTGTTGAAGCTGTCGCTGCACCACCTGAACGTCTTTCAACTACTCGTAAACTACGAGGTTTAGGACTACCACCGGCTCCTCGAGTCACATCAGCTGTAGCCCTTGATGGAGGACTATTTGTACTAGCTCTTATAAATAGTGCCAACGAAGGCGAAATCCGAAGCTGCCGCCTGTCGACTCCCAACACATCGCGATTGCTATTAGTCCATACCAGCTCCTTCAGCAGTGTCAAAATATCGACATCTGGACGATACTTGATAGCTACTTCACTTGACGGAACCACTGCCATGCGACCAATAGAAGGCAATGATCTTGTCCCGAATGAAGGATGGCAAGCTGGTCATGAAACGTATGCCCAAGCTGCTGAGATTGCTGCGTCAAATAATTCTACCACTGGAACTGGAGATTGGTGGTATGGACATGCGCATGGTGTTCGTGGTGTGAAGTGCATCACTTCTACTTTTGATGATGCCTTCTTGTGCTCTGGTGGTGAAGAAGGTGGTATTTTTGTCTGGAAGGTTCTTGATGAGGAGGTTCGAGAAAATGAAGGTGTGTCTGTGGAGACTTTATCACGATCCAGTCTGATGCTAATAACGTGCATTCATAGCTTTTGACGATGGTGCAGACAGAGCTGAATGGGAGGGCAACGCGACCTCTGAGGAGGATGGCGTTGAAGATATTCTGGATCCAAAGGCCTACAGTATTGAAGAAGCCAAAGTCAAATCTGGAAAGGATAAAGAGTTGCAAGATGCGGAGCTCAAGAAACAGGTGTGCTTAGTTTTCAAATCCCCAAGGATATTTTCCAATATTGATCTTTGATTTGTTTTGGTTTGAAGATGACTCGAGAGCAAATACTGGAACTTCGCAACGAATTCCAGAAACTTGTTACCGAAAACGAAAAGGCCCCAGCTGGTCAACAAATTGAGATTGAAGACTTAATTGTCGATCCGTATCTCAATTCAGAAATGGAAGAAGATGCTCGACGTAAACTCCGTGAAGTTGAGCTTGAATTGGCGTGGGCTGCTGAGAAGGAGACTATTGGAGTCAATAAGCTTAAAGCCAAGTTTATTGATCCTTTGCAGACGGAAAGGGTCCAAATTTCGTCCTTCAAGGTTGGTGGTGATGATAATCTCGTTTCTGATTATCTTTACTTTATTGATGCATTTTATCCCAGACACATCATATCATTTCGACCTTCAGAACCGTCAAATTGGTAGCAGCAGACGAAGATTTGGGAGGGTCGCCGGAAACTAGGGATAGACATGGGACAGCAGTAAGTCACCTATGCATTGGACAATTCATTCATTTTTGCGTCTTCGTTAACACTGAAACAACATTCTGTAAACAGGTTGGTGGTCCACCACGCACCGCAACATTTATACCAGCCAGTCGAGATCACGAAGGCAATCATGGTCCAACAAAAAAGATCTCTAGCAAGGTAGAGCACTGGCAAAAAAAATGATGAACACGTCTAAGCCAATGCCATGGCTGACGATCGTATTTCTTGTAGGCCGCGGCAGTATCTAAACTTGAAGCACGTAAAGCTGCACGAGCCGAACGTGTAGCTCTATGGAAGGAACTCATGGCATCTCAGCCTGACGAAAACCAAGAAGATCGTCGAGATGTCGCAGCAATCAAAAAAGCTGAAATCACCATGGGTGACTTTAAACTCAAGACGGGTGCTGACTATGCTGTTCCTGAGCATGAGCGTACTAACGCAGACAAGAAGAGGCGGCAGGCTAAATTGTTGAGGCAGTCTGTGTTTGATATCAAGGAGGTGTGTTATGTTTTGAGAATAACGCGTCGCTTGTGATTGACTGGCATTTTTTTCATGTAGCAATTCAACCAACAAGTATTTGAAATGCGAGATCAAAAGATTGATTTGATTGGCAAGATCAATCGTTGGAATCAAGAGTTGATTACTATTGATCAGGAGTTGGATAAACTTGGGCAGAAGCGCGGAGGGCCTATCGTTCAGCTTACCATGGAGGTACAGATTTGCAATTCTCGTTGTCCTGTTTTTCGTCTTGTATCGTTTCTCAAAGTTCCCTTTCATCAGGAAACGGCATTTCCAAGTCGTCGCAACAATGTCACTGCCGAAGACATTGCAGCTCTCAAAATCGAAGAAGCGAAAGCTGCTTCAGACAGTCGTGGAGGTGATCCACTCGGTGGATTTGGCGATGGTGGAGGAGGAGCCAAACCTCCAGCACAAGCAGCTACATCGTCAGAGGCTACTACGAATGTGAAGCCTGTCGATGCTTCCGCGTCCGATTCTTTGGGCTCGGAAGAGATACTGGCAAGATCGAATCAGCCACGTACTATTCTCGAGCGTCGTGAAGAGGAATTGAAGGTTACCATGTTACTGTATCGACGTGATCGAATCAACAAAGTTAGTGTTATACTGTAACTTGATGGTGTTTTTTTGTTGTGCTCAATTCAAGTTTGATATTTAGGCCATTCAAGATGCTATAAGCAAGTTTGATACACAGTTGCAAGCTCTGCACAAGGAAAAGCTTACCTTGGAAGGAGGTATGTTATGAGGAATGTTTTCCGAGTCGGACTTTTTGAGCCTAACGATTTCATAACTAGACATGAAATTCGCTGAGATGAGGTTGCTCTTGCTGCAACGAGAATGGAGGTTGCTGAAAGAATTAGAGCAGTTTGATAACGAGTATGTCGAGAAGCTCCAAATTCGTCAAGCTGAAAAAGATGACATTGACTCCAAGGTATCATTAAACTTTTGTTTTCAACGCGAAAAAATCACCGCTGTAGTAACAGTTAATGTCGACGACTTGCTTATCTAGGTTCAAGAATGTCAAGAGAAACTTGCGTCAAAGAAGCAAGAAGTAGAAGATGCCATTCAACATGAACGAGAGATTCAAGAGGAGTTTGCTGCCACGTTAGGAGAGAATAATCGACATGAAGAGATCTTGACCAAGATTTTCAAAAAGAAGATTCGTCGCTCCAAGGTTGGTTTTTCAAATTTCCCGTTCGTCAGGAACGTGTCGTAGCAACATTTCACCAGACTCAATTCCGCTTTATTTGCACGTATATAGAAGAAGCAACAAGCAAAAACAAATCAAGACGCACCTTCCGATGACAGTGAATCAGATGTCGACGACTATGATTACGATGACGCCATGTCTGATGAAAACATGTCTGACTCTGGTGAACAGGCATCGTCATTTGTTCCTGATGCCTGTCCGCCCTACTGCGAGGTGGCTCTTTACAATAAGGTTTTGGAGCTACGGGAGAAGCGTCTTGATCAAGAGGATGGAATGGCTGAGATACAGAAAGCTATAGATGTGAGAACCGCATATCCATTCTTGTCATGTTGGATTTTGTTGACGCTTTTTTGGTTTGTAGGCATTGAGAAAAGAAAACGAGGCTTTAATGAAGAAGGAGAAGGTCATTGATCAAGCTCTCAAGTTGGCTGCTAAGGAGATTGAGGACTTCCAAACTCAGAAACAACATAAGCTGAATGAGCTTGATGTTATTGTAAACATTAAGGTGTATTGTACCAGCGTTTTTTGGTCTCACAATGATTACTTAGGTTCCTCTGGCGCTACATCAAATCATGTTTGGTGACAAGCCTGCTATTCCAACCGACTTGTCAACTGCACTCGTTTTCCTCAAATCTGGTTTAACCAAGTTGCGGAATCGGGTTGGAGAGATTGAGCAGGTAACCAAAATAGATAATAATATCCTTCGTCATTGCAGCTGACGCACCAAGCATTAGGAAAAAGCTGAAATTCGTATGCAACATCAAGAACTTAAACGTCATCACGTCAGTTTGGTTCGTAGTAAACGTGAAAAGGATGCCAAGGTACTTGAGTCTTGAGTTTGGTGTGTTCAAAATATGATTATCTCAATACGGTGTCATTTTTCTCAAAAAGCTTCAAGAATTGGAGACACGTACAAACGATGTCCAAATCCTCAAATTTGGTCGTGTCGTTGACGTTGAAAAGCTTGAAAAGATGGGAGTCAACAAGAGTGCGGAAGATATGAAAGATAAATTGAGTCGAGAAGATCGAAAGAGGTCGTTAGAAGTAGCTGCTGTACAGGTAAGTGGTCTATCTAGTGTTACTATAAGCAGGGATTTAGTTTTTGCTGATATTGATTTTGGTTTCTAGATGGATATGGATCGTTTGAAGCAACGCTACACTGATCTAACAAAGCAAAACACTGAACGAGTCGAGTCTTTGATGGAGTTGACCAAGGGTTTGAAGCAACTAGAAGATGCGCTGAATTCAAACCAAGGATCTATGGTAATAGAACGGCGTTTCCAAACTTTTTTGTACTGTCGATTTTCTGATCGTTTGTTTACCAACCACAGGCTGGCACATTCCCTGGTAGCCATAACCGTAAAGAAGCTGAGCAAGAAAAGCTGCAAAAACTTGTTGCTCAACAAGGGGCTCAATTGGAACAATTACGAACAGAGGTTGAATTCTTGCTTCGCAAACCTCTTCATTTACCAGTCTTGTCAAAGAACGCGAATTCAACGGTAGCTGCTCGACCGGAACTACCGGTTGCTCCACCAGCAGAGTGATAGCTTTCTGATTGTGATACATGTGTTGATATTTAAAAAGCTAGTGCTCGTTGTAGATACAAAATATATACGTATACAATCCAAAAAAAGACACAGGTCTAATCGATCATTATCACTCCTGATGATGATGCTTCACGTTCCGTAGGCACTGACGGATACACAGTAGCAAATGATGGGAATTTCTGTTGCGTTTTGAGTACTAGTGCTAGTTGTTTATGATGGACGTGTCCCATAACGAGTTTCGATTCAATCAATGCTGCACATCCACACTCTACTTCTGACAGCCCCAAATCACCAAGTCCAGACATCATCAATCCTTTTTGGATTCGCCAGAAGGGGATGTGAGCGTCTGCTGCTCGTGGTGGTTCCACTGATATGCTAAAAAAACGAATTGTGAAAGAGAGAAATCCTCAGAAGTGAGTTGGTCTAATGTAGGACTTACAAGATTTGTAGTATCCGCCTCCAAAACAGAGTCTTGACATGTTCAGCGAGTATGAAATATAATCTTCGTTTCAACCACATGCTCTTGTTGGCATCCAAAGCTTCCATGTATCTCGAATACGAGCCTCGCCAAACTTCATCGACTAGTGGCTGATATGTGGTTGATAAGGAGTATGAGCTCAATAGATCGGGAGTTGGCATGCGGCCACGGATTAGGCGTGCTGCGACCAAGTAAATCAATATGACACTGTTGAAAGAACCAAAAAAACTGAATAATTAGTATTATAGGTTGATAAATCAAATGAAAGAGAACCTTACCGTTTCTGCTTGGAGTATCCAGCCGGACATAATTGGAGTGCACTCGACAAGAATTTCTCAGCCTGAATGGAGGAACAGAGAAAAGTGTCCATAAGTTGAAAAAGGATAAAGTTGTTTGTTCAGACACTTACGGCAGCGAAACGATGAGATACTAACTGCAGTCTGCCAACCCAATAATAATACGTCACTCGTTGAGCTTTCGGTAGATGTTCAATCATCTGCCGATGATCTCGATCAATGCTGCCTACAAATGACGAGCACACTGATAGAGTGTTCATCTATGAAATACAGTACTTTCAGTTTCGAGCCCGATCTAATGATGAGTAATATGACATACCTTGTCACAGAGCTTGAAAGCCGTATTGGCAGCAATGAGCATTCCCGTCTTTCGTTCTGCCATCATATTCCTTTAGAAGGGCAAGTTGTGAGCAACAAATCTACTACCGTGTCAAGGATCAAGACACTGAGGACGTCATACTTGTCTGATGTGACTGAATTGACAAATGCAATCAATGTTGAAGAAAACAGGTTGACCTTGTTTGGTTTCTCCCATGCAGTTGCTCCAGATGCAACTCGTTCTGCTGCGACTTGACGTAGGTGATTATCACACTAAACGGTCCGGACAAGGAATATAAGCAAAAAACAAACAAGTTGAAGGTAGACGGAATGCTCACGTCAATAGCTAAATGAGCCAACTCTCGACACAACATGAGTAAAGCAGGAGACAACCATGCCATTGTATAGTTTGCCGTGAATGATCTATAAAGAATAGAGATCTGAACACATGGATTGCGACACCTTTCGTGAAGGGACTTACGTGAATGCATTCAGCAATTCTTGGAATCTCATCAAATCATCATTCTCTCTGATCGCCCTGAGCAGCGACTTTGCGAAAGTATGGAATGGCGTTAGTCGCTCGCATAGCTCGTATACTCCATTTAATCTTGTATCATCCATCTATAGTATGAAGAAAGCCTTGTAAGTACGTGCCAAAAAATGAGGTTCTGGATTTTTCTTGACTTGCTTGCTGAAGGATTGGTTGTAAGATGGGGAGAATGGCAGAGATCGATATGTGAGCTGCCAGATCATCGCCATCTCGCTGCCGTATCGCGTTTTGAGTCTCCTGAAGCCATAACTGTAGCATTTGCATCGTTTTGTTTGAAGCTTCGACACGGCGGAACTTTTTAAACCGTGTCCTGTTGTAATATGGTGTATATTCAGGAAGATGTTGATATTTCGCTATAATTGTTTTACAGATTCTTCTTCATCACGTCAGACACACTCACAAGGGGATTCTGCGCCAGAAACGTCTGAAGTAGTGATGGCCTGTCCGTACAGATACCATTTACCCCAGCTGCTCGAGCTTTTCGATATCCTTGCTCAGAATTAATACCCCCAGTTCCACTGCCAAATAAGATGACGCTGATTCCAAGCTTGTTCAAATGTGTAAACCACGACCTCGACATGAATATCCAAAGATCCGGTAATATCAAGCAACTTTCATGATACGTCATCAACCTGAAACGAAATGATGTGTGTTGGTACAGTGTCAGTTTCTAACATGTCAATGCTGCATACCAAGAAAGTCCCACCAGATGTAAGAAGTAAGATTTGAGAGCTCTCCCGAAACTGAAGAACAGCGGTATATCTTTATTATGCTACAATCATGCGTAAACAGATGAGAAGCTGTAGTGTCGTACTGTGCGCAACACTCTTACCTTCCAACACCAGACATTTGGAGCGTTTCGAAAAGTACCCCAGACTGTCTGCTTTTCACGATTATACTTTTTTATCAGCTCAGAAGTCTTGATGACCAGCTCCTCTGGGCCGCTCTATCGGACGAAGATGCGGTTCAATTCAAGGCCAAAGGAACCGAGCAACAAACAAACACTAGTCTTTAACCACCACACCTTTACATCAATCTGCATCGGATACTGAGGATACTCTTTCAACAAGGTCTCCAGAAGCGGAATCTCGATGCTCTCCGGATCATCCACAACCTGCGCAACACCTTGAAGCTCTTCACGAATAAGCAGTTTAGGTAGTCCTTCAAAGGTATAATCGCCAATCTCTTTCTTCTGATACTGGCTTCCACAGAGACGTCCCAGATACTTGTCGTGGAATATAACAACTTGACCATCTGAAGTCAAGCCCACATCGAGCTCCAGTAGATCTACCTTAAGCTCCTATAACAAGGTGAACAATTTCATTAAATTCAAAGTTGCATATCATAGTCTTCAAGGAATTTCCTTCGAGGTCTCTTGAGCGCAATTAGGCCGTAGTCGTGTCAAAACGTATAAATTTCATTCGAGATGATGCTACGAATTGCGACTGACTCTCAAAGCCAGATAGCTTAAACGGATGTATACTTACATCTGCAGAGTATCGAAAAGCTGGCATCGTGTTTTCGACTGGTGGAGTTTCAGTTAGTTCACCATTAAATCTTCAAAACTTACTTGTGTCGATGACATCAAACACAGCAAGCTGCTTACCTCTCTCTAAGCTTCCTCCTCTATGAGACATCAGCGCGTGTGGAAACGCTAGTTTCCCTATGGTCGCCACAGTGCTCATCCTTCGTCTAGCTATGTTCATTCAAGTTAATCTGTGACAGCAATAAGGACGCAATTTGCACTATCTAACGAAAGCAAATAGCAGGACGACGGTAATAAATGCGCCAAAGACTACTCCAACGCGTCTGAGCGACTTTGATACTCGATGATAAACTTCTATATAGCACAACTTATTTTTCGTTTTGTACAGGAGTGGATGAGATTTAAAGGGAGACACACGTTCCGTCCTAGTTACGTTTTAATCTTTCATTTTCGATTCTTAATCGATGCAATTCTTGATCCACAGCAGCGAATCGCTCATTAGCCTTATTTAGCATGCCCTCCATGTTCTTAAAGTTCTCTACGAGCACATCCAAGTCCAGTTCAACATCCTGGCCATTCATGGCTTGGTCAATGAGCGTCTTGATGAGGATGGGAGCTTCCAAAACAGGCGATGGACCCAACGAATGTACAGACGATGTGGTATCTTTGCGTAATGGTTCATCCTTGTCTGCAAACGACGACGAGCGCGAGATGTGTGACTTTTCTTGTGGTGCGAGAGAGTGTCCATCGGCGTTTCGTACTGATGGTGATGGGCCTGATATCGATGAGATGGAGAATTGCCTTCGAACCGATTTAGCACCGAGAGAAAGCTGGGATCCGCTCTTCTTCAGCTTTGGTTGCGGTGTAGTTGGTGGTGCGGGCACATTAATACCGTTGATAACAATAGCATCAAACTTCTTTCGCCTCTTTAATGATCCCAAACGTGCCAAAAGACCTAATGCGGCAGGTGCATCTTCTGGGATTAATGACGGGCTTCGAGAGACACCCTTCAAATCATAACTTGATGGTCGGCCACGCATGGTTTGTCCTGCAGAGTGTAGAGATGCTTGTGATCCCATTAAAGCTTCTAATCCTGCTGGTCGGCCTCGGACTGTTGACGATGCACCGGTTCGTGCAAGGACGGGTGCTGGGCCTGGTGGAATGGAGTGCGTTGATTCGCCCAAGTTGCTAGTGGATTCGGCAGCATTCAATTGTTGTTGGGAGAAACGAATGTTTGGGTAGTTGGCTGGTAGAGTCATTGGCATATCGGCTTCGTTTTCAGGTTTCAGCTTTGGTGGTGGTGGAACTATAAATGCATTTCCAGTGAGAACGTGACATTTTGCCTCAATAAAGTGTCTTCTCCCAACAACAACCAAAAAGATAATCGAAATCTAGACCATGCTCACCAATATCAGTTGGCTTGAAGTTCTTGATTAATTCAGCTAACTCTGAATTTCCAGCAATCATGGCAGCCTGTGATGGTGTTTGTCCACTCTTGTTACTCTTCTCACGATCACACCCTCTGGTCAACAACCATTTAGCGCATTCTTTAGCATTACGAGTAGCAGCAACGTGGAGCGGTGTGTTTCCAGCTTGGTTTACAGCATTCAAGTTTGCACCACTGTCGAGCAATAATGAGGCAATGATATCGTGATTGTTTAAACAAGCCTAGTTTTTCGCAGCAAAAAAGGCTTTAGTCCATATTTGCAAATTGCGCCTATTAGCCCAAACATGATCAAACCTGATGTAAAGGTCCCTTTCCATTCTCATCATAGATTTCAGGAGTTGCCTTTTGAGACAACAACTTGACTACGATATCTATATGTCCAGCAGTAGCAGCGTAATATAGAGGGGTCAATCCAAGAGCATCAGTAGCATTAGTCCATGCTCCATAACTCAACAGCGCTTGACAGATTTGTGACTTGTTATGGGCTGCAGCCAAATGCAATGGTGTCTTCCACAAATCACCCACACGGTAATCCAAAAATGCTCCATTCTCAATCAAAAGTGACACTATTTCCTTCTCGTTCTGCGTAATGGCGATGGATAGTGGGGTTTCTAGAAACCAAATACGGAGTTAGGGCATTCCAGGTCTGTCTGCAAGGCAGTTTTCATTGCGCACCTTGAGTGGCCTCAGTCCAAAAGTTTGGATCGACGCCTTTGTTCAAGCGTTCTCTGACTTTGTCCACATTGCTGGCTTTGATATCTTCGATAAACTTTTTCAATTCCTTCTTCGAGTTGGCTGCTGCAACATCGGCGTCACTAACACCGGGAGGCGGTGTTCTTGTCTTTGGCAAGAATTCCAAAGCGGCCTTGGTATCACAATTACATGGTTAGTTTCTGCGATAGACGCGGCGTCGGGCCAAAGAAAGTACACATAACAACCAAAAATGGGGCACCACCATCTATCTCACATTGTTTTCAATTCCATAACTTCCAATCTCTCTCTTCTCTTCCAAAAACTTGCCAGCTTTACCATTAACTCCAGGAGCAAATATACCATGATTTAACGCGTCCTTGACGTCCTGTGCCCCCTTTTCAATAGCTTGTCTCTTGACAACCCAAATCAACTCATTAGAGGCGACCCGAATAGCCTTTTGTAATTTCAGCGAAGGATAGGATATCCGAAGCACAAGTTGGTTTGCTCCAGCGACTGGGGTAGAAGGTGTTGGTGGACTCGAAATTTCTGGGGTAGCTTGAATGTTCAACTTTGTTTGAGACATGCTGTTAAACAGGCCTGAGCGCGAATTCTTTAATTCATTGGTAATGGCGGTTGACATTCTTTGCTGCTCTGACATTGCGTTTTGAACCAACACGACGCGGTAACAGCAGGCTGTTGAAATTGTGTGAGGGGGTTTGATGACATTTTTTTGGCCCAATCAAGGCCTATAACTGCGCTCAAGATGAGACAGGACTTTGAGGTGTTCTAAGTGGTTGCAATTGGTGTTAGTTAAAGTTCTACTCGAGATGTAAACACCGCATCATCGCTTGAGCAAAACCATACTTTGTGACAGTTTTAACAAAAACCCAAATATTTCAAACAATCAAGAATGGCCATCGAGAAATCAGTTGCTATCATTGGTGCTTCCTCAGGACTTGGTCTCGCTCTTGCCAAACACTTTGCGTCCAAAGGCACTCGTGTGTATGGCACAACGAGAGATGGAAAGGACATCCAAGTCGAAGGAGTTTTCACTTCAAAGCTCGACACATCTGAAAAGAGATCTATTGACGAATTGAAGATTCCTGAAATCCAGGAACTTTACGTTGTCGCTGGATACTTTTCAAAGGAATCTTTTGATGAAATGTCCTGGGAAGGTTTGTGATTTAGAAGATTTGAAAGCTGTTGTTTTAAACTTTTCTGTGAGCGATCGCTTCACTGAACATGACTCGTAACGTGCATTAGAAGAGTTGAAGATGTACAAGACTGGTGCTATGGGCCCATTATTCGTCACTCGCCATCTTGTGAAACAAGGATCTCTTCGTCACGGCAGCAAGGTTATCTGGATTACTTCGGAAGCTGGCTCTATTGGTTTGCGTACTGAAAAGGGTATGTAGCCCCTAACTAACTATGACTGTTGTTGGAATCCGAACCTGGTCGGATAACTTGACATTTCTTAACTACTAGAGGGTGGAGGACTATACGGTCACCATGCTTCCAAGACTGCCCAAAACATGAATGGAAAACTATTGTCGTTCGACTTGAAGCCGAAAGGAATCTCAATAGTTATGATTCACGTATGTCTCCATGAGAATCGCGACTATATGGTCAGCCTTCACCTTAAACTTTTATGGTGTAACTCGAACTATCAATTAGCCTGGCTTCATGAAAACCGGTCTCACAAAATCTGTTGGATTCGACAAGCATTATGAAAAAGGCGGAGCAATTGATCCTGAAGAGGTCTCGCCACTTTTGTGATGAAATCACAACAAAACGCCATTTCTCAACTCACATCTTTGACCTGTTGTAGGCAGTGGAACCATTGTTGAAGGTTGTCGCGAATTTAACCTTGGAAAACACGGGCAAGTTCATTGCACCAGTGGGTAAGTACAAGCTTGGACCGCAGTATCATTTGAGCAAGGAATGATTGACTATCTCACCTAGGCCCGAAAGGAGTTGGGAACGCACATGTTCTCGGTCCTGTTGAGAAGCTTCCAGCACCTTTAGAGTTGCCTTGGTGATTCTCGATTTCCTTTGGTCGTCAATTGGTCCTCCTCATCTCTTCGCTTTGTAAACTATTGTTTATATCAACTCCTTTTGCAAAGTATACATGAAATCAAATCTTTTATGAGTGACGTTTGCCCAAGGTCCAACCAAGAGCCAATCGAGTTGTGTGTTTTGCTTTGGCGATCGAAAGTTGAAACGTAGACACTCATGATGAGAATCTTGGCCAGCAAACAGCAAGCAGCAAATACTATTGCGCGGATCTTTACCCTTCAACTCAAAAGACACTAATCTGACCAACCGGTATGTTTTGACGCGTCAAAAACACCAAAATCAATTTCAAACTTCTACAATTGTCGAGGCAGAGACGAGGAAAAACAGGAAAAGAGACACGACGAGACACACTGAACCAAATCTAACAAGCTCTCCTGTACGCCTCATTCCAGATATTTGTTGGGAACGAGATCCGGTTCGCTAATTCTTCCTGCACGTGTAACGTCGCGTGAATTCGACAAGTGTCGGCCAAATACATTCCAGACTAAGAGGCGCTTCAACGCACCAAGAGGGCCACCACATCTTTCTATAATGGCATCCCAGTGGTTGACACCTGAAATCGTCAGGCGCTCATCCATTGCTGGCGGTGTAGTTCTTGCATTGGTTTTACTGGACAGAAGATGGCGAAAACGGTCTTATTCATGGAACTTTATGGCTCCAAACGATGCTCCTATAATGATGGGTTATCCCTTCATAGGAACTCTACTTGATATAGTCTCAAACCCACGTAAGTGCTCACCTGCATGGTTCGTTTGCGTATCTTGGTTGCAAGAGTCTGACACAGTGTTATCTCTAGTAAACTTTATAGATTGGATGATTGAACACTTCAACAAGCATGGACGTGTTCTACGAATGACACAATTCGGAAACAACTCCATCACTACTGCTGATCCGGGCATCTTGAAGAGAATGCTGCAAACTGATTACGAGACTTGGACACGAGGAGGCATTGTGGGGCTCATGTTTGATGATATTGCTGGTGGGCTCATCCTGGCTCCTAATGGTCCAGGGTGGAAGAAGTCTCGTACCTTTTTCGGTGAGAATTGTTTTCTGGAATGACCGTCTTATTGCGTCCTCTGCTCTGGCATCTGTCAAATCTTACTCACGCGAATCTCCTTTTCCGTTTGTTTTGAGAATAGATCCATCCTTTTCCGTCGTAGCAATCAAATCATATCAACCCATTGTGCAAGGTCGCGTCGACGATCTGTTAACATGGATGGAATCTCAATGCTCAGCTTCTAATGCTGGTCCGTCGACACCGGGATTGGATTTGCAGCCGGCCTTCCATGGTCTAACATTCGACATCATCACTGGAATCACTCTTGGTTTTGACCCTGTAAGTTGCCTGTTGTCTGATTCTTTTTAATCTCCTTTCAGTATGTTTGTCCTCACCACAATTCTCTGCGTGGCTTATATAGGGCAGCGTGAAACTTGGCGGACACTCAAAATATGTCGAAGCTTGGGAGCGGTCGTTATACTTCCTATTAATTAGACTGACGTTACGTGGGTTTGGTTACAGTTGGTTGTGGAGAGACTCTAAATGTGTACGTCGTTGGTGTTTGAGCATTTCTGCAGATTGGGTGTTGACATCAAACTTTGAATCTCGTTTACAGGACCAATACGACAAGGACATTGCTCTGTTACGATCAATGATATTGAACAAGATGGAAGAGTATAACACCAACGGTATTCCCAAAGACGACGTATGCATACTATCAACATATGCTCGTACAATCAAGGACAAGCCAGAAATGGCTCCATGGGATGTGAACGACGAACCGCAGCTTTTGCGAGAATTTACCTCGTTGCTTTTCGCTGGTCACGGCAAGTGGTGTTTAAATTTGGAATCGTAGTCTCTCAATACTTATCCCATACTCTTCGTTAGACACTACATCATCTTTAATCACCTGGACTTTGGCATTCCTCTTCAGCAACCCTGAGAAATTAGAAAAAGTTCGTCGAGAAGTCGACACACTCGGATCTAGACCACTGAGTTATGAAGCTCTCGAGCAACTTCCATATCTAGGTGCAGTTATCAAGGTAAAGACTGTAAACACTTGGTCAAAGTACCTTTCAAAAAGTCGCTGAGACGTTGTGCCTCCACAGGAAACTCTTCGTCTTCGACCATCAGCACCTTCACTCTCAAGAGTACTAGCCAAGGATACCGTTTACGAATGGACACTTCCAAATGGTAAAGTAGCTAAACAGTGGGTTCCAAAAGGTGTGTGCAGCAATATGTTTGGCGTCATTCCTTCAATGCTCTAAAGATAGAACTTTAGGTACCGAGGCTGGGTACTCGCCCATGTCTGCACACCTCTGCCCTGAAAATTTCCCCGACAGGCCCACTCAATTTGTGCCCGAGCGGTGGCTAGATGAGAAGAATGCTACTGATCCTTATGCGTAAGTCGTTTCGTCCTTGCTCAAGAAAACGCATGGGTGTAAACAAGGCCCCATATTGACAATTCTATCTTTCTTATGTAGTTATGTACCATTTGGGGGCGGGCCAAGACGTTGTCTCGGTGGTAAGCAAAGTTCACTATTGACGCAGTTGGGTCAAAAGACTGACACTTTTCACGTTCGTGTACACAGAGAAGCTTGCCTTGTATGAAGGGAAAATCACCGTTGCATCAATCTTGAGAAAGTTTGATTGTGGTATTGTTGATGGTCATGTAAGTTCGAATCAATGGGTTGGACCGATTGTCCGACCGTTTAATCAAACTCCATTTTCAACATCTTAGAAAATGGATTATGCTGTAGCCACTACCATGCGTGCCAAATATGGTATCAAGATGTGGTTCAAGCCAAGGAAGTAGAACATCTGTTCGTGCCATGAAGTTTTGGATTGCTTTATAGTTGGGTTGTTAAACCACGAGTTTACTGGAATTGTTTGATATTTCTCAGTAGAATGTCAGTGTATGAATCGTATATGAAAACAAGCATGTTGCCTTTCCCATAGTTCAATGATTGTTTTACGTCTTGCGTGACTTTTTCACAGAATAAAAATGTCGATGCTTTTCGGCTCTGCGCCGGCAAAGAGGACGGCTGCTGCGATACTGTTAGCAGAGAAGGCCAAACTATGGACCAGCACATTCGAGAATCTAGTGAATGTGGAACCAATCGTCATTCCAGCTGCCTCAGATAATTTTAAACTTGGAGCAACACTCTTCACACCGAAGCAGGCTGGCCTAGCTGGTCCACTAGTACTGATATCATCTGCAACAGGAACTGAGCAGGCCTTCTACAATCGGTTTGCCAAGTATCTGGGTTCAAAGGGTATGTTAACATTTGAGTTTTTTGGATAAACATCACCAACGCGAGGGTTGTTGTCTCAAATGATTTGACGGAATCTTTACTTGTTATAGGATGCATAGCGCTAACATTTGACTATCGTGGCGTTGGCAAATCCATGCCAACGACTTCAAAACCTGGACAGCACCCATTAGCCGGCTTCAATGCAGACAAAATGGACTGGGGATATAGGGATCAGACAGGCTGTATAGATTTCTTAAAGGGACGATATCCAGACCGTGAACTTGTGGTCATAGGGGTTGGTGAAACAGCAAATTCACAAATTCACACATTGCATCAAACACTTTTTGTTGCTAATAGCACTCTGTCGGAGGACACATGATACCGCTAAATCCAAAAGCTGATCTCGTCAACCGTGCCATCTTGGTGTCCACCAACAGTGCATACCCATGGCACTTGTGGGATGTGACCAATAATGTACTAAACGTGTACTTTCTGTTTCCTCTCCTGTCCATTCTCTATGGATATTTCCCATCAAGGAGGTTAGGCAGTCAACTCACGGATCTGCCGGCTGGTGTCGTTCGACAATGGGCGTACTGGGCTCGAAATGATAAATATAGTGGTAGAGACTTGCATCCAGACTATGCTGCGACTAAAATAGGACCGTGTCTAGCTATATCGTTTACGGATGATGACTTTGCCAAAGAGATTGGGTTTACGAAATGGTTGGCAAACCTGCCAGAATCAAAAGTTGAACATTTTCATCTAGATCCAGCCACGTTTGATCTTCCGAAAGTAGGACATATGGGATTCTTTAGTCATATTAATGGGATAAAGTTGTGGGACTTGATTGTTCCGTTTGTAGTTGGAGAAGAGCCGACGCAGTTGAGACAAATCAAGTCAAAGCAAGTAATCGCAACCAGTAGTAAACTGTAGATGTTAAAACTGAATCATATAGACAGTAGTTTTCATGTATATTTTGCAAAACGAGATTGCTATGAACATTGTGTTTTACAAAGCAAAAAGGCGAGGAGTGACCACAAGAAGAGTGTTGAAGAATTACTAAGGCATCTCAACAGGGCCGAGAGCATAAGTGTTGCCCGCTCCTTTTGGATCTTAAGAAAGTAACAGCATATTCAGTGATTATCAAAACACCAAAAACGTTGCAATTCTCGATACCCATCGGTGCGATGAACCTTCCAGTGTTTTCCAAAGTAAGATCTGCGACAACATTCGACAATGGATCGATTACCTACTAGCAGGACGGAGGTGTGAGTCGATAACCTTTGTCTGCGCTTGACAACTGCCAGAAAAACGTACCTTTTCGGGGTCGATACCATCGCCTTCATCGTAGTGCTTGTCGAATCCAGCAGGTTTGGTGAAACGAGTCTTCATAAAGCCAGGCTGATATGACGAAAGTCTGAAAACTAGAATCTGCTTCTCATGTTAACTGGCACAGCCTTACATGAATCATAACCATTGGAATCCCTTTTGCTTTCAAGTCAAGCGACAATACTTTTCCATTCATGTATTGAGCGCGAGCACAGAACTCTCCACGATCTATGTGAAAATATATACAATCCAAGTTCAATGAGGTGCTGCCGTGCACGTGAATAATGATGCATCCCAGTAATATCGCGATCTACACCATCCATAGTTATCATACCAAGACGAAATATTTCAGATGCATACCCTTTCCAGTCCTGTGACCGATAGAACCACTTTCCGAAGTAATCCAGATGACTTTGCTTCCTCGATGTAAAGAACCGTGTTTGACAAGATGGCGAGTGAGACACAGAGGGCCCAAAGCAAAAGCCTTGTACATCCTCAACTCTTCTAATGCACGTTACGAGACAGGTTTGTATCTCGATCCCTTGCAAAAACAGTAAAAATCAAGATTGATTCACAAACCGTCAGATGCGTCATTGAAGGCTTCCTTTGCATCGAAGCTAGCGAGCACATACAACTCATGGATTTCAGGAATAATCAATTCATTGATGGAAGTCTCGTCACTGATATCCAGTTCCGATGTGAAAGCAAGTCGGATCATAATGTCTGTTGGATTTCGAGCTGTAGCGTACACTCGGTTTCCTTTGGCTGCGAGGTAATTGACGAGGGCAATGCCGAGGCTGGATGTAGCGCCAATCACTCCTACGCTCTTGTCTTCAATTGTCATAGCTTTTGGTTTGTGTTTGATTCACAATGTTGATTTCGCGAAGATGATGCAGACTCGTCAAATGTACAGCAAACCAAGCTCGACAAACCTCATGCTTCATCTTTGAGGCAGGCAGCAAATACTGAATGGAGAACAAGACACATAAAATTTAAAGGTGCAGTGTTTGCCAACTATGTCACCGTGTGCTTATGGATTCTTCAACGCGATAGCAAACCAGGTGAAAATTTCAATTGCCGATTCCGAAACAGAATCGAATGCTTCATGACATATATCACCGTGTTCGACTGGTGAATGGTATGTCTTCTCGTCTCTTACGCGCGGGCTAAGCAACCACGGAATGATTTTAACGGCCCAAATGTCACAGCATCTTGTCTTGGGCTCATGGACCTTCGGACGTGTGTGGCTGAGTTCGGTGAACAGGTGGTAGTCGGGTGTCTTGAGTGTTTTGATGGTTGATGGTCCACGAGCCATATGGCCATTGGTTGCTTGGTGCTTGCAAAGTACGATGTAAGGTGTGAGTAAGCACTCGAGAAACCACCGCCCGTGCTGTATCATCCTTGTGGTGGCCCAAACGATTGATGTCAAAACACATCACCAAACTAGGTACGCGACAAAACAAGACAGACAGGACCAATCAGGTGAGAGCAGTCAGATCAGTACAGTGAGTAATATCATAGTCATATGTTTACGGTGACCCACCTAAGCAAAGTGTAAGTACACTACTAGTTTTTTTTATGGAATGATGGAATGCACCACTACAAGTATAGTGCCATAGATGCTCAAGCTTGAAAGGAGGTATAGACGGGTCCTTCAAGTATTCGTGGTCTTCTTGACACGTATCTTCCTACTCTAAACTCGAGCTGTCACTGCTGTCACGACGCAAATGCAGTTTACAAAATCATCACAACGATTGACAAACCAAAATCATGCTCATTAAAATTCAAATGGATTCTTAAAACTATGTCTTCTGTTCCAACATGATCCATCTGTTTCTATTGTGCGTGTGCGTTCTGTCAGGTTGACTTGGAACTGTACGGTGGTTACATCGCTGCAACTGGGAGGTCAATTTAATACGAATGTACATTCTATGTAAATTGTTCTACTGTCGTTTATTCAGTTGTGAGGTGAGTCCACCGTGACATGAATTTAAATAATTAGCCTTCGCTCTAGATAAGACTAAACGAATCTGAAAAATGGGATGCAATGTCTCAAAAGAGGCAAAGCCGGAAACAGAAAATTCTTATGGTACTCAAGAATTAGCAAGTAACGGCGGTTATTCAACACTTCCTGTCATTGTTGAGCCCCCTGTATTTGCGACCACCAGCGGACGAGGTAGGTGGCTAGTAACGAACCATCTGAAACAGTCACGAACTTTTTCTTCTATAGGGTCTGATTCCGCTGCCTCTAATGTGCCCAACAGCTCCACCGGCCCTGTGTTTGACGCTATGATCAGCTACAAGTAAATCCCTTTCACATTGCTTCGCGAATCTCATTAAATGTAACTTAAATAGTTGGGCTCACAAGTCGGATGCATTTGAAATCGCCTCTTTCCTTCAGAACAAGATGAAACAGAAGGGCTATCTGTTTGGATTGATAAGGTTCAAATGACCGGTGACATTTACCAACGAATGGCTGAAGGAGTTTTGTCAAGCAAGGTCATAATTCCTTGCTTAACTACTAAATATGAGGTGATGCGGTTAATGAATATAGCAGGAGCTCGAAGTATTAACCCCACTTCCCAAAAGAGTTCAGACAATTGCAGAAGCGAGATTCGCTTCGCCCGCTCCAACAATAAGATTATGGTACCGGTTTTATTGGACAATGGGCCGTATCCGTCGTCTGCTCTCATTACGGCTGGAATGTTGAGATTTGATCTAGCAAACAATGCAGTAGAACCTACTAAAACCGAGACCCTCGAAGCTCTTTACCTGGAAGTTTTACATCAACTGGCTACTGCAACTGCTATACCGCTTCGTCGTCTTTCCATTACAGAGTCAAATCTGTCTATTTTAACCACTGATGAGACTTTAAAGTCTCTTAAAACGTGGCTTCAGCCAATTGATCAACAACAAGATATATATGAACTAGGTAGGAAGCGCCTGATCAGTACTAGAACATGGATCATTGACGAAATCACATCTTGGGCGTCGTCAAGTCATTCTGACCAGCAAGTCTATTGGTTATCTGGGGTCGCAGGCAGCGGCAAATCTGTCGTAGCGGCATCGGCCGTGGACAAGTTAGAGACCTTAAATTTGCTTGCTGCATCTTTTTTTTGTAAGCATAATCAGGAGCAATGCAATGACCCGTCAAAATTGGTGGCTTCTCTAGCTTATCAATTTGCCATGGCTGATACAAATGTAGCTCAAGCACTCACCCAACTGCGAGACAAGGAACCAGATTTTTTGACCAAGAGTTCTTCTGTTGGCTTTAGATTTGAGAAGTTGATTGTTAGACCACTAATGTCGTACAAGTCTGGGCGTAAAGTTGTAGTAATCGATGCATTGGATGAAGCTGCTCCAGAAGGCAGTGAAGCTCGCAACGACTTTTTCCGATTGCTTGGATCTGATTGGAATCGGTTGCCCACAGACTTACTACTATTTGTTACAAGTAGACCACTTGATGATATCAAAGAGAACTTATCGTCTTATAAACCTAGACTGATAGAACTGAACGATGCTAATAATATCAAAGACATTGAACTTTACGCACATGACCGCATGAGTAAACTCATACATAGGCTGCCCGATCAGGTCACAGCCAATCATCTTGCTGCACAAATTGCCAACATGGCCCAGGGACTTTTTGTATGGCTACATCTAGCCTGTGAACAAATACGCAAGAGCACAAATCCTGTTGATACAGTAAAACAGCTAGCTGAGAATACGTTTGGAAGTGGAGATAAAAGATTGGACACGATTTATTCCCGAGCTCTATTAAGCGCTCATCATCAGGCATCGGACGATGATATAGCTTTGTACTCTACTATTATGGGAGCTATACTGGCATTAAAGCAACCAATGGGTGTAGAAGGACTGTCGGTGCTAGTAAATCTACCTAGCATTGTTGTAAAGACTTGTCTTGCTAGAGTGGAATCATTGCTGATAGTACGAGACAATGCTGTACAAGTCATGCATAAGTCTGTTGCTGACTTTTTGACATCATCGACAAGATGCACAGCCGAAGCAGCCAAATTTTACATAAATACGTCACAGGTTGATCAGGATCTTGCCTATCTGTGTCTTAAGATTTTGAATGAAAACCTACGGTATAACATAATTGCATTGGCAAACCCTTTCAAGCGTAATGTTGACATCGAGGGGGTCGCTCCTTTACTTAAGGCAAATATACCAGATGTACTGAGATATGCTTGCATCTATTTTCAGGAGCATTTACCAGTCTCGCATTCTCCCGGCTGCAAGTATCTTATATCAGACATTGTGTCCGAGCTCGATATTTTTCTGTCGAATCACTTGTTGGAGTGGCTGGAAGTGTTGAGTTATATAAGCAATGTTCCATCTGGTCTTCAGTCCTTGACTGTAACGGGAGATTGGATGACCAAAGTAGATACTCTAGTAGGAGTAGATGGGGTCAAATTTGTAAGCTATTGAGGACAATTTTTCGTACAAATTTCATTTTTCGTACAAATCCTGACTGCACCGCTTCCTAGTGTTATTTCCCGTCTTTTATGGGAGGCTTAATTGATGAAGCTCAGAGATTTATCAAGGAATTTTATCTTCCAATCACTACAAGTGCACTCCATATTTACTATTCAGCTCTGCCATTTTGTCCGAAAGGCTCCTACATTTACAAAAGATACTACCCCATGTATCGGGCAAAACCCTTCATGATATCAGTTGACACTGGTGATGGTACGTTCTATAAATTACTTGGCTCTTTAAAAAAATTTAACTTCAATGCCAAACAATAGACGATGAATGGAGTCCATGTCTTCAAACTTTGGAAGGACACTATTCGGGAATAACGACGGTAGCTGGTTCTCGTAACGGCCGATACCTTGTATCTGGCGCGGCCGACGGCTTCATTATCATTTGGAATGAAAATACTGGAGCATTGGATCGAGTTTTGCCTGCACATACCAATGCTGTTTCTCAAGTAATAGTTGCTGATGAGCAAGGTTGGATTATATCCGCATCTCTTGATTACACCGTAAAAATATGGGATTTGACAACCGGCACACTGATTCACACGTTGGCTCACGATGAACCAGTCACTACTGCTGTATTGATCGGGAACTATATATACAGTGGCTCAAAATACGGGACGTTGAGGCAGTGGGACATATCTCAACGGGATGGTGAAGGACGCGTTTTAGAGGGTCACATAGATTCTAACGTGTCTCTATCGTTTGCCGGCAACAGGATGCTGATTGTCAGCTCAGATGGCATATTAGAAGTGCGCGATTCTACAACCAACACTGTTATTCTCACCTTACGAGATCCGTCCGGAAATACCACCGCATCTACACTGTCAAAGGATGCTGAATTGGCAGTGATTGGTTCAGGAGACCTTGCTGTCCGCTTGTATGATTTAAGAACGGGAGAGTTGTTCAACACTTTATATGGGCATAACGAGACTATCTTAAGTGTGGTAGTGTCTTCAGACAAAGCAGTCGTTGTTTCGGCTGCTGCCGATATGACCATCCGTGTCTGGAATGGCACTAGTGGTGTCTTAGTAAAATCACTACTGTCGCACACTGATATAATTACATCTATGACATTTTCTAGTGATGGTTTTCGATTAATATCTGGTAGTGAGGATGAGACCATCAAATTTTGGCACTTGTCAAGTTTTGAATCTGGAGGGAAAGCTCATGATGGAAGGCATGAAAGCGCAGTTTTGACCGGTTCTTATTCTGGAGACGAAAGGAAGATTGTAACTGGGTCGTATGACACCAGCCTGAAAATCTGGGATGTAAATACTAATAAGTTGTTGACCACATTGACCGGACATAGAAGAGGTATAATTTGGATTCCTCTGAAAGGCAGTAATTACAAACTGGCTGAAACTGATGTCTTTCAACTGATAGCGGTACTTTCTGCAGCCTTCCTGGACGAAAACCGGATTGTATCCTCAAGTTCTGATGCAACCCTCAGAGTCTGGAATAGTACGACAGGCGAGGTTATTAGAGTATTAGAAGGACATACGAATGATATATGGACAGTCAGAGTAACTTCTGACAATAAGTTCATCCTGTCTGGATCAAATGACACAACAATGCGCTTGTGGAGTGCAACGTCTTATGACTATATACGGACGTATACAGGTCACACAGGTCCAGTTAGATGTGTGGCTTTCTCTCCAGATAATAGGCGAATTCTTTCTGCTGCATCAGATTGTGATGCAAAAGTGTGGGATTTAGAAACTGGAAAATGTTTAGCAACATTGGAAGGACATACTGAACCTGTATGGTCGTGTACTTACTCACCAAATGGAAAGCTTATCGTGACAGGGGCTTATGATGAAACTATATCGGTATGGAATTCCAAGACGTTCAAACTACTCCGAACTCGTCAAATGCATTCCAGTGGTGTCAGAACTGTGGCATTTAGCCCCGACAGTAAATATATAGTATCCGGTAGTTACGATAAGTCCATCATCGTCTGGAACTCAGATGCATCTACACCTCTGGCAAAACTCACAGCGCATGCAGGACCTATCCTCAACCTGACATTCTCCAACAGTGGTAAGACTATGCTGTCATCGTCATGGGATTGCACCACGAAAGTTTGGGATGTAGGAACATGGGGTCTAGTATCAGAAGTTGGTGATGATTTCTATTTGAAGTTGAATAGCGCTGATTTAGAAGAATTGCGTAATGAATCAGGTGTCCTAAACGACGGGTGGTTGGTAGGAACTTCACATGGGGACATACTGCGGTTTTGTTGGATCCCTCCTGCATTTCGAGGTCCAACATATAGATTACAGCGCCGAAAGATGCAATTAGTTTGTAGTTGGCGCGGCAGTACATGGGTGTCGTACCCGGGGATGTGGGCTCGGAGTACGTAGTAACGTAGTGTTTGCAAACTGAGGTGTGGGCTAGCGCTCTACTATAATGAGAACGAGAGTAATAATATTAACGGTAATGACTCAAACAGTAAAAACTTTAATGGTGCTTGTCTTACGTGTGGAGGAACCTCTCCAATACTGCTGAATACAAGGAATCTAGACTAGAACAACAGTATCTCAAGAAGCGGCTATATTGTCCTGACAAAGAAGATGGCTAATACAATGACTAATATCATAATAATAATGATATAAGATGACAAAAGCAATGATGTGATCTTGGCCTGGACTACGTTGTACTATGCTGCGTATTATTGTTTATCGTCTATTATTTATTGTGAACAACACATACCATTTTTCAACACAAGCAGAATGAACCAAGGTAGCGGACGTGTGGCCATACTGGAGAAAGGATTATGTAGAGCGATTCATCCGCTCAGATCAATCAATAGTATAGGCCATGTTAGTGTCAAAGTCTGAAATTTGAAACTCAGCAAAAGTATATACACACTCTATTCCCTTTTTTGTATATATACACTCTATTCCCTTTTTTGTCCTTTCGCTGAGTTTCAAATTTCAGACTTTGACACTAACATGGCCTATACTATTGATTGGTGTGTGGCAGGCGCGTTTTCGCGTGTTTCGCGTCGAACGTGATAGATGGAATACAATACTTACCATACTTTAACTTTGGGTACGTGCTAATCGAATTTGCGACTGTTGTTGGACTCGTCACAACTGTCACATTTCAGCATCGTGCTTCCACGCACCAAACGCAGATCCATTTGAATCCCCTTTGCGTGCGAGTCTGAAATGGCTCACGAGTCCCTGCATCTGTACGGATACTATACATGTTTCGATCGTTTGTTCAGATATCTCAAACTTACTGCTTTTGAAATCGACCATTTGTCTAGATATACGAGCGAGACGACGATTACATTCGAGCCTGTCTTTCTCGACCCAACTCAGCGCTCGGAAACATTGGTTGTCAATAGAGAGAATGGCCACATCCGTCTAAATGGTATGTGCTTCTCTCTCTTCAAACATCGCGACATCAACAAATCACAATTCTCAACCTGTTGTGCCTCATCTTTTCAGCTCCGCCTCCACCATCGCTGAGACAAGAAGAGCATCAGACAATCTACGGACTCATTGGAACTATTGGGCTCAATGCTGGCATGTTTGAACTGTGCAATTCGTCTTGAAGAGTTCGATTTCTAAAAGCCTATATTCTTGATTAGGCGAACACTTGTTGGTAATCACGGAAAGGTCACGAGTCGGGAAACTATTGGGCAAAGACATATTCAAACTCACTGGTTATCGACTCATCCCGGTCTTCAAATCTCCTCCAATACTGAGCCAACAACAGGTACACTTGCCAGCTGTCGATACTTGGTTATATATGAAATCAGATATCCTCGGCTCATACCTCATTCACTTGGAATCCAGACTTCGGATGACGCGACATACAGGTCGCTGCTGGATCAAGTTCTGGGATCAAAATCATTTTACTTTTCTTATGCTTACGATTTGACTCATACTCTGCAACGACAAGCTCAACTAGCCGCCACATCTAAGAAGGTTCCCATGTGGAAAAAGGTAGACCTTTAGCAGCGCCAGGTATCATGTCGAACTCGTGGTTTGACTTTTCTTTTTGTTGCCAAACAACGTTAGGTCGATGTGCGATTCTTTTGGAATTCATTCTTGCAGAGGAAATTGATTGACTTGACGCTACGGGACAAGGATCAGGATGTATGGCTGATATTCGTGTTCTATGCTGTACCATACACTGGAAGTTTCTTATGATTTTTTTTGTCGATGTTAGCTGAGCAATTTCATTCTTCCCATCATCTGTGGATGTAAGATCTGTGTTCAATTAAGCACCAAAGTCTTTCCCATCAATCTCTAACTGTCTATCCGTTTTTCTTCCAGTTGTGGAAATCCAACCATCTTCACTGAATGGACGATCCTTCACTTTTGGTTTGATTTCGCGGCGAAGTCACTATCGGGCTGGTACATAGATTTGCCATTCACTCGATGCTATTAATCGCTCCACCGTCAACACGTATTAAATACCACTTAAATTTAGGCACGCGATACAATTCACGTGGAATTGACGATGAAGGAAATGTGTCAAACTTTGTCGAGACAGAGCAATTAGTTATACTTGACGAAGCTGGCCAACGAACATCGTTTGTACAAACTCGAGGCTCAATACCTCTCTATTGGAAACAAATAACCAATGTCAAGTATACTCCCAAGTTAGAAATCGAACAAAATCCGAAAACGGTATAATTAATGATTTCCGCCTTGATATTCTCGCTTACTCAATCAGCCCTTAACATTTTTCTTCTCACCAAACCAGCCGGCCTCATTCAAAAAACACTTTGCCGACCAAATAGCTAGGTATGGCAATCAAGTTGCTGTAAACCTAGTCAATAGTCATGGCTATGAATCGAGACTCGGTGAAGAATTCGCCAAACAAATCAAATACGCGGGAGACTCTCGAATCAAATACATCGCATTTGACTTCCATCAAGAATGTCGTAAAATGCAATGGCATCGCATATCTCTGCTCGTCGATCAAATCGAGAATGAATTGAATCAGTATGGATACACTCGTATCGACGAAAAAGGTCAACTCATACGACCGCAAATGGGTATTGTCAGGACTAACTGTATGGATTGTCTCGATCGAACTAATGTTGTACAATCGGTATTGGCTCGAAGGTCGTTAACTCAGCAGTTGAGGGAATTGGGTATATTGAGTGCTAAAGAGACGGTGGAAGAGACTGGATTCTTTGAGACCATGTTCAAGAATGGTAAGCGGTCGTGGTACCTAGTAGTCGCTAGCTTTGTTCTTCTTTAATAAAAATTGGAGACAAGGAAAAAACAATCACACTTACCTCTCCCAACATTCAACCTGTAGTATGGGCTGACAATGCGGATGAAGTCAGTCGACAATATTCTGGTACTGGAGCCCTCAAGACTGACTTTACAAGGACGGGCAAGAGATCTCAAGCAGGACTGATACAAGATGGTTTAAATTCTGTTGAAAGATATATTCGAAACAACTTTTTCGATGGTTCACGCCAGGTAAAGTGAAATGTTCTGTAGATGCGGCAGGAGGAAAAAGAACAGAACTAAGCTTAGCCAAATTCCTCACCTTCTTTCCGGCCAATAGGATGCATATGACTTCTTCTTGGGACTGTATGAAGTTAGACCAGGTGGAATGTCTCCGTTTACTCGATACGAACGTGACCTCAAATACTATACAGTAAGATTTACAGTTCGAAGTGATGCTTTGAGCGGAGCACAGTCTAACATTCTCGACCTTCCTTTTAGTTGCCTGCTGTTGCCCTTATTTCGCTGATTATGACTCTAGCCTCTCTATTTTTCATTGATTTTGGTATGGCGCTGTCTCTGCCTTTTGTTGTTGCAAATGACCCAAAAATGACTCCCGTCATCCAATCCTACAATAGACACTGTAGTCTCACGCATAATGTACTCGGCGTTCTGGACTACCCTGACATATGGTGCATTGAGGTTTATAGTCCTATTTGGCAAGGACTTTGTTGCTCGACCTACACTGGTCCGGCCCAAGGTAGAGTTACCACAGGGTGTGAATCTGGAGAGAGTTGATAGGTCGGGAGCAGGCAAATGGCCTGAGAAGCCAGCACAATCGTAAATCAGCCTAGTTATTTGAAAACACCAAAAAGCAATTCTTGTAATCAGAAGCCATCATTAATAAATAATAAACTATAGGTTTACGTCAATTTGCGTCGAGAAACAGGAGGGTTGTTAAAGGGACTCCGTTTTGCTGTTGTCTCATACACCTTCTTTGTGGCTTTCGTGTTCCAAATTCAAACCCTGGCTTTGCCAAAGCGGTGTACTCTACTCGAGAACTTTTTGACGCAACGCTACAAGGAATCAAAGTCAGCGAGTTTCACGGATCGACCGTACAAGGCTTCCAGCTTCGAGATACCAAGGGACCGCTTCCTCTAAGGTGGTTTTCTTGAAGGATCACGTTGAAACACAATGTTCACCACCAAATCCGATGTATTGGCTGCTGGTTTGCTAATGCTGGCCATTACAACCACAGCTCAACAAGGACCGCCTCTATTACGATGTAAAGTTGTTATATAATTGAATTTTCACGTTAGAGACTTGTGGTTTGTCGACAAAGCTACCAAGCTTTCGAAGCTGCCCACCACCAATAACCAATTTCCCAACGACACAATTTGCGGTCGAGGGCTAACGTTCTCGCGTTTATAGATCTTGGAGGCTCTATACTCACTAATCCGATAACTGTATATCCCATATTCGTAAGTTTGTGGCTTGAAAGCTTGGAGTTTTTTGGGAGATCATGATCTATTCCCTCCTACGTGTTTTGGGAAGCTTGGATCTTGACTTACAACGTGCTTTCTTCTCGATATAGTATGGAGACTTCTCATCGAGCTCGGGAGCTTCTATGAAAACTGCCATAACGAATCTCATAACTGACGTGGCGTACACCCAATGGTGGGATATGTTGACATCGACTTATAAGGATGCGAACTCAAAATACGTTACGAATTCGGTATGTGCTTGTTGTAAGTGAGGCTTGCGAGACTGGGCACAAACGGTTCTTTTGCTAGGTGACGCTGGGACAATCAGCGCAATTAACGACGGTGGATTTTACAGGCTACTTTCAGCAGGCAGCTATAACGAATGCCATCAATTTGGGATTGCCATTGGTACAGCGCCCTGCTCAGATTCATGACCTAGAAGCTACGAAGTTCTCACCTCATATTTATAGGACATTACCGGAATCTATGCTTTATTCTTCAGTGCAGACACCACGCAAGCCGATTCACCTGGAATAGGAGGAACACACTCATTTGTGGATGTTACAACATGTATGGAATGCATTTGAATGTAGCAAAAAAAAGATCTCCTGTATCTTCTTAGTGGTTCTCACCCTCAACCGAAACAACTCATCATAGCAAAAGGAAGTGGCAAAGTTCTCTTCATCTACCTGCCGATAAACTCATTCTACCATGCTGCTGGCCAGCTACCGAATTGTGAGAATGATGGATTCAAGATGGGACTGCCGAGCTCGGGAGGGGCAGTGGGATCTAGTGGATTATCGGCACCATTGCGAGGACCTCAAGGGTGTCTAGAGTCGGCTGTTGTGAATCGTATGTTTATCCTCCTATGATTCTTGATATTTTTTGCTATGGTGCTCAACAGTTTCCCAAACCCACTCATTTTAGAATTGGCACTCAAGCTAGCATCAACAGCAACAGACCCGTATGGGACCGGATGGTTTACGGTTTCAGGATGGGAAATTGGTGATGTCTGTTCAGGACAGTTTGGAGTGACGCCCATTACTCCTACGCAAAATGTGTACACGAATGTTGCCGCAGTTAATGGTTTTGGAAGGTCGTATCTGTTGCAGGTACAATTACATCTTTCGGCCCTTCTTATTTTTTTGCAGTTTTTAATATATCCCGAATTCTAGAATTTATGGAAGAATTACTACCAAACCAGTGACACTGATGCTCAATTTGGTGGAAGTTGCGTGGGAGGATTGAGTCTGCCAGTGTATACATACACTGCTATTCATACGCAAACAATTAATGCCGTTGCAACCGTGACAACTACTGTCTGTTCTGGAAACTCGGTGGGAGCTTCATCGGTGAAAGACATCTGCATGGATCGTGTTGTCAGTCCTGGGCCTGATCCATACACAAAGTAATTCTGCAGCTACTGCCACGTTTTTTTACGCTCTAGCTCACCGTTGTTTCTGTAGTCTTTTTGGTGGTTACGAAGGAATGGGCGCGTCCGGTGCAACGTCCTTTGTTTCGAACGGTACAGAATTGCAGCTTCGTGTAAAATCTTTACCAGCATGTAAGTTTGCTTTGTTGTTTTCATATAAGTACCAGATTAAATGCTGACACTCACTTCCTAGTCTGGGTATCTGCATTGAATGGATCTGGGTCCTCATTTGACATCAGTCAATTTAGCTATTTGGCTTTTAACGTGATAGTGCCAACACACACGTCAACATTCTCAGCTGGCTTCTCCTACAACAACATTGGAAGCACTGGCACCAAAAACACGTCAGGGGACACATATCTCGAAGTCTCGGACTTCATGTACTATGTTTCGCCTCTGGAATACCAAGTCTACATACCCATAAACAAGATGACGACAGACGCCACCAAACTAGCAGTTGCCAGAGAAATAGTATTTGCCGATTTTAACGAAGTCGACAAGTATATAGTGTGGAATGTGCGGCTGAGCTGTGCAATTGAATTTGCCTCTGTATCAAAGAGGGATATAATAGCACCAGAACCGGCATTCACACCGCCTCCTGAACCAGTACCTGTATTTGCCAATGATGCCATAGTACAGATGATGGATAAGAATATCTTTCTACACGGTCGTGCTGTAGTGGCTAATGCTATAACAAAAACTGTATGGGTGACGTCGACGTATAATGCTGCTGGTGCAACTCAGACCGTCACAGTTACTCAGGCTTGCAGTACGCCGGCTCCGCAACAATTGGTATCTTCGGGACTTTGTGTGGGACGTAAAGTAGATCCGAATCCACAATCTAGTAGTGTAAATCTTTTGGGTGGTACCGAGACAGCTGGCCCAACTGCTACTACTAATATTAATAATGGCGCTTTGAATATTGCCTTCAACCAAGTCAACGGATGTGAGTATTTCTCGTTTTGCGAATTTTTGATGACGCAAACTTATACTAATCGATACTTCTCTTTGATAATTAGGGTGGGTTACCTCCTTGCAACCCGGGGGAAAGTCGTTAGATATTTCTACACTTTCGGTGTTGTCAATGCTGGTCACGATACCGTCTTCTTCAGCTACATTTAGTATTGGATTCACGTATAATAATATCGGAGGAACAGGATATGACAAAGTAAGCAACACTGCATTCCCACAATCAATTCCGTTTACTCACTCTCGTCCATTTTTAGAACACCACTGCTGGAGCATCTACATTTATAGATATCGCTCCCCACCTGACTGCCACTGGTGCAGGAACAGCAACCTTCAGTGTTAAACTACCAATCTCGAGCTTTACTAACAATGTGGCCAAGTTACAGAATGCTAAAGAGATAGCAATAGTGGCAAACAAGGCCGTTGGAACAATTGTGATACGTGATCTTGAGCTGACATGTTGAGAGCCGGTGGAACAATTGTTATAAATAACCTCGGTCTGTTAATTCTATTTTCACTTGATATACCACAGGTCGTTGAACGACACACCCATATGTAATAAAAATACCCTCAATATATTTCATATTTGAACTTTAAATAAATACTAGTACAAGATTGATCTTGCAGTCTTGATCTTGTTTTTCAGGTTGCTCGGGAATTTTTCCAGCACCTGGACTTTGACGCAAAGACAAGTTGAGCAGCAATTTTAAATAGCACCACGTCTCTTTAGCGTGAATTGGGGTGCTATGGAGAGCAATTCACCACGTAATTCAGGTGTCGAGACGCGTGCCAGCCGTGACTCCCGAGCTTCACAATCAAAAACATTGTCAAATGCTCAAATCAACAACGTCAAGTCGACATCCAGCAGCAGCACTCGGTTAGAGGAAGAGGACGACAGCGCATATGGAATATTGGACTCGATAGTCAAGCGTGCCGCCGAACTAAGTGAAAGAGAACGATCGCAGGACACAACATTACCCAATAATACTACGACTGCTGCACCAGCTACTGAAGAAAATGGAGTAGCTGCAGCATCACCTACCAGCACAACAGCTCAAGATGACCCTATTAGCGTCGAAGGATTGGATAATGCTATCGCATATCTCGTCGCAGATGGATCTGATTCCCATTTATTGAGACTAGCCGACGTATTCAACAAACTACGAGACGCCTACCTACAATCCAAAACATCTGAAGACAAGCTGGTATCCAAATGCAAGGAGCTCGTCAGTGAAATTTCCACCACTGCATCCAAAGTTTCCAAGGCTGTAGCATTGTGCCAGAAAGATCGAACGACAATCACCGTGTTGCAAAAGGAGATTCAAACAGCTTGGGGTGTTGTCGAGTCGTCACGTATCAAGGAGGCTCAAGATCAGGAAACCATTGCTGGGTTGAAGGAAGAGCTTGAAGCTGTATCTGGAAATGCTGCCTCTGGTACGGTACCCAGAAGACGTAAAACGACACTTTCCTCTGCTGGTGCCGATGAAGACACCATCAAGTTGCTCACCGCCGAAAAGGAACAGCTCGCCAAAGATTTGTCTGATGCCAACCTCCGTGCCGACACGCTGCAGTCTGAGCTAGACGATGCTCAAAGCCGAATGGAGGGTATGAACAATGACCGACTCACTTTGGATATCGAATATGGTGAATTACGAGAAATGCTGAGCTCCAAGAAATCTGAATTGGAACGTGAAGTTCGCAACAAGGAGAAACTCGAGACCTCGGTCAAAACAGCTGCCGAACAGTTAGCCAAAAAGGAAACCGAAATCACACACAAGACGAACGAGGCCCGATTACTCAAAGAATCCATTACACGTCTCGAGACAACATCTAAGGACGAACGTAGTAGAGCAGAACGAGCCGAAAAAGACAAGGAACATTTACATACTCGAGTAGCTCGTCTCCAACACGAATACGAGGAACAAGTCAACACTACCCAGAAACTTCTCGCCGACAACCAACGCTATGAAACCGAATTATCTAAATGGGATTTAGAGGCTGCCAGATTCCGCGATGAAGCACGTAACGTCTCTAGAATGAGAGACCAACTTACCAAACGCATCAAGCAACTGGAAGCTGCCAAACTCGACATCGAGATCGAGCGTGATCAATACAAGACCATATCGCTCGACCGTGGTCACGAATCCGAAGCATTCCGCAAAGAAATCGACGATTTACGTAAACAAGTCGATGGTCTTAGCCGAGATCGTGATGTAGCTCAGAAGTCGCTAGTAAAAGCCGCCGGATCCGCCCAACGCCAAATCTCACTAGTCCGTGTCTCGGAACGTGAGAGACGTAATTTGGAACATGAGATTGCTGGACACAAGGAAGAAGCTACTAAAGCGCGTAAATTGATTTGGGCGCTTGAACGGGATCGTGATTCGCGGGCTGGTGAAGCATCGCGTATTGCGGAGGCGCTTCAGACTAGAGAGGAAGAGGTCAAGATTAAGGAGATGTTGATATTTGATGGGAGAAAGAGAATGGATGATTTGGAACGCAAACTCAAGGAACAGCAGGTATGTGTCGTGCTTGGGTCGCTATCGAACATAAGTGCGAGGTCATTTTTCTGATTTTTTTCGCTTGCAAACAGAGCTTGTATGAGAACGTGAGAACCGACAGGAATCACTATTCCAAGAACCTGATGGAATGCCAAGATGAAATTACCGAAATGAAGCGAAAGATAAAGATTATGAACCACCAAATTGAGCAGTTGAAGGAAGAAATCGCTACCAAGGAATCAGGTATTGATGATGTATGTTCCGCGTTTTTCGGCTTCTAAACTTTAATACCTTCCAAACTAGCTCATGTGAAACAAAACTTTGAACACACCAAACTGGAAAAGGAAAAGGAAAGCTTGTCGTTGACTATTGGCAAGCTTCAGACACAATATGATGATGCCACGAAGCAATTGCAAAATCAGGTTGGTATATTTTGTACGTGTTGTCCACTTTTTGTTGTTTTGCTGTATTAACCCAGCCATTAATTGTTTTCCAGCGAGCTGAAGAAGCAAGACTCAAGCACGTCATTGATGATGCTGACGCTCAAGCAGCACGACTACGAAAAGAGCATGAAGCCATTTTGCAAGAGAGGGTAAAAAAGGAAGATTATGCACCTCTTCCATGCAGCCAGCCCACTAACACTACCCTTCCCACAAAGGATCTCCTGGGCACCCAACTTATCCGCCGCAACGAAGAAATGGACCTCTTGTACGAAAAGATCAAACTCCTAACCTCAACACTCGCATCCGGAGAATCCGCCTACCGCGAACGTCTAGAAGACATCCGAGTCCTCAAACTCGAAGTGCGACGATTAAGGAGAGAAGGTGTTGTGCTTAAATCCGAGGCTGCCAATTTGGACGTGTTGCGGAATGAGATATTCAAGATTCAGCGAGAGGTGTTGAAGGAGAGGACTAGAGTTAAAGTTTTAGAAGGTACATACTGTTGCGTTTCTTGTCGGGTTATTTTGCAGCAATTTAGCCTCTAACCCATCTTTCTCACAACAGAGGAACTCGAATCCCCAATGAACATCCACAGATGGCGCAAACTGGCAGGCTCGGACCCCTCCACATTCGAATTAATCACCAAAATCCACGCACTTCAAAAACGTCTCATTTGCAAGACTGAAGAAGTCGTGGAGAAGGAATTGGCTGTGCAACAAGCCCAACGCCTGTATAACGAAGTCAAGTTATCGCTGCAGCGACAACCGGGGCCCGAGATTATTGAAGAGTTGAGGATTGTGAGGAGTGCGTTGAAGGGGAAGGTTGCTGAGGCCAAGGTAATATTTTAGGATTAGGATATATATATTTTGGCTTGATAGTGAAACTAACTATTCCAACTTTCATTTACCAGTCACTCGCATCCGAGCTAAACATGTACCACTCTCAATCCAACGAAGCGGGTTTCACAATCGAGAAACTGGGGCAGGAATTACAAGAACTGAAACGCAAGTACTATGAAGAAAAACGCAAGGAACAAGCAGCCAAGAACCGAGACACACCAGAGATTCTAGCAAACAAGAGACTAAATTCACGGATAGCTGGAGCTGGGTTCTTCTTTGGTAGTAAATTGGAAGAGGTGAAATCGCCTGGTAAACAAGAAATCTTGACAGTCAATGCCGCATAAGCAACATGTGGTTGTTAATAGTTAAATTGTTTCAATTGTAATAAATTGCTGTTGAAAAATGAAAGAGATTTGACTACAGTGGATATAAATTAAAAGTTCCTAGTGCGGTTTGGAAACCAGATAATGGTGTTTTAACGAGTGGAGTTTGTAGCAGCAGCCTTGACACCAGCCATAGCGAAATCTTGGCCGACCTTTGAGCGGGCGGCAGCTAGGGTGCAAAGGAAGATTAATACAGACCAAGAATCGAGACTGGCCAGATGCTTGCTTCGTTAAAAACGAAGAACGAAGCAAAAAAAGTGCCTAGAGTCATGCTTTATACCTTGAATTCCTTCTTCCTGGGCCTTAGCTAACGTCATACCCTGATTACGGTAATAGAACGATGCATTCTTCAAAAACCACAGTCCGTACAGAATCTCTACAGCGAAAACGACGAAAGCAATGACACACAGCACGGCTGATCCAATGTTGTTACTGAATTGAGCCAGAGCATATATAAGGCCTGCACCTCCCCACCCGGAAATTCCTGTAGGTTTTGTAATAAAGGAGATGTGATTAATATATAATCATGTTGTTTGGTGCTGGCCAATTTCACACAAGTCTGTTTTTCCATACCGATTGACAGCAAGATGGCAGCAGCCAAATGGAATCCAAAGTTCACGAAGAACAGAAAGACTGGAATTATAGTATAATGATATGTCAATTAGTAGTATGAGGGGCATGCAAAAGAAAGAAAAAATCGCCCACTCAGATAAACGTTTCAAAACCACACTCACAGTTGATAGACCTATCTCTTTTAACACCATTATAAAGCGCCATATACCAGAAATTGAAAGATACCGGGATTCCAATAAGCATAATCATCAAAGAGAGTCCAAACGTTTGAGAAGCACCGTCGGCTTTGGTGACGAGAAGCGAGAACGCAGCAATAAAATTCATCACGTAGGAAGCTGCACCAACTACAAAAATTGGTGAATTTAGTGTAGTCAGCTTTGGAGATTTCACAAACAAAGGAGTTTGACTTACTGTGCCATAGAGAGAATGCCTGCTTCATTAAAGCCTTGGCAGCTACCGGCAGTTGAAAACAATGTTATAGTGCGTAGACATGATGAATAGTTCTGTATCGTCAAGACAGACAGAACCAGCCAAGCTCTGCATATTTCCTCTTGTTCCTGGTTTTACCTGGCGTAGGCATATCCTTCTCAATATCATGATACACAATTGGTCTGAATTTAGGCCAGTTTGGTGGTTTGAAGCCAGCTTCTTCTGCTTTTCGTTCTCGTTCAGTTACCTGAAAAAAGATATTATTTCTTCAAGTTCGCAAAAAATCTGCGACAAAACGGAAGAACAACAAAAAGGAAGAACATCATCTTTCGATTTCGGTGAGACTAACATTTGCTCTTTCAAAGATTCTCCCAAACTGCCTCAACCCCACAACCAAAAGAATTATAATAGTGCAGTAATGCAGTAATCACTTACAGCTTTTTCACGAGCAGCTAAAATTCTCTCTCGCTCCTGCAATTCACGTTCATTTGATCCAGCATTGTTGTATGCATTTGTGGGACGCTCAGGTTGGACAAAGGCGCCTGACACTGGCCTTTCAGTCGATGCAGCATGACCCCAAACATTTGTACGTTCCTCGGGAGCCAAGAATGGGTTTGACATGTTTTGTGTCGTTAAAGGATGACTATTGGTGGCTTTTTTGCTTTTGGTTGTGTCCGTGTCGAAAATTTGTAAAACTTGTGTTTTCGTGATTGAGGGTGTGGAATGTGGAAACCATAAAACCAAGAGCCACGGATGCGTGTGTGAGTGAGTGAATGTAGTTTTTGAGTTAGAAGGGTATTAAATACTACAAATCTTTCAGCTTGGGTCCTACTGTCTTGACATCGTCTGCTGTACTTATCGCTCTATCAAGGAAAAATATGAGCGTTCCAGATATGTTCTGTTCACTATTCAATTCGATTGACCCAGACTATTCAACAACATCACACACTGCAGGTCCTTACTTGATGATCTCTTGTGGAAAATCCTTCTTGACCAAGTTTGCTTGTACTTTTGTCGGTCCAACACATACCCAATCATGAACCTGATCTTCATTAGCATATCTCAAAGACCGTAGCCATTGTACAGGTGATGTGATTTGTCGAACCAATAAATCGGGTATTTCAGACGCACTTTCAAACTGCGTTTAAAATAGAAAGGGGAAAACGTTATCAACGAGAATAAAATTCCGGGTGACAAGAACGGAAGGTCAAACTCCATACCGGTCGACCAGTAACATTCGAAATCACATCAGTAACAGGATCTTGAAAAGCAATCTTTGATAATGCTTCTCTCATTTTCAATGATGCTGGTTGCATTAGAGAACAATGAAATGGAGCAGAGACGGGCAGTGATATACCTCTACCAGCCAGTCGTTTCGTCTGTAGAATTGATGAGGCGTATTCTACTCCCTTTGTTGTACCCGATAGGACTACTTGTGATTTACTAGGAAACAAATAAATCAATTCAACAATCTTGCACAGCTGGTTTGTTTGATGCGGCATAGCGCAAAAAGACAAAACTGCAATCTACAATACCTGTTAATGTTTGCAATCTCAGCCACTTCACCAGGTGGTAGTTGTGTTTGCATTCTCTGTATTATCGATTCGATTTCTTCTAGAGAGCCTGTTACGACCAGAGCCTTCATAGCAGTATCTCGTGACGGGTGTATACATTGTGCCATGGCTTGTCCTCTCAGACGCTGTAATGTTTAGAAGACAAGAGTAAGTCGAGAAATTGTAGTAGACTGCGATTTCATTTTTCTTTTCTTGCTTTCAAAATTCTTTACCACAAGTTTGATGGCATCAGATAATCTAAGAAGAGAGTGTGAATCTATCAATCTGAACTGTGTGCTATCAGGCAATCAAACTTACGAAACAGACTGAGCAGCGACCAGCGCAGAGCTTGTTTTAAAAAGGGAAGTGTAAGTCGCGGACAAAAGTAGCTACCGAGTAGTAGATGGATGGGCTTACTATTCTCCCAGGCTATGTCCGAGAATATACGTACAGTGTCTCACATCGAAACCGTATTCAGTCTACAGCAACGAAGGACGTCAGGTACAAGGACAGTACTCGTTAAATTGTCGAGACACACCTCGAGTACTCTCAATAATGCAATTGAATGTGACAGAATGGCTATACAGAGATAATGCGAATGAGCGTGGCTGAATTGATGAAAAGTATCTGTATAGTCCACAAAATTTCCCATCATCTCTTCTCACACCAGCACGGAAACACAACACCACTAGACAAGAAAATATCTTCTACATCGTACCAGGTTGAGCATTTTCGGTCTGAGTCAGCACTGGTTGTGGACCATCAAACATGAGTGATTTGAGTCCACCGGCAACAGCTTCTTCAGCTTCATCCAGGACGGTTCTAGCTACTTGATAAACACTATAAATATCTTTCCCCATCCCTATTGTATACGTATTGTATGAGATCGAGACATTTAGCGACACAATTTCCAAAGTTGCAACATTGTGATGAATGCTAAACGTGCCGACATGCTAAAATAGTAAAGAGAGTAAGAATCACGTCCAGATGCAACGAATACATCATTGCAATCATTTACTTGAGCTCCTTGACCGGGAAATAGCAGGGCATGCTTCCTCTTTGCAGTGTTTGGCTAGGGTAAGAGTGTGAGCAATGTGATTAATGGATGAATTTACAGGCAATGGAATCACGTACCGAGTAGTTTCGCTGCCGTGTACTAGTACAGATGGCAGTCTTTGTCTTGCAACACGTGCTTCTCCAGCTCATCTTTAAGTGCAAAGTGCAAGTGTTTTCATGGATGCTAGTAGTTTTCGGTTTGGTTATTACAACAGTTTGTTCTGGAGTTTGTTTACGTGATGGACGTGTCGAACATGATGTATTTGTTGTGTTTGATAGTTGAATGCGATTATTTATTCAATTCTGGTGGAATCCTGTACCGAGTTAAGCTATGCTGCACTAGAACACCAGCAGAGATTCGTTTATATCAAAAGAAGAAAGCACAATTACAAACTACAACAACCCTCAAAACGCAAAACGGGACCCCCTTACTCATGCGAGCTGTTAGCTGCAGCCCAACACCCTTCATATTAGATAGAGACTAGAACAAGTCTCGTGCTAACTCGTATCCCGCATATGTGAATATTAGCGAAATCTGGCAAATCTGGCGTATCTCCTGGCATATTTCATTACGTGTTTCCCCGCCGTCTCTGAGACAGTCTCGCCTGAGGCCTCTCTGCTTGTCTTCTGTAAAAAATCATTCAAGCAAGCATTTGCCATATATATACTCATAACTATCGTTATAATGGAGCCTGTGCCTGTTTGGGTCAAATTGTACGCACAAGATGGTAACGGTGTCATTAAGCCTGTACCTAGGATGGATGTAGATGTGGTCAGGATGCGACCCTATAGTTTCGTTGCTGACTTGAAGCATCAGGTCATTGAAAAGACGTTCAAGAATGCTTTGGCTGATACTGATGCTGCTACATTGCAAGTATATGAAGATACTTCATTTGAAAACAAGTGCCAAGTCAACGAACCTCTAGGAGCTGTATTGAAACGACACGAATCCTCATCGTCCAAACCACTATGTATTGTGAAACCAGCTTCACCTTCCTCTACTAGAGTCTCCATCTATTTGGAAGCACCAGGTAGGCAACTCAACTCACTCCATAGCCCTTTACTACAACCCTGCTTATTCGCGACCTATAGATTGGGCAATAGATATGTACAGCAAGCTCTGGAAGAACCCCAAACAAGGAGAAAATGACCATCTCCAAACGGTACCCT